GCCACTGGACTCTCCAGCGATGCCTTCTGTGTATTCGACTACGACTTAGGGATTCGACTTGGAGGAGATCTCATATATATATCGAGATGGGAACCGCGTAGCAGATGCCTTAGCGACTTTGGCGGTTTCCCTCCCGATGGAGACGATGCTCCTCCCCTCAGATATTCCTTCGTCGCTTCGAGGCCTCCTTCGAGCGGACGCCGATGGTCTTCCGTCCTTCCGTTTCAGGTAGTAAGTCTCTCCGTACTCTTTGATTCTAGACTTAGCATTGATTGCTCTTACTTAGACTTGATCACTTAGTATTTGATTTATGCCTTAGGCATATTGCTTTAGGCTAGATACTTACTATTAGCTGGTCTTGTCTTCTGCTTTACTGAGACTGTATAACTTGTATCTAAAACTACGTATGGCTTGATCCCGTTTGGGTACATAGGCAGCTCTTTGAGCTCAGCCATAAAAAAAAACCCTAAACCCTCTCCAAACTCCAACCAAACTCAAACACAACTTTCCCCATACCAGAAAACACACCCTACATTCTCTTTCCTTAGCGTTAAAAATAATTATTTTAAAAATATCTATTTTTATTTATAAATATTTTTAGTTTATTACTATTATATTATTAGTTTTACATTTTAAAAAAAAAAATTATCATCTTAAAAATAGATATCAGTTATATTCATATGCACACGTAGCTACACACACATTGAATTCGTAGATGTAGTATAGGCCGAGACGTGAATGTTTTTCTATTGGAATGAAAAGTTTATATATACCTATTGAAATCGTAGAAATAAAACACACAAAAATTCATAAATTATTTCCCCCATTTCTCTCTATATTCATTGCTTTTCTCTCTCTCTGCATTTTTAAGTTATACATACATACATAATATATATATAATATAATATAATAACACATATACATATATATATTTGTAGACATATATACACACATGCCCGTACACACTCACACACACTTACAATTATTATATATTATCATTTATATAACAATATTTTTTTGTCAAGTAATCTTTTTCTTTTATATAAGAATTTAGATAGATAAAATAAAAATATATAATATGATAAGAAAAAATATGTATTTATTTTTTATTTGAATTATATAATAAAATAAAATTTATTAATTATTTTTTATTTTAAAAATATTATAATATAATGACTAAATAGTTTACATAAAATGAAAAAAAAAATTATAAATTAAAAATTTTAAAATGTAATTAAAGTGTATAATTATTTTTTTAAAAAAATACAAATTATATATGACTAAGGAAAATAGAAACAATGGACAAATTATTTGGGATGAAAGGGTAATACTTTATCCGTCCCAATAAAAAAATACTTTCCCCGTGCCTAATATAATGGTAGACAAGAACTATATCACACCCTTGTATTTCACCAAAAATGCACAAAAATACCTTGTGTTTTATTTATTTCATGAAACCTCATTGTATAAATGTAAAATTTGCATGAAATACCCTACTGTCCAAAAATGATATTTGGTTCTAAATAAAAACTCAAATTACACAAGTTTTATACAAATAAAAATGTAAAATATCTTAAATAATTTTTTTTGAATAAATAAAATAAATAATTGATCAAACATTTATTTTATAATTTTTATAAAAATCAGATAATAATTTGTCTCCAAAAACTATAAAATGAAGGATTAATCAATTATTTATTTTATTCAAAAAAAATATTTAAAATATTTTAAGTTTTTTATTTGTATAAAACTTGCACAATCCAAGTCTTTATTTAGGACAATTTTGGACAATAGGATGTTTCATGCAAATTTTACATTAACACAACGAAATTTCACGCAATAAATAAAATAAAACGTGTTTTGTGCATTTTTAGTAAAACACGAGGGTGATATATAATTTATTCTAAAAATAATTATAAATTAAAGGTTAACATAACTAATTATTAAAATTTAAAAATTTAAAAATTTTGAACTTTAAAAATTTTAAATATGATTAAAATGTGTAATACTTTTTTTTAAAAAAAAAATAACATAAGACGTAGGACGGATAAAAATAAAAAGTGTGACATTATACGTGGGACGGATGGAGTGGCAATTTTCTTTTTGTATAGCAATTTTTTGTGCGACTCTCGTTTAAAAATATTAACGTCATTTTCTATAAATGGTAAAAAATAATAAATTTTAATTAATTCTAATCAATCAATACGCATTTAACATACAGTAAAAATTAGCATAATAAAACAGTTCTGTACTATAATTAGATAGGTCCATGTTGTGGATACGATTAAGTTCCATCGATGCTTCAATTATTCGTTGAATCTTTATTTAGCATCATATGTTCCTTTGAAAAATTATCAACACCGCACCCTCCTCCACTTTGTAGTGGACCCACCTCGCAACTGATATGTTTTCGTTGTAATCTATCCACACCAGTTCATCAAAACCGAGATTTTCTAGTCCGCCCCCATATGACTCTTCATCGTAATTTCATCCATGTGCCCACTGCCAGCACCATTGTTATCCTACTCGTCCATCCCGCCTTTATCTGAGGTGTCGGACTCTTCGCCCCCGAACCAATCATCACCCTCTTCGTCCATTTTTTCACCTTGTGGGAAACCTTCATAATACCGACCATCCTCATTATCTATGTCCGAGTCTAGTTCATCTATAATTTTTGCAACTCGTTTACCATTGGCTTTATACAACTCGTCGTTTGGATCGAATCCCCCAATCATGTTTACGCCATAACACCCCCACAAAACTCCATACCAGAGAAATAGTCGTTGCCCATGCAATCACTCGGATTCTCATCCACTGTCTTTTCAAATTTTGACGATGCAAGATCAATAACCACACTGCTCGAGGGAATCTGGAAATGCCACATTGAACTGTTATTCTCGTACCAACCAATAAGGGGAACTTCTTTTTCTAATCCTACTTCCTGCCATTCCTTATCGCATGTCGAGATCGGCATGCAAACATCTTATATGTAGATATGTATATATTTCTCTCTATAATGTTCTTAGCGCATTTCCAACACATCCTCGTCGGGCTTCATAAGAAAGAGAAATTTGGTGTCGAATCCACAGGGGACCCCTTTCGATGTGTGATACAAGCGAATCACAAGAGATTTTCCACCAATGTGTCCATGCATATCGGCAAAGTCCCATAGTAAATCATGTCTTGGTCGATTTTTCTGAACAATATGATTTTCCCTTATACATATGGATGACTTGAGCTTTTCACTTTCAAATACCCACCCACCCCATATGTAAATATCAATGTAGTAGTCTTCACTCATTGGTTGGCACCAAGGACAACCTGCACGTGGGAAAATCCAAATTATTCTCCAATAATTGAATTTTTCTTTTTTTTTTTTGTTAGATTGTTTAAAAAATAAAAGACTGAAAATAAAAATATATTTCTCGCACCCATTCTCCATTAGATTATCGTAAACAAAATATAGTAAATGTTTGGTATATAAAGGCGACCTTATCTTTAAAGTAAGTCAAAGCAATTCAAGTCTAAATGCTACACTCCTAGTTTTGAGATTGACTGGTCGATCCAATCATGATATTAATGGAAGAGATTTTTTCTTAAAATACTCTTGTTTTAGAACCACTTTTATGGCTTGACTAAGAACCCTTCCAAGCAATTGATAAGCTGACTGACATAGAATATACAAAAGGAAGTAGAGGTAGTCCACACTATCATGATACAATACTCAACAACTGGCCGACAAGAACAAAAGTTCAGTTAACATAATCAACTAATGTTTGAATCACCAATGAATATGTATAGAAAGCACAACAAATGCACTAATTGAACATCAATTTCTCTTCTATGTCAAATAAGAGAACTTTTCAATTTGATGTAGCCCTAATCTGAGACCAAGCACAAGACATTTGAAATCGGAGAACTTCTCAACTCAATATTGTCGCCAATGGAGACCAGGGATCCCAAGGGGATTGAAATAAGTTAAATTGGAACGGTGACTTACAAATATTTGAGTTCGACGCTAATCCTTCTGATGAGAGAGGTATGGACAACAAATGGGGAAAAAAAATTTTGGTTCCCTTGTATGCAATCGACGCCACACGTTCGGATAGGAGAATACGCCGCTGTTAGAGTGGTGATCGGACCGTCGAATCGCCCAATTCCATCGCTAGGAATACTGTCACGAGGAAGAGGCTACGGAGAGAGGTATTGGGAGAAGAGCGGTTAATGAGTATAGAGAGATGAAAGTATATAAAACTTATCTAATTGAGAGGTCAAAATGATCAAAACAGCGAGCATGTAAAATTTTTAAAAACACAGATGGTACAATGAAGTTTCTAAAGTAAATAGACGAATGGTGCCAATGTTCGAAACCATAGGGAAATATAGACATTTTTGCTATTTTTTTATTTTTTATTTTTTTTATTTCTCTGCACATTTACTTCTTTTTCGTTTTTATTTTCTTGTTTTAATTTTACTTGCATTTTTGTGTGTTTTTATTGATTTTTTTGTTTTCTTTTCGTTCCATTACTTAATTATCCAAAAATATTTTGAGTAATAACACCTAATAATTGATATATTATATATTGATAGACTGGCTCTCTACTATAAGTTATTTGAAAAATATTTTGAGTAACAATACATAATAACTAATATATTATATGTTAAAGACTAGAAAATTGCTAAATCAACTATTCTTTCACCGACGGTAATACCATTAAGGGTGGATAGACTCGAAGCAAGTTATATTAGTCGAATAACATGTCATAGAGAAACCTAAAAATATCGAAATTTAAACGAATAATCTCACGGGCACGAATATATTTGAATCGATCCATTCCTAGACACATATTTTATAAATATGGATTGGAAGTGTATAATGTAGTTTGTCCAATGATTTTTAATTAGCTCCTCGGGTAGTAATAACGATAAAGATAATCGTCCTCGTCAAGATGAGAAAGTTCGTGCGCGCGATCAAATTCCATTAGTTCCCAAACTAAAGGAACAGAGGTGCTACTGCTGATATGCCATATGGGCCATCCTTCGCTCCTACCGGCCTACGGATGCTCTCGTACTTCCATCTCTCGTGCCCGCCCACCCACGCCCGCTTTTTGCGTATAAACATCGCTTTTTACCTTGCATAAAACTCAGGCACCCCCGCAATTCCTTCCACAATTCCTGTTTTTTCTGGATAACAAAATTATTAGAAATCCATTGACACGCATCTCGAATTTTCCTAATCCAAACAAACAATCGGTTGCTCCGCAGTATCTTCTATTCAGGGGCGCAATTTTTTTAAATTTAGATTTACAATAATAGATATGTCGGGAGTTTGGCGATGGATAAAATTAAAAGAGATAGCTTTGGAGGCGTCGAGAGGGGGTCATGGTTGGCGGAGGTGGAACCATCGCCAGGTGCAGAAGAGGCGCCTGGTGAATTGCTTGCACCTGGAGCCTTTTTTGAAGCGAAGGGGGGGCTTTATTGTAGTGCAGGAGAGGCACAAGTGGGACCATAGCGGCAATGGCAACGGTAATGGCAATGGCAACGGCAACGAGTACCACCACAGTACGCGAAGAATTAGGGCGGAGGCGAATTGTCCTCGTTGCACTAAGCAAATGGATCTCCTTTTCACCAACCGGCCGCACCACCTTATTCCTCCATCTTCGTCCAATCCCAATCTCGATGTGCTCGATGGCGATGCCTCTGCTCATCCTACATTCCCCGCCAATGACATCGTTGACCATAATAGCAATAGCAAGAAACACAGGAACAATATTTCATCTACCAGCAGTAATGAATCTAACAAAGATGCAGGTGGGGGAGGAGGAGGAGGCAATGGTTTCCAGGCCGTAAATCTTTGCCCCAATTGCAAGACAGCCTATTACTTCAGGCCTTTCCGGATGTCCCCTCTTCAGGGAAGCTTCATTGAGATTGGCAGGGTGAAAAACAAGAGCTCTAATTCCAACGAGAAGTTGCCGCTGGATCCTCAAGACCACGGGAAGAGGCTTCAGCAATCCTTCTGGGAGACCTTGAGGTCATACGGCAGTGAGCCACCTGAGAACTGGGCTCCAACCCAACCACCATCAGGGAATGGAATTGCAGTGCATACCCCACCTGGTCCACCTTTTGCTCCGGGTGTAAATGTTGTTCGAGCATCAGGTCCTGCGGGAAATGGAGGTGATGGTAGCAGTAGCAGTCGTAGTGGTGCGAGCAATGAAGCCAAGAGCGCTTGGGGTGGATCTAATCTTGGAAAAAATTTGCCCACACCAAAGGAGATCTGCAAGGGACTGGATAAATTTGTTATTGGCCAGAACCGTGCTAAAAAGGTTCTTTCTTTCCATTATCAAGGCTCTTCTCATCCATATAAATCTTGTATGTGGCATAGCCATTCACTCTTTTTTCTTATATATAATTGATGTGAACATGTACAAGATATATGCAAACTAGTCATTTCAAGTGGTCTTGGATCTTAATAATCATTTGTTCTGAGCTAAGCTGTATATACTGTTTATCGTGTCTATCGCATCACTGTGGAAGTGGTCATATTTAATCCTATAATATATGTTGTTGCCCGTGGCTATTGTATCTTCTTGAAGATATACTTTCTCATCTCCCTTTCACATGAACCTGGTTTCATATTTTCTTACCATGATTCTGATGTTGGCAGGTGCTTTCAGTGGCTGTATACAACCATTACAAAAGGATTTATAATGCTTCAATGCAGAAGGGGTTAGTGCACAATCATTTGGTTTGTTATTTAAAAAATGAAGATATTTAGAATGATAAGTAAAAACTAACTTGATGACTGAATAAGATTATTCTTGCCGGTTTCCTACAAACAATTGATTGCTTGAGGTAGGAGTTTTAGTATCACTGAACCAGCTAATATTTGATTGAACCACCATACTTTAGATTTTTCCCGTAAATCAAGAATTTTTGGGTGTACACTACTTGTATTTTGGAATATTTTTTTTGGTGTTGAGTTGAAATTAGTGGTTGGATGCAATTTGTATCAAATAAATCACAATGAACATCTGTTTCGAGGATCCGAGTGATGACAGGATGATAGCACTTTTCAAATGAATTCAAAGGCCTTGAAAGAAGATCTGATTTCCTACTTAGCTCTGTGCAATTGGTCTGATAAACTTTATCACCTTTCTAAGTCCAATACTGGTTTCTGACTTGAGGTTTCTCTCAATCAACCTTCTTCATTAAGTTTTTTTTGTACCTGCATATTTGAGTCTCTGAAAAACGATCTTAGGAGATGGTGATTTAGTACTTGTATTGGGAAGCAGATCAGAAACTTTGGCAAAATTTCAGATTCCATGGCATAGAGCACTAGTTACTGTAATATTCTTTGCAGCTATTGCTGCATATGAATGCACTATTAATTGCACGTTTAATCTTCATGGACCAGTATGAGCTGTCGGCATATTGAGTATACATTTAACCACCAACTTTTATAGGTCTCAGAAACTTACTTGTCCTACTGCAATATTCAAAATTATCCTCCTTTTGTGTCAAATCTCGAAGATAATTCTAGGTGGTTCAAACCCAGTATTGCCACACCTGTGACAAATTTTGAGCTTCCCATTTCTCAGGACCCTACTAAGGGTGTTAGAGAAGATGGTGAAAGCTGGAACTTTGACCCTAGTTAACCTTTCAGCAAAAAAAGGTGAAAAAAAGAAGACAATTAAAGTAGTCATATTCCAGCCTTTACATTTCAAGTAGGAAACAGAAAATCCAATCAGGAATTTGTGATGATCTGTACATGGGATGTTATGTTACTCATTGTATGTCAGAATTTCTGTTTGGGGATGTTAGGTCAGAAGCTGAATCGCAGAAATTAGATGATGACAGTGATGTAGACCTGGAAAAGAGCAATGTGCTTTTGATGGGTCCAACAGGATCAGGCATGGCTACTATGTTTCAACCTTTTACTTTACCTCCTTGGTTCAAAGGCTTTTGGATATGCTTTGGTAATCTCACAATTGTTTCTTGTCTGGTAAACAGGGAAAACACTACTTGCAAAAACTCTTGCTCAATTTGTGAATGTACCATTTGTCATGGCCGATGCAACTACTTTAACACAGGTCAGCAATTACCCCAATGGTAGTCCCACCAATATTTAGTTCAAGTTCTGATTGTAAAATGGAATATGACTGAACCATTTTTCCATGTTAAAAAATTTACATCCCGAAAGTTGCATATTAAAAGACTATATTCACCACTTGGAAATTTCTTCTATTGGATGAACTTTTAATCTCGGGGAAATATTAGCTCATACAAAACATATTCTTTCATTTATCTTATAGGTTTTGTTCAATGTTTGCATGTCTTCATCATGCCTTAGCATATTTTGGACTGCTGATAACTTGAATGTAGGTCTGCACTGAAACAAATAATTTTCTAACAGATAATTAGGTGGGGTTCAAAGCAAATTAAATAGAACATGAATTGATCAATTTTTGTTTTTGTGCATTGAGTCAGACTTTTGATCGATAACCTCAGATTGTTGATTGCTAGGAGCACTAAAGATATCTTCTGATTTTATTATCTTGTATTTTGATTCAACATCATGGCACATTTATATTTTGGTTCGAGATCACTTGGTTTTATCTTCACTTTTTTGTTTCTTTTTCATTATTCTATTTTAACATCTCTCAAGGCAACTGTCTTTCATTTTGCAGGCTGGTTATGTTGGTGAAGATGTTGAATCGATATTGTACAAATTACTTACGGTATGCTGATTATTTATTCTTTACATGCATGCTGTGTGCTGTTTAATTTAATTACAAGTGCTTGTTGACTAATTAGGCCTGCATTGTATCGAGTTGCACCTCAACCAAGATTAAAATTGATTTCAATGACTTCAAGTACCGTGCTGATATGTATTAAATTATTATATGACCAGTTTGTAAAAAGCTTACGTTTATATTCAGATACATCATTTTATATTTATTTTTCTTCTTTAACTAGCTTTCTCAGTGCAACCTGGATTTTTTTCCCCAAAGCTGTAGCTTATGACACATTTCATCAATTAAAGACTAGGGATTCTAATCCTGGCCCTCCTTTGTCTTGAAATTTAAGCTTATGAGAGGAGCATCATATCATATCTAGTTATTTTTTTCTACAATATCCATAAAAATTTAATAGTGGAGAAGTTTTTAGCTGTGATGCAAAAAGGGTACATGACTAGAAAATAGTGCTCCTAGGTTTCAAGTGATCAACCTGATTTCTTGAGGTATAACCTATATCTTCATACTGCAAAAAATTATGATCATATTTAGGAATTTGGATGCACTTGCATTACTAGTCATTGTCAGAAGTAAGGCATCTGTTCAAACTAACAAAAAGCTTCAATCCTCTTAATTTAGCTAATAAAATTAAATTATAAAACAAACATAAGTGAACTTATAGTTCTAATCTCAATCATCATACTTCAAAATGCTAGCCTTCAAAGAGTAAAACAATTGCTACAAGCGATTGTTAGTGGGGAGTGACATTATTGACACAAATGTGGGCACAAATTTTCTTACAACAATGTATAAAATTACACAACGTTTTGCCTAATGTGTATTGTAGGAGTGAGATAATTCTGAGAAATATGAAAGAAACTTGAGTGAACACGAGAAGGTCAGATGACAATAATAATGTTTACTATCTTATTGATTTGACAAGGCACTCTTGACTTTAGAGTAAAACTTGGTGTGTGCTGATATTCTACTTTGTTTCTAGGCTGCTGAGTTTAATGTGCAAGCTGCACAACAAGGGATGGTGTACATAGATGAAGTTGATAAGATAACTAAAAAGGTGCTCATCTTTCTACTGCAGTTAGCTTCTATTAATCTTTTAATGTGATTCTAGTTGTAATATATTTGGTAGTTGTATGAAGGCTGAAAGCTTAAACATCAGCAGAGATGTTTCTGGTGAGGGTGTCCAGCAGGCACTGCTGAAAATGCTTGAAGGGACGGTGAGACATAGAACTCTTACTTGCAGTTTTCAGTTTGCTGATTCCCAAAAACTTGACATGGTTTTAGAGCAAATGGAGAGGTCCTAACCTGTGAGCTCACCACACCTACCATTTATGATCAAGTGTGTGGGTGCTTAACTGCATTGGCATTCAATTTATCTGAGGATATTAATTTTTATGTGCTTTACCTGTTATAGTTTTGCTGGCTATATGTACTCCCCCATGTAGGCTGTTTCCGGTTTTATATATTTTTACCCCTCTATTTTTCATGCCAGATAGTAAATGTTCCTGAAAAAGGTGCAAGAAAGCACCCACGGGGTGATAATATTCAGGTACTAACATTCTGTTTTGAAAATTTTCTACTGCATCTTGTCATTTATTCCATATTCAGTGTGTCCATAAACCTGCCCAAATGTTGTATGTAATCTGGGAAATAATTATAGTTACGCATCAAAGTATGTGCACTCAAGGTAAAGTTATGCCTGAGCCAGAAAATGGAAAATGGTTGGGGATGGAGGGGCGGGATGGGGAGACAAAGGTATTTGCTCTCTATCCTATACCAGGTTTGGAAAGCTGCAGGAGATCCAACAATATTTTAGCAAATCAAAATGATAGTAGTGAAATTGAACAGGTACACCTAACATTCCCTGCTATGAGGGAGGAGGGTAGGGGATATCAGGAATATAGTTTGGAGGGATAAAATAACAAAAATTTGCATGAAGAATAATAATATTGGGGAGTTATCTTGGTTTCAGTTGTTTCTCATGGATCATACTTATTGACTATTAAGGCTTATTGTGTACTGACAGATAGTTCTCATACACTTGTTGGATTCTGCTTCAATTTCATTTCATCACTATTATTCTACAAGTGAAACTTCAATGTAACAAATCCATCACCCTGCACCCCCCCCCCCCCCCTTCTTTTTGTGGGTTATGATAGACTATTTATTCCTTATATATCTCTTTCCATGCTCTTTGCAAAGTCTTGATTAGTTGTAATTCTATTTTCTACTTCAGATAGATACTAAAGATATTCTCTTTATATGTGGTGGGGCATTTGTTGATTTAGAGAAGACTATTTCTGAAAGGTGATTTTTCTTTTTTTGCTAGATCATCCCTATCCTATCAACTTCAGCAATCTGCGCCACCACTTATTGGTTTTATACTTTTTCTTTTTCTTCATGTTTTGTCAGACGGCAAGATTCTTCAATTGGCTTTGGAGTTCCAGTGCGTGCTAGCATGAGGGCAGGTGGGGTGATTGATGCTGCTATAACATCCTCTCTTCTTGAATCTGTAAGAACAAAGAGCTTGGAACATTCACTTATGTTATCCGATTTGCATGGATAGAGTCAATTATAATGGTTAGCTCTATCTTGTATATCATATATGAAAAGGTTAACTTTGCCAGGTTGAAAGTAGTGATCTCATTGCATATGGCCTCATACCTGAATTCATCGGGCGCTTTCCTATTTTGGTTAGTTTGTCAGCTCTAACCGAAAACCAATTAGTCCAGGTACTACTGATACCTCTGTTTTTGCTGGCTATTATGTGCTCAAGTAGTTTTGTTAACAATAGTAAATATACCAAATAGGTTTGCAATGAGTATTGGTTAGCAGTTACCTGGCGTTATTAAAAGCTAGGAGTTTATTTCAATTCATTTTGCTTTCCTCAAAGGTGTTTGTTATAAGGAAATGGAAATAAATTTGTTTATCTTATTTATTTGGACTTCGTAATTCAATATTAAGAAATAAATTATTTTAATTTCTTTAGTTTTAATTACCTATTATATATGGAGAAATAGAGACAATTGAACTTGTGGGAGTTAAAAAATAAACAGCATTTTTCGACGGAAAAATATATTACAAGTTCGGTTTCAAAATATTAGCAACAGAACACATGTATTCGCAAAACAATAGCAACTAAAAAGTAGTGACGGATATGTTTCTGTTGCTAATTTTGTTGCAAACTGATGACTTACCTTCCACCATTTTTTATACCGTACCCGAAATTGAAAGTTTTTCTTTAATGTAATTTAAAATTATTAATTTATTCATTTTTTGTTATATACGGTGTGTTCATTATTAATTTATTCATTTTTTAAAAGTGTCGATAATATAAAAAATAATATTTTATTTTGAATTGTTGATTTTTGTGGATAAATAGAGTATCTATATTGTGTTAAAATGTATATATTTGTATATTTTTGTAATTATTTATGGGGAATCATGCTCTAAAAAAATAGGTTGGGTGAACAAACCCATAAATAATATTTGTGTATTCTGTCTGGTTGTTAACTGTTTTATGGAGTTCCCATCTTTCAAAGTCTTGCCAGGTTGTGCATAATATGTATCATTGGTCTCTGTCCTCATTATAGCTATATATTTTACACTAATTCTTTTTTCTGCTAGGTCCTTATGGAACCCAAAAATGCTCTTGGCAAGCAGTATAGGAAGTTATTTAACATGAATAATGTAAGCCAAGTTTTCTTGATTATTAGTTGGGACCATGTTCTTTCTACATCCCTGCAATAAAAGAACTCGTTATTAACAAAACAAGATACAAACTCCAGGTGAAGCTTCATTTTACCAAGAAAGCCTTACAACTGATTTCCAATAAAGCAATGACGAAAAACACAGGTGCTAGAGGCTTAAGAACCATACTGGAGAGTCTTCTTACAGATGCAATGTATGAGGTATAAAACTGTGTGTTTATCACCCCAAACTTGATTTGTTTTTTTTTTAACCCCACACACACATGCACGTTCCCAGAATTGTTATCACACTGGCTTCCCTGTTACCTTTTTTTTTTTTTTTTTTATACATATTGCCATGTCCAGATTCCAGATGTGAAGGAGGGAAAAGATAGAGTGAATGCTGTGGTGGTTGATGAAGAATCTGTTGGTGGAATAGATGCTCCGGGATGTGGGGCCAAAGTACTTCGTGGAGAGGGTGCTCTGGAGAGATACCTTGCCAAGGTCATGTCAACTTCAAAGATGAGCCAATGCTTAACAAAATTACAATGAGGATATACATAAAGTAAATTAGGCTTCTGTTATTAACAAACACTCAATAAAAATTGTTCTCAGAAACGTGAAGGTGCAGCCGAAGCAGAGGTTCAGGAAGCTGAATTGGATGTCTCCTCGACAGCAATGAGCATATAGCATATGTAATTGTAATAATAGCTCTTTCCCTGTAAAGCTTATTCATTCACGAAGTATAGATAAGTTAAGTCATCTTTTATAAGTAGAAGAAGATACATCCGTTGGGGGGAGGAAGAGGGATACACATCTCCATCTGTATGCATTCATTCACTACAATGTTCCTTCTATTTTGGACCATTTAATTTATGATAACCCTTATCAATCAACCTTCTTAATCATGGAATCTTCGTTTGTTCCCCTTCTCTCAATCCCATCTAGAAAGGAGGATTGGAATTTATTGATTATTGTTTTTGTTTTTTGTTATTATTATTAATATTATTATTTTGTTTGTTTGTTTTTGTTTTAGTCTTGATCTTATTTTGTTGCATGTATTAATTTTTTTGGCCTTCAAATTATATAGGGTGTTTGTTTGTGGGTTTTAGGTTTTGAGTTTGATTTATAATTATTGATATTTTTTACTTAGATAATCCAATTATTATTATATGAGATTTACAATCTAATTTAAGCGAAATTCAGGTCAATCCTACTTAAATTCAACGATGGCCTGCAGATTCAACGAAGCACTTAGTTAAGTGAAACTCTTATATCAAGTCCCAAAGGCCACCAAACTTTCACCAAAATCACAGCCTATCCAAGCGAAAGTGAATATCGATCCACTTCAAACTCGATGAAAATTTTCACTTGTCAAAGCTCAATCAAGCAATAAAAGGATGCACATGTCAAATAAGAGAGGACCTAGTATTGTTGCTTGTTGGGGTTAATTCGTGATCACGAGGTAATGACTTCAAAATTTTTTACTCAGGTTAAATTATGAGAAAATTATTAAATTCTCGATTGTAATGTACATTGAATTATGTTAAATTATTTAAAATTAAATTTAATTTAAATTAATTTATGAGAAAATTATTAATTATAATTATTTTATATATATAATAAATATATTAATTAATATTAATATATTATTATATCTGATCTGTGTCAACTTTTATTTTTAATCAAATTGAAATTTTTAACTCAACTTCAATTATTTTATATTGAGTTTGTATTGACTTATCGTAGGTCAATTTTTGCCAACTAGCCTCGATAAAGTAATAGGAGTTTGAATCCACGACCACGGTCACAATTTCCTAAGAGTAGTCGGCAATTTCGTTCATATTTACGAGTGGGTCTAGCTAAAATCTTTGGGTGCGCTGATATTAAATTCGGAAACTACGGGAGTAAATAAGAAATATAGCCAAATATAGGGGCACTTATCTCTAAGAGGTGAAAATAAATAAATAAAACGATTAATTGCTTTGCCGTCCGTCGGGAGATCGAGGGCTAGGGCAGGACGGATGAAAGGGAGCGGCGAAGAACATACGGGCTTATTATGGAAGCTTCCGGAGTTTAAATCCAATCATTTAGGAAAGCTTGGACCTGCGTTTGGCGTTGGCGCGGGTTGCGGTTTCGGTTTCGCCATCGGACTCATTGGAGGTGTGCATCTCACTTTTTATGTTTGGAATTCAATATGACCATGAATATAGTCAGTTGATAATCACCTGTACGCGCTGAAGGTTTTCTCTTCCTGATGCAGGAACTGGCTTCGGCCCAGGAACTCCTGGGTTACAGCTTGGATTTGGATTTGGAGCTGGATGCGGGGTTGGTTTGGGTTTCGGGTACGGTCTGGGAAGAGGAACTGCATATGACGGGAAGCGCAAATTCTCCAACGTTGGAAAATTTCTTCACGACCCTAATGTTCCTTTGCAGTAAGCCTTGGCTCCTCTATCTTTATTAGCTGTATTACATAGCTCTTATCCTATATATATGTTAATATGTGTAACCCATGTTTAGCTTTTTGTTAGAGAATGCATAGCTTTTTACGCAAGTTTTGATCAAAGCCTCACGACCCAGAAAAGTTATCCCCTACTTCTAATCTGTTATCTGTATTCTGTTCATTTGTAACTTTAGCTTTACTGAGTGGTCTCTTTGGAGGACAGTGTGCTTACTGAAGCGATTATGAGCGTGTCATGAATGAAGTTGGGAGGAACTTATAACCTGTATAACCATAGGTAAATTACACTCAGGAAAAACTTATAACTGAGTTCTACAGAGTTTCAATATAAGTTATCTTTGTACTCCCTCCATCCACAAAAGATATGATCATATACAAAAGATAGGACCATATGAGCTGTTTTAATAAATGTAAATTATATTTGTTAATTGTGACAGAATATTTTTTTGGGAAGTCTACCAGTAAGTTAATTTAATGAGGTGAGAAAAATTTTGATATTGAGTTTGTACATAGTGATTACATATTTGTAAATAAATGTAAAGTTAAAAGGGTATAAATTAAAGATTGTAATGGTGTGTTTGTTAGTGGGTTTGGATTCTTGAATAGTAAAAAGTTAGAATTTGAATAATTATTTGATGTGATATAAATAGAGGTTGATATGATGTTTTGAATGTAAAATAAATTTATAGTATAATATATATAAAAAAAATTGTTGTTTGATGTAATATTTTTTAAAAGAAAAAAAATCTGAATAGTAAAAATCTTTGGTAAAATCCACAAAAAAAACACAGCATAAGAGTTTTTTGTTATGAATTTTTTTATTTCACAAACAAAAAGAGAACAAATATTGATTTGGTAAAAAGTAAATAAAAATTGCTGAAGTCAAACTGTACTTTACTGTCATGTCTTATGTTTGATGATAATTTGGATCCATGAATAGCGAAAATCTATTTGACTTGATTGTCATATGAAAACATCATATAAAGATTTGATGGAGTAATATATACTTGTGTTTTGGATTGGTTTTCCGTGTTTGGATTGGTTTGGATTTGAAATTTTTTTAAGTGAAAAATAAGCGTTAGACCATGTGTTTTTGAATGATTTTTTTTTTTTTTTTTTTTTTTTTTTTCTCATTATATATTGTGGAGTGTTGGAAGTTTTTTTGGGTGATTGTATCGGTTTAACTTGAATTTACATAGGAGTGATATATTTGAATCATCGTTGAATTAGAATATAATGTTTTGGAAGTATTTCAGTTTTTTTTTTTTTTTTGTTATTTTATTTTTGGGATTATTAAAAATTTTATGGAAAATGAGATGTGGTGCAAATAGATAATTAATTTAATATTTTGAATAGATAATGGGATTTTTATTTAATATTTTAATGAAAAATTTGGTTTTGAATGTGATGTCATTTTGGTATAAACTGTAATAAATAATGCGAAAGCAAAGCGGAAATTCATCTTGTGATCTTCTTTAACACTTACAGCGTGATTGTTGGTTCCAGTGACGAGATCAGTGCTCTGGTTGATGAGCTGGTTGTGAATACGAAAAAGCTAATTCAAGCAACCTCCAGGGAGGTGGACAAATGGAGAAGATACTGAGATCCTCACAGTAACAGCATTTTAATCAGATTTTGTGCATGATGTACTGTTTCCTGTTGGTCGGCTACTACCTGAGTTGATGATCTTAGAGAGATGCCTGTGTTTGCTAGAAAATATACATTGTATTTGGCTTGCTTGCGCTAGTAAAAATGGATAATGCAAGTTGCAACTTCTTGCCCGATGCTTGTAAATGCTCAAGTTGATGAAAGAGCAGCAACTAACGAAACGAACCAAATATGTGAGGCAAAGTTGTTAGATTGAAATCACAGAAGCAAGCATGTGGCAAAATAATAATATAATAATAACAATAATAATAAGGATACAGCTTGTGGAGAGAGGAATATCAGAACTATGTGGATAGCTCTCGTTATCCTGAGGGCGGATAATTTTGACGGGTAATATTCCACGTCTGCACCATCATCTGCGACCTCAACCTATCAGAAAGCCGGATCAGATTGCGTATCTCGCGTGCTGACCAATCAGACCGAGTCCCACTTGGCCCTCCCGTGTCCACACAAGTTGGCTTTTTTAGTTACAGTTTCAACCCCTTCAACTCTGTCCCGCCCGCTCCTCACACCATTCCTTCCTTCCTCCCTCCCTCCCCATCAGTCGGTCAGTCAGTCAGTCCCACCGATGGCTTCTCTCGCAACCTCCGTCGGGGTGTCCGAAATGTTCGGCAACCCCCTCAGCTTCACTGCTGCATCTAGGTCTGCTCCTACGCCTTCCAGCCCAGCCACCTTCAAGACTGTGGCTCTTTTCTCCAAGAAGAAGGCGGCCCCCAAGGCCAAGCCGGCTCCAGTCTCCTCCGCCGACGAGGAGCTCGCCAAGTGGTATGGTAAGTCAGTCATATACAGGGTCATGTTAATCACTCTCCCTCCCCCAGCGCTCTTCTCTTCTCTTCTCTTCTCTCCTCTTCAAGTTTTTATTTGGACCAAGCACGCTAGACTAATGTCACGCAACGGGTCCTCATTTCAGGGCCTGACAGGAGAATCTTCTTGCCCGAGGGGCTATTGGACCGATCAGAGATCCCCGAATACCTGACAGGAGAAGTGCCTGGAGAGTAAGTTTCCATTTGTTCCACTTTTTACAAACAAACTCAGACAAAGAATTTTTTTTGAAACTTGAATCTACACACTGCATCGATGCAGCTATGGGTACGATCCGTTTGGTCTCAGCAAAAAACCTGAAGACTTTGCCAAGTAAGTAGTGATAACGATGCGCCTGTTTGCATTGAACTACGACACCAACAACAGAAGGTAGTGAATCATGGAGGGAGGGTCTGACTGTATTACATCTAACAAACTTGTGTAGATATCAAGCCTATGAGCTGATTCACGCCCGATGGGCCATGCTTGGTGCTGCTGGTTTTGTAATCCCTGAGGCCTTCAACAAGTTTGGAGCCAATTGTGGCCCTGAAGCTGTTTGGTTTAAGGTATACATATTACCGTGTACACAATCCTCTTTATACCATAAAAGTTTCTGTAATCATGCCTGAGTTAAGTTTTTGCTGTAGACTGGTGCTCTGCTTCTTGACGGGAACACACTGAATTATTTTGGAAAGAACATCCCCATTAATCTTGTTGTTGCTGTGGTAGCTGAGGTTGTGCTCGTTGGGGGTGCAGAGTATTACAGAATTATAAATGGCTTGGTATGTCAGATCTTCCCTTCAAATATCTCCCCTTCCGACTAGCGAAGCACTACTGCCAACAGAATATAATCATAAATGTGGGTGTCTTCTTAGGGTGTGTTTGTTTGGGGGTTTGGATTTTGGATTGGGATTTGAATAGTAAAAATTTTGAATTTGAATAGTTGTATGATGTGATATAAATAGGATTTGATGTGATGTTTTGAATGTAAAATTGATTTTTAGTATAATATAAAAAATAAAAAATAGGTGTTTGATGTGATATTTTTGGGAAGAAAAAATTAAATAAATAGTAGAAATCCTTCAAAATCCTTCAAACAAACACACCCTTAGTTTTGGGTCGACGTTTATTACTCATTGTCGGTGACCAAGATAGAAACGTGCTGCAGGATCTGGAGGACAAACTGCACCCTGGTGGTCCTTTCGATCCATTGGGACTTGCAAAAGACCCAGACCAGGCTGCACTCTTGAAAGTCAAGGAGATTAAGAATGGCAGACTAGCCATGTTCGCAATGCTTGGCTTCTTCCTGCAGGCTTATGTCACCGGGCAAGGCCCCGTTGAAAACCTTGCAGCACACTTGAGTGATCCTTTTGGCAACAATTTGCTCACTATCATTGCCGGATCAGCCGAGAGAGTTCCTACTCTGTAATTTCTGTATATGTACATCTTGTGAAATTTGTATGGACGAAATGCGATTCAACTGGGTGCAGTCAGGCAATGTCAATGTTATTGGAATACTAAACGATTCTGCTACAAGAGATAAGTAACAACTGAGGATATGTATGGCCGTGTGTTTAAATTTTGACGACTCGGTAGAGTACCACATTCCTATCTATGCATTCATTAATCACGAGCTAGCATGTAATGTGTGCTGAAGGCTCAATTTCCCCTGACATCTAAATTATTAAACTAAATGAATCAGAGATGGGACACTCCAAATGGCTCCATCACCTTCTCGGCAAGCATTGCTCAACTGATTTGCATATGCGCTGCCAATCGCAAGACGCTACACACAAGTTCCTCGGTTGCGACTTGAACTCACAATCCGCTACGTTCTCGAGTTCGAGTCTTATCATGTGTAATTTTGGCATAATCCAATTTTCTTAACAGTTTGACCTTTTAGGTAAAAAAGACATCATTCTGATTTTAATATAATACTTATTTTTTATTTTTTATGTTATACTATAAATTATTTTTATATTTAAAATATTACATATTTATATCAAATCATACAGTTATTCAAATTTAAATTTTTTATCATTCAAATCTTAAATCAAAACTCTCAAACAAATACACCATGTGTAAATATATATACAGATACAGAAGAAGCTGAAGTTGGACAGCTGGTGGAACTGAGGATCTGCCGTAATGATTATATGACATCACATCACATCCGAGCTGGGTGGCTGCGGGCATCATATAATATAAATTATAACGAAGTGTTGTTGATCACATGGATTGTGAGGGACGGGTCTAAAGTTCATGTTAGAAGGCAAGGCAGCAATCTAAAACTGGGAATAAAGTGCGGAGAAAAGGGGTGTGTCATGGAAGGAATTAGAAATTGCTTACACAATACCTGCATTTATCACAAGCCGTTGCAAATGGATAGGCATGCAATATGATATATTAAAATACCTCTCTCTCTCTGTAGATTTACATATATATATATATGGGTACGTAGGATACTGGATAGTTACATGCCTGGCTGCATAAAATATAACATAATATAATGTTGATAAAGAATAGTAGATGTGGTTTGGTATCCCGCGCCATGATCATGTATCAGCTGGTACTAACAACAACAATAATAATAATGTTGGTGATGGGATCAGCCACAGCGGACCAAGGTGGAGGGTGCTGCCCCGTTAACAGTAGCAGTAACAGTACCACTGCTAGTCATGCAATTGGTAATGCGTCCGCCGGGCAGCAGCAGCTGGGCGGCCAAGACAACAACGACGATGGTGCGGCGCAGGCTTCAGCACTCTTCGTATTTGGTGACTCCTTAGTGGACAACGGGAACAACAATTTCCTCAACTCCATCGCCAAATCAAACTACTACCCTTACGGTGTGGATTCCAATGCTGGCCCAACCGGCCGATTTTCCAATGGAAATACCTTTGTCGATTACCTCGGAGCCTGGTTGGGCCTCCCAGCCCCTCCTGCATTTGCAGATCCCTCCACCACTGGACCTCGGATTCTCGGAGGAGTTAATTATGCTTCCGCAGCTGCTGGAATCCTGGACGAAACTGGCCAGCACTATGTAATTATGATCATTGATTCCTCTCCTCTTACGAATTAATTTATGTGTGTGTACGTGTGCGTGTGTTCACTTACTGAATGAATTGATTGCAGGGGCAGAGGTACTCGCTGAGCCAGCAGGTAATCAACTTCGAGACCACGGTGGGCGAGCTGAGGGCTGTGCTGGGGGGGCAGGCCAGCCTGAGCAAGCACCTCTCGAGATCCATAGCGCTCCTGGTCTTCGGGAGCAACGACTACATCAACAACTACCTGATGCCCGCCATGTACCCCTCCAGCTTCGACTACAGCCCCTCCCAGTTCGCCAACCTCCTCCTCACGCACTACGCCCGCCAGCTCACCGCCCTCTACAGCGTCGGCCTCCGCAAGTTCGTGGTGGCGGCAGTGGGCCCCCTGGGATGCATCCCCAACCAGCTGTCCACGGGGCAGGCCCCCCCCGGCAGGTGCGTCGACTTCGTCAACCAAATACTGGGCGCCTTCAACCAGGGGCTGCAGTCGCTGGTGGACAGGATGAACAACGGGAGCCACCCGGGATCCATGTTCGTGTACGGCAACACCTACAGCGCCATGGGCAGCATACTGAACAACCCGGAGCGGTACGGGTTCAGGGTGGTGGACCGGGGGTGCTGCGGGATAGGCAGGAACCAGGGTCAGATCACGTGCATGCCATGGACTCCGCCATGCCCCAACCGGAACGAGTATGTCTTTTGGGACGCCTTCCACCCCACCCAGGCTGTGGATGCCATCCTGGCTCACAGGGCCTACGCCGGCCCTCCTTCTGACTGCCACCCCATCAACGTCCAGCAGTTGGCCCTCATTACTTTCTCCTAGTCCGAGCGAGCCCTACCTAAATTTGTTCGACTCCACTCCACTGCCAAATGCCAAATGCCAATCATAATTATATCAATAATCATGTCGTCCTTAACATGCATGCTTGCCTTGCCATTAATATACATGGAATTTGAAAGTCGACTGTACGTATGCAGTACTATTACTACTACTACTATATATATATATAATACATATATATGTTTGGATGATTAGATTTTGATTTGATTTGATTTGATCGGTAAGAATGAATCTTACGGAACGACACACACACTTAAAAAAACAAGCTAAGCATTAGCTCATTTATTGACGCCTTCTCTTTTGATTGCTATTCTTTTCTTTTTTCCATTCAGTCCATAAAAAATTTTGTACAGTGGCTCAAGTTTTAAAGGAAAAATGTAGAGACACTTCGAACCAAAACCCTCAGTTCGGGCGGGATTGAATTTTTAAAAAATCAATGGTCTGAATTGAATAGATCTAATAATCCGATGGCTTTTGTTGCTCTTCCCAAATCCCTTGTTTTTTTTTTTTTTGAAATGAACGGTTGATATTTAATTTATAAATTAACTTATTTTATGTTTTTACTAATTAAATTATAATATACATTAATTAGTTTTAATCATATTTTATAATTGATAATGATTACTTCGTATTTTATAAAATTTAATTACTATTTATATATTTTTCAAGATAATACAAAGATTTATTAAATTACATTTGGAATCAAAATTAATGGTAAAAATTAAAATAAAAAAGTAAAAAAATCGTGATTTTTAATTAGGAAATGGTGATTCTTAAATCATAATCAAACTTGTGCACCTGCCATTAGATTTGATTGTAATTTGACATTTTAAAAAATCTGATAATTTCAAACTGAACTGCTTGGACAAGTTTTAAAGAGATAATATTATTAATTTATTTTTTTTCTAAAAAAATAAAATTTTAAAGTTTTAATAAAAAAATCAAAAAATCAAAAAATATGAATGCACCGCGGACATCGAGACGCACGCGCATTGTCCGAACTGTGTCGAATTGCGAGGGACTTAGGCTTCGACTAGCAGTGGCCACACCATCCTCCAGCCGTTCGGTTCTAGGGTTACATCTATCTATCTTTCAACAATGGCCTCCACAAGTTATGCTTCAAAGAGTCCCCGGTATCGTTGTTTGCAATTGCACCGTCTTCATCGTTGCTTTTTCTCGGCCAACTGCAATTCCTCTTCCGCTTTCCCTCTTGGCACCGGTTACACTTGTCCACAACGAGACGCACGAGATTTCGAACTTGAAGATGATGCCGTCCCCATCTCTGGAACCAGCAGACCTCTTTCCCACATTCTCAAAGAGTTGAATAAGAGAGTACCGGAAACCCTCCTCAAACACCGTCCAGAACCAGCTGGCTCCTCCGTCAAATATATGCCATGGTTTTTCTCTCTTCCGAATTATCTACCTCTTTGCAGTCCAGTATATTCATTCTTAATTTTTGATTCCATGTATATGCCTTATCTTCAGCCTGTTTCCATTTTCATTGTCATGTTGATCCATCTTCTGCTTTCGGCAATCGCTCCCCTTCAGCTGCGAGGGGTTCGCATTCTTTTCTCTATGTTGTTTAGTTTAGGAACATGTGCCCACAAAACCCATCATCACACACGGAAGATAGCTGGATATTCTGTGATTTTTGGCTTTTAAGAACAATAAAATAATTACTTGATATCTTTTGTATCTTCTAAATACCAAAGATTTAAGTGCGCTTACACATGTGCATGAGGTCCAAGGCATTCCAGAGGAAAATTAACATGTTATCCCTCTTACTTTACTTAAAAGAAACTGTTCATATGCTCTATTTTCAGACGAGAAGCTATGCTCTTATTAGTTACATGCTTCATTGAAGAATTTCTATCCTTTGCAGGCATATAGTGAATCGAATTATGAACTTGCACGCTCCAGGTGTGCTCGAAAGCTACTTAAATTGTGCTAAAAAGTGAGAAATTTGATGTCAATGGTACACACTGTTATGATTATGAATGCTTTTTCCTTGTAGAATGGTCTGGTGAGGTTAGAAGCATCACTTACTCAGCTGATGGGAAAACTGTATCTGTTGTGTATCGTGTAACACTTTATGGGACTGATGCAGAGGTATTGTCTCATTTTCCAAGTGCCTTTCTTATCTCCACGTTTAGCATATTTGTAATCGTTCATATTGGTAGCAAGGTGATAACATAGTGACTACGATTCACTTATAATTACCTGGCTATGAATAATATTTACCTCAACGAATCATGTCCCTTCCAATGCTTTCATATTATTACTATTAGTAGTATGTTTCTTAATTAAAGTGCCATATCTATGGCCTGCTGAGATTATATGGAGTACTATGTATATCAAGTTTCCATTTATGAGTGATAATTAATTGATATCTATATGGGCAATTCATTGTGAGTTGCATTAATATCATTGTCATGGAACGATGTCAACCGACTGTATGTCACTATGTAGGCTAGAGTTATTCTCTACTTAAATTACAGCTTCCCCACTGCGGCTTTTGGTATTAGTCAGGAAGAAGAAATGTGATCTTGAATTTGTGTTATGACAAGATTGTCAGACAACTGTGCAAATACAATTGTGTTTCTATCATGCCTGAGACTAACTTATGACGAGATTGTTCCATGTGATAGATATTCCGGGAATCATCAGGCAGTGCTAGAGTTGGTGAAGCAGGGTGTGGAGATCCTGTGCAGAAGGCAGAAGCGATGGCATTTCGCCGGGCTTGTGCCCGCTTTGGGTTGGGGCTCCATCTTTATCATGAAGACATGGACTAGTGTGCTGATACCAGCAACTTGAGATTACTGTGAGGTGGCTGTAGGCACCCTTCTACGTGCGTGAGTGGATATGGGCGGACATTGAACTGATGATACTGATAGTGCTCAAAAAGAGTATGACATGAATTTTGAGAGAAAGGTCTTGGAAATAATTATGAAGACTGAAAAGAAGTGGAGTGAACCATTTAAAAAAATATGTGAAAAAAAAGAAAAAAAAACCAAACATTGGAGGCATAATAATTATTAAAGTGTATCTCATGTCTATATATTTGAAAATTTAATTTGGGCCGGAGCCAATAATAGCGAGTTCAAATCTGCTACTGTACAGTACCTCCGCGGCCGAAGCCCAATCAGTCCTGGACATGGGCCCGATTGGACTGGGCTACTTCTTTTCCCTTGAAACGCGCGCGCTCCTCACTTTCTGACCTTTACTACATGCAATGCAAATACACTAGTCCGCCCGGATCCTGTTCTTTTTTTATTCTTGCAGTCGCCTAAATTTTAAATTTTAATCTTAATTTTAGTTTTATGCTTCAAATGTTTCTTTCCATCGACCGCCTATAAAGAGGAGAGGAGACGTGACCGCCGCAGCTCATCGGAGAGAGTCCCCGCTCATCTCGACTTTCCATCGGAGGAAGACCCCAAGTACAGATATGTTGAAGATGGCGAGGCGACTCCTGCAGCACTCCTCAAGGTGAACAGCGCTTCTTTCATATTCTCTTATCTCGTTCTCACCTGCAAAACGAAAAAACCTTTTCCTCCGTTGTCTTGTTTTCGGAACTGGATTTCCAATGAGTTTTGAGGAAAACTCCTCCGCATTTTCCATTATACGTTAGGTATAGTTCCTATCTTATGCCGACATTGTTTTCTTTGGGCTCGCGGCTGGGGCTCAGAGATTTGCAGTTTTAGTCTGATTAGGGTTTCGGGTTAAGTTTTGTTTATGTTATTTCTGTGCTCTGGTGGTTCGTATGCTTGCAAGTATGTCGTAAGTCTATGAGTATCGCATCTTTCTTTAACTTCGAACTCCTAGTCGTTCCTGATTCTAAAGTGGTCATTGGTCAAGATGTTCGCCTGCTGGTTTGGCGACGGAATATTTAAGCGTCCTAGTACCGTCCAATAGTTGATTCTTCTTTCCAATTAGTCTTCTTCTATGTGAAGCAGGGCTGCTTCATCCCGAAAGATTCTTGTTACTGCAACTCCAAGCAACTTCAGATTTTTACGTGGCATCACTTCTGAGACTGGGATGCCTTCTGCTATACCTACTTTAATACGTGATGGTATCACCGACATATGAGTACTATTTATTGATCTTCCTGAGGTGGATTATTCCTAATTATGATTCTTACTTTTTCTTTTTCAGGGAAATCCGCAGCCAAAATATCAGCATCTTATTCAATTTTCAAGGGCAAAGCTGCCCTGGCTGCTGATCCTCTGTCGCCAACTTTTAGTAAATCGGCAGTATGCTCTAAAACTAAAATATTGTGCTGCACTCATTGCTTTTTTTTTTTTCCCCTGTTAAGAGCTCCAATGGGTTTGGTTACAGTGCTCGATCTTTGCACCTTCTTTTGTAGTCTGGTGTTTACAGAGTTGAACGTCGTGGAGTCATTATGTTAACATTTTGGCCTGCTAATGGTGATCTAAAATATGATTGGGAGAAGAGGCAGGTAATCACTTTTTTAAATTTACAGCTGTCATGTCCTAGGAGTTACTATTTTCTCTGCCTAATTTGCAAGTGTCTTTATAATTAATATTCCTATAATGAACTCGAGCAGTATATTCTTATGCACGCTGCAGAAATTTGCTTTGTCAGCCACAGAGGTTGGATCCCTGATCAGTTTGGGTTCTGAAGATTCTTGCGAATTCTTCCATGATCCATCCATGAAATCCGAGTATTTTTTTTTTGTTCTCAACTGTCACTTATTATGCATTTTTAAAATTTTTATGTTTCAATATTCTCCTGTTATCTTAACCCTTCAACTTGCAAACCTCTACTACTGTCAATTTGAAGTAAATTGAATTTTGGTGCCCAGTAATGCAGGCCAAGTTAGAAAGAGTTTATTGATTAAAGCACATTCTGATGGAAGTGGTTACTTAATATCTTTAAGTACGTACTCCTTTTCTAGACAACATGTTCTACTCAAATACCCCCATTTGTGAAACATTGAGTATTGGAGTTAAATGTAATTAAGTACTCAAACCTAATCCATCTGTGATGATGAAATTGCTTCATTACTTTTGGTGTTAATGATAGATGCTTATAATCTTATTCTTAATAGAGAACCCGAGTTGTTCTTATATCAATTATGTTTATTATCTGCAGCTGTGGTCAATAATATCCTGAAAACAAATGACAAATTTTGTGTTCCTGTCACTACTGCTGAATTTGCTGTCATGCGAACGGCTTTCACGGTATGGATCCGTTATTGTATTGATTGTTTGCATTTCCTGGTTGTTGTAGAATCATGGAGGATAAATGGTAGGTCCTCTATGAATGTGTGTGCGCGGTAAGAGTGGTAGCGAACAGTAGCAGGCTGAATAGCAGATAATTTTGAAGTCTGCTGAATGCTGCTAAACACCATTTGCTTTTGGTGTATCTGTTCTGCCTTTAATTTTACCTGCCAGTGGTTGCCGTGGGCAGGAGCATTAGGTCATGAAAGCTCTACATTGTTTTCTATTTGACAGTGTTGTGATTCTTTGTGTTTTTGGATGCAGTTTGCCTTACCTCACATCATGGGCTGGGACCAGTGCACAAATCAGCTTCCGCGGCAGGCTGATCAGAGTACACCGCCTATGGCGGCAACTGAGTGGGACAGATGAGTGTTTCATGCATGCGTTTGCTGATCTTTGGCAACTGAATGGGACAGACACCGAGTGCGGATCGAGTGTAGTGTTTTGTGCGTGTGCTTTGCTTGCTATTTTTGTTCCTTACTTGGTTAATCACCCCGACAGGCACCGTCAGCTTTTTTGTTGCTTATGTATGATATGATGCAACCATTGATCATTATTATCACGCCCTGCCTGCCTGCCTGGGTGTTGAACGTGGGAGTGGAACTCCGCACAGACGGCTTGACTCTAGAAATTAACACCAGGTTCCACCCCACCCTTTGTGGTCCGGTTCGTTCGTACCAAAATCCTTGGTATGGCAGAATTACGTATGAAAAATCATATATATTTCTGGATAATACACACACATATATTCATCTTCAAGGAAAATGCAAATGCATATAAGCTCTCAATGCATAGCAATCTCCACATCTTCCATTATTTTCATCGAAGGTCGCTACTGGAGCTCCTCTCTTGCTGTTGGTAAAATCTTTGATGATATTGGGGACCTTGACCGTTGGCGAAGCCATCTCCTTCCCCATTTTATTCCCACGGAGCCAATAGAGATCTTCTTCCCAAACCCCCTCCTTTCCTCATCACCACCACAAGCTCTCAATTGTAATAGGTTGGATGGTTTCTTCTCGAGCACATTCTCCTCGGCTTAAGGTTCTTCTCGGCGCTCAGTTTCACATTGTAAGTGCAAAAGTATGCAAAGAACAAAAAGAAAACCATAGAGGGGTGAATCTTATATATAAACATTATATAACGAATTGGATTTATCACAGATCAAAGTATATTTACAATTTGATAAGAAAATAGAAACTAAGTAACAGAAAATTATCAATTCGGGCAAAAGGTAATCCATGCATTTTTGAAATATTTCGGGAGGTTTCCCCTAGCTTAGCCTCTGCAATTCAGCTCGCCCTCCGGGGCACCCACTATGTCGTACATTGTCCGCATGCTGGATGAAACTTTTATTGACTCAGTTCCAGCTCAGAGTCTTGGGTGTGGACTTTAGCACATTGACTTGAAATATGGAGTGAAGTTGGAATAGTGTTTTAGATAATTCTATTTTATATGTCATCTCGCCAATTTTTGTAAGTATCGGGAATAGACCCTCGTATCAGGTCTTTGTGCGTATCTCAAACATAACTATATTGGTACAATTCTCTTTGTTTGAACTCACTCTCGGAATACTCGTTCTTTATTTGCCCGCTTCTTTCTCATCTTCTAAGATTTCTTTAGATAAAGTTGGATTATTTTTGCATGATCTTTTCAATATTTGTGAAGTGAAAGACTAAAGTTTAGTCCTTTTATATGCCTTCATCAAATTTTATTATTGTGTCGTTGACTAAAAGCAAGTACTACTAAGAAAAGAACAAAAATACTTATCTAAAATATCTTTGTATTAGATTTTTTTCCATATGTTAATTTTTTTCTAATTCAATAAAAGTACATATATATTTTCATCAAAATTATTTATATTTTAATATCAATATAAATATTATTAAATAAGAATTATATATTATATTTGAATTATTTTAAATATTTTATTTTATATTTTATGCTTATTTTTAAAAAAGGTAATAATATTTTCTAAAAAATAATTTATGCATGTATTTTTATTAAATTCATTATTTTTTAATGAAATATATTAATTCTATTTTAAAAAATTATATTCCCCCGTCCGTCTTTCTTTAAGGATTACAGTTACTTAACATTAAAAATATATTTATATTTATATTATTACAAGTTTGTATTATATTTTGATATAATAATTACTAAAAAAAAAAATTAAGTAAAAAATAAATTGGACCCTAAAGCCAAAAAAAAGATAGTATTTTATTTTTACTATATTCTTAACTTTAAAAATTTAAAAAGTAAAACTATACTTATAATGCTAAATTATACTATTCAATATCATATATATATATATATACATAAAAACAAAAAAACATAAAAACGTATATTATCTCTCCTCCATGTGGAGGAGAGAGAAGATAAGATCGATTCTGTCTTTCCGTTCTTGTTCTTGGAAGAGAACCGTTTCAGCCACATTAATTTTATTTTTTTTAATTTTTAAATTTTTATTTTTGATGATTCGGCAAAATGGTCAGAGAGTTCTTTGTGAGTGCTCTAACCAAACACCAACACAATCTTTAACATGGCAGGATGTTCGTCTCTCGCATTTTCTGCAGAGCTCCTCCCGTGCCAGTTTGTAGCCTTCGAATCTACAAATCTGTAAGACATCCTTAATGCTTGGGGCAACAACCAAACATTTGTACTCTTCAATTGAAGTATTACAAATGCCCGAGGATATAAATTTGCCACTTCTTCAGCTATCCCACCTTCTGTGCAAAGTATAACCTTGCATTGATAATGTTGCACTCCAATTCCCTATAGTGCTGGCATTCAACATTCTAATCCTGCTCTCTGATGTTCTTTTTCGAAGTGTGAATCGCACCCAACACACACCTTTTTCTTACTAGACTGAAATTACAATTTTAATCTTGGGCCCTATATCTCATTTGAGTCGAACAATGCCCTCAACAGAACAAGATTGAATGAGGTGGTGGATTATAAGGTTGCCTGCCCAAGGGGCATCAGATGACCATTGCCATTTTGCTGAGCTTGTCCAAGATCATTTCTGCATTTAAGCAGAGAGGAGAATCAGCACAATAGGAGGGAATAAAAAACCTGGAGAAAACACGAGACAGTATCGGATAACATTTAGAAAGCAGTAAGTAGACACATAAATAATCTCAACACCTCGGTATTTGGTGAACATCCTGCATGGACTGTTAATACACTTTTATGTTTCTCCACTATTTTCTTATCCCAGTTTATTGATATTCTTAATGTATACACGACATTGCCACATATCATCAACCCACTGGAACTTTTGACAGTCCATTAATTATTACAATTGCAACCTCTCGCCATGCCGCCTCCTAATCAAGGATATATAGATGTAGTCAAGCAAATGAGTCTCAATTCATGTGTTCTGCCCTACCCGAGTCCTGGCATCGAATGGTAATTTCTACTGTGGTTGCAGTGTGTCAGAATATATCCTAGTATTACAAACAAGCAGAGATTAGCGTGTAATTAAATGTAATACAAGCAACTTTGAGAACAGCTGGCTGCTAACCTCAACTGCACACAAAGGCTTTCATGTCTCTAATATCACCTAAAATTTTGAATGCAGCAAACAAGAAAGTGAAAGAACAAGAGACTTAATTGCATAGTGAAATAACTCCAACAAATTCCAAACAGTTTCAATGACATCACATAAGCAACTCCTGTGATACAAGGAGCTATCAGCTTAATGTTTCAAATCTAGAAAATAAATATATTCTGAAAATGAAAAGGGACCGAAAAGGATAGCACTCTTAAGAATACTCTGACATTTGCACACATGACACATGGGATGCAAGATACGGGAAACTCGTGAATAAGATAGTGGAAGGAAAATGAAGAGCTCCCAAAACAAAACTTAACTATCATCATGCGGCTAATAAAATGGGATGTTGACTGTTCTAAAAATTGGAAGCACATTCTCATTGTGCCCACATTATCTTTTGCGGTTGACTATTTAACAACTTTTATATTGGACAAGAAAAACATAAACAGCACATTACATTACAAAAAGGAAGGGCTACAATCATAATAAAAGACACAATATTCTACTTGCTTCTACTAAATCCCAAATCAATTGACAGCAATACCAAAACAAACACTATCAATTAATACATTACTTTGAATCAGAAACACTTCAAACACTTTCACTAATGATTTTCTTGTACTCTAATTTGGATATGATTATCAATATATAATTATTAAATAGTAGTGAACTGTCAAATTTTGAAAAATGGCAATAGCATTCACACAGCATTGGAATAGCAGAAGACTGATAATATGCATTGAGAGGTTACAATAACAATAGGACGGGAGGAAACAGGGACCCCGTAAATTCACACTAACCTTATAGTTACTTTTTAGTCTTGTCAAGAACTTCAATGTATCTCTTTTGGATCCCATACTGCTCAACAAGATGTCTTGCAAGATCATCAATGACACCTCCTTGGACTAAAACTTCAAGGCCCTTTTTACCTTTGTTTATTAAGGATTGAAAATTCAAATTAATTATCATCTTAAACACGCATAAATGTAGACTGAAAGAGGATGTTAAAAGCATCTACACAGTTAAATAAATAGAAAGTTCAGACTAAATTTTTTTATACAACCACAAATGTGTGGATAAAGTGGATACAACTCAATGATTGGAAATTCTTCACATTATAGAATAGACTATAGTTTTAGAAACAGAAGTAGCTTTAATGAAGTCTTACACCAATATGTCATGAAATGTATTTTACTCACAAGTCCTCTCCCTACAAGATAATAATAATAATAATAACAATAATAATAATAATAATAATAATAATAATAATAATAATAATTAAGAAAAAATTATGTCTCTAATATAACGATATTTTCATTTGATTGTCATATTATCATGAAAAAAATTACAACGCTCATATATAATTCTTCAAAAACAGCTTCATCCCACATGTGCGTGACTGTGTTAGCACAACGAAAACTCAATGATTATTTAACAGCTCTATCTTAATTACATTCAAAATTACAACTATATATATATATACATATATATATATACTAGCACTTAAATCTGTACCCCTTAAAATTACTAATTGCTCATATCCCACATAATCTTGTACATGTGAGCATGAAAGCAGTTATACATACCCACCTTTTTCTTTTTGTACAATCCACAATTTCTTCGAAAACTGTAACATGACTATGATGCAGACCAAGTAGTTGCATATGCCAGAAACTATATGCAGCACATATTTTCAAATAATAGAGTATACTTCTGCTTTAGGGCAATGAACCAGACACATTCATACTAAGAGACCAGGGGATCAAACCAGTTTTTAATTTTCCTCATTTCCCAATGCAAATCACAGATGCAGAAGCAATCCACAATTCCACTAGCAGTTAAAAAACTATGAGAAAAAAACATGACGATTAGCTTGAAGGCATACCAGGAAGTTCAGATACTGTTGTACTACAAGCGAACTTCTTCTGCAACTCTGAAGCCAATGTCTCTGCATCTATCAAAAAGGACTCCAGACCAGAAAGTTTTGTAACTTTTTTGTTCCCCTGCCTTCGTTCCGTAACTATCTGGAGTGGTTTAAGGGAACCTTTTCGAACGACAGTATCACTTCCTCGCGTCACTACATGGTGGGCTTGCATTCGGCTGACAAAAATTGGACCAATATCTTTTTTATGGATTTCAGTTGGATACATCCCACCTTTCTTTATAGTGCCCTTAAACAAAGCATCACACAAAGTTGCATCTAAAATCACAACAGACTTCTCTGCTTGTTTTGCTAACTTTTCCTTTTCAATGTATCCAAAGACTACTTGAGAAGCTTCTGAAGCATTATACAGTTTGCCAGTGTCTGCTCCAATGGCAGAAAATATAGAGTTCACATGAACATTCGGCTTGTAAAGCTCCACAACATCAAATAGTTTATGCGGCTGTCCTTCACTAGCAGCACTTGTTGCAGATTGCTCATGCTTATCCACTTTCTTCTTCTCTGGCTTGAAAGATAAGTAGTCTGAATGATTACGGTTTACTGCAACTAAAGATACCTCCTTTTTGTGTTTATCCTCTTTAACTGAGATCTGACATCCAGTAAAATGTCCAATACGCAACATTATCAGCATCATATAGATAATATATTTCACAGAAAATTGATTAGTTCATGAATAAAAATTTATCTAGATTAGTGTAATTATCCAATCAATGTATGTATATACACAATCCTATCTATTGGTGGGAAGATGTTTAACTAAATAGTGTCACCACAACATTAATGTAGGAGAATTTCCAAATAATTATATCAAATGAAATAGTTAAAATCATTCAAAAACCTTTATCTTGGGAGCAAACAATTGTTTATAAGAATGTCATTTCAGTCCTATAGGCGGCATCTCATTATTTTGGTCTTTAAGTGGATTATCTATGATAATAATCTTGTATCTCACTAAGTTGTTTTAATGATTTTGTTTTAGTGCATGACACTCATGCATGACTTATAAATCCTTCATGGTATACTTCCATAAACATGCGTCAATATCATACACAATACAAGACTATCAGAGCAAAGACAAGTGAGATACAAAGCTTTTTCATACGAGGCTCAGTCAAAAGACCAAAATGACAAGGGAAAGTACAAGAACAAACTGCATTTTTCTTGTAATTGTTTTTTCTATGGTTTACTTTATGATAACATTAAAAGAGAGGGGAAAAAATTAACTCACCACTCCGGTTACAGATTTGGATTGTAGCCACTTAGACAATTTCTTATAAGAGGATTTCTTTATGTCTAAGGTAATACCAGAAGGTCTACAAGGAAGCACATGGCTAGACCTGTGAAAACACAAACAACCAAACTAGGTATGAATTTCCGTGGATCTAGAAACAGGTAATAACTAATAAGCACAACAAACAACAGAACGAAAAGTCCAGATTGAATGTAGCCACAATAAAATGATGAAGAGAAAGTGTAACCAGAATAGGATAATTTTTATTTTTTTTTAAAAAAAGCATGACATTACTTCTGATTTACACCTAGTTGTGGTAGTGGGAGAAACCTAAAGTATGACACTTCCCGCAGAATAATTGGATAATTTATTAACCACACCCCCCCCCCCTCCCTCCTCCCCCCCACTATCGTTAGCAGAAAAGAAATTTTTTGCTGAAATGCAAATATACTTAATTTTTATAGAAAGACTTATTAAACGTAAGATTTAAAAAAGATATATATTAAGAGGAAATTGATTAGTGCTAAAAACATTACAGATAAAGTTATCCACTTAAAAGCACTTCATGCATTAGGGCAACCCATGTAGAGAAATCTGAGGGATTCCATGGACAATTATTGAAAATGCGAAATATGACGTAAATAACTGAGAATAACAAGCATAAAAATCAACTATGAATAGTTTCACAACTCATTACCATAATATACTTCCTGGAATAGGAAGATCCTTATCTTTTACTGTTGTATGCAAGGCTTGCAAGAGACACTTGTCCAGCAACATATCCATATCCTCAACAGATAATGGATGTTGTTCACTCAAACTAGACCCAACACACAATCCACTTTCTTCAAATTTCAAATCAACCATAGCGGTGGTTATTTGCTCACTAACTCCATTCATCACTATTGGATCTTCCATGTCTGCATAATCAGGAATAGTGGAAGCTCCATCAGTGGTGCTAGCCTCTGGCATATGTTCGATTACATTTGTTAACTTCACTAAGGAGTCATCATCACATGAGTCAGAAGTCTTGACAGGAGAAGACAAAGCAGGATCCTCTAATACAATATCTTGTAAGAAACCAGCATTTGGAACACAACATTTTTCGGCCAGTTCCCTGGGAAATCAGAACATAAAAAGGCAAACGAATATAAAGTCAGCTATTCAGTATATCTCAATACAGCAAAGTCATTTTGCATAGGTATAGCTCCAAGCTGCTTTTACCAAAGTGAATCATGGTAGTAGTGACCTATTTTTAATGCTTTTCCTCGCAAACCAGCTTTCAATGCTTCTGTGCTACTCATGGTGGTTGTCCCTACCTAAAATTTCCACCAACTAATTAGATAAGAAACTTTATATTTCTATGGGAACCACCATATGTTCAGAGAGCTCACTGCTATTGGAGCTGGATTTCCAGGAACTTTGACAGTCCATGGTTCACCAGCAGAAAATGATGGAAGACTTTCAGCATGAATTTGGATGCCAGGAAACATCAAATCAGCTCCACCAAGCACAAATCGAGAAACCTCAGCCCCTTTCAGTAGAAAAGCAGGCAAAAGATGTGGAACCTTCCACAAGGCAAAAACTGCAATAAAATATAAAGGCAAAAGAATATCAAATGTAGCTTGCTAAAGATTACACTGAAGAAAATGTTTCTCAGAGTAGAAACATCAGCTTATTTCACATGAGAAAAGTGATTTTCCACACTCCTTGTTTAACTTTAGAGAAATTAAATAAATAATACTCCGTCCGCCAAATTTTTCTAACTTTCCTTTTTAGTCCCTCCGTTAAATTTATCTCATTACTAATTTTGACAAAGTCAATAAATCAATATTTAACTATTATCTTTTATCCAACACTTACTAACAACCAATGCATATTTTTTTTTAATTTCTAACTAAATTTACAAAAATAATCTCAACTATCTTTTTAATTTTATCATTTTTTTAATAAAATATTCATTTTTTTAAAGACAAGAGGGAGTAATAGTAAACCTTGAGGATATATAAAGAAATTAGTACCTAGGGTGTTTTATTGAAGAGCAATCGCAACAGTCTTTCTAGCTGGCATTTCAATGAATATTTCCTTTTATAAAATTCGAGCTATATTTGCAGTCCATTAGTTTCCTACTTATCAAATATCTATTACCTCATCCAAAATCTGTGGTGAGAATCTTCAGGCAAACAATTATTTGAAAAAAATACAGTATACCTCAAAGCAACATTTATTTGGACCAAACTGCACCGAGTTGCATTTAAGAAAATGGGTTTTGATTCATCTAAGTTTGATGCCATATTTGTATAAGTGAAACTAAAAACATTATTGTTAGGTGAACATAGAGACAAAATCCAAAGAAAACAAGAGCAACTCAACCAAAAAATATGATTCACTAGCTCAAGTATACCTGTAGGAAATAATTCTGATCCTCGACCATCAATGTCATAGAACATGGGACAATCACCTTCGAGAGCATAGACTAGTATACGGTTTGGGTACTTTGAAACAGTTATTTCCACCTAGGAATCATTGATAAAAAAACAAATGAGCAGATTCAGCTTGGTATAGAAAGAATGGTTTGGTAACCAGTGGAATCAAGGTTTCGAACGAAAGCTAACGTTCATGCCGGTTATGACAGGCCAACACACCAGTAAAACTATGAAATGAAAGAACTGACAACTAAAATAGTTAACAATAGGATCCCATGAAAACGCCTCATATACACTAAACTGTACAGAGGGGAATCTGAACGGACAGGGTAAAAAGGTCCAAATTCACACACAAACGATGTGTAACAGAAATATTCACTCGTCATATCAGCATATGATCACACACCCGAACACCATATATATATATATATATATAAATGCGTGTGTGTGGAAAACTTAGAAAAGAAAGAGGTTTAAGTTTTAAATATATATACATATATAATTATGGACGACCGATTATCGAATGCTTTTAACGCCTATCAATGACTGGAAATGAAATTGTAACAACAATAACAACAACAACAACAAAACGATCGAGCGAGCAAGCAAGCAAACAAGCGAGCACGTCAAGGAAAGACCTTGGGGGGGAGTAAAATATCGATATCAGCATCAGAAGCATTGGGGAATCGCTCTCTGATTGCACGTTTGAGTTTCTTGCGGTCTGCCCCCGATAGCCGCTGTTGTGATTTCACCTCGATCGCCTTCTTGAACATTTTGTGAAAGATTGCTGGGAGAGTTGGAGTAGGGGAAGGGGTGACCGGTGATTTAATTGGTAGTAGTTCATATGCAAACGAGCTATTGTTGGCAGTCAGTCCTGCGGTGCAGGTGCGAGCCTAGACCAGAGGGTTGAGCCTGAGGCGGTGGAGGGGAGGGGTAGGGCCGTAGGGGCATCTCTAAATGGGCCGCTCTGTAATGGGCCAAACGTTAGTTTGACAAGCTATTTGTTCGTTCGCTTTCTCGATTCCATTCTATTATTGTATATTGGGCTCAATAAACATTTAGATCTGTTGCCTATTATAAAATAGGTCAGTCCAACTTTTATGGATATTTTAATCTAAGCGTATTTAATTTAAATGTTTTAATCTAAAATACTGTAGTTGATTGTTTAGTTAAAATGATTTTTTATTCTCTTGAAAAATTAAATATAAAAATAATGTAATAATTCATTTTCACAAAAAATTTAAAAATAACTGATTCTGCTATCAAATAAGTCAATGGACCTTTATCTCTTCCAATAATTAAAATTGATTTTAACTAAACTATCAAAATATTTTAAGCCAATTAAATTGATTAAGTTTGAACTAAAGGTGTGTGTTCTTTTTGTCCAAGAAACCAATATATTTCTTCTAAAAAAAATTAATATATTACATATATTTGTTCTTTTTATAATATTTATATAATTTTTTATAAAAAAAAAATTATTCAGCAAAACAAATAGTACATCTTAAATCATTGAGGATGAGAACTAACTTGATACCAACCGTTCGATTAGACTGTAGAAAATCCAAAGAGATCATTTTGTTCGAATAGGCGGGGGCAGAGTATTTTGAAGTGTTCCCAGTGTTGAGCTGGTTATGCGCTTGCATGCTTGTTAGTTTGATGCCTAATGGAAAAATTTTGGAGATGTGTTTGTTTTGATATAGGATATTTTAAGAAGTGAACAATCTTTTTAGAAGCGGGTCCGGGGAAAGAATAGGAAAGGTGATTTGAATATTTTTTAATTTCTTTCCCTTCACTTTCATCTTTTTCAATTTTTACCTTTATTGAAGTATTTTTGTTTTAATTATAAAATGAATTATATACAAATTATTATTTTCATGATTTAAAATATTTATTTATTATTTTAGTAAAAGTTAAAAATAATAATATTTTATTTATTATTAATAAAAAATATTAGCTACAAATTAAAGTAATAAAAATAATAAATTGAATTGAGAGTGAGATAGTATTAGTTTTAAAATTTTCCATTCATAAAAAATAACTAGCTCAAACAATAAAGCCCACGTCCATAGAGGAGCAGCACATCATCATCCTTGGTATGAGAATTGTTCTCTTTGCGTCACGTCTCCCCAAGCAACCGGTGCCGCCGCGCCCCCGCTGCTCTTTGTTCCACACGAATAATACGCTCGTTCCACCACCAGCTACGGAAGACCTCTTTGCCGCTAACCATCTCCTGAACGCGCACGCTAAGCGCGGCCACATGCGCCTCGCCCACCAAGCGTTCGCTGAAATGCCTCACAAAAATGTGGTTTCTTGGACAATTCTGATTTCGGCATATGCTCGATCCGGGAAGTTGGCCGAAAGCTTCCGTTTGTTTTCTCAGATGCTATCCTACTGTTGGCCCAATGAATTTGCTTATTCAAGTCTTCTGTCTGTGTGTGATTACCCCCACGGCGTCCAAATACACGGGTTTGCTCTCAGAACCGGGTTTGATGCTTCGATTTACGTGTCCAATGCTCTTATGACAATGTACTGGAACAGCCACAGTTGCACCGCGGGTGTGGACGCTTGGAGGGTGTTTGATGCAATGCACCTTTGCAATATTGTTACGTATAATTCCATGATTGCAGGGCTTGGAATGCACGGACAAGGTGATACTGCCATGAAATTTTTCACAATCATGCTTCGAGATGGTATGGAGTTTGACCGTACTACATTTCTGACCTTAATTTCTTCACTTTGCGCTATTGATGGGGGGAGCAGCAAGATTGTGGGGCTTCAGCGTTGTATGCAATTGCATTCTATTAGTGTTAAGGCAGGTTTCAACGATGTGGGAGTGGCAACTGCCCTAATCAAAGTTTATTCTTCTCTTGGGCAAGATATTGACGCTTGTCGAAAGTTATTCTCAGGCACGAGTGATATGTATCGTGACATCTTGCTGTGGACTGCCACTATGACAGCTTTTGCTGAAAGGGAGCCTGAACAAGCTCTGTCTCTGTTTAATCAGATGCGTAGGCAGGGTTTATGCCCAGATTGTTATGTATTTTCAATATTGCTGAAAGCTTGTGCAGGGTTGGTGAGGGAAATAAATGCATCTGCTGTGCATTGTCAAGTGGTTATTACCGGATTTGCAGACATCTTAGAGATTGGCAATGCATTAATTCACGCATATGCGCGAAGTGGTTTGATAGATAATGCTGAGCAAGTATTCTGTGAAATGCCATCAAGGGATGTCATCGCCTGGAACTCAATGTTGAAGGCATATGCAGTGCACGGCAGAGCTGAAGAAGCACTGGCTTTGTTCAACCTAATGGATGTGGCACCGGATGAAACGACCTTTGTTGCCGTGCTATCATCTTGCAGTCATGGTGGAAAGGTGAACGAAGGACGTGAGATATTTAACAGCATGTCTGAGAAATACGGCATCGCAGCTCACCTTGATCACTATGCTTGTATGGTTGATATGCTGGGGCGATCTGGACACCTTTCAGAGGCTGAAAGCGTCATAAACAAGATGGCATTGCAGCCAGATTATGTTATTTGGAGTGCTTTTCTGGGAGCATGTCGGAAACATGGAGAAACAAAACTGGCCAACTTAGCATCATCAAAGCTGAAGGAATTGGGTCCAGAAAATTCACTGGGATATGTTCTGACGTCAAATATTTACTGCTTGGCTAGCAGCTTTGATGAAGGGGGTTCTGTAAGAAGGAAAATGGATAGAGTAGGTGTCAGAAAGGAACCTGGTCTGAGCTGGACTGAAGTGGGTAATCAAGTGTATGAGTTTGCTTCTGGGGGGCGGAGACACCCTCAGTTGAAAGCAATACGTGGCCATATGCAGGAACTATTGAGGCAGTTGAAGGAAATTGGATATGTTCCCTACACAAGCTCAGTCTTTTTCGATGTTGAAGAAGAGCATAAGGAGGAACAACTGTATCACCACAGTGAGAAGCTGGCACTGGTTTTCTCTTTGATGAATTATCCTCGTGGTCGCGGGAATGTCATCAAAATTATCAAGAATATACGCATCTGTGAGGACTGCCACAACTTCATGAGGCTGGCATCTAAGCTTGCGGAAATGACAATCGTTGTAAGAGATGCTAACCGATTTCATCATTTTAAGCGGGGAGCGTGCTCTTGCAATGACCATTGGTAATTGCAGGTGCAATGGTCACTGATTACCCCTACCTAGTTTATATGGAAGACAAAAATCTGTATCATAGATATATATATATATATATAATATCACTGCCTTGTGCTGGACAAGCTACATTCATAAGGATGACAGAAGATTTGAAGTGGAGTTGGGAAGACCTTTATTTATTAAAGCAGGGACTATATCAATTTTATTTTGCACAAAAAGAAACGTCTGTGAAGAACTGGAATCGGAGAAGTGGGCATTCAATTCCACACTTTGTGTTTAGGCATGTACTTTCGCGGGAGTGGCGGCCGGGCTATATATGTTATCTGTTATGGTGTGCAATTGGATGCGCAGTCTCTCGTCTTCTTCTGCTCAACTGCAGCAACATATAGTTAGTCAGATCAGATGGAAATAATTAACTAACATGATAGTTGGAGAAGAAGATTGAGCGTACTTACCAACGCTGCTGAAATGATTGCAGAGATGATGGGGGTGCGGGGGAAGGCAATGCAGCGGGCAGTATTTTATGCAGGCTGCCACACCAACGCCACCGATTTTGCATTCTCTGAGGCAGTCCTGAATGCAAGTCCCTGGTGGGAAATGCAGGTTGGCACCAACCATTGACACTCCAGAAATCAAACCCAGCACAAGTATCAAATCAACTATTCTCCTCATCACCACCATCATCCCATCGAAGAATATCATTCGTGAAGGAACAAGGCTGCTGGTCAGATGAGGTGGCCCTTTTATAATCACAACTCACACAAGTATGATGCTGACTCTCAATATGTTCTTGCAGTTGCTTCATTTGCTTTACGTGATCATATGGTATCTTCTATAACTTGTGATCTTCTTATTTACGACCCGTGCCAATGATGTAGGTAAAAACAACCGGGGTTCATATATATGAGCCAAACGGTGTCGGGGCATGGAGAGAAAAGTTGTGCCCAAGTAGTGATGTTTGAAAGTAAGATGCAAAATGCAGTATGTGAGACTAGACAAAGACAAGTAGTTGTGATCACAGGTGTGCTTTTAAACAGCTGTTATAGGACCCCGATGCCACTCATGTCATGTGCAACGCACGAGCATCAAGATTCCTTTTTTTAAAAAAAAAAAAAAAAACACATCCCTTCAGCACTGTATACAAATTCAGCGCACCCCAGCAAAGTATGCCAGGGGTCCGACAATTGCGGCATTGATATATGTAGCAGGCTCCGAATGGCTGTAGTCTGTCCGCTCATCAGGGAAGAAATCATTGTCGTTAGGCCCTCCAACAATGGCGCCCGTCAAGATGTTCGGGTTGGGATTGGAGGTGTAGAAGAATGGCTGAAAGCCAGCCTCACATCCAAAGGATTGGGGATGAAGTGTGACGGAGGGCAAAGAGGACCCCCGGTGGTGAATCCTCCTGGGATAACGGGGGCCGTATCCCACCATGTACGACATGTTCATGGGATTGCCTCCGAGGATGTAGTCTACTTGCCTCCTGGCAAGGCTCCTCAGGGTACTGGAAGTTATGAGAAGGGTTCCGCCGCAGTTGAAACTGTGATGGGAGGCAGCCATGTATTTGGAGTAGGTGGCGAGCAAGAACGTTATGGATGTAACGTATTGGAGATTGCTGGCGCTCAGTTTGAACATTAGGCCACCTGGTGTGTACTTGGTGCTGGAGGAAGGGGACTGGGAATCAGGCAGTATTCTACACATGAAGTCTTGGGCTTGCTGTCTGAAAGAGTCGAATGTCTGGTCGTTGTCCACTACGCTTCTCTGCGGGTGGGATATATGGAGTGCATGCATGCCAGCCATCATCAAGGGGATGAATTGAATGGAATTGAATTGAATGGAATTGAATGTGAGAGATCACACACACACTATACATATATATATAGAGAGAGAGAGAGAGACAGATGAACGTTGAGAGAAAATTTCTATTTCTATTTCTACTTCCCTGTCTTCCGGTGAATTAAACGCAGTAGAAGCTAGTAATTAAGTAGGTAAGTAAATAATGTTAATGGCGGCGTACGCACCCTTGCGAGCAGAACACGAGCGCCGGCGTATTTGTTGTCCCAGCTGAAAATATCGGCTGCCTCATTCGCCGCCCCGCCCAACGTCCTAATGAAATTGAGGTAATACATCTCATTAGTGGCTCTGAAAAGCCACGCGGCTCCCCACAACAACTCGTCCTGCATTGCCGGACAGATGAGATGATCATGATGGTGTGCTGATGTGTGTTTATGTATGTATGTATGTATATAGCAACGGGGACTGCATTAGCTAAGGTGAATTCAGGGCACCATACCGTGTAGCCGGAATACGAGCAATAGAAGGGGCAGACAGAGGATGCAAGCGAGTCGCTGTATGAGCCTCTGTGCTGTATTGCGAATTGCATCACCGTCTTGGCGGTGGCAAGGAGCACTCTGGAGTAGCCTGGGTCGGCGTTGCGGAAGGCGATGGAAGCGGCGGCCAGGGCAGCGGCGGTCTCTCCAGCGACATCAGATCCGGGGTTGGAGGGGGAGACGGAGTAGACGGTCCGGGTGTGGGGGTCCATGTCCTCAGGCCTCTCCCAGCACCGGTGGTCGGCGTTGGGGTCACCCACGCCCACGTAGAGCCTGCCAGGTGTAGCCAGGGCACACTTGAGGAGGTAGTCGGTTGCCCAGCGAATGGCCGCCAGGCTGCCGGCTAGCTCAGGGCCCATCCTCTTTCCGTACTCGATCACTCCCCATGACAGCATGGTGGTGCTGAAGGCCATCGGGAAGTTGAATTTCACGTTGTCGCCGGCGTCGTAGTACCCCCCGCGTAAGTTCACCTAATGAATTGGAATGGATATATATATATATATATATATATAGATTGGAATTTGCATGAAAATGAATAAATGAATGAATGCATGATACTACTAGTAGCTATATATATAGTTAGTATCAGGTAAGTAAGCTAAGTTGGTGGAGGTGGGCAGTAGTAGTACACCAGCCAGGGCGCCGTCGGCGAGTCCAGAATCGGCCCTCCAGGCGATTGGCTGAGGAGGAGGAGGGAGCCTGCCAGACCTCTGGCCCTGGAAGAAGACGATGGATTTGGCAAGAGCATCCCTGTAGTTAGGGGCAGGGGTGCTGCTGCTGCTGCCAGCCGCCTCAACAACCACCACCAGGAATGGGAATGGCAACGGTGTATTTGTTGTGAACAATAATAATAGCACTAAGAAGAAGAATGTCATTTTTGATGATGGGGCGGTGGTCAGCAAACTACACTGCGGTGGTCCTCTGCTGCAGCAGCTGCTCTTCATATTAATTCCCTTCCTCATTTACTCTCTCTCCCTGTACTACGTTCATTCAACAACAATGTTATATATATATGTCGATATATATATATATATATGTACCTACGTACCTTTCATCCATCTTTGCTGCGCATGCATATATATATATAAGATTGTATGTATGTATGTCCCTGCAATTAATCCTATTATCTACAGAATAATTGCAGCTGCCTGCTGCGTCAATTTAGGCTTTAAAGAGCAAGGAGTATTGGACCTTAGTCCTGAATTAATCGGCTCGATCGGCCTCCATTCCATTCCATTCACATTCACACTCACACACGGACACACCACACGCCGCGCGCATGTAAACCAAAAAGGAAATCGATAAATAATATGAATTGCTTGGATGCAGCAGCAGCAGCAGCAGCAGCACCGGCAACGTCTACACATTAAAAGTCAATACGAATTAATTATAAAATGCTTTTTAAAACCAAACAAAACAAAACAAAGCAAAGCAAAAACCCTTCTTAAAAGCCAATCCAAACCCACTTAATTCTTCTTGAATTAATTTTTATAAAATTCTAATACACGATTTATTTTTTTAAACGGGTTTGAGATGCATGCAATAGACTAGTAGGACGAACGTAGCTCAACTTGCGCAGACCGCATATCATCAACCATTTTCGGATGCAATTGTTTTTGGATTTTTTTTATCTACTTTTTATTATCAAATAACTATATATCTTATTAATATGTAGTAATGAATAACATATATTCCTACTAACTTAAGAACTGAGATGGTCATGTAGCAATTAACAAAGTAGAGGAGATTCCGCAGCGGCAGCAGCAGTAGCAGCTCATAAGTCATAATTTAAGGAAGGGAGACCAGACCAGACCTGCTGAGCAGTGACCACAGCATATAATAATGAATTAATAATCACAATTACTAAATTATTAACGACGATAGTTTTGATCGTTTATCCATTGATATTGTCATTTGTCAGGCGAGAATGGCGCTAGCTGCCCAAATACCCAATACCAACCAAAGTTCCTTGCTTGCTTTCAATTTATTTATTGATTGGTTGATGAGGAATGATGCGAGAATGCTTAACATCATCAATTCTATTTCTATATTATACTATAATGAATAAAGCAAGCCTGTATAACTTAATAGTATAATCCAACCTAATCATTAATTATTATTATTATGCCGAGACATGTGCTTGTTTGAGTAAATCGATAAATTCAAAGCTTTTCTTTTCAATTCCCTCTGCTTTAATTCCTTTAATTGTGGATGGTGATGGGATAGCCAATTCGATATTCACTCAACCAATAATTAATCTGGCCATCTCAATATCAATACAAATCCAAATACCAATAACATTACGGCAATACCGTTGACGTGCATATTTATTGATGCACACCGGTTACAATGCTGAACCAGGCAAACATTATTGGTAATATACTTTTCAAAATGTTAAATACTCATTGATTTAATTATTAGTTCTCATTCTACCTCAACAGTTCAGAAGAATAGAAATCTCATATTGATTTAGGATCGACCAAATTATTGATAATAAATATATCCAAAATCAAACCCAACTTTCATATATTTTTGGGAAGGTTGAAGAAGTATTTGGGCAGGTGAAATAATAAAAAGGCCCGCTTTGAAGGATGTTAATGGAAGTACGCTTGGGACATCTCCCGATGATGGTATGGGATCTCCTTCCAAGAAAATGGGAGGCTGCTAGAAATTCCCAAGAATATTTGTGTTCTCTACAAATGAATCTTATAATTTTAATAAATCGAATAAATTCTAATTATTGTAAATAATTAATGGATCATACCTTGGTTATTGAATATGCACATAATTGATATATTAAGGGATTAAGGCATGTTAGTACATAAATAATACATTATCAATATCAGCATATATCAGGTGATGAATTAAAAATTTTCAGCACATGTGCTGACACTTAAAAACATATTATGTATAATTATATTATTTAAAGTAATTAGGATTTTATGTTATCAACACCTGTGCTGAATAAATGCATTCAACATTTGATCCAAACCGGATCAATATTGCCTATAGTATTTGTGTAGGGATGTAGATTTATGTTAATATTAAGTTACTTTACTTACATTGTGTTTAAATGTTTTATTGGCTCAATAGTTGAAATTTATGAATTGGATGTTATACATGTATGAAATTGATGCAATTAAAATTGTATGAATTGAAATGTTTGAAATTTTATATAAATTAATGCTCAATTTGGATTGTTCATATTGTTTGTAATATAGTTTTATAGCTCCATAAGAGAATCTAAAATGGACGTGACGATTCTCAATGGATTATTGTAGGCTGCTAGATCTAATGGCGATTACGAATCTTGCCTCAGATTGATACGCCTATTGTAGTGCATGTTGTCCCCGTTAGGGGCAGCGGCGGCCCTAGAAAAAATAATCGTTATGTTCATACTGCAACATGGGAGGTTTATCAAATTATATGAAGAATTAATAATCAAAAAATTGCATTTGCGAATATGATTTTATTGCAAAAAATATTACATCAAGTACTTAAAGTCGATTGTTAACTATAGTTTGTCATACTGTGGATTTCTTTTAGTATTACAAGGATATTCGAATGTTAACTAAATAAATTCATCAGGATTATCACTCTTCCACGTCTGAATGAGTATTTTTGTTTGGGAGAAGTGTCATTTGTTACGCTTTCAAAAAGCAAACATGTATTATCATTCAACAAGAAACATCTACAATAATGAATCTTGGACAGCTACAATGGGATTTAAATTCATAGTTTTAGTAGTTGTTAGTGTAGAAAGCATAATGATTTCACAATCTAGTTTATAATATTCCATTATGGACAAAATCGGTATCACATAATTCTATTTGTTGTGATAGTGCAACAACAATGACTCAGATACATAGCCAAATCTATAATGAAAAATCTAGACACTTAGGTGTTGAACGCAATATAATTCATGAGTTGATCATGAATAGGGTGATCTCAGTAGAATTCATTCGGTTACAATAATCTAACTGATAATTTGATAAAATGGTTGACTAAGGACTTAGTGTACAAATCATTAATTGAGATAGCATTAAAGTCTATCTAAATCTATTAAGTGTGAGACACTTAATTCCTTAAGCCAAATTCAATGTGACGCATATTGTAAATTTATCCTAGATTTACGTTAGGGCCTACAAGAAATGTAAGTTGAGATTTTTTATCTTGATTACTTCTTTGAAAATTTGCTAATACAGAAGTAAGATTGAAAGAAATTACTTATGGAAGCATAAAATTTTGTCGTTTAAAAATAAATTAGACCTACTTTTGATATGTTTGTGAATGGATAGAGACATATAGCTTGTAACGTGTCAGGTACAAACTAAAAGAATGGTAGATTCGTGTGCATGTTACCTTCATATATTCAAACAAGTTGAAGTGTTTAATTTTAGTGACATCTTGATTCTTGAATATATGAAACGTATGATGTACTAAGATGAGAATTCAATATTCAATATATTTTTATTTAAGCATGAACCTATAGTGTATGATTGAATTGCCGGTGATTTAAAACTTAGGCTAAAAAATGAGAATTGTTGGAATTTTCTTGATATGACTCATGATATATTTTGTGTGTGTAAATATAAATTATCGTACAAGTCTAATATGAAATAGCAATTGAATAAAATGTATATGAGAAAAAACTTGAGTATCCCATTGTTAATATATACAAATATTATCTGATAATGCTCCTGAATAATACATCTAGAATCTTTCATGCAAACTTAGAGTCTCTTCACATTCATTTTTCTTGTTTTCTTGATTTATTGTTTGAAAATCAAGATTGGATATTTGTATTATCCTAATAATAATTTTGTGTAACTCGAAGCAGATAAAGATCTAAATATTTTATTCAAAAAATAAACTTTTACGATATAAAGGTTTGTACGACCATTTTCGTTGAGACCTTGTTATTTATATCCAATACCAAATGTACTGTATAAATGCATTTCATGTGTTGAAATTAATTGTAAATTGTATTGTATTTAATTATAACATGTGTGTCCGTTCATATTTTGTATTTATATTATTTTAACATAGAACAAACAATACATGTCGTAGTTAAAGAAACACACTAAGTGTATTCATGGAATACAACTACATATTTTTATTTAACATTTTATGTGTCATTTGTATTATAGCAGTGTTATATTTGTCTCTTTGTTATATTTTGTTAACACATATATTATGTGTTGTGTGCCTATATATCATATTTGTGTGTAATTATGTAATATGCTATTAGTTTATGTATATTACTCTCTTCGTCCCCAAAACAATATGAATATTTGAGATTGACAAGAAAATTAAGGAATAGTATTATTATATTGATAGGGCTGTAAAAGTATTTATAAAAGATCAAAATGTCCATACTTTATATAATTATTGTGTAAAAATGAAGATAGTTTTGTAAAAAGGTGGGAAATTTGTTATAAAAATGAAAATGAGACTATTATTTTGGGATGGACAAAAATGGTAAAATGATATTATTATTTTGATGGATGAAGTACACTACAGTTAATTTCAAAGTATGAAGTCTTCATATAATGTGTTGAGATATTTTATATATTTAGTTATGTTGTTTTGAGTTGTTTAGGTTGTTTAGATTTGAGCTTATCGAGTCTGTTTTATGATGCTTATGTATAGACTCCTTATTTTGATGATAATATAATAATACAAATTTTAAGTTTTCGTAAAATACTTTCAACTTGGTATTAAAGTCTATTTTTCTCTTGGAGTAAATACAATATATTGACTAACGTTGCTCCGGGTACATTCAACATAAAATGTAATCAAAGGTTTCCCAATTTTGAGATCTGTCTCATTGGTGTTTATGTTAGAGTCTGTGTTTGCGTCTTTTGTGTTTGTGTTAGTATTTGCGTCTTGGTGAGAATGGGCGCTTTGTTAAGAGCGGCGGGGGCAACGTCGGACTAGCATTTGTTATATGTGAAAACAAGAGCTTCGTCAAGAGCGATGACAAACGGACAACTGTTATTTGCATTTGCATTAGAATTTGTGTCTGTGTTCGAGAACAAAGGCTTCATTGAGAGCGGCGGAGGCAACGTGAGACGAACAATTGTTATGTGCGAAAACATGAGGTCAGTCAACAAAGAGAGTGGTGGAGGCAACGTCAGACGAATAATTGTTATATGCGAAAACATGATCTCAGTCAACAAGGAGAGTGGTGGAGTCAACATCAGACAAGCAATTGTTATATGCGAAAATATGATCTCAATCAATAAGGAGAGTGGTGGAGACAATATCAGATTGGGCAATTGTTATGTGCGAAAACATGAGCTTAGTCAAGAGCGCCGCGACGAGGACTGACCAAATAACTATTATTTTGGACATTGAGTTTTAGATTTTATAGGTTTAAGTTTATATTTAATGTTATTACACTACAAAAATATAAAATATTTGTAACATAATTTCGTCTCTAAAGTTCAATGTAATTTCATTACGAATTTCGTCTCTAATATCATTAGTAACAGAAAAAATAGATTAGAGACTAAAAACCCTCGTTACAAAATTGATATTTTCTTGTAGTTGTAGTGTTATAGATTACAATTATTTTAATTTGTTTAGATGGTTTAAATGAATTTTTCGTACAATACTTTTAACAAAATGCTTTTATTTAATATTTCAAGTGATATTTATATTTATAGCATGCGATGTTTGTCTCTTTTAACACCGTGCTGAATGTGTATTGAAAATTTTAAATTAGCACGCCGCCTTAGTGATATATATAGGTATTGCAATTGCTTAAAATCCAAATTGTTGATCTATCGAGATCCATTGCTATTTACTGCACTGTGGGAGTGGGATTACGTTTGCGATTGCGACAATGTAGGCTTTTGCTGATAATACGCTGCCATTTAAAGCAACTGATAATATTTGCCTTGGGAAGAGTGTAGCCAGTCCGTAAGATAAGATATATTGGACCAAATCAATTATAAATAGATTATATATTATATTATCGATTGATTAATTGCAATTTGCAGCATAATATTGTGGAGGAGTATGTAATATTGACTTCCAGCTGGACGAACAAAACCTAAACACTAATACCGCCAAGCCCACACTGATTAGATTTTCCCGCTAAATATATATATATGATTTGATATTGGGTGAATCGGCCCAACCCAAATTAGGCAAAACTTGCCTGCTTTTATGCCCTCCCAAACTTTAAATCATACTCAACTACTATATAGTTGTCAACTTTTGAACTTTCTGGGAATGTGATTGATATATGTGAAATTGAAAGTGAGGTGGACGGCTTGTTTGTGTTACGAAAAATTGCAATAAAGCGAAAAAATAAAAAGAAAGTGGTTATCCAACTCAATTATACCATTAATGCATTTGAGGCGGATGATGTTTTTTAACATAAAATATTTTTGAACTCAAACAAAAATTTTAGTTTGTATATCTTAACAAAGGAATACTAGTTGAGCTGAAAAAGTGAATAGCTGATGATGAGCTCATTGGCAGATCTAAGCAGAATTTGGTCAGGATTGGATTTAGTAATTTCTATATCTATTTATAATGTGTGTGTAAATATCTGTCGATCTGTGGTATTTAAGATCAGCTTTAAATTATAGTTAAGGTAAGATGAGGAGGTTAATGTATATCGTTGCAGAAGTTTGACAATTCTTTCACGTCTGTGATTTGATATTTGATGGTACGGTAGGGTAGGGTAGGGTATGGTATGACGCCAATCCTCCGTCTAATCTGAATGTCGTGTGTACCGAGCTAGCTACAAATCTACATATACGGTTATTGTTTAATTAAGTAAGTATTATATATGTATTTTAAAATGACGAGCGAGAAAGAATTCAAATAATATTTCTAAATTATGATGTTGGGAATTGTTACGAATTTTCTAACAATTTAAATTAAGAAATAACAAATGAAATGAAATCAATATATTGTTAATTGAGTTTGATCACATGCAATGCAACGGAGAGCAGCATACAGCTATCAGCTAGGTAGGTTTATTAATAAATAAATAAATTTAACTACCTTTGTAGTCAGTTAGGATGAGAATGTGGAGATTTGTTTATTAGTGAGTAAGCGTGAACAAGTTGTCGATGGTGAGGTGAGGTGAGAATACAAAGCAAAGAAACTGATGATAACTGCCCACATGGATAAGCACGCCCACACGCATCCATCCAGCCATCCATCTATGTCCTTGCTCTCTCTCTCTCTCTCTCTCTCTCTCTCTCTCTCTCTCTCATTTGTGATTGTAGTATGTATCCGCGCACGCACGCGACCCTGTCGACATATATCATACCATATCATAACATTTGGCGCCCTTATATGCGCCACCATTTCTTCCTTGATGCAACTTTAATAACAATGCATACATATACATGCATCGATGATCGATAAGAGAGAGAGAGAGAGAGAGAGAGAGAGAGAGAGAGAGGGATGCATGCATGCAGACAGCAGAGCCCATTATCCGGCCATATATATGTAAATCATGTAATTAATGCAATGTAGCCCATACATCCATCAATGCATATACATATAATAACAATAATATATAATTCAATTCCCAAAATTTCACTCCACCAAAACTCTACTGCTCTTCTTTGCTCTACTCGTTTCCCGGCGCTAAGCGAGCTATGTGTTGCTATTCTTAGCAACGTTCTGTTATCTGCAAATCTATATAAACACCTACCTCGTCGATCATCTTCCCAACCCAAGCAGCATATTATCAATAGAATTGTACAAGCTAAGGCAGCTAGCTGAGAGCAATACTAGTTCAAGCTAGCTACCCCTAATACTAATTTATAATCGAAATCACTGCCCGATCATCATCATCATCATCGTCGTCGTCGATAATACTATACTATACTATAAACCAGCCATCCTGACATTTGTTGGCATGATGAGTAGTACTAGTAGTAGCAGCAGCAGCTCGATTGTGATTGTCGTACTAGTAGCAGCAGCATTAATCAATGCAGCTGCCATGCTGGGGAGTGTTGCTGCAGCTGCTCCATCGGCGTCGGCATTCGTGAGGAGGAGGGGGTCCCAATTCGAGCTGCATGGCTCCCCGTTCCTGTTCAACGGGTTCAACGCGTACTGGATGATGCACCTGGCCTCCTCCGACCCCGCCCAGCGTCACAAAGTGTCGGAGGTGTTCCGGGAGGCCTCGGCGGCGGGGCTGACGGTGTGCAGGACGTGGGCCTTCAACGACGGGGGAGCCGACGCCCCGGCCCTCCAGATCTCGCCGGGCACCTACGACCAGAGGGTGTTTGAGGGCCTGGACTTCGTGGTCTCGGAGGCCTCCAGGTACGGCCTCCGCCTCATACTCGCCTTCGTCAACAACTACAAGGATTTCGGGGGGAGGCCGCAGTACGCGCAGTGGGCCAGGGACGCCGGCGCGCGCGACGCCACCTCCGACGACGCCTTCTACACGCACCCCCTCATCAGGCGCTACTACAAGGACCACGTCAGGGTACGAACCGTTCGTCCACATAATTAATTAATTAATAACAATATATTATTATTATTATTATTATTATTATTATTATTATTATTATTATTACTACTACTGTTGTTGTTGTTACGTTGTAATTAATTACTTTTGTATGTTGCTGCCTGCTGCGTGCACTGCAGACCGTAATTACCAGGGTGAACACCATTACCAGAGTGGCCTACCGGGACGACCCAACCATCATGGCATGGGAGCTTATTAATGAGCCCCGCTGCGAATCTGATTACTCGGGGAGAACCGTCAATGTCAGTGCTTACTACTAGTACTTGCCCTTGTTGTACTGCATGCGATGCGATATATATTTATTGATCATTAGTACTAATGAATAAATAATGAATTGCAGGGCTGGGTTGCCGAAATGGCGGCTTACGTGAAGTCGCTGGACGGGAAGCACCTGGTGGAGATAGGGATGGAAGGGTTCTACGGGGAGACGATGCCGGAGAGGAAGCAGCAGGTGAACCCGGGGTACGAGGTGGGCACGGACTTCATCCGCAGCAATCTCATCGGGGAGGTGGACTTCGCGACGATACACGCGTACCCGGACATCTGGGAGTCCGGGAAGAGCGACGGGGAGCAGGCGGGGTTCATGGAGCGCTGGCTGTGGGCCCACTGGGACGACGCCGCCAAGATCCTGCGCAAGCCCCTGGTGGTGGCGGAGTTCGGCAAGTCCAGCAAGGACCCGGGCTTCAGCCTCGCCGCGCGGGACGCCTACATGGGGACGGTGTACAGGGACGTGTACCGCTACGCCAGGATGGGCGGCAACGTCATGGGCGGGAGCCTGGTGTGGCAGCTCATGGCGGAGGGCATGGACGCCTACCACGACGGCTACGAGATCGTCCTCTCCCAGTCCCCCTCCACCGCCGGGATTATGTCCCGGCAGTCGCACGCCATGGCCGCCCTCGCCCGCCTGCAGCAGCGGACCACCTCCGCAGCCAACTCCACCGCTGCTTCTGCTTCTGCTTCCGCTGCAGCATCATCCGTCCACCACCAACACCACATATAATCACCATCACATCCCATCCCATCCTAGGAATATCCCATCCCATCCTATCCTATACCATCCACCCACTTAAATTAATTTATTGATGCATATTATTATTATCGTCGTAAGTTTGTTGATGTTGTTGTTGTTGAATTACTTAATTACTTTCATATGTTGCTTCTTTGTATCTGTAGTACCGCACCACTACTCCTCTAGCTGGGGATCAACGGGCCGTTCAGCCTCAGCTTCGTTATCAATGTATCACTACTAAATATTATTCAAGTTATAATATTATTGATATACATGTATGCATATATATATATATATATATAATCATACATTAACAAGTCTCTATTTATCAATAATACTAACATAAAATATACCCTCCCCCAGCCATACATCTTCCAAATAAATTATACACACGTATAGCAGATTTATCTCATCCCATGCAGATATTCGCATATATATCTATATGCACACATTTAAAGTGTTGCGTAGTTACTCATTACATTCTTTGATGACATATATGTATAGGAGCATGCAAGCCTGGCTAGTAGAATAAAATGCATTAGCCAAGCCTAGTGTAGCATATTAGATCGAGAAGTGAACATATTTTGACATCAAGATCACAAGTTCACCCACCATATCAAACGGGACCTGTAAGTTGTTATTACACTAGCTGGAACCACTTTAGCTCCTTGTGTCCGTGGGTATATAAATATATCTACAATTCCCAGAGCATTCACTCACATTGGAAGCAAAGAGGGGTTGTGGCTGTAGCTATAGTCATGCCATTCTACAATTATAATAATCAGCCATAGTCACATGCCCCAAATTACATCCCTTGCATCGGGGATGGGATGGGATCCTCGGCACCCTATATACCACGCCCCTCACTAAAAGCAATATATATAGTATATATGATATATATATACATATATTTACATATTACACATATATACAGTTGTGTTAGAGGGGTACTGAAAGGTGGAAGGGAAGGGGGGCAATGATCCCCCTCGACTTGCATCCCATCCCATCCCATTCAAAGACATATACATTCAAGAAGCACGTCATGCCTCAGGCTAGGCTAGAACATTAAGAATGGTAGGTAAACTTATAACCATCTCTATAACATTTACGAACATCCGCCAGGCAGCAACATAGTACATATCATACAGCTAGCTTTCAAACGTTGTGGTAACTATAAGCACACGTATTATCTCCACAGAAGCAAAAAAAGTACTCAATTGTCTGAACCCACAATTTCAAAAAGACATTAAAACACACCAATTTTACAGAGGAATAGGTGCCTATTAATCTTGCAGACAACTCTCACCATCTACTACAAGTGCTTCATTTATCTTGAACTCATTACCGGCCAATTTGTGGTTGCACCGCCAGCATGCAGTGAGGTTCGAATCATTGGGACTCTTTTCACAACTGAGAAAGCTTCATTTAGCCGAGCAGCCCGGCTCATGGTAAGAGATGCCTTCTGCAGATATTATAATTTATGCATCACAACCAAACTAATAACCTTCACAACTGAGGACCTAATATTACTTGAATCTATGATGGCAGAAGCTTGTTGGGATGTCACAATCAAAACAAGGGTGGAATCGTGTAGATTTCATCAACACTACATATAAACCCATTAAATTTGAATGCCAAAGGCTGCTGACATGCTGAAATAAATATAAATAATAAATAAATCAAACCAACAACAATCAATCTATGCACTCTATGGGTTTGAGACGTGGGTTCTTCCAAATAGAGATCTGATCTCGTCTGCAAATGCAAATTCACCCTGTACAAACTACAAACTTTGCTTGTAATAATATGTGTATATATATATATATATATACAGATATATGTTAAGAGACCCTCATCATTTTAATCAAATAAGTTAAAGTTTGTACTGTACTCATTGTTGCTCTAATGATCATACATATATGCTTGTTGTAACACGTGCATTATGATCGATTATTTTCCGAAAGCAAATGTGAGTGTCATACAAATATAAGACCATTAGAATAGTGACAAGCTATACATGCTCATTTCTATATATTGTCACTTAATGAACTAAAGTAATAAAGGATACACTACTAACCTGACTAAATAGCATTTAGAGAGAGAGAGAGAGAGAACCTAAATCAGCAAAAAGGCAATACTTATGGTGGCATATTTACCACCTAGGAATTTAAAACAAACTCATTGATGCACATGCAGTTTTAATTAGAAGGTCCCCAAAATCTTGAGGACACAAGTCCTCTTTCTAATAACATGTACATCCGGATAGTGGCCCTTTGAGCCTCAAGGCAATGAAATAAAATTTACACAGAGAATCAATATATTTCTTTCACATCCAACCAGGAATTATCTACCCCCTTTCATCCCATATGGAAGATCGCCTTACCTCATGGTCATCTAAATTCTCAAGGACCTCAACTAATGCCCGAAAAACCTAACATATACATACCACTCATGGAAAGAAAAAGGATGAGTTGAATTATCCTCAATTGCAACCAACTTTCTCAAGGTCCATAGGCTCTTGCACTGTTAATTGGGGGGGGGGGGGGGGGATACGATAGGCAAAAGGTACAGTTCATTTACCAGCACTAACCTAATACTATATATATTGACCAGAAAACACCACTAAAGTTCAATGGTGAGTGACCAACTGAAAATTGCTCAAACTCATTCAAAATTTAGTTCTATATGAACACCAAATCCAGCGGTCCACTTGCCCACTTCCCAAGAAGTACATTGAATTATTAGTTTATAAGCCTTTCAACTAAATTAGCTCAATGCCAGAACTCGAAAGCTAATAAATACTCCGAATATGACCGGAGAAACCCGTCAGAACTAATTTCTCAAACTGCTGCAGTATAGTTGCTGCTGTATGGAATCGTTTGATGATATCCAGCAAGATGAAGAATATAAAATAATAATGCATAAGAGATCACTGACCTTATCGTTGACGGTAACCTTTATTTTCAATCCACTAGTTTTCTTCTTCATCTTATACAACCTGTGGCTCAGAAGCGCAATCCCCATTACAGCTGCCGCAACAGAGACAGTCAACGCAGGATTCATTCTACAAGCACAATATTTAATGAGCTCCATTGGCATCTTCCACCATGCTATGCTCTTCTTTTCAATATCACGGGGCACCTTTTTCCCTGACCCTGAGTCGCCTACACCTTTGTCTCCTCCACTTACAATCTTCTCGTTTCCATTCCTTCGTGCAACTATAATCTCATTTTCACCACGTAAATTTACGTTGCCAGAGGTCTCCACAGTGCCCGCGGTCCGCAAGTGACCCCCCGGGTTTTCAACTTTTTCCTCAACGATCCGTTGAATTCCTTCAGAGTTCACTGCCTCTGGTACTCTTTTGTAAAACCCCATTTCAGTTCTATTCTTCAAAGAGGTATAAATTCTGTCCTCGGAAAGTTGGCTGCCGGTATCCAGCGGGGGCTCACCTGAATCGTTGTCGAGGGAGCGTTTAGGGTTTTCCTCGAAACGGGGATTAATCCAATTTCCTGCGTCGTCCACGGTGGGCGATTTCTCAGCATCGTCGGAATCCTGTATCGGAGCGTGGGCGTCTAGTGAGAAATGATTGGCCCGGAGTAAGGCTCCCGAGTGACTTTCATCGAAGGAAATCTTCCTATCCGAGGGAGAGTCGGGATCCGAGTCGGTCGGGAGGAGCTCCCAATCTTGAAAAACATATGTGGCCTCCACAGCGTCCATGTACCCTACAGGCGTGCGGCTATGAAGAGTGATTGGAAGTCGATCGATCGGAGGCGGAGAGAGAGAGTGAGAGGGAGAGGGAGAGGGAGAGGGGAAGGGAGATGAAAGTATAATAAGGAAAACTCCAATGTCGAGAGCCAGCAGAGTGATTCGAGTCACGCACACCCTACCCTACCCTACCCAGCTTATCCCAATCCAACCGACACGCGCCCCCGATTCGGTGCTTCAGTTAATCAATGACCAATGATATATTATTTGTCACTCAAGCGATATACGGATGGATCTGGAATCTATCATAATGTGAACTCATAATCAACCGATATACGGATGGATCTGGAATCGATCCCAATGTGAACTCATAATCTCGGGATCACGTATTGGCTTTCCATCTAATATTTTGTTTATAATCACTACTGAACCGAGTGAATATCGATGGATCAATTAATCAATGAATATTGTAATACTGCTAATTTGGACAGTGAAATTGATCGACGGGTTGGCTAAGGCATAGTTTTATCTGGACAGAAAAAGTATTCATTGGATGGACGGAATTTGAACTTGTGGTCACCAAATTATTCATTCACTCTCACTCACCTACTGCTACTTGTCTACCATTAAACATGTTTTGATTAATTGGTTGGCAGGCTTGGCTTGGGTGGTTCTAAGAAAGAATAATAAATAAGAAGCATCCATCCCATTATTCCCATCGCATTGCTCGCCGCCAGCCACTCGACTCGTACCTTCAACAAGCTTCCTCCTTCCTTCCTGAGTTCCTGTTCAGTCCGGCTCTGGTTTCGGCTTGTTCTCCTCCACAAATAAATAAATAAACAATAAATCAAATCAAATTCAACATAAAACAAAACTACTGTTCGGTTGTCCATTCCGTTCTGTTCTATCAACCCCGCCTTCCAAAATCTTCTCCCGCTCTCTCTCTCTCTCTGGCAGGCAGGCAGGCAAGATTGGAGAACGATTCGGAGCATTCTACAGGAAGCAAGCAAGGAAGATTCTCAGTCCGCGACGTGGCAGTTCACCCTGCGCCCACAAACACACCAGTCCAGTCCAGAGAGCGAGAGAGAGATGAGATCAGCCAGTGTATGCCACATAATAGAATAAGAATAGAATAGGAAAAAGGCAAAATGAAAACCAAAAAATCCCACCCCTGATAATACTGATACATACTCCTTTTTATCTTCTTTCTTCCCCGCCCGTAACTTCGCAGTCCTCCTCCGAGTTCGAGGATGCTCACCGTTCCCTTAACTAGACTCGCGCCGCCCGGCCTCACCCCCCTCCCTGCCGCTGCTGCCTCCTCCTCCAAATCCTTCGTACTTGGCCAGGGTCCCAGCTTCCAGTTTGCCTTGATTGGGTTTAAGCCCAAGCGCTTCCATTTCTTGTCACCATGTTCTTCACTCAGAGAAACCAAGAAACAGCAGCAGCCGCAGCAGACTCTTTCTAAGGCTCCCGATACCGCCCCTCAAAGCCTCGGAAAAATCTTCAATTTCGATCCAAGAGGTGAAAACAAGGAGAACTACGAAAACGATGGTAATGCTAATGCTAATGAGACTGAGAGTGCTGCAGCCGATGACACCGCTGTTAAAGGCACGCTCTTGGCGGGGCTTCTTCTCGTAGGTGTTATTGGCGGGTTTGGAACTGTTGGGTACATATACAGGGATCAGATTAATGCGCTCTTGACACAATTTTCTGGCTTCATTGATGGTACTTTTGTGTATTTATTTTTTGCACGATTAAAATTGTTACTTGGTTGAAATGTTCCTTGTTTTCGTTGGCCATAGATCCGATGTTTCTTACTTAGGTTTTATTGATTCAAAGTTCATGGGATTTTACCTGTTTGATCACTCGTAGAGGTAGTAATGTGAATTGAAGCCGCTTGTGATTGCTGTGGTGAATTAAGCTCGGCATCACCAGCTGCAAGTTTGAAAGACCTACTGTTAGTCCAAAATTTCTCAGCCTTTTCACAAATTTGAGATGGACTAGGGAACTCAATTTATGTTACTCAATTAGGAGTTCTTAAATATGTATTTCTTCATGTTTTGAGTTAATGTGAAAGCAGTGTATTCAGGCTATATCCATTGAATGAACTAAACATATTGGACTTTAGGTTCATTTCTTTCTGTGAGGGATTAGTTCAAAATAATAAACAAACTGGATTCAATCAAGAATTTGGTTTGCCGTGTTAGCACAGGAGGACAAAATTATGTTTGAAACTCAAAACACATAGCAATTACATAGCCCGATGATAATGTAGTTTTGACTTTGTAGTGAAATATGACTTTCTTTGATGATGAAATTGGTTGCTCAAATTAATTGTGGCATTTAATCTTTTGTTGATGCTACTTGCGTTGCTTTTGGCCAAATGACATATTTGATTAGTTTAGAACACTGAACTCAAAATATGAGATATATGGTTTAGTTCGTGTCTACCTTTTGCCTTAAATATATCTAAATTGAATCCTTTTTCAGGTTATGGGCCAGCTGGGTATGCTCTCTTTGTGGCAGTCTATGCTGGATTGGAGGTTCGAATTGATTTTTTCTCTAGTTTAAGATTTTAAATCAAGATTACCCATCTTTCTTCTGACATTCACATCATTGATCACTTAGAACTTTTACTGAGAGATTTAAGTGAACAATGACAGTACTTTGTACTTATCCATACCTGTAATTGAATTGAATGAGAATTGGTCTGTAGGAGGTAAATCTGATCATGACATCGCTCTCACCAAGTATCAATCGCTGACTTTAGAAATGAAAATTGTCATATGTGTTGATGCATCCTGTAGTGAAACTTTTCATTTGCTCTGCAATACTTGCAATCCCTGCAATCCCGTTGACAATGTCTGTGGGTTTACTTTTTGGCTGGCTTTAGGAATCAATTTTTTGTATGTGTTGATGCATCATGTAGTGAAACTTTTCATTTGCTCCTAAGATACTTGCAATCCCGTTGACAGTGTCTGCGGGTCTGCTGTTTGGCTGACTTTAGAAATGCAATTTGTTATATGTGTTGATGTGTCAAACTTTTCATTTGCTCTGCAGATACTTGCAATCCCTGCAATCCCATTGACAATGTCTGCGGGTCTACTGTTTGGCTCTGTTACTGGAACTATTATCGTCTCTTTAAGTGGCACGGTAAATACATTTACCGAATAAATGAGGAGGGTGACATGAATTGGGTCCTGAAATCAATTGTTCTCTCCCTGACTTTTCAGGTCGCAGCTAGTGTTGCATTTCTAATCGCCAGATATTTTGCTCGTGAGCGAATTCTTAAGCTTGTGGAAGGAAATAAAAAATTCCTTGCAATAGACAAAGCTATTGGAGAGAATGGTTTTAAGGTCGTTACCCTGCTCCGTTTGAGTCCATTGCTTCCATTTTCTCTTGGAAATTACCTCTATGGACTTACATCAGTCAAGTTTGTTCCATACGTGTTAGGAAGGTCAGGTTCCACTCCTTCATTCTCATATTTTGGAAGCTAGCCCAACAGTTGGCTTGTCTGTGGGTATTCCAGATTTTTATGATTTTAGGAGTAATTTTATGTCATTTCGCTTATTGTGCATAATAGACATTCAAAAAAAAAAAAAAAGGTCTGGTCTAAGCTATGACAATATTCTTATGACATAGTACATTTATTTGTGTAAATAATTCTAATTGTGGTTTATTTATTCCTTTAAGACCTTGTAATCCAGTGTAATGGATGATGTGTGAATTACTGTGTTGGTACAGTGGATGACGACAGATATAATGTTGATGACAATCTTTTAAGTTTGTTTTAAGTCTTATCCATAAACGCAAGAATATTTTCTAATGAAATTGGTCAATAATTTTTTGGCAGCTGGTTAGGCATGCTTCCTGGAACATGGGCATATGTGAGTGCTGGTGCATTCGGGAGAGCATTAATTGTGAGTGTCAATGTTTTTGTCTTTTAACCTGTGGTTTAACTGTCTTCATTTCCATGTTAAATGCAAAGTGTGCTACCTTTAAACTTTACCCTTCTACCTGTTTGACATCCTGTTCAGAAGTTGATACTCTTAAGAATGCTATGTCCTTTAGGTGGTCGTTTATTAGACTTGTGTTATGTCATTTGTCTTGCAATAAACTCTGTTTATAAGCGGACAAGAAAGTGACGACACCATCTGAGGAGGAATCCTCCAAAATTGGAATGAAGATGCTGAAGGTTTGTGATTGTTCTGATGATGGTTCTGTGCAGCAAGAAGAATCTGATATAGGAGGATTAGGAGGGGGGAATGGGCAGCTATGGACTCTGGGACTAGGGCTATTGGCAACAGCAGTGGCAGCATCATATGTCACTCGGCTAGCTAAGGTAACCAGGGCAGCAGATGCATGTATCATCATTAAATCAATAACATAGAAATGTGTGTGCGCTGAGCAGAAAGTCGGGGGTCTGATAGTGTGTCTGTGTATTATATTATATATACAGGATGCTGTAAAAGACATGGAATAGAGAGTGAAGAAGGGTGCATATGGCAGGCCAGCTGAGCCTGCAGCCATACGATATGATACGTAGAGTCAGGGGTGGTAGCAGCATTTACTTGATCTCACCGTCATCTTCCACCCCACTTGATCTTAGTTATATGCAATTGTGTATATATGTGAACTGTACATTGATGATACCTCTGACCTCCCAGCCCATCAGATCACATCAGATCCAATCCATTTATGTATGTATATTCCATGTTATTGATGATTGATTATAAGCAGCAGCAGCCAATAGTGTATTTTATTGTATTGTGTTGCTCTATAATCAACATTATGGAAATAAAGAAATAAAACAGGAAGAAAGAAGGCCATTTCGTTTCATTTCATTTCATTTTTGGGAGCACACAGGACAGCAGCAATGGGATCAAGCATCACCATCCCTACAGTAAAACTCAGCACTGCACCACAGGTGACAGGACCGGAGGAACCAATTCTGGTCCCCATTGTGGGATGATAGCTAATATAATCCAATAAATTCTCTTCTTTGGTTCTGTACTACTGCTGCTGCTCTGCTCTTGACAAATCAGATTGTGAAACATGCATGGGCATTATTTGCAGGAACAGAACAGCATATGACTAATACTGTACAGGGCATGCGAAAAAATAGCTGCTGCTGCTGCAAGTTAGTTTAAATGAATTACTGAATCTCACATGACCACAAATATGCATAGAAAGAACCCCCTCCCTCTATAGTACAGCATCGTGTAGCATAGTACAGAAACAAAGCCCACATTGTCTGCCAATGGGATGGGAGATTGGCCAACAATTGGCATGGGGAGGAGAATTACGTACATACAGACATACATGCATGCATGCATGCATACAGGACTCACTCACAACCCTCAACCTCAACCTCACTCAAGGGCGCTCATCTACGAGAATGGTGGAGTCATTGCCAATGCCAAGCTCCACAAGTGACGCCATGTCATCCTCAAGTAGTGCGGGTAATGGTGCGCCCTGCAACTCCATCACCATCAACTTCATCAATTACTACCAGGCTACAATGCTACTTAACTTCTTTATTCTCGTATACTTATTTCAGCGTGCTATACAGGACAAACTCTCGCAAGAACCAAAGTACTGTGACTGAAAGCAAGAAATGGGTATAGATGAGATGAAATTATTTGGCCGCACCAACCTCTTCTTGAAGAAACAGTACAGGCTTAACAGACTTCAACTTGAAGAAACTCTCGCACAGGTTCTTGAGCTTTCCTACCTGAACACCGACAGTTCAAACCACAAAAATAATACAAGTAGGAGGAGACAGCTTTGCAAAACTGAAACAAGCATCACCGTTGTGGTTGCAGGCAACTTTTTCACCACCAACGGTTTTTCACCCATTGATGCTCCAGTACATTTCAAGGAAACAGCTGCGCAGATAGATAACCAGTGGAAACTTTAGAATGTTTGACATTCCGTAATGTAGGAGCTTATCACAAACATAGTAAAGAGTAATACAAATTAATGTTAATGCCAATTTTTGAGGGCCTGATGCTCCCGTGGATGGTTTCTCATCATCAATTCCATGGATCTGTCTGAGCTCAAGAAACCTGCTTATCCAGTTCATATGAAGATGTCTTAGCACTCTTCTAAGTAAATATCAGATTCATAACCATGGAATATAAATTAATCAAAATATATAAATATTATTCATTTGTCTTTAAGCATTTGGAAAGAAGCCAAAACCCCATGGTACAGAATTAGGTGGACTGAAATAGCATATATTTCTCATCTGTCCAAAACAAGTACAAGGATAAAATATACACAGTAGAAGGATGGGAATTCTCATTACATGTTCACACTATCGTGTTCGAGGTTGATTAATTTCTTCATCCATAAATTTCTGGTTTGGTATATGATAAGAATATCCAATGGGATAAATAATCATATTCCACCCACTAAAGGGAACATGCCCCCAAAGTATCAATTGCCAGCAAAAGTCATGTATATCACTTGAAGTAAGGTTCTACACACAACTTTCTTTAAAATAGCTATACTGGGAGAGACAAAGAAAAGCATTTGCTACCTTGGATGCAGCCTCAATACATCTGCAGAACTGCCATGAAACTTTGACATGACCAGGCGTATGTACCTGCAGAAATACAGCTAAAACACTGTTACCCAGCAGCAGGATACTTGAAGTTCAAAACAGACAATATACTCATTGAAACTCCCGAAAATAATTCACAAAAACAAAATGGGCATGTTCACTTGTGTTTCTTTCCCATTTATCTTTTTTATTATTCAACCTACTATTCTCTCAAAAAACACCAATCCAGCCCCCATGTTCTACATACAAAACATCACATCTAACAACTATTTTCACAAAAAAGGACATCAAAACAAAAGAACACAGCCAATATGTTCTGATGGAATCATTTCATCCCAACACATGATCTTACGGTTGTACAAGCAAATTTCCCCAATGAGGAAAGTTTCATCCATCTTTCTGGAAGGTACAGACTACAGTTACTATTGAATACATCATAAACCATTAATAAGCAGTTTTGAGGAAAAAAAGTACCGAATTTCAGAATCCTTCCTTTCTCGAGGACTAACCTGCAATGGCAAAAGGCACATCAAACCAACATAGGAAGATCACCAGCTCCCAATACTAATGCTGATGATGATAGCAGTGAAGTCTAAAGAAAAAAAAAATATGTAAGGAAGAGAACATCATGGGTTCACTTACCTCGCTTCCGTTAAGTATTTTAACTTTGGCTAAACGAGCAATAAACACAAATCTAGGGACACCACCTTTTCCAAGATCTGCAACTGGATTATCAGATAGCCTAACATCCTACATAAGAATATGTAAAACATCATCCTTCGGATAGAAAGGCATATTGAATCTCAAAAAAGAATCTTTATTAAATTAATGGCATTTTATCCCCATCCCCCCACCCCCCCCCCCCCCCCCCACCCACCAAAAAAAAAAGAAAAAAAAGAAAAAAAAGAATACAAAGATGAAGGTTTTGAAATATTCAAACTAACATCAACACATAGTTCTCCAAAATAGTGCTGACCATCAAGTTAGGGAAGGAGTTCAGAGAATCAACAGATCCCAGGTCTTCAATATTGTTGCTCCCTAAAACAGAAGCCACTTGGTTAAATTCTCCACCAAGCAGGCACCAGCAATGAAAGATAGTATGAATTGTCAAATTTACCCAAAGAGAGGCCATGCAAATTCTCAAAAGGCCTGAAACTTTTCCCAGGGGATTCAATCTCATTGGATGGTTCATCCAATTTCTCACATTCAGGATACCAGATATGATTCAAATTATTGTAGTTTAAATAAAGCTGCTCCAGACTAAGCACCAGAACCACAAGGTAAAAGATCTATAACATTTAAAATTTACGGTAAAGTATTTACAATACCAAAAAAAAAAAATGTGGATGCCCCTACCTGGGTAGCTGCGAGAGCTTTACAATTTCATCCCAATCGGATAAACAATTATGTTCGAGGTTAAGAAGTTTCAAAGATTTAAATCCTTGGACAAAAGTGGAAGACAGTGGCTGGATGGGAAAAAAAAGAAAAACATAAGGAGAGAACACCATGACACATTATATGAAGTAAAACAGGCATAATAATGAAAAAGGAATGTTTAAACGGGGTAATTAAACATATACAAATTAGCTAAGATTCCAGGTACTTATCCACAGATATTGAACAAAACGTGTTAATATGCTTTTAAGCTAACATAACAATAGTTCAAATTCTGTATGTTGCATAACCAGAACAGCCATGCTTCTAAAGCATTTTTGTCAATGGAAATTAAGATCTCAGATAAACTGAATGGTGCTCAATTTTTCATGCACCCATGAAATGGAAAATGAAATCTTGATAGTATTTTCCTAGAATTATAACAGCAAATAAAATATCTTTGATTCAAATGTTACATATTGAAACACAATGTTTCTCCATTATCTATAGGCGGGTATCAAACAATAAGCAACATTTTCAAGAAATATTTTCCACAGTTCTGTAGGATAAAGTAATCATGCATGGAATAGCTTTAAAAGCAATTCATAGGAATGACAATTTTCTGAGCTGCTGCTAAATCAAAACCCCCTAAGAAAGCATCAACATGAAGTAACTGCTAACCGTTATTCTTTTCAAATTATTTTCCATGAGATGCAACTCCGCCACATGGGGAATAGAATCCCTAAGAATTTCAACCTGGAAAAAAAAAAAAAAAAATCATTCATGCATCTTCAAGTGTAAATGAATAGAAAAATATCTTAAAAGTGCAGATTTGAGTTACACCTGCTCCCAAAGTACTCCAGTATGGTTCAATACCAAAACACAAATGTTGCTTAGCTGGGGCATAATGGTTACATTAGAAGACATGGAATTACTGGATATATTGAGATCTGTGAGAGCTGGCAATCCTTGACATATTATGCCAACATCCTCGAGGACAACCAAAGACATTTAGAATGTTATTAAGCTAAAAGCAGCTTGTCAATAAACAAAAGCAAATAGAATAGAATCATCACATTTAGCATGTGCACTGGACATCTCCATGTAAACAATCGGTTAGCAAACTTGGAAGATGCAAAACAAGTCAACTATTCTGACGAAGAGAGAAATCAGTTAAATGCTAAGCTAACAACACAATGCAGAGAATCCAGGTACGATAAAAGGATGTATTTAAGACCATAGTAAGAAAGATTTAAAAGTGCTATTCAGAAAATGACATCCGCACATAGGCGAGGATTGATACAACAGTGTACAAGAAATTGGGACACATACTTGCCAATCGGAAAGTAGGTTTCCGCTCAAGTCAAGCTCCTTCAAATCTGCAAAAAAGGATTTTAGGCTCTGAAACAAGTACACTACATAAAAGGAACAAAAGTATGTAAGAGTGAATATCTTGCGTTGTAAATTACAGGAGTAGTTTGTAAGGCTGTAGCCTATAATACAAAATAAACAAGCACCAAATTTTGCATTTGAAACCAACCCAAAAAACCAGAACGATAGGAAATTTCAAATACAGCACCAACTAGGCGATAGTATCAACTTACTAGGTAGAGTTTTAGTGACTTGGTCAGCTGACTCACAAAAACTAACCCCTAGATATGATAATGATGCAGTCTTCAGCTCCTCAAATCGACTCAGCTTGTCTTCAATTTTATCTTTCCCAAGGAGCTGAATAGACACTCTTTTGTGTCTTGCAGAAAAGACATACATCTCATCTACAAAGTCACCAAGACACCAAAAACAAGCAGGCACATTTCAGCCAATGCTTAACAAAAAGGTAAAATTGAAGGCGTGTATCTAACCTCACATGTCAATGGTAACCTGTAAATAAGAAACTGGAACTAACAGCTATACAAGACGCACTATTAGAGTAGAATCTCAATTAAGTGTGAAGTGACAAGCTTCTAGATTGTGATGCAATCTCCCTCCATCTAAATGCATAAAAACTAGACCCTCCTACCCTTTCCTCGTCTATAGCGTACACCCACACAAGCTCATATTTTGGTACTTAAAAATCAATTCTTTAATTTGCAGAGATGCTTGTCATCAAGGCTCAAATTTGATGGACACCCGAGAAATTCAATCAACACACAAGCACGCGCTAAACTTCCGTATGTGTGTGTGTGTGTTTTACCTTCTTCGTCTTTCGTAGTGGCAGTTCGATATCGAGTTTTTAGGGCTTCAAGTAGGGAGATGCCGGAGCTCAAATTATGGGGGCGCACGAAGGATGCGGTATAGGGTCCCCTGGCCGTGAAATATCTGACGCCATTGTGGGATCCATCGTGCTTTCCCTCGCCGGGAGCATCCCAGTCTACTCCCACCCAATCACCGGAGTAGCCTTGCACGGGACCCACGTACTTGACGGCTCCGGTTCTTCTGGGTTGTGAAGTGAAATGGACTCTCTGGCCGACCCAGAAACCAGATTCGGCGGAGGCCGGCGACGACGTGGGGGAATGCAACTGCGGGTGAGTCTGCATCAGCGGTGGGGCTGCGGGAGTTGATCGGTCAGCCATCACATCAGCGAACTGAACAGAACTGAACAGAACTGAACTAGCAATTGGGTGTCGCTATTCGCTCGCCAAGCCAACTTCGCTGGAGTAGCGGAGTTTAAAGAGACCTAAATTTATATTTATCAAACGTTATTTAACAAAATATAAATCTTATTTAATTAAATTTTTAATTCTTTTATTTTTATTTCTTTTTTTATTAAATAATTATTTTTATTTATATTTAAAAAAATTACACCCTCCGTCCCACATAATGTCCCTATTTTTTATTTTCGTCCGTCAACTTGTCTTTTTTTATTTTTGGAAATATAATTATGCACTTTAATTGTATTTTAAATTTTAAATTTTATAATTTTCTTAATTTTAATTAAACTATTTACTTATCTTAATCTTAATCTATAATTATTTTTACTAAATAATAATTACTTTTATTAATATACTTTTTAATTACTTATTAATTATACTTTGTTTAATTATTTATTAATTATATTTTATTTAAGTTCTCGTATCTATATTAATACAACGGAAAGAATATTATTTATAAAAGTATGAGATTTATAATAAAATAATACCATAACAAAACAACTTAATATTTAATATTTTATTTTTTTATTTGAATATCACTTAATGTGGACAAAAAAATATTTTTTTCTTTGGTATAAATTTTAATGTTGGACAGAAATATGTTGTGTTTATTTTAATAATACAAACTAGTTTCTCGCAATAATTTATCCTTTAATTAATTAACTATGGTAAACTTGATAGAAAGCGCAGGCAGTCGCAGTGGAGTGTTTGTTTTTACCAAGAGATGGTCCGTCTCTCCCTTCGTCGTCATCAACTCCTCCCTCCTCGCTCTCTGCTGTGTTTTTATCAGCTGATTCATCCGTTCCTGCAATCCGCGCTGCACGTAGCTGGTTGGTTAGAGCAGCAGAGCAGGCAGCTGAAAACTAACGACCCTCCCCTCCAGCTGCTTCTTTTGATGGATGGATGGATGGAACAACTTCTGAAGACCCATCCTAATAAAGAAAGAAAAGCAACTGCTCTTCCTTCCTTCCTTCCTTCTCTCCACTGGGCATTAGGAGGAGGAGACAGTGGCGCAATCTAATGGTAGTGGTAGCTGTTGTTGTGATGTTCTTTTCCCCACTTGTTGAACTGCTGCTGTGCACTAACCACACTGCTGTCATGCCATGCCAGGCCAGGCCAGGCCAGCAGCTTGATCGAATGCACAACCGTTTCATTACAACTAAATCCAACGGGCTTTTGGACACTGATAAACTTACATAAAAAGACAGATACCCCCCACATTGGGTACTATACAATACAATACAAGAATGTAGCAGCAGCAGCAGCATAAGCATATTTGAAACCATATTTATATTGCATGTTGCAACTTAAAAAGGTAAGTACTGTCGTTAATTAAAGGTTACTACTGTTCAGACCACTACGCCCCTACATATTTGTATCTACACAACGAAGCAAATTTATTTATTTGTTTATTTAATTATTTAGGGGCAGCAGCTAATAAGGCAGCAGAAGAAGAAGAAGAAAAAAAAAAAGGAGAAGCAGCAGTTGTATAGGATAATATACTCTACATTTGATCTGGGTTGGCACAGGGATTGATGGCAGGATGACCCTTATTATATATCTTGCTTAGGCTTGCGGCTCATTTCAGAGTAGTGACCTCCCATCAGTTGCAGAACCTCTTCCCACAAGCCATCAGGATAAGATTTCTGTGATGCCCCAGATATCAAGTTTGCACTACACGCAGCAACATACCAGTAATCCGATTCAATCTCCTCTATGAGTTGATCCAGCTGCCACCCTGCATACCCCATAAAGAATCTGAAATCTTGGGGCTTCAGTGTCCCCTTCTTTATCAATCTTGAAGCCTCATCCAAACTGTTCCGGGACCCAAAATATATCCCAGGAATAATCTCCTCAAAACCAGCAAGTCCAGCAGTCTCCCCAGCTCTCAACAAAAACATACTTGCATCAAGGGGTCCACCAAAATGCAAAGAACAGTCAGCAAATGTCGTTGCCAATTCTATATTACTGGGATTCATATGTTTCATTTTTTTGTGAAGTGGACGATTTACTACAACCCCAAAAGGGCCCTCCTGTGGATTCCTTGTTCCAGACCTGAGGAGAAGAACTACAGTTCTCTCAAAGGTGCGAACACCATCAAGCTTTTCTGTAGCGACAAGAAGGCAGCCATTCTCAGGCACTGAAATAGGGTGAGCCCATTTGAGTGGAAGAGATTTTAAACCAGTTGTTGATGCTCCATCTTGGTCTTGAACTGAATCTGCAGTTTCAGCCTGGAAGAACATGTAAGCACATCAAACCATTCATAAACATCATTTTCAAGTTAACAACTCTTGAATTTAAAGTTACAGACTTACAAGTAAACCAACCAAATTTTAAAATGATGAAATTTGTTCACATAAGGCGTGTGAGCATAACTGATCCAGGTAGACCTCAACAATAGAATTCATCATTCAAAGAAGAATACCTGCTCCTGAGTATAGAGCAATGCTCTAAACTCCCGCCAATCCAAAGGCTTAGGTTGGGACTTTTGTGGGCTAGCATCGTCAGATTTGTTGTTTCCAGGGAAAGAATGGTCACCTTTTAGGCTATCTCCTCCAGTTTTTGAGTGATCATTGTCCCCCTTAAAGACAAAATCATCTACATAAAATGAATTGCAAGTCACTAGGCAATATCAAATGTTATTAACTTATGCAAAGGTCATACCCCCAATGCAACAAGCGATGCCACTAAGGATTACTTGGATTAGAGAAACCCAAATTAGAGAATAATGGAGAAAGTTTGAGCAGAAATCATCAAGAGAATTTTGAATGTGTAAACAAATTTGAGCTCAATATGGTTTGATACACACAGCTGCACTAATATTGGACATATCAGGGGTATTGCATTCTTCCATCCGTGCTGCCTAATATGTACCAGGAATACATCAAACCTCACTACGTCCAGGACCAAGTTCACATCTATTAAGATGTGTAATCAATTCAACCCACAAATTCATTTCACAACTTCTATACAGACAACGACCATCATTGCAGTAGCACTAGATTATATATTGCCGTGCTTCAGTCCACGCAATCCATTTTTGAAACAAATTGGGATATACTTGCACTAACTAAGATAAACTAGTTGATCACGTACAATAATAAAGGTCCTATATTGATCATTAAGCCCCAAAACTGCACGCAAAATTAACCAAAATGAGCGGAGCGGAAGAATAAGTGCAAATGTTAGATGATCATCAAACAAACGCCAGCGACTTTAAGGAGGCAATTATGATCCTGCACCTAAACATCCCCAAATCACGAGGAAGGAATTAGCGCCAGGAATCACCCAAACTAGAAATTGCAATTGATCAAGCAGTCAACACCGCAGCACTTAGGAGGGACAATAGAGCGGCAGGAATGAAGGAATATTTACCAGAATTGCTGGGGCTTCCGGGATTCTTCTTCCCCTTGGCCCTGAGCAACAGAGATGGATACTTGGTATGGTAACCGGAGCAAGATTCCACTCTGGACAAGCTAATTTGCAAGGGCGTTGAAGAAGTGAGGGGGTTCTCGGAAACGGAGGAATTTCTGGGCGGAAAGACGATGGTGTTTTTCGGGTGCAGGCACCAAAGATCCATAATTTCCAGCAGAGGAGAAGAGGCGGGAGGTGCGTTACCTGACCTGACCAGGAGATGAATGGTTTATTATAGGAAAAATAGAGAAGTGGAGGGGAAGAGGGAAGACAAGGAAACAGAAAAGCGGTGGTGGTGGCCGGTGGGAGGGATGACCCGCTCTGCTCTGCTCCGCTCCCAGTAGGGATCGGATTCATGGGCTGCTTCGGCCCGCTTGGGTTTTAGGTTTTGATATGTGTAAATATTATTATCAGTTACCAATATATATATATATACACACTAGTGTTCTCCCAACGATCAAGTTTAAGGATCACTAATTTTTGCATGTTAATATTTGAATATTAATTATTATATCAAAACATAATATAAATTAAGAAAAAAATGCAAAAATATTTTTATTAGTTTCTCGTGGAACTTTTGTACAAAAAAAAATAAAAATAAAAATATACACATATAATAATATTTTTAATGTTAATACAATGACGCAAAAGATAAATGTGTGATATATTAATTCTTTTTTAAAAAATATGTTAAAAAGTTTTTAGTAATAAAACACAATGTTTACCTATATCATTTAATTATAATATAATTTTAAAAACTATTAACAATTGCATATCAATAATAAATAATAAATTACATATGATACCCTCGAATTAGGCAGTTGTTTGATCAACTCTTTTGTATGGATGACCCATTATTTTAAGTTGTTTAGAGTTTAATTGATTGAATAGACTACTCATACCACCAACGTACATATTTCTTTTCGAAAGTCATACCGAAATAATTCTATATTTAAACATGCTCGTCCTGGAATCATTTGAGGAGTGCGGGAAGAACTTGAGTTGACCTTTGGGACAATCTACAATTCTGACACAGACTTTGCGTGACTTATGGGCCAGGTTGTCACAGTACCAAATATCAATAATTAAATATTCTTATAGTTAAAATCATAAAACAATAATAGATTTTAAATTTTAATATATATTATATAAACAAACAAAATTTATTAATTTTAATATACTTTATATAAACAATGTAGAAAGTTAAATTTAACAAATATTGGTAACGAATAAATTTAATAGAAAACAAAAGTAAATTTTATAAAAAAATATAAAATAAAATTAAAAACTAATATTCAAATATTTTTATTGAAAAATTACACATACGCGAACAAAAAAAGAAACTCCCAAGGTTTAGCATTTGTTTTGTAGGAAATTGAAAATTTCATAAAAGCACTCGAATTTTCGGTCATTGTTATTTATTTTTCTTCTCACGCAACACCTAACATGCTTGAGGGAAGATTGATGACTATTATTATGAGCAAAATGAACTTCGACGACGGAGAGATTGTTGTTGATAGGTGAATTGTGAATGTAGGCAGAGAGTAGAGAGTCAAGTGGAGGAGAGTTTAGTATGAGAATGACAGAAAGTATATAAATCCGATAACACAACTAACACAAACAGCATTCATAAATAAACACTACTCCAAACCCTACCAGCCAGCAGCCGCCCTCCCGATCCTGCACTCTCTTCCTATTTGTTTCTTCTTTTTTTCTTTTGTCCCTCTTTCTTCTTTTCAGCTGACGTCATCCGCTGGGATGTCCGCCTCTTTCTTCTTATCTCTTCATCACCCACACACAGAATCTACTTCTAGTGACCCGACTTTCAATGGAAGCGGCTCAAACACGGCGCCGGCGAAGCCTTCTCGTCGAAGCACAGCTTATATCTGGCCGGAGAACTCTCTTGATCGGCTTTGCTCTGCAATCGTATGTGCCGTCCACACCGCGTCCTCAGTGCTGTAGCAAGTTTTTCCCTTCCAACCAAATAAGGTAAAGTGAACAATGGATTAAAGTGCAGTCGATGAAAACATTAGAGCAAAACTCTAAAATAAAAAATCATCAAATTCTACCATTTCATTGCGAAACGTCCACTTTTTTCTCAACTTTGTAACTGTTTTCTTTTCATTTGGTATGTTTCTTCGTCTATTTAGTTTGTCATTTCCTTCTTCTCTGCTCCTCCTGGCCCGTTCACAATAACATCATGTAGTCTCTGCAAAAACAAAAACAAAAAAAATAATAATAAATACTTAAAAAGTCAATCGTGTTATTTTGGAAAGGAAAGCAAGTCGTAAAGGAATAAACATCTACTACCTGGTGCCGACAACTGAATGCCGGAGAAAAGAGGACTGATTCTCTTAAATACGTGTGAACCTACCTATAACTATAATCCACAAAAAGTTTAAATTTTTTGGGGAAAATAAAGAGTCGCACACTAGAGGCATCGGAAGTTGTTAAAAAAACATTGGAACTATAAAAAAGTAAAATTACATCGCAATGAACAATATAATTTACTTTTTGAATTATTCCTTTTTTTTAAATAATTAATTCAAATCTTATAATTAATAATCTTATGGAGTAGTATAATTTTACTGTCTATTGGAATATATTAAAAACAATAAATGAAATATTAAGTAATAATAAATTTATAATATTAATATTCCACACTAAAATATATATTAGTGTATTAAAAATATATTAAAGAAAAATGAACTTAACAAACGAAATAATTAATAATAAATCAAATTATACAATCAACTAAAAATATATATATACAAAATAGCTAAACCAATCAAAATATACAATCAATAAAAAAAAATTATATATATCAAATGGCCACAACCAATCAAATTTCATAATAAATGGAGTATAAGATAAGATACATAAAATAAGATAAGATATTGCTATTATTAATTTAAAATTAAATAATAATTTTACTATTAACTTAAATATTAATAATTAAATGTATTAAGTAATTTTATATAATAATAAATATTAGAACTTAGATATGTCTAGATAAAATATTACTATGTAGAACGAAAATATTTATTATATTAATCATATATTTTTTACTATACTCAATTACTAAAAAAAATACCAATTATATTTTATATCTTATAGCAATATGTATTTAAAGAATTGACTACACTACAGATGTACTAATTTTTTATTAATATAGCATATATTTTAAAAATAACTATTAATTATAATTATATTTTTTACAATATAAAAAATAGAAATAGTAAAGATACATTACATCAAAATAATTTTTTGTATATTATAAAATAAAATAATTTAATATAGTATATACATATACATATAACAATAATTTAAGAAGAAAGAAAAATATAAAAATAATAATTATTCATGTGTCACATATGTTTTACATCGAATAAAAAATTACAACATGCAATGGCCAATTAATTGCACAATCAATCAAAAATTAAAATAAAAATTATTTTAAATTATTTTAAATCCATTCTTTATATGTTAGTGGACCCCACTAAGTTCAAATCTTATATATATCCTAATATCCTAATTTAAATAGATTAATAAAATTGTTTCATTAAATAAAAATAATATAAAATTAATATGTTAAATTTTTAACAATATTTATTAATAACTTTAAATTTCATTTAAAGCTAATTTTGTAAATTAATTAAAATTATATATTATATATTATTTTTATTTTTTAGATATAGTTATACATTGGAATATTTTTTATATTTTTAATAAATAAGAAAATAATTTTATGAATATTTAAATATATTAATAAAATTATTTTCTCAAATAAAAAATAATTATTAAATTAAAATATGTGTTTGTATTAAAATTGCATATATAAAAAATTATTGGCTCACATTCTTGTATAAATAAGAAAAATAATTTTATGGATGTTTAAATAGATTGATAAAATCATTTTATGAAACAATAAAAAAATAATTATTAAATATATATTTTTTAAATTGTATAGAATGAAATAAAAGAAAATATAATAAATAACCAAATTTATTATACAAATATTTAAATATGTTAAAAAAAAATACTATATCAAACAATCAATAAATAATAATTATTAAAAATTAATTATTTGTATTTAAATTACACAATATTATTGTGGTGAGGACCACAATGAATTCAAATATATATATAAGATAAGATATGATATAATTAAAATTATATATATAAATAAATTTAATACAACACCTATGCAAAATAAAATTAATGTTATAATAAACTACATCTATCTCATATGTAAATATACATTTAAAAGAAATAATTACAAAGATATCTATACAAATAATTATTATATATGATGCACATGATTTTAAAACATATATATTAAAAATATATACTCTATATATTAAATATTATAATCAATGAAAATTAAATAAAAAAATGTAAAAATACTAAGAATTCAAATTTTATATAAAGTGGAATCCACATATGTTAATATGATAAGATAAGATAAATTTATATATAATTAAATTTATAAGCATACAAAAACATCCGATGTAAAATTATACTGTAATTTACAATTTATACATATACAATTAAAATCTATCTCTACATTTATAATATTATTTATATGTTAGCATATTAGAAAATATATTATTAAATTATTACAATTCTATTAATATATTAAGTATATAAAAATAACCATTAAATACAATTATATTACATATAAGTGAACTTTACAATGAACTCTTATAATAATATATATACATTTAAAAATTAATCATTAAAATAAATATATATAACAATTATTGTATATAATTCATATTTTTATAACCACCAATCAAAAGTAATGACCAATCACATTATTTTTAAAAAAAATGCAAAATCGCTAAAAATTCAAGCTTTTTGTGAGTGGACCCCACGATGAGCTCCTATAATATTATATATATGATATGATATATATATTATATTTTCTGTTTATTATATATATATATTATTTTTTTCATCCAAAAGTTAGAAAATAAATGAATATTTACTTTTTGCCTTATGATATAGTAGTATAAAATTAATATTAAATTGTTTGTATAAATAAATATAAATATAAGAGTAAATATTTTGATTTTAAACAATAAAAAATAACAAAATATACTTATCTACACAAAATATACATATTTTTTGTCGGAGAGTTTTCGTATGTAGATACCTTTTGTATTTTATTTTGAATTTATAATAATATTAATATCAATATATTTTACCTTGTGTTAATAGGTGAAAATAACTAGACACAGCCCCCTAGTATAGTATATATATAGGATATATATATGGTATAGTATGACGTTAGATATCGTGCTGTGAATGCATACATGCACACAATCATTCTACTTGCATGAAAATTGCTACCACAAAGCAACATCAGGATGAAACCACCCACCCCTCATCACTCTGCAATTCAAAGTTGAAACCAAAATACAGCCGTGAGGATGAGGTGAAAGTGAAACTTCTCTTCTCTTCTCCATCCCATTATTGTGGAGGAGAGCCTCCACGCCAGTAGCCCCATTTGCTCATTCCACATTCTGACAGGAACTTCTCATATTCATCTTCAAGCTTACTGTTGTAACTATGGGAATGACCGGATGCTATGTCTTCCAAATCCAAATGCAATTGCTCCTCCTCCTCCTCCTCCTCCTCCGCACATACCTGCAATAATGAATAATAAATACATGTCAAGCAAGGTGCATTGAATTATTGAACAACAACAACAATTCTATATTCAAACATCTAAGCCCACACACATAAAAATAAATATACATATTCTTCCAATGGAGCAGACTCATAGGAGAGATTGGGGGTGGAAAGGAAAGGAAAGGATGGGTGTGACTTGCGAGTGAATACAATTTGCTTACTTCAGAATCAGGTTCAGATGCCATATCCAATGCCTCTGGATCATTTAAGTCGCTAAGTACAGCTTTCCATCTCATGCTGCCATGGCGACCAAGTCTAGCGTCACTCGCACCTTCATGTCTCAAGCTCTTGGTAGCTCTCTTTTGAGAAGCAGCCATTATGCATCGGATGCAAAAGGCTACCAGAGGTACCAGAACTAGAAAAGAACCAGTGATTTTAGCCTGATGATAAATACGGACAAGTTTGTTTGAACATGCAGATTTATAGACCTACACAAAAAATACATCACAGGGACAGGGGGAGTATGCAACGTAATGTGAAATGGAGAATGGATGGAAGTGCTCACAGGTGGTAGTTTACTGGGTGTTGGCACAGTGACTATTGGATACCACCGTCTTCCGGATAATCCACGACCTGGGCCAGAGGCCATTTTATGCAGTTCATTTCCCTCAGGGTGGCACTGGCATCAAACATTATTATTATTATTAACAAGATATAACAAGACAAGAAGCAGCATGATTAAGTCTTCTTGATTGATGAAAGTGAAACACATATAGCTATCAGAAATTGATGGATCAATCTCTGAGATCATAAACACCCAAATACTCACTCTTACACTAATTGCTGCCAAACACAACTCGTTAGTTAGTTGTTCAAGATCATGTAAGCAAATACTTTTGCAAGCACTAATAGCTCAACTCAGACTGCGGACATCCCCGACTGCAGACAAGTGAAGAAACACGCAGATCCTATTTATTGATAAGACAAGGAGCTAACCGCTCCGGGAAATCCATCAACGGCAGCGGAGCCAGACGGGATATTCATACGAAGGCGTTGCCCTTCAAAGATGATCTTAACATCAACAATATTCGTGTTCTCATCAACCGGCACCACATCCAATCTTGAAATGAACGTCAGACTTTCCCTTCTGCAATTGGAACATCAGAATCCCATTGCAATACGGTTAGAGTCACAGCTGCCAGAGGAAACATCACACACACACACCACACACATCTGTTGCAAATATAGCTCCGACAACCAACAGGAAAGTACATAACGCAACATCGATCAACCAGAAAGCACACAAAAGTAAAATCTATTTACTGTTTGAGCACACGAACTAAGAATTTCTCTCCTATGCTTCCTCGCCCAATCCAAGATACCCTCTGACTCTGAATATGCATCTCCCGACGCTATATCAAGAATATTCACAAATAGATGGATTAAAAATCAGCTTTCCACGCGTAAATGCAGACGATCATCGCGCGAGGGCAGGCAGGACACGAAGCGACGAGCACCTGAGCAAGTAAAGCGCAAAACGAAGAAGAGGAGGAGCTAAAGATGGCAGTTGGATGGGAAGGCTGGGCAAGCTTCAGTTCCACTGTCGATCATTACAATATTGTTTTGTGTTATTATATTGTGACGTCCGTCCGTCTTGTTTTGGATGAGAGTCGGGTTCATCAGAATCACAGATTGGGAAGGAAAAGCGTTGGTGGGGATGATAGGCCAGGGCCGATGGGGCGTACGTGAAACTCACTTGCTCACTTATTGGGCCTTAACTCTGTAAGTAAGGCCTATTACAATAATATTTTAATAACCCTTTAGCCCATCTATAGGCCTTTAACTTATTAGTCCACTTCTTTTAATCGGACCGCCCCCGCCTGCCCGCCCGATCACTTCACTGATCAAGATCAAGTTCAGTTTCAATACCAACCACTGTCTAACCAGTAACCGCCGTAAAACTATATTATTATTATTCCTGAGAATTGAAGCTCAAGCAAGCAATGCCAATTGCCATATATAACGAAGAAGAAGAAGAAGAAGAAGAAGAAGAAGAAGAAGAAGAAGAATGTTGATTGATCAAATCCAATTCTTGAGGAAGAACAAACTGCAAGTGCAGCCCGCAACAGTAGAGATGGGGATGGGGATGGGATGCAACAGGCGATTTGGTGAAAATTAAATACTAGTGTAGTCTGTATAGTATAATAAATAAATGTGATATGGTGTGTTGTGCTGTGTTAGAGGGTGGCCAGTTGCTGTACGGAGATGGGGTAAACAACATCGGTATTGCCACTGAAAGCCCTCTTCCCAAACAAGATGTTAACAGCTTCAGTGGGGTGGAATGCATCCCAGAACACGTACTGGCTCCTGTTTGGGCAGGGAGTCTGGAATGGAAGACAAGTGATCTGCCCCCTGTTCCTTCCAATGCCGCAGCACCCACGATTCACCACATCGAACCCTGTGCAGTTGTTGTTGTTTTAGTAATTATACAAGTCTTGCATGTCTGGCTGGCTGTCTGGCTGGCTGTCTGCCTATATATACATATATAAATAGACATACATGTACATACCGTATGATCTAGCATTGGCAAGCAGATCCTGAAACATGGCGTTGACGTCGATGTAGGAGAAGCGCGCACCAGGGAGATTGAGGCTGAGGTTGTTGATCATGGCCTTTGTGTTGGTGTTGAAGGGGAGAACCAGCTGGTTCACCGCATCCGAACATCCACCCACGTTGCTTTGGGCAAGGATGCTTGGTATACAACCCATTAGCCCCAGCCCTGCTACCACGAACTTCCGAGCCCCGAGATTGTACAGCCTCTGCACCACCATCCCATCATCAACTCAACACACACACATATACTACTCCTCTACAACCAATCGTGCAATCAAATTCAATCCAAACAAAAAGATCGAGGCGGCCTGCTTACAGTGAGCTGCTGGGAGTACTGTTGGACCAGGAGATCCGCAAACTGTTGGGCATTGTACTGATTTTTGGTGTCGTAGTTAGGCATGAGGTAATTATTAAGGTAGTCATTGCTGCCCATCCCGATGAAGAAGATGCACTTGGCGAGGGCCTGCGACACGTCCGCTGCTGCACCACCACCAAAGCTGTTGCTGATCTGATCAAGAGTGTTCTCGAAGTTCCTGATCTGCTGGTTGAACGGAATGCGGCTAACCTGAACGCAAATGCAAATGCAAATGCACATGCATATGCATGCGAGTGTGTATTCAATTTCAATTTCAATCAAATGTTATAGTATGTAAATTGTGAAGAAGGGGGGGAGGATGTAGAATTATACGTAGATCTAGAGAAATGCATGCATATATGGTGTGAAGTGGAAAATATTAGAAAAGATGATATGAGAATGGAGGGAGGGAGGAAGCACTGACGAAATTTCTGCCAGTGATGTCAAGAATGCCAGCAGCAGCAGAGGCATAGTTAACTCCATAGCGCATCCCGTCGCCGGACACCTCAGAGTAGGCAGGAATGAGAGGCAACCCAAGCAGTTGAGCTGCACCCACACCACACCACACAGTCCATCCATTAATATATATACATACCTACATACTGAAAAAGCGAGAAAGCAAGCAAGCATGTAGTAGATGTAGATCTCGTTCGTTCGTTCATGTACAAAGCAAAGCAATATAAAATACCGATAGTGTCAACCATGGTGTAGCCGTTGGAGAAGCGGCCGGTGGGGCCGCCCTGGAAATCAATGCCGTAAGGGAAATAGTTGGCTTTAGCGAGGGAAGGGAGGTTGTTGTTGTTGCCATTGTCGATTAGAGAATCCCCAAATATGAACATTGCAGGCACCATTGCCCTCCTCCCCTGGCCCTCCTGCGCCCTTGCCCTCGCACTCAGACCCAACAAGAAAACAACCACAACAAGACCGGAGAAGCTCAGCGCGGTGGCTGCCATGAGAGTGAGAGTGAGAGAGATACGAGCGTTGTGGTTATGTGCGGTGTAGTAAGTAAAGTGTAAATGGGGAGGGTGTAGAGGTACGTATGTATTTATGGAGAGGGGGAGGGGAGCAGGGCTGGGTGGGTGGGTGGATGGCTAAGGACGAATGGGTGGTAGTAGCAGCAGTGGTGGTGTATTTATATTTGTATTTCTATTTGAATTGAAGTAGAGGATGAGACCAGAGGAAGAGGAAGAGGAGGTTGTTGAGGATGAGTAAATGCATTCACCTTTATGTTGTTCCTGCCCTGCTACTAAATGCTCGTAATCTCACACACACACACACACGTACGTACGAGTGTATTGCATGTAAATGTAATGCTTTTATTTATTTAATATTATCATTTTCATTATTTGGATTACATGAGAACCTCTGAGTGAACCCTCCAACTGAACTTCCCTCCTCCTCTAGTCCTCTTGGTTTATTTCTGGATCGCCTTCTGTGTAGCCGCTACCTAGTAATGTGTTGGGGCAATAGGTGTCACTTTGATGCATGCATGCAGCAGCATCATCTACCTCTGCCAGTCCAGTCCCGCCCCTTCCCTCTGGGATGGGAGGAGATAATGAAAATGGCAATGGCAATGGAACATGTTGACCTTGTTTCATTCGAATCCAAATTAATCCCAGAAAAGGGAAAACAGATTAGAAGAGAGGAACACTAAAATAATCTATCTATATATCTATGTTATGTATCAGCCAGCAGCAGCTTTAACCCCCCCTCTCTCTCTCAGTAGTCTCATTATTTCCTTCCTCCAATTATGGATGGTCCATTTTCCCGTCAATACAGGAGGATGGATGAGTGGGCAGGCACCAATACCATGATGCCCAACTTTGGTCATAGCAGCATCAGTAGCAGCATGCATACTACTATTACCTACTTACCCACCAAATACATACATATAATAAATTCATTAATTTGCAGAGGCACCACTCAACAAACAAATCACAGCCTTCCTGGGAAAACGTGCCTAATGATCAATCAATACCCTCTCTCTCTCTCTCTCTCTCTCTCTCTCACTCTCTCTCTCTCTCTTCCACCCATTGTCAACGCCTCTAGAATTTGGAGATGAATTGTCCGCCTGCACCATCACTTGCCCCCCGGACCTATTAATGAACGGATCCCATGCACACACACAATCAAATTTGACAAACAACCCACAATTTCCCTTTTTTTTTTTATTTGGTCAACGAAGAAAAACCATGATTGGTTGCATTGGGCGGCCGCCTTCAATTCAGAACAAACCAGCAGCAGCAGCAGCATGATGCACCCATCCTTTCCCAGAATACACGCCACAGTGGAGAGGAGAGGAGAGGAGAGAAGCGGAGCGGCCGGGTGCTCATTTATGAACTTCTCCCCAACTAACCACTTCATTCAATAATAATAACAATAATAATATATAATCATCTTCCCACCCCCAGCATTTTATCCTCCTCTATTACAACACAAAGATATCACTTCTGTATCTGTACTCGTGCTGGCTGCCCAGAAACAGCACGACTATATTGTTATATTCATGGATCTGGAGGGCAGCAGCAGCAGCAGGTGGAGAGGTCCTGGTAGTAGCAAACTCTCTTTGCTTGCTTTTTCAAGGCTTCCATAACTTCATGGTAGAGTCTTCACCGTATGTGGCGATGAGGTTTATGTGGGGATGGTGAGTGATGCCTATCACATCCTTCTCATGAACCTGTCAGCCACCAAAACAACACCATCACTGCAAAGCCAACCTCATTTCATACATCATATGAGACAGGCCTCCACACACTCGAAACAACAACGAACCTTCATTAGATGCTCCAGATTGCCAGATTGATGACTGAAGCAATATAAAGTTCTACACACAAGTCAAATACTCATCTTAGCAAAAAAAAAAAAAAAACACTTGGGGGGTGATAAAATAATAATAATACAACTACCACAGCGGAGTAACAGACAGACTAGCACCTATTGCCCTGAGGTGGGCAAACCACCAGATCTGGTTGGTGTTGAAGCAACCAGAAATTACTCATGGCCTACCTCTCTAACTGCCACTGTGCCAAATTCATTTATATGATGAATTCTTTCAACAATGGGAGTTGAAAAACAGTAACAGAGGCAATGAGTTCAACATTGTGAATAGGTCTACAACAAACGATGGTCTCACTCAATTGCTCCTCTTGATAGGAGTAAACCCTTACATGATGAAAGAGCCTCACTAGAGAAGTTATTATTTAGTAATGATAAGCTTCACAAGAAAAAGGGAGGCAAAGATATCTCTGAGTTCTACAAAATAAGAAGCAATATTATTATTATTATTATTATTATTTATTTATTTATTGCAAAATACCTGTCTTCACCAACACAATATATCCAATCCCCTTTGGGGGATAAACAAGCTGCCATGAAATCCCCGCCTTCTCTTTTACCAGATGAAAAACTTTTCACAACCTTCATGACATAAGTATCAGATAGACCATCATCAGTTTTCATATGCTAGTCAATAGCATTCCAATAGAACCAAGAATTTTTATTTTATTTTTAAAAAGATAGATAAATTTGAACCTAATATATACTGCATTCACACCTATTTATATAATACTCATCAAGGTTTCAAGCAAAATATTCTAGAAGAAACTAGTGTCCAATATACGGCCTTACAAGAGCTTAAAAGACTAAACTAGAGTTGCAGCGCAATAGCTGCAGTCATTTCCATGCTAAGGGTAGCAAATAATGAAAGAAACACTTAGGTTGTGTTCTTTTTATGAGTTTTACCACAGGTTTTTACTATTCATATTCTTTTTTCCGTATAAAAATATCACATCAAACAATTCTTTTCTTTTTTTATATTATACTACAAATTTATTTTACATTCAAAACATCACATCAATCTCTATTTATATCACATCAAACAACTTTCAAATTCAACATTTTACTATTCAAAAATCCAAACCCAAAAACTAAAACCCACAATCAAACACACGCTTATAGAATCCTGCCCAATTCAAAGCCTGAAGTGATATATGTCCCAAAAATATTATAAAGTATTGCAAAGCACATCTTGGTTCCTAATTAAAGAGGAGTTATCTTTCCTGCCTGCCCTTTGATTTCCACAAGATGAAAGGGATAAGTAGGGACAGATCTCTTTACCTGTCCTTGGAGTGTCATGATGTACACTGATGACGTTTTGTTGCATACAATTATATGATCTGCATTTTTTGGGTATAGATGAATAGAATTCACAGATGCATCACCACCCTGCGATTCATAAGGCAAAGAAATTACAGAATAATTGATTTAAGACAAAAATACATTCAGATTATCGGTAATATTTTCTACTTTTAAGTCACGACAGAAGCTAACATATATTTACCCTGAGAGGAGGCGGTGGTTTAAATGTCTGCAGACAATCTGTAGTCTTCACATCCCAAACCTGTATGTTACAATTAACACGCAAAAGTGCATACAAAAAGTGTTTAGAAGTCTTCAAATATTAGGCCATTATTGATGGGAAATAACAAGGCAACTAACTTTCACAGTGCAATCACTAGATGCAGTTATGACACGAGAACCATCAGCAGTGAAAACGGCATCATTCACATAAGATGTATGGCCGCGGAACTCCTTCAACATTTTCCCGGACTTCAAGCCATGAATCCTGTACAAAATATGAAAATCACATTGTTAAAATGGATGATAACTCTATCCTCAAAATCTGTAATTTCCAACTTCCAACTCTCAACTTTATTAATGTCTTTGAGAAGTCGATAAAAAAGAGTAACAGTAACATTGTTTTGCAGTATTTCAGCATACCTAGCAGTGCTGTCAAATGATGTACTTAATAACTGTGTTCCATCTCTAGAAAATGTGACACTGGTGACACCCTCAGAATGTGCACGCTCCAGCCGCCGCAAGCACTGACCAGTTCTTATACGCCACACCTATAGCCAAACAGACAAACAACTAGATTCACTTCTTTCTACAAAAATTTCCAAGTCAGGCAAAGTTTTAATTTGAATGCATTCAGCATATACAGAAACCATCACAAAATTAGAATGCAACAACACAGCAGCATCCGAAAGTCAGGTTTCTTTACTGTTGTGCAAGTACCCATGAAAAATAATAACAATTAGAATTCACATGAGAATTACAAGCTGAAATGACCCTTACCTTTATCTTCCCATCTTGGGATCCAGATGCAAGCATCTCAGAATCTCTACTAAAATCAACACATAGGACAGCATCATCATGCATCATAAAAGTTTCCTGCCAACATTTCACTAGTGAGACAAGTGAGGCATTATGTTCACAACAGTAAATGAATATCGCAACCATCATATTTTAGCATCTAGGGAACAAAATAACAGAGCCACAATCAGCATCAGCATTGCAGATACAAAACTTGGAGAACCAGTCAATTAGAGTAAAGATAATACTGTGGAATCAACTTGCTTTCAACGTAACGGGACAAACGTCATTTACAGTTGGAACCACATACATGTCATTGAATAACAAAGTAAAAAACTTGTTATAAGTGTTTACAGGCGCTTTGCTTAGAAATCTAGAACTCTCAATATTTCATAAAAAGAAAGCATCATTGTTTCACTGAGAACTAAAATTAATGAGGAACATTGACACGATAAAATTGTTACAATTTGAAGAGAATTTTTAAGATATTTCTTAATAATGAAATTAAAATCTTAGGCCTAATACAAAATGTATAAACTCAAATAATAACAAAATAATCTAATTAATATGCTTAAATAATAACCTAGGGTTGTTTTGTCATTTCAAACTAAAATCAATATAATTCATTCTGCACAGCTTCCAATAAATATTATTACTATTTCCTCTCACAAAATATCACATTAAAATACTATTCAAACAAATAATCAAATCAACATTCCATTTGAAATCAATTCCAAACCACAACAAAAAAAACCTCTAATCTAATAGACATACGTAAATAATAATTATTAAATTTAAATAATATTAATCAAAGTATCTATTTAAACTATATCTCAACATCTCGCCTCAACTCTAGTTGGTGTTAATAGAAACCAACTCGAGTTTGGCAAATGAGACCGGAGGTAGAGTTTGAATATGGACGGACTTCATAACTAGGCATCAAGCTTTGTAACATTCTAAGAAATTAATTTTTGGCCAAAAGAAGCTGTCTAGCTGCGGCAATCCTATATCGAGGGAACATGCTGGCGGTGCTAAACTCTAAGTAAACCACAATCTTTTGTCACGCCAGTGGCGGCGTTAAATTAGGGTTTTTGATGGCGACAATCCTATCACGGCGGCATCACCGGTGATCCTTTGTTGCTATAGTGACGCTAAAACCCTATGAAATTAAATTCTAATAGGTTGAAACTCTGGACTTAAAGACCAAACCAAAAACTTACCAAAATTAGAGAACTTGACAGATAAATTGAAGTATTCCAATATATTGTCTCCACAAATTTCTAGCAATTTCGGACACGGAGGGTGTCTTCACATATGGCTAGAGTCAACGGCAACAAAATTGTTAGATTTCATTGACAAGATGTTGATTAGCACAGGTAGCTCACACGAGCTTACTTCCGGCTAAAATGTTTGGTGGTCAGTGCTGTCTCATAGTCAGGAATATAATAGCGGTGGTGGTATAGGTCAAATGTGACAGAAAAGCAACTAATAGATGCAATTAGAACGGGTTATATATTTTCGGAGTTGTAGATCTCAATATCTCATTTGAGAGGCAGTAAACACAGATTTGATACCATGTTACATTTTGAAAAGAATTTCTAAGATGTTTATTAATAATGAATTGAAAACCTATTTATAGACCAGATACAAAATGGATAAACTCAAATAATAACAAAATAATCTAGTAAATACGTTTAAATAATAACAATCTAATATAATAAATACACCTAAATAATAATTATCAAATCTAAATACTATTAACCAAAATATCTATCTAAAATGTATCTCAACAAAAACAATAACATCATATTTGAGATTCATATAGCATGAGAATAATATAATAACCAATACCAAAAGGTCAGAAATAAAGCAAAATTAGTAAGAAGCAACTCACATCAGCCTGGTATTGAAGATCCTTCTTCAGTTTTCCACTTATGTGATCCCACACCTAAAAATGACATAAAATGAGATACCAGCATTTGAGGCCAAAAGTATTAAAAATAAAAAAAGAAGAGTCATTTCACAACAAATAACCTCAATAAAGCCATCAACGGAACAAGAAACAAGGAATTGACCATCTGGAGAGAACTTAGCACCCTCTGGATGACTGTTCTTCCCAAACTGCAGAAAATAACAAGAGGATGTAAAATCACAACAATATTACGAGAACCAATCAAGTACAGCAAGCTGTTAGCACTTTTCCGTTTCTATAAATGCAATACATTGCTTCAAAGGAATTGAGGCTGAAAGAAAAGTACTATGGGTAGAATCTTTCCTAAGGTCAAAATTGTGAATTCTCCAAAGATACTCGTTGGTGGTGCGGGATGAAAGAGCAGACCAATATAATTTACGACGCAAGATGCATAACTTGCCTTTATAGTGTGCCCAAGAGTTGTTGGGAACATGTCTTCTACATCTTGTTTCATAGCAGCAGTACCTCGGAACAGATCAAACTGTGTTCCAGGTGGAAGTAAACCTGGAGAGACCAAAGCCAAATTAGATGCGACAAAAAAAGCCATATCTGACAGGCAAGTGAAATAGTATAAAAACATTGTGATATATGTCATATGCCTTCAAACTAAAAATCAACAGTCCTAAAAATAATGTGATACTTTCATACTGATGTGTAACTGTACTTCAGTCCAATCAGTCGTCTGTCAAAAGTGTTCATAACAGCAGGTATCAACTGGCGAGGCTGCTTAATCATATACAAGTATTGCCTCCCATCTTAAACTATACTAAACTTAACTAAACTTGGCATGATCAATTATATGTGACCATGTGAGTTCTGCACATGAAACTGGTTTGCATTTCAAATGGCAAGCAGCATTCAAATTAGAGGTTCCATATCATGTGTTCAATTAAAAGGGCATCTATGATGACAGTAAAAAAAAAAATTAGAAAAAAAAAAATCAATATTTACAACAGACAATTTTGGCAATAATAGAAGTGATACTCCAGGTACATGGGAGAGAATTAGATCCTATTCATAAAAACTTTGAAATCCTATATTTATAAAGAATGTAGAAACAAACTATATTCCTGCATTCAGCAATAATAGACTGAAAAGTGATGGTATCATTAGATAAACACAAAAGATCAGCAATAAATTAAAATGAGAGAATGATAGTTCTACTATATTTGTAAGAAACCTTGATGCTGCTGCCACTTAAGGGCTTGGCCAATCAAAGCCATCAATCGCGAAGGCGGAACCACTGAAACTTCCGCAGCAATAGCTGAGAAAGATGATAGATATATCTCAGGACACATATCACTATAATAATAATACATTAAAATAAGGTAATAATCCCAAGTAAGCAGAAAAATACAAGCATGTCTATGCTGAATAATGGATCTCGTATTTTACTCAAATAGATGGCTAACAAATGGTTGAACAAAATAGAATGGTGTTGCAAGTCCTAGGCTGGAGTACTTTCAAGAGAAACAGAGAAACCCTGTAAACTATTTATGTTTTGGCTACAACATACATACCTATCCATCTGGAAACAAAATATATTTCAACATGCTAAACCTAAATGCTCAGATATCGAAAAATTAGTTCATAATTCATTAGCAATCAAATGTTTACTACTAGCATATTCCAGTGTTGATTGATAACTGTACTATGATCGAGCAAGAGAAGCAAAATAGACTTAACCGCACCTTTAAAATGTTCAGCATAACATACACTAGCATTCTGTGGCAGATCAATTAAACAAAGGAAAAAAGCATGGAACCTTGTGCTATTGAAGCGCGTCTTTTCTCCTTTGTAGAGTCCTGATACACCTGCACACAATAAAATGTAATTGGAATCACTTCAAATTTAAAGGGTATAAAGTACAAAACAGAATACACCTTTAAAATTGTTAGCAGTGGCAAAGGAATCAAATTAATCATAGTACAACGTTTAAAATTTTGATTTAAGAAAAAAAAAAGGAACATGGTTCAAAAAGGTACATTTGCAAGATGGAACATATGCCAATGAGGCATCTTTTTTTTTAAGTTTGTCAAAGTAACCAGAAAAAAATTGTTTTTAAAATGCATAACCCCACAACCAGTAGATTATAGAAGACACATAAGATAATACTACACAAAATGAAAGAGCTGAGATATAAGAAAGAAAGCCTCAAATGAAGAATAGTCATCCATACTTCATTCGGGTCAAAATAAGTCCGAACAAGTAGATGCTCAAGTCGTAAGTACCGCTCTGGTTGTTCCTGTTTCATGACACCCATCACCTGTGTTTGTCTTAATATAGCACGAGCAGTATCAATCTCCCGCAGTTCAATCATTTCCAAAACAATCTATGCAAAAACAAAGAGAACAGAAATTATTACAGAATTCCCAATCGGATGAAGATCACAATTAAGTAGAATAAACTATAAGAGAGAAAACACTTTAAGAAGCGTACCAACTATCACCATGTCCACCCACATCCTTTTCATTTTAGAACAACTTCAATAAATATAAATAAAAAATGGAGTAAATTGATATAAGATTTGACAGTTCAGACGGAAAACCAGTGTTGTGACTTCATGAATGTTGATGGGACCAGATGATCCCAATAAAATGTATCAAGAGAAATCAACGCTGAATAGAAAGTCATCAGCCAACGTGTGCAGGTATAAGATATCAAAGTTTGTACACATAAATTTGAGAAAACTTACATAGAATTTATAAGGTTTTATTATGTGTCACATAATTTTAGGTTTCAAGTATCTATACTGGAAAATCTGCAATAACCACAATAGAAGCAAAAACTAACACATAAAACAAGCACAACACAGAAAGAAATGATAGGAATATTTTATTCTAGGAATTATCCGTTGACATCGGCATGGCAAACCAATATTGCAGTTATATACTTAATGTAAAAGGGGGTGTAAATGTGTATGTATACAATACAAGTCAAGACCAGCAGGCCATATAAGTTTGTGTGCATGTCACTGTAGTAGAAGCAGACTACCTGCTCGTATAGGTCTTCTAATTTTTTTCGTGGAAGCTTAAGTTGTGCAACTTGAGGTAAGATAGCATCCCACCTTCCACTGTTTATATCAGCAATAAATGTTTCCAGGCTGTCAACTGTATTCAGAGAAACTTGGCACTCATTCTGGAGTGTTTGAAAAGTTTGATGCAGGGAGTTCTCTTTGCAGAACTGAAGTACAATCTTGATCACACTGCAGGCGAGTTCATGAGAAAATATACATACGGTCAGAATAAAGTGGCCTGGTATACTTGCTTAACTGGTTGCAGGTCAACCAAGACAATAAGGGGTATATCAGATTAATCCAAAGTTGGACTACTAATGCTCAATTGGGTACCAAAGGAGAATTCCAAAAAAAAATGACCCCACATGGATATACGTACCAATGGATATTAAACAGAAAGTTAAATGAAATAAAACAAATTATCAATCCAGTTCTTATAAAAACCATAGGTCCACAGGCTGGACGACCCAGATACTTTCAAACCAAGGAATAAACCAGGAAGCAGGTGACTTCTTTAATGACTGAGGGAAAAACTTTAGGAATAGATATTTGCAAGTGGGGAAACCTGCAGCCTGCCTCAAGAAACAACCATATAGCACTTCACTATTAAGAACAGCAAGTTCTTAGTAGATGAATAAGGCATTGTATGCGGCCAGTCATGGATCATAGTCCAACAAAGGAAGGATGAAGGGCGATAAAAGCGAAAAATAATAAATAAATATATAGATGGAGGTCTTCAAGTGTTCAATTTCAGCATTATCAAAATTTTGAATTTCAACAAGGCAACTGAGATGGAGCAATCTTTCTGACGGTCGGAATACATAAAAGTAAATAGAGTTCTGTTATGATGGATGCACTTGCTACATAGACATAATCGTAAGCAACAAGAAGGAACTATTTTGTCCACTGATTTTTACTCCATTCTCGAAATCTTGGTTCACTCGACACCCAGAGACTAAACGCAAGAAAGGAAAAGCCCTGAAGCTAACGTGCTCATTATAAGCCATAGGCTACAGTGGAGACATGTCGATAGTAAAGCAGGGAGGAAAGCATGTACGAAATATATATTTCCAGGACGATTGAACGGAGGCTTACTCTCGGGCTTCGATTTCGAGTGTGGAAGACATGGCGCAGAGAGGGAAGCGTCAAAACCCTAATCTTGAAAACCCTGCGGGAGTGGCGGTGAGAGGCAGAGCGAGAGCGAGACGGAGATGGGAGAGATGACTGAGCCCTAATCTCCTCCTACGTCAAAAACTTTGCGGTCCTCTGCTCTGCATTTCTATACAAAATTGTTTTTGATATATATATATATATATGCGAGTCGCTCAAGTTTTTGTTACGCAGAATTAAATAAGTAATTCCTACGAACTTATATATATACTGAATTGGTCACAGAATCTTCCAGTATCTAGTCGGTTGGAAGATGAGAGAAAAAAAAATAATAAATTATATAAATATATAATAATATTTTGATAATTTTTTTTATTTTATTAAAAAAATATTTTCTACAAAATAATATATATACTGAATTGATCGGATGATAAGGAGGAGAACTGTCCAGTAGGTAGTCGTTAGGGATAGAAATATAAGAGAAAAAAAATATAATAAATTATATAAATATATATTTTTAATTTTTGTGCAACCAACCAATTTAAAAAATATATATATTTTTCTTTGAATAATTTTTTTTTCTATTTTATTAAAAAATTGTTTTCTATAAAATGATATATATACTGAATTGGTCGGACGAGATGGAGGAGAACCATCCAGTAGGTAGTCGGTTGGGATAGAAAAATGAGAGAAAAAATTATAATAAATTATATAAATATATATTTGTTACGTACAAAAAATAATAATAATAATGACAATGATAGCAGGGTCATAAAGGACGTCTGTCAAAAGAAGGTCGGTCGAAAGAAGATGAGACGGACGATAAGGAAGTATGGCCAAATGAGGTCGGTCGAAAGAGGAAGTCGGACGAAGAAGGACGGCTGATACGAATGTCGGACCAAATGAGGTCGGCCGAAGAAGGCTGAGAGGGCCGATACGGAGGTCGGGACAAATGAGGTCGGGCAAAGACGGATGAGACGGCCGATACGGTGGTCGGACCAAATGAGGTCGGGCGAAGACAGATGAGATGGCCGATATGTAGGTCGGGCCAAATGAGGTCGGATGAGAAGAAAGGAGGAGAAACGTCCATTAAGTAGTCGGTTGTGATAGAAAGATGAGATAAAGAAATATAATAAATTATACTTGTTAGGTACAAAAATTAATAATAATAAGGATAATGGTAGCAGGGTCAAAATAAAGAGGTCGGTCAGAAGAAGGGAGGTCGAATCAGCAGATCGGATGGTCTGCAGTCAGTTAAGCAAGTCCGTTGGTGTGCGGTCGGGTTCGGCGTCGGATGGTCCGTGCTCGGATAGGCAGGTTGGGAAGCCCGCGGTCGGATAGGCAGGTCGGGAGGTCCGCGGTCGGATAGATAGGTTGGTTGGTCCGCAGGCGGATAGCCAGGTCGGTTGGTCCGCAGGCGGATAGACAAGTCGGGAAGGTTCACGGTCGGATAAGCAGGTCGGTTGCTGCGAAGATCAAGTGGGAGGAACATAGTTTGGTCGTTTGGTGGCCAAGCAATCGTTTGGTTTAGAAAGATGAGAGAAAGAAATATAATCAATTATATAAATATATATCTTTTATATTCTCTATAAGAGCAGCCGTCTAGTCGGACCAAATTTTTTTTTGTTTTGCGTGCCCACCAAATTCAAAAACCCCTGCATTAGTTTCAAATACATTTTTTAATATATCATAGATTTAAAATATTATAACTAAATTATTGTATTAAAGTAAATTTTATGATCTACAAAATGATATCCATATCAATATATATTCTACAACTAAATCACTACAAATTAACTAATGGAATTTGAAAAACACAAACCTCAATAATACCCAGTATCTTCAGTATAGGGGGTAAATTGACAAATTTAGCCATACTTGTCCATAAAATATTACCGGTAATTTAGTAGGAGAGGTGAAATAGTCATTTTATGTAGCCATTTTCACATCTTGGTATATGTAAGTATTAGGATATTTAAAATTACTAGATTGCATATAGAGCTACTGGTCAATTGGATTTAGATACATCTGACGTTAAAAATATTTAATTTCAGTATCTTCTAATTTTGCAGTTACACTTCACTCCATACTTTCAATTGTACTTAACTCCTAGTGTTCATTTTACCTTTAAGATTTCTATATAATATAAGAAATATTGTAACTCTAAAATTATCCCGCTATACGAAGAATAAGTCAGAGTTATGTACCTATATTTTTTATTTATGTACTCAAATTAGTTATTGAATACAAAATTTAAAAGAAGAAAAATAAAATCCTAATATATACTACCATCTGAATCATTGCTTTCACATTTCTTCCAAACTCTTCCCGTCATACCTTTTCTCTCACCTTCGAAGTCCCCTCCAAAGAAATCGTCGTTAATCCTCCCCGCAGGAACTTCTTCTGCCATCGGAAGTCTCCATTGAGGGTATTTACCGTTTTGATACAACAGACTACATCGGTGGAAAAATGTGGCAAAAAAGTTGGGGCAGAATTACCAAAAGACTCGTCAATTGTGCGTGGTGTTATTGCGCGACATGACCCAAAAAGAAAAGAAGACCCGGAATTCACTTCTTCTCCAAGGTTAAAACAAAAGAAATGGAGAGCAACAAGCCAATGAGAGGATAAAAGCAAAAACAATGATCAAACAATCAAGGTTGGTGAAACATGCATACGTTAAAATTCTGTGTGCTTTGATTAACATATTTTGTACGTCTTTTATTTTTTCATGTACCTTAGTTTCTAGATGGTAATTTTTATCGGAACAAATTATATGCTTAGATATACAATGTGTGTGCTTCGATTGGCAACTTGTGTAACTGTAGGTTGGTGATGGTGAAATGGGCCACCAACAGACCTTTGTTGCCGATTCTTCGAAGTGGAAATTGTATCGAGGGTCTATTAATTCCTGTGGGAGTGGATGCATTTCCAAAGATGAGACCAAAATGATAGGCAACTTTATTGCGAATTTTGATATACGGTAAATACTAGTTTTTGCTCTATCTGTATAGTTTTCAAGTATGTTAAACACTCTAACAGCTTGGTGTTTGTAGGGCGACTGTATAGAATCATGGACTAGTATACGTAACGTCTGAATCAGTGATTGATCTGTTATTTGACGATGTTATCCGTGGTGAGATTACGGATGCGTACTTACAATGGCTCTGCAGTCAAGAATTTAGGCACCAACATGGGGTGATAACATGATGTGGTTTCGTTTATTCATTTGTCGTTGTATGGTGTTAATTTATTTTAATATTTATACTATTTAGTTTATCATATGTTACAGTTAATAGTTTTTTTTTTATGTAATTCTGAACGTACTGCAGACGAAAATCATTGAGACAACATCAAACTTGAAAAAAGCGGCCGATGAATAAAAGCAAAAATTTTGTGAGCAAAAACATCAGGGAGTTTTATTTATCTTTACAAGAGGTCGTGCAGCTCGAAGTGGCTAAAGTAATGGAGCAAATTAGGGATGGTTGTTGGTATGTATTTTTTCCGGTCCACACAAAATTTCATGGCATTTGTGCATTTTGGATACGGCTTCACGTAAACTGACAGAGTGTAATTCAAAGAGATCTCCCTTCACAAGAGGAAACGCAAAAAGTCTTGTAAGAATTATAGTATGTGCCCTATATCTATCCTGACATATTAATTCACCTTGAGTTATTCTTATGTAGACTCGATTCATGTACTTGTACTTGAATGAATTTCATTTGTGGCCAATGGCGGATGATACCCTGAAGGTCATTTTTAGTCGAGGCCAAGGTGAAAGTCTCGATTGTGGCCTCATGGTATGCATGTATGCTAAGAGCTATGCTCTAAATGATACCAACCGTTATCCACTTGGTGGCTGGGCAACCGAATTCGACGATGTTAAGGCCTATATGGTAAAAATTGTTGCACGCATTTTATCAGGTGGCTCCGGAGGACCTGTTTAGTACTTGTTGAATGATTGGGGTGTGAATTGTAATGGTCGGATTGATGAATAGTTTAGGTTTGTGGCCAATCAGGGGTACTAAGAGTTGATGTTATATTTTGACGTAAACTGTGTAAGCAAAACAAACCAATTTAATCTAATGCATGTTATTTTAAGAGCTTGCTTATATGTACTTGTATTTTGGTCCGATATACATTTGTATACATGATATGTGTAATCCAAACTTCTTAATATATACCAGGGTTTGTAACTCACACACCCATGATTAGGTGTCGACATACCCCTAGGACCAAACCATATACCCTCAGTAATGATATTTGTGCTTTCATATCAGTAATTTATATACCTCTGAACTAATAGAATGTACTCGTACAAAGGAATATGTTTGCTAACTACTTTTAAATGTAAATGATATATGTTGAGAAATGTTGTATTTATCAAAATTTTCTGAAAGCACCGGTGTACTTACCAAATTATTCTGAAAGCGTCTTTGGACCAATGATATAAAACAATAGATGACCAATACATTTCCAACAATGTGGGGAATTCCAATATATCTTACGACTAATATTTTCTATCCCTTATACTCTATTTGCTCTTGTCGGGTGTTTCTTCTTACTCTTAGATATGCTTGAACGAATATTCACAATATAAAGAATATATTAGATCATTAGTTATGCACTGACTTCATTTAGATCCTTACCATAAGTCACCTTAACTTATGATATTTCATAAGTGACATTCTTCCACCATTGCATATATAGATAGATTTTTTCGTATATCGTCTCAGAAGTATTCTCTGTTGCATACTCACTGCCCAAAAAGTGGGTATGACGTAATCCACTCATAATTGTTTGATCCAATAATAATCAGTGACAAATTATGATCATGTAACTTGAATACCCATGTTCACATTAATAATACTTGCACACGAATATGAATACTTCCATTGGCAAAGATGCATCCAATTACTACTACTATGTATACCGCCTATATTTAATGGATATACTTCCAAATGACACAAAATACTCGTATAACCATTGTAAAAGCTCCGTCAAATATATTTAATACCTATTGACGATTCACTGTTAGTAACTATTGTATTTGACATATTTTATAAAAATATAATAATATTGTAGGTACTTCCAATATGAGTTCACGCACTCCTGAAACAGATTGGTCTGAATTAATTTAAAATGATACAACCCCGATATATTATCTGCATAGAACGAGGAATATAAGGGGAATACCATCTAATTTCAAAATCCACCAACAGTGGTCACGTACGTAGATCATCATTCAATTTACAATCTTTCAAAAACAAAAAAGAGATTCCAACCATAACTAGAAATACCTAAGGTAAAGCCTCCTTGCAACTTCGTCGATTATGTCCTAGGTGACCGCGACGACCACATTTTTTAGATTGTTTCACCTATTGTGATTCAAACCATCTTTTCTTTGGCCGGCCTGGTTGGACCGATGTTGTAGAAGGAATTATCTCTGTCTGCGGGTTATTCTGCACCACATTCATATCATGAGTCAGCACCGGGTTAATGGGTTCTTCGTAAGTTTTCTTGTAGCGTTCAACGTTGTAATATCCATCGCAAAAGTCATATATAGACATATGACACCGGTCATTTCATCTTCATCGAATAATATACCCTCAGCTTCACCCCTATAGAACACAAAAATTATTATGAATCAGAATTTTTCCTAGCTAGAAGGATAGGTACCCATCTTTCTTTACCAGGTACGTATAGACCATGCACGGTTAATTACCATGGCATCCAGGGTATTTAAGGTGCAACTGGATCTATTAATCATGGCTAGTTACAAATTACAGTGTAATATCTCAAGCTACAGATATTGATGTTATTTGTAATATTCCACCTACCTATTTCAGACCGATGGATAGTGTCAATGACGTATAGTGCGGAAGTAACCGTCTACACAATACCTTCAACGTTACTTCATCTCTAAATGTTTTTACAATACTTCCATGGGTTTGTACAGTCCCACGAAACCATTAACAAAAATGCGCAGCCAATGACTACCTACAATCAACTTCAAAAAACCAAAACAAAAAACAAAAAGACACTCTGTTATGTCATGGCCACGCAAGAATGTTGTCAGCACAATCAATAAATATGGAGGTAATATATTACCAACCATATATATCGAAAATAATGATTACATGCATCATTTCAACTTAAAGTCGGTATAGGTAATACTTACTTTGTCGGTATATTGGGCATGTAACATGAATACTTATAATTCATATTCTTGGAGTGGTACATCTTTAATTACAATCTATGATAAAATTCCTTCAAACCAAATACAACAATAGTAGTTACGTACCTGCGTTCAATGTTGCATTGAGGCGGCAAGTTCTGGTGCTCACTTCTCGAATGTACAACCATGACCACAAACATAACTTTTAACAAAATATGCATTCTCCACATATTTGACACTTCATTGTTACACAACAATGTCACGTAGTTCTTTTGAATTGGTGCTATATATTGAAGTTTTACAGCTTCACTGGTAACGGTGTTCTATCGTTTCGATAAATCAACATAAAGATCTGCGAGCAATATATTCTCTTCTAGAGCAACCACATGAAGCTCCCCTCCATATGTACACATGATTAACAATTTGGGATTGCACTGCTCTCTATCCATTGAAGGTTGTTAATTCACCAAATACAAAATATAATTCTTCATTTCTCTTCAATGGTATTACAAAATCAATACATACATATTACAATCATAAAAATTTCATATATAACTATATCATATCAACACAGATCAACAATAAATATTTATACTGAAAAGTTAAACATAAAAAGTATTTTTTTTTTTCAAAATTTAAATTTATTGTTTTATACTGACAGAAAACTTCATATTTTTCCGATACCTACAATAAAATAAAAATTTTCTCCAAGAACCAGACGACAACGTGGATCGATCACACAAATCATTTCATCGATCGTTGTTACTTCTAATATCAAATAATAGTGAAGATAGATCGATCATACCTGAGTTCCGATCTCGTCTTCAATGGAACGTGGGTAGAATCGATTGCGAGCCCTATCAACACCATTGTAGTCAACCAACAAAATTATTACAACAAAAAATATTTGAAAGCTATGCTTCCTCTTACCCGTGTTTTCCTCGTGCAAAATAAACCTAAGAATTGTGATTTGGATTCGATATCGCTATTGCTATCGACCACGCGCAAATGAAACAGAAGGTTGGATAGAACTCCTTTGCGCGAAAATAATCTAACGAGAAACACACTGTATCAGAAATGATAAATAGATATTTGGGGGAGAGAATAGCGTTAAAGTCATTAAAATTGGTGTGGGGAGTTAGTGGTAATGTTTATTAGAAAGTGGGGAATGCAGTGCATGAAAATTATTGGTGGGGACTGAACTCAAATATCAAAATAATGGTGGAGATTTTAGTCTAATTGTCCGTATAGATATTGATTTTTATAAAACCTTTTCATTTCGAAAGTATTGATAAAAATAAAAAATAAAAAAAAAATTTTTTTTCCTCATTTAAATTTATTTTTATTTTACTATTTTATTGGTTAGTAATATGTGTAAAAAGTTTTGACATTTGTGTACTTTAGAATTGGACACAAAAAATGATAAAAATATACTTTGATTTGGGACGAGAAAGTAAAAAGAAAAAAAATTATATTTGATTAAATATTTTATTTAAAAATATTGAATAAACAAAACATTCTGTTCTTCCAATCATTTGTAAGAACATTCCTTATAAATATTATAAAAATATATATATTGATGCAATATGTATTTTATTTATTATGAAAGATCAATCATTATATATAATATTATATTCTTATATTATTAATACGATTTTTTCATATTAGATATTCAATCACATTCTTTCAAAAATTTAACCATGGTAATGTTGTTTAAAGTTATTGTTATTTTTTTTTATTGGACAGTGAAAATGGGATGAATAATGGAAATTAAATCCAATGCTTCAAACGAACACACCCTAAGTGAATACTTGTATAGGATGGATTGAATGGCGTAGCGGCAAGAAGAGATCATAGAATCGGGATGAGGATCAAAATCAAAATCAAATAAAATGCATTAAAGAAGAAATAATGGAACATAACATAACAGAATTAATGAAATTATTATAAAAGTAGTGGATAATACAATGATATTAATGGAGGACATATCTGTGGAATGAGTTACAGTGGTGTGGTGGATGCATAATTGAAAGCAAAAACTATATAATTAAGGAAGACCACGACTACGGTACACACACTCGACTCCAGAACGTACATATACAAATACATAAGATATATTTGACGATAATACTAATAAATAAAATGGGTACATATATAAGATGTGACGATGATGATGATGATAGAGGACGCGCGGTAACGCTGCGTAGCAATTAGCACAGATCTTCGTTAATATATATATATAGATGATCGCTGGCTAGCTACTTGCAACAACACAATCACGCGCACTAGCTAGCTAGCAAACCATTTTCTAATCTCATTAATATATGTAAATATATATATAGTATATATTAAGAGATCATCGTATCTGTTTTGGATGGCAGTAGTACGTACGTAATTGGATGGACGACACACCAATTATACATCTATCTACTGGATTGTAAGTATACGCAGAGAGAGAGAGAGAGAGAGAGAGAGAGAGAGATGAGCGATGGTGATATTGTGTGCTCCTTCCTATTTGATGGAAATAACTAATGATATATAGTAGGAGCAATTTATATTATATATATGTCGGAGCTAGCTAGGGAAAGGATCGAAGGAGAGGTGGGCATGCATATATGTAGGTAGGTAGGTAGGTAGGTAGGTGTGCGCGAGGGGAGGAGTGTCTGATAGATAGATAGATACATAGATAGATAGGTGATGTATAAATAATTAGTAGTAATTATAATTAATACTATGGATGGATGGATGAGTGAGTGAGTTAAAAGTGGAAGATCTCACCGCAGCTGGTGGTAGGTAATCTAGTGATTAGTGGGGACGGAATCATGCTGCTACTATTCATGTTAACAGCAGCAGCGCCCACTCCTAGCGGGTGTGAGTAGATCATCATCATCTCCTCTTCGCTGCTGCTGCTGCTACTACTACTATTCATCAAGGCATTGTTATTGTTATTAGTAGTAGTAGTGTGATTGGGCATCATCCTTCCTTCTCCAACTTCAAGTGGCTGCTGCCCTATTGCCGGTGGCATCATCATCATCATCATCGACATCGACATCGACATCGACGAGGTCATTGGCATGCTCGTCATCCCACCTCCGCCGCCGCCTCCTTCAACTTCTCCCAATTCAGCCACCACCACCTGCTGCTGGTTGCCCCCCACCACCACTGCCCCAAACTCATCCGCCCCGTGCTGCTCCTCGATCTGCACTCCACGCACACACACATTATACTAGCTACCTACCTAGGATTACTTATATGATCATATATATATATATATATATTCATTCCTTTTTACTTACCTTCTCCTGCAGATGCTTGTTTGCTGCTTGGAGTATCCCTTCCTACGTATAACAAATAAACTAAATAAATAACTACATCCATCCTTTTCATTAATTAATTCATCCATATTACTCGTACCTTCTATTTATATCATCATCATTATTATTACTTTATGATACTATAAAATAATACACACGGGCTATATAAGCTGGCTAATTAACCTTGTTCTTGAGCAACTGGATTTCTTGAACCATAATGTCCATCTGTAAAAATTTAAAATTAAAAAATTAATTAATGCGTACGTCACATGAATGAATGGTTTTCAAAATTACAGCTGGCTTGGCTTAATCTAGTAGGCCCCCACGTTCACGACCAATCGACCATGAATATAAATATAGGTGCCCATGGGATAATATCAAGTGTACGTCCGTCCGTCCGTACGCGCACACACACACATACATACATACCTTGGCTGAGCGGACATGGTAAATCCAAGTCTCAAGGTGCTTCTCCAGGATATTCAGTTCATCCAAACTCATTACTGCACCAGCTGCTGCATCCACTCCTCCGTATAACAACCTTGTAAGGTTTCACGCAAATCTCAATATTCATACACACACGATATTATTAGTTACTATCAAATTATTATTGCAAACTGCTGCATCTGCATGTACGTGGGGTATATAATTATATGGATCATGTTCCTTCGTATGTATGGTAACAATGGAATTAATAAAATTGAAACGTTAAAAATGGAGTATCAATTAATTATGATATATACCCACCCTAGTCCTTTCCGAAGTATCTCGATCTCAAACTTGAGCATGCTAACCTCCTCTTTTGGGTCCTAACAAAAACTCAATACATATACAATATTAATTATGTATATTCGATTTTTCACGCACCAACCACGCAATCATAATTATATACTATTACTATTTATATTTTAACACAAATGAATTGTATTTGTATAGCATCAATATTATCGCAAAACTGAAGAGGAGTTTCAAAATCCGAAACCTCCCAATACATTTTAAATTTCAAAATGTTTTCAAGAATATTACTTTCTTACTCTTTCAAATCTATTAACTTTTTTTTTTTTGTCATTCAAATTTATTCCAATTTTTTTTTTTAAGTAAAAAAATACCATTTTTTTTACCAAAAAAAAAATTATTTTTTATATATTTTTCTTAAAATCCGTGCCCGGTCAAAATAAGCACGCAATTGGATGAGCGGAGGGAGTATATATGATCCCAGTCCGGCAGCAGGGGTGGGTCATGATCGGCGCTAGTCAAAAAAGGCACTGCGTACCTAGACGACTGTATTAATCTACCTATGCCTGCTAGCTTCATCTTATATGGAGTATATTATTCGGTGTTCCATCTTAGAAGGCTATTTAAGAAAGAAAGATACTTGTGCAGTTTAATTTACACACACACGTTGTAATTAATATATATATATATGTATATATATATTATATAGATGCACCAACAAACGCACAAAGCATCCCACCCACCAAGTTTTGTCCCCCCCAAGCCCGAATGAGTGATCTAACACTTATTCCACAATTTTGTTTCCTGTTAAGATATATATATATATATATATGCTACTAGCTAGAAAAACAAAACACCAAGGTGTGCAGCACTACCAGATTCTCTTCCGCTATTAATTCGTAATGATTTCACTCACTTTTTATGCATGGTCACGAATAGCGAACAGACTAGCTTTTTCCCAAGTGTTACAAGGTGACTTTAACGATCGTCACAACTAAAAATTCGAGGCACTTTGTTAAATAATATCATTATTAAGTTAATTATATATCCCGAGAATACTAACAACTTAAAATCAAGGGTCGAGGCAGGCAGCAGATAGATCCAACCAAAAGCAATATATTCTCCGCGCCAACCGATCGATCAAGGTTATTATTGATTATAATCATATATGCAAATCTATATATGTTGGGGATCATTAAAATTACACATATATGTATATAGTCATCAAATTAAAGTGCACGTACGGTGAAAGATCGCGCATATACAGTGTGTGTACATACCATGCTTGCGTGCTCCTTGTCAGAATCTTTAGGCTGATGATCTTCAGCAGGAATTTCCAGGTTACACTTCATGTACCTCTCAATCATACCCTGCATGCTTCTTCATTACAAAAAAAATAAATAAATAATAGTTATACACTAAATATATATGTATCATGATGAATGTGTAGTTATGAGTACTGTATGAAGGTAGTTAGATCATCTAACATATATAAGGAGAAAAACTAGAGAGCGGATTAATTAGGTTGAAGGAAGCACCCTACCCTTTGGTGGCGAGTTCGTAGAGCTTGCCATGGGCGGAGAAAATGAAGAGCCCAATTTCAGCATCGCACAGCACGGACAGTTCCTTGGCCTTCTTCAGCAGCCCTGCGCGCCTCTTACAGAAGGTAACCTGCCGGTGTACTGGATTCTCAATCCTTCTCATCTGAATCTTTCCTCGAGCCATTACTTAACCAGCTAAGCTAAGTAATTGATTAATTGGTTAATTAATCAAATTCCAGATATATATATATATATATATTTGCAGAGAGAGAGAGAGAGAGAGAGAGAGAGAGGGGAAGGGGAGGGAGATGTATATCTACAATTGATGACTGAATCGATCAAAGCAACGTCGTCGTCGTCCTTAGGGTGGGCGATCGAACGACGACTTAGCCGTTGATGATTGGCCTGCCTGCTGTGCTTTTTAGCCGAACGAAAACTAATTGATGATCGGAAAATATGGAAGAAAATTTGATAAATAATTATATATATATATTCTCCGGTGCAGCAGACAGCAGCCTCCCACTAGTTTGAACTAGCTTCGAGGTGTTGCCCGGCCGGCCTCGCTCTCTTTTAACTCCGGAGAGAGAGAGAGAGAGAGAGAATACGCACACAATGCTACCCTTGTGGAAGCTCTTAGGCAGCCTTATATACACACACGCACACAGGCATGCCTCCTCGTCGAATGTATAACTAAAGAAAACCATTATAATTAATTAGTTAGTTAATTAATTAATTAAACTAATCAGACCACCCATCATATTCACAGATGGATGGATGGATACAGAATATCGTGGTCGGAATCTAGTACTTTTACACCTCACACCTGCAGTCACAAAACAATACAGTAGTATAATTATGAATGAATGAATTAATTAATGATTTATACCTCTTGGCATATAAATACATACAAGGCCTATGAGGCATAGACACCTGGTGATCCTAAAGGAGGGGAGGGGAGGGAGGGTACAATATATACGATGTTGCTACCAAAAGCCCACACACACAAGCTAATTAAGGTTCATTTGTTGTGCTGCCTCATTGGCTGGACTGATGGAATCAATTAGTTATATACACATACTACGAGTAGTAGCAGTATTTGTTAGCAGTATTTGTTGGAACTTACCGGAATTAAACCTATGTTAGGATACGGGTTTACGTTTTGAAATAAAATTAATAAATTTAATCTGATTTCATTAGTATTATGAGATTCTGCAAATTAATTGAGGATTTTGTGTTCTTCAAATTTACTCACTGTGATGAAATAATCTCTAGGATTTCTACCGTTACTCACGATGACCACGATGAGATATAAAAAATAATGAATATTCTATCACAATTCAAATTTATATCTCTTATTATTATTAATTGATCTCATAAATTGGCGGTTATCTGCGCTAACTATATAAATACATTTAAGTCAAATAACATTTAATATTGACTTAACAGAAATGAAAATTCAAATAATTACATAAAATTCACAATTAGAAGTTTTAATCTAACATATTGTGCACATACACACGCATGTACGTACGCCCACTCACACTGGGAGAGAGCGGCAGAGCATTGTATTGTATAGGTGTATGGGATATATAATTTCCGGTGGTATCACGACCACAATCAAAATGACAAACGTACGGAGCTGGTGCTATAGAAAGGTGGGCCTTGCCGGGAGTGACCGTACGGCGTCTAGTCAGCAACGCAATGAATTGAAGGCCGTGAACATATATGCATCATCGGTGTCGGAGATTGATCATCTATCAGCACAGCTTGCCTGCTGCCCATCATCATCATCACCATCGTCATGATGCTTGGTGGATCGGAGTGGCCCTGTCTGTCCCTCCACCAATTCCGATGCATGCGTCTGCACGTACTTTTTGCTGCTCTCAGTCGTCCTATCTCATGAATATAAAACTCAATTTTTCTTTTGATCCTAAAAATTTGTAGTATATAATTGTAACAGTATAAATTTTTGAAATAACACAAATATTATAAATATAATTTATATATATAAACTATATTCTAAATATATCTTAATATTTTTCTTCAAATTCAACTTAGGATTCAATCAATTTGAGTTTGTCCAAAGATAGTACGAAATCAAAATCAAAATTTATAATTGAAAACAGGATTTTCAATGTCCTTAAAGTTGAAAATGGGACTCTCAACATCAAAATATGTACATATTCATATAATTGAAATATAAAATTTTAATTTCATATACTGTATTAGAAGTAAATTTTATATTAATTTATTCCCGACTTGTTATATCTCATATATATTTTGTGGATGTATCTATTTTTATTAATTACCTTCTCATGTGCGCTGCTCCCACCACTTCGATTTCTATTGATATATTTCTGCTTTCAACTCTAATTTCGTTGAAAATTCAGTTTTCAATTTTAATTCTATTAAGAGTGAGTGATTTTTATTTTTTTTACATTATAACTTTATTGTGAGTGAATGAGTCCTACTTTCGACTATAATTTTATTAAAAATAAGCGAATTCTGTGTTCAATTCTAATTTAATAGTAGCGTAAATATATATAGAAAATATGTATTAGATTTATGATACATGTCTTTTTTAAAAGATTAATTTGTAAAATTTTATTTTATTTTATTTAGACTATCATTATAAGTAGTAGGTAATTAACACAGAATATTTGAGTTTCATATTTCAGCAATTCATACGTACATATATTATTAATTAATTAATAAGTTAAAAGTGAGGGAGGGATTGAGTGAGTGGATGGTGCAGCTGGCTGACTGGCATGGAGATGAACGTAGTAAAGTTAATTGGTTTGGTTTGGTTTGTTTTGTTTTCTGAGCCGGTCGGTTGCGTTGTAGAAGTAATCTTAATTAGTACAGTACTACAGTATGTGTGCGTGTCATGTGTATTAACTGGCGAGGTGGTGCCGGTGCTACTCTACAGCTCTAGTCCAGGTACGTACGGACGGGTGGGTAATCATGATCATGATACATATAGATAGATATATATATATATATATATGCAAGCAACCAACCATTTACAATTAATTACACAGGTAGCTTTTACCGCCCACTAGTTGCCCTTATATATTTAGCTTTATAGATATTGATATCCCCATTGGAAAGGAAAGGAAAGGAAAGGGATTTAACTAAAAGAATAAAAGACTATACCATGGTCCATGGGAGATATTATTTTATTATATATACTATACTATACTATACTAGCTATATATATATATAGGAGTATTAATTAATTAATTAATTAATTAATTCTAAAGTAATAAGATAAATAAATAATACCGAAAAGGGAGCAGCTAGCTCATCGGTGAGGCCTCCACTCACATCTTAAATTAAAAACGAAGCCAATTAATTAAGAATCTTGTCAAATCAAATCAAATCAAACCAAACCAAATATATATATATATATATATGCGCTGAATTGAAAACCCTAATTTGGTGTCGTCCATGATACATCCATCTATTTTATCTGCCCGCAGGCTAAGCGCTTTAATTAATTAATTAATTAATTAATCAACTTGACACACACCTGCATATTAATAATCAATATATCTCCTGAATCTCGATCATTGGCTGCATGAGGATTGGGCACGTCAACCATTTCCTCCACGTGCCGGTCGTCGATCCACACTGCTGGCATATGCATACATCCATAGAGATATATATATATATATAGAGAGAGAGAGAGAGAGAGAGAGAGAGATGGGTCGTCTGGGAACTTTGATCATTTCGATTCCAGAAATCTTTAATTTTGCCATGAACAAAGATTAATAGTTGAGTGGAGCGGGTTACAGTACAAGTTAGTATTAATTACTCTCTTTCGCCAGGATTTCCAGATAAATTGACCATATTATTTAGATACAAAAATTTAAATAAAGTATAATTATTAAATAATTAAAAATATATTAATAAAAACAATTATAAATTAAAATTAAATAATTATATATTTTAATTGAAGTTAAAAAATTATAAAAGTATGAATTTTAAAATTTAATTAAAGTATACAATCATATTTTTTAAAAAAAAAAATTATGCTGGACGAATCGAAAAAAAAAAAAGGACAATTTATATGAAAAAAAAAATGGACAATTTATATGAAACAAAAAGAGTAGTATATAATAATATTAAGAAAGAGCTAATTAATTAATATATGGTATATATATATATATATATTCGATGTTCTCAAGCATAAAGAACCTTTGGGATACAGCTTTTAATGTTGAGTGGTTGATTGCTATATAGCTAGCTAACCCTAATAATATAATTAAATAAATAAATAAATAAAAAGCTAAGCTACACATCCAAATTAATTAAAACACACCACAAACGATTCGTATATATGACTATATGTATATACTATATATAAAGCAAAGCATGCAGAAAAGGTTTCATGACTAGTTATAATAGTGTGAGAGAGAGAGAGAGAGACGTGGGCTGGTGCAGTAGGTCAAGGCACCAATACCAATTCTTGAAATTTTGGGCTACTATATATGATAAGATGCCACTACATACATAGATTAATTATTTATAATTTATAACGTATGCCTACTAGTATATGTGTACGTAAATATGCAGCTACAGCCGTCGTCAAATTAAGTTTGATTCTATCCAACTATTGAGAGAAACTTAATTTAGGCTATACTCATCATCTTCGATATAGATATAGATATAGATATAGATATAATTATATATACAGAGAGACAGGCTGCATAACGTGTGTTGCGGTCATGGGTTATTAAAATACATGCTGCTGGTTGAATATATTGGAGTGTATAATCAGCTAATATAAACTGAATTTTCTTTTTCTTAAAAAATAAACATAAAAATCGTAAGTAGTAATTAAGAGTAATAGATATTGCAGTGCAATAATACTACAATATGTTCAAGTTCCATTAACTTGTACAGGATTGTGATGCTGCCCAAGGAAAATAAAAATGCTACAAAGAATGGAGTGACAATTAATTGTATATTGGGCCTGGGTGCATGAAACGAATGGGCTTTAAATTCTGGTTGTGGGCCTTTTCACGACCTCTGCAGTCTGCGCTGCTCTTCTACTGGACGGGACTGTGGGTGGAGTGCATAGAGAGGTCAGATCAGAGCTGAGAGTCTGAGACCACCGCCAGGAGAGGAGACGAGAGGAGACGAGACGAGGAGAGAGGAGAGAGGAGAGGAGTGTGTACTCACTCTACCTTCCCCATCCCTTGCCTTCAACGCCATCTCTCTCCCTCCCTCGACCTCGTCGCTCGCATCGCAAGTCGCAACTACCTGACCTGACATGTTAGGGCTTGCTATTGCTACTACTTAACGATCGATTCACTAATTATTTATTTATATCTTCAGGATGAGTTTCCGTTACCAATCCCAGCAGCTCCGTCCCGGGATCATACTTCCCACTCTTCTTCTTCTCTGTTTCACTCTCGCTCGGGCGAAGCACTCGTCCCCAGAAGAGCTAGAGATTCGGTACGTTTCAGCGGTTGGGGACCCCGGAATGAAGAGTCCAAATGCAAGATTTGCATGGGAAGCTTGGGATTTCTGCAATGAAGTAGGAACCGAGACGCCATACATGGGCAGCCCCAGGATGGCTGATTGTGCTGATCTTTACTGCCCACCATCAACATCTTCAGGTTCACTCACTTGTACTATTCATTGTGCCTTCCTCTTTTTGTTTCTCCAACCGAATTAACTTAACCTAACCTAAATTTCATGTAGCATTTATCAATTATTGTTGAAATCATGCTGCCGGCCGGCCCTCTGAAACTTGAAAATAATTTACTAATAACCAACACACACACATTATTGAGTTTATATTGGGCGAGCAGGATCGGGATGGGGAAGCGAGTGCCAAGTGCTCCACAGAGTGAATGAATCTGTGAATAGATGGAGAGCTGGTGACGGCTGTCTTCCTACCACACTGTCTACGGATCCCAATATTTATGCTGTGGAGAAGGAAAAATATCTCGGGCGTCTCTGCGAGGTGCGTGATTGGTATTTCTGGATGATCATGCTCAAGAATGGAAATTTTGACAAGAATACTACTCTCTGTCCTGAGAATGGCAAAAAAGTAGCTAAGATAGTCACGGACCGTACCTTTCCTTGCTTCGGCCATGGCTGCATGAACCAACCGCTCGTGTATCACAACCAATCCAAAATTGTTTCCTACAACAACGACAGCAACAACATCGTGTCTCTGGCTGGAGGGTTTTATGGGACGTATGACATTGATGATACCAACCTCACCCCTTATGGAGGAGGAGGGAACAAATCCTTTTTCTCTGCTTCTTGGCACAAGAATCCACTGACAAATAGCTGGATTATATCACAGAAATTGACAACATCATCCAAGTATCCCTGGCTGATGCTGTATCTACGATCTGATGCAGCCAACGGATACAATGGAGGCTACCATTACGATGGTCGCGGCATCATGCGGAAGGTCGGTCTGTCTGCCTGTCTTCTGCCAACTTTACTTTGCCTAGACTAGACTAGGTTGGCTGCCCGCTATAAAAGTGTGTATAGGAAGGATGGATGGATATTGTATTGGTATATATACTCACCCCTATCCTGTGTTGTTGTTTTCTTCATACCGTCAATAACTGCAGCATTCATAATAATAATAATATGATGGATGCAGCTGCCCGAGTCTCCTAACTTCAAGGTCAGGTTGAGTTTGGAAGTTGAACAAGGTGGAGGGCCCAACAACCAATTTTATCTCATTGATATTGGAGGGTGTTGGAAGAATAATGGGGATGCCTGTGACGGTGATGTTCTGACGGACGTAACAAGGTACAGCGAGATGATTATCAACCCCGCAACCACAAGTTGGTGTCGTCCAGACAACATCGTGTCCTGCCCGCCCTACCACACGAGCTCCTCGGGGGAGATCATCCACAGAAACGATACATCCCGGTTTCCATTCTCTGCCTATCACCTCTACTGTGCTCCTGGAAATGCTCAACATCTGGAAAAGCCATACGATATATGCGACCCATACAGCAACCCTCAAGCGCAGGAACTGGTGCAAATCCTCCCTCATCCCGAGTGGGCCGTGCACGGGTACCCGGAGAGAAAAGGGGATGGATGGATTGGCGACCCCAGAAGCTGGGAGCTTGATGCTGGTGCCCTGTCCAGCCGCCTCTACTTTTATCAGGTACTGCCCGCCCTCTCGGTTGGTGATGGTGAATTTGGTCTTGTTGTTGACTTGTGATCAAACACACACTTGTATGCAGGATCCAGGCTCAAAACCAGCGAGACGGGTGTGGACTTCGATCAATGTGGGGGCAGAGATATACATTAGCCCCTCAGGGGTTACCGCCGAATGGACCCTCAGTGATTTCGATGTTCTAGTTCCTAAGGATGATGATGCCGAATGGGCCGCCGCAGACATGTAGCATTTTGCACACCGCACACTGCAAAAGAACGACGGGATGATGAAAATGTATGTACACGTGTGTGTGTGTATATATATATATATTTTTGTATGGTGTGGGACACTTCTTCATTCACTACTATTCTGTGATTCTTCGTCTGCCTGTTGCTTTTTTAGCTTTGATGAGAATGATGATGACTTGTCTGAGTTTTACATTGGTCTTGCTTCTTCAATGCACTTGAGGAAAAAAGACAACGACTGCCTGCCTACCCACCTTTGGCATGCCCACAACCAAAGCCATGTTTCTTAATGACCATCATACCATCACAAACCGTAATATCCAAACAATCAAACAAAATGAGATCAAACCATACAGAAGGGGCAATAAGCAGAAGCAGCAGCACCACATTATGACACAGAATGCTTGCTAGATAGACAGTCAAGGCGCATCTTAAAACAAATATGCAGCTAAAAGTGTAAATTTTTAAATCAGCTATATTCCCAAATACACATAGCATTCGGGATCCAGCACCCACAGAGATATCCATTCACCAAAAAAAAACACGCACAGAACAGAACTGAACTAGGTACAAAACATAAGAAATGAACTTCCCAAACTTAACATGTGCGCCGCTACGTATATAACTGTTAAAAGTCCACCGCCCAAAAGGACTTCAAAAAACAAAATGCAGTTTCATCAAATAAAGACATTGGATGGAATAAGTACGCACATTTTATATTGTTCCTCTTCATTTGAAGCACTTGGCATCCAATAAGGCCTCACCCTCAAAAGGCTCTGCATCTTCAATCATCTGATTCACGCGTTCCTTCTGCGCTTCATCATTGATATCCACCTTTGTCCAATCATACAACTCCATGTCATAGCACTCATCGAGCACAAATTGGGGGATTTCAGCCCCGCGGAAGAGCCACAGCCCCTTCACCTTGTATGGAGCCCCAGAACCAATAACCAACATCTTCCCAAATGCATACTTCCGTGCCAAATCCATTCGCTGCAGAAAACCACTCACCTTGTTCAGAGTGACAAATGACACAGTATTTTCTTCATTGTACTTGTAGTCACAGAACCAAAGAGAATAGCCTTCTGGATCATACATGTCCCAAAACCCTGCAAATCACTAAAAATAGTGAGCCTCATGCTTAAAAGGATCATTAGCTGTTCCAAAGCTACTTTCTATCGGAGGCAACCATGATAATATCCAACACTAAAGCTAGCTATCACTGGTTCAAAAATTATTCTACCACAAAAATTCATGAAATGAAGACCTGGAGATATAAAGACTCTGCAAAGTGCCCCAAAACAGCTGTAAGCCATGCAAATTACTACCTTTTATGGCAACCTCACGGAAATTGGTTTTGGTGTTAGAGTAAAGCCTCTTCCATTCATCAAGAATCATCTTGCTAGGAGGCAAAAGATCCAAAGGATTCTTTGCCTTTGGCTTAGGAGCTTCTTCTTCTTCCTCTACTTTGGGCTTAACTTCTTGTTTCTTGACCTCCTTTTTCTCCTCCTTTGGCTTAGGTTTGGCAGGTTCTTTTGCCTGTGCAGGCTTCTTTGATTCGACAGGTGGAACAGATTCAGTTTGCGTAACAACACCCCATATCTTCTTGAAATTTGGCTGATTAACCAATGTCCAAGCATATCGCTCCACATGTGGGAATTCCGATGTAAAGCTCTTAGTCATGATTGTTGTCAACCCAGACACCAAGACACATACCATAACAATGTCGGCAAGTGTAACACCATGTCCAACCAAATATGTATTAGACGCAAGGTAGGTGTTTAAAGCTCCTAGAGCTCGTTTGAGGGAAGCAATTGCAGCCTCCTCAGCCTGTATTCGATCAAAAGAGAGTGGTTTTATGTGAGACCTATATTATCGAAATTTTTAATAAGTAATACTACACTGCTCTCAAAGAACAAAATCAAAAGCTATATGAAACACACTCTCAGAGGGCAAGTAAAAGTATACCGGAGGAAGATACACACGGTAACCACGTCGCGGAAACAACCAATTTCCAATATTTGCATCGATTTCGGTAGCAGAAAAATCAATCCATTGCTCAATCTGGCCCTGTAAAATCCAATAAATCAACACAAACGTAGAGTATAAATTTACCAAAATCACAACAAGCATTTCATCAGGTTAAACCACATGAGATGAGATGAAAAACTAAGAAGCTGGAAACTGAACAAATGGAGATCAATAAATACACTTACATATTCAATAGCAGAAGAACCAAATAAGGGTGCATTAGGATTCAATCTGGCCACTACATAAAATGAAAGAGAAAAATATCAGAATAAATCATATTTGATTCATGCCAAACCAATGGAAGACAGAAAATGTTTTACCATAACGCGCAATGGCGTTGCTTTCAAAGATCGGACCATCGGGTGTTTCAAGCACAGGTACCTACAACAAGAAATCCAAAATCAGAAGATATTTTATGATATCTTTTTATTATTAAGATATTACTATACCTTCCCCATGGGATTCATCTTGATAAATTCTGGGGTCTTGTTTGATACACCCATTTGAAAATCCTTAACTAGATCAATCTTTACACCACAATATTCTGCAGCAATAAGCACCTTGAAGGCATTCTTGTTTGGAGGACAGTGCAAAACCTGGACAAGGGGCACAATGATGTCAGTGGCGTGGATCTGACCATAAAGAATACAAATAACCTCCATATTGTGCATATTAATAATGATTAGTCCAATATTATACAAGCAACTACAACATAAAATTATTTTAAATTGATGACTGAGGACATCAGTTTTCAAAATTATTATGGTCGCTAATATATGGATATGTGGATAGTAGTCATAAAAGCACAGGACAACTATCACTCAATAACCATCAAGAAGCATAAATTTTCAATAAAATGTATAAATTGGTCACAAGGTGTTGCCAATAACAAAGTTAAGTAAACTATTATATAGGCGAGATTTAGAAAGACGACAATTATATACTTGTACAGAAGCACTACACTATATTAATCGAAGCTTCTTCCATTCAAAAAGGTAGTTTTTCCTATTCTTATTGGTAAATAACGTCTTACGATTATATACTTCATCCTACTTAACGATTTAAATATAAGCGAGAATGTGAAAATTTAGAACAGCATCAACGCTGTTTATATCTAAGGAATTCAAACAAAAGAGAAAAAAAGCACAAATAAAAGATTGAAGCAGCGTCAATAGCGAATTAACATTCCATGCTTAACCGAAACCCAATAGCAGATCCGCCACGACAACTAGCCAAACATAGTTTCAGAAATAGAAACATCGCACTCACCAGACCCATGGCTTCAGATATATTCCAACAAGTCTGAAAATTCAAACAAGAAAATAAGTCCTCACCAATCATCAGAAAGTTACAAAAGTAAAGTACAGTCTTTACATAATGAGCAAAATTCTAGATAGTGAATCGTAAGAAATGAAAACAAAACAAAGAGTTGATCAAACAGTTCATCAAGATGGAGAATATGGGCGTTACCCAGATGCACGAAGCCAAGGGATGCGAGTCGAGCCGCTGTGTTGTGGCAGGGGCAAGGAAGAGGGCAAGAGCAGCGAGGAGGCCTAGGGTTCAGGGTTCTTAGAAAACGGATCCTACTATTATATATATATATGTAGTAGGCGTCTGTGCTGCGGCAGGGGTACCAAATTTGTTCCTACTTTAGAACCCTCAAAATAGGCTGAGGTTGACCCGCCCGCTTACGAGGATTGGGTTGTTTTAAGAAATTAAAATGCGGCCTAAATGGGCCAATTCACGCAAGCTGGATTGAAAATGAATTAGCCCGATGGGCGAGTTAGCTATAAATATAATAATTAGTACTCAATGCTCTTATTTAAATGTATTTTTTATCATTTTTTAATGATTACTATTTTTTATTGTCATAAAAAAATTATAATAAAAATAATTAAATATTAATATTAAAATATATTTTAAATTTATATAAATTACAAATATATCATTATAAATACAATTAATTTATAAATATTGTAAAAAAAAATAAAAAACATTAAAATCATCTTATTAACTTTATTTAATAAATAATATATTATAATTTTTTAAAGATGAATAATAAATACAATTTATATTATCTTTAGTTTAAAGAAAATTAATAATATTGTCTACACATTTTTTTTTCTCTAACTTTCTAATCAATATCACTTTTATTTGTTTGGATTTTTTATTTGACTTGTTATGTTAGTATTCTATTTTATTATTATATAACTTTTTTATTTTAACACATATTCATAAAATTAATTAGGATTATTTTTAAAACATTTTTTATTATTAATTTTTTTTTAATACACAAGCTAATAATATTTAGAATTAAAAATTTTTATTTTTGTTATTTATTTTAAAATATTTATTATTTAAAATTTACTATAAAACTGTTTTAAAATATTAATTACAAAAATATCAATAAAATTAATATACTTTTAGGGGGTGTTTGGCAAATAACTTTGAGTTTTTAGTTTATTGAACAGCTGTTTTTACCAGTCAAAAAGCTAATTTAGGTGTCTGGTAAATTAGTTTTTTAGAATAGTTTTTTGGACCCAAAAAGCTAATTTTGAAAAGCTAATTTTTTTCCCGTAAAAAAATCTTTTATTCATGTCCTTAAAAATTTATTATACATTTTACACAAATAAATATATTTTGATTATTTATAAATTATATTAGAATATTTTATTATATTATAGTTTTACTTTTATAAATTTAAAATAATTAATTTTTATATAAAAATTATTTTAATTATAAAATATACAAATTTATTAAAATCAATATAAAATAAAAAAATTATAAATATTAATAATTTATTTTTGTATTAGAATTATTCTATTATATAAATTTTATACTAAAAATAAATTAAATAAAGTAAATTTATTGAAAATTATAAATATAATGAACTAATCGATAACTAACATAATAAATATATACACGAAAAATTTATTATATTATATTTTATATTATTTTCAATAAAAAAAATTATTTATATATTTTAATAAAAGTATATTATTTTTTAAATCTAATTGCAATAAAAATAAATACTTTTATAACACTTTTACAATTTTCAATAACTAAAAACAAAAATTTTTAAACATTCGAAACTCAAAAGAACATAATTGAATATTTAGAAACAAGAATAAAATAAAAATGTCTTCAATTTTCATTTTACGTATAAACAACTAATATCAAACAGTTGTTTTACCAAACATTTTAATACAAACAGTTAATCTAATCGGCTAGTCAAACCAGCTAATTAAATCAGCTAACATGTATCAGCTAATTGAATCAGTTAACAACTAACCGTTGCCAAACACGCCGTTAATATTTTAAAAAAGTCCGTGGGCTCACCCTAGCTCGCCATCCGCCGATGAATTGGATTAAATTGATGAAATTTTAGTCGGTCCCGGGATGACCCGCAAAATGTTTACGGGTATATATGAGATTTTGCATGATGGTTGATTAATTACTAATGTTATTTAACTAAAATGTTTTAAACTTTTAGATATTATTTACATAATATACTTTCATTCATTATTCATTTAACTTCAAAAAACAATATATCAAATATATTTTATTGTTCACAAAACATTAAATGAAACACTAATATTTACCTCTAAAATCTCAATCTAAACAAAGCCATAGATTGAAAGCAGCATAAAACAGAGAGACACAAATCAATAAAACTCAAACGAGTAACTAAAATACATGGAAGTTGGAAATTTATTGTAAATGGAATGACTGATATAGTACTCATCTTTCCATAAAATAAGTTAAAATATAAAAATATCACAAGACATAACTATTGAAAAATAAAACACAGAGAGAGAAGTTGAAAGCCAGTGGAAAAAGGGTTATAAGTTATGCGAGTAGTGACAGAGGCGAGGAGAGAGGACTCGGAGGAGAGGAGAAAGAGAGTCAGTCAGGACCTGCGATGCGACGGTGGCTGAAAGTTGAATGAGTCGCTGATTCTTGAATCCATTCCTGCCTTATCGTTACTTGTCTTCGCCTTCCACTTTCACCCCATCCCCCACCCCTTGTGAATAATCAATCCACCACTCAAATCTTGCGCCGGCCAAGTCCTTCCCTTCCCTCTTCGAAAACGCATTTCCATTTTCTCTCCTCGGGACAACTGAATCAATTGAGGGAATTAGAATAATAATAGCCAAGAGAAGAGATGAAAAGTGTCCCTGCTCTTGCTTCCCTACGCTTCTTATTTTTCTGCCTTTTCTCCCTTGTATTAATTCCAGGTATGTCGTGACTTCACAACTCTGATTTAGCTTTGTCATGCGTAACTTTTTGCAAAAACTATACAAGGAAGTAACTGAATCCATGGATTGGGGATTGAGATTCCTCAAGATCTGATTTTCTGTGTGGATTGTTTACAAGATTGCCTGATTTCTGAGATGGAAAGACACGAGGACGCGGTTTTTGATGTTGCAACAGAGCCCCCACCAAGAGGGGATTAAAACTTTTTAAAGATTTTATTGTCTTTGTTGGGAAGATTGGTTAGATTCTTAGACAGAATGAACATCATCAGATCAGGGTTTTTTTCTTTTTACCTGTTAGATCCTCGATCTCTTTAAGTTAACACCGGTTTTATGATACCTAGAGAACCATGGTGAAGACCTTAAATAGTACTTCAGAAATTCGACCATTATATTTGATTTAGCGTTTCACCAACTGATTAAGTTAAAGGAGTGCTTAATCGTTCTTGTTCTTATTGTTCCTTGGGGGTACTTGTTTGTTATATTAATATTAATCTATCTCATCCGTGTATTTGGTAAGGCTTGATTCTAGAATCTGTAGTTTGCCCTGTTGTTTGGAGATTGATCTTTTGAGTTGAGTTGAGGTAGCAGCAACACCTAGGGAATGTGAAACTCTTGTATGTTCTTCCCTGGCTATCATCTCATCTCTAATTTAATGATTGGGATACGGAGCTCTTTGTCAACATGCTTCTTAGATCAAAGCCAAAAGTACAGTATAAGAAATTTCTGTTTGTGACATGAACCTTCAGGATTAGCTGTTATCCTAAGCTAATCTAGTTTATATTTGCGTTGATCTACAGCGGTAAATGTAAGTATTTGAATAATTGTTCTAGTGCTAAATCTTAAGACCACGAAGTTCTATAACTAGCGTGTATGTGATGCTATTTAGCTCAGGCTTGTGGGGATCCATGTGAATCCTTTTGGAGGAGTTTTTAAAATGCCAATTTGATTTTAGGTACTGCAATGTCGATCATGTCTATTTCAAAATTGGAGAAGTAAAAGTTGATGAGCTCGGGAACTTTGTGTGGGGTAGATAGTAAGTAGATTGCTTCTGATCACAAAGTTGTTCATATTGTGTTAGGATTTTTGAGATGCAATTCAGTTATCTAAGAACATATTTTGTTTTGTTGTCTATGATTGTCGAGAGGTTAAGATTTGGTTTGTTGGTAGGACTGGTGGCGGAAGACTCAACGACGCCAAACACTCCAAATGGGAAGACAGGTGCAAGTAAGAAGTCGTCGAAGTCGGAGTTGAAAATCCTGTTAATAATGCTTGGCCTGATAGCAACTGCAGGGTTTGCAGTTTTCTTGTACAAGGTGTGGCAAAGAAAAAAGAGAGAGGAGCAACATGCCCGGCTCCTGAAGCTCTTTGAACAAGATGACGATCTTGAGGTTGAACTGGGAATGCGGGATTGATTGAGATAATTGGATTATACTTTTATGTTCTTGTCCAGCTTTACACAATCATTACTAGAAGGACTGGATATTATTGTAAATGTAGCGTGCCTCTCCTCTTTAGCTTGGAATCGTATCATGGCGCTTGACTTGCTTGCTTGAATGAGGCAATTGTTTTTGTTTTCAATGAGGCTGTTGATTTATATATATGCATCTATATGTGTGTGTGTGTTATTTGATCCAGCTCGATCATTCTGCTGTGCTGTAGTAATATTATTGTTATATTTGAAGTTGAAGCACATTCCGGTGTTGATTCATACACCATACATACGCAACAAGTTGACCTCTTTATGTTCGAACTTGGCCCTTGTTTGCTTGGACAGAAACTGAAATTTTTGTTTGAGTAATCGCTAACTAGTTTTTCTTTTGGTGTTCGGCTAGATTAGATTGGACTAGTTAAATTCTTTTTTTTCTTTTTTAAAATAAAAATAAATCAATAAATTGAATTTCATCTAAATTTAAATGTAATAATAACAATTTATTAATAAAATTTGTGTAAAAGGATATATAAGTAAGAGTAATAATATATGAAATAATATAAAAATGTTAATTTATTTTCTTAATGGATCTCTGGGAACACTAAAATTTATGTTGTGTTTTGCTCAATTAGCTGAATTTGTGTTCGTAGAGGTTAATCCGTTAACAATTTACTCCTTGTTTTACAGCTTTGATCGAACTGAATTCTTCAATGGTTGAATTAATTACCACTGTTACATATGTATATGCATAAATGTATAGAGTAGAGTAGAGTAGAGTAGAGTACAGGCCTACTAACTAACTATCACCTCTCCCCCCAAATCCTAGTACAGTAGTATTTATTCAATATCATTGTGTACCTGCCAAGTCATGCTGATTTCATCTTTCTACATGTGCTGCTACAATACAATGCTAAATAAATAAATATGGCCATATATCTTCTGCTGTGGCGTTACCAGAGCAGCTCAATAGAGAGCACTCCCACAACACAGCTACTACCCACCCTATAAATTAAGGTAGGTCTACCCCCTGGAGTTAAAACGGCATCTCAGCCATCGATGATTATGTGAAGAAACTTTTAGAAATACTCAAACTGCAAAAGCCAAAACAAAAGCCCAAAGTTCCAAGTACCTTTCACCTCACCAATCAACTTAAAACGTAGAGAGTGAGAGAGAGAACTATACACGATGGATGATGATAATGCTCGATTATATGTATATTAGTAGTTTTTACAGAATAAAACATCCAGCCTTTCCAGCTTGCCTCCGAAGCTCCTCAGTCTCCCTCTGAGCTTTCTCCAAATTCTCTCGCAGCTTGCGTATTTCATCATTTGATTTCTCTTGTGCGGCTTGAGCCATAGCTTCTGCCTTCAGTCGAGCATTCTGCTCCTCAACCAATTGCTTCTCAAGCCTATGTGTTGTCTCCTTGAGCTTTGACTCAACCTGCAGGTGCCGTTATGCACAGCACATTCAACTCAACATATTCACATACATGCTCGGCACTTGATGCTTGTTTTGGTCTTGTTAAGCTCAGATATAACATTTCAGTAGCAAAAGATATTAGAAGCAAATAAATTAATACAAGTAATGACCAAAACCAAAAATCTACCATCTCAGTAATTCTCCTTAGCTGCTGTTCATATGACTTCTGGAATTGCTCCGTCAATTCAGAGATCTCCTGTTTTGTGTATCCTTGCACAGAGGTGATTTCAACAGTCTGGTCCCGCAGTTTCACTGCTCCTTTCTGTTTATGAATGTAAGTACTTTAACAAACTCTCCCCTCATAATTAACATTTGAAAATTTTTGGACTGCAGCTAAGCAGCTATTAACAGGAAAAGAGAAGGTTACCTTCAGCTCAAGGAAGATCTCATCTGTGTAAGGTTTTCCATCATTGTAACCTACGACATCATTGACGAGTAAAAGAAGTTCTTTCCGTTGCACAGATCTCTTCAGTTCATCTTTGGACTTATTATCAAAAAGAACGCACCTATTGCCACACATTTGAAGAGTTTTCTGCATAAAGTTCAGAAAAAAACAATTGTTGGCAATAAAATACGATGGAGTGCATGTTCAATAACAATAAAAAAAAAAACCAAACGGTATAAATAAACACATGTTTTGTCCTTTCAATAGCACAATTATAGCAGCAATGAGTGGTGGCATATAATTGGTATGATCTACCTTCAAAGGTTCAGGGCAATCACGACCCAAGTAATCATCAAGAGTCTCATCATTTTCTTCAAGGTCATCACCACCCGTAAAAACTACAATCATATAATCACTAATTTTGATGCCAAAGAATTTCCTCAAGCTGTCAATAGCAGCCTCTTCCTCTCGCGAAAATCGGGATCTGACTGACAATACCACAAGAACAGCATGGATACCATCCTTAGCCATATTGATGCACTTAACTATTTCCTTTCCCACAAATTCAGGTTCAGCAGAAAAATCAAACAACCCTGCAAAGTAGAGTCATTTTCAACAGGTGAATGAAGATCATAGAGAGCAAGGGTGTGCTTGTTTGGTGGTTGGGATTGCGGTTGAATTGGGAATTTGGGGTTTGTTTGATTAATCATGTAATATATATTTGATTAAAATATAAAATATATTAATATTATTTTAGATAATATAATGCAAATATAACGTATGCATATACATACATATTTATAAATGATTTAATATAAATCAGTGTTAAAAAAGAAACGAGAATTCAAATACTTTTACACTTTCTCTGGTATGCTTTGCCATTTTACAGCTCTGTGAGATCAATTCTACGCAGTTCCGCAAGAAAGAAGGTATCTATGGCTAATTAGTAGTTATGAAGCAGTGGAAGTTGTGTTTCTTCTGCTCTCAGGGAGTTAGACATGTTGCTCCAATGTTTAAATTTCTAGATAATTCTGTAGACCTGACCATCCCTTTCCGCGTCTCTTTAAGAATGACTTAATAAATTTAGCACCATACCTGGAGTGTCAATGACATTGAGAATATGGCCATCTTCCAGTACAGTTGTTTGCAGCTCACAAGTACTGGTGACACCTGCTGAGCTCGACATTGATTTGAATGCCTTTTTTCTGAGGATGCTGTTTCCCGTCGCACTTTTTCCATTGCCGGTGCGGCCAACCAAAACTATAGTACGGACCCCACTGGTTGGAGAAGTTAACTCCCAATCATCGTCGATTGCGCTTCCCCCCATTTGCTGAAAAAGGACTGGATAAACAAACGTATACATCAACGTACAACAAACCGACATATAAGAAGGGCTAGGTAAAACTCTCATCAATAATTAAATCATCAGTGTGTTGATTTCTTCCTTTTTTTTTTTTTTTTTTCTTTTTCTTTCTTTCTTTCTTCCGAAGAAAAAAAATCCTATATTTAGCTTTAGAATGAATCCTGTTCAAGCCCACAGCAGATCAACATACAAACCAAACTGACATATATAGAGATGCTGAAACCGACATACATAGAGATGCTGAAAGCAATTTAATCGAAAGGAAAGTCAAAATCAAAACTTTGCAGTAAATCATAAGAAAAACTACAGGCCCTGACAGATAACAACACACAAGTAAAAGTTGAATAAAATCAGGAGTGTGGGTGGAAAGCTCATACGCTTATCGCCCAAAAACAAAAAGGAAAAAGGACATACATGGCAAGCAGCAGAAACGATCGGATGGAATTATAGAAATAGGAATAGGAATAGGAATAGATAGAAGAAGGGATAAGTAGATGAAGTTAACCTCTCGATAGAATGGAGTGGCAGATCTAAATGATATTAGGGGAAGGGGAGGAGACTCTGGAGGAGCGAAGGATGATGACTTGAGGGGAAAGTAAATAGGAAGGAAGGATACAGTAGCAGATTTGTATTGGGAGGTAATAAGGGAAGGGGAATGGGCATGGTAGTAGTGGATCTTGACCAGGTTAAAGTCCCGAAGGTGAAGCAGAGCAGAGCAGAGCAGTAGCACAACAGAGAAAGCGAAGACCATGGAAAGATGAACCATCTATCCGTGGATAAGTTCACAGAAAACAGAACCGAAGAGTGGAAATGTAGAATGGTCCGATTGAGTCCCAACAAGGTTGGGTTCCGGTTCCGGTTCCGGTCCAGGTATGGGCCGGATCACAAAAGGACGTGAGATGATCCGGGTCCAGGTCCAGCACTGGAGGGACACCCCGACCTACAGTCAAAAGGGAAAGGATTGAGTGGACTCCTCCTCGTTCCGCGATTGCTAATTGCTGCATTCCCAAAACTAATATTCTTTACTTCTATTTTCATTAACCATTATCCAATTTAAAATGTATTTTTTTAAAAAATTATTATTTCTTTTATAAAATATTTCAGATTCAAAATACTCGTATTTTTTTTTTAATAGGATTTTGGATGAAATGAAAAATAAATAATGAACTATTGAAATCAGATTTAAACAGCCGCAGGCCGCGGTATCTTATGAAATGGATCCATGAATTAACCAAGCAGCTGGCCCAATCTATAAATTGAAGCGGCTGGCCTGGCCTGCCAATTCTTGGAATCCCGTCAGTCATCTCGTCGTCGGCTCTTCGCCTCTTCTAGGGCTTCGATCTCTGCTCATCCTCATTGCCGATATCAGTTCCCCGGTTTGTGGAGTGGGAATTTCGGATGGCGTCCCTCTTTAAGGTAATTCCACTCGTGTAATGTGCAATCCTCTCGCTGTGTATTGTAGGGGATTATGTTGAATTATTGGTTTACTCGCGCCATGCTTCCCGACATTGAGCGCAAGTGTTGCTTGCATTTAGGGTTTATATAAGAGTTTTAGCTGTTCGACGCCCTTGCTGATTTATTGCATTCACAATAGTTTAAGGTGAATTTTTGACAATCGGTTTCTGGTTTTCATGCTACTTTTACTAGAGCTCGTTGTGTGGTTCGCTGCGTATCGTTTTATTGATTTATTTATTGTGCCTTTTGTGCTTTAGGATCCGAGTAAGCTATCCGCGTACAGGGATCGAAGGTTTCCTGGGACGCAGGAAGAGTTCGATGAGGCACTACAAAACTCGACTACTGTTTATATTGGGAACATGTCGTTTTACACGACCGAGGAGCAAGTTTACGAGCTCTTCTCTCGTGCCGGAGAGATAAGAAAGATAATTATGGGTTTGGATAAGAACAGCAAAACCCCTTGTGGCTTCTGCTTTGTACTGTGAGTCTTTGCATGATATTTTGTTTCTGAAGATGGGAGCATGAATTTATTGACCGTTTGCAATGTAGTTTTATTCCTAAAATCTTAGAATCAGGACATGGCAGTGTTGCTTTTTTTATTTTTATTTTTTTTTTCTGAGTGTCATATCTGGTAATGCATACATGATTCAATGCAACTGTGCTTTCCAGCTTCTATTCTAGAGAAGATGCTGAAGATGCTGTTAAATATATTAGTGGAACAATTCTGGATGATCGTCCCATTAGAGTTGACTTTGATTGGGGGTTTCAAGAGGGCAGGCAGTGGGGGCGTGGAAAGAGTGGTGGACAAGTAATGCCTATGAATTTTTATGCCCCATAATTTATTTCTTTTTATCTTACCTGTGTTTTATTTGTCAGGTCCGGGATGAATATCGCACTGATTATGATCCAGATATCCTTTTGAAGCTATCACGTTTTATCATATTTTATTTATGTGCCGTCTCCGTTTGTTTTATACATTTATTTCGCTAATGTTATCCAAAAATTCCAGATATACCTTATTAAAATGTCTCATTTCAACCACATTGCTGTTTCCCGTTTTTTTTACTGGTGTTGTATTTTTTTATTTTTTATTTTGAAATTTCTATTTCTTTAACTAGCCATACGCAGAGGTGGTTACGGTAAACTAGTCCAAAAAGAGTTGGAGGCCCAGAGGCAGTTAGTGGATTATGGTGCGGGATCATTAGGTTCATTTCCACCTGTATTGCCACCTAACTGTAAGTTAATCACACAGCATCATCTTTGATATGGTTTACTTAATTTGCATGTACAATACAAAGTTTGTATGTCATGTTCAGTATTTCATATGAGTAGCATGGCTTAATATAGATTATTTTTTTTGGTGCTTAAGTTATGTATTTCTGTTGTCTACATACTTCATTCTGGAGCATTTAAAAAAATGTTAACTCTGTAGGTGAATTTCCTTGTAGTATTGTGGCCTTCATTTATTTATTTTATTCAATGAGAAACTGGATTGTTCATGTAATTTGTCTATGCTTATAGATTATGCATACAAGTCTGACCTTGAGCTCTTGCAGTTGGTAGGCATGGTGGGCATTATGGTCATGGTGCTTCTCACCGACATGGCAGGGGTACTATTTCATTATATGTTGCACTTTGTTTTTGGCCATGGAGTTCATTAATATGTGTTTACTCTTTTGAATAACAGATTACCCCCGTAAGAGACAAAGAGAAGATGACCGTCGGGGTCCGGAGTTCCCGAGGAGAAAGTCGGACTATGTATATCGAAGAAATCCAGACAATGAGTCCAGACCTGTAAGTTTTTTGGTGGTTGTCAAAACACCAATGTTTCCTCTTGTTATGCTACTTCTACTTTCATTACTAGTGTTGTTTATTTAACTTTCTTGTTGTTATATTTCAATTGGCTGTTTTTGAATGCCGTGAGACTAATAAAGAGAATGACCACACTATTTCAAAGTTAAACCTAAAGTTGGACTTGAAAGGAACTTGGGATAATACTTTGGAGAATGAAATGCAATGTGGTGGTTGCCGAGTTGTGGATATTAGCAAATAGGAAATGTTGGTTTGGTTTACAGGAAAAAGAATTGAGTTGTAGGTATTAACAATAGGAACTGTTTGTCTGGTTTACAGGAAAAAAATCCACGATTTCGTGAGAGCGGTGATTCTGATGAGGACGAGGAGGATGATAGTAAGCAGCAATCTTAGAGGCAGTTTCATTCATGATCGTATAAGAAGTTTATCAGAAGGTCTTTATGCTTTGCTTTGCTTTTAGTCGGAGGGGTGTGTGGCATTGTTCAACTGCTGTACAAAGCAGGCAGCAGCAGCAGCAGTTGGTTCAATATCTGCCATTGTGTCCATGTCTTTTTCTTTTAATCGAATGAATATATGCCATCCCCATCCCCATGTATATCATATGATATCATATCCCATCGGAGTGTGAGTGTGAGTGTGAGTGTGAGTGTGAGTGTGAGTGTGAGTGTGTCTGTGACCTGACCTGACCTGACCAGCCGGACAATTATATGATCTGTTAGAGCGAACCGGACCAACTGGGAGTTCGTTTTATCATCGTCCATCAGCAGCATCTTTCAACTGCCATTTTGTTTGTACGTCTTGCCTTAACTTGCCTTGTTAGATTAGTTGCTACTATACTAGTTGTTAATGAATGAACTAACTGCTGCGATGTAGCCTGCTGTTTGTGTGATGTGAATGACTCAGCGCAACTGTGATATATACATGACTGACACATACGCACTGACAACTGGTTGTTCCATTTATGTTTTTTTTGATGTGTTTGTAAAAAAATTGATATGAGTTTTGTATTAAAATAATATATATTTTACGAGAGAAAGAATATAAGTTTTTTTGAAAAATACAGAAAGTTCATATAGTAAAAAGTTTGAAGTTTGGAAACAAACCCACAAGCAAGGTATATATGTTCCGATCACGAAAGGAAATAAGCTAAGGAATGTAGGATTGGATAGGATAGTTAAGCAGAAGCTACGATCATAACTGCGTGTTTCTCTTTTTTGGTTAGCTGAGTTAGTTACTCTTAAAAACCGTGTATCGGCCCGGGCTGCCCATTCGTTTCTGTAGCCCGGCCCACTCATTGCCGCAGCCGCCGGCACTTCCCCAAATTTTACTTCCTGGCCAACCCAACTGAAACGTCCGATCAAATGGGTATCGGAGAAGAAGCAGATCCCATCCCTAACCCACTTCATCGGGAGCCACCGCGAATCCACCGCCTGGACGAAGCGGTGGTTAACAGAATCGCTGCCGGCGAGGTTATCCAACGACCAGTTTCCGCCGTCAAAGAGCTCGTTGAGAACAGCATCGATGCTGGTTCCTCCTCCATCACCATCTTGGTTAAAGACGGTGGCCTCAAGCTTATCCAAGTCTCAGACGATGGCCATGGAATTCGGGTATTCACATTCTCCCTGCTCGAGACTATTCCGAGCAAATGTGGATTTTTTTTTTTTCGGACGTTCACGTGTTGAGTAGTTATGGTGAAATTGAACGACTTCGGGCTTATAGTTTTGCGTGACACTACGGAAGTTTCTAAAAATTAAGCATGAATATTCTTCTGAGTGGTAACTGTTGATTTTTTACTGCTTTCTCTTCCTCTTGCGATCATTGCCATCTTTTGACTCTTTTCAATATGGAACAAAAAATTTTAATCTCAATGACGAGACGCATGCCCATTGTCATATGCCTGTTTGTAAGGACACAAACATATAAATTCTTCTTTCACTGTGTATGACTAGGTAGCTTATATAGTTGGTGAGAATGAAATACCTTTGTTGAATGAAAAAAGTGATTGAATTTTCTGTTTTACTGGTATAATTTTTCAGTATTTACTACTGACTTAGGGTTTCCTTAATAAATACTAACTACTTTTTGGAGTGTATGTTTATTCTTTTTTCCTATATCTTACAGTATGAAGATCTGCCAATACTATGCGAGAGGCATACAACCTCTAAACTGAGTAAGTTTGAGGATTTACTCTCCATGAAATCAATGGGGTTTAGAGGGGAGGCCTTGGCAAGTATGACCTATGTTGGTCATGTGACAGTCACGACCATCACAGAGGGTCAATTGCATGGATACAGGTAATGATACTACAGCTTCTCTCTTGAAACACTAGGCGCTCTTATGCTGTAAATAGAAAATCCGAAGTGCTTGGAAGCTTATGATCTTATATTTTTGGTCATGCAAATATATTCTTGCATTATTTAGGTTACGGAAACTACATTGCGCGGGCCACAATATCTGCTAGCTAAATGTCCAGAATAGTACTTTTTAACATAGTTTATAAACTACTAAAATGCTTTCATAAAACACATCTGTATATTTCTATTTTTATGAACTCATTTGTTCACTCTTCTGTTGTGTTTCTTTGTTCTTTTCATTGTTGTAAATGTTCACACGGAATACTATGGCAACATGTGATTCACTTAGTTAACCCCATACTGTGGGATAAAGGAGTAAAAGGCAATGCTGTTCTTCTATTATTGTAATTATCATTGCAGTCATAGCTCCACAGTTTTAATTTTTGAAAATCTAATTATTAATCTTTGGCTCTGTTATATATTTATCTCACGCCACATATGCATATGCTCTTGATGCAACTTTCTGAAAATACTAGTCTTTTATCTCGTAGTGTTTAGGTTCTTGTAACTTTTGCCTTCTGGGTTCTAAACCATAGATATTCTGTTGTTTGTTAGGGCAACTTATAAAGATGGCATGATGGATCAGGAACCAAAAGCATGTGCAGCTGTTAAAGGTACTCAAATCATGGTAAGCAACACTTGATGACAATGGACTGCTTTTTATTTCATATTTTCTAGTTTCTTATGTTTGTGTGTGTAGGTGTGCGTGCGTGCGTGCGTGCGTGTGTGTGTGTGTGAGAGAGAGAGAGAGCATGTCATTTAAGTTATTGTAAAAAATAAACTATCATATAGATGAAACAATGAACCTATCTTTTCCTAAAACTTACAGATGACAAGGATACTGTTGCATCTGCTAACACCTTCTCACAGAATTCCTGCTACAGTGATCTAGGCATATCCATCAACTTGTCTGGGATGTTATCTGGCCTTAGTGATGAATGCCTTTTTATAGTTTAGTTCTTTTGATAATTCTATGGTTTTTTCATGGTGCCATGTCGTTGGGTAGGTTGAAAATTTATTCTATAACATGGCTGCTCGGAGGAAGACACTTCAAAATTCTGCTGATGACTACCCTAAAATAGTTGATTTGATTTGTCGGTTTGCCATCCATCACATAAATGTGAGCTTCTCTTGCAGAAAGGTTTGTCTCAACAATTTTTGCTTCCATTTTGTCCATTTTTGTACAATATTTATGTATTTACTTCGTACACCCTTTACTTAGCATGGATCAGCTAGAGCAGATGTTCACTCAGTTGCTATGTCCTCAAGACTTAATGCACTTAGATGTGTTTATGGAGTATCGGTTGCACAAAATCTCATTCATCTAGAAGTCTCAGATGATGATCCCTCAAGTTCAAGTTTTGAAGTGAATGGTTTTATTTCAAATTCTAATTACATTTCAAAGAAGACGACTATGATCCTTTTCATCAATGGTACGCGTTTGTCCCTGATTTCAATGTGATAGTTAAGAAGGTCCTTTACACATTTTACTTTTAATCGTTTTCATATTGTGCTGCTCATTTTTTATCAGTATAGATCAGGCATTTGCTTAAAGTTAGTTCTCCTTCTAGTGTTGAAATACATGATTGATGGACATAGTGTCTGATCGTCTTGCTTTTTCACCCTCAACACCAATGGAATCGCACTGGAAATGTTATCAATGAGTTGTCTGTTCTTCTTATATATCTTATTATCTATAATTTTTCCTTTGACACCTGTTTCCTTATATAATCAGATAGACTGGTGGAATGTGGTTCTCTAAAGAGGGCTATTGAAATTGTTTATGCTGCAACATTGCCGAAGGCATCAAAACCTTTTATCTACTTGTCAATCAAATTGCCACCTGAGCATGTTGATGTAAATGTTCACCCAACAAAAAGAGAGGTGTGCATAAAGTTAAATCAATGTTGAGGGTGTCGTGTGATTGAAGTTTCAACCCTGCATATTAATATGTGTTGCATTGGTGCTGTATTTGACAGGTAAGCCTCCTGAATCAAGAAATTGTAATTGAGAAGATCCAATCTTCTATAGAATCGAAATTGAGAAACTCCAACGAGTCACGGACATATCAAGAGCAGGTTATCGCAGCTAATTACATACTATAAAGCTTTGTTTACAATGTTACTTAATCTTTATGCTGTACTTTTTCAACATAAATATAAAATAGTATCTCAAAAGTTTCCATCATTTCACCATATTTTGATACAATGTGCGTGTATTTATCATTCTTGTGGCAGAGGGTGGACTCCTCTCCTTGTGTTTCTGTTCCTGAAAGCAGGGATTCCCCTAATCATCCCTCCTCATCTGGTAGGTCTGGCCTTGGTGTTGTTCGGCAACATTTTAGGTTGCTTAGGATTTTTCTGATATATGCTTGCTGCTGGAGTTTACTTTTCAACTTTCTATCTTTAACTTTGCAGGCTCAAAATTACAGAAAATTCCAGTAAACAAAATGGTAAGGATAGATTCTCAGGATCCTGCTGGAAGGTTGCATGCATACTTGCAAGTTAAGCAGCCTACTCAGCAGCAAGGAGGTTCTCGCTTAACCTCTGTAAGGTAGCATCTCTAGTTGGAACCCTGCTCCTGGTGCAGCCCCACATCCCTGGCTGGTTTCATATATTGAAGGATCTATTTTCAATATAAATTGGGTAGATGTCTATTTATTTGTAGCATACCATCACTGGATCAATTCATAAATTATTAACATGGATAGATGGATTTGGATAGCTACCTTCATTTGTTTAATGCAACAGTTGCTTTCTTTGGAATTTTGTACTATTGCAGTTTCAGCTTTGTATAAGGGTTATATTTACATGCCTGGATAAAAGGAAATATTACTTGAAATAATTCTCTTATTCCTTAGACTAATTTTTTGTTTTCCAGGTCTTCAATTAGACAGAGGAGAAACCCCAGGGAAACTGCTGACCTTAGTAGCATTCAGGAACTTCTTGGAGAGATCGACTCTACTTGCCACTCTGGTTGTCATTTCCTTTCTAATAGAATGCTCTTCTTCTTTTCTTTCTTTCCGACAAAAGCTTGAATAGCACTTGATGGTGCTGGTGTTGCAGAGTTGTTGGATATTGTAGGGCACTGCTCATACATAGGGATGGCAGATGATGTTTTTGCTCTGCTGCAGCACAACACACACCTTTATCTTGTAAATGTGATTAACTTGAGGTAATTTATCTAGTTCTCGTACTTGGTTTCAAGGAACATAAATGCATTCAAGAAGTATTTAAGTATTGAAGTTATAGTTGAAGCTGTCGAAGGAAATAGTTAGATATCCATCTTCATAATCTGAAATGTTTTGTATCTTTTCTTACTTATGATGGTCGACAGCAAGGAACTTATGTACCAGCAAGTCCTACGGAGATTTGCACATTTTAGCGCAATTCAATTGAGTGATCCAGTTGCACTGCAAGAACTGATAAAGTTGGCTTTGAAAGAAGAGGATCCTAACCCAGAAGACAATGAAAATGATGATCTGAAAGAGAAAATTTCAGAAGTATTTTATCTTGGTCTCTTACAGTTTTATTATTGGTTTCATTTATACATTTTATAGGATATAGATGATCTACACCTAATATCAGCATGTTGGTGTTGCAATACTACTCGATCCCATCTTCAAACACGTGGAGGAATGCTTCCACATTGGGTTATAGGATCAGTTTTGTGATTGAAGGCAGTACAATTTTGCGTACTTTTAATTATTTTAAACTCATTAAACAGTCATACTCGACTTTTCCCCTCTGACTCTTTGCACTACAATTATATATGATGATTGATTGTGATTTGTTTCTTGACTGTATAGTTGTAATTTTGTTCTTAGATCTTGATATTTTTTTCTTGATAGATGAATACAGAACTGATCAAGCAGAAAGCTGAGATGCTGGAAGAGTATTTCAGCATATATGTTGATCCGAATGGCAATTTGTCAAGGCTACCCATTGTTCTTGACCAATACACCCCCGACATGGATCGCATGCCCGAATTTGTTCTTTGCCTTGGTAATGATGTATGTCCTCTATAGATTACCACCTTTCCTATTTTTGTAATTTAAAAATTCTTCCCCTGCAGTTGGTATGAAAATTCTGATGTTTATGACCTTACTTAAGAGTTGAATTTATCCTATACCTTACCTGCAGCTGTCTCTTATTCTCCATGAAGAAACAATTTCCAACTGGGTGTAGAGTTAACTGAATAAATGACTATCCGTGTCACACAAAAGCAAGTTAATAAGTGAATATATATCACAATTGTAGGCTGGCAGATTTTAGCTTCAATTGAAGAGGGTGCCATTTGCTTTAACTTTTCAACATTGACTAGAGTGTTGAAGGAGCAAGCATGATAGTTACAATTGATTGATGCCAAATTACAGGTGCAGGTTACCAGTGAATGTCCGGTACTAACAGCATAATTACGACCTGCCTTTACTCTGTAATGACCTTGAAAACTAGAAAATAATAGTGGTGGTTGCAGCTTTTTTCTCTTGATTCCATTTTTCTTATGTTGCCAATCATTTATTTGTCAAGGCAAAAGTTTCTTGCTCACCACTGTATGCTGTTTGTCAACCCATTACTGAGATTAGTTATTGCTGACAATGGGTTTTCATTATCATGCTGTTTGATATATTTGCTTACTGTGCTTGCCTGTGCAGGTTAATTGGGATGATGAGAAATTGTGCTTTCAGACAATTGCTGCCGCAATAGGTAGCTTCTATGCTTTCCATCCTCCATTGCTGCCTAATCCATCCAGTGATGGGTCAAAATTCTACAAGGGGGCTCCTGCTTCTGCACCAGATGAGGAAAATGCATCATCAAGTGCTGGTAAGACAGACTCACTTCACAACTGCTTGCAACACCATTATACATTAGGACATGTACATATTGCTAATTAACGCAATATCTTGGATTTCATACTCATTTCAGATGTTCCAAATACTTTTCGTATCTAACTTGATTGTGCACACTGCCCCAACTTGTCTTATCCACGTTAGAAATAATAAAATCATTGGTGACCCTAAGAGAAACCAATTTATCCAAAAACCCTTATTAAATAATATTTCATAGAAATTGGCTATTCACTAACAGAAAGTGTTGTCACAATCTTAAGGTGTGTCCTAATGTACATTCATTTGCATGCATTCTAGCGTGCCCATTTTTGGAAATGAGGATATAACCGTTTTGTACTTCTTGATGGTCTGATATCAATTTCAACATATGCCTATAAATAAATGTTGATATTGAACAGAAGATGCTGAGGAAGGCATGAAAGAACTACTTTTGGAAGCTGAAAGTGCCTGGGCTCAGCGTGAATGGACAATACAGCATGTGTTGTTCCCCTCCATGAGACTTTTTCTAAAGCCTCCAATTTCCATGGCCACAGATGGAACGTTTGTTAAGGTATTTCAGATTGAGTTCAACTTCGCTACTAATGGTTTTAAATAATAGTGCTGCATGCTTTTGAATGATTCGTGTTGGACATTGCAAATAGCATTTCATAAATGACAACAACATGGTAGGCTCTTTCATAATATGTGTGCTATGTAATGTAATGTAATGTGGTTTAGTTATGTAGTGGAGGAGAGGCCTCCCCTGTATGTACGCCTTCAACGACTGATCCCAGTATTTTCCCATTTGGAGCAGATGGATTATTTACTTTGGGGTGTGAATTGGATTATTACTAGTAAGGAATGTTTTTTACACCGGTGCGTACACGTGCAGGTTGCTTCGTTGGAGAAACTGTACAAAATATTTGAGAGATGCTGAGAGTGGAGCGTTGGAATCTGGTGGGTGGTCGTATTTTCGGCATGATCATTTCAATTCATATGGACGGTGCGGTGCTCTGGTATATTTTGTTTGCCAGTGCCACTTGTGTATAAACAACCTGCGAAATGCCTTCTTCGTCTACGTCTATGCCTACTGCCTTCTGTTTTTGTATATGTATGGACTACGTATGAATGCATGTATTAGCTTGAGAATCCAAGTGCTGTTATGGTCCTTCTTCGGCTGCCTCTGCCTGCCTGCCAATAGATAGATTTAATACATACACATCCCTGTCCTCCTCCTATTCAGACCCATGTTGACAGAGACAGACAGCCTGTTGTTTATACTCCTATGGCAGGCACAATAAATGAAAGTTCAACATCAACAACAACAATAATAGTAACAGTAATAACAATGACAACACCACCAACAACAACAGAGATCTACTTAGTTTTGCATCTTGCTTGTTCTGTGAAAAATTCCCTTGAATGAAGGCATGTGCAGATTATGTTCCTTGCATTTCTCGGTTTTCTTTTTTCCAAAAAGAACACATGTACATATAGCAGTGAGTTGTGTATTAAGATAATTACTTTTTACCAAAAAGACTTGCATTGCATGAAGTATTTGATTCTTTTGGGATTGGGTTTATTTAACGTGAAAGGTAAATGGTAAGTGGAAAAGCCATATCCATCCAACAATCCAAAGAAGCAAGAAGAAAGGTCTCGTCGTATTGTTTTCGTGTAAAACCTAACCTAACCTTTGTCAGTAAGTCAGTTCTCTTTCCTCGTTTTAATGATGAATACAATGGTGCCTTGTGGAACCAGCTTCCCAATGATGCAATCAAGAAAAATATACATACATACATACATACATGGAAGAGTTTCTTAAACGTAAGGTTTGCGGAACTGCAACTGCAACTGCTGCTGATACAACACGTTCCAGCCAGCCAGGTTATTTTGGCTGCACGGGCACAGGCACAAAATGAATGACCCAAATAAAGTATAGTGTTCATCCTCCATCATCATTAATAACTAGAACAAGAAACTTTATTATTAGTTCATTCATGCATTTGCCTAACCAACTTCGTCTTCTTTTTCCTGTGTGCAATCATCATATTTGTTCTTAATGAATCAATCGTCGTCCTCCCCATAAAATCTTTTTTGACCAGCCGGGTATATATGTGCGCGCGTTGCAACAGCTAGCTGTGGGTCAGCAGCAGTTTGAAGAGTAAAGCAAAGTACACCAAACACCACACCAAGGCTACACAGATACTAATATATATATATATATTATGTATGAGCATGCGTATGTATGTATGTGCAGAGAGAGAGAGAGAGAGAGAGAAAGAGAGAGAGAGGGAGAGTCCGACAGCAGCTTCATGTCCTTAAAAGCCAAGCCAAGCCAAGCCAATTAGTGTGCATCGTGTGAATTCATAGTTATATAACAAAACCCACCCATCCATTGCCTTTCTCCTTCATTTATTCAGATAAATAAACTATTCTGCTGCCTGTATAAGAGAACCCCAGACAGACAGACATGCATCATTAAGATACATATATATATATATATATAAATGCGATGTGATGTGATATGATATGATGTTGTGCAGATTAGCATTGGCCTGCTTCCTTCTTCTGATGCTCCTTACAGTTGCACACAGATATTGTCATGACAGGGATGACCAAGACAGAGGACACGATGAGTATGAACTTTCAGACTGGGAGAGCGAGCATGGGATCAAGGTCCTAGTGAATGTTGATGGATTCGGTGCCGTCGGAGATGGGGTGTCCGATGATACTCAGGTCAGCTGAAACAAACACTTGATAGAAATGGTGGATGCTAAGTAAGCAACTAAATACTCACTTACTCCCAGGCCTTCGTAAGTGCGTGGGAACTAGCTTGCTCCACGCCACATTCTGTTTTCTTGGTTCCTGAAGCTCGTCGTTATCTAGTCAATGCCACAAAATTCAAAGGTCCCTGTGCTGACGAGTTACTAATCCAGGTACCTATCCTATCCTCTTCATTTCTGTGCTTGGCATCCATGAAGATGAACGAACGAATGAATTTTGGAAATCTCATCTCTATTCAAACAGATTGATGGAACCATTGTGGCGCCAGATGATCCTAGTTTTTGGGATTCTAAGAGCCGGCGAACTTGGTTAGTCTTCGAAAATTTAAGAAAGGCCTCCTTCCAAGGGCGCGGGGTCATTGACGGATCAGGCCGCCAATGGTGGGCAGCTTCCTGCAAAAGGAACAAATCCAATGTGTGTAAGTTAGTTAGTGATCATATTCATACAACGGCATTTCTGTTATTATACTAACCAGGCAGGCATTGTTCTCTTCTGTTCTGTTCTCCTTCTCTTCTCTTCTTCTTTCTTTGCTTCATCGATCGTCATCATTCATCATCATCATCATCATCTTCACACAGCCATGCAGAGCTGCACCTTCGGTTAGATTCTATCAACTCGATCTGTAATTGATTGTGAAATCCTTGATGATGCCATGCCGTCAGTTACTACTATGACTACTACCAGCAGCGCTACATAAATGACAATAACTAATGCAATGCAGGCCTTGACTATAGAATCAAGCACGGGTATCAGGGTGAGAGGGCTCACAATTCAGAATGGGCAGCAGATGAACTTTGTGATTGGTCGTTCCGAATCTGTCCTCATCATTAATGTGAAGGTTTCGGCTCCTGAGGACAGTCCCAATACCGATGGAATTCACATCACCGGATCAACAAATGTACTTGTTCAGAACTGCAAGATTGGAACAGGTGACGATTGCATCTCAATTGTCAATGCCAGCTCAAATATCAAGATGGAGAGCATATACTGTGGACCTGGCCACGGGATCAGGCAAGACAAGACTCACTGGAAGCATACATATACTATACATACTATATACTATATACTATACTAATTAATTCAATATTATACATCCTGCCTGCTGCCTGCAGTATAGGTAGTCTTGGAAAGGATAATAGCATCGGAATAGTCGAGAAGGTTGCACTGAATAATGCCTTTCTTCGAGGTACGACTAACGGCCTCAGGATCAAGACCTGGCAGGTATGTAGGTAGGTAGGAAGGTGGTAACAGGAACACCCATCATCAAGCCTACTAATTTCTTACAGCACAGCCCAGCCAGATGATGATGCATTCATTGATCTTGTTCCCACTTTAATTAGTACTACCATTTAAGAAAGTTGGGTATTATGATGTTGAGGACTTACTATTCGCAGGGGGGCTCTGGTTACGTGAAGTCTGTCCTCTATGACAATGTGAGAATGGACAATGTCTCCAATCCCATCATCATCGACCAATTCTACTGCGATTCACCGAAATCCTGTCAAAACCAGGTAGGTACTCACTCACTCACTGCAATATTGCAATGCAAGCCTGAATTTCTTCTAAAGCTCTTGCGTAGTAAGTATTGACCTCCCGCTCCCTCTCCCTCTTTCTCTCCTCCTTTTCCCTTCAATACTTTAGACATCAGCTGTGGAAATAAGCCAAATCTACTACCGAAACATAAGTGGGACTTCCAGAAGCAAAATAGCCATGAAGTTTTCATGCAGTGATACAGTACCTTGCACCCGCTTATTTCTCAACACCGTTGACTTACGGAGGGGAGAAGATTGCGCCGAGGAGGAGACCTACTGCAACTCAGCTTTCGGCTTCACTTCTGGTCACATTCATCCTTCAGCAGAATGTTTGTCTTCTTTGGGTACGGGCATGAGCATGACTCCGTCCTTGCAAGGAAAAGAAGAACAAGGCCAAGGCCAAGGCCAGGAATATCTCATCCATACAGAACTATAATAATAAATTATAAGCCTTTTAAGGGAGACTTCACCCACCAAATATACATCATACCCCTAGGTACGATTTATTTATTAGCTCAGTTTGAAGAACATAAAAGAATACTGTGTAAACAACCATTCATTCATACTGATACAGGGCAGATATAGAATATCGTGAAATATTTGGCGGGACATACACCCTATTTCAAGAGCCAAATATGTCTTTGACTTGATACCAAAGAGTTGTTCTCCTTGCTTTCAGTGTATCCCAGGTAACTGTGGGCCTGATGTCTAAATGTTTTAGTAAGAAAGTAAGTTGATGCTTGCACGAACAAATGAAATACATTACAGTTGAGTCCTCCGCTCAGATGTTGCTAAATTCACCACTAGATGCTGATCACTTTTTGCTTCTCCGGATGATGCTGTGAAACATCAAGTATTAAGTGCCACCGCCATGCCGCGTCACAAGAACAGCTCGATAGAGGGCAGCAACGTGCAAGAAGCATATGAATACAATAATCAGATCATCCAGGAGACCAAATATACCTAGCAGGGCTGCAAAATGAAAATTGGCAAGCATTAACTGAAATCCATGTGCAACAAACAATTAAATTATTAGAGCCCAGATATTATGGCGGTACCTTCAGGGAGAATGTCCACTGGGCTAATTACATATATAGCACTGCCAATCATCTGTTCATTAACGAAATAGAAAATTAAAACCATACAGTTGCAAGTAAAATTCGTATCCCCTGGACAGGACTATATTGGATTTTCACCTAATACAATTACAGATAGTCCTACTTACATGCTTTGGCCATCAGTGCCCACAAAAAATCAGCATAGAAAGCTTAGTAAAATGATCTAGTGCATGTAAGTAAGAAATTGCATTTACATCAACTGAAAAACATAAGGTCACATGCTGTGAGAACTGCATAAAAGGAGCAACTACTTAACTGACAAATATACGCGTGCCCTGATAACAAACGGAAGTGATCTTTGTGGATCCATGATGTCGCGTAACAATCTCTTGAGAAGAAAGGGAAGATCTTGCATTCTCTGCCAAAATAGATCAATGCGCTTCATCAACAATTCTGATAACATTTATATGAGAATCAAGGTAGATCTCATAAGTAGAGCATATTAGTACTCAAAAATGAAAGTTAAGCATCGGCAGCAACAATTATAATGTCGTCAACAGTTAGCGCATTGGCATGCAGCTTTCATCAGAAAAATAGCTCATTCGCAACACAGGTAAGAAACAAATGATGAAATATGCAACAGCCGAGGTACCTGCATGAGGGTATTTGAGCGTCCGCCATAAAGACGGTTGTATCTTTCAATCCTTTGTAGAATCTCAGCAACACCAGACATACGGTGCTGCCTAGATGTAGCCTCGCTGGGAACCAGGAGGGTGATCTCACGTCTGCAGAGCGGGCATTTACAGGGATGCAGAGCAGCTCCATGATCCCAAAGTTGCATTATACAACTACCTGAAATGACAAACATCATAGGAATTGAAAGACTGCAGCATACTTGAAAGAAAGAAGTTATCTGCTGTCACATGAGCAAAACGGAAGGCTTCCAACGGCATCACGGTTACTGAGTAGTATTACCATTTACCTACCTAGAATCAGCACAAAGTTGGAATTTTTCCCTATATGTTATTATCATCCAACGGAGCAAATACAACTTAATTAAAATATCTGATCAAGATAATGAGTAACAGGCTTAACAGCAGCAATCTCCCATCCTATTACTGTTATTATTTCGCAATATCATCCTTGGCTTCGAATGTAACACTAGACTAAAAAAGAAAGCGAGTGAGGGAGGGGAGGGGATGTGCGAAACACAGAGACAGACCGCAGAACCAATGAGCACAATTGGCTTGGCAAGGAAGATGGAAGTGGGCATGGCAAATGGAACAGACATCATTCTCCGGTGGCGCGTCCATTTCGCCGACCGTCGCTTGAGGCTGAGGCTGAGGCTGAGGCTGGATCGCTTCCGGAGGGAGGGGGGAGGAGGGCTTTCTTGTTTAGATCCTGTACCTTCTTTCAGCGCTCCACCCACCCCAACCCATTAAAAAATAAATAATAAAATAAAATACCCATTCCTTTCTCTACTTATTTGATAATCAAGTAAATATAATTAATTGTAGATAAATGGTGAGACAGGTATGTTTCTTAGTATGAAAATGAAATAAATTTACTTTGAATATATTTTTTTTTGAAAAACCAAGAATACAAATAATAGAAACTGGGGTAGCTCTCTTAATGCTTCCGTCTTGACTTTTGCATGTTTTGTTTTTACCTCCACATTACATTACTTAGTAAGGAAGACTATAATGACAAAATGAATATATTTAATATCTGATTGATAAAAACGTGTGTAGAGATGGATGATATAGACTACGGCTGCGAATCATTGATTTGTGAGCAGTTTCTTTAGCTAATTTTTTTGGTGAAGGGAAAAAAAAAAGGGGGGTGAGTCTTATGAATAATGAAAAGATAATAAGCCTCGCATCATAAGTAATAAAATATAATAAAAACATATAATCACTGTGTTCCCAGCCCAAAATGCCACCTCAAACCATGTAGTTTTGTTTCAAAGGAAACAAAGCAAAGGAAACAAAATTAACGAAACAAACACAAGATATGCGGCTTCTAAAACACCAACTCATGTGGTTTCATGCCAGCTTTGAGTGAAAATCGAGCCCCCAAATAGCCCTTCAATTCTGGTACGCCCTCAATAGCCTTCAGCAGCGGCCCATCAACCGCTCTCTGGTCCTCTTTCTTCCCCGCAGGGAGTTCCTTCTTTTCCTACATTTAATTTATATTTTGCACACATCAGTCACTGCAGAATAACATCCAAAACCACATATGGCTGCAACATAAAACCCAACCTGTTTCTCTGCTTCAAAAAATTCGTTTTCCCCCTTCTTCTTCTTCTTCTCAACATTTTTGGCGAAGTACTTGTCATCAAACTTATCCAGATTAACACCAGAGATGTCTACCTTTGTGGATGTTCCAATGGCATAGGCCTGGTTCACTCTCCTCAGGGGGACACCATTCACCTTGTAAGGGCCTAAACAGCAGCAAAACAAGAAACACATTCATGTGAATCAATCAAGTATTCCATCTACCAAAGTTACTAATCCTCACAACAGGGTTTTTACTCATCGCAAAATATAATCACTTTTGAACTGCAAACCTAGTCTTCCCCAATACAATACAACTTCCACCAACAAAGAACTTGCAAAGGGGGAATAAAATATAAACCATCATGCAACTTAGCCCCAAGTCATTAATAATCCAGTGGAACAATTACAAATGTAAAATGATTTAAAACTTATCATTTATCAACAACACATGCACTTCTCATTGAAACCCCAGCGCCAATATCATAATAAGAACCTATCTAAAATTGTGAATCAACCACTATGATAGCACTAACAAAAGGGTCTGTTTGTTGGATTCTGAATAAATATTCCACTCAAGACTCTGATATCAAATCCAAAATGCATTGACTGAATAGTGAAAAACAAGAGGTAAACGAGTTTCAATGTGCCTAAACAACTCCTACTGACAACAGTTCATTAGTCATGTAAAGTTCCCTACCAATATCTCCTACAATAACTCCAGATTCATTCCTTCAATACAACCTTAAAATTATTTTTAAATCACAACTTTTAAATTGCTGCAAGGGAACACCTATTTCCATTAGCACAGAAATAATTCTGACACATAAGCTTTCAAAACAAAGCGGATATCTCCTAATAATTCTGACAACCAAATTTTAGAGTTTATAATAGTCTTTCAAGTTTACTTTTGCGCTAAGAAATTCTATGCATATCCCGACAAAATATTATATCCAACCAGACACACCCATCATCGCATCCAAAACCAGCCTTCCATTCACAACAGAAATCCAACACTTACCCTTTTAATAGTAACAACAAAAACTTAATTTTCGTTCAAAAATACATTAAAAGGATAGCACCGCATTCAAAACACTCGTAAATGCAAACAGACCCAAAACTTTAGAACAAAGCAAATATCTGACACTACATTAAACAGATCAAAACAGCGTAAGGCAATAATAACTGCAGAAAGAGAAAGGGGGGGGGGGGGGGGGGGGCGGAATATGGATGGATAAACACTACATTGTTAACATCATTAGGAAATAAATAGCGCACCAGTAACCAGGAGCAATCCAGAAGAAAGCTGCTTTAAGAAAACAACTCTCTTCCCCTTGAACCTCCCCGTCAATATAATCAACACGGTCCCTGGGGTAATACTTGCCCTGCCAAATAAAATCCACATGAATAAAAACACAAGCCGATCGCTGTACAAACAAAAAAAATGACAAATTGCAAACTATATAAACCTGAGCTTGGTGGGCTTAGGCTTGCGCGTATTGGAGAGGGGCTTCTTGATATCATCCGCAGGATAAAACTTGGGAGGTTTCTCCTGCACGGGAGAGGGAGCGGAAGCCTTCTCATGGTGGGGGAATTTCCCACCATTTTTTGCCTTGATTGCCCAGAGTCCCCGCTTGTGATACATTTGAGTTCGTGAAATTTTACGAACTCCAGGAATGAGTTCAGGGTTACGGGTTACCCGCTTCGGCGGCGCCATCGGCAGGTATCAGTTCACAGAGAAAGAGAGAGGGCGGAGGCAGACCAAAAGTGCTCCAAACAAAACCCTAGATGCCGTCAGCTCGAAGGATTATTTATAGTCGTGTTGGGGTGGAGTTTTCCAGGCCCGTCATGACGAAATCCAGCCCAGCCCAATCCGATTCAATAAATTAACTAAAATTAAATTCATACCCACTTTGGTCCTATTCGTCTAAAAATGAGCCTGGAATGCAACGTAACATTACAAATAATTAAGTGGTCGAACCAATTGATTTATCCATATCAAGCTTTATTAATAGCTGTTACTAGCACTACTTTCTTTCTATATACATGTAGTTTTTATTTTTTGCAAGTTTAAATATAAGGACGTGCCTGAACAGAAAAGCAATTAATAGTATTTTGTATTTGTGATTCCTGCAGAAAATAATATTTTGTAGCGTTCTTTAATTGTATGTTGTTTGGATTCCCTCTAACAAATTCATACCCACTCAATTGTTAAATTTCACTACACCCAAATTGAAGCGAAGGGAGGTAAAGTAACACACACTGTTAGTCCTTGGAAACAACATCGTAAGAAAATTAAGTGATGATCATTAATCCTTATTCTACCGCAAACTTGATCCTCAATTAGGAAATTGGAAGTTACAGTCCCAATATATAAAATTAGCATTATTTTTTAATTTCCTATGCAACTCCAGTTGGGCAGACACACAAAACAATGAGATGGGATTCATAAAATTACGGCAATTCATCGCCATAGCCATTCAGCCAAAGGTCTTAAACGTCTTTGCAGTATATTCTCAAGTGATCGAACAAAAAGCAACATCCTGGGAAATGGATTTCAGTTATTGGGGAGTCGGCCGTAAATCTCTCTTCATTCTTCCCCAGGCTGGGCGGAGGCCTGCATCTGCATTCGTTATGCACAACAAAATGTCTTTAGATGTTCTCCGTGGATTATCATAGAGGGGGCTATAAATACACCATCTTGGAATAAAACAGCCATAGAAGGATAAGCAAATAGTTAAGTGGCAGGAACAAATTAACAAGTGGATACAGAGTCTTACTAAAAGGGGAACATCAAAGCAGAACTAAATCATAATTTCAGTGTAAGAGCTTGGGCTGTGGTATTCTTGCTTACTAATTACTTATTCAGTGATCACAAAGCATCATTTTCTAAATTGCTATACATTTAATGGTCTTAACCAGAAAATGAAATATACTGTACCCATGTGATGATAACTGAAATACAGAGACATCGCATCCTAAGGAATAAGTTCCTCTGGTGCTTTCCTTCAATATTCATACAATATAGTAGGTGTGTAAGTTTGGGGGTTTGGACTTTGAGTTGGGATTTGAATAGAAAAAATTTTGAATTTGAATAGTTGTATGATGTGATATAAATAAGTGTTGATGTGATGTTTTGAATGTAAAATTGATTTTTAGTATAATATAAAAAATAAAAAATAAGTATTTGATTTGATATTTTTTGGAGAAAAAAAATGGACAGCTGAGGGCCTTCTATTTCCTCAAAGCTTAAACTACTAGTTCCTAAACCCAGCACACCAACAACCAAAAGATCTCCTAACTAGCATATTGTCATTCATAATACGCAAATTCAGGATATCATACCTCAGAGTTTGGGATAATAAAAAATAAAAATAAAACAATACATCCCTCAGCACAGCCCTCTAATAACAATAAATAAACAACTAAATAAGTAAACAAAAAAAAAAAAAGAGACAGAAAGAAAAGGAAATGTAACCATAAAAAGCATCAATTTCGTATAATTACCTCTGAGAGAGGGGCATCAGAAATGTTTGAAGTTAAACTCCTTGGAGATCCACCAAATTTGTGAGAGCAATCTGAGTATGCAGAGCCAATCCCCAATCCAGCACCAAAAGCTACGGACGCCCAGCGTGTAACGGGAGTTCCTGCCAAAGCAATAATAAACTGATAAGAAAATTTTTGATTAATATAAAAAAGCAACTTCAAAAGTTTACAATAGCCAAACCTAACATCATCATCCATTTCAGTGGTTCTCTACAAAGTTGAATTCCAAAGAGCTACAAAAAAATGTGATTGCTACACAGAAAGGTCATCGAAAGAGTTTCAAGCATATAAAAATGTGGCCTTTTAAGCAGTCTAATTGTAACTCCATTTCTTTGCCATCCGAATGCCACCTTCACAATTTATTTGGTTACACTATCAAGTATAATACGCCACATAGTTTCAAAGTACACGCTGCTATTAAGGTATAGATCTCATAATCTAATCTGAGAACTCCAGAAAAGAAATGCAAGATAATGGGACAAACTATTAGAGCAGACATAATACAACAATCGTGCACAAGCAAAGCCCATCAACCAAAAAACACATGATCTAAAGATTCATTTTCTTGCATGTCAAATAAAAAAGACACCGTTTAAATCTAAGGTTCCGACATTTATCGAATCCGAACATGAAACAAAAGGGTAACAAATCAGCTCAATACGAATGATTGAAATGTAAGATTTAAAACAAACGGAAAGGAGAAAAACTCACGGAAGAGCAGAAGGCCGGTCAAAGCGCCAGCGAATGATGAGTACACAAAGCGACGAACACCCAAATCGAGGCAGGCATCCCATTTCGCATTCAAATCGTAATTTGCTGGAATCTTAGCGCTGTTTTCTTCCGCCATATTTGATGAATTTTCCCAAAGAAACGAAAAAACTCTCCAATCGCTCCCTTCTTCAGCTGCAAAGTTCCCGTCGAATTTCACCAGCGCTCTCCTCTCCTCTCCTTCGCGAGGGTTTCGCTTTGTCTGTCTCTGATTTTCTCATTTCTCATTTTCATTTTCAGAGGGCTCAGCAGTGGGCCTAAGTAGGAGAGCTTAATTGGACCCAAGTAGGCCGCCCAATTGTATTATAAATGGGCTTCCGTTAGCGGGCTTTCCCTTTGGGGCATTTTTAAAGATAATGATTAGATATGAGTTTATTATATTGGACCAGGTATTGCTATTCTTATTGAGACTATTATTATAGTTGGTGTTTAGTTTAGAGTTTATTCATCATGTTTATTTGGATAATTTGAGAATATTACACTAGTATAAAAGACACCCCGTATCCATTACCATTTAGGCCATTCATCAAACTCATGGCTGCAGCAGCAGAAGCAGAGGTTTGCGACAATCATTGTTTATATAGTTAGTTGTCCTAAACACTTTGGACTTTGCCCAAGAGTATGTATGTATGTATGTATATTTTGTGTGTGTACATTCAAAATCTCAATCTAGATATGTCCCGATCTCAATTTTGTCACCAGGATCCAAAACAGTGTGAGAAAACGGACGGACAATTATGTCACGACACTTGACACTGGGGCAGCCAGCCAAGGAAGCAATTTTTCGTGGACCAAGTCAGGCCTGTCGTCATGAGGACAATGCCCGACTCCTTCCAATAAAAAGAGGTTCACATTAGGCAGCTGAGCAGGCAATGATGAGAAGTATTTACCAACAGGTCCATCGACTGGGGTAAAGGGATCTTCGTCACCCCATAGCACCAACACAGGTAATGAGATCCTCTGCATCAACTGGACAGGATTCGGCCCAGGTGGTCCTGTAACTATTGACACAAAAGCATCAAGAGCTCCTTCATCAAGTGCGGGTTTCCTGATAATCTGGAAATTGAACACAAGAACGCAGCATGTTCAGCTGCCAAATGTTTTGGAGACCAGAGTAAGGGAAAAGAAAGGCTCTATATGCGCACGATGACATAGAGGTAAACACTTGCACATTACGACCGACAAGCACAAGCACAAGCACGCATCTAATTATTCAAAGGATACGGTCGGTACCTCCACAAGGTCCTCGTCTACAGACTCCTTATTCCCATAGACAGATAACAAGACATTTTTCAGATTATCTCTGCAAAGGTTTAGGACACCAAGCTAATTATTTGCTTTGCACACAACTCCTGGCGTTAGAAAGCAATATCAAATGAAGAAAGTAAAACCACCTTTCTCTGACACGATCAAATAAATAAGAAGCAATTCTTTTTTGCTTCAGTAGGAAGTCAAAAAGCCAAAGCAACGGTAAGAGTAGCTTTATTCTCCAGTCGTCGACTATAGCCTTGTTGTTCATGCCACCGGCGCAATTGAGAAGAACAAGCCCTCGCACCAAAGACCCACTAGATTCTGCTTGGGAAAGAACTAAGAAGATAAATATAAAAACCATGCAACTTTGCAGTAGCGGTAGTATAATGCGTCAGACTACAAAATCCCTTTTTAAGATATGCATATCAGTATCAAAACACACCGGCACTACCAGCAGCAGCAGCAGCGATAACACAGGCAAGGCTGCCGACAGAGTTTCCCATTAGTATAGTTGGCCTTTGAACTATCTCATCCAAGAAATCCAGTATCAACTGTCCACGTTGAGCATATTCCCAGTCAATAGTTAAATATATGTGTATGTGTAAAATGTGTCTTCCTGATGCCATATATTCACCTGGGCCCATATTTCCATGGTATATTGAAAGCCTGATGGTTTATCTGAAGCACCAAAACCTAGGAGGTCAATAGCATAAACTGTGTAATTTTGAGCCAGTGTTGGAATGTTCCTAAAGATGCCCGCAAAGGAAGGGACAAAAGAATGATATTTAGCAGCAGAAAAATAAATCAGCTCACAAAAGGTAAGCCACCAAAATGAAAATAACCAGGAAACTATTTATTCTATGATCAAGACTGGCAACCTATCACATATAAGTAGAAAAGATGCAAGATTGTCAATTTGGATGGCAGTTTCAATTTTGAAAGTACTGCCACAGGAGCCAATGGATCAGTAGTCGAATAAAGTGGTAGAAAACGACAATAGAAGTACTAACTTATTCGAGGGAAAAAAAAAACCTTACCTGCGCCAATGAGCAATTGAGGCTCCAAAACCATGAACTAGAAGCAGTGGAGGACGGTTCGTAGCAGCAGCAGCACTGTCTGCAGGGTAAACCAAGTAATTAATGGTATATCCTTTCCACACCCACTTTTTGCACTTTGCGTTGATTTCGCCCAACTCCAAAGGCGGTAATAGCTCCTCCTTCTCGACTGACTCCGCCGCCGGAGAGGCCACGGAGGTATTATTGGTGCAACTGATAGAGAAAATATGGTCTTTCTTAGTCTTCCGGGGGAGAAAATTGGGGCATCTTCGTGGACTGTAGCATCGATTTTTGTATCCCGGTGGGGCGGCGAATAAAGACGAAGAAATTGTGAACGATGAAGGCAACGCGGCAAGACTCACGGCCATGACCAATCAAATCCTCTTACAGTTTCCAAATGGCGGAGAAGGAACAGGAACCACCAACAAATGTGGCAGAGCGACGCGGGCGTGGGATTCATGATAGCAGTAGCACCACATTGTTCTTGATTGATAGATAGTATGTTGAGGAGACTAGACTAGTTGAAATGGGCCTCCACCACTGAATACCAGCCACAGCCATACATAACCAGAAGGCAATTGCCAATTAACCTAACCCCCAATGGGCCAATATGCACCGTAGGAAATGAATGAAAGGAAGGGAGGGACTAGGGAGGGCCTCCCAGCCACCTCATCCTCCATCGACTGACACCTCAGAAAATTGGCATGCAGCTGTCTCAATCGCTCTCCACGCCTGGTCGAGAATTTCTCTCTCGTTCTCCCACTCGATCGAACCCTGGTTTTACTTTTTCTTCTTTTTTCTTTTTTTGTTTCCTGACAGCGAAATACAACGGAGGTTATGATTGTGTTCCAAGTGTACACAGGCTCCCCCCTAACTTTCTGTTTCAGAGGAAAGCAAAGAAGAGAATCCGAACACTCCTCCTTCATCTACTTTTTTTTAGTCCGATCCAAACATCCACGCCGTCCCCTTCGGCTCCCGTTCCTCCTTCCACTATACTTTACTGTATCAGTCCGTCTCATCACAGTCACAGGTTGGTTGGGATATGGCCGATCAAATCCTCCAAACAAGTCCTCTGGAGGACACTCAAACGCCACCGCCGCAGCAACTCGATGAGCAGCCATTGGCATCGGTGGCGCTTGATCTTCAGAAAGACTCACCCTCACCCCCGCCGACAGAACCATCTCAGCCAGCCAAAGAAAAGCTGAAAGAAGCAGTCACGGTTGTACAGAAAGACGCCCCTTTAGAGCCTCCGCCAGCGGAACCTGCCACCACGCCACGGTCATCATCCCAGCCCCTGGTGGCTCCTCCGGCAGTGATTGACCCCGAAACAGAGAAATCGGTGGACAAGAAAAAGGGCCCGGAATCATTTGCCTCTTTCAAAGAGGAAAGCAATAAAATTGCAGATCTCTCACGCTCTGAGCTGAAAGCATTGGAGGAGTTTAGAATATATGTTCGAGAAGCTGTTAACAAAGGCCAGTTCAATGCTGTCACGCCTTCGGGAAGTGCTACTAATTTACCCGAAGAGGTTTCAATATGGGGTGTGCCTTTGCTAAAAGACGACAGGACAGACGTGGTTCTGCTCAAGTTTCTGCGTGCCCGCGACTTCAACGTGAAGGAATCCTTCGCTATGCTGAAGAACACCTTAATTTGGCGAAGCAAGTTTAATGTGGATGAGTTACACAAGGAAGATTTGGGGGATGATCTTGAGAAAGTTGTATTTATGCAGGGGCAAGACAAAGAGGGCCACCCTGTGTGCTATAACGTCTATGGCGAGTTTCAGAACAAAGATTTGTACGAAAAGACATTTTTAGATGAGGAGAAAAGATTGAAGTTTCTCAGATGGAGGATTCAGTTTTTGGAGAAAAATATAAGGCAGCTGGACTTTAGCCCTGGTGGAATCAATACAATCTTTCAGGTTAGCGACATTAAGAATTCCCCCGGACCGGGTAAAAGGGAACTGCGCATTGCTACTCGGCAGGCATTGCAGATTCTTCAGGATAATTATCCTGAGTTCGTCGCGAAGCAGGTAGAGAGCGTGGCAACACTTTTCCTCTAGAAGTAATTGAGATAATAATGTTGTTTGTTATGTAAATGCTTTCGGATCAATGCTCTTTGGAGAGGATAGTTGGTTTAATTGGTAAGCCTCCATATGGAATCAATAGAGATAAAACCTAAGCTCACCATTGAGGGAACAAACTGCTTTATCTGTTACGGAAGTTTATTTGTGAATATTACTATCGTCCGTGATTGTGGTTGCATATGAAAAATTAGTTTAACGAAGATTGATGTTGAGGCAGTTGAAAGCTAAATGATGAGAAATGATCTTACTTAGGTTGAGAAGTGCATGACTGACAGATGTCACCTCACCTCCTCCTCAACTGGTTGCTTTGCTTACAGGTATTCATCAATGTCCCGTGGTGGTATTTAGCGTTCTATACAATGATCAGTCCCTTCCTAACACAGCGCACCAAAAGCAAATTTGTGTTCGCTGGCCCAACAAGAACTGCCGAGACTCTGTTCAAGTGAGTTTAAAAGCTTTTCTGTTTTACTCTTCTTATCTCAGCAGAACTTCTCTACTTCTTCTCTTCTCTCCGGGTGGTTGGTTGGTTCTAAGGCTTACTACTAACAGGTTATGACTATCTGATCTGATCTGGGTTGGTTGGTTGTATAGGTACATATCTCCTGAACATGTGCCAACTCAGTATGGTGGCCTTGGCGTGGATTCCTGTGAATGCAATCCAGAGTTTAGTGTGGATGATCCTGTCACAGAAATCACTATTAAACCTGCCACTAAGCAAACTGTGGAAATCATTGTAAACGAGGTTAGGTTTGTTAGGAAGGCATATATTACTACAATTGTTTGTTTTCCTTTATGATTGGATTGATTGATTGATGTGGTTGCACGCAGAAATGTAGTCTTGTTTGGGAGGTGCGTGTGGTGGGGTGGGAAGTGAGGTACGGCGCAGAGTATGTACCAAACGTGGAAGGCGGGTATACAGTGATCATAGAAAAGAGGAGGAAGATGGTTCCAACTGATGAGCCGGTTGTGCGAACGAGTTTCAACGTCACCGAGTTGGGTAAGATATTGCTCACCATTGACAACCCGACCAGCAAGAAGAAGAAACTACTTTACCGATTCAAGGTTATGCCCTTGCCTTTGCCCTTGGTCGACTGATTCTGATAGATATGATAATGATATGTCTGGCTGGTGACAAACCCATGATTATAAGAATGATGATTACTTGTTTTCCATCACTGGAGCGAACGAGCGAGCTAGATGGTTTTGATTATCGTGATTGCTATGTATGTATCTGTAGAGAAGAAACATACATGGTGATGGTGTTGGTGTTGGTGTTTTCTCTAAAGGTGGTGTCAGTTTGTGTTTTTATCTGATAGATAGATGGATGTGAATACATTTGTAAGTACTTTTGTGGAGGTGAAAGTGAATGTACGTGGTGTTTGATGGCAGGCAGGCAGCCATATCGGAACTTACTTTTGTGCTTCATTATTAGATTGCGAAATGATTGATGAGGAGGAAGTGGATTTGGTTTGAAATCTGTGTGTGTATGTAGGTGGATTGCCCGCCTTGCCACCAAAACTAATTAACTAGTATCACCACCGTTTTACTATCTTATTGATTGATCGGCTGAGATATAATGCTGGTTGGTTGAGGTATATTAGGTAGCTGGCGCTCAATCCAAAATAAAGGATGAGCAAGTCTAAACCAAGAGGGAAGATCTGAGTCCAAATTAGCCTTTTAAATAGGAAATAAAGAATTTACATCATCTTAAAAGGCAAGTCCAAGGTCATTAATACATGGAGAAGAAGAAGAATATATTATTATATTCATGCAGGAGTATAATCTTTCCTTTGTTTAGACTTGTTCGTCCTTAGTGCCTTTATATATTCGATGGAGCCAGCTAATCTATATATATCAATCAGCAAGACTCTTCAATGTAAAGTGAAATCATGCATGTGCTCAAATAAAAAATAAATAAATACAGATTAAGAAGATTAGGATTTGATAACCATATCCAAAATAGTGCTATAAGATAAGATGTTGAATTATGGAGTAATGAATCGGTTGCAGGGTGAGGGAGAGAAGTAAAGACGTTGATGATTGTGGCTGGATTTGAAAATTGAAACCAGCAAATATTATGAGTGGTAATAAATTAATTTCTGAGCGGGTCCCAGCTAAGCCTGCAGGGGATCCGGAAGTGGAGTGCCGTGGCCTTTCCCACCCAACGGTCACATTTAATTGAATTCGAAACCGTCCGAGCTCCAACGGTCCGGACCTTGACCCGTCATTACCATCACCATTCCAAAGAAAATTACTATTATTTATCACAGAGACAAGCAAGTAGCAACCCTTTGACATCAAAATGAAAGAAATATCAGCAGAGCACAAGAGGTCGAAGAAACAAAGAAAGATTCAAATCTTTGATATATTCGATCATCTAATCTGAGTTAATTATATGGCAGCACAATGCTTTCTTCCTACTTCACATCGACCAAAAACCCATTACAAAGAATCTCACATAAACACGATAAGCTACTCTACACCATAAATAGGTTGGCATGGGACCCATTCTTGATATGCTCTGTGTGCTTGAGTTGGGCAGATGGATATTTGACAATTAATAATTGATTACCAAGACAGACTTTTTCTAATCTACTTATTTAAATAGCAGTGGGAAGAAGAATAATTACAAACCTAACCATGAGGCAGGCTGGCAGTATTTTATGATGAAACATCGGATTTTCAACCTGCTCTGCTGCAGAGGAATCTAATGATGACTCTTGCTTGTGTAATGAAATACAGTAGAATGTGTCTTTCTCTTTCTTCTAGAAAGCACTTTTGACAGATTTTCACACCCACTTTATCCAGTCTCTGTCTGTCTGTGCTTATCTGTAAAGCGTTTGCTTGATTGAAGAACACTCCCTGGATATTTTCCGCTGATACCGACCGAACCTAATTTCTGTGCCTGCCATTTTCGAGCTCATTTCCATTTGCCTATCAGCGAATTCAAATTTTTATATATTTTTAAAGAAAAGGCTCTGGGCAGGATATGCGTACATCTATCCTGACGCAGTAGTACAACGGCAGTGGAATGTCCGTTGAACAGATTCCATAAATAACATCTGGTGTATAATCTAAATTAGCTGCCCCAAATTACAACTGTACTAGCGCACATGCAGTTGAACAAATTGATACACAGCTAGGGTTTAGGGTTATTGAAATATGTATGTTCCACTTTTTACTTAAAAGGGGAGGGGAAGGGGGAAAGGGAAAAATAAAGCATAAGATTTAATCAGAATATACAGCAAGTAGTAATAACAAAAGTTTCTGTCCAGATATATATATATCACACGCTATAAAAGAAAAGACATATCCTTGTTCCAACATTTCACACACCAACCAAACCCCTGGATATGATATGAATCTGTATTGACATGATGACGTCATCTCTCCCCCACTCCTGCTTTCCTTTCCATTCCATTCCAAATGGTTATACACCACACCAGGGAGAGAGACACTCAAACCATTCAAAAACAAAACTTAAGTTCCACAATAACAACAACAAACGAATGTAAAAATAACTTGTCCAGACCTTTTAACCCAAGGCTAAATTTGATGATCAATCAGAAAAATATTTAAGAAAAAGAAAAGAAAGAATATGTGAATGAGCGAGCAGAAGGGGAGGGAAGGGATTGCCTTGTGCTCATTCATAGGACTTGGTCTTGGACCTGTAGAGAAGCTTTTTCTTCCTGGAAGTTTGGTTGTCGAACGTGAGAACAACCTTTCCAGTTTCACCAATTTTGAAGTTGTGGCTGATTACTTGTTCATCAGTTGCCCCGACCTTCCTAGACTTATGGATGATCCAGGTGTACCCACCCTCCGCACTCGGTTCAAACTCAGCCCCATAGGAAACGTCCCACCCAACAACTCTCACCTCCCAAGCCAGTGTGCAAACCTGGATAGGGCACATTCAAATTCAAGTTTTGTTATAACCTATATAAAGATTGAATTTTGTTATTACACACAGACTGGGGGGCAAGCCTACCTCAGTGATTGGCCATTCAATAGTGTGTTTGCTGGCTGGCTTGATGATTTCCTCTGTAACAGCATCAGCAGAGGTGAATTCTGATTCTTTGCTAAGCCCACCATACTGAACAGGCACTTGCTCAGGCGCTATGTATCTGGAACCAAAAAGAAATCCACATTAAAATCATTGTACTAATTAAGCATGCATATATTAGAGGATGAAAATAATCAAATTTTTCTAACGGACTTGAAGAGGGTTTCTGCAGTCCTGGTTGGGCCAGCAAACACAAACTTGCTCTTGGTTCTCTGAGTCAAGAATGGACTGATCATCCTGTTGTAAGCCACATACCACCAGGGGACATTGATGAACACCTGTGCGCCATCAACAACCAACGTGTATAAATATCCATATCATTTAGTAGAAGCACACAAAAGAAATCCAAATAAACTCATAAGACTGACTAATATGTACCTGTTTGGCAACAAATTCAGGATAATTATCCTGAAGCAGTTGGAGGGCCTGGTTGGTTGCTTGGCGGAGTTCTTTCTTGAACAAGATGAGCCCAGGTGAATTCTTGAGATCAGTAATCTGAACAATCGTGCATATGCCTTCGGGACTAAAGTCGAGCTTCCTAATATTCTTCTCCAGAAACTGAATATAAAACCTCAGAAATTTGGCTCTCTTTTCAGCATCAGCGAAGGTGTTGCTGTACAACTCCTTATCATGAAACTCCCCGAAAGCATTGTAGCAGACAGGGTGCCCTTCCTTATCCACACCATGTGTATAAACCACCTTCTCGAGGCCCTCACCGAGACCTTCTTCTTCCAGCAACTCGTCAATCTTGAAGGATTTCCTCCAGGCTACCACACTCTTGAGCATGGCAAAAGCAGCAGCAACCTTGAAATCTCTGGCCCTCAGGAACTTAAGAAGAATTACATCACTTCTTTCGTCGGCAAGTAGTGGGATGCCCCAGATGGAAACCTCCTCTGGCTCCGCTGGTGGAGCTTGGTCCTCCTCCTTTGGCTTCTCCTCCTCTTCGGCTGGGACGGTGGCGGGTTCCTCCTCGGAAGCAGGTGGTGGTGGTGGAGGGGTGATGACTTCGTGAACGATAGTTTCTTTGATCTCCTCAGCAGCCTCGGATTTTTCTTCAACCTTTTCGACCTCTGCTGCAGCAGGGGGAGGAGGGACGGCGGCCTTTTCTTCTTCAACCTTTTTCACCTCCTCCTCCTCCTCTTTCAGGGGCTTTGCGGTGGCGGGTGCTTCAGAAGCCTCCTCAGTCTTTGGCTCTTCTGCTGGTTCCTCCTTCTTTTCCTCCGGTTTGGCCGCTGCTTCTTCCTCCTCCTTCTTTTCCTCGGTTTTGGGTGCTGCAGCTTCTTCTTCTCCACCTTTCTTGTCCTCCTCGGGCTTTGGTTCGGGAGGAGCGGTGAATTCGTGCTTCTGGAGCGCCTCCTTGATCAACAGTTTGAGTTCATCCAAAGCTTTCTTCTCCGGGTCGACTAGATCATCGACTTTGTTGCTCTCCTCCTTGAACGAAGCAGATCCGATATCTTTGTTCTCTTCGGGTGCCGCCTCGTCTTTCGCCTTTTCCTTCTCTCCTTGGGCAACCTCTTCCGCCGCAGGTTTCTCGGCCTTCTCCGTGTCGGGTTCGGGCTGAGGGGGGGCCTCCTTCTCTACGAGAGCGGGCGTGGGGTTCTCCGCCACCGGAACGTCAGAGACCACAACATCTTCTGGGGCCTCGGGAGTTGTCTTCTTGGTTTCATCCGCCATGACTAAACCTCACTTGAGATTGAGAGAGAGAGAGAGAGAGTAAAAGCAAGAGAATTGAAAGAAAGAGAGAGGGGGGGGGGGGGGGGGGAACGGGGGGCGGGATTGGTGGAGCAACTTGCAGAGAAGAAGGGGGGAATATGTAAGGGGGGAATAAAGGGTGGGTGTGTGAAGACGAGCGGCGAAGAGGAGGGACGGACAGACGACCTGACCAAACCAGACCAGACGTGACGTCCAACAAGAAAGAAAATAAAGAAAGAAAGAAAGAAGGAGCCGGAGGAGGAAACCACCATACCAAACCCAGGCAGGCCAGGGCAGCTCGTGAGTCCAGTCCAGTCCAGCCTGGAATTTGCCAGCTCTGCTCTGCCCTGCCTCCCTGTAGACAATACAAAACCACCGTTATATGGAGGGCCCCACCTCCAACCTCAATCCCAACTCTTTCTTTCTTTATTTATTTTTACAAATAAATAGTTTTCAATATTATTATAAATTTTTACCTTTTATAGGCATGGGGTTATTTGTGGGGAACAGGAGGAAAGGAAGACCGAAGCTGTCCTCGACGTCAGTCCCATTGCCATTTTTAGCAGCTTCCGAATTTATAGTAACTCCTCCATTCCAAATTGTTCAATTTTTCATACTAGTACTACTGACATTACTCGATCTAGCACCAGACCGCCGTATAATTATTAATTTCTTACATATATATATTACTAATATAGTTTTTAACATACACACAAGCAATTTAATTTAATTTGTATTGTATTGACTAAGTAGGATGAAAATCATGAGGAGGTCCATTATGAACACACACATTTCATTCCAGCTAATTAAATATAACGATGATGTTGCCTTTTTAATGAGTGTTAGACATGAGCTTGTAATAATAATAATTATTATTATTATTATTAACTCGGGGTGTGTGTGTGTGTCGCCATATTTGATGCCTATCAGTTAATCAACGCCAACTAGTTCTATTCCTAGATATATGGTATAGAATGAGGCAAATCAGTGCATACTATACTATGTTAAATAAATAATGTTGATTGGACAACTACAGTATGTAAAATATAAACATTATTTTTATGTTAAAATTAATTATAATGTGTGTTGTTTGAAATTATATTATTTGATGTCAATTTATATTATATATTTTTATTATGTTAATATAATTTACATGCTGTATATATGTACATCATATGTTGTATGTTTTTTACATGATGTATATATGTGCATCATATGTTGTATGTTCCTATGTTATGTACTGTGTAAATTATGTAATGTTAACAATCCATATTATATGTTTTCAACATTGTGCTAAATTTTACAATTCAACACAGTGGCTAATGCGGGTGGGTATAGAATAAATACCAGGTAACATTTCATCACAAAACATATAATATATTTTATGTTATAAAAATATGTGTTGTGTGAGTTATATATTATATTGAAATCAATATATATTTTGATACATATAATTATATAATGTGTTATTTTATATATTATATTAACATGTGTATAATTTACTTATTGTAATGAAATATTAATATTGTCGTTGGTATATTTTAATTCTTGTCCATTTCATTAGTCTTTGAACACATCCTGTCATGATCTTTCCTTCCATTTATTGGCAATCAAATATGCCAAAATTCATGCAAACCAAAAACAAAACAAATACTAGTATGTTATGTACACGCATACATTAATATGTTGTTTCAGTTATATTTATATTTTAATTAAAATTCTAATATTTTGGAATATGAACCCACTCTGAACTCATACTAATGTTTTCATGTTTAATTAAGTAATTGATTATTCAATCAATCAATTCATATATGTAGAAAAACAAATGAAAGCATCTCAAATAATTAATTATTGTTACAATTAAAGGTTAACACAATATACCACCGCCACTACTAGTACTAGCCTAGCTATTTGCTTAATTAAAAAAAAAAAAGGAGAAATTGGCATGGTGATCAACAACTACAACTTCACTGGCACGTTGGAAGATTTTATTCTTCAAGCTATAGGAAGGGTTGTCTGCCTGTCATGGATATTAAAAATAGAATGAGCATTGATGATTACCATGAATTAAACTATAATTTAATAGTATTGATTTTGGTGACAGTCTGTCAAATGATCATGAAAAATTCCATAGCACAGCAAGCATTAGCATACCATGATGTTCCTTTCCTTTGCAATCATCGCCAAACCAAACGGGCTTGGCTTAATATATCTCTAATTAATTAATTAATACTCCTATATAATCTTTTAGTGTTTGCACAACCAACCACACAGCACAGCACAACCATCCACAACCTATCTATCTATCTATCTATCTATCTATCTGTACACAAATATATTAAAATACTCATTCTAAATTGTAGTGTGTACGAAGAAAGTTGACATATTCAAATAATGTGTGTGTGTGGACAGGCCGGTAAGAGTTAAGGCGTTGATTGAGTTGGGTGGTGGAGTAAGGGTAGGGCCATTACATTTGTTTCGTGCTCCCACGAAACGAAAGCCTCCTCATCTTTATTTGCTGTCTTTTTCCATTTCATACTCATCCTAGCTCATCATCATCGTCATCATCCTACTAATTAATTAATTAATTAATTGATTAATTTCCATCTTAATTATTATTAGTACATCAAGAATTATATATAATTAATTTTGAAAGTAAGAACAACTCTTTGTATATGGTAATTGAGGAAGCATCAAGATTGAATACTAAAAATCAAGAAAGCTACATAGAATGATTAAGGAAGAATCCAATTTACCTTGCACACACAATGGCATGCAAGCAATTAAGAAGAATAAATGTCACGAAAATGACGAGGTTGCTTGTTTGATTTATTATTAGTATTCCCCAAGTGAATTAAAAGAAAGGGAGGTGTTTGTATCGTATCAAACAATTTGTACCATCATATATATATATATATACATATATAATGAATGGCATCTCATCTCATGACTCATCTCATCTACTGGAGTATGTGGTTATTGGATTCCTTTTCCTAATTTTCCTCGTCTATCTGTCTGCGTCTTCTTTTAGCACAACGTAACGCCTCTTTTGATTTAAACAGAAAAGGCCATAAAAGGCTCATATTTTTTTTTATCATAATTTCCCCCAGCCAACCAATTTACTTGCAACATCGTAACAAAGCAAATGAAAGGTCAATTCTTACATAAATTTTTTATAATGAGGCAGATGACGACAAGTATCCAAGACGTTGTAACTTTGTGTAATAACGGATTCGATCATTATTCATTTATATAATATACGTCCATTGGGACCAATGAGATACATGACTCGCTCGCTAACTCACTCACTAATGCCTATTTCTTCATCCTCTTCTTCTTCTTCTACTACTACTATTATTTGTTGTGTGCCATCACAATAGGAAGCGGCCCCCACCCCCGTTATGTATTATTCATAAATTGAATACAATAATACGTACCATACAACGGACGTAAATAAGTTGAACATTGTCGTCACTTATCTGTGACCAGGGCAAAGGGCAAATGGCCTCAAGACACAAATTAACACAGATACACTCACACTTGCGTTTGATTGCTTCTAGAGACAGACCCCAACACCCCCACACACACATTTATATTTTCAATAAATAAATAAATAAAAGACAGACAACTGAAACGGGCAAACTAGACATTACAATACCAACAACACGAGCAGATGAGGTAGATCGCTTGATATGTAGATATTGCTGCTGATGATGCATAGGGGGGATCCGGCCGGACACAGACACCCGGCCCACTTGGGGCAGAAACTGATGGGAGGGATCCAACCATGTATATATACATGGCTAAAATATATATATATATATGTATAATCATTATTCACCGTATAGTCTGTTCATCAATAATTAACTAACTAAATAATTAATTAATTAATTAATTGTCCTTGCCGTTGTAAATGTAAGACCTGGCAAAGCAAGCATAGGCTGTGAACGCAACTGCACTGATGGCTGCCAAAAGCAAGTAGAAGTAGTCCAGATGAGCTCGGTTCAAGTTGTTGCTGAACCAGCTTTCCCTCCCATCTCTACTCTCCGTCGCCCTCTCGATCACAGATATCAGGAAACTACTCAAGAAGCACCCAATCCCAAATATGCTGAGGTATAGGGCAAGCCCTATGCTCTTCAGAGCACTAGGGACTTCATCGTAGAAAAACTCTTGGAGGCCAACCATGGTGAACACATTACCAAGGCCAAGCAGGATATACTGCGGCGCCAGCCACCATATACTCATTGGTACTGTCGCATCTGCCTTCTCCACCAGCCCATATTTCGCAGCAGTTGCAAGCCGGCGCCTCTCCACAACCGCCGCACATGCCATGGACAGGAATGAAAGCAGTAGCCCCGTGCCAATGCGCTGAAGCTTTGTTATGCCGCAAGGTTTCTTGGTTAAGCCTCTCGCAATAGGAACCAAAACAAGATCGTAGATGGGAACAAAGGCAATTACAGATAGACAGTCAAGTGCTAGCAGGGACGCAGCAGGAATTTCAAAGCCATAAATGACATGCCGGTCCATTGTCGCTCCTTGTTTGGTAAACAAAGTTGAGTCTTGCGCAGAAACAATGCCAAATCCCAAACACGTGCACCATATTGGAATAAATCTAAGAATTGCCCTGGCATCAGCAACATCACCTGCGCTGGAGGCATTCTTGTCTTCCTCTAGTCCATCTTGTGTAAGCAGTGCTTTGTCAAGAAACCTGTTTAAGACATTGAACAGACTTTTACAGTTTACAGTTAACCATATATTTTTAGGAAAAACATACCAACTCCTCTGGCCACCGCATTGAGAAACTGCCATAAATATCCTATGACAACTTATTGTTCAAAGTAATCCAAATCCTCCAAGTGGTCACAACTAGTTAACATAAGAAGACTTGGGATACGAAATCAATGTAATGATAGATATCTAAGTTATCAGTTATTCCATCCTCATTTATACAGAGATATCATTACTTACTCAAACTGAGCATCTTCATAAGCTTGATATTGTTGAGCTCTTTCGTCAGCACACACAACATTTAGCGATGCTTTCCTGTTCTTCACGGCCCTCAAGAAAACCAAGCCAATTCTCACAAACGGATTCCTTTCATCACTGTTAATGCGGAATCGATAAGTGGTAGATCCAAGCAAGAAAACTAATAGAGCTAAACACATGGTTATGCAAGGGATACCAAAGCCAAGTTCCCAACTCAAATTTTCTTGAATGTAGGTCAAAAACAAGAGAGCCACTATGATCCCTCCATTCATTGAAAAATACCACCAATTGAAGAAGGAGCTTTTTGCTTTGCACTCTTCTTTATCTTCCCCATCAAACTGATCAGCCCCAAAAGCTTGGAGACATGGTTTATGCCCTGCTTGTGCGAAGGATACTAAATACAGTGAGAAGAAGAAGAAAATGATTTCTAACAGGGAAGGAGAACAAGCCGCATCACTACAAGAGTCAGACGAACGAATTGCTGCTGATACGGTCAAGAGGCCAAGAGCCTGTAGCAACGCCACTAGTCAGTCAGTCAGTAGTTCATAAAGTTTCTCTCTCTAAACGACAAGGTAAATATGTCAAAACATTTGAATTCAGTTCATAATTTTGTCTTCTAAATCGCCACAATGATTGAGCATAGAAGAAGAAAAAGCTGTTAATTTGACTAATGGACACTAACTAAGATGTAAAGCAGAGTGGCAATGACGATGGTACGATATCGGCCCAGAAAGGAGTCGGCGACGAAAGCACCGAGAAGCGGCAGAAGCAACGCGGCTCCGTTCCACGCATTGACGTTTTCCGCCGCGGCCGCCGTGGATTGGTTCAATGGCCCCGTCATGTAGTTGATCAAATTCGAACTGATTCCGTAATACGCCATTCTCTCAGCAACTTCAACTCCTAGCGGCAACAAAAATCTCATTTTAATCCGCTTGTACGAAAGTGATAATTGAATAGCTTCCTGATCTACCTATAATGAAAGAAGCGGATCTCCAGCGGCCGGATTTTGTCCGGGAGACTGGCAGGCCATTGAAGCCGACTGATCCCCGGACGACGCCGTCTAGCATCGTGGTATGGACCTCTTCCGATTCCATGCCTACAACTACAATGGTAGTAGCCATACCAATTTTCTCTCTCACCCTCGGTCAAAACCTGTAAAAATGAAAAAACAATACTAGTAAATGATCGATTAGGCCTAAAGAGCACAGCCCATGTAGCCGTAAGCTCTCTGGGCTTCGTTAACTACTACTGTTGGCTGGCTGTTGTTGTCTAACACCTTTTTGAAGATAAAGTTGGAAGTTTCGTTGGTTTTTCATTCTTCCCATCACAAATCTTTCTCTCTCGTGTCGCCAACAAAGTAGTTCGTGTTTAATGATTGATCGGATTGGAATTCAATTAGATGAGTAAAGTAGATGGCGTGCAGTGCAGAGCATGTGCCAACAAGGCAGGCAGGCAGGCAGCAAAATACTAATAAGGTAGAGCCCACTAGAATCGGAATTTCTGATTGCCAGAGGCCCAAGGCAAGTAAAGACAGATACAAAGGAGGAGGGAGGAAAACCATGTCCATGTCCATGTCTATGTGTGAAGAGATTTGTTTGTGTGTGTGTCCGAGTCATCTCTGACTCCTCCACGTTACCTTACCTGATCTGACCTGACCTGACCGATAGATTACATTTTATATAGTGCGGGAGGGGAAAGGGAATGGGGGATACGGACAGCCCCAATCCCAATCCCAATCCCAACCCAAACCCCACCCCACCCCACCCCCCTGTTGCTGGTGGCGGCGGTGCTCTTTCTTCCGCAGATCGCTCCAAGAACAGCCAGCCCCACCGAAGCCCCCTTCAACCGCACCCACCGCCGGCACGGCTGGAAGAGGAAGACGGCCCCGTATGCTCCAACTGTATTTGCTTCTCCGCCATCGCCGGGATGCTCAATCGCCGCCGAATAGGATTCTTGTGTCTCATCCTCTGCACCCCGTTTCTCCTCCCCCTCTTCTTCGCCACTTGCCCCTTAATCTGCGCCGTCGAAGTTTGCTGCTTCTTGTGCCGCAAGCGTCGGAAGGGCGCCAAGGGGCAGGGTCGGGGTAGAGTTGAGGCGGGAAAGGGTAGAGGCGGATTGCTGCAGCGGTACCTGGAAGATCAGTTACTGCTGGTGACGATGGGATCGGTGGACGGTGTCGGCGGAACGGTAGACGAAGAAGAAGATGAAGATGATGATGGGGTCGATGTGGAATATTTTGAGAGTGCAAGGACCTTTCTGCAATAGTTGCTGCTGCCCTGCCTGCAGTGGACTTTTTCCACGTATTACTTGGATCAAGTCTATAGAGTGGATGTGGATTGTGATTCCTCCCTCCCGCCGACCCACCCTCAGTTTTATCACATGTCTGTCAGTTTCGTTTTTATGTTTTTTTAACAGAACTGACCGACAGTATTAGTCATAAGATTTTCTTCTTGTAAATATATACATATGAAGGCGTAAATACTCGAAAGCTCGAGTTCAGTTGAGTTTTATTTTGTTTTGGCAAATAATACTAGTATATAATATATATATATATATATATAAAGTATACAGTATTTTGTGCATAAAAATATTGAGTAAGTTTAAATTAATGCAACAAATATAATACAAATCTACAGTAAGAAAGATATAAAACATACAAGTAAAATTTATTCGCTTTATCATTTCACCGATTTGTTTTGTTATTTTATTTAATAAAATTTAAAATACTATTTATATGTTACAAAATATTGAAATTGTTTTTTTATTTATTCTTAGGATAAATATATTTTTTAAAGTATATGTATTCTCGTATTTGTATATATATTTTTTAATTATATATACCGCCCGATTTAATTAGTTCTTCCAATCTGAAATGGTTTCGAACCTTAAATATTGAAGCAAGCACAGCACAAACACATGTAATAATAATAATAATATATACAAAAATCACCAACGAACTCTGAACTGTATACGTAATTGATCCGAATAAAAACACAAAAGGGAAGATGAGATGAGATGAGAGGAAAGGAGAGGAGAGGAAGTCCAGATTAGATCAGACAACACAAGACAACGCACGACACGGGTCAGTCAATCCATATGTAGGCGCTGGGCTAAGTGCAGCAGGTGCCACGTCAGCGACATAAGAGTGAGCACATTGAGGGAGGAGGAGTAGGAATTCAACCTCTGCAGCGTCGAAGTCAGACCGATCATCTCTGCCTCTGCCTCTGCAGCCTCATTCCCTGCAACATCTGCATCGGCATCACCCTTGCTCTTCCTCCTATCCCTATCCCTATCCCTGCCCCTGCCTGCAATCTCCGCCGTGGAATCCTTACTCCTCCCTCCTCCTACTGTCTCATCTTCCTTCTCCTTCTTCATCCTCTCAAACATCACCTGCGCACAAGGGAATAGTAGTAGTAGCAGTAGTAGGATACGAGCAGAGCAAAAGCAAATATCAAATGCCATTGCCATTGCCAGCAACAGAAGCATTGACTAACTAACCAACCAACCAACCTTGGTCGCACGCGGCTCCAACCACAGCAAATTCACCAGCGTCATAGCAAGCGCCGCCGCAAGGTTGAAGCATTGAAACAGCCCCCCACTGCGTTTCCTAGAGGAGAAGCAATAGGAGTAACAGCTACCCAGGAATGCCACCCCGACACTGTACGCCATGGCCTTGAAGTACACCGGATACACCTTGCTCTGCACCATCCCAAACTGCTTCCTCGGCAGCGCCCCCGCCAGCACGTAGCTGGACGCAAACGTCACCCACACGCACATCCCATACGCCGCCGAGAATCCCATCAGGTGCCCCACCCGGCTCACCACCCGCACTGCGTACTCCAACAAATCCATTCCCACCTCACCCGCACGCCGCAGGGTCTCCTGAGCCCCTTTCTTCTTGGCGGATCTCTCCACCCACTCCTCTGCCTCTCTAGCCTTCTCCACCACCTTCTCCTTGCTCCCCTCCATTTTCATCCTCGCTTCCCTCTCCGCCTCGTCTCTCACTCTCTTTGCGGCTTCAATGGCGTCGTGAGCTCGCTGTTTCGTTCCCTGCTTCGCCGCTTCTTTGATTTCACTGGCCTTCTCAGACAACTTATCTTTCCCTTGATTGGCAGAGTCCTCCACACTCTGCCTCGCTTCTTGGACTTTATGTGATGCATCAGATGCCGCGTCCTTGACTTTGCCAACGGCCCCTTTTGCCTCTTCAGAAACCCAGCTGCCTGCCACCGCTTCTTTGGTTTTCCCCACAGCACCCGCAACCAAGCGCTTACACTTGCCATATGCATCGCACACGACCTCTGTTGGAGTCGATTTGTGATTGTGATGAGTTTCTTTTCCCTCCGCATCCTCTTCTATCATCTTTCCAGACAATGCTTTCTCATCTCTCGGCGCGATCGAAACCTTGGTGTTTCCGTCATCCTTCTCATACTCGACAACCACCACCCTGTGCCCTTCTTTGACAATAACAGCTTCGGTCGGGCTCTCCTTTTCTGGATTGGGAGTGAAAAATCCTCCTGCTGCTGCTGCTGCTGTGACGAGTGATGTCAAGAGAAGACTCAAACCTAGAACATTCATCATTTTCTGTCCTCGTGTTTTCTGTTCTCTTGCTCTTACCATCGGAATTGCCAGAATTGCTTCGGCACAAGTCTTAGCCTTTGAGAGCGGTTCGATACTTTGGTGCTTAAGAACGTTGCCACGTGGACAGGAAGCGTTGTGTGGGCAACACGTGTTGTTGCAGAATTCTACGTGGCAGGCAGAGGCAGTTGGTGTTTTATCCAGACTGACAGAGGATTGGATCGGCAGTGGTGCAATGGGCTGGACGGACGGACGGACGAACGAACATAAGCTGAAGCCCAACACTCAGATACGGTCCAACTTCAACTCTAACTCGAACTCACTTTCCTTTTTTGCTTCTTTTTTTTTTTTTAGGGCTAACCAAAATTGCACCCTCTCACTAATATATATATATAATCACCTTCCCTATACAAATGTACCTCTGATGCTATATGCAACGTACATACATTGCTGATATTGGTTTCGTTGCCCATTAAATCCAGCAAAGAGAAGAAGAAGAAGATAGATATATGCTATATTCCTCCTCCTTTTTCACTTTCACAACAAACGGGAATCTGTATGTGTGTGTATAAGCAGAGGACAACAGATCATACATATATATATATATCCAAAGCAAAGCAAGGCAGATGCGAGTATATCCTTGCCTTGCCTTTATATATGGATTCCCCATCAACAAGATACCTCCCTCCCTCCCTACCATACCCAGGCCAGGCCATCATTAATCTATCCGCATCCGAGATTAGATTGATTTTACCCAATTCACATCCATCATCCATCATAGTCCAACTCCAACCATGAAACTATACATATATATATATACTACTATCATTTATATATCCTTCACACACACTTGTACAGCACACCCAAATTAAAACATACATGATGCATGACTTCACAAGGCCAGGCCAACCACTGTTCATGCCCCGTAAAGGATAATTTGGTAGTGTGGTAATTGATTGGTGACCCGTAAAGTCAATGAATTCAAACGCTCAATGCCTCTAAATTTTGTAAGTCATATAATTCGCTTAATAAAATTTGTTTTATCGAATCTAGTTTGCAAATTACAAAGTTCAACGAAATTATCAAAACGCACTCAAAGAAGAGTAATATGTGATGTCTCCACTTAATCTCATCCATGAACAATTTGTTTCCTTCATTTTGGTTTTTCATGCTTCACAATATATATACATACATGTATATCCTAATGTCATACCGCAATATATATTCTCTGCCATCTTTAGTAAATATATTCTCAGTGACATAGGATAGGGAGAGACCCAAAAAGGAGGTAAATAGAGGGCTGGATATGTGCAGAGAGAATTCCATCATCTATTAGTATTATAAAGGCATGCACACACACGCACACTGCCAGCTGCTGTCAGATACTCAGATAGATAGATACCCAAAGATCGATTACTCTGCATCTACCAAGACTAAAGTGCGTGTTTCTCTCGTGCTCATTTGTGTCAACCTACTTAAAACAAGCTTAAGCCCCCATGCCTTTTGATCTTTAAAAAACAAAAATAAAAAAGAAGATTCAGCTAAAAGAAAAAGAGAAATTGCTTTACGGATGAATCCATGCAGCCCTATCTTTCTTCTCCATCCATTAATAATATGCTCCATCATTCATATGGCTCAATACTAACACAAACATCCCCCTCCGACTACATTTCCTCACTTGCTCTCCCTGTCTCTCACATTGCTCCCAATTGTCTCTCCAAATTACGTTTGATTTTGGCTGATGGCTAGACTTGTGGTTGAAGTTCTTAACGCTAAAGATCTCATGCCAAAAGATGGGCAGGGCAGTGCAAGCCCTTTTGTACAAGTGGAATTTGCAGGGAAGCGGAAGAGAACCTGTACTAAGCCAAAAAATCTCAACCCCTCTTGGAATGAGAAGCTGGTGTTCAACGTTAAGAACTCAAGTGATTTGGGCAGCCAGACAATCGAAGTTTGTGTGTACAATGAAGATAGGCATGGCCACCGCAAAAACTTTCTTGGGAGGGTCCGGATTTCTGGTACGTCCGTGCCTTATTCAGAGCAAGAAGCTGCTGTTCAAAGGTACCCTCTGGATAAACGTGGCATCTTCTCCCACGTTAGGGGGGATATTGCCTTGAAAGTTCATGCTTTTGAGTCCTCCGAGGAAGTTGATACTGATCCTGATCCTGATCCAGAGCCTGTGAATGATGCCGAGGAAGATCGTTATAACAGCGATTCAAATGAATTGGACGCTGAGTACTATTACAGGCGCCAAAGCCAGAAGAAAAAACAGGAAAGAGAGGCCAGAACCTTCTACTCTTTGGGAGCTGAAGGGGGTGAAGCTCCACAACCAGTCTTTGTGGAAGCACAAAGCGATATTCTCCAGGCAGCTGCACGGGCAGAGGGGGCTCCTTCACGTTCACCCACTACTGTATTGAAAATGCAGTCTGGAGGTCAGAAGCCTGAGTACAGCATCGTGGAGACGAAGCCTCCTGTGGCTGCAAGGTTGGGATATTGGGGAAGGGACAAGACTGCAAGCACTTACGACTTGGTGGAGCCAATGAACTACTTGTACGTAAGGGTTGTGAAAGCCAAGGATCTTCCATGGATGGATGCTTCGGGGAGTCTGGATCCATACGTTGAAGTGAGAGTTGGGAACTACAAAGGGGTGACGCCGCACTTCGAGAGGAATCAAAATCCAGAATGGAACAAAGTCTTTGCATTCTCAAAGGAGAGACTGCAAAGCAGCATGGTTGAAGTCATACTGAAGGACAAGGATCTTTCCAAGGATGATTTCGTGGGGAAGGTCACATTCGACGTGCGAGAAGTGCCACAGCGCGTCCCGCCCGACAGCCCCCTGGCGCCTCAGTGGTATAAACTGCTGGACAAGAAAGGAGAACTGCTCAAGAGAGGAGACATCATGCTCGCAGTCTGGATGGGCACACAGGCTGACGAGGCCTTCCCAGATGCCTGGCACTCTGACGCTCACAGTGTAAGCCAGCAAAGCATGAGCAGCACCCGATCCAAAGTGTATTTCTCGCCGAGGCTGTACTACCTGAGAGTCCATATATTTGCAGCTCAAGATCTTGTACCGCCGGATCCTTCGCGGACCCTGGATCCCATTGTCCGGGTGGAGCTCGATACCCAGGGGAGGACTACCAGGGCTGCTTCGACTAAGGGAATTCATCCTGAATGGAACGAGGAGCTCATGTTTATAGCATGGGAGCCTTTCAATGAGAACATAGTTGTCAGTGTTGAGGAAAAAAATCTGGTGATCGCAAGGGTTCTCATACCACTGAGGAGTGTTCGGAAGAGGGTTGAATCCAAACTGCCGGATCCTCAATGGTTTGCTCTCCAAAAGCCTGCCTGGGCAGAGGATGAGAAGGAGGTCCAAAGGGATAAGCCATTTTTAAGCAGGGTTCTTCTCAGGCTCAGCTTGGATGGAAACTATCATGTCATCGATGAGTCCATACAATTTGGGAGCGACTTTCTGCCGGCAGCCAACCAACTAAGAAAGCCCAGCATTGGAATTCTAGAAGTGGGTATCTTGAATGGTCGAAACCTACAGGCGATGAAAGGGAAAGAAGGTAAACTAACTGATGCGTATTGTGTGGCCAAGTACGGCAACAAATGGGTTAGGACCAGAACACTGCTCGACAACCTCCACCCTACCTGGAATGAGCAGTATACTTGGGAAGTATATGATCCTTACACTGTTGTCACTATCGCCGCCTTCGATAATCGCCACATCAATGGCAAAGATGATGCAAAGGATCAGAGGATTGGCAAGGTCAGAATCAGGCTCTCCACCCTGGAAACTGATCAAGTGTACACCCACTCATATCCGCTGTTGGTCCTCACCCCCTCTGGTTTGAAGAAAAATGGCGAGCTCCACTTGGCAATACGCTTCACGTGCACAGCTTGGTCAAAAATGTTGACACAGTATGGAAAACCGTTGCTGCCAAAAATGCACTACGTTCAACCTATATCCATTAAGCACACAGACTTGATGAGGCATTGGGCAACAGGTGTAGTGATGACAAAGCTATCCAAGGCTGAGCCGCCCCTAAGAACAGAGGTGGTCGAGTACATGCTTGACGTCGACTACCACATGTTCAGCATGAGGAAGAGCAAGGCCAATTTCCATCGCATCATGCTGCTCGTCTCTGGGATTCAATATGTTGGGGATTGGTTCAACGACGTATGCCAGTGGAAAAACCCTGTGACCACAATCCTGATCCATATGCTCTTCCTGATATTGGTGTGCTACCCCGAGCTGATCCTGCCGACATTCTTCCTCTACCTCTTTGTGATCGGCCTGTGGAACTATCCGCTGAGGGCGAGGGATCCCCCGCACATGGATGCTCATCTTTCGCAGGCAGAGAATGTGAATGAAGATGAGCTGCAAGAAGAGTTCGAAACATATCCCACGAACAAGTCTCTGCACATTGATATTCTGAGGAGGAGGTATGACAGGCTGAGGACAGTGGCGGCAAGAGTGCAAAGCGTGACAACAGACATGGCAACACAAGGGGAGAGAGTGCTTGCCCTGCTGAACTGGAGAGACCCGAGGGCTACATCCATATTCATCAGCCTTTCATTGGTTTGTGCTGTGTTTCTGTATGTCACTCCGTTCCAAGTGGTTGCGCTGCTCCTCGGCCTCTACGTGCTGCGGCACCCACGGTTCAGATCCAAGTATCCCCCAGCACCTGTCAATTTCTTCAAGCGATTACCATCCAGGGCAGACTCTCTCCTTTAATAATCATAATAATAATAATAATAATTTGTTCCCCACTCTCACACAGTCAGCCCCTGCGTTGTGTATGTATTTCAGCACAATAAATATGGAGTATTGATTTGCTTTTTCTTTAATTTGTGTACGATATGCAATAATGATGTCGATGGAAAGTTAGTACTACTACTACTACTGCAGTCGGCTGTAATACAGTATCAATCAATAGGTTCTCAACATTGTTATTGTAGTTCAGGAAACTGCATGCAGGACTTATCATCTTTTCTTTACGGGGATCTGAACTTCCAATTTAATGGAATATTAAGTGGAATGAATGCCTACCCTACCCTAGAACTCCAACATCCAATCCAATGTAGACAATATTTAACACTTTGACCAGAAAACAATTCACAAGAGAAGCAAGTTATCATGGGCATCTACGAGTAATAAAATCTCTCCGGTTCTGGACGTAGGTTAATATACCGTCATTCATTGAATCAAGTAAATATTTTGTGTTCTCTGTTTATTTTTTTTCTATGTTTTCTCGTAACAACCTGAAACAATGTTGGGCTTAGGCCTTACAGACAAGTCTCCCAATAATACCAATAAAAGCCACAGGCAATAGTTCCGTCTTCCCAATGACTATCTTAATTATTGAGCAATTAAGATAGTCGCCTTCCCCACCAGCATCACAGAGGGGGTCGCCAAAATAGGCCGCTTGTAATTGGGCCGTATATCAATCTTTGCAGGCCACTTCAAAATAGGCCCAATTATGAAAATAAATAACGATGTATCCGAAGCTGCAACTCGTGCCGCCGTCTGAAAGAAATATAACTGACTGACTAAATATAAATAAATAAATAAAAAAGTTTGCTGATATTGGTATTGGCAGGTAAGAAGGTATCATCATCATTATCCTTTTGTCTTTCCGATTGGCCGATTGACTGACTGACAGACAGACAACAAGTAAAAGTAAATTAAACGATTGAACAATCAGTCAAACATCGATCTTTCAGGCACAGGCACAACAACATCTATTTGATTCTAAATCCCTTCTTATCGAATACATCGACATGGAATCGCCATCCGCCAATATAGTAGAAAACTAGAACATGATAGGCGGAGATGGAGTTATCGGCGCAAAACGTTTCCCAACCATCTTTGAAGAGTATGGGGCCTTCTCGCTCAATGGATACCGCCACTCTCCATATCTCGGTGTCAGATACAATTAGATTCGCAATACCTCCAAATGGTTCGTCCGCCATATGCCGCAGGAAGTATTCCCTTGGGAGTCTCTGCACATTGATGAATGATGAGACGAGACAGACCATCGCGTTAATAAGTATATATATATACACATATACCAAAGCAGTGAGACGACGAGATTAATCAGATTGATGAGTAATTAATAATAAAAAGGAAAGGGAGGAGCTAGGGACGGACAGGGCCGGTGGTGCTAGTAAAGGGCAAAGCAATCCTGTAGAAATTAGGTGGTGGACCTCTACCCATATCTCTTCTCTGCTCTGGTGTGGTTTGGGGTTTAGGGCTCAACGCAGCGCCGATGGTTGCTCACTTTACAATTTCATTCTAGCTGTATAGAGAGAGAGAGAGAATAGAATTGCTTGTGTGGACTACTTGTGTGTGTCCTTATTTATTCACTTTTATAGAAGCTGAATTTATGTTTTAAATACGATCGTATTTAATGCGCACACGGCGTGTTCAACAAAAAGAATCGTGGGAGCGATGGAATATGGCCATATATCACCCTGTGTACAAAAACACGGCCGTGTTTAAATGACATAATAGTGTTGGGATTAAACACGCCCGTGTACATGTCTCTGTATATAAAAAACAGTTGTGTTACAGAGAGGGGAGGTCGCAGATGGCTTTGACGCCGCCACATTTGCACCAACCTATCTCCGCGCCTTTTTGGCCTGAAAATAAAGGCTATTGCAAGCTAAGCTGATTTTTATCCAAAGGGGAGGAGATAGCTTCGACTAAGACGGTGAGGCTGTTGTTCCGCTCTTATCTCTAAGCGATTGTTGAATAATAAATAAGGGCGGGCAAACAAGTATGTATTGTTTGAATAATCATGATTTGCTGCTTTCTCTTTTCATATGAGTAATCGACTCTGATGATGAGTGTGTGCTGATCATCATATCAGCAAAAATACATATACATTTTTGGCCAGGTGAAGTCTGCAGTCCTTGCCTTTGGGGGCACCGCAACGTATGTCTTCCCATCTTTCCTTTCGCCAGAAAACAATTCACAAGAGAAGCACCTAGCTAGCATCAATCAGAAACAATGCTCACACGACAAGTCTCCCAATAAAAAGCGTCGGCAATATAATAAAGAGTTCCTGAAATGAGCAGTCTTCCCGACTAAAAAGAATCTTGATTTATCATCAAATAAAAGAATGGCAACCAAAACATATGATCAACTTCAAACGTGAAATAGGTCATTACCTTGACCTTGAGATGTCCATGTCCTACTGCTATATGATATGATAAAGCAGCCTCTACTCTTACTCCATCCCATTGATGCACGCACAAGTACAACAGCAGCCACAATTACAATAGCATAGACACGCCACATAACTTGACTCTTCCACTTCAAACAACAAGTGTGGAAAAGAAAATTAGAATTCGGAATTTAGGCCAGCCCAAGATTGAACTCAACTGATTATTGTATGAAGAGTACTCTATGCTCACCTGGTTCCTTGCATCCTCGCAATTTTGGTGTTTTGTTTTCGTTATAGCATAAACTAGAATAGTCTAGACAAAATCAAGCAAAACTTCCAACAACACATAGACATAGTGCGTAAAAATATGATCATGTTTGAAGATATGGAGAAAGGCTAGAGACGCCAGACCCAGCCCTTGATTAATATGGTCATGGTTGAAAATATAAGAAATAGCCAAACTCAAGATGTTCATTCAACTGAGAATTTATACCTCACACCTTTTGAAGAAGGAACACAGAAAGGATAAGATAAACTAAACACTATCAGAATTTTGTAAAAAGCCTCGGATCAAGTTTAGATAACCTTATTTTGTTTCGGAAGTAGCGATAATAATTCTTTGGAGATTCGTTGGATTTTTTTGCCAGGCAATCACATAATTAGGGTGTCAATTCTGTTTGGTTGAATTGTGGGCATAACAAAAAAGTCTCCAGTAAGTAAATAACTGGATTGAACAATGTGTGGATGCAAATATGCCATATCGATCGATCATCACACACTCACTCTATTTGATTCTAATTCCATTTTTATTTAATACATCGACATGGAATCGCCATCCGCCAATATAGGAGAAGAGTAGAATGTTGTCGGCGGTGATGGCGTTGTCGGCGTAGAACGTTTCCCAACCATCTTTGAAGAGTATGGGGCCTTGTGGGTGAATGGATACCGCCACTCGCCATATGTGGGTATGAGATAGCATTAGATACGCAACGCCTTCAAATGGTTCATTCGCCATATGTCGTAGGAAGTATTCCCTTGGGATTCTCTGCACATCAGATTAACCAGATTGGTGAGTAATTAATTAATAATAATAAATGGGAAGGGATGATGAGCTAGGGACGGACGGGGCCGCTGGTGCTTGTAAAGGGCAAGGCAATCCGGTAGAATTTTGGTGCTGGACCTCTACTGCCCATGTCTCTTTTCCTCTCTTTTCTTCTCTTCTCTTCTCTGGTTTGACAGTTTCATTCTATTCCAGAAAGAGCTTCTTAAATACTCGTATTATATATAGCCAAGGGGAGAGAGAGAGAATAGAATTGTGTCGGAATAGAATGCGAGTGAATATTTATTTATTTATTAATTTATTCTTGTGCATTTATTTATGTTGTGTCGTTAGCCACAGCCACAACCACCTAATTAAATCTATAGTCGTTTGAAATACAAAATCGAAGCACATTAAATATTATTTGCCGCAAATGTAACGGCTAGCTGAAGTATCTATCGAGTCCTTATCTCCGGGGTCACCGCAACAGTTGCAGGCTCCGTTGCAAGTCACACCAAGGCAAAATTGTCGCCACGCCTTTGCCTCTTCAGCCACCATGCTCATTCCTATTAAAATTGTTGATTAAAATACAAACTGTGGGCTCCGGTAATGCTTGTGTCAAAACTGTGGTTGGCCCAGATGATTAAATGGGCTTTGGCCCAAACGTTGTTGAGTATATAAAAGAAAAGCCCTGTAGGGTTTCTTCTTAATAATCAGAATACATCATCGCGCCACTATCATCATCTCTACTCTCTCCATCTCCCTACACATTCTGTTGAGCGATCAAGTTTTCATCCAACATCAATGGAGAGACAAACATACATGGATCATCCGCAATGGTGTGCAGTGCCATCGGCCAGGTGAAGCACGCAGGCCTTGTTCCTGGGGAGTCCGCAGCAGTTGCAGGGCGGATGATGATCGGCGGCGAGCTCTCCGTTGCAAGTCAGGTAGGCCACGTCAAGGCAATATTGCGGGCACGCCATCACCTCTCCACGCTCCATGCTCATAATCATGCCTAATAATTACCAAAATTCATACTACAATTAATAAAAACAAAAGTAGACACACCTGGATTGGATTGGATTGGATTCGGAGATGCAAAAGCTAAAAGAATACAAGACTAACATACATACATACATACATACGTACCCCATACAATAAGGATGGTAAAAACTTGAGGCCTCATGCTCTTGTTCTTGCTAGATTTGATTCCTTTTAGTTTCTCCCTCTAATATCAATTGTATATATATAGAGAGAGAAAAAGAAAAGTTTAGAGAATTCGGTAAACTATTTATTCCCAGAGGGTAGGGTCGGCTAATACTATATATTACATATAGCACTGCTACTGCTACTAATTAATTAACGAGAAAAATTAAAAAATAAAATAAAACATATCAACTTGATTGGAGCTCGATACATATTATACGTTGAATTTGTCAAAGCAATTAAAATATAAAATAAAATAATGGGGTTCGAGAAACTCCACATCAACATTCAAAAACAAAAGATTTTATAAAAATAAAAATAAATTTTTTTATTTTATATGTAGGTATTAAATTATACTTTCTCCATCTACAATATTTATACTCATTTTAGTTATACACGCATTTTAACGAGTACATATAATATTATTTTCATTTCCTATTTTTTGTTTGTTTGTCCAAAAAATATACATATTTGATTGACAAATGGATTGTATATTTTTAAAAATATATTTTTTTAATCAAATCAGAATTTAAAATAAATGATAGTTTTGGTATTTTTATGAACTTTTTATTAAAGTGAAAAAAAATTAAAAATAAAAAAAAATAGTGGAATGCTGGAAAATTTCTAATATGCTTCTTAACTGCAAGTGATCCCAAAGATTTCACGGTTGACGAGTCAAAATTTCGGCTGCATTTATGGGTCAATTTATTATTATTATTGTTTAGGTGGGAATAGTTCATGTCTTAAAATGTGACGGTTTAAAATGTAATGAATATTTCAATTTTTGGTGTCACTGGGCCAGTAAGCAAATCCAGCGATTTGTTGAAGAGGGTAGTTTGGGCCAATATAGTTGGGCCCAATAGCACTTGAGTGACTTTGTAACAGAAGTTCCTACATCAATGGGGGAGGCGTATATATATATATACATACATACATAGGTTCAAACATACGTTCTGATAGGAAAGGAAAGGAAAGGAAAGGGATCTATCTATCTAGCTATCTGACGCATTTCGTCTGCCCTGCAAATTTGTAACAATTAGCTCTGCGCAGGTACGTACGTACTCCATCATATGATATGATATGATTTTAATTCTTTACGTTGATTCTGAGCTCAAGGCATATATAATCGCTTTTCTTTGATATATATGTAGTGTCCATTGATGATTTGATTGGATTGGATTGGATAAGAATATGGATACCTCAAATTCATCACTTATTTCAGATATAGATATGCATACATACATTGTGTATGATGATTGGATTGCATGCGCTTAGCATCATCATACATCATTTATCAAACAATAATAGAATAATAATAAATATGATCGATAGATCGATCCATCAATCCAGAGGTGGCTGAAGCCCTCCCGGGAATTGCAAAATCAATCAATCAATCAATCAATAATGGATCCGACAAGAGGACAAGGAGGCATCCAGATGCTGCTTGCAGCGGAGCAAGAGGCGCAGCAAATTGTCACCGCTGCTAGAAACAGTATGCACAATTAATTGATTAATTAATTAATAGTATGATTTTAGGTAATTAATTAATTCTTGCATTGCAGCCAAGATGTCGAGGTTGAGACAGGCAAAGGAGGAAGCCGAGAGGGAGGTAGCAAACTTCAGGTCCCAAATGGAGGCCGACTACCAGAAGCATATTTCCGAGGCAATTACTTATAATTAGTTAGTTCCATGGTCCATGGGGTGCTGGGGGGATGGATATATGCATGTGTATTTACTCATATTCATATTCATATAACGGTATAATAAATTATATTTATGCAGTCCTCTGGGAACTCGGATTCAACTGTGAAGAGGTTGGAGGCAGAAACTGAAGAGAAGATTAAAAGCCTAAAGGAAAAAGCCTCCAAAGAGACCTCTGAGGTTACCAAAATGCTTCTCAAGTATATACTTACTGTTAGGAATTAATGTTATGCCTTCTTCTGATGATGATCAAACCAAATAATGCATGCACGAACTAAGGAGATCAGCAAATAATAATTTGTGAAACTCAAAGGAGAGAGAGAGAGAGAGAGAGAGAGAGAGAGGGTGAGAGAGTTCTTAGTTAGCGTCGCCGGAGCATCATATATAATATATCAGAGGCTGCAGTTTACTCTTGATTTTGACATGACAAGAACATGCGTGCGTTTGAAAATCGGGAGCTACTGCTCTCTCTCCAATACATTTTGCGTGTGTAGCTGTTGAGTCAATTTAAAGTTAATATTCTTTCTTCTGTGTTAGGTTTCTTGAACAATTTTCTCATTTTGTGACTATTACAGTTTTACCATTGAACAAAGAAATATTTTCAAATTGATTGTTTGTTTTTACTCCCGATGTGAGTTATAATACTGGTTTGATTTTTTATTTTAGAACTTAAAATTTAGATGGATGGATGGTTGGTTGGTGTTAATTAGATCATAATTTAAGTCCTTCTTTCTTTTAATTTGCATCTGTGCCTGTACCCAACCATCCTAGCTGCCACTTGTGGATATCATGGTAATGTGGGACTACTTTCTATTGGACATGAAAGAAAGAGACTTTCTGCCAAAGCTGCTACTTCACTTACCAAGATTTTTTGGTTTTTACATGAGAGATCTCTAGGCATTTTTAATCATCCTTCTCAATGGAAATGATTGGTTTGGCATTGAGAATTCATGAACAATGTTGATAAGATTTTATTAAATTTTTGTTTATCATATTTTATAACCTGACAAAACTATCTCACGAATCAAGTTTGGTTTTAAAAGGAAGTAAGGGTCAGTTGAATAGAATCAAAAGACATTAGATAGTCACTGTCCTTGGATTGTTACCAGAAATTTGTTGCTGGACCTAAAATATAATTATCCTGCGGAGCGTTGAGAATTAATTGGCATAGGAGAAACAGTTAATGAGATATCTCATTCAGCTACAGACTCATTCCTATCTATATCATGATCGTGTATTATGAACACTATTATTGCCTGTATTCTTTAATGGCTATGCATGCCCCTATTTATACCTTATTTTATCTCTCTTTCGTGAAACTAATAGGAAATTATACCTTATTTTATTGACTTGCCGAAGCTTTTTTGTCAACTCCAATTTAGCTTCCCCACCTCATTTACCGCCAGTTGAGATTCCCGTGTCTATCGCCACTACGCCCCTTCACACGCAACACTGCCACTGGTGCCAGCCATATGCTTTGTTGTAGAATGGTTTAGTGCTTGCAAATTTCCATCTTCCCCTTCATTTCGGTGAAAAGAAGCAACGGTGACCTTTTTTATGGAGAAAAGAAGTAATTAATAAATAATAATACTACTAATTATCTATCACCTGCAACTCATTACGGCGTAAAAGTAATAAATAAAGATATCTTATGGAGTACTTTCTTTTTACCACCCCGGCCTCCTTTTTAATTTATTGGGTTTAAATGCTCATAAAGGGTGTGCTTTTCTCTCTATTGATTCCAAAGATATGAGCTTTAACTCGATGCACGACTCCAACACTACGATCAAGAAGAGCCCATCTTGTTTCAGGGAGAATTGAGTTGAAAAACTAAAGAATTATGCATGGACCTAGCCGCCTGAGCAACGAGGTGGGTACTTTATCTCCTCCGTCGTCACCCCGCCACCGTGGTGGCCGCGGCAGGAGCACCAGCCCTGCTGCCACTGGTAGATTAGGCGTTGGCGCGGGTAGTATTCGCAGTAGTGGTGGTAGGAGGTTGCAGCTGAAGAATGTGGTGGAAAGGTTGGGGTATCTGTTAGTTTCATCAATGTATAGAAGAAGAGCGGTACTTTTGTTTGCTCCATTGTTGTACGCCTCTGCGTTGCTTTTGTATATGGGTGCAGTGGGCTTTGATGCTGTAAATAATGGTAGTGGCAGTAGCGGTGGTGATGCCGTGGGGCCAGGTTCAGTATACCGGAGTCCTGAAGTTTTTGAGAAGCTTTGGCCTTTTATGGAAGCTGAAGGCAATCGAAGCTCCAACCTGGTAAGTTTGAGTTCCACTTCTGGTTTTTGCAGAGTCACTCACTGTTGCATTATAGCGTTGTCGGTGGGGTTTCTGGGAGTAGTTTTTTGCAATTATATCGTGCTCGGATACAGTATTCTTATTTCAAAAAATTGTAATTCTTCCCTTCTTCGCCTTTGACAAGTGCAAGATATTCCGTTGCCTCATTCTTTCTTGCATTTGGATTATTGCCTTGGCCATGGAAATTTGAATTTTGTGCAGCTGACGAATGTCTGGAGTCCGAAATCGCGGCAAGGGTGGAGACCTTGCATCACACAGACAGTTGCCAAAGCAGGTTCGTAGTGCCTTCGTCTATCAAAATCACTTTGCAGAAGTAGATTTGGAGTGATCCCGTGGACTGGTGCTTCAGCCTGCCATTGACCGTTTTAGTTAAATGAACTTCAATCTTTTATCTCCTTTGTTGGCTAGCTGTTTAAAACATAATTTGAAGTTAAGGGAAATTGTATCTTTTATTGCCCGTCTTATGCTAATCTCAATCTGTCAGCTTCTGAGTTTTGCCACTCTTCTAATACGATTTTTTTCTTGGTTCACGAAGGAGCGACAGAGCTTCCAAGGTCGAATGGCTACCTAATAATTGAAGCAAATGGTGGGTTGAACCAACAAAGATTGTCGGTATGTCTAGTCAATAAATATTGGCTTTGGAGCATCAAGCAGGCAAACTTTCCGTTATGATGATATCTTACATATTTAGTAAAATATGCCAAAATTTGCACCGATCAACTTGTCTGTCAATCTTTTTAATAGTTCTGTAAATGGGTTAAATTTTAATCTTTCTTGGCTTTTAAGCAATGGCTTTTGAATTCTGTATTATGTGCAGTAGGCTATTTTATTGCCTTTGATATCTTTGGTGAATTGTGGTGATGCATTGATGGAAAAAGATGTGATTTCATTTGCTGGTACTGATCTAGACAGTAGTTTCTATACACCCTATCCTAGAACATTGTTAGAAATCGAAACTTATGGGGCTTAATGGTTTGAAACCATGATATGCAAGTTGTGTTATGGTGCAGATATGTGATGCGGTGGCAGTAGCAGGCTTGCTGAATGCTACCCTTGTTATTCCCATATTTCATTTAAATAGTGTTTGGAAAGATTCCAGGTGAGAATGAAAATCATGAACTTTATAGGATCACCAAATAGCCTCTTGAGAAACTAACAAATATCCTTCTTGTTGATTAGCACTTAGCAGTGAGGGGGATTTTGTGTTGTTTTATAATTGGTGAGAGTGATAATATTTTGCACTTTTGGCAGCAAGTTCGGTGACATTTTTGATGAGGAATTCTTCATATATGCACTCAGAAATCATGTTAATGTGATTAGAGAACTTCCCGAAGATATTCTCCAGCAATTCGACAACAATATAAGCAACATAATAAATCTTAGAGTTAAAGCATGGTCCAGCCACACCCACTATCTTCGAAAGGTTCTACCAAGGCTGATGGAGTTGAAGTACTGAATTCTCCTGTTTTCTGTGCACACTGGCGCACACACACACACATAATTAATATTATTTTCCTCAACAAATGAGATCTTCAGCAGACGCTTGGTTAGAGTAAAATATATATGTTTGAAACTAGTATATCTTTCTAAGAAAATCCCTATATAATTTGTCTTAATGAATTTGTAACAGGGCTGTCCGCATTGCACCTTTCTCTAACCGATTGGCTCATGCAGTTCCTCCATATATCCAAGGGCTTCGGTGTCTCTGCAACTTTGAGGCACTTCGGTTTTCAGACCCCATAAGGTTGCTAGCTGCAAAAATGGTGGATAGGATGGTTAAAAATAGTTCCAAAAGCAGTGGGAAATATGTGTCTGTACACCTCCGATTTGAAGAGGTCTTTCCTCCTATTCATTTATGTGCTTTTCAATGGTTGAATGTAGTTCCTAGTTTTTTTTTTATTACATGATTTTAACCGTTGATGCTCCGCTCCCCCAATGAAGGATATGGTTGCATTTTCGTGTTGTATATATGATGGTGGTGATGAAGAAAAGCATGAGATGGATATCGTTCGAGAAAGAAGTTGGAGGGGAAAATTCCGGAAAAAAGGCAGACTAATAAGACCGGGTGCCAATCGTGTCAATGGGAAATGTCCCTTGACTCCACTCGAGGTATGTGTGTATGCATGTACGTCTTATTCAAGCGAATCATTCTTCATTAGATGAAATCAAAGATACACATGAATTCCTTTCCTACTTGCACATACTTTAAATCCAAATTATGATGGATAATCCTCCTGAAACAGTTATCTTAATGACTAGTTATTGCCAATGGCTATTTTGAAATAATCAAGGGGGCAAGGCTGTAAAGGGATTAGCTCAGCTCTTAAGGGTCTGAAAGTTGTAGTAGTAGTATTGTGGTGAATTAAAGCTCGGCTTTCTGCTATGTTCATCTCTTGTGGTTGCTTCGAAACTCACCTTTTGATTTAATGAAATTTGATAGGTTTGACATACATAATCTGCAGGTCGGAATGATGCTTAGGGGCATGGGATTTGATAACAACACCTCTCTATATGTTGCTGCCGGAAAAATCTACAAAGTAGAGAAGCATATTGCTCCCTTAAAACAGATGTTTCCTCGTCTAGAAACTAAGGAAACACTCGCCTCCCACGAAGAACTTGCTCCATTCACAGTTAGTGCTCTCAATCTCAGCAGCAAATCATGTATGTATGTTATGTAACATTGACATTAACATTGCTCTGCTCAGGGCCATTCGTCAAGATTGGCAGCTTTGGACTACACATTTTGCCTCCACAGCGAAGTATTTGTGACGACGCAGGGTGGCAATTTTCCCCATTTCTTGGTGGGTCACCGACGGTATTTGAACGGAGGACACGCCAAAACAATAAAACCTGACAAGAGGAAGCTGGCTCAAATATTGGATAAGCCAAATATGAGGTGGCAAGACTTTAAACGGCAAATGCAGGAAATGCTTCATCACAGTGATCTAAAGGGGTTGGAGGTGAGAAAGGCGAGCAGTAGCACTAGCAGCAGCAGCAGCTCCCTCTACATGCACCCCATGCCCGACTGCATGTGTAGAAGAAAATCTGAATCCGAATACACTACTACTGGTAGTAACAGTAACAGGACAATATTATTATCATTATTATAACTAATAGATACATTACCATCCCCATCAATCTGCAAGCCAGCCCTTATTTATTATAGGGCCAAGGCCAACTTGTTGTATTGTTGTATACATGTAGAACTTTGACACGGTGTCAGCAGCAGCAGCAGTTCTGCCCTGCTCTCTTAAAAAAAAAAAAAAAAGAAGGATATCCAGTTTTGCCTTCCCCTGTTTATGGAAGTTGTGACCACCTTATTGTATGCACCAAAGAGAAGATTGAATGAATTGTTGCCACCCTGGCAGATTAATCCCAACCCAAACCCATATGGATGGCACTCCAATCAACTCTATCTCTGTGGCCCATCATCTGATCATACACCAACAGTTAGTAAGTAGTGTATGTGTGTGGATAACTCTACCAACGTAGACGTTTGTATGTATGTATGTATATACATGAAAGACTATAATATATATATGAGAGAGAGAGAGAGAGAGAGGGAGAGACCCCACGCACAGAGGAGAGAGACGGAGAGAGAGAGCAGAAGGCCAACTGATCTCTTAAAAGTGTGTACCTACCTACCAAACCCAACCCCACCCACCAATTAAAGTACCTGTCTTCTCCACTCAACTTGGTCAAATCCTTCCATCTTCTCTTTCGGTTTGTTACAAAACCTTCCAAACCACTGCTGCCCAGCCTCGCCACTTCTTATATTATTTCTATCTGGCCCCCATCTTCTCACCATATCTCTCCATATATATATGCATAAGCCTATCCTTTCTCTTTCGTTTCTATCTTGATCATCTTATTCAATACAGGAAAATAAAGAAAACAAGTAAAAAGGAAACAAAGGCCACTACTGGGTGCTTGGTTTTGCTGTTGAACATATCAACGCCTATACTGCCATAGAGTTTTAAAAAGGGGATTGGAATTCGGAACCATGGGAAGGTCCCCTTGCTGTGAAAAAGCTCACACCAACAAAGGCGCTTGGACAAAGGAAGAAGACCAGCGTCTCATCAGTTACATCCGCGCTCATGGCGAAGGCTGTTGGCGTTCCCTTCCCAAAGCTGCAGGTACGTTCTTTCTCTGCTTCAGATTTACCAGAAATCACTTTTACTTTTACTTGATTATTTCTCGATTTTTATGAATTTTCATTTATGTATTGTTAGGTTTGCTTAGGTGTGGCAAGAGCTGCAGATTGAGGTGGATAAACTACTTGAGACCTGACCTCAAGAGAGGCAATTTCACTGAAGAAGAAGATGAGATCATTATCAAACTTCACAGCCTGCTTGGAAATAAGTAATGCTCTTTTCTCATACTTGGAACTTTTCTCCCTTCTTGTATCTTTTTAGAGGGGCGATGGATTGATGCAAGAATAGCAGCTATATGTATGTATGTATGTGTAAGTATACATGAGCATGACTGCAAGACCAAATTATTAGCTGTGTTAGGGACAAGACTATTTGTTGTTTCTCACTGTTTTAAGGAGACACCTAGAAAGAAACCTGTTTTATCCCTTCCCTTTTTTCTTCCATGGATGTCATGTCTCTGCAACTGCAAGTAGCAGTAGTAAACATCGAACAAGTCTTAGCTTTGATTCAACTTTATGAGGTAGTTGTTGGTTAACAGCAAGGTTTTTCTAATAAGTAATATCCCAATTTGGATTTCTGTGTAGGTGGTCTCTGATTGCTGGAAGACTCCCCGGAAGAACAGATAACGAGATAAAAAATTACTGGAACACACACATTAAACGCAAGCTTATTAGCCGCGGCATTGACCCTCAAACGCACCGCCCTCTCAATCCCGCCGCCGCCGCAGCTCCTCTTCCGGCGAAGACCTGCCTGGACTTGAGACGCTCAACGCCGCCGCAAGCCACCACATCAATGAATGAGGCGACAAACATTAACATTCGCAGTCCGGCGAGGGATAACTCGTCATCAGGTGATAATACCAAATGCAGCAGCACCACAACAGAGGAGTCCCGACCGGAGATGGCAAACGATCCTAGTTTCGCTCTCGATTTAGAGTTGTCGCTGGGGCTGCCTTCTCTTTCCAAGTATAAAAAAAGTTGCTCCTTTAATTCATCCGTCGAGTCGAAGCCCTTGTTCGACTTATTGAGGCCGGCGGCGGAACCGCCGATTCCGGAGGCCACGCAGGCCATGTGCTTACGGGGGCAGTTGGGCTTTCAAGGGTCGGTCGTGTAGCAGTTGTCTGACTGCCTGCCTTTTGCCAATATTATAACGGCGGCTTATACATATACATCTATATATATATATATATATATTTTACTTACTGTGTCATTTTTAGGATTCATTTACGTCTTGATTAATGTTTTGTTTATTTTTATTGTAATTACTTTTATATAATTTGATTGTGATTAGCTAATTATTTCATCTAATCTTTTATAACAAATAACTATATTAAAATAATAAAATGCATATTTCAAGTGCGCTGTATCATCGAAAGTATGAATAAATAAATAAATAAATATTCCCCACCCCACATATAGCATGAAGTTAGAGGCTTAAAGCATATGCAATGGACGAATTTTAAATTAAATGGCTTCTCTCTAGTCTTAAGGCCATAGCATCTAAGAGAGAGAAATATAAATTAAAAATCTCTATTCATATTTGAGGCTGCTTTTTTTTATTAAGAAGCAACCATTAATTATATATATATATAGAGAGAGAGAGAGAGAGAGAGAGAGGATACGCTCTCGTGTCCGCCATGTGTAAATTCTCCTGAAATCAGGGTACTCACTCGTATACACATAATTTATTTAGAGAATCAGATCACATGTGGATGTGGTGGGTGGAAATGGAAATACAATTTCAAAAGGACACTACCTCTTGACCAGAAAAAATTACCTGAATTATGATGCAGTAGTAGTAAGTATTTATTATTCAATTATGCAAAAGTCAACGGGAGATTTAAATTTCAAGTAAATATCAATAATCGATGATGCATACTCCTACGCATAACTAACTGTTTAGTAGTATGTGACAATATGAGAATAACACATACACTCACGCACGCACGCTTCTTCGTTATTATGTTGTTTCTTCTCGACTTAATAATAATAATTATTAGTCTGTAGTCCTAGCTATTTGTTTGGCTGGCCAGGCTCAAATGATTTGATTCTGCTCAATTATGTTTTGTAGCTATTGATTGTGGAAATTCAATACATATACCAAAATGGTCAGTAAATTAAATAGGATGAGATGAGCGTCGTCAACATATATATATATATATATATCATGATCAGTAGTTTATGTTGCTAGGTAGATCTTCTCAAGTCTAAGATTAACAACAAGCTTGGTCCAAAGTGGAATGCAACAATTAATATGCATGTCTGTCTAGCTATATTCATTAGTCATTACTGACCACCACCCTTAATTAATTTATATAATACACTCCAGCTTAGTGTATAGTATACAGATATACACACACACACGTGTAAACAAACAAGCAAACACGAGTCATCTTGTTTTTCATGAGTGATTGATGATTAGTAGTAATGATTTTTAATAGTGTAATTAAGTCATTGGAATAGTTTTTATATGGGCACAACAAGCATCAAATCTTTGCTGTAGTCACGAAAATCTCACACACACATATATATATATATTATGGCACTGCCACTGGGACTGGCACCTTTCGACCCACCAAAATCTAATCCTAAGGAATTTAATTTGTTAGAACGAAATTCTTGTCTTTTGACTTTCAAAGCCCATACCATACCATGAGGAGGCTGAATTAGAGAATTTGAGTGGATTAGGGGCAGAGTTGTCTAAAATCAAAGTAATTAATAAATTCCTTTTATGTACATAAAAGAGCCTTGTTTGGTCAAACTAACTTTCCTAGCTCAATAAATTTTTCATGTTGTTTTTTGAGCTAGCTAAGTCATTTCTATGATTAGTGGGTCGAACCTGCAGCCGTTGAATCAAGTACAAATCTGAAATCTTAACAAGCTTTTAACTTAAATAATAACCTTAATAGTGTTCGATCTTGCATTCTAAAAGAGTATATATAGCAGCAGTGACATGATGATGATGATGATAATAATAATAATAATAATAATATTTGGAATCTGGTTCTATAGCGAGCCTACAGATAGATAGATAGATAGATAGATAGATAGAATGCGTTAAGTTGCACAGAGATGAGATGAGATGATAAAAATTGCATATTCCTCTCCATCCCATCCCACCCTTGAATTGTATGTATACTATTGTTAGCCAATGCAAATTCAATCTTCAATACTTTTATAATTAAGAGATGCATGTGGCGTGTTTGGACGGTAGGTAAACGAATCTTTAAAAAAAATACTAATAATTAAGGATTTATGATAATAATACTAATAATCATATGCAATGGAGTGTATTGTAGTGTATATATCTTTCTGAGAGCGAGCGAGAGAGAGAGAGAGAGATCAGGGATGATAAGGCTAGGAGGAGGAGGAGGAGGAGGAAATAAAAATGAAAAAGGACTGTGGTTAGTTAAAGGTTGGTGGAGTGATGGAAGGTTGATGATATTATATACATACAGGTAAATACTATAAGAAATGAAGTTAAGTTGGATCGAGATCATCCTCATCATGTGCACCCACCCAGCTACGCATTCCCAACCCTAGTCTAGTCTAATCTAATCAAAGTGTGTATATAGCTTGTTAGAATCCTACAAAAGAATTTTAGGCCAGCCAAACATTGCCTGTTTCTCAAGCATAATAATCCACCCCACCCCACTCCTTCTTCAATAATCAATCAATCAATCAGTCAGTCAGTCAAACAATGACTTGTTTATTAATTGAAATCTTCCATACATACAAACAGCAAACATCTCATCCTCTCTCTCTCTCTCTCTCTCTCTCTCAGACAGTCAGACTGTGTGTGTTATGTAATATGTGTTCGTTCATACTTATTGCTCTATTAATCATTTTCTCATCTTTAATTAATTCTATCCATCATGTGCCAATTATGTTATTGTCTTTACACCCCACCCCTTTCTCTCCCCCAATAATTTTCCTTTACCTCCTTTAACTAACTAACTAAATAAATAAATGCTTTTAGTTAGATAGATGTATGTTATTGTCATGTTGATTAGAGGTGAACAAGTGATCGAGGCAGGCATCTTGAATTGTATATATGGATATGGATTTGGATAGGATAGGATAGCGTTTTAAGTTATGTTATAGGGTAGCAATTAAGTAGCAAGCTAGCTAGGTGGGCTGGGAGAAATTCGATTGATTTCTTTTGATTTGGATAATGTTTATTTGTAAATGTATAATATATATATATATATATATGATTCCTCCTAATTAATTAAGCTCTCTCTCGTCTTCCTAGTCGTATCCACATGGCATTTCCTGCTTTTCTCTAACTGTAAGCAACCACTTCCACTTGTAAGTCACCAACAGGTCAGGTCAGGTCAGATCAGATCAGATTAGATCGATTGCATCTCATCTCATCTCATCTCATCTTCTAAATTATACTACTACTACTACTACTACTACTAATATATCTTGAATTTCATAATATTGAATGAATCTCGTCTTTCTTTCTTTTTTTTTTTTTTTCTTCCAGAATAATACTGTACAAGTACAATAAAGCCAAAGCCCCTCAAGTATTGCAAGTTGGTAGCTATTAATTAATGTTGTGCACTTCATTATGCAACTAATATATTACTATTATTTATGCGATTCTCTTTCCCACCAAAATGCACATGCTCGTGCTCGTGCTCGCAGAGGAGGATCATATAATAAATACGTTATGATTTGGAAAGAGTATTGCAATTTTATACGAGAGAGAGAGAGAGAGTATTTACTATTTAAATTAATCATTTAAAAACTGACTCGGATGGATAGATACTATACATACATACAATCCTCGCCTCGCCTTGACTTAGTGATATACATCATACATGTATAATGAATGTTTATCTATCTATATAAAGGGGGGTCCCGGAAAAGGGGGTGGTGGTTGGAGGTTGGTGATTGGTCACGCCACCTCATTAATTTCTTTACCTACTTGTAACGTCTATTATATTATATATAGGAAATTTCAAGAATGATTGGTACGTACGGTTACATAATATACTCGTTGGATTCAAAGTTATTGTGGAATTGCTTATTTAATTTACAGAAGAAATTATAATAAAAATAAATAAATAAAATATAAAAAAAAGTAATTCTTCTAGAAGGGCCGTGTAAGAACCCATCCATGTTACTTGTACCTAAGAGTTTGGCACTTTTTATTATTAGTATTTATTAACTTAACAACCGATGGATGGATGGATGGATGGATGGATGGATCATCAGCTCACCCACTCAAACCCTTAATTAATTACACCCACACATATGCATAATGCTAAACCTGTCCCTCACTTGAACCTAATGTCACATGGAACTTGTTTATAGCTAGCTACCCATTGTTTTCAAAACATGAATTTATATATATATATATATGCATACATATTGTTGTGTTATGAAGTAAATATATTATTATAAGCCCTAAATTAATAAATGGTGGAAGCCCAATTAGTTCGTGCGCTGTGCTGTGTTGTGTTAAGGAATTCTTTATACATTGAGTAATGTTCCTCTGTACTTGAGGTGACATTTTCACTCAAATATCTTTGACTAATTCAGCAAAACATATAGAATGATACAAACGTGCATCAATATTATAGTCGTTGAGCAAGAGAAAACTAATGTGTAGATTTTCGAGAATGGATCTATTAAATTGGGTTAAGGATTGATACAGAGTCTAATGAGCCTATTAACAATAGTAGGACAGTAAAAAGGAAGTTCAAGAATAAGTTCGATATTAAGGAAAAAGTTTCCTCGGAAGATAACTGAAGTATAAGGTCAGGCACGGAGATCAGATCTGATAAGGTCGGGGCACTGAGGTCGGACATAAAATGGTCAGGCACGGAGATCAGACCTGATAAGGTCGGACACTGAGGTTGGACATGATCAGGTCGGGCTCGGAGGTCGGACCTGATAAGGTCGGGCGCGAAGGTTGGATAAGATAAGATCAGGCACGGAGGTCGGACATGTGCAGGTCGGCGGAAAGCAGTTTTTGGACAGTTGAGGGAAGTTACAACTGACGAGCGGATATGAAGGGTTGTGACGGTTGACACGGGTTTTAAATAGGTCTGTTCATGATCTAAAGAAACCATCTTCAATCGACATCAAATTCAAAGAATTGCTTGGGGATCACCGTTTTATTTTTCAGTCTGTAGTTTCTATTTTTCCTAGTTTATCTATATATCGTACTGTCTAGAGATTCCTAATCTCAAACATTTATTTTTTCGAATTTTACTTTTTATTGTTAAAAAATTACATCAACAATAATTATAAAAATTATTTATGGGAGCAGGGGAGGAGGAATATTGTCAAACACAAGAATAATAATAATAATTAGCAAAGGGCCTTTGTAGGCCGAATTTCAGCCCAGCTCACAAAATCAGCCCAAACCTATCTTCTATCAAGAAATTGTTTATCATCATGTTGGAGTGAGAGAGACATGGGTTCCTGAGGCGGCCAGTTTTGGGATTGGGATCCTGCCAGTTCCAATCCGATCTCATGGAATTAATTGTTGTGCTCAGGCCCTGGCCTTCAGTCTCCTCCAGTTGCAGCTCAGCTGGGCTGGGAGAGAGCTTACTATCATTCATCTATATGCTTTATTAGTTTAATTGTTCTTCCTCAGAGTTAGATCCTTAGCTTGTCAGCCGGCCAGGCCTTACATATTATAAAGAATACTCTACTGTACTAGTAATAATCTGCCTTACATATTGCTGTCATACATAAGGATTTACCCTGTGGAACGAACGAACGAATGAATAGAGTGGAAAGTGAACAAGATTACTGCCACAATGTGTACATATTAATACTGTTTCGATTGCGTTGTGTGTGTGTGGGACTGGACTGGTCGCCTCGTCTGGGAAGGGATTTTCTTTCCATACAATACAATACAAATATACTACAATACACATAACCCAAAAGAGCATATACAAGTATAACTAACTAAAGACAGCAGCAGCAGCAGTCAAGCCTCCAACCCTAAAAGACGTTGTATAGTTGTGGCCCTACCCTAGCTCGCTCATTCTCTCGACTCCCCAAAAACCCTTCATTCTCAAAAACCTTCCCTCTTCATTTCCCGCGGCCGTATTCTCCACTGCTCCTCTCTCTCTCTCTGCGTTATCTCATACTCAATACTACAAACCAACTACATACAATACCCTCCTCCCCTCCCCTGTTCTTCCTGTATCTCAAGTTCTATTATACGAACCGTGGGTTGTAAGATGCGCCCTAGTCACTATGCACAAGTTGGTGATGTTGGGATGCCCTCCTGCCTCCACCCCATCTATTTTAATCCTTAATCATTCTTCTCTTCCATCTCTCTCCAACGCTGCCCTTCCCTCTCTTCGTTCTTGCAACGGCGCACCAATTGTTCAAAAAAACATGTCTCTATCTCATGCCGTCTTCCGCATGCCTCACTCTCTTCACCATCCAGGGAACCACTTCACCGCAGCTGCTGCTAACGCCCTCCGGCTAGGGAAAATGGCCCCCGGCAGTTTCTCCACTGATAGCGTTGCCACTGGCCGTGTAGTGCCTTTTCGGGCTTGGATAGTTCGCAAGCAGCGTAATTTGGGTGCTTCTTCTTGGGCACCTTACAGAACCTGGTTTTGTACACATGTCGGAGTTGCGGACACGGGTGGTGATGAGTCGTTGTTAGGGGCGGAGGATGAAGCGGAAAATGTAAAAGCGAAGGTGCAGCGGAGGCAGAGGAGTAGTGAATCATCGACGGTAGTGCGGAGTCCGGATTTGTTGACAATACCTGGAGTGGGGCCTAGGAATTTGAGGAAGCTGGTAGAGAAAGGCTTTGAGGGTGTAGCACAGCTCAAACAACTCTATAAGGACAAGGTATGTAAACTGACATTTCATTAGTGTGCCCAATTGTTTACTTGGAATTTTGAAGTGGTGCCTATAAAGTGGTGTTTCAGTGTGCCCTCGTAGTTTCTCACTGAAAGTTTGGCAAAAGTTGGATTAAATATCTTTAGTTCATTGCTGGATTTTGGGTTTTATATGCATACTGAATAAGGTGTTCTGGAAGTTTGACACAAGTACGTCTACATAGGACATTACAGTGTAGCTTACTTTCTATCGTTTAAGTTGGCAGCTTGGACTTCCCCATAAATTGGACACTAGTTTGTTTTCTAAGCTAGTCAATCCTTAGCAGGCATTGTTGTCATGTGGATTTGCTGAACTGAATTCTTGAAAATGTATATTTAATCAAAATTTGTTCTATCTTAAGTTGCCATCCATTTGGATTGCTAGCTAGATGCACTGTCGTCAGTTCAGTTGGAGCCATTCAAACAGATCAATTCGAGTATGGCATTGTTTTGGCCATGATGGAAGATAAATATATTTTATTCACGTTATTCATTGACCTCACTTATGCAAGTTCTGCATTTTCTGTTTTTTATTATAGTTAACTAGAGATATGTCTGTGTTTTGCTCTAAACCCATGCAATGGTGCTGTAGTTTCTCGGACAATCTAGTCAGAAGATGGTGGAGTTTCTACAGAGTTCAGTAGGAATCATACATAAAAATCACGCTGAGAGCATAACTACATATATCAAGGAGAGTGTGGATGAAGAGCTGGAGCAACATGGCCCGAAGACTGCTAATAAGAAACGGATCACTCTTTGTGTTGAAGGAAATATTAGTGTAGGAAAAACCACATTTTTGCGAAGAATAGCTAATGAAACACTTGAGCTTAGAGATCTTGTGGAGATAGTTCCTGAACCCATTGACAAGTGGCAGAATGTTGGTCCAGATCACTTTAACATATTAGATGCATTCTATGCTGAGCCTGAGAGATATGCATATACCTTCCAAAATTACGTCTTTGTTACTAGAGTTATGCAGGAGAGGGAGTCTTCTGGCGGCATCAAGCCTCTCAGGTTGATGGAAAGGAGTATTTTCAGCGATAGGATGGTAAATTTTCTTCTTTTAAATTTTGACATAAGCTTGTATCATCTCTTGACTGTAATTAACCATTTTTCCACCATAACTTATTTACTATACCATATGCTTCTGAGGTATCTATCCATATCCCACCTCTTTCACAAAGTCAGTGGTTTAGGCAACACATTTGGCAGTTGCAATATATATATATATATATATATATATATTCATGTTTTTCAAATGGTTTGAACCTGTGGTGCACATCTAGGGAAAAGTGGCCTGCTTGTAAATCCTACTTTGTAAGCTGTTGGATTAAAAATCTAGGCTTCTGTGTGTGTCTGTATGTGTATAAAAGAGGGGTGCATTTTATCTTTTGTGATTCATTTTTGTGTTTGTTACACTACATAAAGGTGTTTGTGAGAGCTGTTCATGAGGCTAAGTGGATGAATGAGATGGAGATCAGCATCTACGACTCGTGGTTTGATCCGGTTGTTTCAAGTTTGCCTGGTCTTATTCCAGATGGGTTTATCTACCTTAGAGCTAGCCCTGATACTTGCCACAAGCGTATGATGTTGCGTAAGCGAGCAGAGGAGGGTGGAGTCACTCTTGATTATCTCCAAGGCTTGCATGAAAAACATGAAAGCTGGCTTTTTCCCTTCCAAAGCGGGAATCATGGAGTGCTGTCCATGAGCAAGCTACCCTTAGACATTGACTGGTCTTTACATCCCAATATAAGGGATCGTGTATTTTATCTGGATGGTGATCATATGCACTCAAGCATTCGAAAGGTGCCCTGCTCTTTCTATACAATCAGAGATCATCATCCCATTGTTTTTCTACTGATTTTCAATTTTACACTGCTCAGGTTCCTGCTTTGGTCCTCGACTGTGAGCCTGACATTGATTTCACCAGGGACATTGAGGCCAAGCGAGAGTAAGTTACCTGATAATAGATGTGTCCAAGAATGTGTATGATAGTAATGGGTATTTGTTTGCTCTCAGTTATACATTGGAATAACCTCACATTTTATTGCGCTACTGTAATGTAACTGTGTTTGGGGAAATTTATGGTGCATTCTTGCATAATGTGCAGGTATGCTCGCCAAGTGGCAGAGTTCTTCGAATTTGTGAAGAGCAAGAAGGAAATTTCTAGTTTGAATGGTGGAGATGAGAATGGTGCAAAGAGTAATCAGGGGCAGATGTTGCAACTACCACATCATGGGAATTTATGGATGCCTGGCACAAAGGCATTCCCAGATTCATTCATCACTCGAGTCGGTGGATTCTAGACAGACCGAGTCTTTTTTAATGCCACACTAGCTAGCTATTGGTATTCCCATCCTTGGCTTTGCATTGATGTGCTATGTCCATATGTTGAAATAGGGTTAGCATTCTTTTCTATCTTGCATTATCCCCTACCACTTTTAATCTCTATATGTAGAATTGAGTGTAGTTAGTTAGTTGTGTGTGCATGCTCTTTGCCCATGGGAGGTGATCCATCTCCATCCTTAAACTATGGTGACCCGGCAGCCAAGTTTTCTGTATCAGTGTGTGGCTGTCATGTTATGTTATCCTAGTAAAAGATATTTCTGGTGAAATGATAAACTCACTCGTAAGAAACAGGTCATATTGTTTATATTAGCATCTGATCTCCCTGCAAAACCATCCATTTCCTATTTATTCATTTGAATTAAAATCGTAACGGCACATACTCTGTTTCACACACTCTCATACACGGTTAGATAACTGATAAGCCATGGTTCTGAATTCTGATGGGCCGGCCGCATTTCAGTTTCGTTAAGTAGATGTACACTGATTGGGCCGATCGCCCATTGATGGGAGCCCAATAAGAAGAGTGAGGAATAATAGCAAGTAACCTACAATTACAACTACAATTACAAAGCGACCTGTCCTCTCCCTCCGCCTTCGGACTCGATTCTTCCTTCTCGCTATTTCAGTTTCTTTCTTGGCTTGGTTTTTTACAAGTTGTTTCCGACGCTGCTTGCTTGCTTTTGTTTCCAGGTCAGGTCGTGTTGTGGCGATGAACACCGGAATGAGGTCATGCGCTTCCAAGCTACTCGCTTCTGCTGGCTCGATTTCTTCCAAATCAGGTCTGTCTTTACTTGCTCGATCAGAACTGCTTGCGTTTTTTGGGGATCTCTTTTATCTTTTTGTTTACATTTCCTCTCTTTATCAATATCATGGATCTTAATTCAAATCTTGAAGATCAGTGATAGATTGATCTGGGTTATCCGTTTATACCCCGCACCCTCATTTTTTCCCTAAACAAATCGTCTTAATTCCATTTCGAGTGAATACGTTAGCATGAAATTTATCCCTGATAGGGTGGTTGTTAATTCTAATGATATCGGTGTTTATTCGAGACCATGGAGATGCGGAGGTTCCTAATGATACCTCCCGTATGGCTGATTTGGCGGGGTCGCGTGTTCTACGGGCAGCGCTAAATCCAACAGCACCACCCAAAATTTTAGATGTTTTGGTCCGTTTTGATGCACAAACAAGCAATAATAATATGAAGGTTCAAAATCTTCTTTCAATCAAAAGTTTGAGTGTCTTGCATTATTTGAAAGTTGAATCCTTGTGAACCTGGCAGCAGTGACAAAAGGATTATCCAGTTTGTTTACATTGATTTTCAACCCTTAATTCTTCAAATTCCCCAACAAGGAGCACTTCCGTTTACTGAAATAGCTGAGCCAGGAACTATACACAATAGGCCATAGCTGGAAAGAAATTCCCCTCATTTAGAATTCTCTTGATCTTGTTTCCCATCATTTGACAGCTAATTTTCTTTACGTAGGAATCGTTTGCTTGGAAGTTTGAATTGCATGCTGTGTTTATTTTGCTACACGTAATACAATATTTGGATTCAATTAATAGTTAGTGTAGAATAGATCTTTTATTTTGTAGTTTTCTTTGGAATGATTGCTTGTGAGAGCAGATGGAAGGAACACCCGTAAAACTTGTGCATTTTGAATTGTGATTTTATGCATTGAATTGTAGGCATTGTATTTGTGTTGCACATTTCATGCGTGTGTTTATCTGTATGCTGAAGAAATGTTAACGAGTTGTGCTTGAGGAAAGGATTAGAGAAGGCTTGAAACACGAAAATGAGCTTGACGCCTGATTTGGAGATGTTGCTTTTAAAGCCATTTTCTTTTTCACATTTGAACAGTTACTATGTCTGTATAGGTAAATGTCAGAGACCTCAGTAAAAGTAATGTAACTGCTGGCATCAATCTTGGATTTGAATGCTTGATCGTTGTAAAATGATGTACAATGCATTAAAATTGTTACTTGTAGAATCTATCAAATAATCAAAATGACACTGGGATGCTATTTTCAATTCACTTAAGTAGATTTGTGTCTCTATTCACTTGTGACAGCTTGCTAAATCTTTATGTGACCAGTACTTGAAGTTATAATTTGAAGCTGGGGTGCTGTTCAAAATAATGATAATTCCAGCCTTGGGTCGATGTCTTTAAACATTTGATTCACAGAAAAAGTGGAATTGTTTACAGTGAACAGGAGCATTCACTCAACCAGTGTAAAGAAGATGGGAGGAGGACATGGGCATGACGAGCCCTACTACCTTCATGCAAAGCACATGTACAACTTGGACAGGATGACAAATCGAAAGCTAAAAATGAGTCTTGGTGTCTTTTCAGCATTCAGCATTGGTGTTGGAGTCCCCATCTTTGCAGTCATCTTTCAGCAGAAGAAGACTGCCTCAGGATGAGATATTTTTGATAACTTTTTCACTGTAATAACAGAGAGCGCATGCATTCTTCTTTTTCTATAATAAGATTGCCTGTTTGGAATGGTAGGGTAGATTGAAGCTGAGAATGTTATGTTTCAAAAGAAAATTGTGTGTTGTGTTTGGACTCGCTCTGTTGCCATCTTTCTGAGCTTGATAATAGATTCTTTGTATAATTAAACTATCCGACTGATGTTTTTTTTTTTTATTGTCAACTGGGCAGCAGCAAATGCTAAATGCCAGCTCCTGGACAATCAACAGATTGCTGCTGCTTCCCCCGGTTAACTGCTATGCAGTATCCATTGCCTTTACATTCTTTTTCCCCACAACTGTTCTTCACAGTTTTGGAAGCCTGATTAATAGCTGCTGCTAGCTAGTGGACAGTTGGAAATATTTTTTTATGTAAAGTTGTCATGGCAGTGGTCGCTAAAATGTGAATTTATTGCATCTTCTTTCTTCACTGCACTGCAGAATCAATCAGATAAGCCCAACACTAAGGCATTCTTGAAGAAAGTAAGTCGGTGGAAAATTGTATGGCAAGTTGTGAATCATGTGGGCGATTAGAAAAATATGATTGATTCCATTCCATTCCATTCCCCGCCATATGTGGATGTGGTAGTGATTGAACCCATTGGGAATGGCTGACTGGTGAGGCCCTACTTACTCACTATCATCATCATGATATTTTATTGGTTGGACTTGGACTGGATTGTACTCTACTGGGCATTCATATCCCCATCCATCCATCCTTCCATCCCCGCACTCACCATCATAACCATTTTCCTTGCCCTGCCCGTACCTGACCTGACCTTCAGACTCCAACCGATATCATATGATCTCCTACATTTATGAGGCACCCTCAATATCTTATTCAAAATGCCCTTTCTTTCTTTTGGTAATTGCTTCAAATATAAGAGTACGTGAAATAGAAACTTCTCAACCAGCGTCCTCCTTTTTACTTGCATGCCATGCCATCTATTAAAGTAAAGAAAATGGGTCAGAAAGGTTCCCTAAGAGATACAAGTGAAGAAGTACAAGTGAGTTTTAATGAGTAAAGGCTGGTTAATGATTAGAATATCTACTAATAGATGGATAGATAGATTATGGAGGGGGGTGTGCAGTGATGCCAAATATCAGCCTTGCTGAATATTCATCAAATCCCTGCATTTCCATTCTTGAAGCAAAATTTGATAGATGATAATAATAATAATTAGTGGCCTGGCAGGAGGGAGGGAATCCAATACTTTGGTCCTGCCTGCCATTTAAGTAGAGAGTACCTATGGGGAATGAAAATGCAGTAGCATGCTTTCCTCTAATTAGAGACGGCCGGACCGGACCGATTCCTCTTTAATTCCCCTCCCCTCTATCTTCATGTGCACACTCCTCAATTATTGCACTCTTCACAAATTACCTTTTCTACTTAAAAAATAATAATAAAATAAAACATAGATAAAACGACAGATGAGAAGACCTGTTTCTCTCCACCCACTTGCATCTGCATTTCTGGCTTCGGTGGTGTATGTATCTTGAGTTTGTGCTTCCAAAACACATTGTGAAATCTGGCAAGAATCACAACTTGTATTGTATTTCTTTTGGAATCATCCCAAGGAGGAACAAGCTTGTCCTGTTTCTGATTCCCACTCATTTTTAAGGGAAATATGGCCCAGCATCTCTCTCTCTCTCTCTCTACACATAATCCCAAGGCAATATTCCGGGTCTGTTACACTAAATTTCCAGGTTTAGCCAATCCCATCTAGAGCACCAATGTATAACAAAAAAAAGTGTCGGCATGAATGGCATCCATCCACAATGTTTCAGATAAGCTAAACAATAGTAAAACTTTTCTTATCCTTCCAGCCCATAAAAGTACACGTCAGTAAAGGTGAAAAGGACACTCACCTCTAGTAGTCTAGTAGTCCCTACTCACTCTGGAGAAAAGTCAATCAACTATAGCAGCAGACTCTTCTCCAACCAGTTGCTCTCTCCATCTCACCACATACTTTTCTGCACAATGCACAGAATGAATGAATGAAGAAAATGCAGTGACCACTATTAAACAAGATTGAGAGAGGATGCATTACAGCTCACTAGTCACAACCCATACTCTCACACTTACCAAGAATCGATCAATTTTCGCCTGAAACTAATAATCTGCAGCAAAACGGGCAAAAGATTCATATCGCTGTAACACACCCCATTCTAATTTCTTTCCGCTTTGAAGGCAACAATAGTACTCCGCTAACTGTATGATCCCCAAAATGATGATAAGACCGACGAATTATTTGAGAGATCCAATCCTCTTTCTTTGAAAGATAGGTAGCTGTAATGTAATCATGACAGTTGAAATATGGAATTGAACTTGACAGCAACAGATACGATTAAATTATGTATGCACATAATTGGAAATTTTAACCTGGTTTTCAGAAAAGATTGATGGATAAGAATAGTACTGCAATCATTGATCCAAGAAATTAAATCCCAGAATAATACAGAAAGTTTGTGCAAACTTGAATATTTTATAAGGAATCATCTTTAGGGTTTTCATCGCCGCTGTCGCTGCGCTGGGACTGGGGCTGACTCTGGTGGTGTTGATGCTCCAAATTCATGCCCAAGTCAATCCTACTGTGGCCACTATTGTATGCATTGATTGAAGCCAGCATTCCCATGTTTGTTTCCGTAACGCCTAAGCCCGGCTGTGGCTGTGGCTGCTGCAGCACCATTGATCCCGCTGCTAGCTGAACGGGGTTGAAACGCCCTGCTCCAGGGAACTCGAACCCGCCAATTCTTTGTATAGAAGATGCCTTGTACGGCCACTCTTGCTGTCCTACTGGCGCCGTGGCGGCGCCGCCTCCGGTAACCGGAAGCATCCAGAAGGCGTTCCCAACGTTTGCAGCGGCAGGGGCCACAGCCCACATAGCGGGAGCCGGTATAAAATTCGAGGGCTGAGAAGATCCGGATTTAGGGTCTGATCCCGATTCTTGGTCGTGAGTTGGCTTAGGCGAGGTTGCACCGCTTGTATCCTCTCTGAAGCGTTTCTTGATGAAATTCTCATCGGGGTCTTGGGCGCCGAAAGAGGAATTGGAGGTGAGCTGATGGTGGTGGAAGCCCAGCATGCCGCCGGGGAAGAGAGGGGCGGATTTGGAGGGTGGAGCGGAGATGGTGGTGCCGCTCCTGCGCAAGGAGACGTTGAGGGTGGAGAAGTTGGCTGGAATAGTGCCTGTGCCGGTGGCGGCTAGGATGGCGGGTTCGGATTGGTGTAGCAACCACTCAATGGTTTCGCCGTCGGACTTGTGGCCCAATTCTCTTGTAAGCTGAAAGACGCGGGCGGCGCATAAGGCGGGCATGCGTATGCGCCGCCCTCGGCCGTCCACCTTGGTGTGGCGATCTTTGGAGGGTTTCTTTGCCGTCGCCACTTTGTTATTATTAAGGTTATGGTTGTGGTGGTTGTTGCTGGCGTCATCGTTGTTGTTGGCGTTGGCGTTAGAGGAGGATGGAGAGGGAGAGGAAGAAGAGGAGTGGGCTAGGGTTCTGGAGATGGAGATGGAGCCCATGAAGGGGCCGTGCAGGGAAGGTGGGGCTGGGGCTGGGGCTGAACCGGTTTCGGGTTGACTTTGGTGGTGAAGGCGGTGGCGTGGGGAGGCGAGTTGCAGGGAGGAGGCTGCAGCGGCGGCGGATGCTTCATGGTGATCTGAGTTGCCAGTGCCATTAGTACTAGTATTAGTAATAGTATTTCCTCCTCCGGGATTCTTGGTATGTGCGGACTCCATAAATTCCATGATAAGTGGATGAAGGATGAGGTGGAGTTTGTTTGTGGTTAGTTAATTAGTTGTTGGGGAGGGAAGTTGAAGTTGAAGAGAGTCTTCTTCTTCTTCTTCTTATTGGGCAGTAGAAGAAGTAGTAGCAGCAGGCAGCAAACATTGTCCCAACCAATTCGCCAAGATTGCAGAGAGCGGAGAAGAAAAGTATTATGTATGTATGATGTTGATCTCTTTTCTTTTCTTTTGGAAAGAAAAAAAAAAAGAAAAGAAAAGGAGCCAAGCAAGGAAGAAGTTAGGACCTTGTGTTGTGCTGTACTGTGGTGTGTGAGTATTTTGAGCAAGTGGGAATAGGTGGCTTCTCTCTCTCTCTCTATATATCTCCTTCTCTTTGCCGTTGACTGGTGTGAGTCTGAGTCTGAGTCTGAGTGAGGCTGTGGTGGTACTAGTGCTGATACTAGTATCAATCAATCAATCAAAATTCTAAACACAAGAATCAAATCAAATCAAATCGGTGAGATGGGGTGGCAGCTGATGGAGTCTTGCTTGCTCGCTCGCTGGCTGAAGACAAATAATAGTACGACTATAATAATAATATAAGAGAGGAAGAAGGCAGGTCCTAAGTTGTTCCGGAATTAAATTAAAGAAACGTATTTTTGTTGGCAATCATTGACCATCCATCTCATGAATTACTCCAATATCATCTACCCATCTCCTCCGAGCCACTTTCAAAGTGATTCATGACTCTATTATGAGTCAGTCTTACTCTGCATAAATGATGATTGAAGTAACAGTAACTTGATGAAGAAAAAGATCAAGTTAGAGAGACACAGAGGAGAGGAGGTGGTGTGCGCATAGGTATCTAAGAGAGAAAATTTGAACCAAGAAAACAGGAATGGAAAATGTGGTGGGTTCTTCCAATTCGCTCGCTAAATTAAATGTCGGCTGTTTGTATTGGGGTATTGATTCACCGCTCTCAAATAATAATGGAGTGAGTGAATCAACTGCAACTGCCTGCTGGTTATGGTTATGCGAATGCGTGCGAGCAACAGGACAAGACAAGCAAGCATACATACAATACAATACACTACTCTACTGTATTAGCTCCAGTGTATGTGTGTAATAAACTTAAAACAAATAACCTGCAAGTTATGATATGATGTGAGAATCCCCCCTCATTCACACACACACACACACACTTGCATCTTTTATTACTATTATTATTTGTTTCCAAGTGACAATGAGATGTCACTTTCAAGTCTCACCAGTCCATGTATGTAATAAGGAGTATTATATTCAAGCAGCATGCCTCACGTTCCCACACACCAACCTTTCCCTCCTACCTTTCCTATATATATATATATATTTATATACTAACACGTTTGTATGCATATGTATCAGTCTTGCTTTAAGCCCCCTCACCTACCCCATCACAGCCACGTAATAATATTCATTGCAGTAACCTCAGATTCTTGGTTAACTCGGTAAAAAATAAAAATACTATCTTTAAACAAAAATAAAAATAAAAATTGCCTTTTTTTTTTTTTTTTAGTATTTATTATTGCAAAGGGAAAGATTAGAGTCTTTACCATTACCAGACAGACAGGCAGGCATTAATATACATACAAGAAATAGAAAGGAATGATCAAACTACAGAGCTGGTACTGTCTCGAGGGTTTTTGCAAGCAAAACAATTTGGAGTTTTCACATTTTGCTCGAATTACATTTCATGTCATTCAGCAAGTCCACGACGACGACCGCTTCATAACGGGCTTCATCTGCTTGTCCTCCTCCAGAGAGATCATCCCCAAATGCGAGGGATCCTCCAACATCATCTTCGCCACCAGATACCCCGCGATGGACCAAGTCTGGTATTTTCTAGCTTGCTTCCCTATGTATCTTCCCAGCTTCCCGTCGTAATATTCAGGCCACCCATCCTTCAGCAATCGGCTCTCTGCAAGATCGATGGCCCGTCTTGCAATTTGCGGGCGCCCCGTCTTGATGCACGCAGCTGTAAGCAACCATAGAAGGACTGGAACCACATGCAAAACAATGTCATGTCACAACATACAAGAACATCACAGAGTATAAAAGGCAATGAAAAGAACCTGGCCAAGATCCTCCATTGTGATAACTCCATCTCGTATTCTTCGGATCACAGCCTGTCACGATTCGCCACTCGTGACTTTCAATAGCAGGATAAGCTATCTTCAGAGGCATTTCCCCGACCAGCTCCTCCCACCTTTCTTCAATAAGGTCCATAATAGCAGAAGCTTGCTCTGGAGTGGCAAGAGAACACAATATTGCAACACAGTTACCCAAGGCAAACCATCTAAAGTCCATCCTTGCCGGACTAACATTTCCAATAAAATAGCCACCGCGCATGGGCATGAAATCAAACACCCACTCAGGGATTGAGTCAGGAATAACATTAAACTTATTAACAGCCGTATGAGAGTATTCTTCAGTTTTGTAGCGATATATGTCGTTCAATTGTTGAAAATCAAGCCAAAAGTAGCTTCTCATGTGATAACTCAAGGCATGCAAACGCTTCACAATCCTCTCGATGAATTCTTTGCCTTCTGCATCATGCTTTAACATTGCCAGTGCACATCTCAATGCCATAAAGAAGAGTGCTTGAATCTCGATTGGGTACCCATATATTCCCTGTCAAATAAAAGTAGTTTTCAAGATTTGAATTTTTGTATTGACGAATGGAACAAGAGCATTGTGCTTGAGGAGAGCTTGAAGGTCACTTACCATTCTTCGATCAATCATTGAACAACCATCAGCACAGAGCAATGTCGGAAATGTGTCAAAACCCTCCGACAGACACAAGGCCAGTATAAGTCTCATTCCCTTTTGGCAGTCTGGTGTTTCTGCCAGAGACAAGTCTCCAGTAGACTTTGTGTATGCTCGGAGCAGAATTATCCACCAGAAGCCAGAATCAACCGGAGCTACCCTTCCAATTGCAGTCTCACCAAAATCTGCCACTATGGTATCTGTCTTGCGAACTGGATCATGAAGAACTTTGAAACTAGCTGGCATAACACCCTCCCCGAGTTTGAATCTATCAATTCTTTTTTCCCATCCTTGAAGATGAAGTGTCTTCAGTAAGAAGTTTTTAACTATTTCTGGCTCACCATTCATTAAGAAAGCCAGTGCACTTGGCACAAAATCACGAACAAAAACCTGCAATGATTGTAAGCTATTTACACTCTGAAAAGCCCACTCTTTAGAAGCAATAGGTTATACCGTGACCCATTCTTCTGATAGGTTTTGGTGCTAAAGTTCAAATTTTGACCTAATCATAAAACTACTGCAATGTAAACTAAAGTCAACCATCAATCGGTAGCAAAATTTGAATTGAATGCTTGATTGCAGAAAGCAGATTTAATGGCAGAAAGACCATCTGTTTACCTGATCATAATTTAAGACCTCCTCTGATGAGTGATCAATAGCAGCAATTGTCCCGACTGGTTGGCCCCGAAAGTACACAAGGGACTGTCGGAGGGCTTCCCAAGCATCGGCAACAATTGGATGTGGCTCAAAAGAATTCCGAGCAGAAGACACAGGGGTGTTCAAAGCAGACCTCCCAGGAGAATACGTGAACTCATTATTATCCAAAACTCTAGACAAGCCAACTGACAATTCACTAAGAGATCTCTCATCAAATGATCTCTGCCTCTCTATGTTGATTCTGGGCTTCTCAAGTAGCTTTGTGAGATCAAAGTCGTCCATTTCAGAAATAGAGCAGTGGGAACTCACATTTTTAAGTCCTGTCTCTTTTGTACCGTCCATTCCTCCTTTCACACAATCAGACATAACCTTAACACCGTCCATAATACTCTGCTCCTGTGTTCAACTGCACAACCAAAATTCATCAGACACAAATGCACGCCACAGGTACTCTTGCATATGTTCTTACTCCTAAAAATCCCAATCAGCACAGAATATACATAGTCTTAATCTGTGTAATGCAAAAAGAAAGAAAATAGTTGAAAGAAAGGGAAACTTTGCACAAAAATCAAGTTCCAAAAACCAAAATAGGAAATGTAAATCACAAATAGCACACCACAGAAGGTTACAGAAATCTTTGCTTGTTGGCAACCAAGTCACATTCTCGTCCACTTTTTAAGACCGTTATACATCAAACAAGATTTATGGCAAGGTCGATAATTTTGACGGCAGTTAAAACGTGATAAATGGAAATAGAAGGAGAGGGAGCATAAAGGTGGATTCACACTGCTACTGGGTCAATAAATACGATTGGTCCTGTTAAATATCTCAGCTCGGTCGACCTCAAAAAAGTGGAATATAAAAGCTAAGCGTATTCAGGAGACTGTATCTGAGAAAACCTAAAATCTCACCTACTCCACAGAAAATAGAAAATTGACGAAAGAATATCTATCTTTTCGAAAAGGGAAAATTAAAAGACAAGAATCAAGTACTCAGGAGGTGAAAGATCGCTTCTTTAGACCCCACCACCATCCCCCGATAGAAGGCTGAAAAATTAGAGAATGTTTGCAAGCTGAAATAACAAGAAAGAACCCACATTATTAGAATGCAAAAGCCACAACGGGGTGGGTTTTGCAAGATCCCTTAACCGTAGCCCAAGAGAGGCGGATACAGACAGACACATAAGTTTCAAATGATGCTGATGGGTGCAGTGTAAATGTAAGAGCCATACAAATAATCAGTATTCAAAAAGAGTCAACACACGCAGAAAGCTTCGATCAGCCAAAGGCAGAGCAGATCTATAGTTTAAAGATAAATCCAGATACAGAGAGAGAGAGAGAGAGAGCTAGAAAGAACAGACCTTGAAGATATATACCCGCAGGGAGAAGATAAGGAATTAATATTCCGGCGAAAGATTGCCGGACGGAAAAACAACAGAGAAGCGCCTGCGCCGGAAAATTGGAGAAAGAAGGAAAGAGAATCATGTTGGCGGAGCACAAATTTATAGAGAGAGAGCAAGGAAGGGAAGGACCCAACCAACTGGACGGAGGGACAGTCAAAAAGAGGAAACGATGCGTGAGAGAGAAAAGATGAAATAAATAAATACATAAATAAATAAAGAAAGCGGCCGAAAAAATATCCAAATAAAAAAGTCAGTCGTCCTCTTCTTTGTCTTGTTTGTTCCAAAGTGGTCTTTCCTCGCCCACCAACCAAACCATGTTCCTTTTAATCTCCCACCATCAATGACCCAAACCCAGACCCAAGGAATACTACATGAACTGTACTCAACCCAATCCTAATCTATTGACTCAAGAATTTGACAATCAAATTCAAAGGTAGGGTGCCTGCCACCTCAGCAGAGCAGACGATGATAATAATGTAATGGCTCTCCTTGAGACGAAATTCTTAATATAAGAATGGTGTACCTGCGGGCGATATCTATTAATAATGCATATTCTTATCTCCGGCGATTAATTGGAGAAAAAAATATATATATAGAGTAAAGAGGGTTGCATATTTGAGGTGGGGTGGGTGAGTGGGTGTTTCCAAGTAATCTGACGAAATCTTATTTGCTGCAAATTGGCGACTGTCGTGCAAAAGCGTGTCCGGTAGGGTAAAAGAAAAGGGGAGCAATTGGGTGAACATGTGGTGAGTAAATTATTTAAATCCCAGGGCACGTTGGCACGACACTGCTTCTGTAACGCAACAAACATTGACCCAACTGCACTGCAGCCAGAGCAAGCAAGTAGGTAGTTACGGCAAAACTGAACACCACCTTCGCATTAATTAAAACTGTTAAAAGAAAATGATTAATAAGAAGAAACAAACGAACAAACTGTATCCTTCTTCTTCTTCTTCTTCTTGGTAGGATTGTTCCCTCCCAATTAAGTTAAGCGTAACAACTAACAACCTCTCAACCGAAGAGAAGTCAAACCATAATTCCCAGTATTCGACACGACAGGCATGCATCATCAGCTACGTACAGGCAGGGAGGGAGGGTACCTGCATCCATCACTGCCCATATTCATATATATGCTTGCTTTGTGTTCAATTAAATGTTCATATTACTATTATTAATTAAATGATCTTAATTGGTCAACATACATTTGTGTAATACTAATGTCGAGAGAGAGAGAGAGAGCCCAAATGAGTAAGTACTGTTGATGGCGTGCCCTGCTAGCGCTGTGTCTATACGGGGTGGGGTGCACCTGCATCAGTCATCAATCAATTGCAGAAGATCCACAGCCTAAGTTTCATTTGTCTATTCCTGGCTGTATATACGTATATGTATATGTATACGGTGATGATGGCGATGATGTATCCATCGCGATGGAAGTGGAACACGAGTTTGTTGTGTGTTTTTTTGTATATGAGACGAGATGAGATGAGAGGTTTAGGTAAGAATTGAATTGATGTTTCTTTGGCCGATTCATGTCTGTATTCAACAAATTAATTAAGGCTGCCTGACAACCCAGCGGTGCAACCTATGTATGTATGTATGTATGTATGTATTATTAACTCTCTCTCTCTCTCTCTCTGGGGCCACTTACGCTGCAAAATAAATAAATAAACAAATAAATAGTGTATGTATGCCTATGCCTATGAACGCTGCAGGGGAGTGAGTGGTCGTGGGACTGGCGGATTCATCTAAACAAATACTAATTATTATTATTGACCTCCAAATTGGCTAGCTTAGCTACTATCTCAACTCATGCTGCATCAATCATATGGAGTTTAATTAATTATAGATCCATGTAAATAAATTTAATGTATATGGTTAGACTTAACCATCCAACTAACCCACCAACCCATACCACTCACACTCACCTAAGGGTTTGGTAGCCTGGCTGGCTGGAATTTGCTATCATCTACGGTATATTACAATTTACAATACAACATTGATGATGGATGGATGGATAGTTAAAAGTGGATCTGTGAAAAGTGCTTTCGACTAAAACAAATGTTATTTATAAATTTCTGAATTTTAAAATTGATCGTCATTACGCACGGCTGGCTCGTATGGTAGATATTCTATTAATTATATATATATATATATATTTGTGTGTGTAATGTGTGATCGTCATGATTCACGAGTTGTCTGTCTGTGTGTGTATCTATTTATATTTATAATGTCACACGGAGAGACAGCGACTTTATTTATTCTTTGTTATTAGGAATAATTTGCACCAGTTTTGATTTGATTAAATTAGGTGGATGATAGTGAAGGAGAGGGCGCCTGAAATATCATAAATCAATCCTTGTAAAATCTAAATGTAATGCAAGATTGGATTGGATTGGATTGTATAGATTTCATTCTCATTAGGAAGGGAGCATTCCAATTCCAAGAGAACCCAAATAATTAATGAGCTCAGAGTAAACACTAACTGTAACTGTCTGTAAGAATATGACATATGGAGATTGGAGGGAGAGAAAAGCAGGTTAGTCTGTTGGAATACGTTTTCATTGATCTTATCCAGAAGAAGCAAGGCGAGGTGGGCGTATGACCACACAAAGAAAAAAGGAGACAGCAATGGAAGGCCCATCCATCCATCCATCCATCCAACTCTATTTCACTAAAATAGTACTACTAGTATCGAGTAAAGGTCATTAAAATCAGAGACTCTATACAAGAATACGACACCAGAGAGGGAATATTGTAGTAATGAAGGTGGCCATTGCATAGCCTATAAACAAACATACAAAACTTACCAAATCAAGATTCTTTCTTCTGTTCTGTTCTTCAAAATTCAATTATGATGATCAGGCTGTGAATATGGGAGACATAAATACTTGGTCGTATAACCAACAGGAATAATAATTCCTTCCCTCCCTCGGCTCCATCACATCGACATCCTCACTATCATGTATGTAGAGTTTACTACAGTCAATTAATAACGTTTGCAACTCTAGATTCTTTGCCGGCAGCACCCAAAATTGCTCTCTCAACTCAACAATATCATCATATCATATCATATCCAAATGCTGGCAAACGCCTCTTCCTGAGCCCTTTTCTTGCTTAGTTCTATACTCCACCCACCAGCTCTCCCTGCCTTCTCTGCTCTCATTTTCATAGTTTCTTCATCTTCATATTCATGCCCTAACATGTCTGGCCCGGACCCAAGAGGAATTGGCTGAGGACCTACCCCAACTGGACGTGGCTGAGTAATTCCAGCCCCTGCAATTGCCGGTGCATACTGCCCCTGAGCAACACTGCTAGTACCCGCTTGGGAGCTTGAGGACTGCATTCCAGAAGAAAATATGCAAGGAAGCTCAATAAGATGAAATCCACTGAGTGCGAGACCAAACAGAATATATACACTCATATCATTGTAGCTCAAAGTCAAAACATGCCATCTGCATCAATGAGCTTAATCGACTTTCACAATTTCTTTCTCGTCAGGTAAAGTGAACATATACATTATATTTTAATGCTCACAAATTCACAAACAGGTTTCAGACATCCAAATCACTGCACTATCCGTTTATGGAAGACATGATTCTTTCTTTACTGTTAAAAATTTTTATTTGAATTTTTCAATGTTGGAACTAAGAGTGTCAGCAACAATGTGCCTTTGTATTGTTATATTTGTTAGATACAGAGAAACAGTTCTCTCTCTCTCTCTCTCTCTCTCTCCCCTACAGGTTGCATATGAGTCGGTTCATGCCATAACTATCTAGTCTTGTACCATTAAAAGGTCCTTACAACCGTCCAAAGTAAGGATATTTCAGTTCAAGGGCATAAACCGCTGATTTTTCATGTTTTGTTATAAAACAACAGGTAGTGTAACTTCCATCAGACTTGTAAAGCAACACATTAGCTGATAACCAATGTTCAGTAGTTCACAAGACAGAGCTAGAGAGACGTGCACTCAATAAAGATAAGGAGAATGGAGGCATGTAAAACTACTATAAATTCAATAAAGAAAGATAACAAGTACAATATAGAATTTCTTAAAACGAAATGATCAACTTACAGGATCAACACCCGTCTGAGGAAGTTGTCCTTTGCTTGCTGCCAAAGCAGCTGCATATTCCTCAGCCTATTTGACCAAGAAACACCATGGATGTGATGGAAACATGAAATACCAGGTCAGGTATGATAATATTTAGCACAGAACGACAGTTGTGTTCGGTTCTTTATGAGAGGAAATAGCAAACCTTGCGAGCTTGAGCAATCATGATTTGTTCAGCATTCTCTTTCTGGTACTGAGCAATTCTTGCTTCAATAGCAAGGACATCTATTCCTTCAACTAAATTCACGGCTGTATGCAAACACCAAATATTTATCTAAAGCCAATATACGAAAATGCATACCACATAAGAAAGTACTTACTCATGTCCTCGACTTCTTCCAAGTAGTCATTGTATTCCCTCAAGGATGGGAAATCCTCCTCTCTTTTATTAAATCTGTAAATTCAAGAAGCTAGGCGTAATAGCCTTCATCCAATATAAAGGCGTGAGAAGGACAAGAACTGAGACATATGACTGGGGTGTGGGCAAGGAAGTTCCAAATATTATTCCCCCAACATATTATTATTAAAAATTTTAAGGAAAAAGAATACTTTAACTGGAGCTTACATGCTTCTTATGAAGGTTGCTCATTAGATTCTTGGGAAATTCATCAATATAATTTCTCAAACTTTGATGCGTATGCTCCACAAAATTGATTTCTAAGCTTTCATTAACACATCTTAGATCAGAAACTCTAAAAAGAAATTGACACCCAAACTCTCAAAGTGTACACATTCTCATCACAAATCATCAGATAGCTTTTCCCTAAGTCAAATTAACCCCAATTTGTTTGCAGGAAATCAAAATATATAACCAAACTAAAGAAAGAGAGAAGTATAGAAAAAAAATAATGAAGACCAATTAAAGGGCGAAAGCTAGCATTCAGTTGATCTATTAAATTAGGCAACCCAATTAATAGAGAAGGAAATGAAGTTTCAACATTTTCAAGAGAAGCCAACATATGCAGGAACTTGAAGGTCATAGACCGTGCGTACATGTTTGCAATTCGCTTCCGAATGGCCATTTCTTTGGCAAAAGAATTAGTTCCAGAGGCCAACACCATCTTTATTGCACCAAGGGAAATGCTGTCGTCTTCCCGAGGGAAACTAGGCTACCACATTAGGACGGCAGTAGAGATTTATTTAAATTTTTTCTTCCTGCCAAAAAAAAAAAAGGAAGAGGAAAACCTTAATAAGGATGTTATATTTATAAATGCATGACTGTTAGAGCGATTAACGAGCCGAACCGAATAGAATTTTAGGTATTTGTGTTCGTTTGTTAAGCTTAACGAACAAGGCAGCTCGTTCATCTTATTCGAGCTCGGCTTGTTAAAAAATTTATCTATTTGAGCTCGTGTTCATATTCAACTCGATTAAACTCGTTCGAGCTTGCTTGTCTGAATTTTTTCTTTATTAAAACAAGCAAAAATTATTATTAAAATCAAAATAAAAAATCACACCATCTCATAACAAAATAAATTACAAATCACCTTTAAGATCGCATACAACCTCCAAAAATCACATGCAAAATAGCATAATTATACCGCCAAACTACAGACTACAAACATCTTAAACAATCAACAACTTCTCCCAATAAAATTGAACAAATAAAACCTTCACTAACGCAACATAAATCTTCAAAACATAATATAAATCATCAAATAAACCTTCACCAACTCAAATTTGATCCAACATAAAATAAAAACCCTTCATCCAACATAAAGTTAAAGAGAATTACTAATTGTCAATGTATGAAAAGAAAATGAAAATATAATCTATTCAAAACAAGAAGTCAAGACACACTATCCCACCAAGAATGCATCAAAGGATCACATTTTTAATGCCGAAAATCTGCAAATATTAAAAGTATATACATATGGTATCTGTATACCAAAATATTAATTAAATACAACTAGAGATCACAAGAAGAAAGTAAGTACCCAGAATAAGCTACCAAACCAATAATTTCATCAAAGGATTACACCTTTAGTCTTGAAAATCTGTAAATATAAATAGTATATACATATATTAGTATCTGTATATCTAAATATATATAAATACAACTATAGCTCAAGAGAAGAATGTAAATACTAAAAATAAACTACCAAACCATCATAGAAGGGTTATGCCCTCAGCCTTAAAAATCTGCAAAAATAATGATTTCAAATATCAATATATGTAAAATAAAAGTAAGTGGCTAAACTAGATACAACTATGAAATACAAATCTTAAAATTTTGATTCAATCTCACAATTAACAAATAAGATTCCCATCAAACTAATCAAATGATAACCATTGTAGGAACCGTAGATGAACCTTGTTGGATTGGTGTCGAGACATGGCTACAATTACAAAGTAAATAATATTAGACAAACAATATAATTTCTTTGTTTTCATTCATATTTTATTAACATAGAAATTTGAACAAAAATCTACAACATAGACGGACGACCATTATGCCATTTTCTGAACAAAATATAAATATATTTGCACCAACCATGGATACGCTACCCCGACCACGATTTTGGGTTTTAATCGCCAAAGAACTCGCCAATCGCATTGAGATCCCGTTGGGGAAGTAAAAAACTACATCCTACGAGTGCTTTAAGAGAATGTAAATCACTTATTGGAGGTGTTAACCTCCATAAATTTAACAACATGGAACACTATAAGACTGAAGCCTAACGAGTCGAGAACTTTCAATACAAAAATCTCAACGCTTTAAATGAAAATAAGGAAAACATACCGGAAAATTCGACGCCCGGTCGGGTGTTGGACGCCGCGCGGTTGAGGAAGAGGGCGGCGTCGGAGTCGGGGTGAGGCCGTGAGGGAGAGAAGCGGCTCGAGTAAATTAGGTTTCAAATTTGGCTGTGTTTGTTCGTGCGATTTTCACATTATTTTACTGTGCGTTCACCATTCGAAAACCAAACCTACAAATCCTACCCCACCACTACCGCAGAGGAAGAATCAGAAGGGGAAAAAAACAAAGAGAAGTAAAGAAAACGAACTCACCGATGTTCCAGCGGGCGGCGGAGGCACAACGTAGAAGAAGAAAGAGGGAAGGAGAAGGACAGAAGAGGATGCGAAGAAGAAAGAAAGAAAGGGAAAGCCCAATTCACTAATTAAATGGGCCGATGCTGAATCAAGTTGGGCTGACTGTAACATTTCAATACTTTTGAATAATAATAATAATATTAGTAATGACAAGGAATGATTGAATTTTGAAAGCATATATATTATTGGAAGAATGATGTACGTGTGAATGTTGAATGGACACAATTACTTATATTAAATGAGTGGGGATGACAAGACAAGGTAGCATTCTAAATTGAATGTTGGATCTGAAATAAAATCATCTTGTTTAGAGAATGAATGATACATAATACTAATAATACTTTCTTGTATGAATGAAAGAATCATAATTAGGAAGGTGGGTGAGTGTCAACTTCGGACAGGCAGGCCAAATTGTTGCTCAATTAGGGTAAGTCGTTTACAAGCTTTCCACCCCATTAATTAGTTACTTCATCCTATTTCTATCTTAGACCCAACCTACCATCATTATATATGATTATCACTGGGAATTGGATTCCTCTTCTCTTCTCGAACTAAAATCTCAAAAGAGACTCTCAGATCCACTTGATTTCATTATCTCCGCATTGATATTTTATTTTATTTTTTTAAAAAAGAGTGAGTAGTGATGGTGTCAAATCTAATCTAATCTAGATGTGTGTTCCACTAGTAATTCGGGTTGACTCGCAGTCAACTGCTGCGCCCCACACTCTGAATTCCCAGTAACAATTTATTTATTGGTGTCTGCCACAGTTAAATCCCACAACCTAATTAAACAAAATATTCAGGCCACTAAAGAAAACTGTATGACGTAAGAATGTTGGAAAATATCTCCAATTATATAATAGAGTTAAATAAATGATATATGTTGGTAATGTGCGCAAAATTAATTATTAAAGTCGATTTGCAGCACGTACGTACGGCTTTACCTTTGTCCAATTAGTGATCGATGCCTAGCCTGATGCATCATCGATCAGTATACTTAATTTCAAAACGCATATATAAATGTAAACAAACAAGCTTGGCGACAAAAATAACCAAACATCACTTGTCCTAAATTTGTATTATTATCTTTTTCCAGCTAACCCATCCCAATAATTAATATATAATCAATCAAAATCACCAATTGGCTTTTCTTCTTTTTGTGCTCTTTGCTTTGGTGTGTCTGCATTGCATGTGATTCCAATACTCGAATTCCCAATATAATATTCATCCTATTCGTATTTGCCATTAATTTACCTCAACCATACGTAAATTAAACATATCACATATATAGATATAGATATAGATATAGATATAGACGCATACATACAGCTCATGGTGTCTGTACTCAGATTTTCATCGTCACATACACATATAAATATATATACTTATATGCATCATGATATGTGCATGATAGGTCTCCTTATCTTCTCTCTGTCCGTCTTTTGTCTTTTGTCTAATCATTTAGCTCCTCCTCCACTCACCTTTCACATTCCATGAACAAATTAACAAATCCCCATTAATTAATGACCCTCCCTTCCTTCATACTTCGTATTCATCCTCCTCCCATCTCTTTCGGAGAAGAAATCAATAACCAAAGGTTTCTTTAACCCCCACCCCACCACCCCCCCGTTTTCTTTTTCTTCCACTTCACAGTTTGGAGGATTAATAGCTAATTAATTCTTGCTGCTTTTATGACCCTTTGTGGGATTTATTCAGTATCTCAACGAGTTTACATATTCTTCTTGAGTTCTTGTACATCCTAAAGATTCCGAAGCTGTTGGCGATTCCTGGGAGAAAAAGCTTGAGCTTTTATTTAGTGTTGGAGCTTCGTTCTAATCGATAACAGACCGGAACTTTTTTCTGCTCAGGTAATTGGGTTTGTTTTTTCTGCTTTTTTTATAACTAATTTAGGAGAAGCTATGAGCATGTAATCTGAGTGTCTCTGCATATATGCTGCTTACTTGCAATCTCAGACTCTCCAATTAGTTCAACAACCATGATATGATTAATCCAGATTGATAGCTATTTTCGCCTGTTCTTTAGTCCAGTTGAGTTGGAGTTGCTTTGAAGGGAGACATATTAGAGGGTTGCTTCGTTACGTAGTAATAATCCCCCAACTAAACATAAGCATCATACTCATACAGTTGGATTATCCCTGTCTTGCTGGAAGACCAGAAATCGAGAAATTAATATAATCATGTTTACAATTAATAGGAAGACATTCTGCTGTTACAATCATTTCTATATTAGTTAGCTCTGAGCTGGTTTTGTTTGTGCAATACTTGCAGATTAGAAAGTAGAATAGAATAACCCAATTTACGTATTTATTGCGGTGCAGTGGTTTTGTCTGCTACTGTAAGCACAACTGTAGGCTGTAGCTCAGCCAGGAATGGACGGACACCCATGACAATAATGGAGATCCTCAGTGGATATGTGTCTCCCTGTGAATAGACTCCTATGCCCCTACAATCTTCCCAAATGGCCAGACCGTCCGATTCATCTTCCCACCTAACTCTAATCATTTTCTTGATTTTCCTCCCCGGTTTTCAATTGTCGATCGGCCTGAAGCCGGAGACGACGGCTTTGCTGGAATTCAAGAAACAGCTCATCGATCCATTGAACTACTTGGAATCATGGAGAGATTCCGAATCTCCGTGCGGATTCTACGGAGTCACTTGCGATCCTGGGTCGGGTTTGGTGACTGAAATTTCACTGGACGGTAAATCCCTGTCGGGAGGGATATCGTCGTCACTTTCCCAGCTGCATAATCTCACTTCTTTGGTGATGCCTTCAAACAATCTGTCAGGGATTCTTCCAAGTGATTTGAGAAAATGCACAAACCTCAAAGTACTCAATTTTTCCGATAACTATTTGAATGGCAGCATTCCTGACATGTCCAACCTCTCAAACCTGGAGGTTCTCGACTTATCCGATAACAACCTTTCTGGAGAATTCCCGGGCTGGGTAGGAAATCTGACTCGCCTGGTTTATTTAGGTCTGGGTGATAACAATTTCGACAAGGGTGGAATCCCTGAATCCCTTGCTAATTTGAAGAACTTGTACTGGCTTTACTTGGCTAATTCAAACTTGAAGGGTGAGATCCCTGAATCAATCTCGGAATTGAAGGAATTGGGAACACTGGACATGTGCTTGAATAAACTATCAGGGGATTTCCCCAAGTGGATCATCAAGTTGAAGAAGTTGTTCAAGATTGAGCTTTATGGCAACAATTTGGCAGGTGAAATCCCACCGGGACTCGCAGATTTGACCCTTCTTCAGGAGTTTGATATATCAGGAAACCAAATGCACGGAACAATCCCCAACGGGATTGGCGATTTGAAGCAACTGACTGTATTTCAATTATACAAAAACAACTTCTCTGGAGAAATTCCAGCTGGTTTTGGCAGCATGGAGCATCTCATTGCCCTTTCTGTGTACGGAAACAGGTTTACAGGAGAGATTCCACAGAATCTCGGCCGCTTCTCCCCGCTGAGCAGCATCGACATTTCAGAAAACAAATTCTCCGGACCATTTCCCAAGTACTTGTGCCAGAATAGGAATCTGATTAATTTGCTTGCTTTGGATAATAATTTTTCAGGCGGTTTTCCAGAGACTTACGCCGAATGCCGTTCTCTCCAAAGATTGAGGGTTAGCAAGAATCACCTTAATGGAGTGATTCCTGATGGAGTTTGGGCACTTCCTGATGTGCAGGTGATGGATTTCAGTGATAATGAATTCACTGGAGGGGTATCACCGGGGCTTGGGGAATCCCTGCGCCTGAATGAGCTAACGTTGTCCAACAACAAGTTTTCAGGAGAGCTGCCTAAAGAGATTGGCAAACTTGCACAGATGCAAAAAATTTACTTGGACAATAATAGTTTCTCCGGGAGAATCCCATCAGAGATTGGGGCTTTGAAGCAGATAACATCTCTGCATTTGGAAGGAAATGCTTTTGTTGGATCGATACCTTCGGAATTGGCAGACTGCAAGAATCTGGTGGATTTGAATCTTGCTTCGAATTCTCTCAGTGGTGGTATTCCTGCTCGTTTCTCTGAAATGACCTCGCTGAACTCATTGAATCTTTCAAGAAACCATCTCACGGGATCAATTCCAGGAAACTACGACAAGCTGAGGCTGTCTTTGGTTGATCTGTCGAATAACTTCCTGTCAGGGAGAGTGCCACCATATTTTCTCAGAGTGGCTGGCCATGAGGCATTGGTTGGAAACAACGGTCTCTGCATCGACGACAATGGCAGCAGAAGACAGCTCATAAACTCAGGATTGAGAATCTGTGATGCCAAGAGTGATGGCAAGAGTTTCATGAAAGGGAAAGTAGCTCTGTTCTCTGTTATAATGGTGGCTCTGGTGGTCGTTTTAGGCGGTTTATTGTTCGTTAGTTACAGGAGCTTCAAGCAAACTCATGAAGTAACACAGAATCCGGGAGGTGGAAAGGGCTTAGATGCAAACTGGAAGCTCGAGAGCTTCCAGAAGGTGGAGTTTGATGCTGAGGAAATATGTGATCTACCGGAGGATAATTTGATCGGTAGTGGAAGCACCGGGAAAGTTTATCGCCTGGATTTGAAGAAAGGATGTGGAACAGTCGCGGTGAAGCAGCTGTGGAAGGGAAACACGGTGAAGCTCATGGCAGCAGAAATGGACATCCTGGGAAAAATCAGGCACAGGAACATAGTAAAGCTGTATGCCTGTCTGATCAAAGAAGGTTCAAACTTTCTGATACTTGAATACATGGCGAATGGCAATCTTTACCAGGCGCTGCATCGAGAAATTAAAGTTGGAAAGCCAGAGCTGGATTGGTACCAAAGGCATAAAATTGCGCTTGGGGCAGCAAAAGGGATCGCATATTTACACCACGACTGCAGCCCGCCAATTATCCACAGAGACATCAAGTCGACCAACATATTGCTTGATGAGGATTACGAAGCAAAGATTGCTGATTTTGGCGTGGCAAGAGTAGCTGATCTGGTCTCTCCTGGAGGATCAGATATGAGCTCTTTTTCATTCGCTGGCACTCATGGCTACATTGCACCTGGTAAGTTAATCCTCAAGAAACTCAGTTCGTGTTCATTAGCTACATTTCGTGACACTCATAGACTAGCGTGCGCAGAAATGGCCTACTCCCTCAAGCTTACTGAGAAAAGCGACGTGTACAGCTTTGGTGTGGTGCTGCTGGAACTGGTGACAGGAAGGAGGCCGATAGAGGACGGGTATGGGGAAGGGAAGGACATCGTGTACTGGGTTTCGACTCATCTGAACAGCAGGGAAAGCGTGGCGAAAGTCCTCGATCCCAAAGTAGTTCCGGAGCTAGTGGAGGAGAGCATGATAAAGGTGTTGCGGATTGCTACACTCTGTACTACTAAGCTTCCAAATTTGAGGCCGAGCATGAAAGAAGTGGTGAAAATGCTGACTGATGCAGAGGCTGAGACTGAGCACTGCTGCAATAATTCCAAGGAAGATGGAAAGCCCCCATCACCCTCAGCTATGTTAATCAATTCTTCACTTCACGACGTGTAATTTGATCAGTTATTAATCATGCAAGTCAAGACAACAATTGAAAGATGTATGTATGTATGTATGTAATGTCACTCAGTTAAGTTCAGGGGAATCTATCTTGTATTGGTAATTTGACTAATCAATCAATAGTGTGGCCTGCCCTCCCTGATTCTAGTGAAAATATCAACAAACTGATGGGTGGTTAAAATAAAACAGTGGAATTTGGAACACCAACGGCAACTTCTGTTGCAATGAGGAATGAACCCCAATTCAATTTTTTATTTATCTTACAGCTAGTTACATATATTAATGTTTTTAATTTGGTGGTTGATTAGGTTTAGTTGGTGTGCATTTTCAAATGATTTGAAACCCCTCCCTTTGCTTATCCATCAAATTTTCAGGTTGAAAGGGTGCAAAGGACCTTTTCAAATGATTTCAAACCATCTGATGGGAGCGAAGGAGGGAGTATCGATCTAAAGTCAATATCAACTTCAACCTCAACATTATTTTTGAACATTTTTAGTACGATCAGAAGTCGGTTGTAACACGTCATGGGATGGGATCAAGTGTGATACTATTATTGTATATTATTAGTTATTATTTGGAATTTTGCTGAATATTGCCAGGTCAAATTAGACCAACCTAAGGTAGCTGTTATTCACAAGTCAAAGCTCACTATGGCAAGACCGGATCTCGCTTCGCCTCGGATACATCAGATGATCGAGAGTTCGTACGTATACTGAAGGAGGGAAGGGAAATTGTCTCGTCTCCTTGGTTTCCTTCCATGGTTCAGATTCAGATTCTTACAATGTAATGCATGAAAAACAGACCAGACATGACAAAGACGGGAGAAGTAGTATGTTTCATTCCGCCTGTGGTGGTGTTTGACTACGCGCTCCCTCCCTCATTCATCAGCCCATATATTCTTCACATTCTTTTTTTGTATTCATTTGGGGGACTGAGTCTTTGGTCTTTACACTTGCTGTAAACCGCGTACGTATTTCCCTTTCCCTTTCCCCGTGGATTCTTCCTCTGATCTTCCCTCACCTTCCTTAAAACTCCTTTCCTTTTTCTAATCATTCTCCTATTAATTATTATTGATTGTTTTGCTTCTCCCTCCTCCTCCTCCTCCTCCACCTGTCCAGACCACCACCATGAGATCAGTAGCTTCTTGGATACCATTTCAATGGCTGCTATTCCTTGTGTAATTGCTTCTCCCTTTCTGGTTCTGCTTCTGGCTCTTTCCCTCGTCTCCCTCTTTCCCTCCCTTCATTCGCTTTCCACTGTTGCAATTTCTGAGAATAATATTCACAACCAGACATTGGTGTGCGCACTCACCCGACCAGGCTCTAATTCTTCCCTACTTTGCAGAAGCTTCCCTCAGGGAATTCAGATTCCTCTTTATCCTCCATTCGCATCAATTTCTGGGATTGTGGGCGGCAATGGTTTCCTCTGTGCCATGAGTTCATCACGTTCTTCTTCATCCTCTGTCATGGTTTGCTGGAGGTTTTCGCTTCTGGGAAACAACGCGGCTTACAAAAGGATTTACACAGGCCCTGTTTTGAAGGAATTGCAGTCTGGAAACTCCCATATTTGTGGTCTCGTCAATACCTCAAACTCCCTCCAATGCTGGCAATGGCGCAATCACAACTTCCCTACACAGAATCTCTCCTCGAGCCTTTCCGTGGGAGAGGACTTCGTCTGCGGTTTGTCAGACTCCCAACAAGTCAGATGCTTTTCGACAAGCCCCAACAATGCCGTCACAGTAAATGTCCCCAAGGGAAGAAGTTTCAGCAAGGTCGGAGCCGGATTCCGACACGCCTGTGCAGTATCCTTTGACGGCAGTTTAGAGTGTTGGGGCAGCACGATCGGCGAAACGCCGCCACAGGGTTTGTTCTCATCAGTTGCCTCTGGGGAGAATCGTAGCTGTGCAATTAGGTCCATCGATGGAACAGTGGTTTGCTGGGGAGAAAATGGGTTATTCAGGCTGCCTGAATCGCTGAGGAATGAGCCCTTTATCGCCCTCGAAGCCAAAAGAAGGGTCTTTTGTGGCGTTGCTATGTCCAACTATTCTCTCTTCTGCTGGGGCGACGACAACACCTTCTATTCCAATATGTTGGTGTTCGGTGATATTGTTCCGGGTGCTTGCACAAGCCACTGTGCTTGTGCCCCTTTACCCAAGTTTGCTGAATACTGTCCCCAAGGACAAATGATATGCCAGCCTTGTCTGCCACGAGAGCCTGCCGAACCACCGCTGCTGCCGCCATCACCACAACCACCACCGCCACCACCACCGCCAGGACCCAAGGGAAAATGGGATCGCAAGATGGTGGCCTTTATGGTTGTGGGCTGTTTCGGAAGCGTCTCATTATTGGTCATCTTGTGTGTATTCCTGTTCCCCCGGTATGTCAAGATCAGAAGCACCCGGATTCATGATTCGGGCCGCCTGGAAGAAGGAGAAGGCGAAGGGGATACCGCGCCACAGAGTGGCCGAAGAGCTCAGCCTCAGTCGAGCCTGCCACAATTGGAAAAGAAGCTCAGCCATTTGATCAGTATGGGGAACGGCGGCCATCTGGAAGAGTTTACACTGGAAATATTACTCGAAGCCACAGATAACTTCTCAGAGGACCGCAAGATTGGGACCGGCAGCTTCGGATCAGTCTACCATGCTAAGTTGGAAGACGAGCGCGAAATTGCAATCAAGAGAGCTGAAAACACAGCATCCTCATCGCTTGCCGGGGCCGGCAAGCGCGGCCTAGAGGATAAGGACAGTGCATTCTTGAACGAGCTCGAGTTCCTGTCCCGCCTGAATCACAAGAATCTTGTAAGGTTGTTGGGCTACTGCGAGGACAGCAATGAGCGAGTGCTGGTCTATGAGTACATGGACAACGGCACACTTTACGACCATCTCCACAAGCTAGAAACCTCCCCATTGATGTCATGGGCTACAAGAATTAAGGTAGCACTCGATGCAGCGCGAGGGATTGAGTACCTCCATGAGTATGCTGTGCCGCAGGTCATACACCGAGACATCAAGTCCTCCAACATCTTACTCGATGCCACATGGACTGCCAAGGTGTCCGACTTCGGCCTCTCCTTGATGGGTCCGCAAGATGAAGATGTTCACATGTCATTGCGCGCAGCAGGGACAATGGGGTACATGGACCCCGAGTACTACAGACTGCAGCTGTTAACAACCAAGAGCGATGTTTACAGCTTCGGTATAGTGCTGCTGGAGCTGCTCTCTGGATGCAAAGCAATTCATAAGAATGAGAATGGTGTGCCAAGAAATGTAGTGGACTATGTTGTACCTTACATAATCCAGGATGACATACACAGGGTATTGGATCAGAGGGTGCCCCCGCCAACACCGTTTGAGATCGAGGCAGTGGCCCATGTAGGATATTTGGCTGTGGACTGTGTGATGCCGGAGGGAAGAAACAGGCCAACAATGAGCGAGGTCGTAAATGGCCTAGACAAAGCTTTGGAAGTGTGCTTGGCACCCCAAACTTTGTCTCGGTCCACCAGTAGCTCATCTTTGTAGCATTGTAAAGTTAAACAAATCCCACAAAATTCATTTCATTTAACAATTGGAGCAACATATTTAGAGAATAGGAGTATATATTTGAGACACCTTACTAAATGCACAAATAGCTTCCGCATGTATTATTGATGAACTCATTCCAATTTTGCATAAAGTGACACATTCGTGTACAATGGGGAGGTATTCTTTGTATTCCCTCGACATCTGATCAATGAAACATGTTTACCTCCGGCTTTGCAGTAACTCCGTTATTATCCGCACTTCCTAATTGAGCTTGTGCTATGTGGAGAGTGAATCAAATGTGGTCTCCTTTTTCTTAATAAGCTCTGTCAAAATACTGTCAATTTCAGCAAAGACCTCTTCTTTGGGAAGACTTCCATCCACCTGCAACCAAAGGAAAGAATGCATAATACGTATATGTTTCCAACCATCAGAAAGTGAACAACATCAGCAATTGCAAAAAGGGAGTATATATTTACGTACTCTCACTGTTATGTTTTCATACAAGGATAGCACTGCTTCCACATTACTGTTATGAGTGAGCAGACGCAACTTAACCTGAATTAGAAGAGATCATTACCAACATACCAAATCAGAGTTGCGGGCTAAATAACATTCAGAAAGATAACCATATTGGTTCTGATACTTTTCAAATAGAAGAGTAAAGCAAATGTGCCTTTTCTTCAGTGTCGTCAAACCGTTGAGTCAATCTTGCAGCAATTTCTTCAGTTTCTGGAGGTGAGTATTTAAGATGATATATCCTCCCCGTAACAGGATCTAGTCTTCGGCCAACAACTCTCTCAACAAGGATGTCTTCAGGGACCTTTCAGCAAATTGTTGTTTTGTGTAATGCATTTAGTTATTTCAACTAAAGGTAAATCAAAAAAGTGAGAATAATACAATTACAGACCTATGTTGTGAAACAATCCAAAAGGATTCAACAAAAGGGAATGAATCATTCATGTATTATTCAATACCAAGACCAACAGCAGAAACTCACTTCAAGAAGAATGAATGCATCTGGTTCAAACCCAAATGTCTTGAGACCAGTAGCTTGGGATACACTCCTTGGATATCCATCCAAAAGCCACCCATTCTCTAGACAATCTTGCATTGATAAACGTTCCTTTACCATCTACCGTTGAAGAGCAACAGATAAGTGTGAGCATTGTGTATCTTTTACCACCAACCCATTGGAGTTTATACTAATATTATACTAAGAAGGCACAAACCTACCACAACAACTATTTCATCTGGGACGAGCTGCCCCTTCTCCATAAATTCCTTGGCTCGTTTCCCATTCTCTGTTCCAGCAGCAATTTCAGCCCTGAGAAGATCTCCAGCAGCTACGTGCACTAAATCAAACTGCAAGAGAAAATTATGCGCTTGGCCATATGATTTACAAACTAGGAATATAAACAAGAGCAAACAAAGAACAACAATTTATCACTAGGAGTTTTATCATATCTTTTACCTTATTTGAATCTAGAGCGTTAAGGAAATGATAGTAACCTATTTTAATAAGCTACTATTATACTTGAAAAAAAAAAAGTTGCACCAAGAATTCCTGCAGGAATAGGCCTTAATTCCATGTGTCTGGCAATTATTTAAGATTAGTAATCAATTTAGAGAAAATAAAACAAGACACTAAATATCTTCGTACGCAATATCAATATCAAATAACCTGAGAACATACTAATTTCTCATCAGCTCCATAAAAATAAGAATAAACTGAAGGACGAATTCTACTCATCAAAAAAGCATAAACCAGGATCTTCAACTAGCCACAAAAAAGAACTTGCCCGAAACATTCTATTCTATATTCTTAAATTGCAATAATTAAATCCAATGAACAAAATTTGTTACCTTCTTAGTAATAAGTTCGCATTGAGTTCCCTTGCCAGAAGCAGGAGCTCCCGATATCATTACCTTCAAAGGCTCAGAATTTCCCCCTGACGCAAGAGCCTGCCGAGAGAGGACAAAATCAAATCCAATGAAGAAAATACATTACAAAAGTTGCTATTATTCATACTCCACTCCTAAAGGGAACATCACCATAAAATCATGAGCAACTTTCGATTTCCTAAAATAGTTGTTGTCCGACAGATTCTGGTCTAGATGAAGAGGAAAATGGGGGGGCTTTGATTTAAATGACGAAACTCTTGAAGCAGGAAGAAGGTCATTGGGAGAGGGACGCCGGGGCTTGGTTGAATTGATGGATGCAGATGGAGAAGCCAGAGCATAACAGCTGCAAGAAGCCATATTTTCCTGCCTCGAAGCGTCCTTCCACGATTTCACTTCCTGCCGAAATCTACGATGCTCCGATGGATTCCACGAGAAAAGGACGGGGAAGGAAAGGACCAAGAATCGAACTTCGGTGACGCCGTAGGGTAATTTGACGGCCAGATTAGGTGGGAACCGGTCCACCTTGACCGTCGACTACAATTGGCCGGTCCTTACCCAACCGGGTCGCACTAATAAAATTGCACTCGTAAATATAAAACGTAAAAATAATAATAAAAAGTACATTTTCCTCATTTGATATATCAACGGTGGAGTTAAAATAACTATTTACACTCAATTAAATGATCAACTTAATCCACCCCACCTGTTCCACGACCATGTATTTATTTGGCGATGACAAAACCCACCGGCTATGAAAATTCAATTTTGTGGCAGCCCTAACCAGCGACTATGATGAGATCGAGCCGCACCAGGTCATTGATCCCCTCGCCGTCCACCGCGCCAGCTGCAGCCACGGCGACCGCCACCGTAACCCTTGAGAATGCTTCGTCATCTTCTGATCAGCAGCCGCAAATTACCGATTCTTTGGTGTTGAAGCTGAAGCCTCCGAGAAAGAGGGTGTCGTGGAAGGAAGGGACGGTGGACAACGAGTTTATGAATAAGAAAAGCTCGAAGAAGTGCTGTATTTTTCACAAGGAGAAGCCCTTCGACGAGGATGATTCCGGTTCGGAGGGCGAGGGCGACGGCTGCTGTCACGATCGCGAGAGTGGTGGAAAATATAATCATGATCGGAACAATCACAATCATGGCGGCGAGGGAAACTGTTACCGTGTTCCATGAGTGAATCTTTAGTGGATTAGTTATGGTCGATCTCATTAGATTCTTGTAATAGTTTAATGGACTTTGAGTTCGGTTCATTACCATATTGGTGATCTTTGGTGGCTATCTGTAATTGTTGGAGTTTGATCACAGTACAAAAAAATGGGATATACTATAATTGGAATCATTGATCTTTTTACCTGTCTTGAGTCTTCAGGTCCTGCAAACAAGATTCAAATTCCAATGGTGTTGCTTGAAAATGATTGTATGCCATGAGGGTGGTTTATTGATGAATTGGCTATTTATCCGATCCATTTGTTTCTTTCTATAAATGGTGCAGAATATAGACAACCTTAGTATGTGCAAGTAGTTGTATTCATATTCATATTGGTCTGGAAATCCGGCTGGTCTGGTTTGAGCTTGGTCCAAATTTTGCAGATTGTTATTTCTTATAAGGTAAATGTGCCATTTGGGAGGGAGCATATCCACACAAATGATGTAGTAGTAGTTAGAGCTTCAACTACAAAATGATGCATAAACCTACAATGTTCATAGATATTGCCCTTTCTCATTCTTCTGCCTTGATCTTCCATGAGATGAGACTGTTTACATGAGGATAACAGTGATTAGCCAAGGGTAGGGACCGTTGCTTTTCATCCTCAACCTTCCTCACAAGTTGCAAGCAGTAGTCGTAAACATACAGATCGTCATCCTTGCACCTGAAAATAATTTCACCGTAAATCCCCTTGCAATAAAGTGGAACCATACTCTGCCAGGAGCTTTCCACGCTGATGGTATACTGTTGTTCCCAAACACCATCACTTAAACTCCTCAAGATCCACACGATGATCCTGTCTGTGTCTTGTCGCGTCACAAAACCAAGAAAGCAGCTCATTTCAATGATCCGGTCATGAATTCCGCAACTACTTGGTAACGGGGTTTTGACAAACTTCTCATCATCAAGTGCCAATGACACCATATACTCATTAACATCAATATTTGGGATCCAATGCAGAGCTCCTATAGTGAAAACTGGCTGATAACCTAACCAACCAAATACTCCGAAAGCTGGTCCATCCACTGCTCTCCATCTCCATGATCCATTCCCGATGTCCATAATCTCACATTCAACATATCTTAACTTGTCCAGGAACAAGTGCACCAGTTTATACACCCCCAGCACATGGCAAAATGCCAAGCCGTATGATTCTTGATGTGGAGAAGACCTTGTTCCCAAAGGGATTGGTTTCAGCTCTCTAGTTACAGTGTTCATAAGGACCAATCCTCCGCTCTTCGTATGGTGTTCAAGAATGATCAAACCATTGCAGGTTGCCCTAATATTGCCCATACAAGATGTATTATACTCTTTAACTGTGCTTTTGCCATCTTTGATTTCTATGAACTTCATGTAGTACAGTCGAGGAGGGTCTATCAGCGGCCACTGGTGCACTGGCAAGGAAAGTAGCTCTGACACCTTGGATTCCACGGAGAAAATGGTTTTTGCAGACGGAAGGCAATTTCTGACCGGTGTCAAGAATACTAATCCCGTATCCGATCGTTTTAGATGAGCATGAATGAAGGAGGGACTGTTAACAATCCCATACCAGATCTTGCAAACAAACATGGATGCGTGTATGGATTCAAGTGGCAGCCGGACAATGGTGTTAAAAACACAGTCCTTGGGGAGATAAGACACAGCAACGAGACTAAGCTGCGTCTCTTTACCACAGTGATGTTTCTTCTGGTTTTCCTCAAGCTCCCTTTTCAACTTTGTTATGTTTTCAGCCATACTCGGTGAGCTTTGTACCTCAGTGACCTTTAACAAATGAAACAAAATTTAGCTTGGAGAAAATTAAACGCATATGTAGGGCTGTTCTTTTCTGATAATAAGTTCAGTCCAGGAAGGAAAATTTTCCATATTTAGAAACACATCGGGCAAATAGGCAGAAGGAAAATTGGAAGAGTAAAACAGAGCATGTGATCATAATTGCTCGCATCACGCCTTAGAATCTTTGAGACAACAGAGTTGTGGTGATGACTATACACGAAACTAAAATTAAAAAGATGAAAAGGAATTACCTTTCTGCAGGCAGCTTGAGATCATAAGAACAACGTGTGAACAAAGAATTAAGGAGTCTCCCGTAAATTTCGAGGTTGTTGCACAGAAGAAAGAAAGTAGATTATGTTTGTGTTTTGTGCGGTAGCGCCGAACCTCTCACTCTCTCTGGATCGGGGAATTGGCACAGCTTGAAGTTTTCGTCTTTGGATTGACTTGATATGGCAAGATGGCATGGGTCTTCCTTCCTTCAAGTTCAAGTTCTCTGCTATCCAGGATTCGGGTCATTCGGATCCGTTTTCAGTCCAAGGCCGGATCAAAGTGACTCATGCATTGGGCCGGAGCCACCTCAGCCAAGCTAGGCCGACTATGGTATAAAGTAGTCCAAACATTATCAATCATTTAAATACTTTTTCTTCTTCAAATGAAGACTGACTGTGTGAAGTCTTGGGATTCCAATTTCTGAGAAGGTATCTGATCTGATCTGATCTGATGAACCTGATAGATAGATAGATAGATAGATGTTGGGCATGGCCATGCCATGATATATATAATATATATATACACATACATACATACAAAGGCAGGCATGTGTGAAAATGAACCCAGACAGGCAACTCTCCCCTGCCCTTGCAAGAGTCAAGACATAACCCCCATCACATGTTACCTTAACTTACTCACACTGAAACTCGCACGTTTGTTCCTTCAATCGATCACCCACATGTCCATATCCCTCATTTATCTCAACTTCCAGTCAGTCAAACACCCCATTATGATATGAGATGATATGATGCTACTATTTATTATATAAGCTTCCAAGGGTTCTTTCTAGACCATCCCATCCCCAAGATTCATCATCTTCTCTTCTACCATCATTTGCTCCTCTGTTTCTACAACCAAAATGAGGAGGGGCGGCTACTCAAGAATTTCAAAGGACACCACAACAAGATCCAAATCTGTAGACTTTGCCGATCCATCTTTCTCACCACACATCTTCAAGTTCAAATCCCAGGAACCCAAACCTAGCACTGTAAAGATAACCAAAATGCAAAGATCCATTGCAGCAGAGGAACAATGCGACGCCAAGGAGGGAGATGGCAAGGTGCTGCAGTCTGTCCAAACCAATCAATGTTCCTCCACCCACTCTGGTCATTCTGATCACAAGCTGATTTCTGAGGGGGAAAGGCAGAGGCCCCCCTCCAAGTTTCAGACTTTTATTAAACGGTCATCTTCTGTCTCCGATGGCTATTCAAGAATCCATCACCAGTCCCTTTTTACTGCAGGAGACGATGATCGGAATGGAGCTGAATTTATTACACAACACCAACACCAACACCAAAAGAAGAACCGCAAGTTCCTTGAGGCATGCAGGCGTTTCTTTAGATTATAAACCTGTGTAGCAGTTTTCTGTAAGGAAACATACAGGCCTTCTATCACAGTGCCATAAATTTTTTTGTAGTAAATTTCAAGCAGGAAACAAAGAGGCTTTCCAATCCATGGTTTTCTCCCCTCAATACAATCAACTTTACAAATTGAGTTGTCTGATAAATTCCTGGCATGAGGGGATACTTTGTGTGTAAAGATCAGTGAAAATCATTGCTCAACGAGCTACTCACCATTCTTCTAGCAATCGAGTCTAGAAAGGACTCTACTACTACATCATATGATCGAATTACTAAGTGAACCATAAAAGCCTTTTGTTAAAAGCACAGATCAGTCTGCAGGTACACTATACTCAGGTACAAAACTTTGGAGACAACATCAATTTAGTATCCAATACTGAGCTAGTCTGTCTAGTATCTCTAGTAGCACAATCTTTTAGTACACTCCTGAATGCATATCATCAATCCAGCTGTAAAGAGTTGTCACTTAATCTCAAAGAAAATAAAACATAGTTACAACGGCACATTGCATAAGTACACCATAGGGACACCAGTGAAATCTCTTCACAACATGCGAATTCTTCATTAGCAACAAGCTCATTTCATGACCCCTTTAGATGTCTCCGTCCTTAGTCTTGATCAGATTGTACCTACAGGACAAGAATAACATTTAATGTTTGGTGACTCAAATCACATTGTCAGTTATAGACTTTCCTTACTATAAATATACCTGTGGTGCTTCAATGGTTAAAAATTCTGCAGAGGGAGCACTTGCTAATAAGAAGTGCATGACATTTCCAGGTAAGGCAATATGTGTAGCATCCTTGTGCTTACGTTTGACCGTTGCACAATCAGGCGAGAGTTTTGGTTCCTACACATGAAAAAGATATCAAATTAACTAAAAACCATAATCAATCAGATTCCAGTTTTATTATTGCTTTGTATGCATGCAATAATTTGGCTCCTGCAGAGTATTGCACTAATGTCCTGGTTTTAAAGGTTTGAGAAATATAATTTCCAATGGATAATTCGCACCCTTTCCCCACTAACAAAAGAAGTAAATAAAACAGGATCAAATCCAAGGATAAGTTGAGCACATTCAAGTTTTCAAGTACAACAAGTTGTTTAAGGCAAAAAATATATCGACTGTGATGCATTTGGTTTAAAAAATCAGATTACTACACACAGATATCAGAGAGAATACTTGTCCACTTGTATAATAATAAGTTGAAGGAACACATAAAACATATTATAATTTTGCTAGACTATGAAAATTCGGGCTTTAAAGAAATAAATTAATAATGAACCAACTAATACCTTAGAGCCATCAACCACCAAGACACAAGTAGATGCCCTCTCCAGCAACCTCACGACAGTCTTGATAGGTATGGTCTTCTCTTTATATTTTTTCTCAGCTGAGAACCTTATGTATCTCAAATTCTCAAAAATTAAGGGTGTGCGCAATTGTATATCAGGAAGGGCAGACAGAACCTAAAAATTAAAAATATATCAGTCGGTGACCATGCTTCAACAATTGTACTTACATTTTAAGAATTTACAATCTCACTTTTTTAACATAATTATGTGGGTTCTGTTCTGGAAGATTACAAAATGAAGTTTATAAGATAACATTTTCATTTACATTAGAAAAGCTCATTTTAACCAGGAAAATGTTTACAATTTTTCAGTATTGCTCATATACATAAATTACATACTCACCTCCTCATTCAGGTTTCAAATTTTCACAGCACAGATTATTGTTGAACATACGGCGGCAACACAATTCAATGATGTAATAATAATAACAAGAAAATAGACGCTAAAAATCATAATAGTCAAAGTACTAGCTGGTTTTAAGCATTTGGCCACAATACCTCGATTGCCTTCAATGATAAGGAGAGGGTTTTGACATTGGAAAGATTACCAAGCATGTTGAGGAAAACCTCTGAAGTTCTTAGCTTTCTTTCAGTTGTATTGACAGTGGAGCATGCTGTAGGACAGCAGAAGTCTATACAAGTATCATACAAAAAGTGCAAACCATCCTTGAAATTCACTCTGGCAAGATGCCCCTGAAGTTTAAAGAAATTGAGTTTAGGTGCATTCACATTGATCATTTGGTCATTGAAGTATCTCCAGGGACTCCTCCAATTCCGTATCTCTAAATTCTTAAGGTTCAAGCAATTCACATCCAAAACTTTCAGTTTATTCCCTGGCCTAATGCAGCACTTGCTCAGAACCAAAGTTTCCAGATTTGGACACCCCGAGAACACCTCACCATTGAAATTCTCATCAAAGAAGACAAATTTTTTCAGGCACAAGAGCTTTAAACTAGGCAAAGCAGCCGACTTTGGAAGTTGCATACAATAACTAGTAGCATTATGCAGATGTAGAGTAATTAAGGATGAGGAAGAAAGTAATAACTTGGGCAATGGAGCAGGCTTTTGTTTGACATAACCTCGGATTCTGAGATGCTGCACCTTGTGTCGTGCAGCGTATTCAATGGAATCCTTGAAGAATCCCAAATTCACGCTCTTGTGTAAAGAAAGCGTAAAAGAAATCAGATTGCTATGCTCCCGGCGTTTCAAAACATGGTTCACATATGACTCGAAAGAATCTACACTGGAATTGGTGCTTCGGGAAATATCATAGCCATCATAGAACCGCACAGTGTCTGTGTAAACTTCAGGTAACTTGAAATCCAGGCACTGCATCGAAGTCCATAGATGCTTGTAGCGCTTCGAGAGGACTGAAATTCTAACCACGGATTTTGTGTCGAGAAAAGAGAGTATATGAATCAGAATGCTGTCTGGTAGATAACTAAGTCCATCAAGGTCGTCTCCGTCGCCTTCTTTTTCTTGATTCTTTCTTAATCTCCTGATCTTTGACTCCATCTCCGACTTGATCAAGGTATTGGAACACGCGAGATGGGGCAATAAGATCGATCTCAAAATACGAATCGGGGGTACGACAAGGAATCGCATACAAAAGCAAACGAAATCGGCCAATCTTAGGTGGAATGAATAAAAACCTGAAGGTATTCCGATCGAACAAGAAATTGAGAGGTGCTGCTGAATGGGGTTTTTCTTGAAAGAGAAATCTTGCGGTGAAAGAAGGGTTACAGAGCCACAGCAGCAAAGTGCACTGGAGCTCACACTCCCGACCCCGACCCCGACCGCACTCTGCTCCCAATTTTCGGATATGTCATTATATAACATGTATATATTTAACTCACGCTTCTTCACTTTCAATTCACTACCATAACATATCATTCTGCGACTTTCTAAAAATATTCTAAAACCCATTTATCTTTATTTAATTACCATAGTAATTTAAATTCATTTGTTTAATTACATGCAACTTTTTTGATCTTTTTCTTATTCAGTACACACAATTTTTATTATAAGATTAAATTACTATATTTGATAAATGAGCCTAAATTCTTAGAAGTTTGTAGGAAGATGACAGAATATAAGAACGTATTTAAAAATACAAATAAACAGTCAAACCAACCAAAATATTAACATAATTTAAAACAGACTAATTTTGAATAATACAGTTAATCAAATCTAATACTAACTCGGTCACCAAAAAATACACAACATAATAAGAAAGGCCGGGTGCCATATGCTTCTATTCATTTATTCTATCCTGGGGCGTTTCGATTGAATTTGTGTGTTCATCCATTGGATGCATTCCTCTGAAGTGGCCTCTGGGTATGCAAGCTGCCATTGTAGTAGCTTCTCTTGCTGCACAGACATGGCAGGCAGTTCAAGTCAATTGTCGGAGGAAGAAGAAGACAAGAAAGAATACTAACGTCATAACATGTCGAACCAAGACTTACCCATTCCTTCACAATAGGCCCTCCCGATTTCAGCTCTAATATGTTCATAATTTCTTTACCATTCACTATTGGTTTCACTTCCCACACTTTCTCCAACCCTGCATCAAAACAGAAGAAATTAGACCAACCACTTCACATGAAATTGCTTCAGCATCAAATTTCTCCACAATAACAGTTACCCATTTCCACCAATGCCTTTTCGACCCTATCATAAAGGTCTCTTCTCGTATTTAATTCAATGTCCTCTACACGTGGTTCCTCACCGGTACCAGAGTATAATAGCATTGAAAGCATCAGCGCAGGGCGCCAAAATTCTTTGATATCTCGCAGAAGCAAGCCTGGATAAAATTATACAAGTTTGTCAACTGATACACTTACACAAAATGGCCACGGTGCTGCTATGTATGAAGCTATTGCACACATTTGTTTCTCCATTCCATCAACAGTTAATATAGAGATGTCGTTTTTTTTTTCGAGACCACTAAGAATAAGGACCAAGAACATGCTAAGGGAAGCAATTTCAACTCACCAGCCAATATTCTGAGCTTTGCAGATGCAGGAGCATCAATAGTTTCCTTTTTCCATTTTACTTCAACATTTTGAGAGCCCTCATGGGATGTGATTAAAGGAATCAAACACAAAAAATTTTCTGCCGCAAGATGCTGGCTAATAACCTGCAGTAAAGTGGAAAATCTAAAAGGGCTATACCCACTGAATTATAGCAAATGAGACAAAAATACAACTATAATGAAAGAAGCCATAATTCGTACTGCATCTGCATCACTGTTCTTTAACTTAAGAGAAGTGCGAAAGATGTAGCTCACAGTTGGAATCTGTTGAAAGAAGCAAGTCAATATCAATACAGAAGGACAACAATATTAGAAGGCTTTCATTGATAAACACAGAAGCAATTGTAATAACTACACTAGTGTAAAGCAACAGAGAAATAGATAATATGTACTAAACCGATTTACCATTTTCCCTTTCTTGTCTTTGTAACTTGTATTTCGAAAGGGCAGAAGCAAAGCAGCATATAGACAGAGCCTGCATTGGTCATCCTAAAAGATGTAGAGAATCAAAAATATAACTGTCACACAATATCCACTAACAGTTTCAAGTGGCAAATCCTGCCTAAACTTTAAGCGAATATGGGAATTCAATGACTATATCTTAATAAGAAAATGGAACCATATAAAACTGTTTAAGAATCATGTTGCTCCAAGTTCAAGCACCTATATGCTAGTATCAGGGTGCAAATCACATACTGAATAGTAAATTGTATTGAATAGCTAAATTGTAATATTTCATTCAGAAGTTAGGAATGCATGTCCATTATTTCAAAGGTCTAGCTCTTCCCAAAATATAGCAAGCATCTAAACATGTAACACCGTTATCACGTTACAATCATTTCCAATACTCACTGTGAAGGAGGAGCCTACTAACTTCAAAAATCTCAATGCTGAATCCATGTAAGCAATACAAAGCCTGTTACATGAAATTTTCAGGTGGTCAATATTCAACTTGAATAGAGATGATGTGCAAGTGAAATTAACCATGAGTATTGGGGGAAAAATGCTAATTTTTCCTCAAATGCCAGAGAATGCGACATGCTGCACAGATCAGACAAGCTCAAAAGATAGACACTGTAAAATCATTTATCTGTCAAACAAGGACTAGAAAACAAACATTAGTGCTATCAATGACATTCAAACAACCAAGCACTGGTTAAGATCTATACCTTTCACATGCTTCTGGTTCTGAAGGTTTCACCTCAGATGGGAGGTTAAATACAGCCCAAAACAACTGCAACTCAGAAATGTAGGTTATTGCAGTCACAGGTTGATTTCCAGATACCATGAGATCAATCTGTACAATATAACAAAAATGCATGAAAACAATGCGAGAAACATTGCATCATAAGCAAACCAATGGCAGAGATCAGATCTCGTAGGAAACTGGCAACAGAACAATCGGTATAAATAAAAGCATACCTCATGACCAATTCGCTCTCTACTAATTTTATCAGCAACGGCAGATCGTACTTCATTATCTGAAGCTGCAATCTTCAATTCTCCATCCAAGGCAAATTCAAACCTTGCGCCTGTTGTTCATTGAAATCAAGTTGAATAGTAGCACATAAAGTGTTTTCCTTAATAGGTAGAAGGGGATATTTTCCATGGCCTTACCAAATCGTATAGCTCGAAGAACTCGAAGGGGATCATCAAGAAATGTCTGTTTTGGAGGTAATGGGGTCACTATTCTCCCAGCTTTTAAATCCTCAATGCCTAAGGATGGTTGACAAAAGAAAAAAATAAATTGATGAGAAACAGAAGGTGGCATTCATTGAAGAATTGAAGAATGGCAAGAAACAGATTATTTAACAGTAAACATTAACAATTATTACCTCGTTTTGTAAAATCTTCAACTGAACTGGTATTGATGTTGTAGAACAAGCTGTTAAACAGTCAAAAGTTAATAATACAAAAATCATCTTATAAACTGATACAGGATTGTAAACACATATGGTTAGAAGGTATCCACATTACTGCACTCTGCATATGCATAAATATTAACCGTGTCTCTCACAAGGTACATGATCAAGAAAGACAAGGCATAAACTCTGAATGGAATAAACAAAAACTCTACAATTTTAAATATTGTTGTTCAAAAACAAACACAGGAAAATATAAGTGCGAAACAACCACCTGTTGATAGTCAAGTCTCTTCGATATGCGTCCTCTTCAGCAGTGCCAAATCTCTGACAGAAAAAGTAAGCAAATGTAATCACTAAGAGTGTTGTTTGAAATATTTATTAAGACTGTCTTAGCAGATGATACATATTTCCAAAGCATGATCCAGTTTTTTTCTCATTCCATAATATTTCTTAACAAATTACGACTTAATGTTCTGGTCCAAATTAAGCCTTTGTTTGCAGATAATATAACTGCTTGAGACAATCAACAGTGAGAATCAGTAACTGGCTTTGTAAGTCGGATCAACCATTAGACTAAATATCCACAACCTTCAATTACATCATCACTAGAATGCACGGCAGATAATTTACTGCATGTACCATTGTCGGTATACGGCTATTCTCACTGTAGTCTTCTGATCTTAAGTTCACAAAGTCAATCCACACATCGAAAAGGCGCATTCTTGCTGTTTCCAAATGCTTTGACTGATCTGGATTGCTGCCAAGCGTCACAAGCATAAAACATATGATCAAATACTGCCCTAAAAAGCAAGAAGATGCATTTGTAAGGAGATTAACAAGCTTTCCTCGGTGTGGAGAGGCAACCTATCCATTAGCAACAAGCTACATAATCATGCATAATAATATCTCATGCTAGAACTTTTCACAAATACTGGAACGTGACGCAAGCAAGGTTTGGTAAGTACCATTGTATGACACCAATGCCCTGAGTCTCTTCACCGGAAAATGACAAATATTCATTCACTTTTTCGCAAAACTCCCTCCCTAACATATTGTCAAGGGCAATATCGATATCATAACATTCTTTCCCCAACAGCTGCAGTAAGAAGACAGCAAATATCAAGAAGACGAATACGAAAAGGCCCTAAAGAAACAAGCAACATCAAAGCTACGCACTTTATCAATCAAGATTACGTATTTTCACAACTGCACTGTCGGGAAAATAGGCCCATAAACGCAACACGCGCCATTTATAAACCAACGAAAAATAGAGACAACAACAAAAAGAAAAACGAATAGAACCTTATCGCGAACCCAACCCCCAGCAACGCGAAGTTGGGTTTGGAGGTTGAAGTGGGAGAGAACCCGGAGAAGACAGTCGAATATTTTCTTTTCCTTGGTCGTGAGATCAATATGATCCTTAACGTGAATTGCCGCGGGCGTTGACACACCCATTGTTGCTTTCACAGTAGCACTTGTGGAGAAGCAGAGGATACGCTTATTGTGAGGAAAATCCAAAGGTCTCCCGTTCAGGGTATTGTTTGGCAGGGTTGGAAAAGCAGAGGGATGCGAGGATTTGAAGAGGTTTCCGAACGAGGGAAGCCGTAGGGTTTTAGTAAAGGAAGATAAAAAACGGGGACTTGCCAATTTCATGGCCCCCATGAAGCAGCAATTTCAAAGGGAATAGGAAAGTTTCCATCCATTACCATTAGGGCCGAATCAACACAAAAGCATTGATAAATCCACTCTCTCAGCTATATATATATATATATATGTACGCGTAACATTTATCGGGAGTATGATTTATATATTTTTTTTATTTTTTCAGAAAAAAAAAAAAAAAAAAAAAAAAAAAAAAAAAAAAAGATCTATGGGCTGGGCTTCAAATAATTTGAAAGGGGAGTTTCCGATTGCTCTAAAACACGCAAAGAATGGGCAAATTTCTCTTGATTTTGATCCATTCTTCCAATGCCCCTAACGCAAATTTTCTTGAATCTTGGATAACGAAATTGGGGAAAAGCACAGAGTAGATCATTTCATTCAGAAGCGGTAGAGAATTCTGACATTTTTCTTTATTAGTATTCCAAGTAAGTATGTATTTGGTGATAAACAGAAGATTCTTGTATTGGGATGAATTATATTGAGATTGTCCTTTTTGTTTTATGTTTATGTTCTTTTCAACAGATAATCAGGTGCAATGGCTGAGATAATAAACAAGTTTTTCATCGCATCCATGTGTATGTTGGCTGCCCCTCTTGCTATTCTGTATGGCTACAAGAAAGATTTATTACCTGGTAAGAGTTTTTGCTGACACTTTTTATAAAGTTATAGAAACTTGGTCTTTAGCACTTATTAATCTTGATTTAGTTTATGGGATAATGGATGTAAGATTGTAGTTTACTAAGCTAGCTAGGATTGGATGATGATTTAAACAGGTTCGAATGATCTGTCGCCAGCAGCAATGACATTGTGGACTGGAATCCTTACAGTGGTGTCCGTCAATATGGTTATAGCATTCTTCATTTATATGGCAGTAAAAGACCAACATGAGCCACTTCATCCTAAGCAAGAATAGCAAAATTCATGAATTAGATATAATACTGTAGTTGAACAATAAGGCGTTCCGTTCCTCAATAAATTAAAGAGACAAGTTTTTCTTGTTCTTACATTAGAGTTTTTATATATGTCAGCATATCATTGTGTACGGCCATTGTCATTCCATCCTTGAATTCCATCTTAAATTAAACGTTGGGCATATTCTTAATTTGTTATTATCTCACTCACTTAAGCATCCACATACAAAAATAATTGTGATTATAGAAAATTCCATTATTTAATCAAGAAAAAACTGAAGGTTATATAAATCAGAGAATAAGGTGGACAAAGTCTAGTAGAATCTCAGGGATTAGGTGGCCATATCATATACTCCATAATATATATATATATATATATATTTGAAATGGTACTTAGAAAAAGATTCGTCAAATCTATTATTGCCAAACGTATTAAATACCTCACCTTATTCTTGTCTCTAGCTCCACAATTTATAAATATGTTTCAAGATTCGCTTATGCTGCTGATAGACGACAATTAATTGGAAAAGATAGCTTACTGTATAGTAGTATATATGATGTCTGTAATTATTGTGTTGCATGCAACCACATGATCAAAATGTATCTCTATCGAGAAGACTTTTAGCACTAAAACTACTACATATATATATATATATGTGTGTGTGTGTGTGTGACGAGATCGATACATGCATGGTTAATGTTATTTGACACCGACAACAATATATATATATATATATATATATAAAATATAAAATGTCCAAAGTGGTGAGGCGGTGCTAATTGTGTGGCTTGGCTTGGCTTGACTTGATTTGCAAGAACACTTGAAATTAATTATATTATATTATATTATATTGAATTTTGATGAGTAGGGAATGGAATTTAATTTGTTATCGGGTAGCTGCGACAGGAACATACAATTTATTACATCTTATCGGAACCTACCTAGCTTAGCTTGCTTTGTAGCGAATATTTCTAAAATATCTATATACATATACATATACATGGAGGTTGGGTGTGTGTGTGAGTATGAGCATTTAGTAAGATAGCAGCATAATATAACACACATCTCCCACTCCCTTTCTAAAAATCTTGTGCCATTAATAAATAAATACCTACAGTGATCTGAAAGCTGCACCTTGATTGATTATTACACATATAGGTCAGTACTGAGAAGATATATATGTATGTGTATATCCACATGAAGACGACGGACGTGATAATGATATGCGTTCTCTACATATGTATCACAATTTGCATACATTATATTATATATATGTTCATGGTTACCCAGTAGCTATCGTACCAACACATTTTCCCCTAACCCTGTCGGTAACATACATATATATGCTAATTTTCTTATATATAGTGGGCATGATTATCATTGTTTGGTAGACGTCGTCTATATATATATATATCTCAAAATATGTAAAATATATAATTGAGATTAATTAGCTTATATGTCGTCGTTAAAGTCAAGCTAGAGTATATGGTTTGACTTTCTCAATATGAGTATATATATATATATATGATCGCATTCATACATAGATAAAAAATTAGAAATTAAGTTCGATCTTTTGTCGTATATATATATAATGTTATTGTATTTTTGAATCATCATGCATCGATCTAATTAGATTTGTGATCAATTGAATAAGAATTGCTTTATATCGATTACCGTGTTCTTATACTGCAAGCAATAATCCAAATTAAAACAACAGAAGCTTGATGATGAACATATATAATTAATTTATATCGACTGCAATTTAATTTATTTCCTCTGGAACAGTAGTACTGTTCTGTTGTCTATTCATTTATAAATATTCGTATTTGAGGGTTTCAATGACAGCAACGCCAACAGCAAACAAGCACCAGCCATGCCCATTCCGATGCCCATGCCATAATTCTACTTCACAACTGAATCAGGATAACAATATATATATATATACATATTTAATAAGAACCAAAACTCGATCTTCTTACTGAATATATATATAGATAGATAAAAATAAATTCTAAATTCCGAACCTCATAACTTATTCAATTAATATTATATAAGTTGGCACGTAACGTGGCTATTCTTGCTGCTGCATGTTTCTGGAAATTCTCATTTTATTATCATGGCAAACGACAAGACTTCTTCCTCAGTCCTTCATTCATTATTGATTAATATGAATTGTTTTGTCCCAACATAGACACTTGCAAGAATTTATACTCAATGTACGTCATAATGATTTTGCACCAAACAGATGTTGAATGAAGAAGATCCCATGTTAATACATATATACAGCTAGCTTTCTTTCGAAACAATATTACAATCATAATATAATAATCAACTAATTAACTTCGTTATCAACCGCCAGAAAAGTCAAAATTAAAGGAGACAACTTTGACTTCACAGGATTTATTACATTGATCCCTACCATATAGCTTAGCTACCCCACCCTGTCTAAAATACTAGTAGTATTTATTGCATCAATTACTACAAAATTATTCAACATTACCCTAACCATTAATAACAACATTATTAATTATGTAGTGGTGGTCCAATCCAATCACACCCGCATGGCAATTTGTAACTTTATTTTTTTATTTTTTTACACATACAGTTCCAAATAACCTCACATGGGAGCTGCCCATAAACGACGACGCTCGAAACCATACACAACAAATTCATACCACATAACAATGCAAATTACATCTATATATATATATATATATATATGTCCAAATTAAAAAAAAAAAAAGAAAAAAAGAAAAAAAAGAGAGAGTACTATTTAAAGTAATTATGCAATTGCTAGCGTGATTTAGGACAGCTTATGGTGTGCTGTGTTGGCTTCTTCTCCACCGTTTGAACAGTAATGAATAAACAAACACACATAATTTTATTATTATTATTATTCACTTGCGATGAGATGAATCGATCGATCGATCATGGCCGTCGAATTTGTTGGTTGTATCTATTACCTAGATCGACGGCTGTGGATGCAATGTGGGTCGTTGGATCGTGGGAGGTAGACGATGGATTCTGAAACTGCACAGGTTCTCTTGCAGGAAGTGTAGATGCTAATGAATCCAAATCTGTCGCTCAAACTCCTCGTGTTCTTCAACCCTTCTCTCCAGAAGCTTCCATGGTACTCGTCGTCCTTCGAGCACGCCACCAGCGCTGCTGCGAAGGGATCCCTCTCCGTCGTCGTCGTCGTCTTCCTGGCGCCGGAATTAGGGTTTCCGGGCGGCGGCAGAGGGAGGAGCTCATTGCCGGAGGGCTGATCCTGCTGGTTGGGGTTAATTCGGTTGCTCTTTGGGATTCCGGGGGTTTGTTCCCAAGAAAATGGGATTCCTCGGGCCGCCATGGATGGATTTAACGGAGAGAATAATTCCTCGTTCAATGAGCACATCGACGATGACGACGATGAGGATGATCCGAAGGAAGAATGCCGGGAAGACGTTGACGGCGAGAACGGCGGCGTACGGCGGGGGAGGGGTTGATTTGGCTGAGGATTTTCTTCTTCGTAAGCCATTGTTGTGTTTCTAGTTTGTGCTCTGTTGCAGAAGCAGTCTCTATATATGAAATGAAGTAATGAACTGAACTGAAATGAAAGGCCCGTAGATTAAATAATAAGCGTTGGTGGGAAAACTGATATCTGCGTCGTGAAATGGCGGAAATGCCCTAAGATGACGGGGGTAGAACGGGGAATGCACACTGCTGGAAGTGGGTGTGGATGTGGATATTTCATAATTGCCCATATTATAAAGAGGAATATTAATTATAGATTATAAGTAGTGGTTGCGATGCCATATGGACTGGACAGGACACTCGTGTTGGGAGTCAATTCTGCACTTTTAATTTAATTAATCTCTATTTTCAATTTATCACTAATTGAAATCGATTAATTTAATCACTCATTTTGGTAGGATAGGAAAGGAGCCTGCCTATTATTAGTCCAATTGGGTCTAATTTTTATTGGTTAAACACGATGATTATCGGATCCAAAATCTCACTTGCTACTGATTCTCAAATTTATAAACATGGACAAACATATATATATATATATATATTTTTAAAAATTAATATTCAGACAATGACACGAACGGCAGCGAAGTACATGTAAATCTCGTGAAAGGCAAATCCAATCCAAGTACTATTAGAGAGACACACGTAAATAATTATTTAATTTAAGTGTGTTTAGACTAATTAAATTGGGAACCAATCAAAACCAGCTTCATTACAAATCGTAGCTCTACAGGAAATAATTGGATTTGGAGCGCGTCATTAAATTGCTTCAGAAATTACACAGTGTTCGTTAACTTCAATCAATGCTCCCATTGAAAGTGTGCACGTCATCCACTTTTCAAGCTTAGAAATTTACTTCATCACATGAAAAAATTACCAAAAAAAATAAAATCGATGAATTCATCAGGGGTTGGTGTAACGCCTAATGTAATTTATTTAACTTTGTGATGTTTAATGGCATGCACGTGATGATCAATGCTTTTAACTAACCACCAGCTTGATTTTATTTACTGATTTGTTACATCTTTGCTTCTCTTCAACCACAAATATATATATATATATACACGTTTGTACATTCATATTTCTGAGTTATATATATATATATACATAATCTGTGGATGTAATGTAACATGTATTGTGGTGTTCTAATGGCTATGAAATTGTCTGTCAAAGTTTTCAATGGATGTTAAATAAAGTTGACATAATACTAGTATTTTTATATTAGTGTCACTGGATTGGACCGGATCCGCAGCCCAAATAGAATAGTTTGGTTCTAATGGCTGAAAGCATAGTAGGCCCATTTAATTTAATATGGATTAAAGCCCAAAATGAAAGACTTGAAGGCTCAGCGGTCAGCAGGACGGTGGTGAACAATCTGCTTGAATGTTCCGGAACAACTGAAAGAACGGAGGTGGTGGACGAGGACGAGGAAGGACGGAAGGAAACACAATCACCGTACTAGTCACCAACATAATCCTTCATCGCCAGCAGTGAAAAATAGGCCTCAGGTTGGGTACTCCGGTAAGTAGTAATTAGGTGGTAAATGGAGAAGCAAGGATCGAGTTCGCGGGAATTGCAATGCGTGGGGAGACTGGAAATATCGAAGCCTAAGCCGGTGGGATTTCTCTGCGGATCCATACCCGTGACGGCGGATGAAGCATTTAAGGATTTCTCTTCGGCTGCTATGGTTCCCTCTCCTCATACGTATGTAAAGTTTTTTTTTCTTTTGATATTCTGTTGCTGGGGTTGGGCGCAGGCCGGTTAACTTTGCTCATAAATTGCCACTCGATATTTGATGATTGAAGTTGCCAAATATACTTTTTCCGCATTTTCTTGCTTCTACAATGCTGTGATAGGTGTCGTCTCTGCTCCTGCTCGTATGGGTGGCAAGGGGTTATGCTTGCTAATAATTAGGGCTTTGTAACTTGTAGTTTACCTGGGTTGTTTAGGAAGTTTTAGCCTAGATCAGAATCGTCTGTTATTAGTTGCTTGTGACATAGGCTGGGAAACGATATAGCATGTTCCCGAACCTTTATCATGCCTATAATTTATGGTTGTTTGGGATATTATTACCTACAATGTGCTATTTATTGAATTTGTATATTATTAGGGTCAGTGCTCCAAGGTATCAGATGATTCCCAACCAAACGGATCTGAATGCACTTCCTTTACTCTCGAGTATTCCAGAGAAAGTGCTACCACTGGCAGCTGCACAGTCGGGGACAAGTGAAGGTAATCCCTAACACCCCATCTAGGATTATATCATTGGGAGTTTTACATCTCATGAAAATCTGCCGATGAGAGACAGTATTTACAAGTGCCGGTGATTTAGATTCTTAGATTTCGTGTGCTCATTCTGAGTGCTAAGCATCCTTTCTTGTACAAACATTCTTTAGATATTTACATTAAGTTTTCAGATTCACATTTCTTTGTAAAAACCTGCTAGCAACCTTCACTTTGAATGGAAATTTGAAAGCTTTGTGCAAGCTTTTGCAATATTTAGATTGTTTTTTTTATGTAGAGGGTTAGAAGAATGTATTCCAATACTTAGATGTTTTGATGTATGATAAGCTCATAATTTAGTTTTTGCATTTTGATGATGCTGCCAGATTTACAATGGCAAGATGGCCCAGTATCAGCTAATCTTGCAAGGAAAGGAGAAGCACTTGCTGTCTCTGGTATAGCTAATTATGGAGATGAGCTAGATGTAATTGCCCCAGCTGATATTTTAAAGCAAATATTTAAGATACCATACTCCAAGGCTCGAGTATCAGTTGCAGTTCATCGTGTTGGGCAGACTTTAATACTGAATAGTGGGTATGGCACTGTACATATTGCAGTATCCTATCTTTTGAACATGTTGTTTCTCTTTTTTTTTTTTTTTTTCTTTTTTCTTTTTTCTCTTATTTTTTGTGGACAGGCCTGATATTGAAGAGGGAGAAAATCTCATTCGAAGACAAAAACGGCAGCCGAAATGTGTAGATCAATCCTTGTTTTTGAATTTCGCTATGCATTCAGTAAGAATGGAGGCTTGTGATTGCCCACCTAGTCACAATACTTCATCAAATGGCCAGTTTGAATCATCAATTTATCGCAATGAATGCATGCCAAATGAAGGACCGTTTGAAACCTCCGACCAAGCAACAAAGGGGAATGCATGCTATAGGAATCATGAAGGCATTGCTCAAGGGAAGGAGTATATCCATCAGCAAGAGTTCCCACAATCTGTGAATGAAAATTTGTTCTGGGGGAAGAAAAAGAATAAGAGACACAAAAGTCATGGAACCATTGAGAAGGTCTCAAATGTGAAAGAAAAACCAGAGTGCCCAGTGCAAGAGTCTGAAAAACGCAGAAACACCGGTGATGATGGTTTCTTAAGGGTGTTATTTTGGCAGTTCCATAATTTTCGAATGCTTCTAGGCAGTGACTTACTGATCTTTAGCAATGAAAAGTATGTTGCTGTGAGTTTGCACTTGTGGGATGTCTCGCGGAAGGTAGGTTTGATCATTATCTTTCTGAAAAATACACAACGTTTTGTTATATCCCACACTTGGTTTATATATTTAGGAACTGACCTTTCAGTTCTGTTTGGAATCTGAATTCATTTGCAGGTCACTCCATTGACTTGGCTTGAAGCTTGGCTGGACAATTTTATGGCCAGTGTTCCCGAATTGGCAATATGCTATCATCAAGATGGTGTGGTTCAAGGATATGAGCTTCTAAAAACTGATGACATTTTTCTATTGAAAGGTGTTTCTGATGATGGAACTCCTGCCTTTCACCCACATATTGTCCAACAAAATGGCCTTTCTGTCTTGAGATTCCTTCAGGATAACTGCAAGCAAGATCCTGGAGCTTATTGGGTACAAGTTTCTTATTAAGAATTCATCCCAAAATTTTTGTATTTATTTTTAAGACGTATCTAATTTCCATGCTTTATATACGCAGCTTTATAAAAGTGCTGGTGAAGATGTTATCCAACTGTTTGATCTTTCCGTTATTCCTAAAGGCCATACGGCTGATAGTTATCATGATAGTTCTAGCTCTTTGCCATCTTTGATTTACAGAGGTAGAAATGATTCAATACTCTCCCTGGGTACTCTGCTTTACCGTGTTGCCCACAGGCTTTCACTTGCGATGGTATGCTACGAACATATATATATATATATATATTTTCCTTTTATTTGTCTCTATGTTCTATTATGTATTTCTTGTTGGACATTTTCTTTTTTTTTTTGCAGTCTCCAGATAAGAGGGTGAAGTGCACAGGGTTTTTCCAGAAATGTCTAGGTTTACTGGATGAGCCAGATCATCTGGTATGTTCCTCTCCAAAAGTACAATCTGAGAATTTTTTTTTTGGTCGACTAAACTAAGTATGAAAACATCATGATTGTTGGTGCGACTAATAGGTTGTCCGGGCACTGGCTCACGAACAATTTGCAAGGCTCCTCCTAACATATGATGAAGAGATGGAGTTAGCATCTGCAGTGATTCCAGTGGAGTCTGAAGTTACAATTTCTAATGCTGAAGAAGAATACTTAGAATTTGTAGGTGGGTTGTCAGCATCATATACTCAAGATATTGGCCATGCTCCTATAATTGCACAACAGCAACTTGAAGAAGCAGAGCATGGGAAAGATTTTGAAGAAGAGTCTGCTGAAATTTTAACTTGCCAGAAGATTTCTTCACCCACAATACGGGGAGGATCATTGGTTGCAAATGAGAATCTGTTTATTGTTGGTGACAAAAACACTTCTGTCTCCAATTCTCCAGTAAATTCAGATGATGTGGTCCAGAATGCTGCAGGCATAGTATCCTCTAAGCTCGCTGCAATACAGCATGTATCTCAAGCCATCAAGTCTCTGAGATGGACTCGAAAACTTAGGATTTCTAGACCAGAGCTAAACCTTGAATCTGAAAATGTTGATGATCTGCATTCTTCAGTGGATTATTCTTTATGTGCCTGTGGAGACCCTGACTGTATTGAAGTTTGTGACATTAGGGAGTGGTTGCCAACATCTAAAATAGATGACAGACTCTGGAAACTTGTTTTATTGCTTGGTGAGGCTTATTTAGCCCTTGGCCAAGCATACAAGAATGATGGCCAACTGTATCAAGCCCTGAAGGTTGTAGAATTATCTTGTTTGGTCTATGGATCAATGCCTCAAGACATGAGATTCATCTCTTCAATGGTTAGCAGCGCATTATCAAAGCCGGAGAGTGATGGTAGAGGCCAAAGTGCACCTGCCAATAGTGGTGATAGTTTTACTACTGATGGGTTGTCTTCTAATTACCTCTTCTGGGCCAGGGCTTGGACACTGGTAGGAGATGTGTTTGTTGAGTTCTACCTAATGAAAGGTCAAGAGGTCTCCATGAAACAAGAGAAGCAGCAGCATGCCAAGGATTTAAAAATGTCATCTGAAGTGTTGAAGGAGGTTGAAAGGCTGAAGAAGAAGATGGAAAGGTTTAATCAGAATTGCAGTTCCTGTTCTCTAATAAATTGCAGCTGTCGGAGTGACAGGGCCAGCAGTGGAAACAGTGCTAGTAGCAGTGCCAGGGATTCGTCCATGTCCAGTTACACTAGAAAGCAGAATCGAAAATCATCTGGCAAGAACAATCTGTATGCACGTCCGGGAGTCCATGAAGATGATGTTTCCCAGAAATCTGACCTCAGAAATCTTTCTGGAGCTGAATACACAAAGCATTTCAGGAGTGATTTGGGTAATGAAACTTATATTTCGGATGCAATGCAGGATATTGACTTGACAGGCGGAAGCCTTGGAAAAGCTGATGATCATAATGAGACAGATGATTCTGGCCCCGGGGAAAATGCTCCTTCTGAAAGTACTTCAAAGGGAACAACTGCAGGGAAAATTGGTGGTATATTCAGATACTTAAGGAGTACTGTATCTGGAGATGCAGATTATACCCTTTCAACTTCCTTGAGCTGCTACGAAGAAGCTAGAAAAGCAATAGCTGGGCTTCCTGCTAGTGCTGAAGAACCACAAGCCATACTTAAAAAGAAAGGATGGGTGTGTAATGAGTTAGGACGATATAGACTGGAAATGAAGGATTTGGCCAAAGCTGAAACTGCCTTTGCTGAAGCAATAGATGCATTTAGACAAGTGGAGGATCATACAAATGTCATTTTGATCAACTGTAATTTGGGCCATGGACGACGTGCATTAGCAGAAGAAATGGTATCAAAGATTGCAAGCCTCAAAAGACATTCCCTATTCCAAAATGCATATTTGCAGGCACTTGAGATGGCAAAACTGCAATACAGGGAAGCGTTGAGGTTCTATGGTGCAGCAAAAACTGAACTAATTACTCTTTCTGAAAAAGCAGTTTCTGTATCCTGCAGTTTGAAGAATGAAGTCAACACACAGTTTGCGCATACATATCTGAAACTTGGCATGCTATTAGCAAGGGAAAATACAGTTGCCGAGGTTTATGAAAATGGTTTCCTGGTGGACCACCCAATTTCTATGCCAAATCAAATGCGGGTTGAATCTAGGAAGCATGAAATATCAGCAAATGATGCAATTCGGGAGGCATTGGCAGTTTACGAGTCACTGGGTGAGTCCCGCAAGCAGGAAGCTGCATACGCTCACTTTCAACTTGCTTGCTACCAACGGGAATGCTGCTTGAGATTTTTGGAGTCTGATAAAGAGAATAACAAGTTGGGTAAAGGTGAGAGCAGCCTGGGCCAGAAGATAAAGCAGTATACTGCCCTAGCTGAGAGGAACTGGCAAAAGTCCATTGATTTCTATGGGCCGAAAACACACCCCGTGATGTACCTGACTATTCTTATTGATAGATCGGCTTTGTTGCTTACCCTTTCAAGTTACCTTCACTCTTATACGGTACTTTCTCACTTCTTTCTTGAATTTTGTCTTTGCAAGAAGGAACAGTGTCATTTTTAACAGAAATTAATAGACTTGTGAGCATTCTGATGACTTCTTTTGGTATCTTTTTTATAATGTTAGAGCTTTGCATGCTTATCTTGGATGGCATCATAGACGTTTGATATGCTGAATAATTTTACTGATTTGGTGGTTGTGTTCCAGCTCCTTGAATCTGCCCTAACCCAGTTGCTCGAAGGGCGCCATGTCTCTGAAAATTGTTCTCTGAGTGAAGAAAATCCTGAGCTTTGTGCCAAATTTTGGAGTCAGCTGCAAATGCTGTTGAAGAATATGCTAGCCATGACACGCTCCACAAAAGCCAACAAGCACCCTCTCAACCCGCACCCATCACCTATGAGTAAATATGCTGATGCTAAGAAATTGGCCGAGCTCTACAAGATCTCTTTGAAATTAGCTGATTTCAAAGAGTTGCAGAGGATGCACAGCTTGTGGACAGAATAACAAGACATACTTTTTGTGCTGCTTGCAAGTTGTATACTGGTGGATTATCTTTATGGATTCTTGAAGAACATACAATTTCAAATGTGCTGTACAACATGTTTGCATAGAGGCATAGACCAGGTTGATTCTATGGAAGAAGCATTTTTTTTTGGTTGCATTTGTAGCTGTTGTTTGCGGACGAGGGTGATCCTGAAGAATACACACTTCATTTAGAGCTGTTACTCATGATGAGTATTTGATGCTCCTTGCCTTGCATTTGTTACTGTAAAACTTTATGTGGTGGGTGATCAGTATTAATTTGATGTTAGAATTCTTATTCTGGACCTAATGAAGTCTGTTCAGGTTGACTATAATTTTTTAAAGGAAATTATATTTTTATCAATCTGTTTACGCAACAATTTTGACATTATTCAATTTTCAAAATATTATATTAATAATTTTTTATTATTTTCAAATTAAAAATCCCAAAAGTTTATTGTACTCTTTTCATAAATTTTAAATTATTATACTCTATTTAATTGTATGAATTCAAATGATATATAAGTAAAATAGTAGTAGTATAGCACTCCTATTTAATAACTGCCCGACCCATTTGACTGCTCCAAGATCCATGTATCAAGTGCAAAATCGTAATTTCACATTCAAATGGGTACAGCAATAGCAGATAGGATGGATAATGAGCGCAGTGCGGCAGTTTTCAGTGGCGAGTCTCGAACTCAGCAATGGCCTCTGCTCTTTCGCTTTGTATTCTCGCACCGAAGCTTTCTTACAGTCGGACTCCAATTGATTCAAGATTAAACTCTTCTGTCATTTCCCATGCTTTCTCCTCTCTGACTCTCTCCTCGAGGAAAACTTGTGGGCTGTCTTTTATCTCGAAATCGGCGGATACAGAGGCTTCGGTGATAGAGTTCGAAACCCAGGAACCTGTACCAGAAACTGAGCCTGCTGTTGAAGAAGCTTCTGAGTCTGCTGTTGAAGAAGCATCTGAGCCAAAACGTGAGGAAGTATTTGCTGTTGTCATGGTGAGCTCTTTAAATCGTCGGCGTTGGGCGATGATTGTAGTTCGTTTAGTGTTATCTTTTTGCTGTTATAATTTTTGTTTCTTTCGAACATTGAATCTCTGCGTTCGTGGATACATTGAGTTCTGCTTTCTGTGTGCAATTAGGGAATGATACATTATTGCTTTATAAGGTCCTGTCTCTAGTTGGGTGTTCGTTCTTGAATTTGAAAACCTTTATCATCTTATTCTCGTACATTTATGATACTTCTCGTAGGCAATTATTTTTGGATTCAAATTATTGGTTTACAAAGTGATTTTCTTTATTTATTTTTAATTTTTCTTTAATTCGATTCCTTGCTATTGGATGTCCCAATAATGGGCAACTGAAATTGATTGTGATGAATGCCTCTATTGTTGCACTTCTCTCAAAAAATGAACTGTTGTGTGGCAATAAAAGTTTGAAGTTTAGAAAGTCGATTTGAGACAATTTTTTTTGTGGCGAACATCTCCAAGGTTGGGTCTCGGCAATACATTGTATTCCCTGGACGGTACATCTACACCCAGAGGCTCAAAGGCGCAAATGTGAATGACAAGGCAAGTGTTTCCTGCTTAGTAGAAAGAATACCACTTTGATGCATGGTCAAATTAGTTTGCTTTCTGCTACATGTTATGAAGAGTTATTTCTGTGATGTGGTTAAAATTTCTCGGCCAGATTACCCTAAATAAAGTGTTGCTTGTGGGAACAAAAACAAGCACGTACATTGGAAAACCCATTGTGCCAAATACAAAAGTTCATGCCATTGTTGAAGAGCAAGTAAGATTCAGCTTCCAGCAACTTTTCTCGTGTTTATCTTCTATATTATTCCGTGAGCTCATTGTTATACATTTCTTGTAGACATTGGATAAGAAGGTAGTCATCTTCAAGTACAAAAAGAAGAAAAACTACAGAAGAAATATAGGGCACAGACAGGTAGTGTGCTTGAAATCTGAATTGGACTTTCTATTGACTACTAGTAGAACTAGTTTTTAGGCATTCACATACATAATCCATTATGCTAACTCCTTTTGCTGTTTTGTTTTTCAATTAAATTGGACTTGTTCAGCCGATTACAAGGATAAGAATAACAAGCATAGAAGGATATCAAGACACACCAGCTGTAACCCTTGACTAGATTCCACATATCTCAGGAGGGATAGGTGAATATTTGATAGTTTGTTTATTCCATTGCATATCATGTTGTATAATCCATGAGCCTCGCTATCCGCTGGGACTTTTTATAAATGTGAGCTTGTACTTTGCATGACCGTGCTGCGCCAATGCTTATTCAGTTATGATCTCCATGTATGTTACTTGAGGCATATATTTTTGTCATAGTAATTTCATTTGCTTTCTGATTCACACTAGAGCTTCTGTCATGCTAATATGAATGCGAGTACACTCTTCTTAGCTTCAGTTATCGTTCAAGTTCCATAAGTAAGACTTCTTATCATTCAATGTATTAACAGTTATTGTTAAGTATACACTTCTAGAATGAACAGTCCAGAATGTCTGCAAGTTGGGTGTCTATTATGAATTAGACAAGATATGCACAGAAGCTCTTCTAAAGGTGCTTGAACTTTTAGAGTAGAATACAATATACCTTCCATCCATTGGGAATGGTGAATCCTGCATAGGTAAAACCTTGTTGTTTCACCGGATGCTCCTTGGGCTGGAGGTGTTAACCTCAGTGATTCACGGGCCATGTTCCATGAATGCTTCATCCTTTCGATGTCTACTCGAGTCAATAGCTCATCGGGACCTTTTGATTTTGCGTTCTCCTTTGTTCTGTAAGAGTGATATGATAAGTATTTTGGTATGGCCTTTGTTTTATGAGAAGTAACAATCTCTAGCAAATTCGTTCGGCTCTTGGAATCACATCCAGCAGTGGTTGGAACAGCTCGAAAAAGGGGAGAGAAATGTTTATTTACCATTAAGTAGATGTGGGGAAGTTCTGCAAGGTAGTTCATGACAGAAGTGACAGCATAACTTGAGGCCTCAAGTAGCAACTAGCAAGCCAATAATGTTTGAAATCAGGTTGTAAGCTGTGTCTGGCAAGCTGACACTTTGCTTCAAATTACTGTTGATGAATTCAGAGAACAAGAAGAAGCTAATTAAGGCTTTCTTCATTGATTGTGGCCGCCAGGAGGTGAGAAGTTTGTTCACATTGGTGAATAGAAATTTGTTGCCTTGTGCACCACAGAATATAAGCTGTTCTAAAATTATAGTGACTGTAAAATTAATTTATTGAATTATTTTAAGCATTCATGAAAATCTGTTAAACTATATATATATGTAAATTATTGGACCGAAAAGTAGATCCAAAATGTCACTAGCTAATAATGCGAGTGTTAAATAGAACAATGATTTTGTGGCATGGGAGAAGCAAGAGACACGCACATCATTCTACATTCAATTATTTCATTTGTAACATGAATAAGTTTAAGCTAATAAATTTAATTTCACGTGTCTATATAGTCTGAAAGACAATCTTGTTGTCGGCGTAAGACATGTATGAATATATCAAGTAAAATTTCCTGCAATTGTTATATATTATTGCACACTTCATGTAACATAATCCTCTAAATAGGTCAACCCTTTTTAGGCATGGGTATTCAACCCTTTTCCAAGTATTCTGTCTAGTGATTGTATATATATGATAGGCCACACCTCCCTACAAATGTAGGTTGAATACATTAAAAGTATACAAGAAATTATGGTGAAATATTTGCAATTAAATTATGTAAATATTATTTTCTATTTTATTTAACCAAGATAATAAAACCTTAAAGACATAATTAACGATCGTATTAATGACACATAGCAGAATATATAATTCCTCCACTTCATTCAGATCTCACCAAGTTTCGTTGCTGTAAGAAATCTTGGGTCCCTGCAGCATATATACGTATATATATTTTCTAAAAGTGGTATAAATTCTAGAACGAACAGACAAAAAGTATAAATTTTGACACAAAGATATATCATTAAGGCAGAAAATTAGAAACAACAAGTATATGAAAAATTCACAATTGCTGACAACAAGCTAGAACACCAATAAAGAATTAAAATCATCAATTCATCATCCTATGTATGTATGTTTCTGTGTGTATGTCCCCAAGTTGGGGCAGCATATATATGCTCTAAGGGAACTTAATTTCGAAACCCCTTTAATTGATGGGTTTTTACAGTGGATAAAAGTCAATTATTGTTACACTGCTCCCATAAAAAATTTCTATGCGGAATCGATCGATGTGCATGCGTTGATCAGTTCTATCCTTCTACAAGTCAGGAAAGCAGTCGTCAAGTACATGACTTAAATGGTTTTGATCAGCATCTAAACCCTCGCCATTGTTGGAGACTAAGGGAAAGTTTGTGTAAGCATACGATGAATTCCCAGCAACTTGAGACCCGATTAACTTATCATCATCACCATAGCATTTCCAATCACTGAATTGATGGTTCCCCAAGGTGCTCAATTTCTCATCTTCAATGCCATCAATGGCTGCTGTGGTCTGGTCGAATTTGGCAGCATTTGTGGCAAAACTTGTAGAAATATTGGAGGGGCTGTCAAGCTTCGGAAGATCAGACATTTGAGTTTCGAAAGAGGTGTTGGTAGACCTGAACTTGAGAGTTCCTTGTGGTGGCATTGAATGGTGATTGAAACTTGTTCCTGCTGAATTCAAACTAGACGACGCTGCAATATTGAAGTATGATGGTGGCCTGTAATTGCTGCTGTTTCTGATCATGTTGTAGTAATGATTATTCCAGCCTTCATAGCCCTGCTTGTGACTTGGATTCGGCTTCTTGAATGCGCGGCAAACCACCCACCCTTCTTCCTGTACATACATATAATGGCATTACATATATATATATATTGTTTTAATTTGGGGGTTTATATATATATATATACCTGAGGGGGTCCAAGTTCGGATGTCTGGAGCCGATACTCATGCATGATCCAATCGGTTTTCCTTCCATTAGGGGCTCGACCTCTGTAGAAAACCAAGGTTTTCCTCATCCCTATGACCCCATCTTTGGAAACCACAGCCTTGTCTCTTCCTGTGGCCTTCCAGAATCCAGCCGTGGTGGCCCTGTTGGTTCTGGTGCCAGTCGGATACTTCCTGTCCTTGTGACTGAAGAAGTACCATTCATTCTGCTCTTCATATCCCAATTTGCATCTGTCTGTGTTCAATCATCGAATAACGAATACATACATGTATAAGAGTACTAATAATTAGGGTTTGCAAAGAGATCAGATTGATCGTAATTGGTGTGCACTGTACCTTGAATGTCCCATGGCTCCATTTTGTAGAGATCGATGTCGACGATCACATCAAGATCGATGTTGAGCGAGCTGATCTTCCTCTTGAGATAGTAGCCGACGAGTTCTTCCTCAGTTGGGTGGAATCGGAAGCCTGGAGGCACACAAGATGATTCCATTTCCATGTCTGATCGATCTTAGTTGGCCAGAAAGATCTATAGCACAGAGATATATGGATTTTGATCATTTATCATATATATATATATATTTTGGGATGAGCCTGAGGAGAAGCACTGAAACTGATGAGATCAATGGAATATATGTATTATGTGGGGAACCCCAAAAAGCAATCCAAATTTTACACAAGATATTTGTATTGCAGCTATAGCTCGTAATAGGTTTCTTCAAATAAAGCAAACCTTTGGAAGATGAAAAGAGAGTGAAATTCACACAATAGCTCCTTTGATGTCTACTGAAAAGTATATATATATATATGTATATATGCATGCATCGATCATGATCAGTACTACTCATGATTCATGATATCCATTCGTGAGCACAAATGGAATATCATTGATGATGGTCCCCAACACATGTTCAATTGCTGCACTGCATGTGTCTCAGAATTTCCTGTTTCAATGAGAAGAAGAACTCGAAAATGGCAGACCAAGTGTGGTTCCCACCCAAAGATATTTAATTTCTACAAATAACTTAACTATATGGGCTACACATGGCCGTAAGAATTGACTTTGGCAGAGAAAGAGAAAGACAAAGATATATAGGAATGTGTTTGTTTCTTTGAGTGCATTCCACTCCACGAGCCTTACTGTTGCACAAGGGTTTTCACACCCACCCTATACCCTCCCCTCCCCTCTCTCTATTTCTGTGTGTGTATATATATATATATATGTACTTAATCCATCATTACAACTATAATGAAACCCTAATTAATTGATTATTAATTATCAATTCGAATTCCATACATAGTGTCTGTCGTCTTCGCTTTCTTAACTCCATCATCGATCGGTATATCTACTAATCTCTACAACTCGATCAGACCACAATACAATGAACATGCACACCACTTGCATACCCCATATCTATACTATATATACACAACACATCAAGAACCTATATAATTAATCCATAGATTTCAAAAACTCCTATTATAAACATACCCACCATTCATATATATATATATATGGGCATTATGACATAATCCTGCAAGAACGCATGTAAGCATACATCCTATTAAAAATCTGTATACCATCATAAAGTTGCAGCTAGAACACACACACACACACAACATGTACACTAACCAGAAACTAGGATTGAACTCGTCCCCTTCTTGAATAGACACACAAACAGAGGATGGGCAGATCAGAAAGCAGGAGTTTCTTGCCCTATGCAAATATATATAGAGGATGGCAAGATCTCTCTCTCTCACTCTCTCTCTCTCTCTCTCTCTCTATATATATATATATATAATATTTAATGTTGAAGTTAGTGGCTAAAGGATAAAATGTAAGAAATACTTTAATCAAATGTTGGTGGCGACAGGGATTAAATTAATATAATAGTTACCAACAATCGTTCAGATACAAAACAATAACCTAAACTATCTTGCGTCCACCAAATTAAGATCATATATTTCAATTAACTTTCCATTATGTTACCCTAGTTAATCAGCACAGTAATATATCTGTGTACACTAAACACATGATTACGCGTGGGGTGGCACTGGCCGGCTCCTGAAAAATCCGTAATATATGTCTGATATTAAGGTTTTGTTTGGGCGGCGTGACATCTAATTTTCACGCCAACCTTACCTTCTTCTCCACCACCACCACCACTATCTGCAAGATTTAATTTACTTTCCTTATTGCAAAGATTAATCGAGGAATATATGCTTTATTAATTAATCAGAACTTAAATTAAGTCCAACAACAACCTATCCGTATGATTATTAGTAACTGATATAAACAAACCCTAATCCTGTTTCAAGTTTACTTTCTAAGCAGTAAAGAAAACTACGTTTACAAAGCAACAAGGGTTCTGTATGTATATGTGTATTTATATATATTATTTTTTTCAGCTCGATCAACCCACACGCCAACGATGCTTTGTCCGTTTGGTGCGCCGCCCTCCACAATTGTCACCAGTCGGCGGGCGACACGTGGAAGAAGCCCAGCTGTCTGCTACAGGAAGCTAATCATTTGTGGTCTCAAAGTGTCGTGTTTCTTGCGGGATGAGTCTCCCGAAAGGGATCGGCACGGCAGGCACTGTTATCTGCAGTCAGCAGGCGTCACTCTTATTCCCATTTTCAACCTAGCTAAGCTACCTATCTTGCATCAATGGCAATACTAAATTCCATATTGTGCAGCTGGGGGCATTTACTTTGTTAATCTAGCTAGGGTAATTTCCTTGTTCATTAATTATGCACAAACTAGCTACGATGATGATCAATGGGGTTCAATCTTCAACTTTAATATTCCACAGATATAAATCATACCAAGAATACCGTTGATTTCTGTTAGACTTTGATCCAATGGTCCCAAATTATGTTTGGGTTTGTTTAATTTATGATAAATAGTTTAGTGGAAGTGCAGAATTGCTCAGTAAAGGGATGGATCAACTGAATTTTAAAAATGATAATACTAATAAAAAAGGTGCACTTTTTGGGTGTTATGTACTTTTTCACTATTAAATTGATTCTCTCAATTTTTAATATTAACTTTGAGTATGTTACAAGAGAAGAGCAAGCAAAAGAATATTGTTTACAGTTTATGTAAATGCAACACAAGCAATTTAAAAATCCTAGATTTAATTGGGGCCATACATTATAGACTTGAGACAAAAAGGACACGCACAAAGGTGCTTTAATTTCATCCCAGCCAGACAAAGAAGCTAGAGATGCAGCTTTACAAATTAAAAATTTGAACTACTCTAACCTGAAACTAAAATTCTTAATTTTCGAGTCACACAATATATGGAAACTAACTCCAATTAATTGTCATATCAATTTTTATTTAAAAAACTGCAACAATTCAATATTCGAACTAGCTAGTTGAAAGAAGAAGAAGAAGAAAAGATAACAAAAGAAAGGATGAAGGAGGTAATAATGGTAAGATGGTCCATGGAATTATATCACGATGGGTTTGGGCAGATATTTATCTCAATTATTACAGTGTAACATGAATTGGGACCAATTCTATTCATACTAATGAAAAAAAAAAAAGATAGAGTGGGTTCTTTCCTGAGTTGGTCGGATAAAATTAAAGTTACTTTTTCCTTTAGTGAATTTAAAAATGCTAGAAATAAAAAAGAAATCTTTTTCTTATTACATTTTAAAACTGCCAAAATTTCATCTGGGGAACGTAGCAGTCACTATAATAACTGTTGGGAGTTGTGATTCAAATATACTTTATCAGCATCTTGTTTGGAGATGAGTCTTAATTAAATTTAGTGGCGTATGCAAAAAATTAATCGATTATAAACAAAAACATATGTCAAAATATGCATACAAGAGCCATAATTAATCCATTCATTGGATTTTCATGATCCTTTCAGCCGAAAAGGACATTTAAACTAATAAAGAAAACACTGAATATAATGTTAACCTGCATAAATTATTACCCATGAAATTCTTACATTGTAGCTTTAACAAAAATAAGCACCGCAGTAGTGCATACAGCAAATCACCTTCATGCGCGTCAGAAGACAACATATTCACTTGATCACTCCTGTTTTGCAGTGCTGTCATTAAGCATGTGCCCTAGCTTGAGATTGTTAATCCAAATTATTGTGTTTAATTATGGGCATTAATCGGATAAGATCATCATTATGGCTTTAATGATGATTTTTTTACAAAGTGCAGTTTTTTTTTTTTTTTCACCACAAAATCATAAAATGTAAATTCTAAACGAAAAAGGGGCACTCATGATTTTGGGATCTGGTTAATTTAATTACATATAGGGTTTCTGCTCGATCTTGCTCCACTTAGCCATGGTAAAAAAAGGTTAAATGTGCAGTGTTAAATTAGGTTGGAAGTCAATTTCTATATATGGTGCAGCCACGTGTATTCACATCTGTCAAAACCTTGAAGACTGAAAATTAAGGTGATTATATTGTCAATAGCCTCAACAACGTGACATTTAAAAAGATACATAAGTAATCACAACTATTCATTATATATGTACATATATAAGCGTGAACAGTGTATTCACTCATTATATATTGCATCACAGAATATAATTTGCAGAGGTGTGATGTGAACAAAATCCTTGCAAATAATAAGCAGCCGCCGCATGAAGATATATCTATGCCTATTGAATCAGGTGCAAGGATTACAGATTGAAATGAAATTTGTAGGTTTGGAAAGATGGTGTTTTCAAATGGGCCCTCAGGCCAGGTTATACAAGAATGCACTTTTTTCAAATGTATATATAGTGCTTTAAAATATCATTACTATGGCCTATTAATAATCAAAATAATTATGATATGTTTATGTAAATATGTTTATTGAGACATTGATCGGCTGCTAGGGTTTCATAGAACCATAAACTCATCTTCTTAGACAACACTTGTTCTTAGCATTCATCTTCAAATATGCGTGGACATATATATATATAATATATGTATGTATATTTTTATATGGCGGGTGGGGGATAATTGGGGTGGTGGTAGACTAATTAAATTTGAACACGACATGACAAGCTTCTAGACACTTAAGGTTGATAATGACATAATGCTATAAACCACATTATATACCCAGTTTCCTTAAGTATGATATAGATATATTAATGAATTCTTGTGTGTGTTTATATATATCTGGATTTGATTATTGCTACATTACAAAGTTACTCTGTCAGCTGTCTCTTGTTTACTACATATAAACTATGTTTAAAATGACCAAAACAAACAAGATGCCTTTAATTTTTGCTCATTGATAACTACTTTTTGTGTTTCTTTTTTTCTCAATATGGTATACGTTGGCCATTGCTTGGATTGTAAGTGGGACAATGCAGGCGCCAAGATCATGATCAAACAGCCGAAAAGCTGTATACATCTCTGTGGGTATATGTTATATATATATATATACATATATAGATGATTGCTTCACTTGAAGCTTTAACTTTGTTTTGGCAATCATACTTGAAATAACTAACAGGATTGCCCAAAGATCATATGTTTTGGTGAAATTTAAATAAAATAATAAGGGTTTATTATCTCTTTTAATTTGTATGCATGATCAATAATGAGAAAAAATCAACTTAGTTTCCATAGGACAACATATGAGTGGATAAACAGATATGGAAACCACTTGTAGGTAGAACAAGTGTTAATCGAATGGATTAAGCTCGAATTAAATTTTAAGCAATTCACATGATGTAAGGCACGATGTGGCACAAGCTGTTAAGACATAACCGAAATATTTTCAGATCTCTTGAATTATCCAACTAAGGGCTGTTTGTAATTGGAATTATTGTCATTATCTGAAGTAAGAAATTGGAGGTAGGCGAGCCATGTCGTTTCGTTTAAAGATATTTCAACTTATTACATCACCTCTTATATGTAAAATCTAAGGTATCAAGAAAGGACAAAATATGATATATGGGACTACATCTCCTGTATATCTACTTTCTGGTTTCACAATATAGATTCATCCAATCTGCTTAGAAAGATGATCCTCACTGCATATGCAAGAACTTTGTATTAATGACTTTATGTTTTTATTCTTCTTCTTATTATTACTGGTGTATAATTGAAGTAATCTCTATCACCACAGCTAACAAGGGAATTAACCTAACAGCCGCAAAACAATTTTTGAATGATTTTTCCAAAGTTATGGCTGCAATTGTTGCTGATTATAGTTTTTGCCTTCAGATTGTTTCTAAAGCCCAAGTTTTTCAATTTATTTGATTTCTTTATGCAACACATATATCTCATATCCAATAACAAATCTGGATTGTAAGCCTTTATATTTTGGGTTTATTTGGAACTGCAAATTGATAACGAATAAAGGAGCTGACGAAATATATATACGAGATGATGGCATGCATATATATATACATACATTATTGAGGCATGCATTCCTTTTTAACAAAAAAATGAATGTGTATTCTGAAAGGGACAAAATATTCTCATGAAATCCTATCCACCGACTGAATATCTTCTCCTCATCCTAAATACATTCTAAAGGGGGGAAAAGGATCAATGGTCATGGCGATAGTTTGTTCATTCAAAAAGAGGGTGCTTGAATCTGAATATATCCAAAAACTATTACATCATTTTTAGTTTTTGTTCGCAACAGAAAAGAGGGGCTGAAGGCTCTTGTTTTCCTTAAAGCAATCAATCAAGCATCATGTCTTAGTGGCATGCTAATTTAGCATAATCATTATAATAAAATTTTAATGGTGACCCAGATACATATAGGGATGCGGAATCCCGTCGATTAATTGTTCATGCCCGTCTCATTTGAGTTTGAGCATGATAAGGCTGCAAATCATAGGTCAAATAATCGTTGAAGATAGCAATAAATGACACAAAAATAAGCTCATCAAATATGTCATTTGTGGGTAAGTTTGACTTGAACTCATAAATTCACACTTTAATATAAACCCTTCTCTCGTCTTCCAATTGACCTCTCTATTTGTCTTTCCTTTCCGCCGCCCCCAGTTGAATCATCTCAAATCCCAACGCATTAGCTTCACTGTAATTATTTAATTTTAGTATGTGTCTCAGCCACGAGTCTTTCCTACAGTTGTTAGAAAACGTGTTGGGTGGAGGAAGCATCAGTTCTGGTGGGCATCTGCACATTCCCCAAATCAAAGCTTATTTTTATTTATAAGAATATCTATCTGTACAGTACAGGAGAGAAGATAGATGAAGGTCATAATCATAGGCGAGGAGTTGAGAGTGAGTGGGCCTGGTGTTTGTGGATGAGACAAGACTAGGCTTCTTGGAACCTCACCAAATAACAGACCCCAGAGTGGAGTAAAACAGTAATTAATAAAATAATACTAATATTAAGAAAAAGAAACAGTGATGATGAGCAGAAAATTAATGGCGGAGAGGGCGATATATATCGTCTACGGATTCAGTTGAAACTCGAAAAACCTGACCTTTTCTTCTCTATATTTGGGCTCGCTAGACGGGAATCGTATGTGGGATCTCTTTGATATGGTGAGTATTAATCTCTCTCTCTCTCTGATATCTACGGAGTTCTGGGTTCAATAGTTTTAGTTCTTATGTTTTGTTTATTCGTTTGTTCTTGTGATCTTTGACTGTGAAACAGAGTTTGGGGATGATCTTGAATGTTGTTTGGATTTATGCTTGACCAATTCTACGAAGGAGAATAGTAGGGGGGGTGAATAATCTCTTCTGGTTTGTTAATACTGAGAATGTGGGGAATTATTTTTGAAAGATCTGAAATCTTATAAAAACCCAAATCTTTATTATCTTTGAGGGAATACTGATGAATGATAATTATTCCTTATGTTGGCTGTGCTTCCTGATGTAGTGATATTTAGAAAAGGGGTAGTTTAGTTAAACTTTTGTCTGGCCTGATGTTAATCACTGATTACTGGTTGATTAATCGGTCTTTTATTTCATTCATCGTTGACGAAATAGGGTTTGTGGGTGTTCTTCCCCAAAATTTTGTTCTGAAGATAACATCCATGATCGACCTATTTCAATTCCCCCCCCCTTTTTTTTTATTATCTTGAGGTTGTATGGCTGCAATAAGCCTAGGAGTTCCATAGTCTACGATACTGTAGCTGAAGAATATTTTTGAATTTCACAATTTATTGAAGTATCTTCTTTGTTAATCTGATAAAAGATTCGCCACGCTAAAAGCCTTTGGTGTGGCGAATTTTGTAGGTGAATACTTCATACGATGTTGATAAGATACTTGAATGTTATTTTCTGCTTGAATTCAATTTTCTGATACTGGTCTTAGTAGTTTTATTCTGCCCTGTGTATGCAGTGTTAGTACCATTTTTGGAAAGAAATAAGTTGATATGAATCCTGAAGATAGGATACCTGCAGACCCATGGATAAAGTCTACATCTGGATTTGAATCACTCAACAGGCCTCTGAATGGAAGATCTTACACTGGCTTCAATTCACAGGAGCAGAAGTGGGAAGGTGGTTCTTCATTTAATGAGTATGGTGTACTGGTTGAGCAGCAAATTTCTGAATTCAATCAATTTGGGGCTCGGAATCTCATTCCCTGTGATGTGAATAATAACCATAAGCGAATGAATGATCATCAAGAGAAGCAGCAGATGTACAAAGGAAATGGATGGAATGCAGAACACAACTGGGATCCGAAAGTGATGCTGAACAATCTTTCGTTCCTGGAGAATAAGATCCATCACCTTCAAGATTTAGTGCATCTAATTGTTGGGCGCAAAAGGGATGCTCAGGATCAACCAGACGAAGTTTTGGTTCAGCAACAGCAGCTCATCACTGCCGACCTCACTTCAGTTATAATCCAATTGATATCTACTGCAGGGAGTCTTCTTCCATCTGTAAAGCATACCCTTTGCTCTGAAAGTTCTGTTGCTCAGCAGCTCGGACACTTTGGAGTTACAAATCCATCAGCAGGCACTTTGGAGAATGTGGTTCTCCGGCATAACACCAGTGTAGGCATGGTGGAAGATCGGTCTGGTCAAAGTAGTAATCTGGAGGCTGAACAACACTGCCCTATCGAGGACCATGAAATGAAAAGTGACGATGATGCTGAAGGGGAGAATCTTCCTCCCGGTTCGTATGAAATCCTGCAACTTGAAAAGGAGGAGATCTTGGCGCCTCACACTCATTTCTGCACAATCTGTGGCAAAGGATTTAAAAGAGATGCAAACTTGCGGATGCACATGAGGGGTCATGGGGATGAGTACAAAACACCGGCTGCCCTTGCAAAGCCACATAAAGAGTCCAGCAACACTGAGCCAATTCTGATCAAGAGGTATTCCTGCCCTTATGTTGGCTGCAAGCGAAACAAGGAACATAAAAAGTTTCAGCCTCTGAAAACAATCTTATGTGTGAAAAATCATTACAAGAGAACCCATTGCGACAAAACCTACACTTGCAGCCGATGTCACACAAAGAAATTTTCAGTCATTGCAGATCTGAAAACACACGAGAAGCATTGTGGCCGGGATAAGTGGCTTTGCTCCTGTGGGACAACATTCTCCAGGAAAGATAAACTATTCGGTCATATCACCCTTTTTCAAGGCCATACTCCTGCCATTTCTGTGGAGGAATCAAAAGGCACTGCTGGAGCATCTAATGAAAGACAATGTGGTGAAACAACGAACAAAATGGAAGTGCCAGGAGTTAACTTTAAGTCCAACGATCCAAGCGGAAGCACCTATCAAACTGCTATGGATGTAGAGGATCCATCGAGTTATTTCTCACCTCTGGGTTTTGACACAGGTAATATTGGTGGATATACTGACTTTCCTCGACCTCCATTTGAGGACTCGGACAGTGCATTCTCTTTTCTGCTTCCAGGATCTTGTGATTATCCTCCTAAGAGTGGCTGATCAAATAACTATAGAGTAGAGCTATTCATGGGCAGGTGATTCTCCCCTCCCTGAATGCTACTAGTAGCTATCTATGTATGTTGTTCATTGGAATCTAATAATATTTTCTTTCACTGCAATCTATACTTATCAAAGGCAACTAAGAATTTTTGTTCATCTCCAATTATAGTTCTACCATATGATACAGCATCATGTTAGTATTTTCCAACAGGGAAAAATCACTTTAGTCCCAATATAACAAAAATTAATCATTTTTTTGTCCCAATCTAAAAAATTCATCAATTTTGGTCCCAATATAACTAATTTTAATCAATTTCAGTCCCACCTCTAAAAAACTAGTTTTGAATTTATGTCTGATTTTTTTTTTTTTAATTTTTTAATGCACACGGCCGTGTTGGTCCAAATCGGATGCTACGTTAGCTCCGTTATATTCACGTCAGCGCGTTTCGGTTAGTTTCTCTTTTAAAGGTGAGATTGAAATTGATTAAAATTAGTTATATTGGGACCAAAATTGATAAATTTTTTATATTTGATAAAAAATAATTAATTTTTATTATATTGGGACTAAAAGTGATTTTTTCCCTTTCCAATATTAAAGGTTTTAATATTTTGTATTACTCAGCAGCTCCTTAATCAAATGAAAATGAACGCCAATACCATCAACAAAATAGAGACTACTGAAGTTGAAGCTCAAGTGAGATTGCAACTCTCTCAATGTGTGGAAGAGAAGAGGGTATTTTTAACAAACAAGATTCCAAGCAGTATCCAAATTTTGTGTCTAGGGCTGTTTTACACCTTTGTAAGACTTTCTGGAGTGGTCTGCCTGAAGTTGGAGTTATGATGCAGGATGAGCTTCAAGCCCTTCACACCTTCTCCAGATTTTGACAGCTTCTTTGAAGGGCTGGGATAATATTTCTCCTTAAGCACAACATCATCCACACATGACCAAGAGGGTCCTATTGGAGAACTGTCGTATAGAAATCTCTTTGAGAATGGGTTTACAAGACTGCTACGGAATTCCTCTACCGTCTCACAGATAACTCCCTGTACCAAAAGAAAAACAAAGCTATTAAACTCAATGCAAATCCATTTCATGCTCAATGGTGGAAATTGCAATTGTACAAGTTCACTTACTTCAGCCATGGCCTTGATCTTCAGAGTAGCATCGTCAGTAAGAAGGATAAGCTGTCCATCATTTCTGATTCTCTTAAAGAAAAGAGCACATTCAAGGATATGGTCTGTGGCCGTGGGAGTAACAATTTCCTCTAAACTATATGGAGAGAATGGAGTAGAGCGGACAGACAATGCACCGATCTTGTCCTCGCTGAGCCAATGAGGAGAAGAAGAAGCAGGAGGGGTCAGAGGAATAAGATTGCCTTCCTCTGCTGAGCTCTGTAAATGGATCCACCATTTGGAAATAGCCACACATTCTTCAATCCATTTCAATGCAGCAGAAACTTCAGTCATTCTTCTAAAGAAACTAGCACGTCTCAACATGCAATCAAGTTCCCTTACAACTGAGATCAGAACAGCATCAAGTTAGATACAAGCTATACACATTTTACTAATACCCGTATTTGGAGCTCTCATAAAAAACTTGTTACCAATTCTAGGAATAACCAATGTAGTCCCTCGAAGACCTCGCAGAAGTTGCAGCTCCTTCCTCGAATCTTTGTTCAGCAAACAGGTACTGTCTACAACAATAATCCATCTCCTATCTTCCACCTTCATAGTCTTCTTCTGCAAAATCCAAAAGGGAAATGTTAGTCAACGCAACAGACTACAATTTTCATAATGAACAAGCAAGGGGTCTTGCATGATAATCTTGGATAAAAATTTTAGAAAAGTTAAACCAGCTAGCTCTAAAGAAATATTTTCCTACCTGTGCTCGAAAACTATGAAGTATGCAGAGTAAAAGCCATGAAAAAAAAGGCTCAAGCTTACATGAGAATGATCAACCGCTTCAGTCTTGGGATGGGAGGTAGATCTTCTACCTGTCAACTTCAACTCATGAACTGTAGGTTTTGGTTTGGTGTTTTCATCAGATGAATTTACAGGCAACGGATGAAAAGGGTCTCTAACTGCTCCAGCATTGAGCACAGTTGGTGGTTTCTTCTTGCTGCAGCGGCTTTTGGACATGGAATTTGTTGATTTCCGTTCCTGAAGAAGATTTAAGTTCTGACTTTCTTCCTCAAAGGCTGGAAGCAAGACTTTCCTGTTGCTATTATTAGCTCCTGTCAAGGGGGACGAACTGCAAGGCACTAAATGTTTAGCTTCTTCTAATATGCCTCTATTCTTCATGGACTTCTGTAGACGGGTATTTGGAGTCATGTTTTCTTTGTCTGGGGTGAAAATTTCTTCTTCATCCTGCTCTATGCTGGAGATCTTAGATTTCAAATTTGAACCACACTTCACAATTTCTTCATTAGCCCTATTAACTGAACTAAACGTCGGAGAATTAGGAGAGGTATTCTCTTGGGAGATGTGCTCATCATTGTAAGGAATAGAAAAATTATCCTTATGAACCAGTTTGCTTCTGTTGTTTTCATCAAGTGATTGATTACTCTGCAAGCTCATATTAATCCTTGCATGGCTTCCACTTCTTTCACTGGTTTGAATGTTTACACTTTCAAGCTTACCCCTCCTTGACCAGATACTGAGGCCTGATCTTTTCATTGAACTCATCATTCCAGATGTCTCAGTGGTTTCAAGTTGAGCTACTTTGGGGGACACAGCTAAAGGAGAATGTACACGAGGAGTGCTGTTTTCTTTGTCAAGACCACACAACTCGCCATCAGAGATACTCTTTTCAAGCTTGTTTCCTCCAGATGATTTGATATTCTCTACTTCATCTTTGTCGAAAAGTGAAATGCAGAATTCCTGAGACACAAGGATTGATGATGGCGGACTCCCTTTTTGCATAGAGGAGCCAAAATCCTCATCAGAATATAGCATTGTTAAGGCTTCCATGTTGTTGCTCAGAGTCTGCACTTGATCATTTCCCAAAGGCAAAGCATTCTCATCCTGGAAAATGAAATTTGCAAATTCTTAGAATAGCATGCTAAGACAGTTCATGACTACATGTGTGGCAAGTTATCTTTCAAATAAACCCTTTAAAATTCACCTCATTTATTGCCTCTTGGATTTCTTCTTCAACAACTATGTGGGAAGCACTCAATTCAGGCACAAATGGGTTGTCAATATCATAAGCATAGCTTATTGGAACCCAACTGAATTTGTACAACCTACTCGATGCCCCAAGACGCAGAGTATCACCATCAGTAAGATGGATAATCACCCCAGGCTGGATTTTTGTGCCCGATATCCAAGTCCCGTGCACTGAAATGCAATACCGATCATCAACTAAAAGAAAACTCAATGATTCATCAAACTTGAATCTGCCATGGGCTATTTAGTCACCAAAGCAAATCAATATACATACTTCGCAATTCGCAGGTACGACAGTGTCAATCAAGAAACTAATGGCTCCTCAATTCGCAAGGTTTGGTGTGAATGTAAAAAGATAGAATATCATACAGTTCCACAATAGAAACACTAAAATAGAATCTTTATTTCTTGTTTATTTTGAAGAAAAGAAAGAACTCACCAGAGGACAAATCCGTGACGGATAGAGAACGAGAAGAGGGTTTAGAGTGAACGCGAAGATGAAATCTGCTGATACTGGGGTGCTCCAACTTTATATTACAATCTGGGTGCCTTCCCACCACCAATATTTCCTCCCCTTGGGATTCTTGATCATCATTTTCGGCTACGTAAAGAGAAGAAGAAGGAGAAGTTGCAGGAGGGGTGTCCAAGAGAAAGATATTCTTGAGGATGCAATTGTTCTTCAAGACAGTGAATACGGGGATCTCTCTCTCCCTTCCCGTCGCTTGCCCTTGATTCTCAGCCATTGCAGAGAGAGAATGAGATTGAGGGGGACGATCTTGCTCTAGATTCTCAGCCATTACAAAGAGAGAACGAGATTGAGAGGGAAGATCTTGCTCTAGATTCTCAGCCATTGCAAAGAGAGAACGAGATGAGGGGGACGAAGATGCAGAGAATGGTTTCTTGAATCCAATTGATTCTTGAATTGAATTGAAATAAAGAAGAGGGGTTTTGAAATGTAGTGACCGTTGGGGAATTTCAAAATACTGCCCTTCCATTTTCAGTTTCATTAGCGATTATATGCATTTAATGATTATTCCAATTAATTAGACAGCACTTTCGGTGACTTATTTTGAAATTTATCATCAAAACTAAAAAAGTTCCAAATTCATGGGCCCTAATTCTGGATAAAAGTAGAGGACCAATAAATATGGGCCCAATAATGTGGGCCTAAATTACACGGAAGGCCCAATATGGGAGAGTATAAAAAAAGCGCTGAAATTCGCCTGGCAGATATTTCGGAGGGCATTCTTCGTTTGTCAGTCGGCGCACCGATACCCTAGATAGAGAAGATGATCATCCCAGTGCGTTGCTTCACTTGTGGAAAGGTGATACTGGTTTTTCCTTGTTACTTCGTTGCTCTAATGGAAACTATTTATTTATAACTTGAGTCAATTGACGAATTTGTTCCTCTTACATACGGGTAATTAGGTGATCGGAAACAAATGGGATATGTATCTTGATTTGCTCCAGTCTGATTACAGCGAAGGGTATGATTCTTCTTATTCTTAGTCTTACTAATTTTTTTTGGCGTAGGCGGCTTGTGTTTTCTGTCAAAGCTGTTAATTTACTTCAATGCGTATTAGTTTTATGTTCAAAAGTGGCGCTTTTTTGGCTTTCGAACTAGTGAATTCGAGTTTTATTTTTTCATATGCATGTTGAACTGTTGTGTGAATGAAATTATCATGTAAATAGCGGTTAATGATTTGGAACTTTGGTTGTGTGGGATTATGCCTTCCGCCTTCCGCCTTCAAGGTAGCTTTCGTTCTTAGGACATTCAACCTGATAGTTTATTGTAAGCCATCAATGGCTGAGTTTTTTTTTTTTTTTTTTTTAAATGAAATTTTGATGTGTATTTCCCTAACTATTATAGTCCTAACAAAAATGGCCCAAAATTTGAGACATATAGCGGAAATATGCACCCTTTTTGTGCTAACAAAAATAACTTATTAGTTCATACCATGATTTTTGGTTCTTATTATTATTTGGAAAGGATGGATGTTTTTGTAGTTTGTGTGCCCATGAGCCTATCCATTATTACGGGCATGCGAACCAACAGGATTTTTATACTTTCTTCTATTTAATTACAGTTAATCTGATGTATTGATGGTAATAGTAGAATGGGTGGGATTATCTTCAAAACCTTTTTTTAAAAATAATATGCCTTTAATAGTTTTCGATGCTGATATATATCATCTAGTTCTCAAGTTTTTGTTATGGAAAGTGAAAAGAAACTAGAGCACAGAAATAGGACTGTTTTGTAGGTTACAAGAAACTGTTAAAGTATTATTTTATCGTGCAGAGATGCCCTGGATGCACTTTCTTTGGTTCGATATTGCTGTCGAAGGATGCTGATGACTCACGTTGATCTCATCGAGAAACTTCTCAACTATAACAGTCTGTCTCTACCCTGTTTCTTCATATATGTGTTTATGTTCCTCTGATCTTTTTTATTATATATATATATATCACACATACCCAAATGTTCCTTCTATTTGGTGCTTAAATAAGGTTGGCCAATGGTGGATTTGTAAAATGGGACCCTCTTGCATGTTGAGGAGATTTTTACTAATCTATCAACACGGCAACTCTACAGGCATAGATTAAGCATTGGTTTTCTTTTAAACGCTAGCTACATGCATATACTGAATGCTGTAATGAGCTAAATCATCCGGGATATGAAAAATAAAAACTAGAAGTTGGTGAACATTTTGAGTAAATAAATAACGTATACATGAAGTCTGTGCAATAGATACATGGCTGCATATTGATCTCTCTCTATAATACCTACTCAATTCTTCATAACTCACATTGTGTTTTTTATATTCGTCATTACAGCTTTGGAGAAGGCTGAGGGCAGCTGATCAGTGTGTGGTGTCTGGCCGTCTACTAGCATTTCATCTCACTTTTGCAGCTGTAGTATCAATGTCTAGTAATGCTGAAAAAGAATCCTTTAGTTTGGTATATTGCTGTCAATGCTGAATATTTCCATATGAAATATTTGATGGGATGAATGGATTTTTGTCGTTTCCCCTTCTGTCTTGCTTTCACAGTGACGCTGATTCTTTGGTGTCTTTTCTGTCCTGGTTTTTAATGCCTATGAAAGTTACGTGATGCTTCCACATGGAATTGGTCTTAGATCTCTATATCCTTTTTATTTACAGTAATCCTTCCGCATCAAGATTTTAGACTTTTAGCAAAGAAAATGACCATTATTCGATATCAGGAAAGTTAAAAGCAGATCAATTGAGTCCTCTTGCCAAAATCAAAGTGGGCCAGCAAGATAAGAAGCTTCTCCTCTGCTTTTTTAGCCTATGTTGCTTGGTTGAATGGGAGAAAGCCTTTTGACCATGGTAAATAATCGCTGCTAAAACAATATAAAAAGTCAAAAGCATAATGCTTGAAAGCTCTGTAATCGTAGATTCGGTTGACTCAAATGCTTTTGGCATGGTAATCACAATAATCCATTTGAAGAAATGGATTTTATCTGTATATACCCAACTGATTCATATAGTTTAAAGATATTTATCTTTGAAAGATGAATATACAAACGTACAGCTATCAATCAGGCATAATCCTTCCTGCCTGCCTGTTTAAAATATGCCAAGCCAGTCAGTCGTCTTCAACCCAGAATCAAGGAATCTTGTTTTGAGTTGATCCATTCAAACAGCAATTCCAATATAGAATCGAAGAAGTTCTCTTACCAACTCTGGATAAGAACGTTTTCTCAATTTCAAACAGTGTGGAGGACCAATGAAAGATGCCGCCAGCCAGTGGCTGAAAATTTTGAATTGGCATGCTAACCTCATACCTGCTAGCAATGCTCCATGTCATCATTGAAAAAATCTGTTTAAACAGCTCATCAAAGAAACCATCCGTTATTTTAGGTTGAAAGCACAATGTTTTGTCTGTTTCATGCAGATCAGATGGAATCTCACGCAGACCATGGTACAAATTTTTTTGTTCTTTTTCCAGGTAAAGACAGAGTTCCGTTGGCTTCAACAGGCCTTGTATACAACACTCAATCGCTTGCCTGTCTCCCAGTTCGTATATTTTAAGGATAATCAGACGGTTTCTGTAATGTTTCCTACGACCCTGGAACAAGGACATATATACACTAGAATATCGATAGCCGGCATTGCATTGATGACACGCACTTAAAGGGACATCCATTTGAGTAAATTTCCTACGAAGCAACTTAATTTCCAGCATCTTTCTTTGTTCTTATTCTGGGAATATTTAATGTTGGAAGGTCAATGAAACAGGTAGCGAGCGAGCCTATTGGTGCAGTCATAAACAATCTAGAAGAAGTTGGGAGATTAGATTTGTACATTTTGGACAAAGTCTCTAAGAGGACGGTAGATCAGATGCTCAAAAAGTTCCTTCCTTTTGCTGTTTTTTGTCTACAGCATATGTCATTTCTTGACCTCTCCGAACTGCCCAAAAGTGCAAACGCCCTTTTCTCAAGTCTTGATAGATTCTTGACCTTTGAACACTGAATTTTTTTGCCCGAGATCAAAAGATGCCTTATGCTCTAATCTTTCTTGTTGAATTTTCGCTTCTGAACATCCAAGAATTCAACAAATCTTTGGCTTTCATAACTCCTAGTTTTATTTCCCTTCTTTTACTTTCATTAGAAAGCCATATTTGAACTACTCTTTCTACTCTCTCTTGCTCCCTAAAATCTGTGATGGAAGGACTTGATGAGGATGATTTTCTAAGCCTAAACCTTACCATCACCACAAATTACAGGTGTGAAAGGAAGAAGAAGAGGAAGAGAAGAGGAACAAATAATTACATGGGCACGAGTGAAGAAAGCGAAAGTGAAAGCAGCCGAGAGGGTAAGATATTTGATCTCCTACAAATGAGAGAGCAAATGCTGAAGATGGATCACAAGGAAAAAAATATACCTGATCGAGCAGATGGAGGTCTTCATTTCATTCATTTGCTTCTCCTATCTGCAACTTCAGTAAACGAAAACAACATCAGTGCAGCCGTGGAGAGCCTCTGTGAATTATACCAGAATGTGTACCTGACAGGCGATTCGGTCCAGAGGGTTGCTGCTTATTTTGCTGATGGACTTGTGGCGAGGCTCCTCACGCAAAAGTCACCCTTCTACGACATGATCATGAAGACTCCTACGCCGGATGAGCAGTTCTTGGCATTCACACAACTCTACAAGGTGTCACCGCTGTATCAGTTTGCTCATTTCACTGCAAATCAAGCAATTCTTGAAGCATTTCAGAAAGAGGAGAACACCAACAACAGCGCTTTGCATGTAATTGATTTCAACATTTCTTATGGTTTCCAGTGGCCTTCTCTAATGCAATCTCTCTCAGAAAATGCCACTGCTACAAATCGGACTTGGTTAAAGATCACAGGGTTTGGCAGGAGCTCGGAGGAACTTAAAGAAACTGAATCTAGACTTGTGAGCTTTGCAAAAGGCTTTCGCAATCTAGTCTTCGAGTTTCAGGGATTGGTGATGGGATCTGAGCTAGTAATTCCAAAGAAAAAGAAGAATGAAACAATTGCTGTCAATTTAGTATTCCATCTAAATTCATTACATACTCTTTCCAATATCTCAGACACCTTAAAGTTCGTCTATTCTCTGAGTCCTGCTATCGTAGTTCTGGTAGAGCAAGAAGGCAGCAGAAGCGCCCACAAGTTCTTACCAAGATTCATGGAGTCGCTGCACTATTTCGCAGCTATATTTGATTCACTGGATGATTGCCTCCCACTTGACAGCACTGAGAGGTTATGCATTGAGAAGAATCATCTGGGAAAAGAAATAAACAGTGTGGTAAATTATGACACAGACAACAACAAGAGCCTCAGATTTGAGAAGATGGAAACATGGAAAGAGAAAATGGAAAATCATGGTTTTTTGGGGTTAAGACAAAGTTCCAAATCAATTATGCAGGCAAAATTGCTGCTGAAAATCAGAAGCCATTGCTCTGCGGTAGGATTAGGCGAAAACAGTGGGTTTCAAATTTCTGAAAGAGATGATGGGAAGGCTATTTCTCTAGGCTGGCAAGAAAGGCTTCTGGTAACAGCATCCTCTTGGTGCTCTAATTTACTATGATAGCCATTCTTTACCAAATTCTTTTGTTCTTTTTGTGCCTCTCTCTGAATTCCTCTATTCTTTCCCTAACAGTACGAGAAATCCTTAGTAAGTAGCCATGCTCGGATGCAAAGTCAACACTATTACAACCATTGCATCCTAGCAATAGAAAAACCACACAATCATCTGTCCTACAATGTATTATTAGCTATGAATTAACTTTTGTCAGCATGTCTAATATATCAATAACATCATCAAATTCACATACTATGTAGCTACATGATTAACTACCCGTCTATCTTTCTATCTATCTATCCGTACATATAACTACATACAAGTAAGTCAAATAGTTGTTTCACAGTAAGCAAAGCATATTAGCGTCCAACATGGTCTCCTCCATGATCGATAACTAAATGTTTCCAATAACATTCAAATAATAGAAGAATAGAAGGGAAGTTAAACTCCAAAACTTATCAGCATGATACTGAGGTAACAATTTTCATATGTAACTTTGCTTGCTAGCGGCCAACATGGTCTCGAGAACAGATAACTTCTTGTTTCCAATAACATTCCAATACTAGAAGAAATTAAAAAGGAAAATAAACTAAAAAACTTATCAGCATGATACAAAACAATTTCCATATGTAAGAGGCTTATGAACCACACTGAGTTTACTTTTGTGAAGTAAACTTACATACATTAAGCGGATCAATTTGGAGGCTTTCCCTTTGATAATCTTTCCATCTTTTTCTTGAGGAAAAAACCAAGTGCAGACCCAAGTACAGGCCAGGTTGATATGATGGCTATATAAGCAAGCAGCCACAGTGATCTGTTACTTTGACGAGAAAGCTGGTATAGGCACCTTTCAACAATGCTCAATCCTCCCTTTGGACCAGCACTTTCAGATGTTCTCTGAGTATTGGTTGCAGAATCAGATTTCCTTCCACTGGTGAAAATATTGTTTTCTGAAACTAATTGCTTTTCCTGGTCTTGATCTTTATTTTCTTTAGATGTCTCATTGATGGTATCATCAGTTCGCTCATTGCCCATGGCGGCCACCATCCCATCAGCGACATTAAGATATGGACCTTGATCAATTGAAGATTGGGTGTGTGCAGAATTAGGCTTTAGATGATCAACCTGCAACAATAGAAGAATATCATCCATGGATCTAAATGTAGATAATTAATATAAACCAGGGAAATCCCTGAATCAGTTGGATGATCGGGAATCCAAGAGAAAATAAATATGTAGGAACTTTTACAGACCTTCTTTTGTTTATGCATGAAAGAACTTGTAAGTAACACTTCAAGAAATTCATTAACTGCTCTCACCCACCTGCAGAAGAAAGCAAAGTTTCAATTTAAAGAATGCTATGTTCTTCCAATCTGAGATGGAAAATCAAATTGGTAAGAAGAAACAAAGTACCATAGGCGAGATGCAGTTATGCCTTCAAAGGATGCCAGATGTCCACCATGTAATGTTGTAGCTAGGACTATATTTTTATTTTCTCTGCAATCAGGATACTGATCATTATAAGAGATGAATTCTGCTGACACGATCAGAGTTAATACTTCTAGGGAGATAATATAGGCAAACCCACCGGCATTCATCCCAGGGAATGGCTTCTTTAGTGCAGAGGGGATCATCCAATGCACTTACACAGAGAAGAGGTACTGAAACTTGTCCAACATAAGGTGCACTGCTACAACGCCTATAGTATGTATCCACCGTCTAAAAAAAAGGGATATGTCCAGGTATGTTTAGTGATGGTTTTATACTCATGGTTAGGGGAGTGAAGAAAGAAAAGTACCTCATAGTTCCCAACAAGACATGTTGCATGTGTATCAAAATCTCTAATTGAGCGAGACTGTAAAGCAAGACAAAAGGTTAAGCTACCAAAAAGCAATCATATGCAATGCATTACTAACTCATGAAATGTAAAACAGTCACGGCTGCAACCAACACACATTTATCCTTCAATAACAAAATAACCAAGCACCCATAATCAGGGTTCAGCAAGCAAGAGTGGTTTCAGGGCACCATATCTTTTATTTTACCATTTTTAGTAGTATGATATAACAATCAGAAAATCACTAATATTGTATAGCATAATAGATTATTCAGTTGCAGATGGAGGATGACTGCATAATCAGGAGCTTGGGTACCAATAAATATTGTACAAAACAATTTAATACTGCAAAGGGGTTTTAGATGAACTGCACGACACAAAAAAGAATGGAACTTTATAGAATGTGACCAGAGAGATTTAGGGTTCAACGCTAGCCTCCCTTGAATCAACGAATTAAAATTTCCAAATTCCATAAAAACCTAATTTGCAATTTCAATCTTGAAAAGCAAGCAAATTGAACAAGATGAACCAAGAGTTCTAGCAGAAACAATGTAATGAAACCACAGCAGACCAACCTTTTTAATACCCTCCCAGTTTGCAAGGCGAGAATAACGAGTTTTGTGTCTGCATTACCAAATTAAGTATGATCCAGTAAGTGTTAAGTGCACTTCATACATGACCCACCATAAGAATGAAGAATGTGCTAATGGCTTAATGCCATGGAAGCCATCTACAAAACAAAGAAATTCAACATACAGTTGTGCGTAACCTTGAAGACCAATTGTAAGAGCTCTGTCATAAAACTTCTGGACAAGCCTCCGACATATAAACCTGGAACCAATCTAGTAGCATAATAGAAATTAATTGAAAACATTAGATTTCTGAAAGATAAATCTCTAGACATGAGAATACTTTGGAGAAAAAATTTACAGTAGATAGATAGATTTATATATATTTACATAAACTGACCAAGAGATCCCAAGGACAAAAGACTGCAGCAGCACCAGCGACAGGAACATTTTCCCCATTCTCTCCGAGGTATTTCACCTGAAACCAACAAGTTTCAAATTGTACCACATATCAAAAATGTCATTTCCTAATACAGAACAGAGCAAGGAGATGGAACTGTACCAAAATATTTGCACCAATACTTGTCCCTATGACAAACAAAGGGGCAGAAAAATACTCTTGGTGTAGGTAGTCAATGACTTCACGTACATCTTCTGTCCACCCAGCATTATAGAAGCAATCGGTCTACATATATATATATATATACATATATATATACATCACAGTTCAAACCAAACTGACGATAACGAAATGGTCACTCAAATCAAATCTTCAATAGGAAATATGGATTTTTGGACAAGTTGATAACCAAATCAATATGAACCACAGAAACCTCAACAAAGTAAGACGAACTAGTATTCGATGAAAAAAAAAAGGTAAGACGAACTACTATCCCGATCAAAAACAAAAGTAAGACGAACTAGTATCCCATCAAAAAAACAAGGTAAGACGAACTAGTATCCGATAAAAAAAAAAGTATGACGAACTAGTAGATGTCAAGAGAGAGGTGAGATTTGCAGTAAAAACTGTCCTAATAAACACGCATGTATAATGTCAATAAATGCACAAAGTCATCAGTACTCACAGTGACTGAGACACCACCCAATCCTCGGTGATTGCTGACCACCACATTCCATCCATTTTTCGCTGTATTGAAGACAAGATGTTTCATATACTGTAGCGAAACACAAAAAAGTTAATGAAAAACTATAGAAGCAAACAAAAACCCCATTGTCAACTACACAAAATAAGATGCCAAGATCTGTCTCCTCTTTCCAATTCTCACTTTCTATCTACATCAGCTAACTAATGCTTAGAACACGAACTATTTTCGCATTAAAATAGTAAACACCTACAATACAAACAAGTTTAGCAAATCACAACAAGGTTGCAACATAATTTCTTACTGGAGAAGCCGAATCACTTGTTAGTCCAGGAATCACAACCACAATAGGAGTTGTGTCATCCTTAGCAATTGTGTGATTTTGAACACCAGCACCAGACACTGCACATAAAAGGAAAGGAAAGAATGACAGAGCACAAATGAACAGTTCAATGGAAACAAACCATCAATAACATTAGAAGATCAACTAATGATCCCTGAAAGTTCACATATCAGTGGAAATAGTGTTGTCTATTGTGTAATAGATACATACCCGCAGCTAGGGATCTTGACTGCCCAAGCCCAAAGAAAGAATGTGAATCAGGAAACATATGACCATTCCACAAGAATAGTAAATAATGATTGGAAGAACACTAACATCAACAATGATCATTTTCCTAAAAGAGGTTTTACATAGAAAAATGCAGCATGAAATCTGCTTGATTTGGGGAAACTAAAACAACAATACAGATATCTCTACACCATCAATCAACACTAAGTAGTCCATAAAATCTAAAAAGAACTTAGCATGAGCATCTGATATAGTTAGGTAACAAAGCATAGAAAACATTGAATGTGCCATGGAAGACATATATATAAAGCAAAGTAGCAAAGCACTTAATATTTGGATATTCAGTAAATCTATTCAACATCCCTGAACGTATACAACCACTAATAAAATGTATGCACTTCTAAAAGCATTTCAGATTGCATATTGATACAAATGTTTTACCATCAGAGTGCAACAGCCAGTCCAGAGCAAAAGTCCCACCATCAGATGCATGAAACATCTGTCTGAGGACCATATAGATATATCAGAGGGACATATACTGATTTCTGACAACTAAAGGAAAAAATAAGGAGTAGAAATCTAAAACAATATAACAATGTTTAGCCATGTTAAGCTATCAAGTGCAATAACTTTTGTTTCTGGGGGCTGTGAAGAAGAAATCTTCGTCGGTGTCACGCCATAATCGTAAAGTCATATACTTCTATATTCAAGCTCTTCACAAAGAAGAAACTCACCTTCTGTAGGTAAAAGCTGGAGGCCTCCCAAAGAAGTTTATGAAAGAAGTTTGGAAATGTGGACTTGAAAGCCAGGGTGTTGCCAAGTACCTATATAGTCCAATTGTTACATACACTTGTACGAACAAAAGTGATGAAGCAGCTTCCATCAACCACTATTATCCATGGCTCCTAAACAAGACGATACACTATGGTCCATGGATACAACTTCAAGAATAATTGTGATCCTTTCATCAATAATGATCAAATACAAATGATTTTTTAATGACTAAACTGCCTTTTAAAATTAGAAATAAACAATCTGTCGGAAAAGTCCTAATGTAGGACTACTATCTGCAAGAATTTAAAAGAATAAGTCATACATTGCAGTAACTTTCAACACGTACATCATCTCAATGATTATTTTACAATGTTATCAAGAACTTTTCACAATTCTAATTCAAGAGAATGTGTATATATTGAAATTGTCACCTTCCATGAAGCGTCTTGCACTTGGATACAACTCCATGATAAATATCCGAGCTCGGATTGTATGTCAAGGATACGGGTCCGCCACGAAATCCCGTCAAAAGATCTTGAAAAAAATGAAGCTCCAAGAAATTGTACAAGAAAACGATGAAAAGTAAAAGCACCCCAACCAAATAATGCCATAAGGGTATTGCAAAGGCGGACTTGATAAGAAATTCGTAAGCAACGGCCGGTTTTTCAAGAATTGCTTCCGAGCAATCCATGGAACAAAAATGAATATCTTGATCGGAAAAAAGACAAAAAAATCTTTCAAAAAGACACGAAATTTGGGTTTGATTTGCAATTGGGGGAGATGAAGTTCACTGCAGATTTTGGTGAGATGGTTAGGAAATTCAACCGCATGGAATCGCATTTAACTTTCGTGTCAAATGTCGTTGTTGCATTATAAATACAGGAGCGGCGGTCGTTAATTGGACGCCAATAGACGCAAGAGGTTTCGGTGCGGTTATTTCCGTACTATAGTATCCAGTTTGAACTAAAGTCGTTTTTCCTTTTCCTTTTCCTTTTTCTTTAATTATATATATATATATATATGTATATTTTAATTAAACATCAGCAGCAGATGAGGTAGGTATCTAGGAAAAGATTACATCATTACAGCCAACTCCTGAGTCCCGAGCATATCCCGAGTCCCTAGCATACATGCGTGATAATTCTCACCAGACTTGTTTACAAAATGGTGATAATCTACAAAAAGCCGGGTGTAGCAGCAGCATCTGCTGTCATTTTGGTTGGCTCTGAGACAGCTGGAGGGGCGTGAAGATTGGGCAATTTCAGAGCCGCAATTCCTCCAATAACAGCGGCAATGCCTCCCAACACAAACCCTGGTAGGTTTGAGTTGCTAAACAGTTCGTCCAGTGGTCCACTAATCACTGTCACTCCAACCTGTTCCAATGGACAAACCCAATCATATAATATCAAATTGTCTGAACAAGCTAAAGACAATCCGACGTACCTGCGGAACTACAATCGCAAGATTCAAAAGCCCTAAAGTCAAACCTTCAAGAATTGAATCCCAAGAGTGTCAGCAAAGAACATTCTTTATATATGTTGTTGGAAATAACCATACTACTGCTTGCTTTCATCAGCTTCATCACTTACCTTGGCCTGTCCCTGTGTCTCTCGAGTATATACAAGCTAGTGCAAACGGGATGCTGCAAAGTATCTGCCATCAAAACGATACATACACATACATGACTTCTCAATAAGTATAACCACTCAGACACACATGGATCGGATGATAATATTGACATATTGAAATCAAGTAAAATGACCGCTTGTGGGACACCGAAAGTAGCCATGAGAAGGAAACACAACACTGTGACGTCCATCGGAGGCCGATCAGGTAAAGTCCCGCCAGCAGCTATTCTCACATTGTAGGCCATTTTACTTAGGACTATTGTCAATCCCATACATAATGCGAGAATGAAGTTTCCGGCGCACCAAAGACGCTGCAAAGTGCCAAGAATCAGCGCCAACGGCTCCAGCAAGAGCGACGCAGCCCCCATCACGAGCACGGAAAACATCAGCCCCAGCGAGCCAGCGTGTACCCCTCTGTCGTATACTGCTACCTGCTGCGCTGTTCCGGAAGGCTCCCCTCCGAACACCTCCTTTCCCATCCAATCCGTGCTGTACAGCATGAAGGGAAAGATTCCTATCCAACTAAGGGCTGTGATTGTGTACAGAGTCCTGACTGCATTGGAAGTGCCTCTAGCGGCTATTACAATCTGCATCAACACTGATGGTGGTTTCCCTATGGAATTGAGGCTGTCTTGATGGCAAAAATCCGGATACGACGCCTCCAATGGCACCTCCTTTATGCATAAAGCAACCACTGTCACTGTGAATGCTGTAAAGATGCCGCTCATAAGAATGCATACTTTCAAATTGGCACACATATGATTGCAAGACGGCGTCACTGCGCCGGGCATAAGATGAAGCTGCTCAAGGGATCCAACGGCGTATCCGGCCGTATTTCCCACAGCCATGAAGAATGCATAAAGGGCATTCCCTATTGTCATCATTTCTCCACTGTCCTCTGATAAATCAGCCAACAGGGCTCTACATGGACCCTGTATCATATTATTGGAGATGTCTAACAACCAAAAACCAAACACAAACAGCTCCACTGTCTTGGGCTTGAAGCCATCTGCAGGGTCACCCAGGGAAGTTCCTATATCAGAACAAAAGCCAATGATGGAGACTGAAACAAGGTTCAAGAGAGTGCCGGCCACAAGATAAGGACGTCGCATGCCGTAAGATGAGGTGCAGCGATCGCTGTGGTGCCCGACAAGGGGCTGGACGATCAATCCGGTGATGGGGCCACAGAGCCATATGAGGGATACGGCCTTATGGCTGAGGCCTAAGAGCTGTGTCATGGGAGTCAAATGTGTTAGTTGCACGGCCCATACAAACTGCACACCTGCTGCAATGGCTGCTACCAGGGTCAACTTCCTTATGATGTTTCGACCCTGAAGCTGAAGCTGTGCCTGCATTTCGGGCTGCGGCTGCAGCAGCTGCTGGGGATGTTTGGCTTCCAGGAAATCCATGGTGCATGTCGTGTCTCCTGCAAACGGACTTGTCCTGATATTGCAATTACCACATAAGGCAAGGTAAGTTAATTCTTGTCATGAATGATAGAAGAAACAGGCATATGTGGCTCTGCCTGAGGCTACGCCGTGCAACAATTGATTGCAGGTGCTTCTTGCAGTATGTGAATATCATCCATCAAGACAGGTCCGTTGCTCCTCCAGTTTTGGTCATCCATTTTGAGGTCAAAAAATATAGCGACCCGATGGATCTCCCCCACAAATCTTGCTAGTCCAACCGATATATTTGGGATTTCCTGCTTGTTATTAATCTTAATTATGCTTTCATGGCAAAAAGACCACTAATTTTCCACTTTGATTTTGATATAATATATTATATTAAATCGGTTCGTGTACAAAAAATTTGAATCCTGCCTGGAAATGAATCTGTTGGTTTTGGAGGTCACCAACCATAAAACTGCGCACAACAAATAAATTGTACCGGGAAGTTTACGCCATTTCCCGACATCATACAATTAAAATACAAATTGACCATATATAGTTCGTGCACAAGGCAGGCGTAACAACAATACATCCCACGCAAAAATAATGCATGTTCAATTTCAAGTACGAGAAGAAAAATCATTTTAAATGGTACAAGAAATGCAATGAAGAAGCTAAGCTAGCTAGCTAGCTTTTTTAATGAGCTCCTGCAGGAATAGTGAGCTTAGTAGCTGCAGCACCACCAGGCCGCGGAGATGGAAGCACCACGAGGGCAAGCACACCACTCAAGGCCGAGGCTATGGCTGCCACGACGAACGCCGGCAGGTTTCCTCCGCCGAATAAGTCGTCCCACGGCCCGCCCACCAACGACACCAGAATCTGCACAGCCATGAAAACCCTAATAACTCAAAGGTAACTAATTAAACATGCAGTTGTTGCGAGGTGCCTCCGGTGTGTATCTATAAATTACCTGTGGCGCGACAATGGAAAGATTGAGAACTCCAAGCGACAGACCTGAGAAGACATGTAAATATATAAGGAGATAGAGACAAAATTGAGTAAATATGATCATTACGACCTTTGGTACTTGCAGACGTTAATTACCTTGTCCAGAACCATGACTGCTGGAGTATATCGACGCCATAGCAAAGGGAATGCTGAAAGTTACCTGACAAAACAAACAGACGAAGTCCAATCTTCACGCAAGAAACACTTTCCTACATAATATTATGGATCACACCGATGGATTAAGCAAACTCACCGCGAGAGGAATGCCGAGGACAGCAAAAAGCGACAAGGCCCCCGTCTTTACAGCCAGCGACGGGGGAAGGAGCCTGGAGCGACCGTCGCCGTCCACCGCGTACCGCCGATGATGCTCCGCCAATTTGGTGACTGCTACAGTCATGGCCAGGCAAATCGCAAGTAGAAAATTCACCGCTCCCCACAACCGCTTCACGACGGCTGGCCCCCCGCGGCCAGCGACCTGCACCCCGAGGGAAGCGACGGCGAGCACCACCGAGTTCAGCATGAGCCCCAAGGAGCCGGCACGGACCCCTTGATCGTACAGTGTACCTTGGCCCACCGTCCCTCCGTACACCTCTTTCCCCATCCAATCAGTGTCGAACAACAGGAAGGGGAACCAGCCAATCCAGTTGAGACACGTCACCACCATCAACATCCTCATTGGTTTAGGCATGTCCTTGACCGCACCGAATAACTCCCGGAATAAACGGATCCCGCCCTTCTTCCCCTGGTTCTCCGGCGCCGGGATGTACGGGATTTCGCGCACAAACGTCAGTGCGACGACAGTTACGATCAACAGAAGGGCGATTGAGAGGAAGAAGCAGCTCTTGAGGTTGGCGCAATACACATCGCAAGCCTTCGTTTCGGAGAAGGGGAAGAATTTGTAGAGACGCCTGTACGACCCGGCGGCGTAGCCTAGAATGTTCCCGACCGCCATGAAAAAGGAGAACATGGCATTTGCAGTACTCATTCTTTTGTCATTTCCGGCCGATAAATCAGCAAGCAGCGCCCTACAAGGCCCCTGCAACAACACACCAGAACCGTACGTCTTGTCAAACAAAATCCATAAACCCTAAAACAACGACGATGACTAACCCTAGACCCTAAACTCACCTGCAACATGTTGTTAGCAACGTCGAGAATCCAAAACCCACACACGAAAACTGCAATCGCCCTGGGTTTCGCGTGAGCTCCGAGAGAATCACCAGACGCAATTCCAATATCGGCGGCGAAACCAATAAGGAAAACAGCCACCGCAACGAGAGACGAGCCGGCTGCAATGAAGGGGCGGCGCCGCCCGAAACGGGAGGCGCAAATGTCGCTGTAGTAGCCCACAATCGGCTGGACAATCAAACCCGAGACGGGGCCACATAGCCAGATTAAGGACGCCCACTTGTGGGGTATGCCCAGCAACTGCACGTACGGGGTCAACAGGGATAGCTGTAGGGCCCACCCGAACTGCACCCCCATCGCTATCGCCGCCACCACTATGAACTTAATGATCGGCTCCGGCCGCTGCTGTTGCTCCGGCGAACATTCTCCTCGGTGATTTACCTCCACCTCCATTTCCCTTTCCTATCCTCTCCTCGATATGTTCTTTCACTTCTACTTCCTTTATATAAATGTAAATGCGTCTACTCTGCACTCATGCAGCAATTTGGATGGCTGCTGCATTTATAACGACGCTCGGAGGGAGGATGGGCGGTGGGGGAGTAACTCCTGGGAGCTCCCGGGACTCCAACGCCAAAGGCACCACTGCCATTTGGCCACTCCATCTTCATTAATGGTACTACTGTGTACGCAGGCATTCATGAAGTGATGCAGTCCCGGAGCCACCGAGGAAGAGAGTTAGGTGGAGGCCTTATCCAAATTGGATATAATAAAAAAATACTATAATTAAACCAGTCAATAAATTTCCCCTTATTAATTACACCTATTAACTCACTTCAACAGAATATATTTAATCCACCTCTAACGTGTGTTTGTTTGAAGGATTTTGGTGGATCCAATTTTTTTTTCTAAAAAATATTAAATTAAATATCTATTTTTTATTTTTTATATTATACTAAAAATCAATTTTACATTCAAAATATCACATCAAACCCTATTTATATCACATAATACAACTATTCAAATTCAAAATTTTTACTATTCAAATTCCAACTCAAAATCAAAACCCTCAAACAAACACACCCTTAGTGTTATTCAACTTTATTGGCTTCTTTGGTAAAGTTGTTAGATTTCAAATAGTCTTCAATAAAATAATAAAAAAATGATATATATTCGAAATATTATTTAAAACGACGGACTTCGTTTTGTATACTTGTATTTGTTTGGGGGTTTGAATTTTGAGTTTGAGATTTAAATAGTCAAAATTTTAAATTTGAATAGTTGTATGATGTGATATAAATAGGTGTTGATGCGATGTTTTTTAATGTAAAATTGATTTTTAATATAATATAAAAAATAAAAAATAAATTTTTGATTTGATATTTTTGAAAAAAAATAAATTGAATGAATAGTATAAATCCAATCCAATACCACACGATCAGCGATCTTAAGAAATACCTTAAAAAAATAATACTGCGAGAACAACAATCCTATAATATAACACTCACTTGCATTGCTGCTATTAGGGTGTTTGTTGTAAAAACGTAAGTGCTCGTTGATTCAATTATATCAAATAATGAGGTCAAATTTATAAATTTTGATTTGAAAATTTTTAGTAATAATTTTAATTCAAGTAATTGAATTTAGATTTTTTTGTAAAATTAAATTTATAATAATTTTTAATTTAAATAGGTAATTCAATTTAATCAAAAAATAAATATCACATTAATTAGAAATGTTACATTAATTAACAAAATCACATCATTATAGATTCAAATGTTATCCCAATTTGAGATATATTACATTATGCTCTTGGAAGTATATACTATGCTACACATAAGTTTAATAATAGTATTTTTATTAATCAGAGAAAGTGCGTAACACATTTTAACATTTTTTATTTTTAGCTAAAAATTAATGTTATTATAATAATAGTGTATAATTATTTTTTGAATTAGGACGAATATAATATTATTTATGGTAGTATTTTTTAAAAAAACTGTGATGTATTTGTTTTATAAAATATTTTAAAGAATTTTTTTTTAATATAAAATATAAAAAATTAGATAAATAATATAAAAATAAGGAGTGTTAAATATACTCTCTTCGTTATATATATATATATATATATTTTTATCTACTATTTTTGTTTCTGTCTACACTTCACCTATCTACATAAAATCAAATGGAGCCCCCGCGGTACGGAGGTGGTCAAATGAGCCGGGTGTACAGAGTTCCTTTTGTAGCTGTGGATTAGTACTATTGTTTTTTTAAAAAAATGTGTTAATCGTGTAAAAAAACGTCGTGTTTATAGTATCCGACAAGTTCTTCACATCGCTTTTGTTCTTCCGCCTTCTGCGTCGTTGCTATTTCCGTCGCTGCACCAAAAATCATTCTAAATAACCATACATCCCTCCTCTTCACATTTAATCGCAATATCAACCGGGGTTCGAGATGACTTACTCTTACAACTAATATGACGTATTTCGTAGTTGGTTCATTGTAGCTGTAACGATTGGGAAGAGCGACAATGAAAAAAAGAAACATATGTTCAATTCTGTACAGAGGCTAAATAATGGGACAATCTTCATCCACACAGGCAGGCACACCCGTTTCCTTGAAGCTTCACAGCCAAAAACATCATACACAAAGTCAAAACTCCACATTCAAGATCCCCCTGCCGCGACGGCGAACTCTCTGATCTCAGCCAGCGGCCGGCGGAGATCAAAACTACCCGATACAACAGACGCCTCATGCATGAAGAGATGGATTATTCTCTACAACTGCTCGTGTGATTCCTTCAAATTGAGTCGACTCTATCGATTACGTCCAGCGCTTTCACCCGATCGATGTCGAAGTTAATGATAGGGACAGAGGATGGTCTTCGGATGGGGAATGGATCCCTTGTCGGAGAATGGTTGCTGCTCCGGCTCAGCCGGTGGTGCTTGTACAGCCCCAACTTCGACTTGTCGAATTCCTGGCTCTTGCTGATCCCGGGAGTCAGTTTTCGTTTGCTCACGTCCCGGAGCATCTCCTGGTCTTCGACAGACAATGAGGATGACGATGGTGAGCTCGGTTTTTGACTCAGTTGAAGCATCTTCTGGTTTGGGGATCGAATCGGGGATTTTACTGGTGATCTAATCCCACCGTTTGCAACCCTCGTTTGGCTGATGAGATGATGGAGCCACACGACTAAATCAAGGATGCAGGCTTCGGTTTTCGCCTTGTCTGCGTGATGAAGTGTCTCAATCCGGAGCAAGTCCGCGGGGCCGGTAGGTTTGCGGTTCATCTCCGACCTGTATCAATCAGTGCTTTCAGTGAAACAGAACAGAGCTGAAATCTTCACAGACATGCATGCACCGCGAGTTCAAACTCACCCAGTGTTCGCCCATTCTCCAACCCAACCGAATCCATGGTGAGCCCTGTATTACAAATCCCACAAGATCAGCGACATTTTGATGCGATAACAAGACCACGATAAAAGCAATATACAGGAGACAATGCAGCCCCTCCCCATTTATTAAAAAACTTGAACAAGACTCGAATATAAAGTTCATCTAAAACTAAAATGTATGGATATTTGGGCAGCAATTTTACTTGGTCGTATTGGTAGCCATGGGCACCAGCCACTGTAGAGTCTTCTCCATTTCGGCTTTGATTTGAGGAACAGTTAACTGAAGAAAGAAGGCAAAAATTAGTACACAGAGTGAAATGCAATGTCATAATGAACAATTACTCTCAAGTTAGTGACACAGGTTAGAAAAACTTAACCACCTCTTCGTCGAGATGAAAAGATTGTAACTTGGAGCGCAAAGCTGCCTTCACACCAGGAGGCAGTCCTTGGTAAAGAGAATCTCTTGTACTCGGCGGCATGGAACTCGATCTAGTCACCTGATAAAGTTGCGTCATCATTCATTAAATCAATCACCTTATTTGCGGAAAAAGAACCTCATCAACATAACAAGAAACACAAATCTCACAAGTGTATCAATCTGGGTAATGATATTTGCATAGTGTAGTGCAAGTCCAGCAGATCCCAACTTCTGATGGTCCTTTTCTTCGGGTGTGTTCTCATTTTCTATCATAATTTCATCACATAAAAAAATAATATATATATATATATATGTATAAGTGTTAAGATCACATTCACATTAGTGAATAAAATGCTAGCATGGAATACTAAACTGAGGTTTTATGAATTGTGCAAAATAAACATATTAAAGCAAACTGACTGCATGGCTATGAAAGCACTGTTTGGTGATGAACAGAGGATTGTGTCATTAAATACTAAAAGTAGACAAGAAATTTGGCCTGTCGAACGAAGCAGACTATAGAATCCTTGGATAACTTATTCAGCTAGCAAACATGAATATTAGAAGACAACAACTTATATAACTTCAGCTTACTCTTAACATGTTACGTTACGAAGTTACATCACGAAAGAATCTGCAACTCGTTTAATAAATTTGAGGTTTGGTGAATGCATTACCACTGCTACCGAATGAGGTATAAATCTCCATATGTAGAAAGTGGACAATGTCCACAAGCTTCTCCATAACCTTGGCAAAGTTCCCAAAATCCAAAAAGGAAAAAACATCAGAATCATTATATTTTTATGCAAATATGCAATCTGATACGATATAAACCATGATAAAATTCAGCAGAAAATAAAAAAAGCACACAGCTTTACTCTCGTACAAAAAACACCAGCGATGATATATCCAGATAATAGAGTTACTATTTGCTACCTCCTCCAAGATCCTAGACCAGAGGGACTTTTTCTTCAAACTCTTTACATGCTTCTTTTGACTCTTTAGCTCCACGCGCAAAATGGCAAGGCTTTCTCCTTCAGAGAACCAAAAACAGAAATAAGGTTTTTTTTTTTTCATTAAAAAACCCCATGATGTCAAACAAATTATTTGTATGAAGAAATGAAATGGAAGCGCAGAAATATACCAAAAAATTGACAGTAATAAAGCTGATTTGGTGCGTATTTACCTTCTTTGTTGAGGAGATCATATTTTTCCATGAAGTTAGGCAGACAAGATTTCAATTAAAATATATTGACTTGTCCGCACATTTACTTCAGATCATTTAGAAGCGATGTGATGTAGAACAACTCTAAAGTCTAAATACTAGGACTGTAATTGTAACCATCTTAAGCTCATGAAAATTGGTTACCTCGTTGTGTGGCATTTGTGTTATCCTCTTCTTGAGCTTTACGCCGAACATCCTGTTCAAACCTATCCAGCGCATGCAATTCGTGATATAGTTCCTGCAACCTAACAATATTCAATATCCTTTTCAAAGTTCAGGATGCCAAAACAACATACACCACAATTCTAACTGTAGCTTAATATTTCATTCAAAAAGAAAAATTCCGACTTCCAAAACTATCTGGTCCCCATCCAAACCCAAATCAATGAAAGATAACGAGCTTATAAAAAGCCAACCTGCACTGCACTCATACACATTGAAGACCACGGAAATATGCATGATAGAGAAATATTGAAAGCAGAAACTCCATGGATAACAAGAATAAAGGGGCAAGATGACATAATATGATGAGGCAACTTACAGCAGTGTTCTGTACCAACACCATCAATTGATGCATATCAGCTTCTGCTTCTTCTTTCAATTGTTTGTGAGGAGTGAATTCCGACTCCAACCTGAAATTACAAAATGGGTTTGGAAACATGATGTGTGAACAAGCATATGAAGTGTAGGAGAAAAAAATTATGTGCAATTACTTCTCAAAATAACGGTCCAGGTTGTGCCATTGAGGATCCTTGCAGCGATTTCCGAACCGAATAACTTCACCAGCGAAGATTTTTAATTCATCCCTGACAGATTAGTAGACAATATATGAGTCCATGTAGTAAGCCAGAAACCAGATACCCTCAAGAGGGTTAAAGAACAATTGTGTAACACGTTTTATGTTTTAAGACCTCTTGTCAGAAGCAGCAATTCTTAGGAGTTCATCCATATCCCTCGATATTAAAAGCTGCACACCTTCAGATGGGAGGACAACCTCCTTTAAGTGCCTAATATTTTCATCTGAAAGGGAGTGCATCAGATTGGCACCTTTGACAATTGTATTCGCCACTTCAAAAGCCAAAATTGCAATCTTTATTCCTTTCGTAGCTATCCCAGATGCAAAACCGCCACTAAGGTTCAAATTTGTCATGCTGCTGCCAAGAGTATCCAGCACATCAACTGCTTTTCCAAGCCCAACAGTGCCTGCTCTCCCCAGAAGTGAACTCATTTCTGATACCTGTGGTTCCAAATAGAAATGTTAAACTATTATACCATGAACCGGAGAACAAGCACCAGTCAGTGTACAGTTTACAGCTTACCTTTGCAATTGCAACTTGCCTTGATCTAGTCGATCTGGATTTATCCGAAAGAGCTCTAGATAGCCGTGGTATCCCATCATGAGTATCATCCCAATTTGCCCCATGAGGAACAGAGCTCAACTCCGGAAATGAAAATGGCTCTCTAATCTGCTTCTCTACAACTTCCCCATCAGCTGGGATATTGTTTTCTCCAATGTCCAATCCATGAGACCTATACACTATTCCAGGTCCGTAAGAAAAATGACCATTGACATGAGGAAGTGCTGCAGCTAATGCAGCATCATCAGTGGACCTTCTTGAGCAAAGCCCACCCATTGTATGCAATTTATGATAAAAACTTCTCTACAGCATTAATCATTTAAGCAACCCTCCAGTTGACAAAACAAGTGGGCGGTGATTCTTTCAAAATCTTCAGCAATCCTGTAATGCAAACAAAAAGCTCAGTTTCACGGTCAATGGACCAACTTAAAAGCAAATACATATAATCATTGAAACAAGATTACGAGCATCCCGGGATGGATTACTACACATATATAAGAATTAAATGTATGTCAAACAAATAGCACCGAATCATTTGTATACTTGCAACCGGAGAACCGAAGACCTAAACACACAGACACAATGAAAAATCAAACTGCAGCTCACATAAAAGCAGAGAAATTTGCAAGGATCCGAAACGTTGCTCATCTAATTCAAATTCAAAAGCGTCAAAACACACAGAAAATAGACTGTTGGATAAAAATCGCACTTACCAGATGTTAGAAAACTTATTACACGCACAAGGGTACTTTGACAGTGAGATAAATACGACTGGTCGGATCTACGAGAAGAAAGAAAGATTCCCGTCTGCGTCTCTTTCAATCCCACGAGAAAAACAATGAAGGGAAGTTACAGAATGAGTAAAACTGCAATGATGATGACGGAAAGGAAAAAAGGATCGCAGCAGACTACAATTATGTATCTATCCGTAGCTGATAGAGATTTGGGCTCGGGCAATAAGCACCCATCAAGGGTCTTCGAGAAGACAATCAAGATTTAATAAAGTACCAAGGGAGGAGCAGCTTTCCTTGTCTCAAGCTTCAAAGTGACACTCAAAGAGAGTGGAATTAGTGGTCTGAGTACTGCTGCCGCTGCTGACTCCATCTGCTATAGACAACAAACACATCGAGAAACCAAGATTCAAGAAACTAGGGTCTGGCAGACAGAGAAGCCAAGCCAAGCCAACCCCACTTTCCCTTTCTCTGGTCAAAACTCAAAAACACCCGCAAGACGAAAAAATCACTCTTGGGCGGTAATTGTGGTAATATTCCAAGTCAATATTGTACAGCAACGTGACGCCGAGTTCGGTCGGGTCGTCATTTACCACCGTCAATTCTGGGCGGTTGCTCCTTCGTCAATTGCTTGACAATATAGGGTTAACACAAATCCATAATCAGACTTTCTTTTTGTGTTTATATGTGATTGATGATAGCGTTGGAATCATGTCAAAGGCTTCATTTTTACTTTCATTTATTTAATTCATTTATTTAAATATTCAAAGTTTTACTTTATTGGTAGCATCTTATATGATGATACCAATTAGTTATAATTGCTTCCTCTTGTTCATTTGTAATATATAGTTTACTTGTTAATGAATAATGAAACAATCGCCCTGTTTTGACATTAAATGTTCCGATTTGAAGTAAAAAAGATTTATAGGCCTTTCTCTGACCGCCCAGATTAATTCTCACAGTGTTGATTGGGATAGCCATCAACACTACAAACTCACTACGAATACTAATGTTTTCTGCAACATCAACGTAACTATGGCACATTAAGCCAGCAAAATGAGAAAATTATATTCTTGAAGGAACACTAGCTAATCTTCTTGATTTGCAGACACAGACGCACATTCATATAATATTCCCAGCTGCTGATGCATGTGAAGATCTTTTATACAATGAACCTTGCCAGTGAAAATAATCGTGAGTGGTTGGCTCTGTGGCAGACTTCCAGGAACATAGGAAGTGCATAAAAAATGCCAACCAGGAAATGATCTGTCTGAATGCATAATCTTCAAAATCACTGTACTCGGAGTGATCTCATTTTATAATCTATTAAAAATCATCCATACTAGTGTGTTGTGGATCAAACAGCAAGCTCCAGATCTACATTAGCTGCACGTCTAAACCATAATCACTTAGGCTTGTGATTCCCAATCTTTTCAATATTTAATGAGAGTCGGAGCACAGCCGTGATGAGTCGAGTAATGCTGTAGACGAAAGAGCTCAAATTATGAACTTGCCTTTCATTGGGATATGTTTTTAACTTAAACGAAATTGAAGGAGTACAATTAAGGAAAAATATTGTGGTCAGTCCCTGGTATCTTTGATATCAGGTTGTAATATTTTTTGATCTTGTTAAAAGTTTTGTCTTGCCATTAGTTCTATTAAAAACTAAAAGTATCACAGTGAATTTTAAAAATAGATTGTTCTATTTGATTCTGATGTGGATTCCAATACTCCCGTGTTTTCTTCGTGTTGTCTAAGTCAATGGAAAATATAATGGTTGAAATATATATTTGATTATCCTACCGTTAACAATGATTATAATTCACAACTTTATGCTTTATGCTCAAATCTAACTATACTTTTTGTTAGTATATAATCTATTGATCAATTATCATATATGAATGGCAGTGAAAAGAGAGTCCAAATGTATATTTTCATTTAACTCAGGCTATGTAGAAGTAAGCATGTGTGGGATTAAGTTTATTGAGTCAACCATCTCTGTATGCAAATTATAGTAAAATCAAATCTCATTAAAAAAAAAAAAACCCACAAAGCTACTTGATCTTGCCAAAACATTACAGGAACCATTGTGATTGATTCCCAAACAATTAATTGAGACCAACCCTTCTTTTATGTAATATGGGGGATTATACCCAGCTACTCTTTTCTCTCCTATGAAGGAGTACTGTACAGAGGCTGGATGGAATGGGGGGATGAGGATGAGGTTGAGGTCCCTTTCCCGACATACATTGTCATAGGAGGCCCTCATACAACGGGTCTATGTCTGTATGAAAACAACATAAACTATTATTCCACATAGACGGGTGGGTCACATATTTGGTTCCATTATAATACAAGCAACAGGTCATTGAGTAATTTAAATTACAAGAAACAAAAGGCTAGGCTTGCACGCATCACTACATAATTTATCAAAACAAACTGTTCACAGTAGTCTCCAGCCCAGCAATGCTTCCAAGACTCTGGAAATTTGGGACATAATGCATTGCCTCAATGCTGTTGGGGCCACTGGGTTGAGCCATGTCTACTTCTCTTGCATCGCCACTCTTGGTGCAGCAATACAGCATAAAGAAATCGCCCCAAAGCAGCAGGATTTTCCCATCCCTGAACACTCTGAAAACATGGACAATCTGAAATGAAGGCCCAACTAGCTCTGGCATCTTCTTCACCACAATTTCCTTGCACCATGAATTCTCCACTCCATATTCTTTCATCACCCAAATCTCAATTACAGATTCGGAACTATTGTCGCATAAGCACAAACACCCTTTTAGATTCCCTAAACTCCCCAGAATCTTTCTCCCCGGAAAGGGTGGAGCGAATGGATGGAAAACTTCATTTTCAAGATCAAAGCAAGATATGAGTTCATTGCCTACAAAATCTTGTATCAGCCAGTGAATATTGCCCTGGAAAAAGAAGCCCAGAGAGCGACTATCGTACCCGAAAGGGGCGTCGCCGATGGTTCTCCATGTGCCGGTGTTGAGGCTGTAAACTTGACATTCCGAGAAGGGGATTCTTAAGCAGGAACCTGTGATGGGATCGAGCTCTCGTTCATGGAAAACCCTGACGATTTTGTATTCATTGCCTGCGGAAGTCAGGCCGAATCCGTGAGTGACCACGGAAGGATACCTGACAGACCTGCGGGCCACGGGAAGCACGATGTATTCACGGTTGAGGGGGTTGCATACGTAGAGCGTTTCGTGCGCGTAATTGACGTCGCGGAGGAGGAGGAATCCGTTTACTGATCCGTCAATGGCGATGCTGGCGTCGGGGAATGTGCTGACGGCGTTGAGATTGAATTTGAGCATTGTGTTGCGAGGAAGATGATCCTGGGAGTCATCATCGTCAAAATCGACTAACCTGGCGAAGCTTTTGAAGAGGTCGGATTGGTGGACCACCAGGCCGGGGCGGGCCCTGGAGAAATTCACGGCGGCGAAGTGGTGGTTGTCGATGAGGCGGAGCCACAGCTGGCAGACGCACCTGCATTGGATGATGGTCTTGGCAGGAAGTCTCGACAGGATTTCGAGTATAAGATGGGATGGGAGATTCATCAAGAACATAGTTTCCCTGTTACTCCTGATCAGGTCCATGGCAGGCCGAGGTTCTCTCTGTTGTTCGATAGCTAGACTGAAGTTCAAGGTTGTAGCTTTATTACAGCTTCGATGGATTATCTAACTGGAAATTCTTGCACGCAATCCGCAGACACTAGGAAAATGGAAAACCTGGAGGGGACAAAGTTGAAAGAATGCATATATACCCAAGTTGCCATTTTTAAAAGGATCCCTTTTCTGTTTGCTTTTGAAGAAGTGTCTCTGTAAAATGAAGAGCCGCGCCAGCTGAGAGTGACCGTTGTCCTTTCAAGAAGCATCCACGTGGCAAGAATGGAGAATGGATGAAAAAGAGAATATTTATCAATTTCTATCGGGTGGTTTCCCAGACTAAGAAGGTAGAAATGTCAGTGGTGAGATCTTATTAGATTTCTTCACAGGATAAACAATCAATTAGACGATGTGGTTCATTCCCGTACTCAAAACAAAAACAAGCATATAAATATAAATGAATGGTGGGATTTGGTTGATTTGGACAGGTAAAATAATGACCATAAGCCTTGTTGTCTATTTATAGAAGAAAGAATATAAAAAAATTAAGATAACGTCCAACTCTTGAGTCTTAAATTCATTACCGTGACGACACTAAGCATTGCAATGGAAACTCCTATTCCAGAAATGCCCCAATGGAGATGGTACACAGTCATATTCCAGCAATGAGCTGTTAGTGTTACCCACCCTGCTGGAATAATTCTCTGTTACTTTCAGTTTTTGAAATTCCAGAGCAACCTGTGTGTGTGTGTTCTAGGATCATGTGTACAAGAACAATCCAAAGCTGATTACAATGTACTGACAAGCTGAATCTTGTATCCAAACAAAAGCACCCGGGGTACTAATTAATCAAGAACTTAAATGCTGAAGAAATCAAAAAAATATTGTAAAACAACTTCCCATGAAAATAGAATATACGTCCTTGTATTTGTGACTAGCAGTAATTCTGATTATTGATCTTTGTATTAGATCAACTGTTTACAGCAATATCAGGATCAGACAGCATTTGTATGTTTTTCACATTAGAAAAGACAAGAGACTTATGTGCAGGGCTCTTACAGAATCAGCATTTGCAGTATATGTTCCTTCAGGATTCTGACACTAAAGATGAAATTGCAGTAATTTGGGATGAAGAAATGGCTGTTTCAGTTCCAGATTGGAGCATTCCTCCAATCATAGCCATAGGCGGCGGAGGTTTATACACCTCCGCAATCCCTTCAAGCATTTGCACCACTTTTCCCATTGCAGGCCGCAGCGACGGCTGTTCTTGGATGCACCAAAAGCTCACTTGAATCAACCTCGCCGCCTGCTCAATGTCCACATCATCGCCGGCAAGCCTTTTGTCGAGAACTGCTCCTATATTGCCCTTCTCAATCTCTTCATAAGCCCACAATGAAAACCTCTTCTGATTAGTCTCAGCAGAAACTTCAAAATTCCTCCTTCCGCTAACTATCTCCAACAGCACCATTCCGTAGCCGTAAACATCAGCTTTCGAAGTTATTGGTAGATTGGCGACCCATTCTGGAGCTAAATATCCTCTTGTCCCTCTAACAGTGATTATGCTTCGATGCCTGTGGTCATTCAGATTCAAGAGCCTTGCAAGGCCGAAATCAGAGATTCGGGCATTGTAGTTTTCGTCCAGGAGAATGTTCTCAGGCTTAATGTCACAGTGAAGGATGCAGTCGCGGCATTCCTCGTGGAGGTATGTGATCCCCTTTGCAGTCCCTAAAGCAATGCTATATCGGCGAGCCCAGTTTAGAACTTCCTTGTCTAGTTTAGGCTCCATTTCTGTATCGAACAGAAAGCTGTCGAGCGAACCATTTTTCATGAACTCATATACCAGCAAACGATGTCGACCTTCTGAGCAAAATCCGACCAACCTCACTAGATTCAAGTGATGAGTGCTGCTTATTGTTGCAACCTCCATTCTGAACTGTTTTTCTCCCTGTCCAATCCCTTCCAACTGCTTAACGGCAACCACAATTTTATTCGGCAGGACACCTCTGTAAACCGAGCCGAATCCTCCTCCGCCAATCTTCTCCTTGAAGTTCTTTGTCTCCTTCTGCAGCTCCTTGTAAGAGAACTGAAGAGGAACGCCAGATGCATAGTCAGAAAATGAGTAGTGAGGAAGTATAGTCTCGTACTGAGGTCTAGACTTATTGTAAAACCACAAATAAGCGAAAGCTAGAACAGCCAAAGCCATGGCGATCCCTAGAGCTATTGCGACAATCCTCAGTCTTTTAGCCTTTCTGTTGGCTTCAGAAGCAGAAGAAGGAGGAGGATACGGCTCTGGATTCCCACAGATCTTCATAAACGATGTGCTGGAGATCGTCGGAGACTGATAACCACTGATTAAACCCGATCTTTTCATGTAATAAACTCCTGATCCATCTGCCAAGGAAGATGAAGCTATACAGGTAGCATCTTGAAGGCAATTGGAACTGCAAGCTGTGATGCTGCCTGTGAAGTAATCTGTACCAAACTCAGAAGGGGATGTCAAGAACAAAGTGTGATTCAGAGTCAGAAGTGTTGGCTGACAGTTCTGAAGATCCACCTTCCTCTTACAACCTTTTCTGGCATCGTTTGTATCGATCAGATCAAAGTTCTCAGACAGGCATCCGCATGTTGGATTACCGGTAATCTCATCGTATCTGCAGACTCCAAGATCACCACAATATCCAAAAACCTGGCACTGCTCTTCGAGAGCAGCCCATGTTTCAGTTTTGCTTCCCCTTCCACTGGCACTCGAAGAACTGTACATCCTCAAATTCCCATCACAATCCAACTTCACAAACCTCCAAGGATTACCGCTAGTTTCGCCATAGTCATTACCTCGACTGATGGCCACCGGACTTGAAAGATTTGAATCGCGAAGCTCAAAAATTCCAACCGGCTGGAGTCCTAATCTCGGAGAAGTCAAGTTTAAGTCGGCAGTCGAATTACTCCACGAAGAGGTGTTATAATACTTAACAGAATCGTTCCAACTGAGAGATATTTCTCCAGAATCCGCCAGGCGAAAAGAGTACAGCCCACAGCGCAGAACATGATTAGTAGTGAAGTTTTGTTCAGGAATGATTGTGTCAGTTGGATGGTCGAAGGTTGTCCAGACAGGACGAGTCCCATTCTTGAGCACAAAATTACCTGAATTATCAAGTGAAGCAGAAGTGATGCCCAGCCCAGAAGTGTTGGATTCCCAAATTAAATCGAGCCCTGTACGGGTAACGAGCTGGAGGTTCCCATTGGCTAGGAACTGGAGAGAAGCCGACGAATCAACAGCCCCACCAGGATCACCCCCAGCTTTCCAGATAGGAACACCATTGTAGGATACGGCAGCAAAGTATCTGTCGCGAGATTCTTGGACAAAGGAAAGTGAGAAAGAATTGTTGGGAGAATTCCATGATTGGCTTGGATTCGAAGCAGACAACGTTGATCCTGGAGATACATCCTGGGACGAAATTTTACAGGCTGAGAATAAGAAGATGAAAGGAAGTATGGTGAGAGTCAATGGTGATAGCATCATCTTCTATGCTTCCTATCTCTGGGCTGAAACAGAAACCAGGCTGTGAGAAACCAAGAGAATAGGCAGGCAGCTAATCGACAACCTCAAATTCATTTAATTATGAGAGAGAAGCATGGCTGGCTCTGCAGCAGCCAAAGATAGTTATTGGATCCACAGTACCATATGGGGACCCCATGGCCATCTTCTTAAGTGGAAATTAGGTATATTATAATCGACTATCTCTATTCTCACCCAGATTAATATCAGCACTAATTGAGGCCGTATCCGTATATATTGATAGTTTATGAGATAGAAATCCCGAATTTCAAAAGCTACAGATCATATTCACATTTGCGTTAAGTGAACGATATCTGGAATTGATTTTTTTTTCAGGCGGAATATCATAACAACAGTCTCTGCTTCTATGGTATACTTTTCTTGGTTGATTTTTCAATTACCAAAAGACAAGAAAAAAAAAACCTCAGAAGTCATTTTCTATCTTAGACTGGAATATGAACCAAATGACCTAGAGAAGTCAACTTATTTCAACCTGTTCAAGTTTTATTGTGACTTCCACCTTCTCGGCAATGTTGTCTATGATAGGAACAAATAAGCTGACTTTACCCTCTAGATTAATTCATCAATTAAGTCACGTGATAAAGTTGAGATTTTTAATCAAGTAAATCTAAACACCTGCGTGTGACTGTAGCAAAAGCTAGCAAGTGGCAAGGCAAGACTTTGGTGTGAGACAAAAATGGACAGAACTATTAACTTGGTTACAAGAAAGCAATATTAAGATGCAAACAAAAACAGTCCGATCAAAAATATATATATACAAACAAAAACAGACTGCAAAGTGTAGAACAGACTTCGAAGATATAAAATCCCTACCAAAAAGAAACCCGATTATAATTCTTTTATCATTTCAAATTCAAATCAATCACCCATCCCAAAATACAACAGCAGAGGTTGCGGGTGCATGGATCATTTTTATAGACTTTGGTATTGGCAATTAAGACAAGAGAATTGCACTATAAATAGTGTAGAATGTGATTTGTTATTAGCTACCATTATTCCTAACAAATGTGTGTTTTCATTTGTTGACCAAAGCAGCCTTGTGAACAGAGTGAACATATAGAGCATGACATCTAAATTTGCGAGAGCTTCTGGACATTATAAGGATAAACCTCATCTCTGAGGTTGGATGAGACGGCCTTGGTTGCAATCTCATGATTTACAGCTTCTGTCACATGAGTGTGATCGAAATACACAAACTCCCTTCTGTTGGTACAAACTGACCCTCCTCTTGCACACCCAATCCTACTTGCACTTGCAGAAACTTTACAGCAAGAAGTATTGACATTAAGAAAACCTGTGCACATCAGAAATATCACATTAGATATTGCAATCGATCCACATTGATCTTGTATAAATCCATACATATTTTTTGACATAAAGAAAAGGTCAAGTTAGAGCTTATTGTTCAAGGACTTTATGACTTGTTCAGGTGTTTAATGGGATGTCTATTTCCATAGCGTGCCTCTATGAATGTGTAGATTGTCAGGAACTTAAAAAGAATTATGCAGGGCTCACCTTTAAAGCTTGGATTTCCTATAATATCTCTAACAATTTTGTAGGCATTGACAAAAACAAGGTGAGATCCAGGCATTTGAGGTTTGAGAGAATCTGTCAAGTTCCTTATCCGGATGTTAAACATTTGAACTGCGTTATTTATACTTTCTACACAGCCTTTACCAGGAGCCAACGCCACGGCCACTGGAGCGCAACCATTCGGAACGATTGATGCAAGCACGAACTTGCGAGCTCCCAAACTATACAGCCTCTGCATAATATAGCATATTCAACACTGATTCATGATCAGGACAGACTAAATTACCACAATAAAGAAACCAATCCAGAATTACCTTCAGCCCGAGAGTGTATGTAGAGATCAAATTGGCAGTAAAAGCTTCAAGAGTGACATTACTTCTTGTCGAATTCAGGAAATAGTTTAGTGAGTAGTCATTTCCTCCACAGGCCACAAAAAACAGGTACTGAGGCAACAACCTGCTCCTGTTTTGTCCCAACTGCATCTCCAATTTTGGTAGAGTCATCGCCTCAAAATTACTGATTTGCCGATTCAAACTGACTACATTTCCCTGGATAAAAGACTCATCATTGCAAAAGCGTCACATTTTCCTCATGCAAATCAACAGCAAATCAATCTTCTTTAATTGAATTTTCAAAAAGCAAACAAGTGGATAAAACTTACAAGGTTGGCTCCAGTTTCATCGAGGACGCCAGAGCCACCAGAGCCATAGTTAACGCCATGAACTATTCTGGTACCAGCTGTTGAGGGATCATTGAAGGGTGGAATATAGTTTGAAATGTTGAGCTTTTTGCCGAGTATGTCAGCCATATTCTCCCCATTGGTGAATCTTCCCGTCGAGCCAAGAGGAAAATCAACTCCATAAGGTGGATAATCCGCCCTGCCCAGGGGGTTGGGGATGAAGTTATTGTTGCCATTGTCGACTACAGAACTCCCAAACACAAACATCCCCCTGATCTTGGACTTGTCCACTGGCAAGAGGCCATTCGAAGCAGCAGCAAACATGGCAGAGATGAGAAAGAAACCCAAGAGTGCAAGACTCCGACCCATCGCCGTGTTTTTTAAGGATGTTTCTGTCCAGAGAATATTATGTGATGTTTCGGAAATTTAGACTGAACAACAGACCGTTGAGATAGAGGATTATTAATTAATTATGTGTGTTTGAAATAAATTGAGTGAGACAATACATACTATATATATACATTACTTTAAATTTATTATCATAATTTAATTTTTATAATATTTTGATAATTAAAATTTTATATTACAATAATTATATTTTAACATATTATTATTAATTGAAATTTTAAAATAAATAAATAAAAAATAATTTATTAAATAAATACAATAATTATAATTTTAAATTTTAAATACCTTATCAATAATATAAAATATTTACATGACACACTTACTATATATATAATTTATTTTAAATGTATTATTATAATAAATTTTATAATACTTTTATAATTCATAAAATCGTATATAACAATATTAATATTAAATATAAAGTAAAGTGCTTTGCCAAATATTGCAAAAAATCATGGGCAACAGTAATATCCCAGATTCACTAGGCCGGAACATTCTCCGGAGAATGATTTGATATTCACCTTTTAATAGGCCGAATTTTGTGTGTTAACAATAGTAATTGTACCTTATAATTATTTAACTATGTGCTTTCTCCTTTTATAGAGTATATTTTCACTATATCTATATTGTTTGTCATATTGTGCTAAATAAGTTTCGATACTTAACAAAATAATTCAATCCGGACTGGCCAATTGTTGTCTTGTTTCTATTTCATAGAAGAAATAGTTCATTTATTTCATCATTGTGCTAAATATGTGTTAATTATGTGTTTCCTCATATTCAACTGTGTTGTTTATCTTGTTAATTGTTGTTTTATTTTTATCATTGGGACGAAGATCATTTAACTGTAACTTTAAAGTTTGTGACTTTTTAACTTCATGAATTAGTGTCATATATTAGTTTTATTCAGTAAAACTCATATGTAAAAGTAAAACTCCACCCACAAGGTGTTTGATGAGTTTAATATCATCAATTATTTTGAGTTATTGTGATTTTGCTGTAGGATAGAAGAGATTTGTGGCAAGCAATGTAGAGTGTACTCTCTCCTTACAATTGGAGAATGAGCTCATTGAGTCCAAGCTCAATTGCAGGATCCCATGTTAGAGGATTACATGATATCTAAATTTGTGAGAGCTTTTGGACATTGTAAGGATAGACCTCAGCTCCGAGGTTGGATGAGAAGGCCTTGGTTGCGATCACACGATTTACAGCTTCCGTGACATGATTGCCATCAAAATACACATACTCCCTTCTGTTGCTACAAACTGGCCCTCCTCTTACACACAAAAACCCAATTGCAGAAACATTACAGCAAGAAGTATCGACATTGCGAAAACCTGTGAACATCAGACATATCAGTTATTGCAGTCTATTCACATAGATCTTGTATAAATAATAATTATAGTGCAATGTTGTTTTGTCTTTGCTAGTGTGAGTTCATTCTCCTGAGGTCCCTTCAATGCCACTGTGTTCACATAAATGAGCATTGATGGAAAGCACCAATGTGTTTGTTGACAATCAATACATGTTTTAGAGGTTACCAGAAACACATTGAATGCTCCCAACAGTAAAGAAATGGTCAAATTAGAGCTTCTGTTGTAGGCTAATATTCTTCAAGAACTGCATAACTTCTTTAGGTGCTTAATGGATGTCTATTGCCATGATTTGTTTGCTATGAATTTGTAGATTATCATGAACTTTAAAAAAAAAAAAATGCAGGGCTCACCTTTAAAGCTTGGATATCTTATAATATCTCTAACAATTTTGTAGGCATTGACAAAAACAAGGCCAGATCCAGGCAATTGAGGTCTGAGAGCATCTGTCAAGTTCCTCATCTGGATGTTGAACATTTGAACTGCGTTATTTATCCTTTCTACGCAGCCTTCACCAGCAGCCGACGCCATGGCCACTGGAGCGCAACCATTTGGATTGATTGATACGAGCACGAACTTGCGAGCTCCCAAACTATACAGCCTCTGCATAACATAGCATATTCAACACTAATTCATGGTGAGGACAGACCAGATTACCACAGTAAAGAAACCAATCGAGAATTACCTTCAGCTGGAGAGTAAATGTGGAGGTCAAATTGGCAGTAAAAGCTTCGAGAGTGACATTACTTCTTGTCAAATTCAGGAGATAGTTTAGCGAGTAGTCATTTCCTCCACTGGCCACCAAAAACATGTACTGAGGCAAGATCCTGCTACTGTTCTGTCCCAACTGCATCTCCAATTCTGGAAGAGTTGTCGTCTCAAAATTTCTTATTTGCTGATTCAAACTAATTACATTTCCCTGATAAAAATTCCATTCACATTTCCTTATCTAAATCAACAGCCAATCTTTTTTAATTGAATTTTCAATAACCAAGCAAGTGGATAGAACTTACAGCGACAGCACCGGTTTCATCGAGGATGCCAGAGCCAGCAGAGCCATAGTTAACTCCATGAACTATTCTGCTACCAGCTGTTGAGGGATCATTGAAGGGTGGGATGTAGTTTGGAAGGTCGAGCATTTTTCCGAGTATGTCAGCTATATTCTCCCCATTGGCGGATCTTCCCGTAGGGCCAAGAGGAAAATCAATTCCGTAAGGGGGATAATCCACCCTGGCCAGGCTGTTAGGGATGAAGTTATTGTTGCCATTGTCGACTACAGAACTCCCAAACACAAACATCCCTCTGATCTTGGACTTGTCCATTGGCGAGAGGGCATCCGAAGGAGCAGCAAACATGGCAGAGATGAGAAAGAAACACAAGAATGGAAGGCTCCTATCCATCATCAAGTTCTTTAAGGATGTTTTTGTACAGACAATATCAAGTGCTGTTTTGGAACTTATAAAGAAAAAGAGGGTCATATGATGTGTGTGCTGCTCGAGTATTTTTTATAGTTTGCTCTGCCCTCTTGAGAAAGGATTACTTAAATTGTCAGCTTTAGAAAATGGATATTATAGAAAAACGCAGGCTTCCTCACTGAGCTTCTTTGCAGGTCTGCCAAACGCTCCAAATTAATTATGGAGCACGAAGAAGAAACTACAACCAAACCCTATAGACGTGAAGAAGATCACAATTAACCATACATACATACAGATACAGTCATTGGAAACAATCAAGCCGCCATTGTATTATTGATTGCGACTCAGAATTGGTCGAAGGTCTTTCGGACACGGCACAACCGTCGACTCTGAATTAAATCTGTTGTGCTGACTGAAGAACAGACCGTTGAAATAGAGAATTAATTAATTATGAGAGAGGCATCAAATAATTTTCACGTAATAGCTTTCTAACTGATTCTCTATTTTCCGCAATGGTTGTTGGACTTCGAATACATAATAATATTTTATCTCGTCTCGAACTTAGTTATAATTCGGCCTATTAATTAGTTTGGTGAGTTGAATTCAAACTTATAAAATGTTTTAATAATTTTAATTTGATAAAACAATATTTTATCATTTTCTAATAAATAGTACATTCCTCAGGTCTATTTATTTTTTAATATTAATTATTCTATAAAAAATAATAAAGTTAAAAAAAATTACAAAAAATTATTATATCCATAGAATTTTGCACTTCTCGACAAATATAGTCTCTTTTGTTATTCTACGCTGTTATTCTCCTTTAGGTAACGAAGAACTATGGATGGCACCATGTTCTCATCCCAGAATGTTCTTAATTTGCTTAATTTGGACAATACCCAAAGCAAAGGGGCTAATACAAATATACAACAGCAGAGGTTGCAGGTGCATCGATCATTTTCATAGACTTTGGTATTGGCAATAACAAAGACAAGACGATTGCTCCATGAATAGTTTACATGTTATTAGCTGCCATTAATCGCAGCATGTGTGTTGCTATTTGCTAACCAATGCAGCCTTGTGTGCAGAATAAGTACGTAGAGGGTCTGCTCTCAGATACATGACATCTAACATTTGCAAGAGCTTCTGGACATTATAAGGATAGACCTCAGCTCTGAGGTTGGATGAGAAGGCCTTGGTTGCAATCACACGATTTACAGCTTCTGTAACATGATTCTCATCAAAATACACATACTCGTTGCGGTTGGTACAAACTGGCCCTCCTCTTTCACACCCAAACCCAAATGCAGATATATTACAGCAAGAAGTATGGACATTGCGAAAACCTGTGCACATCAGAAATATCACATCAGATATTGCAATCTATTCACATTGATCTTGTATAAATGTTGTACGCATTTGTTGACAATCAACACATATTTTAGAGGTTACCAGAAACGCATTGAAAGCACCTAACAGGAAAGAACATGTCAAATTAGAGCTTATTGTTCAAGAACTTCATAACTTGTTCGAGTGCTTATATAACTTGCAAGCTATGTGTAGATTGTCATGAAACTAAAAAGAACTATGCAGGGCTCACCTTTAACGATTGGATCTCTTATAATATCTCTAATAATTTTGTAAGCATTGACAAAAACAAGGCGAGATCCAGGCATTTGAGGTCTGAGAGAATCTGTCAAGCTCCTCATCTGGATGTTGAACTTTTGAACTGCGTTATTTGTACTTTCTACACAGCCTTCACCAGGAGCCGACGCCGTGGCCAATGGAGCGCAACCATTTGGATTGATTGATGCGAGCACGAAGTTGCGAGCTCCCAAACTATACAGCCTCTGCAAATTCAACACTAATTCACGGTCAGGACAGACCAAATTACCACTGTAAAGAAACCAATCCAGAATTACCTTCAGCTGGAGAGTGAATGTGGATGTCAAATTGGCAGTAAAATCTTCAAGAGTGACATTCCTTCCAGTCAAATTCGGGAGATAGTTTGATGAGTAGTCATTTCCTCCACTGGCCACAAAAAAGAGGTACTGAGGCAAGATCCTGCTCCTGTTTTGTCCCAACTGCATCTCCAATTCTGGTAGAGTCGTCGCTTCAAAATTCCTGATTTGCCCATTCAAGCTAATTAAATTTCCCTGGATCGGATAAAAGTTTCATCATTGCAAAAGCGTCACATTTCCTTATCTAAATCAATCACCAATCAATATTCTTTAATTGAATTTTCAATAAGCAAACAAGTGGATAAAACTTACCAGGGAAGCACCAGTTTCATCGAGGATGCCAGAGCCACCAGAGCCATAGTTAACGCCATGAACTATTCTGGTACCAGTTGTTGAGGGATCGTTGAAGGGTGGGATGTAGTTTGGGAGGTTGAGCATTTTTCCGAGTATGTCAGCCATATTCTCGCCATTGCAGGGTCTTCCGTTAGGGCCAAGAGGAAAATCAATTCCGTAAGGGGGATAATCCACCCTGTTCACGAGGTTGGGGATGAAGTTATTATTGCCACTGTCGACTACAGAACTCCCAAACACGAACATCCCTCTGATCTTGGACTTGTCCATTGGCAAGAGGGCATCCGAAGGAGCAGCAAACATGGCAGAGATGAGAAAGAAACACACGAGTGCAAGGCTCCGACCCATCATCAAGTTCTTTCAGGATGTTTCTGTAGAGGCAAAATGAGCTTCTTTGCAGATCTGCCAAACTAATTATGGAGAACGAAGAAGAAACTTCCAAACGCTGTAGATGTGGAGAATATCACAATGCACATAAACCATACATTTATACACTCATCGGGCGGCAGTCGCTTGCTTTGTTGCTATCCAGAACTGGTGGGGGTTTTTTCGGACACAGTACCGCCGTCGACTCTATAAATCTGTTGATGCTGACTGAAGAACAGACCGGTGATATACAGAATTAATTATTTTTAAGACGCACATTATCAAATATAATTTTCACTGTAAGGGCAGCGACAAGTCCGCTGTCGGCAGCTCTAAATGAATTGATATCTTCTCCACGTGATTTCATAGGTATTTGGAGGCCCTCCGTTTAGACGGAGCCATATATATTTATAAAGGAGAAGGTAGTGGCGTGCAATGTGGTGCAGGATTTTAAATATTTAATTTGTATTTATAAAATTTATAATTTCATGATATTCATTATTTTACTTTGATTCATCACAAAATAAAAAATATTTATTTTTTTAATAATTATATTATATATTTAATATTAAAATATATTTATAATTTATAATATATTATTTTTATAATTAAAAAAATAATAATTGATCTTAATGGTTAAATCGTGATTTTTTTTCTTACACTACAATTCTCGTCGTTATAGTTGGGATTAACAAAATCATCATAATGTGGACACGAATAGCCATAATCATCATCATTGTTATTGTCTGTTCTCAAAGTTTGGCCACGAATAGTCAAAATTTGATCTTTGTATCGAAAGTGTAATATAAATAATTTTATAGATTGGGTGTGACGCAATTTAATTGTTGGTAAAGGTCTATTGAGATTGTCAGATGATTTATCAATTTTTTACAATATACACAATTTGAAGAGTTTCTACTTTAACTGACTTTTTTTTGTATATTTTTATACGTAACAATCATATACTTCTCTTGCCAAAATAATATTACTAACTTATACACAAATTTATTTATAATAAACAATTTCAATAAGTAACTATTTAGTCCTCTTCCACAAAGACTTGCTCCTTCTCCTACTAATTTAAATATAATCCTTCATCATACTGTGCAAACACTAAAATTATACTCCTCTCCTTTTTGTCTCAAATATTTTCCTAGTGGTACACTATAAGAGTGACTTAATTAAAAATATATATTAATAAAAATAATTGTAATATAATACAAAGGTAAATCTGAACAAAAAATATGGGATAAGCTTGTAAAGACTATATAACTCGCCACCATACTCGGCCAACTGACCATCATAACAAGAAGTATGATCCAGTGGTATGAGGGTTGGATTTGTGGTCATGGATTCATAGAAAGAGACTATCATGGATTCTACAAAGAGTATATCCCGGAAAGAGACTTCGATAATAGTTTTGGTGCACGGCTTCAGCCCAAAATGATTTATGCTTGCAAAAACACCACCAAAGTTTGTAAGAAAAGGCCTTCATATCACCAGAGCATTGAGTTTTCATATGCCAAGAGTCACTTCTTTGTATGGCATTGAGATGGCCCCCAAACAATCCAGTGTTTTATTTACTTATATATTTTTTTACTGCTCAATCATGTGAATTGTCGCTCTGAATCATATAGATCGGGAGAGAGGCCAATGTGCTTTTGATGAGTTGCAGTCGGCCACCATGAGACAGAACAGTTCTGTCCCAACATGGAAGATAGCTTTTGATTTGATTTTGCCTAGAACACTTTCATTCGGCATCATCATTTGATGTCCAACATACAAAAGGGTGCCAAGACATGTAATGGGAAGCTATCAATAGCAAGACCTGTGGTGATGACCTTACAATCTTAATTCTAACATTTATTTGATTAGCAAAGTTCACGTGCTGTGCTTTATAGACTTCATACCATTTACCAGTTCATTGTACAGAACAGTGGTCATTGCTCTATGAATATTGTAAAACGTGAGGGGTTATTAGCTGCCATTAATCGTAATACACGTGTGTTTTTATTTGGCATCTAAATTTGCGAGAGCTTCCGGACATTGTAAGGATAGACCTCAGCTGTGCGGTTGGATGAGAAGGCCTTGGTTGCAATCGCATTATTTACAGCTTCTGTAACATGATTGCCATCAAAATACACATACTCCCTTCTGTTGCTACAAACTGGCCCTCCACTGGCGCACCCAAACCCATGCGCCGCAATGGTACAGCAAGAAGTATTCACATTCTGAAAACCTGTGCATATCAGAAACATCAGATATTGCAACCTATTCACAATGAACTTGAATAAATTGTTGTTCAGCTGCTTAAATGAATGTCTGTCTATTGCCATAGCTTGTCTGCTATGAAAAGGAATGCAATGCTCACCATTAATGGCTGGATATCTTATAATATCTCTAACAATTTTGTAGGCATTGACAAAAACAAGGCGAGATCCAGGCATTTGAGGTCTGAGAGAATCTGTCAAGTTCCTCATCTGGATGTTAAACATTTGCACTGCCTTATTTATCCTGTCTACACAGCCTTCACCAGGAGCCGACGCCATGGCCATTGGAGCGCAACCATTTGGAATGATTGATGCGAGCACGAACTTGCGAGCTCCCAAACTATACAGCTTCTGCATAATGTAGCATATTCAACACTAATTCATGGTCAGGACAGACCAAATTACCACAGGAAAGAAACCAATCCAGAACTACCTTCAGCTGGAGAATAAATGTGGAGGTCAAATTGGCAGTAAAAGCTTCAACAGTGACATTACTTCCAGTCGAATTCCCGAAATAGTTTGCTGAGTAGTCATTTCCTCCACTGGACAAGAAAAACAGGTACTGAGACAAGATCCTGCTCCTGTTATGTCCCAACTGTAGAGCCAATTCTGGAAGAGTCTTTGCCTCAAAATTCCTGATTTGCCTATTCATGCTAATTAAATTTCCCTGGATCATTGCAAAAGCGTCACATTTCCTTATCTAAATCAACAGCCAAACAAGTGGATTCATAAAACTTACGAGGTTAGCACCAGTTTCATCGAGGATGCCAGAGCCACCAGAGCCATAGTTAACGCCATGAACGATTCTGTTACCAGCTGTGGAGGGATCATTGAAGGGTGGGATGTAGTTTGGAAGTTTGAGCTCTTTGGCGAGTATGTCAGCCATGTTCGCCCCATTGGTGGCTCTTCCCGTAGGGCCCAGAGGGAAATCAATTCCGTAAGGGGTATAATTCACCTTGTTCAGGACGTCAGGGATGAAGTTATTGTTGCCATTGTCGACTACAGAACTCCCAAACACAAACATCCCTCTGATCTTCGACTTGTCCTCCGGCAAGAGGCCATTCGAAGGAGCAGCAAACATGGCAGAGATGAGAAAGAAACAAAAGAGTGCAAGGCTCCGATCCATCATCAAGTTGTTTAAGGATGTTTATGTACAGCCAGTATCAAGTGCTGTTTTGGCACTTATATAGAAAAAGAGGGTCAAATGTTTTGTGTGCTGGTCGTATATTACCTAAGTTGTCAATGGGGGAATGGATAAAGAAATCCTGCGTGCTCAATTGATTATGGAGCACAAAATGTGGAGATCACATCATCCATCGTGTACATACACTCATAATAGGAAACAGACAAGCCACCAGTGGTTTGCTTTGTATTAATTATTGATTCCTATTCGGACACGGCAGCGGCGTCAACTCTGAAACAATCTGTTGATGCTGACTGAAAGAAGAACAGACCGTTTACATAGAGAATCAATTAGTCATAAGGCCGCCGGCAACTCCTGTGAATGAAATAATAAATCCATAATAATAGAGACATCTTTTGCACGTGATTTTGCACCGACCTCACAGATCTTTAAATATTCAATTTTTATTTATAAATTTTATATTTTAGTTTTTATTTATTTTATTGAATGCTACTATATAATAAAACTAGACTACTGGAAGGCAACTGTATAGTGTATACACATCCAACTAGAAGCATGGGAATATGAAACTCGAAAGTCTATTGGCATCAATATGAATAATAATCATTAGGAAAAAAAAGTCATCATCACCGCGGATGCTGCAAGCCTCATTTGCATGTAAATATAACTTTCGATTACCTTCTATGTGAAAATTTTCAAGTAATATTTTAGAGGATCTTTGAGAGGATTTCTTGAAGACTCCAGTGATCAAGTGTGTTCTAGCCATAGAATCAGTGTTAATCCAAAGATAACTAAGGCCGGGACCATGCATGATAGCTTGAAGCTCCACGAAGGTGCTAGTTGAAACTCCAATTGCCATGTGGAAAGCAACGATGGGGAAGACATGGTGGTCTTGAATGACGCCACCAGAGCCCACGGGCTCAGCTCACTTTTCAAAGCTCCATTTATATTAAACTTTTAGAAAAAAAAAATTGGCATATTATATACTCACCCAATATATAATATAACTAATATAATACAATTTATTATTTTTTATACTATCAATATAATTTTTTATACCTATTATAAAAAAAATAAAGTAATAATAATAATAATAATAAATATTTTAAACTAAAATAATAAAATAAATCGGCACTCTCAAATTTTTACTATTTTTAAAATTTCTAAAATCTTTAAAAAAAAAAAAAACTATGTAAAGGAAAGGTGGGTTAGTTTGGAGTTTAGAGGATGAGTTTGAGTTTTAGTTTAAAATTTTAAATTTAAATAGTTATTTAATTCGATATAATAATATTTTAAATATAAAAATAAATTTATAATAATATAAAAAATAAAAGATGAATATTCAATTTAATATTTTTTTTAAATAGTTAATAATAAAAATCTTTAAAAAGCCCGCAATAAAAACACGTCCGAAGTCTTTGTTTCCAAAGACCGACCCAAACTCGAGCCCAAAAGTTCAAATCAATAATAATTCAAGTTCAGATAAAAAAAAAAGAAATATACTGAAACAAACAAAATTCAATTCAACTCCAATATGAGGTGGATGTCTGCAAGTAAGGCGTAGGGCCAAGCCCAAAAATCTTTCATCCACATATTACTATTTAGTACTACTACTTATTTGACTATTCAATTATGGTAAAGTGATTCAGTAATTGAAGATTCATAATCAGTAAAAAGTATAAAATCAACACACTCTTCGCTTCACTACTCCACTCCACTTTTTCACTTCAACTCTGCTCTCCAAAATATATCATTATTGAATTTAATGACCTTACGACCGGCATTATGCAAAAGGTTGTTATAATACTTACTGATTACCTTTTAAGAGGAAATGGGTTTACACCTACAAAAATCATCATGGGTGAAAAGGTGATGAAGATTAGAAAGTGATGAGATTAGGGGATAAGAAGGGCAATCCATCATCAATGCCACTGTAAAAACAATTATGTGAATCGCTTATGGTGGGGGCGCCCCCCTCTCTCTCTCTCTGTCTCTTATGGCTGGCATCATCTCTCTCTGATTCACGGGCTGACCGTATGCATACAGAAGCACACACACATAGTGGAACAAAAGACACTTGTTTCCAAGATTCAACGCTCCCAGGAATAATCAACCCTAGCTGTACTCATTGCACTATAATTTGGGGTAAATTTTACAGTTATTCGGTGGCTTCAGGTATGCCCACCAGATCCCTTCATTGCATATCTATTTATTTATATATGCATTCTTGTCCAACTAGGTTTTTCAGATTAATTCTTTCTTTCCCATCTTCGTGATTCAATTATTTTTTGCGGCATTTCGTTCTTGTCATTGTTTGTTTCGTGATCAGTGATTGATTTGATGAGTGGGCCGTTTGTTTTCCATAATCTTGTGCTGGGGCATTTATCGATTTTGGAAAACTTTATTGGTTTTCTTGCTGTCTTTATGTGGAGAGATCCATGTCGAGAAAAGTTGGGAGTGATGCTAATTTTTGCAGGAAGGGTAGAAAGTTTGAGTTGAGGAAATCAATTTTAGAGAAAGGGATTCTTTTTCTAGTCTTCTGAGTGTTTCTCTGCTTAGCAAATTTCGAGTGCTGTGCTTTTAACTTCATAACGTTCACCAGTTCAGTACTTTAGTGTACAGGGCAGTGGTCATTATCTCATCATATTTTATACACACACACATGTTCTTGGACTTGGAGGGCTTGATGGGATGAACATTTAGTCAGCATGTCTGAATGCTGCAAAAGGCTTGGAAAATACATACAACGCCGATAAAGAAGCAATCTGAATGAATTGAGATTTCATTTAAGTTTGAAGTGTAAAGAATGGGTAGTTTGTTGAACTAGGGGAGGAAAGATGAACCTTTTTGAATGATTGATTATAAGTTGTCCTATTCTTGATCCATAGCACACGGCATGTGCAAGATTTCTGAGAAGCATGGGTGCAGTGTAACAAAGTGTAATTTTGATGGACCAAATAGGACGAATGCTATCAAAATTGTAATTGTATGGTGGGAATATATTCTTTGAACTGAAAAGAAATGCTTGTGCCATAATTACTCTTTTGATCCTTTTGTGGCTATGGATGTGGATAAGTGTTGCGCACTTTCGGTGCCTGTTATCTTTTGTTCTGGCTGATGAACATACCATGACCACTTGGCTTATTCCTGACTCTTTATTTTCCTTTCTTGTCTTCTCTAGCCAGTTAGAGACAATTGAGATCCCATGATCTTCCAAGATTGTGAACATAGACTAACTGTTCTAATCCATGTATTTTCTCCATGCATTCTTAATAGATGCTCATCCCTTATTTTCTCGAATACGTTTTGTAGGACGACTGCTCTTTGATAGCTTGTTCTGTGAGGACAATGAGTCTGGCATGTCTTGTATGCCACAGCGTAGAAAGTCCATCACATTCCTTTAGAAGTTACTCGGTATCAAGCTCAGAAAACGAAGGAAGATGTTCCGCAATTGCCAGTTGCTTGGCCAGGAAGACTGCGCTAATGCATCCGAGAGCCAATAATAGCATCACATCATCTAAAGTGATGCCACAACCCACCGTCCCAACTAATGGAGTTGCAGGTGCACCTAGGCTTGTCCGAAGCCATGCTGTCAGAAGGGACATTGTGAGAGACTGGAACTTTGATGAAGTACTTATGGAACGTTAGCCATAAACTCAACACAAGGAGCAGAACTGAGTGGAGCTTGACATTATCCATAAGGATGAGTTATCTGTTTTTCAGTTATTTTATTGTTTCTTTTTTTCTCAATATCCACGCATAGGTGCGAGCACTTTGTAACAAGGTGAAGAAACTTCGAAGAAGACCCTCCCATCTGTTTATAGCTTTCCCATCTCTTTTTTGGTTTTTGTAAACTAAATTCTTACCTGCGGGGTCTGGTTCTATGGGTAATACATTAATGTGGTTCCTTACTACAGCCTCAAATGTGTGTGAAAAGTAAGGAGGTGTTTCTGGAAGCAGAAAATCAATTATTTGTCAAGTATATATGTATGTATAGATTGTGTTTACTTCTTTTCAATCCTATCAATGCTCCCTTGCAAGCAGTTCTGATTTACAGAGATGTAGTCCTTTCTAGGGCAGATTTACTTTAATTAATATTTTCTTGACTCACCAAAATGTAAACAAATGTTGTTGCCTGTTGAGGAGTTTATTACAGCAAATTATTGAATCATCTTCTCCCCAAAAAACAAGAAAAGACCTACAAATTTAAACAGGTGAGAATGTTCTGTGCTATTTGAATTGTCTATTTAGATGATTCTGAACATGTAAAAGAATCACTAGCCTTATAGCATTCACACGTACGTAGGCACGTATGGCAAGCATCCTCACAGTGATTTACCAGCAAAACAACAGAGTTCCTCAAGCAGGGGTGAAATTTTTCTGTTGGCATGCCACGCCAATAACGCTCAAGATGTACATCTACAACCTTCCTGAATCTCCTTTGGTATTCTTTTGGGAGTGTAGAATAGTAGGGAACTTGTTCGTCAGAACCAATGGGGATTTGATCCTGTTCTCGACCTTCTTGTCCCAAGTATACTGCTCTAGATAGGCTATGATGCTCTGACAGTCCTCAGAGCAAGCAAGAAAAAATGTAGAAACTGCATCAGATTGAGGAGAGTGCCTGCTCCTGATGTTGCTTGGACTTCCTGCTGACGACATAAAGAGGGGAAAGATTCATATTTTCATCCTCTAGAGTGCGCTTCTGGACTGATGCTCTGAGTCTTGACTCCAGCATTGAAACTTCCTTTGAGATCTTATACATCGATTCCTGCTGATCTCCTCTTGCTATATGGTCTTGAATTTCCCACCTGTATGTAAAACAGGTATTTGGTTACAATCTATTTGTTGGCTCATCAAATACTAAGATAAAATAAATTTGGCCAGCTATAAACATCTGGGCGCCCATGGCCTAATGGATAAGGCGCCTGACTTCTAATCAGGCGATTGTGGGTTCGAGTCCCACTGGGCGTGTAAGGTTTTGGAGGCTCAGATCCATAGAGTGCTTTCCCAGAATTTCAAAATCGACCATCTTTTCCATTTTTTGCGTCCATATAATTGATCATATCAAGTAATCAAGACAGAGCAGTATCTCCTAATTTCATAAAGATTGTATGTACACACACATATATATTAAATCTGTAGATATGTTTACACCACGACCATCATCGGCAAACACGTAATTATTCTACTTACATCCACCAGACACTTCAGGGATAGGAATAGAAACAGCAGAAGCATCGGCAGCAGCGCCTGAAGCAGCTGCAGTGATAGAATCGGGGACGTCGACGGTCTCCATATCCATGGTTCGAGGGAACTGATGACGAATTTTGCCTCCCAGATGGAGTTTCCATTTGATCGCTCTGCCAAACTGCAGTGAGAGAGACAGTGATTGACTCTAAACCATGAACCAATTAGGTAGTTAGAACTGTCAGAAGAACCGAGATAAAAACGGGGACAGGATAAACATAAACACGAAAAATCGTAGAATCCGATGTCTTTCTTTCCTTGCTTACAACCTTGTTTGGGCCGAGCGTTTGAATTGGGCCCTCTAAGCCCGCCTTTAAAGTGGACTTGGCGGACCTACACTACAGACTACACTCAATTTATTAATCACAACAGAAGTGAAGATACCATTTTGCGAACTCAAATGAACAAAGAAGAAAACACAGAGTTGGGCCTTATTCAGACTCAGACTCGGACTCAGCATTCTGCAGCCACTCCACAAATGGCTTGGCATTCTTCCATATCTGAGCGCCTTTATTGCCACCATTTACACCCCGCTTGTACCACTCCAATATGAATTCCTCCTCCAACAGGTCATTGTCGTAGAGTGCTTTCAAAACCAAAGCCACCTCTTTTATGGCCTCGGGGCTTGCTTTCCCGCAGAATGATTCTATGGCATTGAGCAACAGTGGCTGTGAGCCTTCTTCCATAACAGCAGCTGCAAGGTACTTCTTCTTTTTGGCAACCTCTTTGGCAAAACCTTTTGCAACTCCCTCGAATAAGGCTTCAAACAAGGCATCAAGGACCTCTTGGCGTGTGCCGGAAAGGGACTGCAAAAAAGATTTGAATTGGCATGCAGGAGGACCCTCCTTGATGCACTTGTTGATTTCATTGATTTGGTAATGATGAGCGCTGCCTGAGCTAACATCAGTTGCATTTCCATTAACTTTTGGTTTCTCAGCACTTTCAGGTGGGCTGTTTGCTGATTTTGGTTTCTCTTCTTCGGTTGAGAGCATAACCATACTAGCTGTCACGGAATTCAGCTGCTCTTTGATCTTTTGTTGGGCGGCTAAGGCAGAAGTGTCTGTCTGCCACTGGATTTCATCGTCACTGTCATCAGCAGCAACTGCCACTTCATTGTTCTCAGCCAGGCTACCGGGTGGAGACTGATCCTCATCAGAATGAATGGACTTCTTTTTGCTGGATGCCTTGGCTAAATCCTTCAAATTGCTAGAAGAACCCTTTTTCCTGAGGGTATCTTTCTTAAGTTTCTTCTGCTCCTCATCAGCTGCCTCTCCTTCCTTGAGTCGCTCCTTCTCAGCCCTCCTCATTGCTTTCTTGTCTTTTGATCCTTTCTTTGCCTCAGGCGGATTTTTCAGAATGAATGTGGTGAGCTTGTCCCTCATATCGACCTCCGAGATGAAACCACATGCAGCACACTTGAGATTGATCATTTGGGACTTCGTGATGATGATTTCTGTTTCAGGATTCCCACAGCCATAGCATTGGACAAATTTTTTGATGAAGTTTTCAAGAAGTGCAGCCAGCTTCCCAGTATCATGAGCTCCATTGACATGGGAAGTGCCAGTCTTCTCATCAAACTTGGATTGAGCTCCCAATTCACATCCAAAATACTTGGTGGTGTAAGAAGCGGACCTGCCCAGAGCTTTTGCAATGTCAACCATATTGACTATATTGGTTTTGATGCCATTCCCACGGCCCTCAATCTTTGTTATCATTTTGGGCATCTTATACCTATAGAAGGCATCATCCTTGTTCCCAGCACCAATATTTTGCAAAGCCATTATTGCCTGGTGATGAGATCCTGTTGTACAAACCTTTATCAGAAGTGGAACTCTTCAGCAAAAGTTTCTACTAGGATCTGGATTGACTGCATAAACAGACAACCATGGCAGTGGATATTGCGCACTTGGAATGGATTGAAATGCATGCCAGCCAACTTCAAATCCAGAGCTTATATTCTTTTTCCTCAACGAGGGACAGTACTCCCCAAGTAACCCAAATGATAATAGGAAAAGAAAGTTGCAATCAGACATAAAAGATAATTCTGACTTAGCACCCTCCACTTTGGTTAACTGCAGCTAACAGATGGACCAAGAAGTATGCTGGAATCCAAAATAGATGTTAGCAGAATAAAAATCATTCCCAAGAAGAACAGAGTTGATCACAAGAAATGGCAACAGCAAGATAAATCTCTCAATAGATTTGCTGTGTAATCATAATGAAATTCATTATATTACAAACAAGGGAAAAAGAATTCATGCTAACATAGATAGATGGTTAGTCTAAACAGACACGGCTAATAATCTAACAGTGTAGTTCTTATAAATGAAGCCTCTAATGAACAAATAAACACTAGCGGAAATTCACATGTTTAACTCCACTGTTAATTAGCATTCATCTCGGAGAGAAGTCTACAGTATTCACCTCTTCTAAGGAAATTTTAAAAAAATAAAAAATGCTATCTGAATATTATGATCCACTACGTCGATCAATACATACCATATCCTAATTACATAATGTTCGATCAGACAAGAATAAAATATTAGATCGCGCAAAATCGATATCAACAACGTACACTATCACGAGGCGGTAACAAAAAACTAGAATCTAATACGGCAACAACCATATCTAAAGACGTATTCAAAACTACCATTAAGCGAGTAATTAATTGAAAGGATATAATACACAATCGAAAAAGAGAGAACAACGAATCGATTAAGCGAAGCACAAATCAAAACCTCCAAATCATAGACAGTTCCCACGAACATACCGTAATTGTGATCGCAAAAGAAACAACAAAATGGAGGAGTCACCGTCGCGAGTATGATTGACGAAACAAATTTCACGAGGGCAGAACACCATAAACCAAATCAAGGAATACATAAATGAACACCGATTTCCCTGTGTTACCCTCTTTCTCAATCTGTATTTCCTACTCTATTTCCCTGATATATCTATATCGTAAAATTAAAACACATATATATATATATATATATTATATTAGTATTATATTCCTAAGATGTTAATAGTAGTTTATGCGTAAGATTAGATTGAAAATATTAGTATTAAAACATGAAAATTTTGAAGTTCCATTGGATTCCAATCACTTAAAAACAAACGAAAGATTAGATTGAAAAATAGATAAATTGATTATGGGAGTACATTATCTAATTAGCTTAACATTAATTGCATAATAAAATAAAGCATCAAACTTGTTCCTCTCCAGTTGAAAATTGGACCAAGCTAGCATATACATGGATATAACCTTTCCATGGCTTTTTCTCTGCAAGAACTCAATCAAAACAGATGAGAATGTTTAGTCCGGGAAGAAGAGAATCACAATAACCAGATCGAAGCGCACAGTCTGGAAATCAACACTACTGTATCGAACCAGTTTATGAACAGTACACTACTGCCGTCTGTGTGGGAAAAGGGATCCATCAATTTAAAGTTAGTTGAGGATCCATACCCATGATGATGATGTTTTCGATCGGTGATCAGAAAAAGTAGCCGCATATATATTTGTTCTGTGCAGTACAGTGTTGTACCCACTAGAGAATTTTCAGGTAGACTCATCATAATTTACATGGAGTATTAATTCTATATATGTATTTCATTACATGCATGTATTTGAGTTGTAAAAAAAACATTAAAAAATTAATCAGTGGTTTGTGAATGGTTATCCATGCACCAACATTGGATATATTTTTTTAGTATCAGACAAAGAGATTAACGCATGACAATAATCTGCAAATCCTGTGGGATGTCTGCCAATCAAGATTGCTCCAATGCACAGATTATTCCTGTATCTTTAGGCATCGATGTTATACCATTTTTCTTTTTTACCCTAACATAGAATTGCAGTTGCAGGTGACTGACTATATACTTGGTTGGTAAGTGAATTAGGAAGGAAGGGGATTACCAAAAGTCGTGGAGGACAGCAAAAACACACTTACTAAACTAAGGGCAGCATAATCTTGGGGGGCATGCATGCATGTGCGGCCTGTTTGTGTATTGGACCACTTTGTGTTTGTGGGACAAAAGCGTGCTTCTCTTCACAGTGAGTGGACGCGCTTTTTGCACTCACTCCGCCTCTATAAATACCGCTTTCTGATGTGCTCAGAATTCATCCATCCCACAATTACAAATTATATATTGATTGCAGTGATCGGCTAGCTATATAGCAGCATGGCTAGTAGAAGTCAAGGTTGTAGTGTTGTCTTTGTGCTGGTGTTTGCTTTGGTCATATGCACGGCTGCTAGGACTCTCCTAGAGCCTGCCGGATATGGCGCCAATGCTGGCGGCGGCTATGGGGGTGGGGAGGGGGCTGGCGGCGGGGGAGGTGTTGGGGAGCATGGCGGTGCTGGGGGAGGGGCGGTGGCGGGGGAAAGGGGTGGGGGTGGAGGAGGTTATGCTGGGGGTGGGGATGCTGCTGCGGGGGGTTATGGAAGCGGGGCGGGGCATGGGGGCGGTGCGGGGCATGGTGGTGGTGGTGAGGGGGTGAATGGGGGTGGAGGGGGTGGTGGTGGAGGTGGTGGCGGTGGGGGTGGAGGAGGGGGAGGTGGTGGTGGAGGGAGTAATGGCGCGCATGCCGGTGGGTATGGTGGGGGACAGGGAGGAGGGAGTGGGGGTGGGTATGATCATTCCGGAGGGGCGTATGGCGGCGGAGAAGGGCATGGTGGCGGCGGCGGAGGTGGCTACGCTGGGGGAGCGGCGGGAGGAGCTGGTGGTGGTGGATATGGTAGTGGTGGAGGGATTGGCGGCGGAGCGGGAGGAGCGCATGGAGGAGGTTATGGAGGTGGGGCAGGCGGTGGAGGCGGCGGCGGTTCTGCCAGTGGGGAAGGGTCTGCAGCCGGCGGCGGATATGGTAATGGTGGAGGTGCAGGTGCAGGTGGAGCCAGCGGTGGAGGTTATGGTGGGGGTGAAGGAGGCGGGGCTGGCGGCGGTGGCGGTTACGCTAGCGGGGGTGGCTATGTTGCGGGAGGCGGCGGACATGGCAGTGGAGGCGGCGGCGGCGGCGGTGCTGTAGGAGGAGGATATGGTGGCGGCGCTGGTGGTGGGGCTGGTGGAGGGGGTGGAACCGCCGGTGGAGAGCATGCCGGTGGCTATGGTGGCGGCGCCGGTGGTGGATATGGCGGCGGTCACGGCGGCTATGTTCCCTGAAAACCAAGCAAATGAGACAGTAACTGGATCGTTTGAACTATAGAAAGATTCTCCATCTTTCTTCAAATACTAATATTGTTGTTTGAAGTAATTAATGTTGGTTATTGCGAAAGAATGAATATGAATGTGTGGCTAATGCAAAATATGTGTATCTTCTATTGATCATTATTATCAATTAATGAAATCAAGATGGTGTTATTTCATCATTTGGAAACGTGTATTAATTCATTACATAATGTCATAATTATGTTAAATTATTATCAATAAAATTGTTATTAATATTGTACGCCACGGCACCACAGTCACAGTGATTCCACATTGGATGGGTGCAGTGGACTCAAAAAAGGATGGACCGTCACATGGAAAGTCGCGTGACCAGGACGTGTAAAAATTGACCTACCTCACCAATTGACAATTTTGATATAAAAAAAGAAGCGCTATTGTTTGGGTCCTGAAAACCGCGACTTTGAAGAATCGGAAGATTTTCCGAACGAATCCAAACACGAAACCGACCCTAAAATAATTAAAAATTGCCCCCCCCAAAGTTTTTACCCCCAAACCCGAGGAGGAACCCTAACCCTAGGCGCCCCACCCTGTGCACGAAGCAGAAATGTTTTATATCTTCATATCTGCGCTTCTTTCTTATATCTGCGTGAACCGATAGAAAGAAATTGAATCTGATTTTTTATTTTGTATTTTTCGTTTGGGGTTGATAGCGTATTAGGGTTGGTTTGAAGGTAATGGTATGCGGCAAGTTTGGAGGCGGTGAAATTGGGTAGTGGAGCCGATGACCGGCCAAGGCAGATGCCGGAGACGGGGGAAATACATGGCCGGTGGTAGTGGCGCCGCAGAAGGGAAGAAAATAGTCGGCAATTTGAACAACCCTAATTTGAAGCGTGAAATTACTGAAAAGCCCTTGATTTCTCCAAGAATTACAAAACGGCCCCCGACTTCTTCGGTTGATTTTCTTGATTTATATACTCAAGCTCGCAAGGCACTCTCGTTTACTTCTCCTTTTGATTCCGAGGATTCGCAGGCGCGTCAATCGATTGCCTCTAGTGCGCCTACTTTACCGAGTGGGGTGTCTCATTTATTGGGCAATAGGCATTCAGGTGGTAGGAAAAGACGCAAGAAGTTGCATTCTGGCACGGATATAAAAACCTCGATTCCCGGGAAGCTACGGGAGAGCAATATCTGGGTTGAGACCGAGGAGTATTTTCGAGAATTGAATGTTGAGGATATCGAGAAGTTTGATAGGATTTCAAGCGTTGGGTTTTCCATTAACGATAAGAGTTTCTTGATTCCGTTCTTGAATGATGATGGCAATCCGCTTTGTCGAGATAGCACAACTAATGGGATGCTTACTAGTGTCAGGAAGAACTATAGTTTAAACTTGGGAAGCGTTGTAGAATCTAGTGATGTTGGGAAGCTTGAACATGATGATGGAACGATGGCTCAAGAAGGGAATGAACTCCAAGTAATGGATATGAATGGTTTCAATAACCGAGCAAAAGAATTGGAGAATAAAGGAGATAACAATAGGGAAAAAAGTAAGGGAATTGGGAACAATCGTAGATCATTTAGTGGTGTGGAATGGCTATTAGGATCTAAAAGAAAGGTTTATTTGACCTCAGAACGACCCTCCAAGAAACGGAAGCTTTTAGGGAGAGATGCAGGACTGGAGAAGTTGCTGGTGGCCTGCCCAGTTGAAGGTTCAGAGGAGGTCTGTCATTATTGCAGTTTTGGGGACATGGGTGATCCCTTAAATTTCTTGATCAAGTGTGGTTCTTGTGGTATGATGGTTCATCAAAGGTGTTATGGAGTTCAAGAAGATGTCAATACTTCTTGGTTGTGTTCATGGTGTAAATGGAAAAATGCTGTCGATACAAGGATTGAGACACCATGCTTCCTTTGTCCGAAGCAGGGGGGAGCGCTGAAACCTGTCCAGAAAAGTTGTTTTGGAAATGAAAGTGAGGGCTGTAAGGTAGAGTTTGCACATTTGTTTTGTTGCCAGTGGCTCTCTGAGGTGTATCTGGAGAATACCAGGACAATGGAGCCGATCATGAATATAGGTGAATTGAAGGACACAAAAAAGAAGATGAATTGTTATTTGTGCAAGGTTAAGTATGGTGCCTGTGTCCGGTGCAGCAATGGTATGTTTTGCTGCTTTCTTTTGTTAACTTCCTAAATCTCTATCTTGCATGGAGGCAGATGAATGCTGTTATTTGGAACGTATAATATTTGATGGATTCTAATATCCATGTAGGAGGCTACATAGGCTCTCTATTTTGGACCCCCCTTTTTTTCTTTTAATAATTGTTTGAACCATGTCCATCACCTGCCAAGGAAAGTTGACCTGTTTCAAGCATTATGTAATCATGTAACTTTTTGAGAAAATACTATTTGGTAGTCTATTATTCTGTTTATGCTGCTTTTTGAAATTTCTATTGTTTGAACGGCCTCCATATTAAATTTTCAAGGAGTAAGGACGCCCTTTGATGGTTAGTTTATGTTGTACAAGCCAATATTATCGCCTGATTGCTCAAAGATATTTTTCTTTTACTTGTTGTAAATGACATTTGTAGTGGCTATGAGTTTCTGCAAAACAGCAAGCCGGTTGCCCTTTATATTGTTATATGTTCATGTATCACTTTTTTTGAAAAAAAACCAAAAAAAAACTGAAGTTGCATTCAATTAAATTTCTGGCTTTCTTGTAAATTATGGACGACTGTTAGAGACTTTGTGCCAAGTGAGACATTGGCAAAGCTGTTTCACTTAATAATTTGTTTTTAGTAATGTAAATATGCTGCCCCCTTTTGCTCCCTGGAAGAACACAGTGTGACAGTAATCAATCGAACTACTTGACAAGAATGTTTTTACTGGTGATTGTTTGGGTCTCCATAAACATTTAATCAGTGATCTTAAATGCTTTAGTTGAAATGTTCAATCAAATGTCTTTACAAGTTTGAATGAGGGTTAGACAATAGAGTTGAGATGGATGCTGGAGTTTTTTTTTTTTTTAAAGAAAAAAATATATATTTCTGGGCTCATGGAATTTCAACTTGTAGTGGAAAAAAATAATAATAAAAAAATATATATTTCTGGGATCATGGAAAAGTTCTGTTCTGTTTTTCAACTTTTAGTATTTATAAGTTTGTCTTCCAAGGGTACAAAATTTGAAAGTCTCAATTGAGTGCCTAATTGTAGGGGTTCTGTTCCTTTTTAGGAGCTATATTGAATAAGATGTTTTATTGAACTTTCGAAATCAGGAATGAATCTGCAATGTAAATCTCTCTTACCAAGTGATTACCACTGTAAAAGACTATAGGGTATGTAAGCCCTTTCCATAAAAATTCCAAGCTTATGGATCAAATTGATTGTTAAGTATCTATCTTATGTACCTTTGCTGCTCTGGAGACATGGCCCTCTGGGCTTGGTTTCATATAGAGATTATTGTTGTTGTATTAATTTCTGCACGGCGTCCATCTAAAATTATCAGAAGGCAGAGTGTTTCTCAAGTAAAAAAAAAAAGGAAGTGATTTTTAGCTTTAGAACTGATTCAAGCGGTTGATTTGGTGCTTGGATGATACTTCATATTCTGATAATCTACACCTTAACTAAACTAGCCACTAGTGACATATATGGATCCCACAAGTAATTACACTTTTTATATTTCTGTCAGTGTCATGTTTGACTTTCGTATTCATTTTATGATACTCCATTATAATGTGAAGTATGGGCTAGTGTAGAACACTTTGAATTTTTGCAGTGGAACATTAAGTTACTGCACTCTAACTGAGTAATTAGATGGCGGTTTGATATCATTATATATGGTCTTCAGAAAAGTAGCGTTCTGAACTCATCTGCGATACTTTGGGGCACTGCCCACATGATGAGTAATTAAATGCATGTGGTAAAGGTGAACTATAAGATTGCATTTGGTTTCACTTTTCTTGATCGGAGGATCGATTCATTAAAACATTTGTTGGGAGATATAATTGGATTAAACAAATATATTTCTCAATAGATGCCTGTTCCTGTAGGTCTTTTTTTTAAATTTATGCTGCTATATTTAGCATGTTATGTAATAATTAAAAGATGTAAACAGAATAGTATGCACCAATGGTTTCGTTTGAATATTTATGTCTAATAGGAATGATCCTTTAATGCATGTCATAATATATTAAGTATACTTTTCTATATACATTGTGTGATTGGGGCTATTTTGCTTATGTTATCTTTTATTTTGATGTACAGGACCAGATGAAATCTATACCTAATCTACTGTTCTAGTTGTTGATTGCTTTATTTTTTTGTTTACTTACCCCTTCAATATATATAAACGAAAAGTTATGGTTTTGTAAGTGCTAATCACTTAGTCATTTGGCATATGTTAGGATCTTGTAGAACTTCATTTCATCCTATTTGTGCAAGGGAGGCAGGGCACAGAATGGAGATTTGGGGAAAACTTGGATCTGATGAGGTCTGGTCTTTTTTTAATCATTAAATTGTAGTTTCTTGTTTCTACTACAACGGAGGATTATTGGTTGAATAATATATGAATTTAAGTTCTATTGGAAGAAATGTAATTTCTTCTCTGGAGTTAATTCCTCATGTTGTATTACATAGCCTTATTTCTGCCTTGTTTATCTATATTCTGAATGGTTATGATATCCAGGTTGAATTGCGTGCGTTTTGTGGAAAACATTCAAAGGTTCAGTTTGATAGTGACAATCAGCGTACTGGAGAGACGTCTTTGACAGGTGATTTTATATCTCATTATAATAAACATCAGATGGTAGTATTACCAGTAGAGTGAATCTTTTAATTTTCTAGTTGGAAAATGGATAAGGAAGCTGTGATAAAATTCTCATCTACATTTAAGCAGCTGATGGAGATAATGGTAAGCACTATGTGGTGTTTGATGGAGATGAAATTATTGACAAGAGAAAAAATTCTGAGTCTCTAGAGGAAAATAAAGATGCACAACAACATGCCGCATTGTGTTCGGAGAATGGAAAAGTCAGTAATCTCAACATACTCAATTTCACTATGATGCTGAAGAGGGTATTTCTTAGTGCATTCAGTTGATGATTCCATTTTTATTGTTTTTTTTATCATTTCTCTTTGTTTATCTGCCTTTTGTGTGTGTGTGTGTGTGTGCAGCTGATTGAACTAGGGAAGATCAGTCCTAAAGACGTGGCCTCAGAGATTGGTGTTTTGCCAGATTCATTAAACGCAGTACTCACTGTAAGACATTAGCTTTAGTTACTTGTCTTATATTCTCCCTGGTTTTCTTATTTTGGTTATGATAATAATAAACATGTTATTATACTGTGATCACTGGTTGAATGATATCCAGAAAAAAACTTACTTTCTATCAAATCATTTTGTTGTAGAACTTGCTATGGTAGCTGGCATTCATTTTCTTGTTTGCTAATCCTGTCTTGTCTTGGTTTACTGTATTTGGGTACAGGATGATCACATGGTTCCTGAGTTACAGTATAAACTACTGAAGTGGTTGAAGAATCATGTTCACTTTGGAAACTTACAGAATGCTTTGAAGTTGAAAATTAGATCACTCATAACACCCAAATCTGTTGATGATGTGGCTGAATGTGTTGGTGCTATTTCAGAGGACGGGTCTATTATTTCTGATAGTGTTCCAGTTAAATCTGTTCCACCTCGAAGGAGAACCAAAAGCAACCTGAGGACCATGAATGATGATAAGTTGTTCTCCTCTAAGGACAAGAATTCTGATGAAACCTCTGCAGGTGATGCAGATTTATCTTTAATTCAGGGAAAAGCTTTGTACGGTCCATCTGTAGAGTTTTTGGTGGACAATGCCCAGAAGGTATCATACTTTTGCTGTTAAGCTATTTCATACAGAAACTTTGGGCTGATGGCAGAGTAGAGTATTTTGTCAATGCATCAAGAGTCGAGACTCTTTTGTTTTGGTTGTTCTTAGGTTTGTGGTCGCATTTTCATTTCAGCAAAGAAGTTATGCCTATGAATGGTCTGTATTTATTTCAAAAGAAAATAAATAAAAAGAAACTTACTGCCGGAATCTATCCTATACTATGATTACTACATGGAAAGACAGCTACCTCTAAAGGATTACTACTAAGCACAAAATCTAGTTGTAAAAGGACTTCTTTCATACCAAGAATATTAGTAATCATAGATGTTTCAAGCTACCGACTTAATCTATTTTATTAAATAACTTAATGAGCCTTAACCCTAACATTTATTCCTAATACTTTACTGTCTAGTGTATTTGCATGCCATTGGTTTCATTATCCTGAATGTGCTTATCGTCCTTATGTACAACATTCATGTATAATTTCTTGTATCCTACTGGAGTTGTCTGTCTACGTGTTGATCCTTTTTCTTAGGGAGATATTTACTTCAATATATGTACAGCATCCTCTTTGATGGAGCAACTAGGCTATGTTAAATTATTATTTTCATTGTTAGGGTTATTTGGTCTGTTTCTAAACCAGATGTTCTTCAATATTTTGTTCTCGGTCAATGTAATGCAAGAAGCAATATATTTCCGTTTTCCTTCTAGTTCTGCCATGTGATCATGCCATTGACCATGTTAACATTCATTGCATCTGTTCCATTGTAATTCTATAAGACTTACTTCAATAGCTCAACTTTTGAAATGTTTGCATTTAACACATTCTGTTATGCAGATACTAATTGATTCCCAGCAGCTGCAAGATAATCCAGCAAACAATTCTACTAGAATTGAAGGTGTGATGTCTGATTGATTGTGTAATTAGCTGTTATCACAGTTATTTTTACATATTTTAATACAAAGATTCATTTTACAAGTTTTGTTTTGCTATGTTAATTTACTGTGGGGGCTATTTCCTTGCAATTAATTTTGTCAGCTTCATAGTTGACTTTTACCATCTGTAGGTATTGTTTTGGTTAAATTTCCCATCTGCGCGTTTTTCGATTGAGTTTCCTAATCAATATATTTCATGTAGTCTTTGATAATATCCTATGTATTGTTTTTACCATTCACTCGTGTAATTGGAATGGCAGGCAAAGTTACAGACTTAGCCCATTGTCTATCTGATGAAAATCTAGTGGATGGGAGTAATCAAGGTCCACGAATGATAATGTGTTCATCTGACTTATTGTAAGTCATTATTACCTTATTATCTTGTTTTTGTGTTTCCATCTTTCTATGTTCCCCTAGGCCTTATCTACCATTCTCCTGTATGTTTTTTCAGGCCTCTAAAATCAATGTGATTTCCTAGGAATTCTGACTGATTCTGCATTTTGTTCTGTAGAAATGGGGATGTTCACTGTGCTTCATACATGCATCCATTAATCTATTGTAAATTGATGCAAACCAATGATGAATCACTTGAGAAAACTGCATCGGACCAGTCTGCAGGTATTTTACTTTCTACTTCGTGCAGTCTTGGGGCTTTTAAGTTAATGCTGTTGGTTGCTTGGTTTGCAGTTTTGATGGATGGAGAAGCTTCACAGTTAGAAACATCTTCTAGTTCAGACCTCTGTAGTAATAACAACCTGCAAGCACTGTCCGGAGGCTGTACTTCTAAATGCGATGAAGTGAATCTTGATCAATTTCTTTGGGCAAAAAATATGGATATGCTAAAACTGTCACCATCAGATGAATTGGAAGGAGAACTTCTATATTATCAGCAAAGGCTCCTTGCCAATGCTGCTGCTAGAAAACGCATGAGTGGTCTCTGCTCCTTTGAATGCCTTTAGTTTATCCATTTTACTTTTTCTCTTTATCCATGAAAGTGTGATGGTTCGTTTAGAAATGTGCCTAAGTCAATTTCCTTGTCATCTGGCCAGATAATTTGATTGCAAAAGTTGTTGGAAGTCTTTCAAAGGAAATTGATGCTACTGGAGAACGAAAATGGGATACTGTATTAGTTAGTCAGTATACTCATGAGCTTCAGGAGGCAAAAAAGCGGGGAAGGAAAGAGCGTCGTCAAAAAGAAGCTCAGGCTGTATTTGCTACTGCAACTGCTGCAACTGCAGGTTCATCTAGAGTGTCATCTATCAGAAAAGATAACTTAGATGAATCGTCGCAACAGGTTGTATCTTTGTTTGTGTTTTTCCTTCTTTTTTTTATTTTTTATATGAATGTCTCGTCTCCTCTTTTATTTTTTTTTTGTTTTTTATTTTGTATATTTACAGTTAAAACATTTTTCAGGGTCTTCCGAAGAATGCATACGATATGAGATTCGGTTCTCAATCTAAGTTGAATCTCAAATTGAAACAGTCTATTCCTACACCAGCCATCATGAGATCCTCATTTGATGCAAACTCTGATTCTGCCCAGTCAACTTTAAAAGACCATCCTAGAACCTGCGACATATGCAGACGTCCTGAGACAGTTTGGAATCCAATTTTACTGTGTTCAAGTTGCAAGGTTTTTACTATTCAAACAACTTGCATGGGATGATAAACACTTGCTCACTTGCCTGACTGGAGATCTTTATCACTTTTTTATTTATTTTTTAATCAGGTTGCAGTTCATATGGGTTGCTATTGTCATGTTAAAAGCACAATAATTCCATGGCATTGTGAACTGTGTGAAGAATTATTGTCTTCTCTGGATTGTGGAGCCGTAGCAACAAATTCTTGTGAAAAACCTTACATGATTGCAGAATGTGGCATATGTGGTGGTAGTGCGGGTGCTTTTAGGAAGTCGGAAAATGGTCATTGGATACATGCCTTTTGTGCAGAAGTAAGTGATCCTCGTTTTCTTCTTTACTATTTTTCTATTGTCTGAGTCAATTCAGAATTGCTCTCTTTTTTCATTAATTTTCTTCTGGATGTCAATGCAGTGGGTTTTAGAGTCAACATACAAAAGGGGACAAGCAAATCCTATTGAGGGAATGGTAAGTGCATTTATTTAGTGCAGATGATTGGGTTTTGGGTTATCAACTATCAATGGAATGTACTTGTCTTCATTACTCTTCCAGGATAATGTTGTATGTGGAGTTGATACATGCACTGTGTGTCAACACAAACATGGTGTCTGCCTTAAGGTAAAGATCTAATGATATGTAATATATTTTATTTTCTGCACTTCCTATTTGAAATTGGAACATCCATTGAAAGCTCATCTTTCTTTTCCGGATTGTACATTATACAGTGTAGTTATGGTCACTGTCAGACTCGATTTCATCCCACCTGTGCCAAAAGTGCTGGTTTTTTCATGACTGTGAAGACTGATGGTAGCAAAGTGCTCCACAAGGCTTATTGTGAAAAGCATAGCATAGAACAAAGAGCAAAGGTTTTTATACTTTTTGATTATGTAGGTTTATTTTCAATGGTTGATATGTGCTTTACAACTGTCATTGTCTTTTTTAACTCCTTAAGGCCAGCACTCAAAGACATGGAATTGAAGAGTTCAAGAGTCTCAAACTTGTTCGGGTAAGTGAACATGATACCAATTACTTGGCTGTTTCATCTAATGTTAACAAGGGCCATTGTAATGTGCCCATCTTCAGCTAGATGCTCTCAGTATTATCGAAATCAAGTGCATTTTCATATGTAAAAGTTGTTGCTTTTTATGTGTGTGTGAATGGGTGGGATGTTGAATCAAGATATAAAGACCTGATGTTCTTCATTTCTTTTATTCATACACAGGTTGAATTGGAGAGGGTGCGCCTTCTATGCGAAAGAATCATCAAAAGGGAGAAATTGAAGGTAATCTGATTTATCATTTGAATATATTTTCATCTTGATTGCACACTCACTGCCCATTTGCTGCTTTTAGGGAGTGATTTATCATTCTGAAATAATTTATGCTTTGCACTACACAGCGTGAGCTGGTTCTCTGCTCCCATGATGTTCTTGCCACAAGTCGAGATTCTGTTCTATCTGCACTGGCTCGCCACCCCTTTTACCAACCTGATTTCAGTTCAGAGTCAGCTACAACCTCTGTTAGAGGTCTCACCGACAGCCATAGATCAGGCAGTGGAAGTGTACAAAGATCAGATGACATAACTATTGACAGCACAGTTGCAGGTAAAAGACGAGTTAGGCTCCCCACATCCATGGACAATGACGACAGTTCGACTTCTCAAAACCTCAATATGGTGAAACCTCAAGAGAGAGCATCATTCTCAGGGAAGCAGATTCCCCAGCGAGGAATTGCCGCACGGAGCCTAACAGAATCAAGATACAGAGAAGTAAGTGTTTTGATCAGTTATTTAGCCTTCCTTGGGCTCCTTTATTTCCTCATAAGGAATGCCTTTTTAACAGACATACTGATACAGAATAATCAAATTCTTGAAAAGAAGCTCCAAATGAGTTCAGACCAAGCACCCATGAAAAATCAGTGGCTACTATCTAATCAATTTGCCTATGCCCAGATTCCATTTCTGTCCAGGGGGGAGATGGTGCCAGAAGCATTTCCCCATGAGCCAGAGATTGTGATAGATGAACCATTTCCACCATCAAAATGAAGTGGTAAGGGACTTGCAGTTGAGGTGAAATAGATGTTATTGTAATGTATGATGTACAGGACAGTCTTGTGACTTGTGAGGCTTTTCTCTAGCTGTTGCTGACCTTTTTTTATTAGCTCTTGATTTTTGTTCTTTTGTTTTTTTGTTTTTTTAGAGCTGCCTTTTAGTTGTATGAAGCTGCTGCCTGGTAAAGTTGGTCTGTACAGGAACTCAATTAGAATTGGAGGCAAGTACTACCCATTCGGTTGTATAATCTCATTGAATGCAGAACGCAAAGGATTGATTTTCAAAACCACAAAAAAACGAACATTAGCACAAGAAAGAGTGATTGATAACTTATTCTACATCTAATTTCTAAAGGTTGTAGGAAAATTGATCTACTATTATTCTATATCCATAAATGCTGGATGTGAAAAGTTGTCCAGTCATGAACCGGTGAACCATTACCCTACGTACAATCTCTGCAAACGTCAACCCATTCATTTATGAGACTTTTACCCTCTTCTTGAGAACATAATATCATGTCCACTATATGTTGTACAGTTATGATCAGAGAGACGAAAACTAACAAGCGTATATATACGGAGATTACAAAATTATAAAGTTCGCTGTGGGAAAGACAAGGAAGCTCAGGTCAACAAAACAAAATATTCTAATTTGGGCCTAATAATTTTTTATTGTATAAAGGCTCATGTAAGCTAAATGGGCTTGAAAGTAAATTTAATCTGGGCCCACTCCGAGTGGTTGAGTGGATTAGTATTAGTATTATTATTTTTACTATTAGTATTATTTTAATTGACCGTTCACTGGATTGGGTTACTTGCATTGGCGTACTTTCGACTGCTGACTTCCGTACACATACGCTGAAGATCATCGTCGTCGTTCTGAATCTGTGCCAGTCTTCTCCCTCCGGATTTCCTGTGTGTCTCCGAGAATTTTGGCTCGCGGGTGGGGAAAAGCTGCACAAATTGTGTCCTCACAGAAAAGAAATTGAAGATTGAGGAAGAGTCGAGAGTTCTACATCCGGTTCATGGATCTTGCTACACGCCGTTGTAATGCATCGCCTACCCCGAATTTTTGCGCATAGTTCCAACAGGCGGGAATCTGGAGTTGAAATAAGCTCCGGCGCGAGTTCTAGCTCGAGCAATCAAGCTGGAAAACCGAAGCGGAGGCTCGAACGGCTCAATGCGAAGAAGAACATTGATTACGAGTTCTCTCCTACTTCTACTGCTGGTTATTCATCTTCCTCGCACTACTCTTCTGAGGAATCACAGCGTACGCGCTCGCTCGAGTTGTATGAAGGCAAGACGAGCTTCCGCATGGATGGATTCGATGGTGAGTTTGAGGCTATCTGCGAAAGGTTAGGTTTTTCGGGGATTGATGATTTTGCTATACCTACAGAAGAGTACGATGCAATGAAGGTGAGATCTTCTTCTTCTCCTGTCGTGTTTAATAACACAATAGAGCATTATTTAATAGATCGGAAAACGGAAGCTAATTTCGATGAGGTAGTTGCGTTCTCGGCCGACGGCGGCGGTTCTGGTGCTGTTGATGCAGTCTGTCGAGATATTGAGGGAAATGATTTGTATGTGGGATTAGCGGAAACCAACGATTCTATTAGTAAGAATTGTAAAGAATCCTGTGATTATTCTGTTACTATGGATAGAAATAGAGCTAAATTTCTTGGTAGTGATGTGATGTTGAGCAATGATATCAGTGGAAGATTCAATGAACTACGTGGAAATGGTATCAAAGGTGTGCGGCCACCGGTGCTGGCACCGCCTCCTTCAATGTCGTTGCCCGTGATTGATAAAGATTGCTCGACGTGGGATATATTTAGATCATTTGCTCCAGACAGTGACACTAGCATTTCAAGGTTTGAAAGTGGATTTTGCTTTGATGAGGAAGGTGATCAGGAGAGGACTGATAATGAGGGCCAGGAGGAGGATCGGAGGAGAAGGACAATGGGGAGGCAAGATAGCTATGTCTTCTCAGGGTCATGTTCTTTCAACACAACTTCAAATGATGATGACTCTTCTAGTACCACAACGGACCCAACATCAAGTATTTCACCTAATGGAAGGTTTAGACCGCATATTATGGGATGGCAAAAGGGTGGACTCTTGGGTTGTGGATCCTTTGGATCTGTCTATGAAGGAATTTCTGAGTAAGCACCCTCTTTAATATGAATGGATTGTAAACACTCTTCCTTCATTAACTTTTAGTTTTCAATGTTAGTTTTGAGCATGGACCTCCTAAGAAATGCCTAGCCAATTTTAGTATGGAAAGCATGAATTAGTTGATTTATCCACTTCTGAAGATCTACATAATTGTAGGAAGAGACCTTGACATTCTAATGTGAAGAAAACTGAAGTTAGCCATGATTGTTGGAAAATTTTTGGAGTACTGAAATTATAAGAGATATTTTCTTGAAGTGAAAGTTTAATACAGTATGACGCAATTAGGAAAACTTTCATACTTGTTCTTGTCTCTCTTAAGTTTTATGCCTGATATAGATGGTATCAATCATTTTATTTTTAGCTTTTTTCTTTCATTCTATTTTTAGCTTAGTGCTTTAACTTCCTTGTTTGACTTGCTGCAGTGAAGGATTTTTTTTCGCTGTGAAGGAGGTATCTTTGCTTGATCAGGGAGATGAAGCGAAGCAACGAATTATTCAACTTGAACAGGTGTAGCTACATTAACTATGCTGTTTGCTCATCTGTCAACTTATTTCCTCCTTGTTATAATCACCAGCTGTATTCTAATTGTTTTTTCTTTTGTACCCGTATCTTTGCTTTCTGATCTGTTCAGGAAATTGCTCTGCTGAGTCAGTTTGAACATGAAAATATTGTCCAGTATTATGAAACGAAGAAGGTACCTGTCTTCTGCATTTGGTGTGCCATTTAGGGCCTTTAACCTGTGATCTATGAAATGATACCATTCCGGCCTCCTTCATCCAATCTTTATTTCCTAAATCCTGGTTACCCTGCTTTGAACTCATTTATTGAAATCAGATGACCAACTCCTTATATTGCAAGTCCACGGTCTTTCTTTTGATTAACATTGAAGATGTGCTGAAGATTTATGTATTTTAAATCTGCAGGATGAATCGCATCTCTATATTTTTCTTGAACTTGTTACTAAAGGCTCGCTTTTGAGCCTTTATCAGAAATATGTCCTCTGGGATTCTCAAGTATCTGCTTATACAAGGCAGATATTACACGGTTTGAAGTATCTGCATGACAGAAATGTGGTGCACAGGTGATCAAATTTAATCTAATATTTTGCAATTTTAAAACTGTGCTCCACCTGATTTTTTTGTTTTTTGGTTTTGGTACAATTGACGATGGGATTGGAATGTGCTTCATATATCTTTATTGATTGATTTGTGATTTTCCAGTGCTTATATATAATTCGGTTGATGCTTTCTTTTTCTGCCAGGGTACCCTAAAAGATACCCTATTAAGAATATTTCTCTTTGTGCTATATTTGCAACGGTTTACATTTTATGCTAATAATTGTTACCTTTCTATTCATGCAATTGTTAACTATCAGAGAAGAAAAGATTAGACTATACTTCTGTGGATTGGCATTTTCTGACTGCAAAAGAAGTTGTGCATTTCATTGTTCTAATATTCTCTTATCTTTTTGTCTCTTGAGCAGAGATATCAAATGTGCAAATATATTGGTGGGCGCAGATGGTTTGGTGAAACTAGCAGATTTTGGTCTTGCAAAGGTTTTGTCTCTTTACCTTTCTTTCTACTTTAAATGCCTTTCATTTCATTCAACGGTAATCTATATTTTTTGTTTATATTGTTCGTATCATATTGTGATTGAATGGTTGTTCAGGCGACTAAATTGACTGATGTGAATTCTTGCAAAGGAACTGCATTCTGGATGGCTCCAGAGGTCTACCCCCTAACTCTATTTTTCAGCTAAAACCATGTCTAACTCTTAATTTATTCTTCAATAAATACACATAAGCAGATGTCTCATTGTTTTCTTTTTCTTCTTCTTATATTTGTGCTAGCTTTTGAAGATTATCTCTATGTGGCATGCAGGTTGTTGGGAACCTTAGCTATGGGCTTGCGGCAGATATTTGGAGCCTTGGATGTACTGTCTTGGAGATGCTAACGAGACGTTTCCCATACTCCAATTTTGAATGGGTGAGTATAATAAGCTCTTCAATTTGACTAACCATGTTGACTTCTGCCATGTTCTTGATTAGTTACCTGAATATATAACTAAAATTTGATAGTTGGGATCGTTGTCGCTTTCACCAGTTGAGTAAGAGTATCCTAAGAAATGGATAGCTACCATGTATCAAGAAAAGATCTCATGAATATCTAAAGTATTGTCGTATTTTCACTCAAAGCCAGATACAAACTTGATAATTCTTGTCTTATCTTACAAATAATACTGTGTCGTTTTGTTCAGAGATAATTCCAGTGTGCACTTGTTTTCATTTATTGATATTAGCTGCAGGATTAAGGTTTATGACATACATATCTAACACCTGTACTGGTTGATTGTCTCTTCATTATCACATCAACGCATGCCTAATTAAATGAAGTCCTATACCATAAATCCTCTCTAATTCTCTACTAGATATGATTTTGCTGAAGCTTAGCATGTTTTATTTCTCTCTTACACATCAGATGGCTGCATTATTCAAGATAGGGAATGGCGAAAGACCATCTGTTCCTGATTCTCTTTCCTACGATGCACGAGACTTCATACTTAAATGCCTACAAGTTGACCCAAGTTTACGACCAACTGCTGCACAGCTCCTGAATCATCCCTTTGTGAAGCAACCCTTACACTCCTTTTCAGGCTTTACATCTCCTCAAAGTTTTACAGGACAGCAGATTTAATCAACATATAGATTTTCATTCGACATCGAGGATGATTGCTTCTCTTCAATCTTCCATCGACTCTCCATGCGATGACGATTCTGGAGAATTTTCCCAAGACTGCTGAGGGAAGCTTTCTTTGTATCAGTGCTGCTGATCTTGTGCTCTTTTCATCCAAGGACATCAACACTGGTGTCTGTCTTTTGATAGTGACCTACATTTTTTCACAGTTAACGGTAACAGGGGATTGTAAAGATCCATTCAGCGACTACTGTAGTGACATATTTATATAGTTGCATAAATGCTTCTGTAACTATTTGTACCTTCTGCTCATGTTGCTTGCTGTACATATTTGTAATTAATAATATGATTCTTTGGTAATGCTGCATTTGGTATTGAAAACTCTATTGACTTATATACATGAATTATTTTTATTTTATTTTATCTTATTTAATGAATTATTATTATTATTGTTAAATTTGTAATTATACAGTAAAACTGCTTGCTTCTGCTTTCAGAACCACTCCCTGATGTATTTGTCAAAAAAGCACTTGAGGAGAAGGCAGCAATAAATATTTTTAAGAAGCAGAACCACCTTTTAGAAGCCAATCCAAGAGGGCTATGGACGATGGCTATCATTGTCACTGTGGCACACGATGTGGTAATCATGTCGCTATTGTAACAGTGAAATATAAATGGTTATTTGCAAAATGGCCCTCTGGTTCCGTGAAATTACGGTTTCATGCACTTCTTTCTCCCTGTATATATATATATGTATGAATGAAACGCCTGCAATAAAGCTAACGTGATGTTCGGACAGCCACGCTCCTCTCGTAACCCTTGAAATTCAACGAATCCCTTGTGCTCTATTTACTTGGCGTAGATGAGCGAGATACATTGAGAAAACTAGAGAAACAAGATCGTCGCCTTTTGTGATTTGCGCCCGCTCACATCGATTGTTTTTTACTTCCAGGTAACCCGAGCTTTTCGATTTATCGCAATCTTATTTTATCTTATTTTTTTGTTATGTTAATGTGCTCCGAAGGATATAATTTATGCGCTGAAGTTGAAGCAAAAATGAGAGGCCTTTCGGTTGAAAGTTTTGAATTTTTGGGTTCTTTGGCGTTCCTAGGGTATGGGTCTTTGAGAGGATTTTTTGAATGCAGATTTATTGTATATGAAAATACTTGTAGTTTTTTTGCGAACTGGTGTTTGATTTTGTTCTAGCTGGGTAGATCCTCGTGAAATTATTAAATGGGCAATCTCCCAATATTTATGATGCTTGAAGTTTAGTTTTTTAATCGTGGTGGAGGAGAAAATTACATCTTTGGGTATGCATTGCAGGGTGCTTTATTTAATATTCACCAGTTGACTTAGATTTAAGTAATTAGTTCAGTGAAGTGTATATGCCTTGAGTTGACGCCAATGATTTTGAAATGAAGTATTTCTGCCAACCACAAATTCTGATCTTTGGTATAGAAGAATTCATGAAGCAGTTTAGGCTCAAATCTGCGGTGTTTGTGGTCGATATGTTTGATATGAATTGCAAGTTTGCTTGATCTATCTTCTATGTTCTCTGACTGATGGTTACTTTTGCATGCTACATATACTTCAGGACTTGAAATGTATCGTAGTTTCATGAGATTTTTTAGGTAAATTCCACTTAAGTATTATTTGATTTCACCTGTTAATTCAACGAGCATTATATTGTTAAGTTTTTAGGTGAAATATATTCTGAATTTTGGGAACTGTCTTTTGATTGAATTATGTTGTGGCATTGTTTGCTTCACATTGTCCGCTTGCTAAATTATTGTTGGCGATGTCCTTTCATTAAGCCTCAATGGCCAAATCCAAGATGCTGGACCGAAAATCTGATTCTAACCACCATGGGATCAGTCTACGCAAGTTATCATCTCGACACATGAAAGTTTTTGAAGATTCCCACCATGAGAAAAGACGAGTAGCAGCATCAGAAAAGAAAGAGTGGGAAGATGCACGATGCTCAGTCTGCTTGGAGTTTCCTCACAATGCAGTTCTCTTACTCTGTTCCTCTTATGACAAGGGTTGCCGTCCTTACATGTGTGCCACTAGCCATCGATATTCCAATTGTCTTGAACAGTATAGGAAAGCCTACACTAAGGTTTCCTCAGACAAGAGCACACCACCATTTGAAGGGGCGACCAGTGATATAGCCCTCTTGGAGGAATCAAGTTTGCCCAATGCAAAGAGTGAGATGCCAGAACTTCCATGTCCACTTTGCCGTGGTCAGGTTAAAGGCTGGACAGTGTTAGAACCTGCGCGCAAGTACTTTAATAGAAAGAAGCGCACCTGTATGCAAGATTGCTGCTTGTTTGTTGGTTCCTACAAAGAACTTAGGAAGCATGTGAAGGTGGAGCATCCTCTAGGACGCCCTCGAGATGTTGACCCTTCACATGTAGAGAAATGGAAGAAGCTCGAGGATGAGAGAGAACTCAGTGATGTGTTCAGCTCAATTAGATCTACCATGCCGGGGGCAATTGTCATCGGTGACTATGTACTAGAGAGGAGCCATCATGGATTTCCGAGGGACTTTGGCGGCCATGACTATTTGGATGCGCCCTTCTTTAGATTCCCTGCATTCAATAACCGCTGGAGCAGCCCCACAATTACTCCTGATTTCTTTGACAGCGATTATGAAGCCCTTGATGATGATATCAGCAGGCTTGGAGCTCGAGTTGCATCTAGGCGCCATGGAAACAATGCTTCCCGTATGGCGCGCCCCCGTGCGAGATTGTGGGTTGCAAGGCGCACAAGAAGACTTAGAGATGGCAACTAAGTTGCTGCGAAGGAAGGTACCCAAACCCAAGCATTTCTGATCCTCTTTATGGTTTCAAATAATATTGATACAGTACCAATGGGACTTGAAAAAATATGGTATTATTATTGTTATTACTTGCTGCATATGATTTATAGTAGTGCTTGGGGGTGTTGATCTTGGCAGTTGCTGGAATTATGATTTTAGGTGTTGGAAGGGTCGATTTCATTTCATCGGATCATCCTCCCTTATGATTATTATTATTATTATTATCATTATTGTTTGGATAGCTCCTTGCTATTTATATTAATATTGTTAATCCTTAGCTGCTGTGCTGATGAGGAAGAGAAAGAGGAGGATAGTAGGTGTAGCTAGCTAGGCTAGTTGGTGTATTTCTTTCATTTTCATGTTCATACTCTGCAACCTTTTGTGGATTCATGGTTGGGTCTCACTTGTACCATTGCTATTTGGTTGGTTTGTGTTCAATCCTTGGAGGCTTTACTATACTATACTATACTAGACTGGAGGGATTGAATAGAGCTATATGTATGTGTGTATGCATGTATTATATGTAGCTTCTTCTGTTAGGATTGGTTGCTTATTCATTACTATGCCTATGAGGTAATTGATTAGAAGAAAATAAAAATAAATAGATGCCTAATAGGTTGAGTGGACGAGGAGATCACCCTCCCTACTAACTACAAGTGGCCCGGGCCAGTTTGTTTCGTGTCTTAAGCCTTCACCACTAACACTACAAATTAGCTATAATAACTTTCCAGAATGTTATCACTGTTAGTTATTATTAGCATTTGTATTCATATTGATATTGATAATTGTTACTTTCATTTTCAATGGTGTCGGCCCTCCTCCATCCTCTCCGTGACTTTTTGTTTTTATTATTCTTTTCTTTTCTTTGCCATCCTTTCGATGACATTTTGGAGGGCAACGCAATAAATAGATAGATAGAGCAAGACTTTGCAGATTTTCGTATTATTTTTATTATATATATATATATTTAAAAATGAATGTTTATAACATGAATTTAATACTTTATTCATTTTTATTGTCTATAAAATAATACTACAAATTTGAGAATATTTTCAAAATGTGTACAAGTAAGTTTGGTATGTTTGTTCGGTTAGGTTAGGTTATGTTAGAAATTTGATGGGTGAAGGCGAAAATGACATATGTCAGTCCAGATTTATGTATGTCATTGAACGCCACGGCTCTTCTTGCGATTTTTACTTATTAGTTGCATTTATTTTTCGCGTATATATTTGTGGCCTCTATTATATTGGATTTCCATTTTATTTATTTACATAAAATATCTTACACATATATACACTAGACATGCTGATGGTTGCTTGTCTTATTGCACGCACATGTAACACATCAATCTTGAACGATACTTCTCGATAATTATGCAATTTTACTTTTTGGCCACAAATACTTATATAGCATTTATGTAAGTATAAAAAATAATATTTTATATTACTAAATAATATAATATAAATATTATATATCAAGTAAGAGAATTTTATAAAAAATAAAAATTTAAGAAAATATTTGAATAAACATCCACATTATACCTACATAAACGTCGAAGCCCATAGTACAAACAAACGTTTTATATATACACAGATAACAAAGAAGGAACAATAATCAATTAAAGGGTTTGGAGTTGGCCTATCCAATCATAGTGTAGTATTCATTAATAAGTCACTCGATCACTTCACTGCTTAATTTGATTCCCATGGAGGAGGAGAAGAGGACAACAGTAGTAACCGTGGTCGGCGCCGGACCGTCGGGGCTGGCCATGGCGGCGTACCTCCACCACCTCTCCATCCCGTACACACTCCTCGAACGAGAAGACTGCTTCGCCTCCCTCTGGCAAAAGTATGCCTACGACCGCCTTCATCTCCACCTCACTAAGAAAATCTGTCAGCTCCCATTAATGGAAATGCCCCAATCTTACCCTAAATACCCTTCCAGAACCCAATTCCTCGCCTACCTGAACGACTACGTCTCCGCCTTCCAAATCCGCCCAATCTACCACCGCCACGTGGTCATGGCCGACTACGACGAGGCCGCCGCCGAATGGACCGTCAAGGCAAGGAATTCGGCGTCGGAGCAAGAGGAATTCGAGGTTTACCGGTCGCGGTTTCTGGTGGTCGCCACCGGAGAATCGTGCGATCCACGCTTGCCGGAGGTGGAGGGTTTGTCTGATTTCCGGGGAGAGGTTCTGCACTCGACCAGGTACAAGAATGGTAAGAAATTTCAAGGAAAGAACGTTTTGGTTGTCGGGAGCGGCAATTCGGGCATGGAGATCGCCTTCGACCTCGCTAACTGTGGCGCCAAGACCTCCATCCTTGTCCGAAGCCCGGTACAGTGCTGCTGCTTGTTATGTTAACACTTTCAATTTAAAATTAATCGGTTAATTATATATATATATATATATATATGCATGTATATGATGTAGACGCATATATTGCCGAGGTGGGTGATGAATGCAAATGCTTTATATTTTCTGTTCAAGCATTTGCCTCTACATTGGGTGGAGTGGGTGGTGGTAATGACCTGCAGATTAGCTTTTGGAGACTTGACCAAATATGGAATTGAAAGACCCAAAGAAGGGCCCTTTACAGTGAAGATGAAGTACGGAAGGTTTCCCATCATCGATGTCGGAACAGTTGAGAAGATCAAGTCCGGAGAAATTCAGGTGCTGCCGGCGGTAATAAAAACCATTAAGCCCAATAACACTGTTCTGCTTCAGAACGGGAAGGAATATCCATTTGATGTCATCATTTTCGCCACAGGCTTCAAAAGATCTACCAAGCAGTGGCTCAAGGTTTTATTTATTTCTTTTAAAATATAGATATTTTTTGGTGAATTAATTATTATTGGGCTGAAAATGAGAAAACCCAATTTTGCAGGAGGATTATGGGCTGTTAAATGATGATGGGTTTTCGTTTAACGGCCCAAACTACTGGAAAGGTAAAAATGGGCTGTACAGTGTTGGGCTTGCTCGTAAAGGATTTCCTGGATCATCACAGGATGCCCGAAATGTAGCCAATGACATCAAGGCCCAACTCTGACTGTTCCTTTAGTACTTTAGTTGTGTCTGGTTATTGTTATTGTTATTATTATTAAAATAATATGGATTAATAGTAATATTAGTAGTTTTAAATATATGTGATTATTATGTTGTATTTTGAAGTAATATGTTTCTGTATAAATAATATGGATTAATGGGTTTCTTCAAGAATGAATTTTTATTGTTAATAAGACATGGAGCAATTAATTGAATTAGTATTAAAGGAGCATCTGGTCAAAGATTCCCCACAATTTTATTGCAACTTTTCGTGGTGATCATATTTTCACATACTGTAGTCTGTAGTCGGAATTGAAAAAGACTAGAGTGAGATAGATTCCTTAGCACGTGCTGACGTTTTGGTTGGTATATTCCAATAATTTATTTCATCAATAATAATCATTTTGATTTTAAAGCTGAGAGTGGCTCCTATCCTATGGCTAGGGGCAGACAGTTGGATATTGAAATCTAGGATCTATTCTACTCAAGAAAAAAATAAATCACTTATTTTTATTTTCTTATAGTATTTGTTTATAACTCATCCAATCAATAAAATAAAATATATATATTTTTTATGGAATTATAAATTAATCAACAACAGCATGTTTATATTATAATTAATATATTATTATGTGGTTTGAAATTAGCACGAAATTTATTGGAGGATTTGTCAAAAATAAAAAATAATCATAATCATTCCTCTTATAATAAAATTTTATGTAGTAGTATATTATATATCTTATCTGCATGTTGCCTTATTTATTGTCATAAATTTTGTATGTATAAAATATTATACTCCGATCCATGTAGTTTTTGTCAATATAATGATAACTTATACTATAATAAAATTTACACATATTCATAAGTCTAAGCCTGTGCTTTGTTTGAGTGTGTTGTTTCCATTTGTGTGTTTATATATAAATATATATATATATATATATTAGTATTTTTAAATATAAAATTAAAAAATAAATAGTAAATATACATCACACGCACAAGAACAAACCAATTGGTTACTGTGTTTGACAAATGATAATTAAATAATTTGAGAGGAATATCACTACTCTTCAAATATATGAAAAATCATTTTGTTTCGATCGACCCAGGTTTGGTTATAAAACTGTCCTTGCTATTAATTATTTATCAACTATTAATTATTTAATCATGATTTCATTCTATTTCCACCAGATTAGGGCATTACTTTTAAAAGATATGTATAGGGAGAAAGATTATTTAATTTTTAAAAATATATATGTCGTGATTGATTAATAAGTTATATAAGGAAGTAGTAAATGTTACATTACAAACTAAAAGCATAAAATTCTTTCTTCTTTAACTAATAAAAAACAAATAAATAATTATTTTTGTGTCCTAATACCCTAAAAGCTTCGACAACTCAATAAAAATTTATAGCAATTATTGTGTAATTAGTAATTAATTGAACGTAGGAAATGGATAAGACAAGGTGTGGCTTCGGTGCGTTTTTCCCCCACAAGATATATGTCACGTCAAATATCTTCCATGCCTTTTTATTTGATTTATTTATTTATAAAATTGTAGTAAGATATATTTTTTAAATTCTTCATATATCATATTGGCCAAATGAATTACATATCAAACCTTCTTAGATTTTTTTATTTTTGTTGGAGTTCTGAATTTAATTTTTTTCCAAACTAATATTTTAATTAAAAATATATTACTCCATAATTTTATTTAAAATTGTAATTGTTAAATATGTAAAAACTGAGATATAGTATAAAAAGATCATACCCAATTTTATTTTTTCAAAAATAAAATGTTAAAAGAACTAATAAAAAGTAATCAATCTATTAATGTGTTAGTTGATTTTAATTTATAATAATAAGAGTAAAAGGAAAATAAGGCGTGGGTAAAATTAGTTTGAAAGATTATTATTAATCATTTATTAAATGACGATTATATAAGTGAATGTTAATGCATTGTGCTACTTCCAATAGTATTTATCAAATGAGTGATCATATATCTATTACTATATATATGTGTAATTAATTGATGTAGTTAGTATACATAAAAGAAATTAAAGTTTTTATCATTTTTTTAAAGTGAAGATAAATATAAATGTCTTGATTGACATGAAAATATTGAAATGACTTAGTGAAGAAAATAGATTATGTGAAAAAGAATAGATGAATATAGTATTTTAAATAATAAAATGGATATTAAATTTCATATTTAAAAGATAAAGATAAAAATTTGTTAATAAAAAATGGGTTTTTTAAAAAAAAAAAATCAAAAAATAAATAGTAAAATATAATCACATTTTTACTATACTCTCACTCTACTATTTTCTACGAGTTTAAAACATTATACAAAAAAACCATTAATATTATTACTTTATTATTTTCTATAGGAAAAACATTATATATATCTTAGATACTTTAAAAAATAATGCCTTTTTGTATTTATAAATATATATATATATATATATATTGTAATTTTAAACTATAGAATTTCTATTACAAGTGTCCATAATACTTATATAAACTTATTAATATTATTCATTGACACTTGACAGAGAGTTATGATTCCTACTCATGTATTAAACTATAATACTAATGAAAGATTAATTATTTGAGCCCTCTCTTAATCTTCGTGGTGTACGTATCATAATGACTTTTCAACAGTTTTATTTAATTTAAGTAAGTCTATGGACGCTATTTCCCTACTCACAGTCACAATTTGACAAAACTTTGCACTTGATGAATAAATCCTTGGCTCCCATGCTACCTAAATTTGGATCCATACCGACTTGCATCTGTGTAACCACTTCAATTTCATCACCTTCTTTTCTGCCACATACGTGACGTGTCCTCCACACCTTCATACATTTTTATTTAAATCATATATACCATGAAATAAAATTAAATTAAACATGAGACAGACACGCATTTTTTGAAATAATTTACTAGTGCACAGTTACACGCTCGATCGCATTAATCAAATCAATATACATATATTCACTGTGTTGAGCTGAGGGATTCCACAAATATCTTCTCTCTTTTAAAAATTTATATATACATATATAAAATAATTGTGGATGAAATAAAATTAAACAAAAAAAAAAAAAAGAAACGATTTAATTATTATTATTAGTATTATTATTATTATTATTATTATTATTATTATTATTATTATTATTATTATTATATGGGAGTGTAAGTGCAGAAGGGCTAAAGTGACTCCAGGCTTCACGAAAAGGCGAGTGGCTCCTGAGACACGAATTGGTTCCATTTCCATTACAAAGGCAAACCGGCCGCCGCCCAAACATAGTAATTTTGACCCTTCCCTAGTTCGCGCCAACTGCGCTGCAGGTTTTATTTAGGTAATAACCAAACCAACTGTACACATACACATACACACACATACACATACACATACACATACACTTGCATGCTTTGCATGCGACGCGATGACCCTTCCCCAAATACAAACGTGAATTGGGCAGGGCAGGGCAGGCGCCAGCTGTGCCCGTCTGCCCGGCTTTCCTTCCTAGTATATATAACCAAAACCAAACCACCACAGATCTGAAATTACACATTTACCCTTACCCGCCCATTGCCTTGCCCCAAAACAAACCATTTGGCCGTTGGAGATCCCATGCGCCGCTTCACAATTCACCTTAATTTAATTTGCCCCTACCCCGAATCTATGAATGAATGTATATTGTACATTCTGTACTTTTTATTCACAATAAAATATTTTATTTTTTATTTTATTTCTTCTGCCCACCATTTACCAATACAATACTAATTACCATAGCTTCTATTATTGTGCTCTTCCTAATTAATTTTTTGCAGGCCCCACCATTTCTGTATTTTACTAATCCATTGTTAGTCGCCTTATTCTTGGCCTTCACATGTATTAGTAATAGTTGGTGGTGGGATCTTCATCTTGTGTAATAAAATTTTAGTTTCTTTGGGAATCTTCTGCGACTATGTTGGAATCTAATTTTATTTAATTCGCAAGTCAATTTTATTTTGCCTTTCTTTCTGTCGTCCAGTATTACATTTCCTTTTATATACGCATGTTCATTCCAAATCAACTGGTCCTGGTCTTGTGTTAGTCAATTATCTGCATTAAAAATACATATGGTATTAAATAAAATACACGTATAGCTTAATTAGTCTCATATATCGTCACATTATATTATTCTACGTACCCTACCCTATATAGTTATGCAAGTGTCACTATATATATATATATATATATATTTTTTTTTTTTTATGAATATTACAGGAAATGTATAATTAATTTTATACACCGTACAACTAACATTGCAAGTATAATAACATCACTCGTAGACGAGGTCTACGCTTTTCCAGATATATATATATATATATATGTAAATATCGTAATTGGATTTAGACATATATATTAGTTTTTTGTCAAATGAAAATATCTGGCCCGTAGGATTATTTCCCAAAGCTGTGGGTGTAACGCATATTATTAAATTAATGGGCACTTGCAGGCAATTACGTAAAACGTGCAAGTAGGCCTCTACGTGCGTTGCTCGCTTCTATGATAACATATATAATTTTTATTTATGAAGCGTAAATAAATAATTATATGTATAATTTTTCAATCCCTATTAAAACCGATAATTAATGATAACACTGCCAAACCAACTCTACACAGATGTATATTTGGGGATGAAAATTCTAACTCCTAAAAAAGTGTGTCTAAATTACGTAACTATCTTTACGAAAAAATCATTACCACGTACCCATATATGCAGCAAGAGTATATTTATAAATTTGTGTATGTGAATAAATTTTAAAGTTAATTTAACCTAGTGCCAACTCCAACAGTAGATGCCATCACTTGTCAACTGAAGTAATTTCCTAAAGGACAGGAATTAAGATTAACAATGACAAATTTTCTTACAATTAAGATAGACGGTAAGAAACAACCAAAACCACTGGCGCCGCCACTGCCCGAGGCACAGCTTCACCTCCCCTGGGCTCAACCCTGCTGCAAAGTGCAAATTGCAATTGCACCTAAACTTATCATTTTATTTTTTATTCAAGAATTATGTCATTCTATACATAAAGTGATGGCTCACGGGGTGGACCCATCTCCTTAGATCTTTACAAAATATTTTTGTCAAGAGGAATAGTCCCCACTGAATTTCTATATAAGCTGCCCCCCGTTCTCTGAAACATTCCCACCACCAAGGAAAACAAAATAAATAAAATCAAATATTGTCTGTGAAGAGAAGCGAATCGAGCTTCCTTCCTCCCCGTTCATCCACCCACCCACGCCGCCGCCAACCACCACTGCGACGTGCGACATGGCGGCCTCCGTCGAGAACAGGCAATTCGGTCGCCTCGAACCGGGTTTGCCCGGGGTGGTCCGGCAATTCAATGGGCCCAACAACACCCACCGCCGGGCCGGTTCCCCGGTTCGAGGCTACAATTTCCCACAAAAACCCCTCGTCGGCGATTCTAGATTCGAGTATTCCTCGAGCGATGAGGATGACGACGACGACGACGAAAATAATTATTCTTCCATCATAAAGAAGGGAAACGCCGAGGTGGAACCCTCGATTCTCGATCCGCGCGACGAGAACACCGCCGACAATTGGGTGGAGCGCAACCCCTCCATGGTCCGCCTCACCGGAAAACACCCATTCAACGCGGAGGCGCCGCTGCCGAGGCTGATGCACCACGGCTTCATCACGCCGGTTCCTCTCCACTACGTCCGCAACCACGGACCGGTCCCGAAGGCGTTGTGGGAGGAATGGGCGGTCGAGGTCACCGGTCTGGTGAAAAAGCCGATGCGGTTCACCATGAACCAGCTGGTGACGGAGTTCCCGAGCAAGGAATTCCCCGTCACACTCGTGTGCGCCGGAAACCGCCGCAAGGAGCAAAACATGTTCAAGCAGACCATCGGGTTCAACTGGGGCGCCGCCGGGATTTCCACCACGGTGTGGCGGGGCGTGCCTCTACGCGCGCTGCTGAAACGGTGCGGAATCATGTCCAAGAAGAAGGGCGCCCTGAACGTCTGCTTCGAAGGGGCTGAGGATCTCCCCGGCGGCGGCGGCGGCGGCGGTTCCAAATACGGCACGAGTCTGAAGAAGGAAATTGCGATGGATCCTTCCAGGGATATCATACTGGCTTACATGCAAAATGGCGAAAGACTGACGCCGGATCACGGATTTCCGGTGAGGATGATTATTCCGGGATTCATCGGCGGGAGAATGGTGAAGTGGTTGAAGCGCATCATTGTCACTACACAAGAATCCGACTGTTATTACCATTATAAGGACAACAGGGTTCTCCCTTCCCATGTTGATGCTGAACTTGCAAACGCAGAAGGTATGGTATATTGGTATATACAGTGCTATTAATTATCCATATAGGAGTAGTATATTGTGTGTTATTTGATTGAATTGATTGGTGCAGCTTGGTGGTACAAGCCTGAGCACATCATAAACGAGTTGAACATCAACTCGGTCATTACCACACCGTGTCATGAGGAGATACTGCCCATCAACTCGTGGACTACTCAGAGACCTTACACGTTGAGGGGTTACGCCTATTCAGGTAAAATTAAAGGATAAATATTACTATAATTAAAATAGGAGTGTCTAATATATAATCAAATTCCATGTTATCCCCCGCCTGCTTCCTGCATCACACGATATGCATAGGTGTTTAAGTTCATGCATCGTATAATAGTCGCCCAGTTCACAGTATTTCTGCAAAAGATTCCTGGTTTCAGTTTGCTACGTGGCACTGAAACCGTGAGCTAGTATTATACAGGTGCACCGCATCTACAAAATTTCCAGTGTATTAAAATAATCAATTAATTTTGGGCTTTTGAGTCTATATTTGCTGCTACAAGCACAAATAAATCTCTTGAATATATATAAAAAGTAATTAGCAGCACCATAGTCATAGGCATGTATGTGTATATGGATGGATGAATAACGGCAAATTGATTAATGCGCAGGGGGCGGGAAGAAAGTGACGAGAGTAGAGGTGACGATGGACGGCGGCGAGACATGGCAGATATGCGACCTGGACCATCAGGAGAAGCCCAACAAGTACGGCAAGTACTGGTGCTGGTGCTTCTGGTCCCTCGAGGTCGAGGTTCTCGACCTCCTCGGCGCCAAGGAGATCGCCGTCCGGGCCTGGGACGAAACCCTCAACACCCAGCCGGAGAAGCTCATCTGGAATCTCATGGTATGTATATATATATATATATATATATACACACAGCTTGATTCTTGTGAAATGCTGGTTACAATTATGTATTGACTCGCAATTACTGATGCAGGGGATGATGAACAACTGCTGGTTTCGGGTCAAGACCAACGTCTGCAAACCGCACCGGGGAGAGATCGGAATCGTGTTCGAGCATCCGACGCAGCCCGGCAACCAATCCGGCGGATGGATGGCGAAGGAGCGCCACTTGGAGAAATCGTCCAACGAGAATCAATCCTTGAAGAAGAGTTTATCTTCGCCGTTCATGAACACCGTCTCCAAAATGTACTCCGTCTCCGAAGTTAAGCGCCACAACTCGCCGGAATCTGCTTGGATCATCGTCCACGGCCACGTCTACGACTGCACGCGCTTCCTTAAAGACCACCCCGGTGGAACCGACAGCATCCTCATCAACGCCGGCACCGACTGCACCGAGGAATTCGACGCCATACATTCCGATAAGGCCAAGAAAATGCTGGAGGATTATAGAATTGGGGAACTCATCACTACGGGCTACGCGTCGGCTGATGATTCGTCGCCGAACAACTCCGTACACGGCGCGACCAGTCTTCTGCATCTGGCGCCGATCAAAGAGGCGGCGCCGGCGAGGATGGTGGCGCTGGTGCCCCGCCAGAAAATCCCCTGCAAACTCGTCGACAAAATTTCGATTTCTCACGATGTGAGGATATTCCGATTCGCATTGCCTAGTGAAGATCAAGTGCTGGGATTACCTGTGGGGAAGCACATTTTCATCAGCGCCACCATAGACGATAAGCTCTGTATGCGAGCGTACACGCCGTCGAGCAGCATCGACACCGTCGGCTACTTCGAGCTCGTTGTGAAGGTGTACTTCAAAGGCGTCCACCCAAAATTCCCCAACGGCGGCCTAATGTCGCAGCATCTCGATTCTCTGGAGCTCGGTTCCTTCATCGACGTGAAAGGACCGCTCGGCCACATCGAGTACAACGGAAAAGGCTATTTCACAGTGCACGGCAAACAGAAGTTTGCTAAGAAACTAGCGATGATCGCCGGCGGCACCGGGATCACTCCGATCTACCAGGTTATGCAAGCGATTATGAAGGATCCAGAGGACACAACCGAGATGTACGTGGTGTACGCAAATCGGACGGAGGATGACATTCTTCTGCGAGAAGAGCTCGACTCCTGGGCGGAGAAATTCCCCGACAGAGTCAAGGTTTGGTATGTTATTGAGAAGAGTATCAAGGAGGAGGAATGGAAGTACAGCTTGGGATTCATTACCGAGAATATCTTGCGAGAGCACATTCCAGCGTCGCCGGAGGATGCTCTGGCGTTGGCCTGCGGGCCGCCGCCGATGCTGCAATTTGCGGTCAACCCTAATTTGGAGAAGATGGGGTATGATACGAAGGAATCTTTATTGGTATTTTAGAAAAATGAATATTAATTATATATTAATTGGGGAGGGCAAAACCGTAAATCTGTATTCATTACCTTATGTAAATAAGTGTAGTGTGTTAGTGTTATATAATGATCTCCGGGTGGTGCTCAGATTGTAATTCCATGTTTCTTTCATTTCATTTCATGTCCATTAGTTAGTAATAAATAATCAATCCTAGTATAAGTATTCATTAATCTATACATTATTGTTTTCAATCAAAATGTGATGTACTAACATACGCTAATATGAATTTTACATCATGTCCAGCACTCAGCAATCACACAAAATAAATAAATAAATAAATTTAATGCTTCTATATTCCATGACATATAAATCAATGGAATATTCACTAGATGCTGCTGCTGCTGTGTGCAAAATGATTGAATATTCTTTCGACAACCACATTATTAACTCTTGTCGCTTTCCCACTCTCTGCATCTATTCATTGGCATGCTTATTTAATTATTATATTAATGTTACTTAAATTCAGCAATTAAATCGTAACATTGATTCATTCCTGATCCACCCTGCACGGATTAATGGAAATAAAATTCCTTTAAATGGTTACTTCAAAAATTTATTTCATTGTTTAATATTTTTTATTAAAAAATAAATATAAATTTGAATGAAAAATGTTAACATTTTTTATAAATAGAAATTAAATTTGGATGGAGGGAAGAAACAGAATCATTAGTAGGACCCAACCGAAGACGCCCATTGGCTGTCATTGACCCACGCCACTTGTTTAATTATACTCGTATATTTTTTATTAATTAGGTAAATAAATAAATAGTTTGACTGCTTTATTTAAATTTGGATTGGATGCATTGAAAGGGCACCAAAACTGTTCTCCGCACCTCACCTCAGAACTTGGATGTCTCCAATGGCCCCTTTCCCTAATCCCAAATTTGATTTAATTTCTCTCTCAATTTCTCCCATTATATTGTTTTCATTTATTTTTCACTTTTCAATAATTTATTTATTTATTGTGGTTGTGTCGTGTCGTGTCGTGGTTAAGGACAAGCTACCTTTAATGTCTTCCCATTTCCTCGTCACAAAATGTCACTGTTTCACATCTATCTATCTATCTTTCTATCTTTCTCTACGCGTGTATAAATTACATATGCCTTGCTTGCATTTTCAAAATTTAATACTCGTTTTAGTAACGGATTTAGGACTTGTTACTTTTGCTACCAAAATTAGTAAATAAATAATTATATATGATGAAAGGCCCATAAATTTAAGCCAAGAAATCAGCCCAGAGAACGTGAAACAAGTCAAAATAAGATTTTATTCAAACCCACTTTAAGTCATGATCTTCGACACGACCAACATTGTCGCATAATGAAGGAGTTAAGAATTTTCAACTAATCCAGTTTTCTTTGGATTAAACTGACTGAACCAAACCACTTGGAACTGCGAGGCATTGGATTCCTAGTGGTTATTATTGTCTACTTTTTAGTTTTGATTTTATATGTTTGTCTGAAATGGAATTTGTAAAGTCTATTACATGTCTGCTGTGATCTTTCGTTTTTTCCACACAAGTTGAGTTGAAGCTATTTACTTGTAATTGGGCCATTTAAATCTAGTATTACATTTTGGGCCGGCTCGATTCTGTTGAAAATTAGTTTTGGCCCAGAAATTGCAAATGCTGGGCCAGGCCGGGCTATAACGAATAAAGCCTGTAAGAAAATGACATTACATGTACATATGTATTTATTTATTTATTTCACTAGTCAGTATGAATGTAGCATTATTTATTTTTCTTAATGGAGGTGTCCAGCATGTCATTCATTACTCGTATTGGATTTTCAGGCTTATTTAAATTGGTAGAGCAATTAATATACAAAATGTTTGTTATTATTATTATTATTACCACAGAGATGAGCTTATTTGTAATGATTTATGGGCCAACGTCAATAAATTTACGGATGGAATAGATATTACTATCATTAAGTCCACTTCTTTCTTTTTTTTTTTTTTTAATAACTAAGATTATAATATGAAAATAATCAAGAAACCAATTTTGAATGATTGAGTATTTAACATTAAGTATAAGACTATCAACAATTTACATTTTAAAATTATTAACACAATTCATATAGGGTGGGTTCGTTGGGGGTTGAATTTTGAGTTTATATTTTGAATAGATTTTTTTATTTATTATTAAAATAATTATACGATGTAAACTTAATTTTTATAACAATATAAAAAATCTTAATATTTAAAAAAATATAATGTATAGTAAAAATATCTAAAAATCCTTCAATAAAATGCAATCATAGTTGATTTTAAAAGTAATAATATAAATACAGAAATTTGAATCATACAGATATACTTGGTTTGTATTTCAAATTAAAATATTATTTAATCAAATTTGTATTCAAAACCCAAATTTCAAATGAAAATAAAATAAATACCTAACTTCGGCGGCTTAATCGTTTATTCAATCAGGGTGAAAATATATATTAGGTGTAAATGCAATAAGTGATAAATAAAGAGAGCGAAATGAAAATAAAATAAATATGGGTAGGTGGGGCCCGGTCACGATGTAAGGAGATACGCATATACATACACATACAGAGAGGCATAGTGAGGCAAAAATCAGACATATAAATACGAAGGGGAAGTGTGCGTACCCTTTTCTCTCTCTCTCTCTTCCTCTCAACTTTTCGATTTTGATTTTATTGGGTAGTTTGTTTGACGGGCGGACAGATATGGACGGCGGGGTTCAGCCAGCGGACACCGTGATGTCGGATGCGGAGGCGCCGCCTCCGGCTCCGCAGCAACATCAGCAGCCATCTGCGCAGCCTCCGATCGATCACATACCGGCGACGCTCAGTCACGGAGGCCGCTTCATCCAGTACAACATATTTGGGAACGTCTTCGAGGTCACCTCTAAGTACAAACCCCCAATTATGCCCATCGGAAAAGGCGCATACGGAATCGTTTGGTACCAAACTTTGACTTATGTTTTGTTATGTTCCTGGAGTTACGTGTGTATATGCTAATTTACTGTTACTTTTATTTTGGTTTTGGAAAAGTTCGGCTTTGAACTCGGAGACGAACGAGCATGTGGCGTTGAAGAAAATAGCGAATGCTTTTGATAATAGAATTGATGCGAAGCGGACACTGCGTGAGATCAAGCTTCTTCGGCACATGGATCACGAAAACGTTAGTGTACTCCTTTTTTGATGGCTTGATTGTCAGTTTTGTGTCAATATTTCTATAGCTACGCGAATTATCCCAAACTTACTATGATTGTTCACTCTTCCGCTGTGCAAGGAGCCTTCTAGATCGGGCAATATATAATTGAATATGTGAGTTAGAATGGACCAAAGTTGTTGGTCTGACAGACTAGAAATGCTTATCTGAAAGAGTTAGAAAGACCAGCATTTTAAGAGGGTGTATGCAGGATATAAATTAGATGTAATAACTCAAATATGTTTTCTTCTTGTTCCTTTATTTTGTTTTACTGTCTCTTGTGTTTGTCTGTGTTAGCAATCACCTTGATTTGATATAATGCCACTTTCCTGGATACTAGGTTTTTGTGACTTCCGATTCTGCTTTGTATACACGAAACATCTTATTTTCTTTGTGTATTCGATGTAAATGTGGTCAGGTCTGTGGGTATGATTTTCACAAAATGGTTGTTGTTGATTAGGGGAAGAATGTCTTTTCTTTTCCTTCCGGTATTAGTAAGTTAACGTCTTTCTCTAAATTACCCTAACTACATAAACTTTTGGTGTTATTTGCATGACCTAGATTTCCCTCATGTCTTGTTTATCATACAAGGTAACAAGATGGCCGTTGAATGTGCCTTAGTTGCTTATATTGCAGGGAACATCATAGTGAAAAAGTGTTTTTGGACTATGGCAACGTGTACACCTTGTATAAGCATGCAATATTACATTAATAAGAAATATGCTATATGACTAATAACTTATAATAGAAATTTAATCAAGTGTATATGTGTGCGTGCGTACACGTGTGATAGCACTGGATTAGTAATCATAGCTCTTAAAACCAACCTGTCAATATTAATTCTATGTCTCAGCTCATATTTTTGTAATTTAACATTACCAACTTATGCTAATATTTTAAGCCTAGTATTTTGAGTTTAGAAACATAAATCGATGGAATCCCGCACTTGCATAAGAAATAGTTAATATATAATGAACTTGAAGAGCTTTTACTTTTAATGAGTGACCCAAAACAAAGGAAGGTGACATAAAAGAACCACCAATTAACTATGAGAAGAGAAGGTGTCGCCATAAAAGCAAAAGGAGGATTGATAGATGGAAGTAAAGAAAAATTAAAATAGCAAGAAAAAGGGAAAAAGTATCCTTGAATATATAAATATGTATGTCTGAGTTTTATCTTTTTATTTTTTCATTATTACATCTAGTTAAAAATGATAATGACTCCTTTCATAAGGTGCTTTGTTCATCGAAATTCTTGCCTTAAGTGCCGTGAGGATAGTGTGCACCATGATGACTTTACACGGGGGATGAAGTGTTGAATCTTATGGACTTCCCTTTTATGCTTGAATATACATTGAACTTGTTGAGGAAAATTAAGTGGCTTTCATTATGCTGCCAATTTCTGTTAAGTTATTGCTTCCTTTTCAAGATTATGGTAATTTATTCTGCTTAATAAATGTGGATAAGTATATTATGTGTCATTTTCTTACTTTTGATAACTCCGTGTGTGCACGCTCGATGCTTTAAACTTTTAAGGGTCATTTTTGGTACTTCTAATGAGCTGTAGTAATCAAGTAAGCAGTAAGCAGGGCCCTTCCGAAAATATTGACAGTTCAAGGATCATGCCGTCCAATTTTCATTTAGTCCTTATTCTTCACTATGCATCTATATTCCTAATCCCATCCTCCCTCATGTTTCTCTATTGAAAATGTTTCAAGATAAGTAAAAATGTTGGTTCAAACTTATTCCCCAATTATTTGGCTTTCATAATTCTTTGCTTCAATGTACACCTTCCCAGTATTCCAATTTATGTAAACCAATATACTTTCCTTCTTAAGCCGCTGTCTTATTCATTGGGGATAAAAAGGCCTATAGATAATTTAGTTTCTAAGGTATCTCGCATAAGGTATGAGGCGGTAGGGGTAGATATATGTTTAAAGAACAGTTAAAGCTTCTCATTTGTCATCACTTTCGTTCTTGGTTAGATCACACCATTCTTTGTCCACAATTCAGTCTTGTTGCTCCTTTATTCTATAAGTCCACTACCTGTCATTCAATTTTATTTTTTGATATTTTGGAGATTGGTTCATCTGTTGTCTGCACACTTTATGTGACTCTCATGACATCTGAATTCTGGTGCAAGAATGTTTAATTGTAGTAAACTTCTTATTTGATCAAAACAAGCTCTTTGTTATTGATATCACTAAAATCTTTGAAGTTTGAAGCATGAAACTAAAGGCTGGGGATTTTAATAAACACTATTTTAGTCAATTAATGTAGATCTTATTTGCCGCAGGTTGTTGCAATTAGAGATATCATTCCACCACCTAGAAGGGATGCATTTAATGATGTTTATATTGCATATGAACTTATGGACACAGACCTCCACCAGATCATTCGTTCTAATCAAGCATTGTCTGAGGAGCATTGCCAGGTTCATACTAAAATTTCATTATTAGAAGTCCTGCTTAAGTTAATTGGTGATTCCTGAATCCGGGCATGGATCCTTTATGTTTTACACCATTGTATGGATTTCTTTATTTTTCTAATTCACATTGAAGTTACAGGGCATCAGGTGTCTCATGGTTTCTGAATTACTACTGTTGTTTTTCTATGTGATGTGCTTGTTCATTGCTCCTTGAACCATCATCATTTCTTTATCATATTGGCCTGTTACTAAGACAGCCATTTCCCTATGTGCGTGCAGTATTTCTTGTATCAGATTCTGCGGGGGTTGAAGTATATACACTCAGCGAATGTTCTACACAGGGACTTAAAACCCAGCAATCTTCTCCTGAATGCAAATTGCGATCTAAAGATATGTGATTTTGGATTAGCTCGTGTGACTTCTGAAACTGACTTTATGACAGAGTATGTTGTTACAAGGTGGTACCGGGCGCCAGAGCTATTGTTAAACTCATCTGATTATACTGCAGCTATTGATGTTTGGTCAGTCGGTTGTATTTTCATGGAATTGATGGATCGGAAGCCACTGTTTCCTGGTAGAGATCATGTTCACCAGTTGCGCCTTTTGATAGAGGTATGCGTTTCAAATGTCAAATGTTATGCTCATGATGTTAAGTCCTACTATGCCCTAGATATAAAGGTTGTTCCACCATGGTCCATTTTCTCGAGTATGAAAGAGAAAAGAATTTGGAATCATACCTCCCTCACAAACATGAATTTGAATTTCTTGATGAATCTTCATATCTGATGTAGATACTGTAGGCATCTATTTTTCTGATGAATTTGATTTAGCTTATGTCTATGAAGGTAACTATATCTGGGAATTCCCCCTTAAACCATCACAACTATATGCCATTAACAACAAAATATATTTGGGAATTCCCCTTAAACTTTCACTGCTATACACCATTGATGCATATTTTAGATAATAAATGTGATCAAGCTTTGTTTGTTTGCAGCTGATCGGCACCCCATCTGAGGCTGAGTTGGAGTTCCTGAATGAAAATGCAAAAAGATACATCAGGCAGCTCCCACCTTATCCCCGGCAATCATTTTCTGAGAAGTTTCCCCAGGTGCATCCTCTTGCGATCGACCTAGTCGAAAAAATGCTGACATTTGATCCTAGGCGAAGAATTACTGGTAAGTAGCTTACTGCCTACTTGTTGATGTTTTTGCGACAAATTTATGCTTTCACCATCATTCTTGCCAATGATGATGCATCTAACGATTCTTCCTCAATTAACTAATATCTGTGTGGTATGGCTGTGGCAGTTGAAGATGCATTGGCCCATCCATACTTGAACTCACTCCATGACATCAGCGATGAGCCCATTTGCTCCACTCCTTTTAGCTTTGACTTCGAGCAGCATGCATTGACGGAAGAACAGATGAAGGAGTTGATCTACAGGGAGTCTCTGGCATTCAATCCTGAGTATCAGCTCATGTGAAGAAATGTTGTGCCTGCCCTGCCTGGCTTAGTAAACTATTGTTTTGTTTGTGGTTGCATTGCCTTGCCTTGCCTTGTCTGTACTGTACTCTACTGTGTTGTGACATGTTATATTATGTTGTATGACATCCGTCTCTTGTACATAAGCCCATCCGTACACAGACTGGGTGGTTGCTTTGTTTTGCTTTTGCCTTTTCATTTGACGTTTGATGATGAAAAATCAACCTTGAACTAGCCATGGTCGTGTAGACTTAGTGTGAATTTGGCAGATGATCAGTCTCTCTGTCTGTGAAAGTGATTTTTATGATGATGATGATTATTATGATTATTATGGTGTATGTTGTTCAGATATGCAATTTTGATGGACAAGCATTTCGTATATTGTCTACACTTCCTTCACCTGATTTGATATGAAATAACTAGTAGCTATATTAAATATATATATATATATATATAACCCGGGCCCTGATTTCGGCCCAACTTGGAAGATAAGATATTGGGCCCCGTCTCAATTATATAACACGCTTCCTGGTTCCGGCCCACACCGGCCCGGCCCGACTAATGGAAGATAAGAACAGAGTCTGGAAAGATCACCCTATCCCTCCGATTTAGCACCTCCGTCCTCACAACACATTCGAGCATCTTGCAGGATTTTGGTCAAGAAATGGCGCACGCGTTGGCTACGCCAGTGCTCCCTTCAGTCTCGCTCATATCCAACCCCATCTCTAGCTCTTCCAAAGCCGCCGCCTTGACGTTTCCATTATCCACTACATTCCCCAGGGTAACACATGATTGATTTGTCCCCCCCTCTACATGTGGGGATTCTCGATTTGATTGTGTTTATAGTTTTCGAATTTCAGATTGGTGGATTGAGTATTAAGTGCGCGCGTGTTGGTGGAGTTGAGATTCCAAACAACAAGAGGGTGGAGTATTCTCTGCAGTACATTCATGGAATCGGCCGCACTACCGCCAGGCAAATACTGAATGATCTCAATTTTGAGAATCGATTGACCAAAGACTTCTCTGAGGAAGAGCTCACCACATTGCGTGAAGAGGTTTCCAAGTATATGATTGAAGGAGATCTCGTAAGTGTTTCGAAATTCACTCTAACAACACTATCTCGCACTTGGTTGCTTCAATTAATAGAGTGACATTGCTGTGGTGTGTTGTACCAATTGCTGCTATGTTGAATTCATGTTAAGACAATTTCTGAGCTGAGCATTCATATTTAGCCGTGATCTTCTTCGTTTGAAGGTTCATTTCCCCCCAAACTGATTATGTTGATTAAATTTGCAGAGGAGGTTCAACGCACTTGCTATCAGGAGGTTGAAGGAGATACAGTGCTACAGGGGGATTAGGCATATACAAGGATTGCCTTGTAGGGGACAGAGGACTAAGAATAACTGCAGGACCTTGAAAGGCAAGAGGGTAGCCATTCCTGGCAAAAAGAAGAAGTGAAAATTGCTTGCTATTTCTTTCTGCATAATTTACAGGTTGGTTCTCTAAACCTTGTATCTTTATCTGTAATCAAATTAACTGTCTTCAACAGGGATTTGCTCTATTCTCTTTCCTTAACACATCTTTTTGGCTAGCAAGAATGAAGGTTGTGTTGCATTTATTTGTCCAGCTTTCTTGCACATTATGCTGATAGGGTTTGGGAGTTAATCAGCTGGTGAGATGCATGTTAAGGATTCTCTAGCAATTCTTAGGATTCTTGAGTTAATTCCGAGGTTTTGGATAGTAAGTCAGTTTTAAGAATATCTATAACAGGAATGGTTGCGAGGGCTGACATTATTGTAGGTCATCATAAGGTCATTCTTTTTTCTCTCCTTTCTTTCCTTTTGTTGTTTTTAGCTCTTGGGCATTGCAAAGAAGGGGCATTTTCCATGTGAAATTTGATATTGTTCTTGCATCTCAAACTTCATCCTGTTCCACCTGGTTATCGGAAAGAAGCTGAAAAAGCTTCAGGCTTTCAACACTAAATCAGAGTTTGTAAAAGATCCAAAATTTGTACCACTAATGCAACACTATGTATAACACATAAAAGCCAACATATGTTCAAATCATAGTTACCATGACCATTGTGCATGAGAGTGAAACACATGCAAGAAATCCATCCTAGATTGAAATTTGTGATCATACTTCCTTCAGCCTTGAAAACAAAATGACCAAATTCCTTCCCAGTTAAGGCAGGAGCATCATTATGTAGCGGGAGAAAAACTCCTGAATTTTGGCCCATGTGACCATGCAACTTATCTTGGAGTCAATAGGGCCTCCATAGTGTAAATAGAATATCAATATCAAATTGAATCCTTGGAAACCACTCCCCATATTATTTCACTTCACCTGAATTAATTGTCTGTGGACTCTTTAATTCTGAATTGGGCCTGATCCAAAACAAGGGCCATATGTACATCATGTTGGGCCAGTGAGCCCATTAGATGAGGGCCTAAGTATTACAACCCAAAACGAATAAGGCCCAAATTAAATAAATATTTGAACATTATTGTGCTATTCATATTTACTCGCCCAACGCCTGATAAACGAGATTATAAAATTGAGATTTTAAGAAATATCAGCATTCATAATATTGCCCAAATATCATTTGAGAGACCTATGAATAGAAGTCCCTTTTTCTTAATATCAATGTTTAGAGATAAAATATATGTGTATGTGATTTGATATATCTTTTTTCTGTATTCTTTTCTAGACATATTTTAGTGTTGAGAGTCGATGCAGATGAAAAAGAATGTAACGATATAGGTGAAAAAACCAGTAAAGATCGCTGTAAAATATTTAAAAAAATTGAAATTATCTTTACTGTATAAGAACCACATATTGTATAATAAGAAAGAAAAGCAGTCATTCCACCATTTTTAAAATTTCAAATTATAGATAGTTTGTGACCTAAGATTATTATAAAAATAAAAAAAGTTAATTATATATTCCTCCTAATATAGTTAAATAAATTCATCGGTTATGTTACTTTTTATTGAGCACTTTATTAGACATCATGATGGTGTTACTTTTACTTTGTACTGTTAGGCAGGTAGTTGTGGAATAATGGCTCTTAAAAAGGTTGAATTATTTCCTACTCTATAATTACATTTTTATCAAAAAATAAAAATTAATGTTACAAAAAATAAAAATTATATATGTACGAAGACATAAGGAAACAGATGAATTCCAAATGAGTAGTGGTAGTGGGTCAGGTGTGCACCTCATCTTTTTCACTCCTACTTATTATTGAAGAGCAAATATATATATATATATATATGTGTGTGTATACATTAAATGAATTCCAAATAAATGCTGGCTCTTGAATATTCAATTTTTAATTTGAAACATATATATGATGCATGGGCTGAGTCTAAGAAAATGATGTATGTCAAGCGTAGGTAATTTTGTGGTAGGTTCTTGCAAAAGTCAATTTTTATTTTTCCACGTTTACACAATCCAAGTAGAGACAAACCAGCATTGTGTCTGCTGGAACGGAATGTATTTAAGAAAAGATATGTCTACACCTAAATCATAACTGTGCCCACGTACCAAGAAAAGAAAATAAAATGATATACATCCGAACCCACTAAATTATGTATGTCATTAAGTTATATAAATTTAAGTTTGCAGGGAATTTATCAAACATTAGCATGATGGGGGTTATTATTTTAATTTGTACCGTTGCAACTCGGAAATTTCGTTAAGCATGCAACCAATCATTTTTTATAATGAATATTAATTTGGGATTATAATAATTATTATTAGAATGAAATAAAAGATCAATAATAAAGGAGTTGAGAATTGAATTGATTATGAGGATTGAGGAATTGATATATATGATGGTGTATTATTGTAGTGTCTGCCTTTAGACAAGCCTAGTGTTGGAAACTGGTCACGAATCGGGCCCAACATATATATATATATATATACCCGTACGCCATTCATTTCTGCTGCCCACCTCATTTCATTTCATTTCTGTATCTATCTATACAAAAATTTTGGAGTGTTGAATTTGATTAAAATGCGTGAATGGCATGGCATAGGCAAGCAAATCCCTCCTTGATCTAGCTAGCTACCTGGATTTGACATGACAATTAGGGAGTATATATATAGCAGGTGAAATTTGAGAAAGATTCCAATGGCAGGCAGGCAGCATATATGCAATAATAATAATACTGTAGGGATACATTAATCCTGGGCCCCTTCAAATTTCAATCTCATAAACAAAGAATGCCAAGATTAGAACAAAATCAAATCCACTGCATGATGTAATGATAGGAACTACAGTATGCTGTAGGAACTAGCTAGGAAGCATGTAATTATGTATACATATATATATGTACCTGTCTTGTGTGTGTGCAGAGCAAATCAGTAAGTGATATAATATATATATATATATGTGTGTGTGTGTGTGTGTCTGTATGTATATTACAGTTAAATAATTATTCCATTTTGCCAAATTAATAATAAGTGAATTGAATCACATAGTATGTTGTATGGATACTGGTAGCTTTCCCTGCTTAATTCCAATTCCAATTCCAAGTCTAAGTCCCTACTACTAATTTATACATCATCATCACATACTTATTTAAATAGTTATGTAAAGAGGACTCAAGACATCATATAGAGCATGTATATATGTTTTAAGTAATTTGGGTGGGGGGTTGTGGTTGTGGATGAATATAATGATGCATTTGGATGTGGATGTATATATATGAATGGCCAACCCATAACCATCATCACCATACTAACATCACATGGGCAGGGTAGGGTAAGGTAGGGCATCCATTCACCCACCCATACAAATTATATCATCAATACACTCAACAAACTCATGCATGCATACATACATACACACATGCAGTGTAAGTGTTACAGACACTCAACCCACCTAACTTAGTTAGCAGCTAGTAATTAATAATTGACGATGATATCTCCACCATTAATATGCTACTCCGATAAAGACAAGCTGGTAGATGATGAGACAGGAAGCAACAAGTAGTGTTGGGGATATATATTTTGATATATGAATTGGGTTGGGTTGGGGATTAGAACAAGGTAGCCTAGCCATCTCCAGAGCAGCTGCAGCTTTAATTAATAATAATAATAATATATAATATATAATATATAATATACATACATACGTACACACAACACAACACATACATATTGTCAACTGTTGTGTCAAACTCCGGTAATAAATAGTAGTATAATATAATAAAATATATATATATATATATAATGCCTTGAAAGACGACAGTATCGGTATCACATTTTTGTGTTTTTATTATAGTAATAATAACAACCCGCATTCGGTTCAATTCAACTCAACTGGAATGATATATATATACGTATGGCATTGTAGAATTATTTATATATACATAGTACTAGTGCTAGTATCAGTGGCGATGGTTGTGAGTATAAAAGTAGTAGTAGTAGTAGTAGTATATAAGAAGAGGAGGTAGGTCAAAAAGAGGAGACATAGAGGACCCACCCACCCACCCACATCATAGAAATCCACAAACACTATACTTATGCTAATACTATTTACTATACTATACTATACAAGAGAAAAAGCAGTGGCAGGTTGTTGCTAACTTTGACCCAGCACGCACCTCCTTGTTTGCCTCTCTTCTCTTCTCTTCTCTTCTCTTACCATTTACCAATGTTATGTTATGTGACACTCACTCATTCAATCTTCCTTACATCATTTTAAACGAGAAAGAAAGAAGACACAAGTCTCTCTCTCTCTCTCTCTCACTCACTCAACACATGTGATGAAATCTATGGCCTCTCTCTCTCTCTCTCTCTCTATGGATACAACAAACAAGTAAAAATGAAGATAGGGAAATCCAAAGAACAAAATTAAAGGGATTCATTCATTCATTGTATTTGTCATCTATTGCGGAATAAACATTGTAATTGAATGGGTTGTGGGACTAATTGGGAGATGCTTCGTACTTGCTACTTAGCTACTCTCTCTCACACACAAACATATACACACCTTTGCATTGTACGTCATGCATCATTGTTATGAAAATTCTTCACTAACATAACGACGTGTTAAAATTACAAAATGCCATGCACACCAACAAAACATTATTTAAAATATAAAAAAAAAAAAAAAACCCAATTCAATTCAATTCAGAACGTGAGAGAGAGAGAGAGAGAGAGGGAAAAAAAAAAAGGGGGGGGGGGGGGGGGGGCCGGGAAGGGGCAGCTGACCTGACCTGAGCTGTAACAACAAAAGAAACAAACAAGCAATCAAGCAAGTGCCTGTGCCTGTGCCTCCAGTCCACCTCTTTCTCTCCTTTTAATATAATGTCCTCTCTCTCTCTCTCTCTCTCCATAGACTATACTAACTGACTAACCAAATTTGATTTTTATACACCCAATGCAATGCCAATGGTTAAAAAAACTACTCCAACAGACAGAGATAGGTGGGGGTGGGGATTTGTGACAGACAACTTTCATGTCAAACAAGATACATATCATATATATATATATATCTTCATCATTTCACAATCTACTATCCAATTCCACCCACCACTTTTTCTTTTACTTTCCTCTTTTTTAATTTAACTGTTCTGTTCTGTACGCACTTATTATTCAAACAATCTCTCTCCCTCTCTCTCTCTCTCTCTCTCTCTTCTTGGTTTTTGGTCGCAAAGGAAACGAAACCAACACAACACCTCACCTTAACTTAGCAGCTTAGCCTTAGCTGGCTCTCTTCCCTATGCCTATCTTTCTTTCTTTCAAGCCACCTCCCTCTTCACATTCTCTTCCCCCCAAAATCACTTTTTCCTTTTTTTTTTTTTTTTTACATCAATTACAAGAACGAATCCCAATGCCAATCCTTGCACATTTCCAATGCCCAACACCAAATCTACCCCCAAATACGATCAATCAGATCGATCCACTCAAAATTCACTTGTCCCACACCTCCAATTCCTGTCTCACTCACTCACTGACCTCAACAACTTTGGTTCTCAAAGCCAGCCAATAGAGTCAATCAAAATCCTCCAGAGTTACTTCCACTGTAGAGTGCATGGGCGATTCATTCTGGACTACATTGCTTCATCCGTCCTCAACAAATGTTCTTCTAATGAAGTTCCGGAACCTCTTTGAATACAATTTTGGATCGACGGCTGATATGGAGGTCGGGTCAGCTTGTAACGATTTGTATGCATGTTCGAGCTTCTTGGAGATGTCGTAGTCTTGTAGAATGTCGATGATTCCAAAGTAGAGGACAACTTCATAGATCTCACCACTTCGTCGAGGTCTCAACTGGCTGAATCCGCCGGGAGTGTACTGATCAAAATCGCTCCTCCGAGCAACTCGCTCTGCCCGGGCTGGCATGTTAGCTCCCAGCCTTATCAATGGCTTCCTGATAAAGAAATAACAAATACATCATAAGCAAGTAGGCTAAGGATCCTTAAAAATGATTTGGATTCGGTCTTATCCAGGAAGATCAATATAAGGCCATGGTCGAATCATACCCCACGAATCCTGTAATTGAGAAACTGTACAACATTGACAACCACTTCCATCACCATTCCAATTATTTCACAGCTACTATGATCAAATTCAATGATTGGAAAATAATTTGATGCCATTCTGAACCCAATCATATCCCCATGATGCAAGTTTGATGCTTAATTTATTCAAATGACAAACTGATTTTCCATATATGAGATAATCAATAAAGATCTTGAATATTTAATTACTTGATGTATGTATATGCCAAACAGCTTGCACTAGATGCATACCTTCCGGCTAAAACTCGATCCATGTCCTGTAGTTCAGCTTCAAGGAAACGGCAGCCTCGCATGAATTTTTCATTTTGATACGAATCGCTCTTCCCTGACGAGCACAGATTTAGGTATTATAAATTGTTATGACCCCACAAACTAATCTACCAACCAACAAACTATGATCCACGCCAATGTCAATTACCTGTCCGCAGCAGAAAAGGCGACAAGCCAAATTTGTCCCCAGTATTATCTCTGCGAAAATGGATACCAACTAAGAGACTATAATCCATTATTCGCTCCCTCTCGAGGAATTCACAATCGTGATCAATTTGTCTGAAAAATGGTTTAGCAAATTATGAGAATGTAAAGACTACAACACAAATAATGAGAATAATGAATAGGCATCGAGTACTAACTTCATCAAGTCTTGAAACCAATTGCTCTGCACTCGAAAAACATAATTGAGGTCAAGATCCTTCAGTGTTGTGGTTTCATCAATATCTTTCTCAGGCTTATCTGTCATGCGCCCATGAGATGATCCTTTGAGGTCAAATTTTCTATGAATCCGATACTCTGAGCAGCACAAGTTGCCCATTACAATGAACCGAGTCTAAGACATTGAATTGTGGTACAAGTTAGTTACACAGCAGAGACTCGAAACAATTAATAAATTAACATTTAAGCAACAACTAGATACCTTGACACCGCCGACTGGCTTGACACAATGCACTCCATAGAACTTTGTTACCAGAGAATTCTCATATCGCTTGATGTGTTGAAAATAACTAGGAAGCATCTTAATCAACACCTGAAACAGAAAATCAGACGATGACCAAAGCTTACAAAACCAAACCATCAATTAACAGAGATATTTGTCACTGTGCAAGAAATTTTTCTAGTTTGATAAACTTTTACAAGTCAACAAGGATCACGACAAACCTTGACTTCCGATTTCTTCACAGTTTTGATCATGAACCGATCATCCTGTGTTAAGTAAAACACACTTCCGCTTTTCCCAGGAGACGACAGCTCTCTCAGTGCATCGTCGCCACAAATGGCTAACATGTAATGTGCAGGATCTATTTGAAATTGCTTCCTCAAATGTCTGATATCCAAATAAAAATCCACATTTAAAATTCATATCCAGCACATGGACAAATTGACTGCCTGAATAACTAAAGCTAAAATTAAATGACAACACAAATTGCAAGAACCAAAAAAACAAACATATCCAAAGGTCATTTAATTGAGCGGGGTTAGAATATTAGTTGGCTACCTAAACACCAAAGGACAATAATCCTTCCATCGGAATTCAGTCGATTGATGAGGTGGCGTTGTTTTCGACCCCTCAGGTGGAAACCTTGTGGATATCTTCTCCTTGGGATCAAAGTCAGTAGGCTTAAGATCCTGAAGCATTGACGCATGCTTCCCAACAGAATACCTGAAGAGGCAAAACAAGAATCAGTTAATATACACGCATTAATAACCACAACAATCAGATGAAATTCAATACAATTAATTGATTTCTAACCTTATACCCAACTGGAGATTGAGCATCAGCTCATAATTCTTGTGCCCTTTGGTTATTGTCTGTCCGGGCTTCTTGGCCTCCCCAAAATGAAAACAACTAGGATCCCTCTTAAACAGCTTGATGCCATCTCGATCCAAAGCAAAGCCATCTCTGTACAGCATCGAAGCCTCAACGTTATCAAGAATATCACAAGTGATATCCCCAGCTTCCCCGTCTGATTCCCAGATGCAAATTCTTGGAAAAGGCCTTTCCGCCATGCCTCCATCCACAGAGGACCTCTTCTTCCCCACACCATCCCCAATCATAGCGTTTACATTCACATCGCCCACAACCATTAAGGGGGCAGATAGCTTAGGGCTTAAAAACCCTTTCAATCCATCACCATTCCCAGTCCCATCTCCATTGCTGTTGTTGCTGTTGCGGGCGGGGTAGTAGGTACCATTCAAGACTTGAGCTCTATTGCCGTTTTTACACGAATCATTCGACCAGCAACCGATGTAACAACTCCCGTCGGGCCAAGTGAAAACGCCGTGACCTTTGGGAACCCCGTTCTCCCAATTCCCATCATACCTATTCCCGTTTTTCCAAACCAAAACGCCCCTTCCATGAATCATCCCATTCTTCCACTCCCCGACATACTCATTCCCATTCCTCCACCTATACCGCCCTTGCCCGTCCTGCAAGTTCCTCTTCCAGTACCCTTCATAGTAATCCCCATTACTGTAATGCTTAACCCCGTAGCCATGTTTCCGATCCCCGGACCATGCCCCTTTGTACATATCCCCGTCGGGTCCGATAAAAGTGCCCATACCCTCCATTCGACCCGACTTGAACTCGCCTTCAAAAGTCGCACCAGACGGCCAGGAGAACTTTCCCATGCCGCTGGCTTTGCCCTTCTTCCACTCCCCTTCGTACATACACCCGTCTTTCCACAAATACTTCCCCGATCCATGAGGCGTGTTGTTGGAGAACGTACCTATGTACAGATCCCCGTTGGGGAGACGCTTCTCGAGAATATTAGCTGAGTTGCCCTCGGAAAGTGAAGTCGGCATTACTCTGCGGCAGGCGGCTTGGGATTTGCTTCGCGGAACAATAATTACTGATCTCGGCGTAGTGGTTGTGGTCGCAGTATTATCCATCGATTTAAACCTTGTCGCCGTCTAAACTCGCTGCTTCAGCTGTTTTCTCATTTTCGTCAGGCTTTCTGCTCAAAATCAACTAAGGCATTTTCGCCCTTCTTTCCCCGACCGACGGGGGCTATTTTCTTCAGTACCTGTATCAGGAGTTAAAACCTGCAAAAGATGATTGTTGGTAGTTTCACTCTCAACTCCAATTAGGAAATCCTAAAGAAATCTGGGTGCGCTGTGGTGGTCCTCCAACTCCGGCAGCTAGCATTTATCCGGAGCGTTACCCCCGGTTGCGGAAGAAATTAAACAGCAGGCGGAAATAGATAGGATTATTCAGTGGGTTGCGAAGGATGGAATCCAAACAAGCACAAGACCAGAGGGAAGGTTTGTAGAGAGGGAAAGAGAAAAGAGAGAGAGAGAGAGAGACAATAAACAGAAGAACCCAAACAACAACAAAAGCAAAGAAGACAAAAGAAAAAGGAAAAAAAGAGAGAGAGAGAGAGAGAGAGAGAGAGAGAGAGAGAGCAATGAATGAGAGGGAAGGGAGGGCGTGAGAGAGAGGAATTATAATAATAAAATAATAAATACAAAAAATAAAAATAAAAATACATAATAAAAAGGAAGGATCCGAGTCGGACGTCGCATCGCAATTCGCATGGGCATATGGGCATGGGAGGAAATACTATTATTTTGCATCGTTTGAGCTTCCCTATGAAAAAACGACGCGACTGACGTTCATACACTGGACAGTGAAATGACGAATATACCCCCTCGAGTTCATTCCATCGTGACGTGACGCCTTTTACGTTTGCGTCTGAGCGCGAGTATGCCTAATGACTATGACTATGACTATGATATACGGGCAGGGCATTTGTCGGCACCCATGTATTTCCGCCCCCTCCTCCGTTCCCAGTAGTATTATTACCCAAAAACCTGCCCACCCATCCATGTGAATTTATTTTTATTTTCACTGCTGCTACTGTAACTGCTCAGCTGTCTGCCCTGCTCTGTACACTACTGTATCATATCACATAACCTTCTTTGACCATTTTCAGTTTTTATAAAAAATTAATATTTCTTCTACTTCATAAATTACTAAAATCTTGCTTCTTTTTTAAATAATAATAACATCTCGTCCATGTAATTTTATTTTTCCTTGAATGATAATGATACAAATTAAAAAGAATCAAATCAAACCTGTAAGTCAGCCTGCATACATTGATATTATCATTGTTATTTCAGTGATTAATTAACAGTTTGGAAATTTTTGTTGGTCGGCACCGTATCCAACTGCATTGTTTCCCCAATTTCACAACTAATTTATTAGTGTCTCCAGATATATATATATATATATGCATTTAAATTAAAATCAGACAACACATATATAATTACGACATGCAAATTTGTTTTTATTAGTGTGGAATGACGTGTAATTAGTCCAAATCATCCGTATGATTTGGTGCTGAGGTCTAATAATAATAATCATATATAATAAAAATAATAATAATAATGAAGTGGAATCCCGATGTAAAAAATTCCCAATAGTACGTTGCCACCTGTATGTATGTATTTGATTAGGCTGGATACACTTGTCTTATTTTATTTCTTACAATCTTATAGTCACAAATTCTTAATATGTTCCTTAGTAATTCTCAGTTTGTTGTCACGTTTAGAGTCGAGAATTTGTTTCCTAGTGGATAATGTGAGGTGCGAAATCCAATAAATAATTAAATCAAGGCTGTCTTTGTTCGTATTATTTTATTTTTATTTTTTTATCATCGTTGTTTACATTATACTATAAATCGTTTTAATTAAATAATAATAATAATAATAATAATGACACAAAAACACATATGAGAGTGCATCCTAATTTAGCCTAAGCATCATTGGAAACGGTGTAACAAACAGTATAATATCGTGATCTAATCATTGTAAATAAAATTATCGAAGGAGAGAGCCCGTGAATTTACCCAAGTGGATTGTCCTGTTTAAATTTCATGATTCCAAATTTAATTTAGGAGAAATAAAAAATAAAAATACAATAAACGAAACTATATCTTTTTGTTTGATATCGATAAATATTTATGTTTGTTCTCTCTGAATTCTTTACAGTTTTTTTAACAATATAAAAATCAATGAAAGGAGTATTTACTAATTACTAGTAGGATTGCAATTTAGTTGGCAAGAAATTTTTTATATTATATTTTGTTCAACAATTTGATAACACGTTGACATGATTGAATCTAATAACTATATATATATGTATATATATATTACCCAAATGAATACGATTATTATATGTTGACTAATTTTAATGACCCAAGAGTTAGGATTTGATTCAATATAATTGAGTTTGCTTGTTTGAATGACCGAGGAAATGGTGACACATATTAATATTATTACCTCATTGTAGTTATAAAAAGAGTAAAAATGTAACTAAATAAAATTATCTCGAATATTCTAATCAATTAAACAATAAAGTATTTGGTATCATCAGTGCCATAAAACACACCCCACACAAATAGTCAATAAAAAATAGTCCGTCGACAGATATACAATACACATTTTAAAAACACAGGAGTAATCTAATTGATTAGATTAATGTTGCATTCACCAATTGAATTATTTGACAACAATATAATGTATATAAATTGAAGAGTTTGGATCAAATCATATCAATGGCATAGTTACTTAATTTCTCTAATTATTGGTGGACAGGTACTCGACATACATGTCCATAATACAATAAAGAAAAAAAAAATAAATTGAATCAAATTAGACCCACTCTCAATTATTATTACATGAAATGTGTTTTGTATATACCCAAATTTAATATCTTGCATGAATTATTAATTTCTCGTGAACTTTGTAGGGCTTTGGACATGCAGCAGCTATATTTAGAACAGGGAAAGGTCCAGCCTAACATTTATTTATTATCAGTATAAAAAATTCAAGTCTTTTTTTTTTAAATGAGATATATATTCTCTTAAATCATCTTTTAAAATATATATCACTATTCATATTAATAATAATAATAAGAAGAAGAAGAACAGAAAAAAAAAAACTCGTGAATTTTTTTCTTTCTAAATATTTATGAAGATTTAAAAATTTCAAAGAGCTGCAACGTAGACACGTACCCATCCTCTAAATGATGCCAAACCTCAATCTAAGCCCTACATTCAGGAGAAATTGTGTATATATTAAAATAAAATATAAAAAATGCACATACCCGCATTACAAGTTGAATACTCTTTCCTTAATTGTGAATATGAAACCAAATTTAGTTTTGCCAGTTGGATTATGAATCCAGTCTTGATCAAATTTATCTATAAAAATGGGTTATCTGAAAAAAAAAAACCAAAATTTTCTTTTACGTGCAAAATATATAAACTTCAAATACCAAAAAAAAAAAAAAAAAGAAAAAAAAAGAAAGAAGAAGAAGAAGAAGAGCATAATCATTTTATTCTTTTGAGAGCCAATAACTATCCACCAATTAACACTACCATTGAAACTGAGGATCCTATAAACTACTTCAATAATGTAATTAGGTATCAACTTGAAGATCCTATATATATATATATATATATATCCCCACAAATGTATCTAACTTAACTTTTTTTTTTGGACCAAAAATTAATTAAAAGCAAACATGCAAATTCAAAGTTAAAATTCAAGTTGGGATTTCGACATTTAATAATTATAAATTAAGTGTAGACTTAGTGTAAGAAAATCAAGACACGTCGTGAAAAAGGAAATTAAAGAGCACTATTGATTTATAGAGTGGTCGATTCTTTTTTTTTTTTTTTTAATATCATAAATTCACACCAATATTATTTATGTATTTATTTATTGTGAAATAATAATGTTGGTAATGGAATCCAATTGTGATGTGAGTGCTGTTTCAACTACCCCTCTCCAGTTTTGTTTGTTGTTTTCTTTCCCTATTTGATGCACTATTCACTGCATCGGTCGACTTCTTTAATGTTTATTTTCATACACTCTTTATTTTTGTTTGGTAAAAATTGTTACCATGCTTCACTTTTTTTGGGCTTTCTTGACTTTACTAGAAGCTAATTAATGTGATGGCTTTCACTTCTAGAAGATGGCTGGCTGGTTAAGGAGATTGTGTCTGAATTAGGAAGGTTCCAATGGAAATAAGAGAATTCTCTTTTATTTGTTTATTTTATTTTCTTCGTTTTTGCTTTTGTTATCGAATAAACTTGCATGAAATAATGAAATTAAAGAGTAAAATCAAACAATAACAATATGGGGTGGGGTGAGAGTGGCAACAAAAAAAAAATAAAGACGAATACTTTGAAAAAATAATACACTGTGACTGTGAGAAATGAGGAATTGGGCAGCACGGGTTTCCGACCAACCCAATAGCGCCACGTGTGATGTCGTTCTAACATCCGAGCATTACACGGGGAGTGTCCAGAAGTGCGTTTGATCATTAATTACAGCTATGCGAACCAGGATGGTTTTGCACCTGCTGTCCCCAAGTTAATATTCTATTTGGATTCAATCAGAACTTCATAAATAATTTGAAGTATTTAATTCGAACTATTGGCCATTGCAAACAAAATTGATATGAAAACAATTCCAAGTTTTCATGAAATATGAGTAGATAATCAATCGTATATCGACTTCAATTCTTATTTAAAAGTTGGTGGTCTTCGAATCCAATGATTTCTTTATAATAATGGTAGTTTGGAACTAAAAATATGATGTTGGATGGAGGTAGTCAGTGAGATCTATCCCATTGAATGGTATGGTCCAGTCCCCCTTTGATGATGACTACAGCAGAGCATGAGACAAACCTCAGCTGCTCAATCAAAACAACTATTATTATTATTATTATTATTATTAATTTTACATGGAGATCAAGAAACAAACTAATTCCATCCATCCTTTTGAGGTTAATTGACGACACCAAGACAAGATGGAGAAGACAGATAAAACCCGTGTTAGATCTACCCATGTAATAATTTAGGAAATATGAATAAGTGTCTCTAGTGGAAAATTCCCTCAACTATCGTCAAGATAAACACTAGTTTCTACATGTATATTATTATGTGTGTGTGGTGGAAATTGAAATTGAAATTGAATGAGAGAGATAGAGAGAGAGAGGGAGGAGGGAGGCAGGGCACCATTGGCATTGACATGTGAGGTCGGACTCAAAGTGTAGTTGGTGACGGGACACCACATAATGCACATCAACTTCAAATTTCCTGTGATCACAAAATATGTTTCCGGGAAGTTGATATTGTCTCATTTCTCTACTCTCCCATGTTACCATCCATTGCTGCCACAGGCCCCACCTGCAATTACATCTCTCTCTCTTTCTCTACATGTTCTCGAGAGTTGGTCTTATATAGGGGACCTCCTGCTTATAAAAACTTGGGGGTTGGAATTGGATGGATGGATGGATGGATGATGATAGTTGTTATCCTCATTATTATGAAATAAATATTCTCAACTTGTCCAAACCTAAATCCCCCATCCCATCTCTTGCATTATCATACGTCCATCATAGATTGCATCAAAAGAAGAACAAATCAAGCATGTATTTTTATCTTGTATAGGGAAAAAAAGGAAGACAAACGTGCCCACCTCCACACGGACATACTGCATGACTATGAGTAGTATTTCACACAATTTGCATTTACCAAGTAACATTATGCAAGAAGTAAAAGAGGAAGGGAACTGAATAATAGTTTTGGTACCTCATTCCTCCATCATCTGGCAATGAGAATGTCATTACATCATTAAACTTATCTGGTCTTAATGTATGGCTTAATTACTCCCAGAAGCATGATTCGTATGTACGTTTCATCCTCCATGTAGTGTCGAAATGAAAACAACAGAATCTTTCTCTTCCAGCACAGTTTCGAGCTGCCCGCTTAGTTCCCAATCACAATCATTCACAAGAACAAGAACGCCGGGTCTCCTGCAGTCACAAGAGCCAGAAAACTAATGCATCTACAGAATCACTTCACATAAGCAGAAGCTTAGAAAAGAAAAAGAGACAAGCACGTGAGTGGGGGAAATCCTAATCAGTTTAATTTCTGGGACCTAATATTTACTATAACCATAAGATATAGCTTTCTTGAAACTATCAGTTTCTTTGCAAGAAGCACTTTGGAAATAAATTGAAGTGCAGGCGAGTTCATCACAGCACATAGTAACTTTGACTGGCTGCAGTTAACTATAGTCTACTGGAACATTTTTATTTTCACTAGGTCAGCGTAATATTATCCTTGTAGAATAGCAATTCATCGGAAGAAAGTAGGGCAATTAGCATGCAATAGAGAGCAGGATGCGTAATTCAATGAACTATAGTTTTATCAAGTAGAGTTTAAAAGTTATGAATATAGGACTTATTGATTACAAAATTGCAATTTACATTGTAAATCATTAAGTTAATCCATCACAGGAAACAAATTATCCAAAGCATTGGCTAATATTTATGCCTAGGCTCTTTGCCACATTTAAGACATCCTAAAATTATCAAGAAGCAAGATCATTTTTGTTGGGTGGCAATGTTAAATATGCAAACATGAAAGTGCTGACATGTTCTAGGAATGTAGCCTTCGACTTAATCCACAACTAATCAATATCAATTACTTACACAGTGTCCCCTTTCATGAACATTTCAGGTCTCTCCTTGATCAAATTGATGCGGACCCAAGAAAGCAACCTTTTCATGGTTAGTTGCTGAAACCCGAAAGAGATACCAACACCAAGTTACACACGTAGATAACAGATGGAAATCCTCTCAACTCATTGTACACCAAAAAACAGACACAACAGATTCACCTTGTCTCCTTCAGCTGGCTCGACACTGACCTCGTGGATCTTCACAGAGTTACATAGAAGTTCCAGCCCACCTCTAGTACTCATAAGCACAAATCATACAAGCATAGAATATAAGAAAAAAAAAATGGATGAAGAAACAGCAACCATAAAATTTAAGTATGGCATCAAAGCCTACTAATCTCCTCAGTAAATCTAAAGACCAATTAAGTCAATGAAGCTCCATGTCTAATTGTATTTGAACCAGTAGAATAGCTAGCTAGTTCTGAGGAGGAATATTACTATTCAGTTGAACATGAATTCGCACCAGCCATGGCTCTGGACACCACAGCGCATTCTTTACAAGAAGTTATCCATGTGTTTCTATAATAATATAACTAATTAAGCACCAATAAGCTAATGCCATAGAATAGCGTATGATCTAACCATATGGCATACCGGACATAGAAGATCACACAATTTTATCAAGATCAAGGAAGCTAATATTAAAGCTTGCTAATTTCCAGAGACTTAACATCAAAACTAAAAGCTAAAGTAATCCAAACAACATATTTCCGCCAAAACAACAATCTAGGTTAAAAGAAAAGCTCACTGATTGGAATTCGTATAAGAAAGGTCCCGCTTTGCAATGAAATCAGAAATAATTATCGGCTATAAGCGGAAAAATACCCGAATTCGAGAGTGAGCTTCATTGTTTATGGAATCCGTGGTAGAGGGAAACTAGTCTTGGAAGGAGAAGAACCCAACTTTGCTCGCGGAATTGGATTAGGGCTGAATTCATGGGCCAATTATTCCAGGTGATTAATTAATATTATTAATTGAATTATACTATTATAATAAATAATTAAATAGTTAGTAATATATATGTTGGGATATGAAGCCTGATTATATCCTAAAATCTAGGGATATGATTTGGATATTATATTTTAGATTTTAGAGATATGATTTGGATATTATTGTCAAAGGCTTAGGCTATAAATATCCATGCATTCTCACTTTAACATGTGCCTGCGTACTTTATAGTAAAATTCCTGGCTTGGCAGCGCCCCCAGACGTAGATCTTTGTGATCGAACTGGGTTACCAAATTCTTGTGTTCTATTGTCTTTGTTTTCTCATCTTGATTTCCTGAAATTTTCATAACAATATATACGTACAATAACAATTACAATTCCAGACTTACATCGTTGCACTCATCTTCAACCTTCTTGCCGCTGTTCACTTCCATCGGATCAGAGGTTGCGTTGATTTTCTTCGATTGTTTGATAAGTTTGGCATAATTTTAGTTTAAATTTAATATTAAAATAATATTGGATAGAATGTGTTGTAAATTTTTTTTTTTTTTTTTTTTTTTTTTTTTAACAGCAGAGTTAAAATACTAAAATTTAAAAAATTTAAAGTAAATAATATTTTTAGTTATTCATAATAGAAAAAGAATAATTCTAGTATAAAACTAGTATTTTTGTTTATTTAAATTTAATATTTTTATAAATTTTATTATAAAATATTTTTTTTAATAACTCCACAAAATAAACATCCGTTAATAAAATAGGAATCAAAACCTGGTTTATATTAAAAACAAAAATTAAGAAATTGAGAAATAAAAGAAAAAAAATTAGAAGGAAATGAGCATATAGCGGTTCAATCGGTACCGTACCGACTGACAAATATAAACCACAATTTGAACCGTTTGACAAATACGTACATATATATGTATGAGGAGAGTTGAGAGAGACAGAGAGTTCTGTACATACAAAACTGAAGAGCCATCTTATGTACAATCGAACTAACAAATGTCTGCCTACAAACACAAATGTACGTATGTATGTATGTCGGCAAGTCTAATTTGCACAAGCAATGGAGGCGGTAGGGGTGGCGTAGCAGGTTTGGGGAGAAGAAGAAGACGACGGTGATGTTTTTGTACTAATCTTTACACGCACCTCCAGCTGTCGGAGCGTCTCCTCCAGCAGCCAATGCTTCTGCTTCAGCACTGTCAACTGGTTCTGCACCGACGCTAACTCCTCCTTCATGATCCGCTCGATGTCCTCAACCACAGCGCCGCTCAGCCCCTCCCTCCTCAATATCCACCGGAGCTTCTCCGTCGACACCGCCGGCCGCTCCGACTTGGCCAGTTTCGGGAGCATCTCCTTGGCGGCGTAGAATGCTTCTATCCATGTTGTCCTAACCTCCCCCGTCTCCGCCTTCAGATGGACCCACCTCGTCCCTGTAAATATCGAGAATTTCTTGTCGTCCGATGTGCTCTCCCGGATGTATGAAACCTGAGCGAGCCAGAGAGGGAAGATTACAAAATCGAGAATTTAATTAAGGATGCAAATGTAATAGAGTTTTGGAGGAGGAGGAATGTCTTATGAACCTTTACATGAATTTCGCGGCCGACGGCGGCGGCTTTTTGCCTCTCCTCCGTGTTGTCGCCGTTCGGTTGCCGGAGAATCCATTTCATGGATTCATCCCCGATCACTCTGGACCCTTTTGTGGATTCCTTATTCAGGACGATCTTATCCGGCCCGTGGATTTTGTAATAACTCAACACTCCATCTTGCAGCGCAAACCACCGGGCCTTCCATCCCTTACCGAAATTCACCCATTTGTGCAAAATTCCAGAAATTCCATTCCCAACTGCGTAATTAATCCTCAATTCCCGACCCAGATTGTTCTTGCCGTTCCTCTTACTGGCTGAGTAATCGAAATCCCGCCCGGAACTGTGAACTCTCGCCGGCGATGACGTCGACACCGACACGTGGGAATTACTGGCTTTCATCGATGCCGCGCAGCTGAACAAATGCATTGCAGGATTAGCTTCCGATACTCATTGTTGAATCCATCCCCAAGAACGGCTCTTGATTGGTAAACAGAATCAAAATCGAGGAATATAGAAACAAATGGATATAAATTACAGGGGATGCATACCTGTGGGATTAGAGATGGATATTGAATGTGGGAGAGAACTTTTAGGGAAGACGATTGACATTTGATTGGAAATTTCTAGACATATCAAATATGTTGTTGCTTTCTTGCAAAGTAATTGCCTTCCTACTTTTTCGCATTTTTAATTAATTTTTTTCGCAATTATTAATTATTTTTCATCTGATTGTTGTAATTTTGTTACTTAATTTAAACAACGAGAAGTAGGGAGGGTCACATAATATCATCTTATTGCAAAGAAGATAAGATATCCAAATGTGATACGCATAAAAAACACGGCACAAACGTGTTGCTTTCAGTGTTTAAACTAATGAAGATAAAGATACAGGCGACGTTAAAAAGTTTGCTATATTTAAGAAAATGTATTCTTACAACCCACGACTACTCCACATTCCATTTCCACATGGTGTTTTACTTCAATGCTCTGCTCCTCCCACTTTTTTGCTCACAAGCCCTTTAAGGAAATCAAAACTGTAACCATATGTCAGATTCATATTGCAATGTAGTAATAATAATACTTGTTCAAGATGAATGGGAAGGAAGACAAGCTTTGATTAAAGAAGCTTGGATTACATGTTCTAATAGAGTTCTCTTTTACTACCTGTTACCATCAGGATGAAGTTCGTGTGCTTGACCGTCTTCACTGATTGCCAGAAGGTACCCGGAAGAGGTTAGACCCTGTGAGCCAAAGGGATGTTATTAACAGAACAAATTTCGATTGTTTGAAAGAAACCACACAAAGGCCACATCCATTTGTACAGTTGTTTTAGCATACACACTGAAAAGTTTGATATCTTCCTTCAGAATGCAAGAAGCTATTTGTGATTACGATTCCTGATGACAAAAGTTAACCTGGATTGTCACAACATATTCTGAGACTTGGTTCGTATCATCATCCTTCTCCTGTACGATAATGCGCTGTCCACTGCATCCAATACAAATGAATTGGGAAAAGGGTTCAACATGAAAAAAAAAAAAAGATAGTACTTGTTTGATCCGTTTCACTTCTGTTATCATTCACTCTATTGGGAAACACTTATTTAATTGTTTCACCTGTGCAGCCATCTCTTGTAGTACTGCCCTTCTAATTCTTGAAAACCTGGTTAATAATAATGAACAATAAATACTTCGGCAACAGCTTATTGAAAAAGATAGAAGTTTGACCTGTTAAAATTGTTAAGATGTAGTTTATACGTTCAACTTGCTTCCTAAATTAAGGTGATTGAGTATAAAATATTTTGAAATATAGCCTGTTTCAATGATGTAAGAACTACATCCAAATGAAAACAAAAGATAGACTAGGCGATTTACTGGTTAATTTTCAATTTTCGTCTAAAAGCTATTGAATAAGAAGAGGTAAATTTTAGTATGAATTGGGTGAAGATAAGACATACTGAATTAATCAGTGTCACCAAACATGCAGGGAGATCCTAAGTAATATCAAAGGAGAAGGGATCACCTTGCGTGATGAAAATATCGTAAAAGCTCTCAAATTTATTGAAGAAAGCAGCCATGATATCTTCACGTTGTAATAGCCGGTCAACACATCCCAATCTCTGTAAAACGGCGTTCAAGCATGTAGTTGGTTGCTGATTACTCACGTTCAAGCCAATTCCTACAAAATCATTTTTAAAAAATGGACAAAGATAATAGATAACTCAGCAAATTTGAGTACCCTACAAAATCTAACATAGGTTATGTCCCCTCTCAAGTAAGGCTTGATTAGATATATAACTTTTACAAAGTAGATTGTCAAAAGAAAGAATTTTTACCAACACTGACATTAAACTTCTTAGATTTATACGTTGATGTGCACAAAATGCCTCCCACTTTAAGACCATGTAAGTATAGATCATTTGGCCACTTTATTCTAACATCAAGTGCAGGCATGTCCTGAAACATATGGTATTCGAATATGAATAGCCCAATCGATGATAGAATAATAAAATTAACAACAGATGGACGGACAACCGTGTTTTAAATTCAAAGGCAAGGGTTAAACTCAAATGTACATCTGTAATATAGAATAGAAGGAAAATATAGCTTCAACTAATTGGAAAATTACAAGTTTTTCACCATTCCAAGATGTGTGCCATGGTAAGAAACCACCAATGCCTAAATGGATCTTCTTTTTCATACATCGTAGCCGCCATTTATTCAAAGGCCTAATATAGAAGAAGAAATTCTTGCCAATAGCACAAGGAGAACTAAATGATATAGCACTTACATTTTTTCGACAGACATCGTTAATTGCCTCTGCCATAGCTAAACAAACAACATACTGCACATGCGGGACAATTCTACCGTCCTCCATTTGTAAAGTGAACGAGAACAAAAGGCATCCCTTGGGTGATTCCCAAGTGTTCTTGGACCGACCTTGATAAACCATTGCAAATATAGCAATAACATAGAAACAATTATAACCAAACACTCTCCAATAAATTCAATATGCATAGTGAAACAAAGCAGAGACATTAATCAACAATACCTCTGCCTTTAAGCTGGATATCAGCAACACACACAGCTCCAACAGGCAACTCAACGAAATTACTGCCAAAAGAGATAACGCTTACGCGCAATCAATACAGCTTCAATGGTGTACACACTAACCCAACAGAATGGGGGAGGACTTACTTTGAAACAATGTCATGCGTGGAAGATAATTTGGGGGAGTAAATGAGCAGCTTTCCTAAGCGATTGGTTGAGAGAGAATTCATGTATGAACTCACTCGGAAAGCATCGTCACTACCAATGATTTGCCCATTTTCAATATCCGAATGCAAGTAAACATTTACTGGAGAACCGTCGGGGAGTTTTACAGCATCGTTCTTCTTCAAACACCTTGCCATGTCATTTTCTGCAGCGGATTTCCCGTTAAGCACAAGGGTTGTACCCTGCTGCGCCTCCATTTCTGCACCGAAACAATATCTGGGGAAAAGTTCGCTACTCATGTCATCACGATCAGACAGTCATGAAGAAAATTGAATCTTTACCTAGTTTACCCGCTGGAAGACGAGAACTCTTCAGGACACAGTTGAACCTTTGAAGGAAGATCGATGGTAGGGATCTGTTTAATGAGGCAAAGCGTTGCAGGCGGAGAAAACAATACTCTTTCGCCATTTCCAGTTTCAGTCCCAACCTTATATATGTGTGTATTTCTCTCTCTCTCTATATATATGGGTCAAATGGCTTAAAATGAAAAACGACCCTACCAAAGGACTAAAGTAAAAATAAATCACGATCTTCACCAAAGTTGCTCACGGTGGTGCGCTTCGATTGTTCTGCAACTTCCCGTTTTCTCTGCGACCATAGAGAATACGCCAATGGATGAGCCGCTAAAGGCGCTGAGCGACAAGGATTTATCAATCTCGACGCTTCAAGAAAAGGGCCGGTGTCTTGTGACAACTCGTGATTTCTCCCCAGGTTTTTCAAGAAACAAACCATCTTTTTTTTAAGCCTCTCGAAATTCTGAGGTTTTAGATATTTTTTTCACTTCTTACATTTTGAGGGTTTCTTGATTTAGGGGAAGTGATTTTAAGAGAAACTCCATATGTATCGGTTCCGACCAAGAACAAAGAATCCCCTAAATCCAAGTGCGAGTGGTGTTTCACTTCAAGAAACCTAAAGAGATGCTCAGCCTGCCATTTAGTATGGTATTGCAGCAGCAAGTGTCAGGTAACAAAAATATATATTTTGATTGTCGTGTTGCGAAAATGTATTATGTGGTGATCTTGATTGATTTCAGAAAGCGGACTGGAAGTTTCATTCTGTGGAATGTGAGATTTTGCCCAGTCATGAGAAGAATCGAATCACCCCATCAATCCGATTGATGGTACGGCTCTATATGCGGCGGAAGCTAGAAATTTCGAAGGTGCGTAGGTTCTTGAATTTGGGATTAAATTTGATTACAATATTAACGATCATATCTGCTAGCAATCAGCCTGATTCTAAACTGTTTTTATTGCTGCTAGATTATGCCGACTACCGCCATGGAGGATTACAAGTTTGTAGATGCCATGGTTTCTCGTATGTATCCTAAATGAACCTTATACTCATGCTTGTCATGATATGATTAACAGATTTAACATTTTCTTCATGTAGATTACTCCGATATTGGTGAGGAAAAACTTGTGCTGTATGCCCAGATGGCTAACCTTGTCAGTTTGATACTTCTCCGGTGGCCTGTTTCTAACTTGGATATCAAAGGAATTGCAGAAACTTTTTCCAAGGTACACTTGTGTCACATTTGTTTCCTTTCTTGGTGTAAATTTGGCAAAATCTGCACTTAGTTAACTTAGCAAATGGGTGACAAGTCATCATTTTTGTTTTGAGTAGTAACGATACCGGGAAACTTTAAATGGATGCCACGGATTGTTTATCCAATTTTGTCTTGCAGTAGAACACAGTTCCGACCTTTATAGAGTTGGATTTGTATGGTAGCTACAAGCTTTTGATAAAAAAAAAAGAAAAAAACATTATTGAGTCTATTAAGCGGATATCTGGCGAGAGTGGTGCGATTTTTGGAGAACAGATGAACTTATTGTAATTTCCATCGTGCAGCTAGCATGTAATGCACATACTATTTGCGACAGTGAGCTGAGACCCCTCGGAACTGGGCTGTTCCCATTTATTTCTCTCATAAATCACAGGTGACAGCCGTAGATATTCGCTACTCTGCTTTTCCATATTGCTGGCACTAAATATGTTTGTTATTCTAGCTGTTTGCCAAATGCTGTTCTTGTGTTTGAGGGGAGATCTGCTGTGGTACGAGCTATTCAGCATATTCCAGAAGGTTCTGAGGTAATCTTCGACCACATATTGCCTGCTGGAAAATGGAGTATTTCCACTATGTTGAAACTTTCTATTCACCATTTTCTTCTGCAGGTGTTGATCAGTTACATAGACATAGCTGGAAGTACTATTACACGGAAAAAGGCTCTCAAAGAGCAATACTACTTCGATTGTGGTTGCATCCGCTGCTTAAAACTGGTACCGCCGTTCCTTTCAAATACACGTGAATATTACAATCTCTATTTTCCGATTGCTGTAACTAGGTCAGCTTGATCTTTTAGGGAGAGCCTGAAGATATGCAAGAAAGTGCGATGCTGGAAGGCTATAGGTGCAAGAATGAAAAATGCGATGGAGTTACCCTGCGCGACTCTGGTAAAGTAATCTGTTGATCAACAACTTGTACAGCTTTCCTTGTACTTTAGGTTCCATCTGGATTCGAAATGGTATATTCTTGTTATGTCAGATAATAAGGGATTCGTATGCCAAAAGTGTGGACTTTCTAGGGACATGGAAGAAATAAAGAACATAGCTAAGGAAATCGAATTACGATCAGAAAAAACTTCGGAGTTGCTCTACTCTGGTCGTATCCTTTTCACTTTTAGATATAATAACAATATACATGTTTTCACAATGTTCCAATTTTGGGAAAGTCCTTAATGAATTCAGGTAACCTTGAGGCAATTGCGTCTTACATGGTATTCGAGGACTTACAGGTTCAACTATGCCATCCGTTTTCAATCAATCTCATGCGAACCCGAGAGACCCTTCTGAGGGTAAGAGCTGTGTTTGTGTTTTGACCCTATTTTTCTTGTTGTAATATTAAAAACAGCTTGTGATCAAATGTCATCTCTTTAGATGTTCATGGAGAAGCAGGATTGGGAACAAGCACTTGAATACTGCAGACTGACGATTCCGGTTTATGAGAGTACGTATCTTAGATGAATCTCATTGCTCCAAGAATTAACAAAAAATTCGATCTGATCTCACTGCTTATTGGTCTGCAGAAGCGTATCCGAGCTGCCATCCCTTGCTGGGACTGCAATATTACATGTGTGGGAAACTTGAGTGGTAAGAATTTGGTGTCTAACCATTGTCTTGTTTTAGGATTGCCGGAATCCAGTCATGATTGGTGTTATATTACGTCGACAGGGCGATGCTGGACGCGGAAGGTGCAGCGAGATCACTGACGAAGGCTTTAGATGTACTCCGAATCACTCATGGCGCGAGGTCGGGGTTCGTTATGGAGCTCCATGCTCAGTTGGAGGAAGCTCGGGCTGAGGCTTCTTACAACACTCACCAACACCATCAAGACTGAATTTTTACTCACACAATTTGCCTGCTTTTTCAGCTTTTCAGTTTAATAAAATTGTTGTGTTTTGTTGTCCTTGAAACTCATCTCATATGTTAAATAGATTTTTCTTTGGAAGTTGAACACGATATATAAGTTTTAAAAATATAAGATTTTTTAATAAGATTGTATACATTTTAGGGCTGTCTCCGAGTTAAAAAACATATTATAGGTTCTATAAACATATTATCAATTTTGAAAATAAATAATATTTAAATTATTATAAAATAATAATTAATAATAATAACTATACAAGTTTTTTTTGGAGAATTGTGGAGAAGAAAAATAATTAAAAAGATGAAATTTAATTTTAGATTGTATTTGCAGTAATTTTAAATTTTAATACAAATATTAATAATTATAAATTAAAACCTAGAAATATAAACCAGATCTGATATATTTCATCCCAAGAAATCAAACGCAAATGCAATTTCCTTCCGTCGGCCCGGCCCAGACAAGCCCTAATAAATTTTCCTTCCGTCGGCTTCAACCAAGGAATTCCGTCGGCCCAGACCAGCCCTAATAAAGTCTCCTTCCTTCCGTCCTCTCTCTCTCTCTCTCCCTTTCTGCGCAAGGAATTCTGTCAACAACAGAGCATTCGTCTCCTTCGTCCTCTTCTTCGGTTTCTTCAGGCGTGTGATAAATCTGTGAGTTCAGTACTGGCTTTATTTTATGACTGAAGATAAAAGCCAACTGTATTCGTTTAAGCATTTGCAGCCATTTTCACCGCCGACCACCGGTTATTTGAGCCCTTATTTTATACTGAAAAATGGAGGACAGGCGGCGGGTTACTGTGTTCCATTGCTGTTAGATAGTTACTTAATCTGTTTACTACGAATTTCGTTGGAATATGTAAATTTGGTTTGTACATAGAATTATTTGATTATGATGATGCTTGTAAGTCCAGGTATTATAAATCATTAAATTAAGATATAGTAGACTTGTGATCTGAATTTTCATGCTTGCGGTAACGTTGATGCATTAACCTTTTCACTGGCAGTTAATTCTGTTTCTTTTGGTGATGATGCATCTAGGTTTGATTTAGGAAAAAAAATTGCCCCTTTTGAAGTTTTATGTATGATCTATATCTTGTGAGCAAGCACTGTTCGAGTTGCTTGTAGAATTTATATAATTGTATGACTTTTAACTCACATTTATCTGCAATATATAAGAGCATTATCATTTTACAAGTCTATTTCATATTGTGTTTGGACAGAGGGAGAAGTTTTAAAAACATGATTATGGTTTGTTTGCTATGAGCACTTGTGTTTCTAAAACAAGTTTCTTCTCCAAAGTGAATCTGGGAAGGACAACCCAATGTTGCTGATAATACCTTGTATCCTTTCATCCACAGGGTTGAAATTCAGCAACAAGAATGAGGCTTCTGACACATAACATGCTTTCCTCAAATATTAAAGGGGTGACGAGCGGTTTCCCTTTACGGATTGAAGTTGAGAAAGTGGTGCAAAAGGAGGTGGAATTCAATGCAGACTTCCTCAGGAACATGTTTGCCAAGATTGAATGGAGTGCCTTGGTGGAGGCCTCCAAAACCATGGGCTACTCTGAGCTGCCAGATAGTGCTGAATCCTCCATGCTCGATTCTGATGAGTTCCTCCACCGGTTCCACCATGCTCTGCTTGAGTTGCATCTCGAGGAGGGGGCATTGATCTGTCCCGAGACAGGTCGCAAGTTCCCTGTCAACAAGGGAATCCCCAATATGCTTCTTCATGAAGATGAAGTCTGATTGTGCCGTGCCACCCATTTGGAGCCTTTTGCTCTATGTTTAAAGCTAAGAGTATGTTTGAAGGGATAGCTCACTTTGAAAAAAAATTGTCGGGCATTTGCATATTATCTGCCTTAGTCAGCCTTTTTTCTGTGTTTGTATGATAGAAGCAGTTAGAGTCCATGAGATAGTTGCTGAAATTTTGGCTGCTGGATACTTTGCTTGATTACATGGGCTGAATGAATTTAAATTTCATTATATTTGACGTGGAAAAAATACTGATGTGAACGTGTTTTACATCTCTAATTTAATTGTTGTTTGTGGGGGAATTAAGCTGTAAATTTTGCTATGTTTTTGTTCTGGTATATATATTTATTCCTAAGTATGGATTAATGAGTTTTATTATTATTATTATTATTATTATTATTATTATTATGTTGACCGTTGGTTCACGTGTTCCAGTCATGCCCGCTTGAGAAGTCATGGATCACTATAAATACATCCCATTTTACCTTTGATCATAGCCTATTGAGTTCCAATAACAAATAGAGCCGTTAGGGTTGTGTCGTTCTTCTCTCGTTGGAAGTTTCGTACTTTGAAGCTGGATTTGCCCATTTCTTTTGACGATGAAGATGTCCAATGTTTCATAATTCTGTTGTTCTCACTTCAATTCGAAGAATGACAATCGATTCCTCTGGAGCTTATGCATCTTGATTCGATAATACTTTGTTGAGAAGTATTTTTGTATTTCAACTCTTCTCTTTGGTTTCAGAATGAATAGACCACTCGGACTTTCAGGTATAAAAAATCTGGAACAGTTTAAATCTCGGATTGGATCTAGTTCGGGTGCTCCAAATGCAAAGATGCTTTCAAGTTCTTTCCACAAGCCTCCAGATTCGGTTGCTTCCGGAAGTTTTGCGAATCTGAAACTTACAGCAGGTCATGAAAACTTCGGTACTGTACTTTTTCTATCGTTCAGTATATGTATGCCGAACAATGACATGCATTATTTTATGATTCAACTATCTTCAGAGAAATTGCTCAACGAACAAGCTTCCGCAAAAACTGACCTCGAATTTGCGGTAAGAAGAAAGATATTGAGTAGATAAACATTTAGTATCAGCGTCGATATATGTTCTACATAATACAAATTCTATCCGCACGTAAATGACTTTAAATACTTTCACGAGAAGTAGACCTATGAGTGTGTCTCTATGTTTTATACTGGTATGAATGTGCTAAATATTTTATGCAAGGATTCATGCATGTTAGCGTGTAGTTAATGGATTTAATTTCAAATTCGTAGAGTAGATTATAGAACACCGAACCAGTTTTACGTAGCAAATTATCTCTCACAATACATGGACTAAGCAGTAGAATATGCCTTGAATATGTAGAACTCCAAGCTGAAGAAACTGACGGAGCAAATTGGCATACTTGAAGAGAAACTGCAGAAGGCATTTAATGAAAATTCGAAACTTTTTGCAAAACAAAAAGAAGATGAAAGACAATGGAAAGGACTTGAGTCCAAGTTCGCTTCAACAAAGGCACTCTGCGATGAGCTCACCGAAACTTTGCAGCAGTTAACAGTCCAGGTTCAGAATGGTACGAGTTCATAATATGAATAGCACACTGTGTGCATGTTTTGAAGATGCTCGGCTGCACGGTGATCCTATACTTTTAACAGCTGAAAAGGATAAGGTGTATTTTGAAGATAAGTTGTCTGCAACATCCGTTGCTCTGGACAAACTGCATGAACACATAAAGTCCTTGTCCTTGAGGTTGGATACTTCAGAAGAAATAACTAAAACTCGTAAGTTCTCAAAGATGATCTAGATCCTATTGTGGGTAACTTTTTGTTGCCTTTTGGTAGTAATCTAGTGTTTATTTTATATGAAACAAGGTGACCGTGAACTTACGGATCTTCGGCTTGAAAAAGAAAAGCTTGAGACATTTTTCAGAAATGAGCAAGACAGAGCTACCCGCCAGATTGAGATGAAAGGTAAACTGGAATCTTTTCTAGTCAGCTAAGACGTGACTTGTGCCAAATATCTCACCTACCAAAATAGATTAAAAAATTTCTCTAAAAGAGGAGTCCAATTTTGTTAGGCTATATTTATGTTATATATTTCGAATTTCTTCTCCCACTGGTGCTTTAAAAATAAACTGCTCCAGGTTTTATTGTTATATTTTTCACTCACTTTCTCACATTGTGAAGCAGATGATAAGATAAAACAGTTGAAAGAAGATGTGGCAGCAAACATGGTAACTTTGGAAAATTTGACTTCGGAAATGGAGAAATTGCATGTTGAAATGAGAGTAAAAGAAGACAACCTGCTTGAATTGAGTATCTCCAAAGAGAAACTGGAGAGAGACAACGAGAATCTAATATCTAGCCAAAAAGCTCTTACAAACAGACTGGAAATGGCAAACAAAGAGATACAAAATTTTGAAGATTTTGTGACATTGTTGGTTGTGAGGTTCACTGAATTGGAGAATCAGAGCCTTACATTTTCTGAAAGAATCAGCCAGCTAAATGCTATATTTGATAAATCTCTTGCGTTGGCTCAACAGGAGAAGGATCTTGTTTCAAAGTGTACAAAGAAAAAGTTTGATCATATTCACAACGAATGTTCCAGTGTTATATCTGAGAAAAATGCTTTACAGTTGGTTAATCATGAACTGAAAAATAAAGTTATTGAGCTTCAGAAAGAACAGGAGTTTGCAATGGTGCAACATGCAGAAGAATGCCGATTGGCAGAAGAGAAAATTCAAAATTTGGAGTCTGAAGCAGAACGTCTCGTTTCTGAGCAGAATGGAATGCAAGCCTTGGTAGTCAAACTGGAGGATAACCTCAGGACTTCTACAGAAAGCTCAATATTGTCTGATACAAAAAGGGTAAAGTTCATCCACTGAAATTTGACACTCATGGCATGGAGCATAATGCAGTCTGCAATATTATTCTTGTATCATGCAGCAAGAGGCACTGCAGAAATTTTCTGAGTTAGAGTGTGAAAGCAAAAGGATTGTGGATGAGTTGAAAGCAGATTTGATGAAAAAGCAAGGTGAAGTTGATCTTCTACAAAGAGAGATTGAGAGAAGTGAAGAAAATGTGGGCTCACTGAATAAAAGAATCATTGAGCTTGAGAATTCACTGGAAGAGAAGAACAAGTTCATTATGGAACTCAAGACCATAGAGAAACAATTTGAAGAGCAGAAAGCAGAGGTTCCCTCAGCCAAGTCTTCAAGTTTAACTTTGGTCAAGCAATATTTTTTGCTTTGTTAATCATTTAATCTTCTGTTTTAGATTATGGCTTCATTGGCTGACAGAGAAAGTAAGCTTGAGGAAGCCAAGAAACAGTATGATCAAATGTTAGAAAGCAAACACTTGGAACTATCAAGGCATTTAAAAGATATTTCTCAGAGAAATGATCAGGTACTTCTGTTACAAGCATATAAGAATCACAGTGAGTTATATGTTTTCAAGATACATGACGTGATTGATGTCTGTTGGAGTTTGATCAGGCCATCAGTGATATAAAAAGGAAGTACGAGATAGAGAAAGAGGAGGCTGTTAATATTGAGAAACAAAAGGTTTACTTATTGCTTTTTGCCTAATTGGTTGTATTTTTATTTTTTTATTTTTTCACTTATGGCATGGTTGTGTGTCAAATTCAGGCAGAAGATTTTATCCGAGATACAGAAAAAACATGTGAGCAAAAGATTGCAGAGTGCAAAGAAGAATGTAGGCATCAATTGCAACAGATGCAGGAAGAACATGCTGCATTGGTAAGTTAACATATTTAGATAGTTTTGAATCTTAAATATTTCTTACCAACAATTTTCTAATGCACTTATGAATAGAAAAGAAACTATAACATCTGTCTGACAATAGTTCAGATCTTATTTTCATAGTTTACAAATATACTAAAACTCTCCAAGCGAGACTGATGGGAGCTAACTCCAATGCCCACTTGTTTTGAATTGTGGAATTCTTGGAAGTAGAAATCTTACATTAAACAGCTTGTACAGGGATGGAATGCCGATCATGTGTCATCTGTTAAGTGAACATGGTTTGTCATATACTCATATCTCTCCAAAATAACCTGGCATGACTTGTTAAGTTTTCTCCATAGATTAGCAACCTTCAGCTGGAACATGCTAACAAGGAAATGAACCTCAAAGCTAAGCTCTCTGAAGAATTAAAACGCGCCGAACTTCATGCAGAAACTGAATTACGAGAGGTATTTTAATTTTAGAATCTCATTTCAAATTTATAAGGGATTTGATGATATTATATATTTATTACTATATATCCTGCAGAAAACAAAATTACTTAGGTCTGAGCATGAAGCTCAGCTAAGAGCTTTGAGGTGTGAGCAAGAAGATGAGTTCAAAAGACTGCAGGAGGAGTTGGATATTCAAAAGGCAAAGGTATTCAGTGATTGTGTGCTATATGATTTTTCATTTTTACTGCAGTATTCATATCTGTGTTTTCCCCTTCCTTCTATATATCAGGAAGAGAGGCAAAGAGCCTTACTGCAGCTACAGTGGAAAGTAATGAGTGACAATCCACAAGAGGACCAAGAAGTGAACTCAAAAAAGGTCAGCAATATGACAATAATATTCACATTCCAACAAACATAAATATAAGTTTGTCTTGAAACTGCAGTAATGCTTTAAATATTATTTTACTGCTTGATTTTATTTTATTTTTTTTTGTGTGTGTGACATTGAAGTTGTAATGAAATGATCAGATGACCACACATCTGCTAAGCTTTTGAACTGTTCCCTATACTTAAACATTGGCCTGTAAGAGGAAATACCTTGTTTGGCACTTATATTTTCTAAGGTTAATAGCTATCAAGTGATTATAATTAAGATTGATGATATGATGAACAAAATTTCTGCAAAATTTTATTTACTATAATAACAGTAACAGATTACTCCTGCTTTTGCAAAGAAATCCATTACTGTTTTAGAAGTTCTATAAATTCATGATTATTCTTGAAAAGATCTTCTGATTTTTGATTCTCTTTTTTCATTTGATTGGAGATATAAATACATGTTATTACCAAACAGAGCCAGTCATGCATTAGATGATGCTGTAAAATTTGTCTTTGTGCACTGAAAAGATGTTGCTGCTTTGCATATTTATATGAACTAGAATTTTGAAAGCATGCGATTACTTGGTTAATTGGATACTTCTCAGACTTACTCTATTTCCTCCACAAAGATGAGAAACAAAGACAGAAGCACAAGAATTCGTCATGAATCGAAGAGAAACGATGAAGAGAAGGTGAGGTTTGGAAGAAAACTAGTATTTCCTATACCTTTCAACAAACATTGTAGTAATATTGATTGCATTTCAATTTTATTCCCAGGAACCTCCTTACCTGAAAGCAACAGAAACTCCAATTTCAAATTTGTTGAAAAATGTTGAGAATGTAAATACTGGAACTCCAATGAGTTTGCCTAACCATAGCAGGAAGGTGATGCAATTTTGTTTCATATCATTTGTAAATATTGTTCCTTTGGGTGGTGGTGCCTGTATGTGTATCCTGTTCCTTTTAACACTTTATATTTGGCAGGTAACTCGCCACGAGTATGAAATTGAAACATCAAATGGTAGAACAATCACAAAGAGAAAGAAAACTAGAAGTACAGTCATGTTTGAGGTTGGTAGTTGTGTGTGATAGTAATTATTTACTTTTTTTGGCTAAATACTTTAGGTGCCGTCGAGCTTGCTTTAGTTGACAGGCAAATAATGTTTTTACTTATGCATTTGTTGCCTTGTCCCAGGATCCTAGGAAGCAGAGGAAAAGAAACACTCCTAGAACAAAGACACCCAAATGTGAAAATCAGGTAAGTATCTTAACTAAGCAATCATTCTCAAATGTATTTTATAATCTCAAGTCATTTCCTTCACATATCTATGTTTAATCTTGGGGTAGATCTAGAGCTATATTAAATTTACAAGTTTCTCATATGTTCATTACACATCTGTCCTCATAAATCCTGACAAGCTGATATATCTGAATCATATCCCCTGTATACAACCACCTTGCCATGCACACTGCTTCTTACAAATTGAAGAAACCCATTATGATGACCTACCACTATTCTATTAGCTTTTGCAGGGTGTCAAAGGTAGTGGTGTTCATCCAAATGCACCTAACATAGGTGATTTGTTCACTGAAGGATCATTGAATCCATATGTTGATGATCCCTACGCATTCGATTAAAGGTATCGTCGTTGTTCTTTAACATGCCATTTGACTCTACATAAAATAGCCTTGGAGAGCAATATCTACACACTACGCACAATTAAGACTTTGATAGTAGTCAAGTTTCTTGCATGCCCTTTGTTCACCCTTCCATCTCTTACAAACAATGTCCACAATTTCTCATTCACTGAACGATCTATGGCTTGACTGCTATTTGTATTACTTGCTAGTGCACCTGTGATTTCATGCATTTACTCGATGTTAGTATTTTTAAAACGTGTTGATATTATTCACATTAGTATCACAATAATCACAGTCACGAGGGTCAGTTTAGGAACATGTTTTCACAAAAGCAGACACGAGTCATATTTTCATTAGCACTTAAAGTAGTTGTAGGTAATTTTCCATTAGTATAGGAACTTGCTCCCTAAACTCCACTAAATAAACTTAATTTACTATCTATTCAACTTGTGCTTGCTTGTCTCTGTGCACTTTACTGAAATTTGTTGTAAAAAGTGAATGGTATTCATCTTATACGCAGCTTTTCCTGAACTTCATGCATCATGAAATTATAGATTCAAATATTATCATATTGGGAGCATCTATATGTTATTTTATTTAAAGTAGATTTTATTGTGTGCCATCTATTCATCAATCTGATTTTGTGGGTAACAAAAGTACGAAACTTTATTCCATAGCATATGGGGCTCTTATATGATTTTTCGAGGCAGGAAGAATCAAAACAGCTTTCTCATTCAAAGCATCATTAATTATGACGTAATTAGTGCAATCTTGTTCCTAGCAACGCTCTCATTTCTAGACATCCAAATTTGCGTGCCCACTACTGCATTTTTATTTTATTTTTTTATTAAAAAAGGAATTCTTTTTCTACACAAAACCATGAATGGTGGACCTTGGACATTTAAATTTCAAAATAAATATGCAATTAAAGTGACTAATAAATAAACCAACAGCTTTCGTACTAGTACGATTATTAGATTTTTCTTCTGCCTAGCCCACTTAAATTTGCACGGAATTATTCTGACACTTGGGGTAACAAGAATTTAAAATTCAAATCTTCAATCTCCGCCAGACCACGACATCTAAATTCAACTCTCATTTTCATCCACAAGAACATCCCAACAGCCACAATGCAAAAAATTATGGGTTTGTTTAGATATTTTTTTAAGGAAATGTTTTGATAAATAGTTTAAAGAAGTTTAAAAAAACACAAACCATAGTTGTTTATAAACAAATGATCAAGCCCATAAAGAAAATGCGTCCTAGTTATCCGGACGTCCGTCCTTCCTATAATGGGCGCGGAAAACACTGCAATTAATAAGCTCACACTTAGAGATACATCTATTTGTGGGCCTTTGCAGTTGGCCATAACCAGTAGTAGTAGTAGTAGTACTAGTTTATTTATTGATTAAATTAAAGAAGCTCTCTTACTCACTCAGATTCCTTCTACACCACTCTGCTAATTACCATTTAATAATTTACACATGCTCCTTTGTCAGTTTGTGAAATGATGTCTCCCTCAGTGTCCCCTCCCCATCCCCATCCTTCTTTTGTTTTCTTTTTCAGAGATGATGCATCATCTCCTTTGCATACATACATACATACATAAATACACACACATTATGCAGTTTTGACATCATCTGCACTATATCCGGAGATGTATCTAATTTGTTAACTGTTAGCATGAATTTTAATATACAGTAGTAGGGCCACAACGACAATACCCAAATCCAGGACCATTGTAAAAACAGAAGCTTTTATATCAGGCATCAAGGCATGCCACTGATAAACTATTTCCCTTATAGCAGACATATGTAGGCACTTTCTGATATGTATTGCTAGCACGAATAGAGGAAAGTAAAGCCATTTCTTCAATCCTATTCTCCCATGGCCAAAAGCAGAAATCCCAGAAAGCATGCCAAAGGAAAACACAGCCATCATTCTCACAGAGAGGAGAAACCACACTCATGGGCTGCTGTAAGAAGCCTCTTCACTTGCAAGTACCTCCAGGTACAACTACAACAGCAGCAGCAGCAGCAGGAACAACAACAACATCATCAGCAGCAGCAGAAGAAGATGATGGCAAGACAGCAGAAGAAAAAGCAGAACCCAACCCAATTAGAAGAGCACACAATCAGCAAAAGCAAGAAACAGATAAATGAGGGGAAGAAAGAGCAAACCCCTGAAGAGATGAACAAGAAATGCAAGAAGATGAAGTGCTCAGGTTCACTTTGCAGCAACACTAAGGTCATGCAGAAGCCTGAAATCCCATCCCCTGAACAGCACAAGAAGAGGGCTGCTACTAATTTCTTGATGCTGGGGTCTTCCAGTGAAAGTGATGCTTCCAATAGATCCATGAAATCAATCACTACTTTAAATGATCTCAATGCCAATTCTTCATCTTCCTCCTCTTCATTCACTCTACCTTCTGCCTCTCCTTCAATTTCTGGATCTTTCAGAAACATGCCCTTCAGGAAACTCTCTGGCTGCTATGAGTGCAGAATGGTGGTCGATCCAGTTCTTGGCATGACAAGGGACCCTTCTCTCAGGTCTACTATCTGTTCTTGCCCTCAATGTGGAGAAATCTTCATGAAACCTGAGAATTTGGAGCTTCATCAGGCTGTCAGGCATGCTGGTAATCCATTCTCACTATTTCAATTCATATGTCCAACTCCCTTTCAAGAAAAAGAACATCTCTTGCAGTCAAACTTCTTACAATAACGTCTCCAAGTACTTACAATGAATTTATTGTCGTTCATTATCCACATACTAATGTAATATGTTTATGCTTTACAAAATTTTGACAGTATCTGAAATGGGGCCCGACGACACCAGCAAGAACATCGTGGAGATCATATTCCAGTCAAGCTGGCTGAGAAAACAGTCCACAGTTTGCAAAATCGATCGGATTCTAAAAGTCCAAAATACCCCCAAAACCATCTCCAGATTTGAGGAGTACAGAGACAGCATCAAGACCAAGGCCAGCCGGCTGCAACCCAAGAAACACCCCCGCTGCCTCGCCGACGGCAACGAGCTGCTCAGGTTCCACTGCACCACTTTCATGTGCTCACTCGGCCTCAATGGCTCATCCAACTTGTGCAGCTCCATTCCAACCTGCCGAGCTTGCAGCATCATAAAAAATGGCTTCAAACTCTCCCCAGAACACTCTTCAAAAGGTATACATACATACCCTAATATTTCTTTCTAAGTGCATTCATGGTGTATTTAATTGATTATTGAATTAAAGGTGTATTGACAACTGCGACAAGCGGGAAAGCTCACGATAGTTGCAGAGTGGGAATGGAGGATGAAGGGAAGAGGGCGATGCTGGTGTGCCGGGTGATCGCGGGACGGGTGAAGAAGAATCCGGCCGACGGGAACTTGGAGGACTACGACTCCGTCGGCGGCGCCGCCGGGGTTTACTCCAATCTGGATGAGCTGTATGTGTTTAATCCGAGGGCTGTACTGCCTTGTTTTGTTGTGATCTATACAGAGTTGTGATCCCACCACTGATTCTGAATCTTGTTTCGATTCTAAGCCGTATTATTAGTTTTACTTAATAAATTTGTCATATCTTCTTCTTCTTCTTGTATCTGTACATATTCCATTTCATTTCAAGCTTCCTCCATTTTGTGTTGTCTACTGTTTGTTTGTGAGAGAATGGAAGAGGGTGTCAGGCACGTGGGTGAGTTTACTTTTTTATGAAAACCACGATTCAAGCTTTAATAAGTAAAAAATAAATTAAAAAAGCTGCTGCAAAATCATCGAGGTTCTTGAAAGCGTTTTAACGTAAAAAGCGCGTTTTCACCCGTGGAATGAAAGCAGTTAAAGTGCTGGTAATTATGAATCCCCCAACGGTCCAATCCAAATTATAAACTGCTGTAATGGAAAAGAAAACTCTTGTTAACAGTAACTAAACAAGCCAACTATTTTGTTAATTGTTAATATAACACTTTTTTGGTGGGTTGAAAAGAAAAACCCAATTAACCAATCATTGTTCATATTACATAAAGATTGCTTCTTGCATCTCTATCTATCGATCTGTCGCCATCTGTGCTGTGCATTGCATAAACATTCTTCTGTTCACCACTCCTGCGATGTCCAAGTTGCAGCATGCAATGTCGATGTTGTATGGGTTCTATTTTGGCTTGTCGGCTATGGCATGCCTTGAGTTTTTTTTTTTTTTGAATTATATATATTTTTGAAATATTAAAAAAAAAGAAGAAGAAAAAGGTATCAGTCTGGTTACAATATCCTACTACTGTTAATACTATTTTTGTTGTTTGAAATGACGTTAGTTTGACTCTTGTTTTGTACTACTCATTGGGTGATGATGTCCTCCTCATACACTGTTTTCGTAAACCCCAACACCCAAGCATGGGCACTCTCCACTTTCAGTTTTCTGCCCACTTTCTTCCTCATCATAATATATACTATTTATATATTTGTAATAATATTGCATCTTTCAAAATCAAATACAACAAACTTCGGTTACGACACCTATGTTGAGTTCTCGTTTGACTAAATTCAATTCTCTGTATGGTCTTTAATTTTATTTATTTGTGTCTCCAATGTATAAAAAGTTTTTGTTTCTATATAAAATGAACAAATTCAGTTGGCAATATCCTTCTTTCTGAAGTAATTGATTGAAAGTGGCTCATAAATTATCTGTAGGAAAAATGATAAGGCCCAATAACTATATTGGTCTTATTAGTCCATTAAGAAAATGGATTTCTGCAAGCCCAATTAAAAATAATGGCGCTCGAATATATTTGATTGACCCGTTTAACTAAATGAAGCCGACCCGGATAATAGCCCGATACCATTTTTGTTATAGAGACCTATGCTGAACAGCCTCAGCCTCTCTCTCATTCTCGCGCTCCTTCTCCAAGCTTCCTCCCCGACCTCTTGTTCGTTCCGGGGACCAGACTCAACTGTTACTCCGGCGGGCGGTTTCTAGACTTCTAGCTTTGAAGGTAACAATCAGAAATTAGAAATTGCTTGTAGTTTGTTTGTTTGGCTTTTCTTTTTTAACTTCTCAAAATTGTATGAAGTCTGTCAGAGTCGCATAATTTTCGCAGTGTACAGTTAAGCTTGAATCCCTTTTGGTTTTCAATTTTATGATGGGGAACCGTGGTATGTGGATTAGTTATTACAGGAACAAACAAGTATGCTGGAAAATTGTGTAATTTTAACTTCAGAAATTGTGCAATTGTCAATGGAGAGATAAAACGAAACACACACTTTAAATGTTGAATTATATGTGGCAGACATTTCAGTTGAGGCATTTCTTGGCAATAGTTGTAAGTATTATTTTTGTAATATGGTGGCGGCCTTGTTTTTACTAATAGATGTAGGCTACTTCAATGTCGAAAGGATTTAAGATATATGTTCATCTGGATAGGTTATCTTTGGTGTGAGTTGCTCTTGACTGTACCCGTCCATATCTTATAGTAATTAAGCATTTGATATCTGAAAATGACACCAATGTGCAGGAACCCTCCATGGCAATCATACCTTGTGGAAGTACTTGGGTGATCCAGTTTAGACTTCAACCTCAGTTTTCTTCGAGGCCCTCTGTTACAAATAAAGTATCAACCTCCCTGCATTTGTAAGATTTTAATTGACTGCTCCTTTGGAAGGTTTCAGTAGCTCTATGTAAGGCCCTAGTTAATTATTCCCTTGTATATGTGTAGCTATGGCAAATTTTGATGGACTATTGGATTTTTTTTTTTTTTTTTTTTTGTGTGTGCACATTGTATTTTTCTGTTTGTGTAGTCATGTTCTATGATATGTCAATATTGTGGCCTCTTGTAACGATCTCTTCATAAAAGGTGAAGGTCTCTAAACTTAAGAAGTAGGCTAGGATTGTGTTAGTTCTGATTAAATACTTTCTTGAAAACAGTGGATTATTTTCTGTACTTTGGTTTCATTTCCCCCCTGACGGATCCATGTTTTGTTTCATTGTATTTGCTCGTACCGGAGAGACTTGGTGGCGTCAAGCAGACCGGCCCCCGGTGGTGTACTCACAGCGAGCTAAGGGGTCCTTTTATTTTGGGCTTATAGTGGCTCTTATAGTATTTCATCATCTTATTACTTATTTCTTTTTGATTGGTCTTGTGGTTTTGCCCGGCCCATTTATGAGTCCTTTAAATATTGCTATTAAGTTTTCTAGTTTGCACTTGAGAAAAGACAGCCTAGGGTTAATTACTACTGTGTTTTGGTTATTCATTCGCTTGAATAAAGTTATCGAATTTTCACTTTGTAACATTTGCATTCATCAGTAACTGTGTATTGTCTGTGGTAAAAGCTGATGTCTGGTTTATTGATCAGAAAATTGCCTGAAGCATATAGACTCATTTCCTTATGGATTGTATTAGAATTTAGGTTAATGTTTAGGCAAAAATTTGTTATCCTGTTTTAGCTTTCTGTATCTCATTCTCACCATCTCTCACCTGTGGGATTTTTTTTGCTTGCAGGGCACCGAACAGGGTCAGATCATTGGCATCACAGAGTTCAACTCTTTTCTCTCAAGAATCATTGAATGTACTTTTCAGTTTTGGCTCATTCAACAATCCATGTTCGAGAAGAGGGAGTCGGTTTATTGTTAGAGCTGACAAGGTAGGATATCTAGTATATTTATGATTTATAATTATTGTCCTAGAGAACTTCTTGCCTACCTTTCTTTCATCTTGGTCTTCATAGATATACTGATCCTGGAATCTTGTATAGCTTTCCTCAGAAATGTTATGGCATCTTTTGTTTCTGTAAAAGAAAACAAGATCTAATCTTTCCCTTTGTTGTTCTTTCTTTTTATCATACATTGTTACATACGTTAATTGTCTTTCCGTCACAGGATTACTATTCTGTGCTTGGAGTGTCTAAAAATTCTAGCAAGTCAGAGATCAAAAGCGGTGAGCAACTCGTTATTTGACATGAAGATATGTATTTTAAATCTATTTATGCTGATCAATTGCATCAAATTCTAAATGTTTGTTTCGTTGTTGCTAGGATTCATTTGTTTCGTAGGATAATCTGATTTACAAATTCCCTATTCATTTGTTTCGTAGGATAATCTGATTTACAAATTCCCTATTCATTTGTTTCGTTGTTGCTAGGATAATCTGATTTACAAATTCCCTATTCATTTGTTTCGTTGTTGCTAGGATAATCTGATTTACAAATTCCCTATTCATGCCTGTTTGATTGCCAACTGTTTCTTACCACACACAACTGTTCTCATGGGATTTCATACTGCATTCATATTTCCCATACCATTGGTTTTCTGCTCTTCATTTGACAAAATATTACTCCCTCCGGCCACAAACTAACGTCCTACTTTCCTATTTGGAATGTCCAATAATTATTGTCCTCTTTCTATTTTTATACACAAAAATTACTCTTTTACCCTTACTTTATTTACTTTTTCATTTTATATACACAAGAATAAGGGCAAATTTGTCATTTTATAACAAAAACCCTAATTACCTAAAAATGTGTGTAAATATCAAATATGACATTAGAAAATGGACGGAGGGAGTATTAAATTTGTTAAGGAAAAGCTGACACTGTAGGCAAACTATATTTATAGAAAATTAGTTCCTGATTTTTGTTCCCTGGAAGTAACTGATTTCAAATTTATGTGGTCCTGCTCTTATAGAAGAATCCATGCCTGATATTTACTTGTGATCTCTGCCATAAAATTCAGTTTCAACACGAACTCTGAGGATATGTAGTTAAGTCTTTTTAGACAAACTGGTTATTTATTTATCCCTTTGTCGTTTTATTGTCAGTAATCTTGTCTTTCTTATTTCACAATTGACTTTGAAACAGAGCCCTTCTTTATGGAAGCTGGATTTTTAGAATCTGTCTGTGGGGTTCTGGATAGAAACAAATCTTTGAGCACTAGACTTGTGCATGATCCATAAATAGACTCCTTTCGGCAAAGTCATCCATTTTTCATCCGTTTGCTAGCAGTTAGTTTATGTTCTACATTTTTATATATATTCTTGAATTTAAGTTTTAAATTTGCCCTCCACTTGTGATCATGCTCAACTATTCTTTCTTCATTAGGAAGCCATTCAAGGGTTTACAATTATCTTTTATGACAATCTTGGTAGATTTATGTAAAAATATCTTTATTTGCTTTGTGATTATTCCAATCCTTTAGGGGTTTGATGTGATTTAACAACTTGAATAACGTTTTACTTATATGTTCTTTTTCTTCAGCATATAGAAAACTGGCTCGGAGCTGCCATCCAGATGTGAACAAGTAAGTCAGATGTCGCTTTAGGTTTAATTGACTAACAAGTTAGTATAACTCACTTCCTTAAATGGTCATAGTAGAAGAGCATTGATGCATCATTTTGGGTTTGCATTTCACGGAAATCTGAATCCTTTGACATTCAGCTAATCTTGTGATAATATGAATTAAAATTTTAAGAGATACTGGAAGAGACTTCTTCACTATCAATATATCTTGAAACAATCTAACCTCTCCAATGACTTTTGCCAACTTAGCTAAAAGAAGAGTCAAATGAAAAACCTTATAATGAACCATGATGGTTGTATTACCGATATTTGAAATGTTATTTAGGTCTTTGAAGTTCTACTCTGACCAAATTTACTCTTACTGCAGGGAACCTGGTGCAGAAGAAAAGTTTAAGGAGATTAGCAATGCTTATGAGGTAAATTACAATAATCTCACTTCTGTATGATGCACGTCGTTGATCCAGATCCTTGTTTTGCCAACCACCAAACATACTAGTACATTTTAATTCATTCTGTTTGATTAACAGGTTTTGTCTGATGATGAAAAACGCTCCATTTATGACAAATACGGAGAAGCTGGGCTTAAAGGTGCTGGGATGGGCATGGGGGTATGTTTTCCTCTTTTGCTGTCGGAAATTATACAATAAAATCAGTCATTCTTACATATATGCTGTCTAATCACAGGATTTCAGCAACCCGTTTGATCTATTTGAGTCATTGTTCGAAGGGATGGGAGGGATGGGCGGTATGGGCATGGGAGGGAGAGGCTCTCGGAACCGAGCTACAGAAGGGGAAGATCAGATCTACAATCTGATTTTAAATTTCAAAGAAGCTGTATTCGGAGTTGAGAAGGAGATCGAAATCACCCGCCTCGAGAGCTGCAGCACCTGCGATGGATCCGGGGCGAAACCCGGAACACAGCCGTCCAAATGCAGCACCTGTGGCGGCCAAGGGCAAGTCGTGTCGTCGGCAAGGACACCTCTCGGCGTCTTCCAACAAGTGATGACATGCTCCAGCTGCAACGGAACCGGAGAAATCTCGACTCCTTGCAATACATGCAGCGGGGACGGCCGAGTGAGGAAGTCGAAGCGAATCAGCTTGAAAGTTCCTGCCGGCGTGGATTCCGGCAGCCGGTTGAGGGTCCGTAACGAAGGCAACGCCGGGCGTCGCGGAGGCCCGCCTGGCGACCTTTTTGTTCTCATCGAAGTTCTCGCCGACCCTGTCTTGAGAAGAGATGACACCAACATTCTCTACACTTGTAAGGTTTCTTACATCGATGCCATCTTGGGAACAACTATTAAAGTGCCAACTGTAGATGGGATGGTCGACCTTAAAATCCCAACCGGCACACAACCTGGTACGACCCTGGTTATGGCGAAAAAGGGTGTTCCCCTTTTGAACAAGAGCAACATGCGAGGGGACCAATTGGTTAAGGTGCAAGTCGAGATTCCGAAACGGATTAGCTCTGAAGAGAGGAAGCTTATCGAAGAGCTTGCCGATCTAAACAAGGCGAAGACACCCAACAGCAAGCGATAATCCTCCGGTGAGGTTGGATTTTCTTCTACTCTCATGGTATGTTGTCTTGTCTTGCTTGTGTTTTCCGACGTTGGAATCTGAATTCATACACATGCGTGAAACCTTAAAATTTTGGTAATGTTCTGTCATGGTGAGACATCATACACATTAGCGGTTAGAGAAATCACAGTAGTGTGCTCCTATTCATATAAAAAGTATCGAATGTGTACTTATTTTACCAGTAGTGATATCATATGCATGCTATGGCTTACTGAACGTGCCGATTAGTTAACATTGTTTCGGTATGATTGATGTTGCAAGACAATAATGTGCCTCTGTGTTTGTATCAATCAAGAAATGTTGGAAACTTGCATTAACTTTGTTCATGTTCATATAGATATATATATATGTGCCTGTGTGTGTAAATATTTTCCATATGGCCCAAAGAATTTTGAAAAGGGACATTGCATGATATATCTTATCTTAAACCCACCCACCTACGCAGTTTGGTTATGGTCATCATCATGACACCACTTGAACTCTTCATTTGGGGGACCAAAACCCAGAATTTCATACATAAAAAAGAAAGATAAAGAGGACTTAAAAGCAGGGTCAAATTAAATTCTAATTTTAATTAGTCACAAAGGTAAAGATTCGATTTTTATTTCATCAATCCAGTTGGCACACGTGCGGCGCTAATGATGTTTACCACTATAAACCTATCGCCTATACAATCATTCTCTCCATTTGTGTCGTTTTAGCATAACTATATTTAATTCTCTAAATAATTTACTGTAGCTCAATAAAATTATTTTCTCTTATTGGCTCCTTATATATAAATATAAATACATGTTTCTTTATAGCTTTTGCTTATGCGTATATTCATGACTACTAATTATAGTACAAGAAATATTATTGGGCTCTTAATAAAAAAAAGTACTCCTGGTGGGCCACCCCGCTCGTGCGATCATGCGAGGTTAGGCCCATTCGCCTTACCGCCAGGCCCACAGAGAACACCGAGAACGAAGGTCCCTGGACTGTGAGGACCCGAGAAGAACATATCGTTGATAGTTGTCACAGGCCTTCGAGTCCGGGATCGCTTAAGGGGATCGCCAATGCCACGTAGTGCTGTTATAACCTCATTCAGATTTAACAAATGGAACTGTATATCTCTAAACTAGGACTGATTCATTTCACTAACTTTAAATTAGTTGATCTCATAAATAAAAATGAAATCTTGCAAAGAATGAAGAAATAAATTGACATTGCACATATTCTTTCTGACCCATTATAGTGTACACATACATACACATGGTGACATCCAAAGCTAACCTAATTAGGTCCTTTTATGGGGTCACCCAATCAATCCTCAAAAAATAAACACTACACATTGATGTGCAAGAAAGTAAGCAAAGTTATCTATCAGAAAGCACTCAAAAGAAAATGAAAAAGAAAAGAAAGGAAAGAGAATTTTTTGAAAAAGGTAATTATATAACTTAAGAGTCTATCTATTATATATTGAAGCTCCCTCTCTCCCTCCTTCCACACACTACACTCCAAAGAGCTCAAAAGGTTCTCCAATAGGTTAGCCATGGCTGCAGAGAAGGTGGAGACTGTTGTTGCCGGGAATTACGTGGAAATGGAGAGGGCAGAAGAGGATGAAAAGTCTACCAGCTCGGCCAAGACCACACTGTCAAGGATGTTTTGGCATGGTGGTTCAGTTTATGATGCTTGGTTCAGCTGCTCATCAAATCAGGCACATTTCCCAACCCCAAATCCCTAAATTATATACATGATTCTGTTGTTGTTGTGAAATTGAATGAATAAATAAAGAAATGAATGTTGTCAGGTTGCACAAGTGCTGCTTACACTGCCATACTCATTCTCTCAACTTGGAATGGTGTCTGGAATTCTGTTTCAACTTTTCTATGGGCTGATGGGGAGCTGGACTGCTTACCTCATCAGTGTGCTTTATGTTGAGTACAGGACTAGGAAGGAAAGGGAGAAAGTCGATTTTCGAAACCATGTCATTCAGGTATCTATCTATCATTTCAAGATTCTTTTTTTTCTTTTTCATCAAATATATATAAGAGTGAATGTGAATGGTGCAGTGGTTTGAAGTTCTTGATGGTCTACTTGGGAAGCATTGGAGAAATATAGGCCTGTTTTTCAACTGCACTTTTCTTCTGTTTGGATCTGTGATTCAGCTCATTGCATGTGCAAGGTACTACTACTACACTTTTTTTCTGGTTAAGTTTAATTCTTGATCATCCATCTATTTCCCAATTTAACAAACACACACACACACATATGTATATATTATATCATAGAATAGTCACAACAAGAAAGGGATTGAAAGATATTTAGTGGTGATTAATATTTACTTGACTTGTGTTGGGTGGATTTTGTTTTGCAGTAACATATATTACATAAATGACAATCTTGATAAAAGAACATGGACATACATATTCGGAGCTTGCTGTGCCACAACTGTCTTTATCCCTTCATTCCACAACTACAGGATTTGGTCATTTTTAGGCCTTATTATGACATCTTACACAGCTTGGTACCTAACTGCTGCTTCCCTCATCCATGGCCAGGTGCACATACACTCATTCTCATTATTAATTACATAACTCCTTTTGATGAATATGATATTTAATTAATTGCAAAAGAATTAAAGTGGAACTTTGGCTGGATGTGGATAACAATTAATATATATAATTAAATAGTAGGGGTGGGTTGTTGGTCTGCATAATTAATTAATTATTAATGTATTTGAAATGGTAATTAGGTTGAAGAAGTGAAGCATTCAGGGCCAACCACAATGGTCCTTTACTTTACTGGAGCTACAAACATTCTTTATACATTTGGTGGACATGCTGTCACTGTGTAAGCTTCTTCATTACACATGCAACTAGATGATATATATTATCGAAATCCTAATACTGTTATTATTGTTGTTGATGATGATGATGATTGTAGGGAAATAATGCATGCAATGTGGAAGCCACAAAAGTTCAAGCTAATATACTTGCTAGCAACCATTTATGTTCTAACATTGACTCTTCCATCAGCAAGTGCTGTCTATTGGGCTTTTGGGGATAAGCTTTTGAACAGATCCAATGCTTTGGCTTTGCTCCCAAGAACTGCTTTTAGAGACATTGCTGTAATCCTCATGCTCATCCACCAGGTCCTCAACTCTCACTCACTACTACTCACTTCTATTTATTATAAGTACATGATTAGTGTCAATCATATAATTACTTATAAAGGGATATTGTCATCGATGATTTTTTTTTTTTTTTTTCTGGCAGTTTATAACATTTGGATTCGCGTGCACCCCGCTGTACTTTGTGTGGGAGAAATTCATAGGCGTGCACGAGACTAAAAGCTTGATCAAGCGCGCCATAGCCCGGCTGCCGGTGGTGATTCCTATATGGTTTCTGGCAATTATTTTCCCATTCTTTGGGCCAATTAACTCCACAGTTGGATCACTTCTTGTTAGCTTCACTGTCTACATCATTCCAGCCTTGGCACATATGATCACTTTTGCTTCTGCCTCAGCCAGAGAGGTATATATATATCAAAGAAAAAGCAAGAAAATAGATATGAAATATCCTAATAAAGAACATGCATCGACATGGAGATATCTATCATGTCACTTTACTACAACATGTTAGGCAGGCAGGCATGCAATGAAATGGACAGCTCTCCACAAAGAGTGTTAAAGCAAAGGGAGTATTAATTATTGATTGTGGGTTTTTGATTTGTGATGAATGATGTCAAGATTTGCCTTTCATATTTGATAGATAAATAGTATAGTATTTCAGATATTTAATTAATTAATGATTTTGGTGTGCAGAATGCAGTGGAGAGGCCACCAAGATATGTTGGGGGGTGGGTTGGATTGTACTCAGTGAACATATTTGTGGTGGTGTGGGTTTTCATTGTTGGCTTTGGATTTGGAGGGTGGGCAAGCATGGTCAATTTTGTACACCAAATTGACACTTTTGGCCTCTTCACCAAATGCTATCAGTGCCCCAAACATGCATAAAGATTAAGGTTATATGTATATGGCTTGCAATTGACAGTGGTTATTACAAGTCAAGAAGAAGAGAAGTTGTGGTAGTATATTTTGTCAGAACTATACTTATGTAAGTGTGTAAAAATTCAAGATTGTCTTTGTAGGACCAGCTTTGGTTAGTACTTTCTTGGGACATCATTCCCTCTTCTGTTGAAGGGTTTCTTCAACATTATAAGTGTGCCTGTTGATGCATGTTTGTGTTAAGAAATTAATGTAATTCCCTTTGTTTTTTCGGGATCACTATATATATGTATGTATGTATGTTTCTATTAATTATACATGTGTATAGATAAAGCTAGTCACATGCATTTGGTAATGTTTGACAAATTGGTGCTTAATTAGTTACATTCACTGAACTCCATTATTGGATGGATATATGCATATCATTGGTATAACATTCAATCAAATTCTTGAAAATAAGGCAATTCCAGATCACACACACATACCAATATATATATATATACATATAGATAGATATGATTAGGCCCCATAAATATATGATTCATGCCACATAATCATTAGTTTTCTGCCTAACTAAATTGACATGACATCTTACTCTCTCGATATTATTCAACCACCAATTCACATGCTTTAGAATTAGATATGATCAACACAGACATATATTTGATCAAAGGAATTGATCTCTATCACAATAGTATTATTACACATATATAAAACTGTAAAAGACACATGCAATCTTCTTTAAATCAAAAGCTTGAACCCACAAGAAATGCCTTGTCAATATCTTCTTTAAAAAGCAGAAACAAACCAATCAATCCATTGAATCCAATATAATTCAACCAAGAAATGAATAACAATAAATAATAACAGATGGCATACATTATATATATATATATATATGATTTTGTTGGTTGGATTTATTCAGATTGTAAGCATATGGAAATGGGAACCAAATCTAGAAGATGGCCTCCAAAAGCTAAGTGAGGATAAGGAAGGGAATGGCACACATATGACTTGGACCCCTTTCGTTTAATCAGCAGCAGCAGCAAATTCTTCTTATTCTTCTTCCCTTAGCTTGCAATGAATGGCCTTTTCCAGACAACATGTGATCATTTCAGACTTTATATGCTCATCAACACAATTAGGACAACTGGGTCTGGACATCAACTTGTGTTAGGATTTATGGGAGCTTTGTATTTGTTTGCATGTGCATTGTTTTTCTTGATCACACCATTTGGACATGAATTAGTTGAATTTATCTGATGGTGTCAGCAAATTTTTATGGGCCTTTCTTGAATTAATTTGGTTTCTTGAGCCAAGCATTTGTCAGTTTACACTCTGAATATCTATCACTAAATTAACCCAGATTGCAAACATGTGAGAGTGAAAGACAACAGAAAATTAATCAAATTAAAACCAAGCAGATAAGACCCTCCCCATTTCAAGAATTACATACATACATATATATAATATATATATATAGATATTCTATGGAAAACCCTGTTTGAGACTGACAAGATAAAAGGGTTTAGATTTATAAAATGAAAAGTTTTTGGGGACTGTCAATATCAAGAATCTCTGGACACTACGCTACACTGGCTGCTTTATGTGCTTTGTTTTCTCTCTTCTCTTATTTAATTAATTTTGATTTATTTATTTATAAGTTTTTGTATATCTTTAAACATGCAGATTCCTTTTCCCATTTTAGACTCTGTAAATTATCACAAATGCATGTGGAAACTCAGAGTGGTTCAAGCAGCAAATCAACCAAACATGGCCTGGCCCCCTTCTTGGGAATGGGTCATAAAGTTGCTCACCCCGTTATATATCTATTGATTGCATTAAAATTAATATATAATACCCAGGACTGGAGAATCCATATTTCCATTAATGTTATTATCCTAATGTTTATACAAATGGTCTATGTGATTTCATAATTTTAAACCCTTAACAAGTAATTCCGACACAAATAAGTCATATATATATATTGAGTTCAATTTTTACATTATGGTAATTTCTAATCTTCTTCAAATGGAATTTATTCTGAAGGGCCAGCCCAATAATAATTAAGGAGAGCCCAATTTATTGGCTTAGAAGTCCAAAAAGGCCCTTTAAACCCTTTTGATTTTTTTATTTTTTTAAAAATTTCATTTTAGCCCATGCACTATTGGACTTAGTTTATATTTTTGCTTCACATGAACTGTGGGAAAAATAAGAAATTAGGAAAAGAAAATTAATGGCTTTCATTTAAAGAAGAGTCGTTAAAGGATGTGAAGGATAACTAATTTGATCCAACAGGAGAAATCTTGGCATCTTCAACGGCAGATTGAACAATGTCATCTACATGATCTCCAACTTCCTGAACCTGCAATTATCATTTAAGTTGTTTTCTTGAGACATTTCAGGACATCTATGATCTGCTGTGAATTTTTAATGAAGAACTAACATATATACCTTGTCTATGACATCGTCGAGGCTATCAGCAGTCTTGGCTGTTGCTTCTGCAGCATCTTCAACAAATTCGACAAGATCTCTTATCTTGCCTTGTGGAAGATCATCGATTATCTCTTCTGCAATCTTGTCTACTTTTCCGGCCACTTCCTCCACAGCTTCAACTATGTTCTCCACTGTCTGAACTGCACTTTCAATTCTGTCTGCACATTACGAGCAGTGTGTGTAAGTAAGTACCACCGACATGGATCCTTTTTTGTTATTTGTTCTTTTCTTGATCGTCTTACGTTTGAAAACCCCTAATGGAGCCCATATGTTGGTGAAGAAAGGAAGAATGAAAGACACTACCAATCCAAGAATCCCCCTCCTGCTTTTTTCACCAAGATTGTAAAAGATGTAAGAAAAAGGGTCTGTCCGAAAATAGGGTTTGTAGTTAGTTAATTAGTTAGTTCATCGGAAAGCTGAAAGCTTTTTCCTTACATGGAATTTGAAGAAGGTGGGCCTGAAGGGGGTGGACCTCCTGGCACAGTATTAGAGGACACCCGAAACGATTTCCTAACATTAGACAGCAAAACCTTGATGAATTTATGGCGATATTAATCGAAACCTTAATGCTTTAATTAAGCATACACAAGCTAGCTATTTCAGATCTGAAACTGCACTAACCTTCGATTAATTTGATGAAAGTCAACTCCCAAGAAACTGATCTCATTCTTCCACTTTGAGAGAGTGACACTGGAAATCGGATTCCAGGACAAACCTCCAGGAGTCGTTGGTATTCTGGGACTTGCCTTGATACCCTCGTGCCCAATCATGCTTGACATTGAACTTGCCATTGTAATAACTCAGACAGTGGGATTGGTAAAGATCTTCTTTTTAATTTCAATTTTATAGCAACACAAATTAAAGGCTGGAAAGAATTCTTTGTTTACAGTCCCACTAGGAGCTGGGATGATTACACCAATTGCTAACCAGCAATTATTGAGATCTGAAGAAATATATATTAAAAAAAGAAAAGTTTAGTCACTAAACAGTGGATTAAATGAAACACATGGCCTTGGAATAGTCAAATTTCTCCAAACTTGTTTTTAAACTTTTAGTCCATAAATTTATAGCAGCAGCTTGCTTCGTACCCTTTTTCTTGGTGCACTTTGTTGTTACAAAAAGAATGATCATGGATGTCTTCTTCTTTATTATTATTAATAAAAATAATTACTACTACTATTAGAGTTGACTTTATGAACAGTTTAATGTATATTTTAGTATTTTTAAAACTTTAAAATAGTAACAACTATGTAATGAATCAAAATTATTGATGGATATGATTATTTTATATTTTATTGGTGAACAATAATTTTTTTGGGAAAAAAATATTCAACTATATACAAAGATATTTAATTTATATTCTAAATAATTACAAACAGATTCTTCTTATTTATTATTGCAGGCCCATCTCAAGAATTTTATGTGTTCTTGAGCAAAGGGATTCCAATCCAAGAGGTCTTGCTATCTATTAACGGTTTGTTAATATACTTGAAATGGTATGTGGTTGGGCCTATCCTTCTTACAATCGGAAGACGAACCATTCATCTTTCTTGTACTCGTCGGTTTATTTGTTTGTCGATCGTGTGAATCAATCGAGGAAGACGCTGGAAATCCGCCGGTGCTACCCATGGCGTACGTTGAGAGAGGTACTCGTATTTGTCTCTCGCAAATGTTTAGATAAGATTATCTGAAGTTTCTTTAGATTTTCTGTTAATTTGATGGATTGTCGTATTCTGAGGACTTTTTTGGTTCCCAAAATTGCAACTTTTACCGAGATATGTCGAATAATTGGTTTGTTGAGTTGTTCGAGTAGTGGAGAGCATTGTTGTCCTTCCTTTTAATCGAAAATCTCAGTGGTCTAACACTTATTCGCTTACTCGGTTTATAATCTCAGAAGTTTTGATTCTGTTTGGGGTCTTTTATGAATTAATTATTGTTGGGTTTGGCATCTTGTAACACCATTGAGCTGTTGTTGTTCACGTGGGATTATGTGGTCTTGGTTCTTATAATTGATCTTATTGTAATGCTACTAGTTTAGTAGCTACTGAATGGAGATCATTTATACTTTCAATTAATCTTCCAGATCTGAGTTAAACTGCAAAGGATTATGGATCATCATAGCCTAGAAATGGAATCTAGACAAAGTCATTCTTTTGGTCGGCTGAGTGCTGCTAATTCTTCGAGGCGACAATCTTTATCATCTGCACAATATGATGATACCATTGAAAGTGAGAGTGTCTCAGAGGCAGGTGATATTGGGGATAGGATTCTTCACAGCAACCGTTGCAGTGCAAGTGGCCGGAGTCACTTCTCCTTAGATAACGGTTCAGTGGTTCCAATTCAAGATAATATTCTGTCGTCTACCTCTCTCCCATCACATTTGGAAAAGTTGCCCTCTCCTTCTGTTGATTTACAAACGGATTCTGAAGAAAATAAAAAAGTGAGTTTTATTGGTGTATTGATCATGTCTCTTTAGAGTATAATGAAGATCCAGTTGAGAATATGTGACTTGGTAAAATTTTAGATTGTTAACTTTATGAGCATATCATTCGAATTTTATGCAGGACAAGAAAGAAGTGCATTTTGTATTGCAGTATGTTTCATATCTTCTTACACTTGCTGTGTTTGGAATTCTTGGGGTAACCTTCTTTTAGTATCAAATGAAATTGAAAAAACTACGGTGTCGAATTTCTGAAAGCTTTGTGTTTTTCCTTTGGGCCCATGTTAAGGTTCTAGCCAGATATTGCCTCCAAAAACTCTTTGGACCGGGGGTAATTGGTGCAACAAGCGATGGAAGCTATATGTACCTGGATCTTCCTTCGAACATGGTTGCTCTCTCTCTCTCTCTCTCTCTAGCACACACAAATACTTGTTAATACACTTAAATTGTAGAGTATGATGCTTTGATACAAAACAAACTGCATCAAGCATTCGAGTTGAAACTGATATTTATGGTTTAGGTTGGTTCATTTCTGATGGGCTGGTTCGGTGTTGTTTTTAAAGGAGATATCTCCATGGTTTCAGACCAACTAGCTATTGGATTGACAACTGGTTTCCTTGGGAGTCTTACAACTTTCAGTGGTTGGAATCAGAAGGTGCTCGACCTCTGTATTGAAGGTCACTGGATCTTTGCCGCGCTTGCTATATTTATAGGTAAATTACATATGTATAAAATGTATTGCACATATTAGTATTAGTTGAGTACAGAAACTCACAGGATGTGTTTTGTTCATAAAACACAGTAACAATCAAGGAAATACACTGTTTGGCGAAACTTTTCCATAATGAACTTAACATTTGTGATTCTTTTTTCTCAATTTTGACAGGTTTGTTTTTAGTTGCCTATTCGATTATATTTGGTATCGAGACAGCCAAGGGATTTAGATGGCTATGCAAGCATTCGAATATAAAATCCTTCTTCGGCATTCCCACTTGCCTCCGTGCTTGCAATTTAAACAAGTCTAATTGCCTTCTGACAATTATGGCAATGTTTCTATTGATGCTTGGCTTGCTGTGGGGCTTGTTTGGAGCTTTAGCTAAAAATAACTTTGAAAGTGGCGGTAGCAAGGCTCAGTTGTTCTTAGCTTGCATGGTTGGACCTTTTGGTGTTTGGATGCGATGGTTCTTAGCGCGTTTTAATGGTCGTGGCTTAGGAATAGCCGGCCACGTAAAATGGATGCCACTTGGAACACTTGCTGCCAATGTTCTTGCAGCTTCTTTGATGGCTGCACTCACCACTTTGAAGAAAACAGTAAGTGTCCTCTCTGAACAATTAATTTGAAGATATGTTGAATGTGATGTGTTTCTTTCTTATATTTATTTCAAAAAAATACAGGTAAAAACTAAGAGTTGTGATACAGCAGTGTCAGGGATTCAATTTGGGCTACTTGGTTGTCTCAGCACAGTTTCAACTTTCATTGCTGAGTTTCATGCAATGAGGGAAAGCTTGCATCCATGGAGGGCCTATGCTTATGCAATGGTTACTTTTGTGTTATCATTTCTCTTGGGAACACTTGTATACTTGGTGCCCGGGTGGACTAGGGGATACGACTAAGAAAGAATATGAATTCATCGATCAACTTGGCCGGACTGGTTGTGTAGCTGGAATGATCTGATCTTGTGCAAAAGTTGTACCATTATCATGGTTTTAGTAGTCTTCTTGTATGTCAAATCCTGTCTCAGTATCATATCCTTGTATTAAACTTTCAGCTAAATGGATTTCACCATGCTATAATTGCAAAAGTCACAATTCCAGTTTCCCTTTTCTGCCCAATATTTGCTTTGATCATCCAAGCCCATTTCAATTTCAGAAGTAACAAAGCGGAAATGCCATGACAGTACGACTGAAATATGATGAACATTCTTGATTTCCATTTCATATGCATAGCACATTATTTAACAATAAGGAGTTTTTAAGATTAAAAATTAACAACCATACTTAAGTTCCAAAGCACGGGATATGTATGTATTCAAGTGAGGTATTACATTTTGGACAGCAAAACATAGACTCACAAGATCAAATATATGCAGCTTCCAAGAGACAGTGTTAGGGTAGATACTATTTACATCAACCTCCACAGCAAGAGCCACATGCCGGAAGTGCACCTGGTGATGGTTAAAGATTAAATATATACACACATGTCAAAGTTAAGTAAGACGCAACAAAAGGTCATTGTTATATTGTCGGTTGATAATAGAGGAAGATTAAAAGAAATTAGTGCTTACTGTGATCAATCCCCCTAACATTGTCCATTCCTCGAGGTGGCCGGCGTGGACCAGGACCACCACCATATGGACCACTTCCAGGGCCTCCTGGGCCGCCACCATCCCATTTCTTCCCAGCACCGGATCCTTTCCTGTAAGCTTCAGTCTTCTCCATCTGCAGACAGGTAAATAGGAATGAGCATGATGCCATCACAATGCAATTGGTAGTTCTTTTATATGGTGGAACCTAAGATCATACCGAAAACATTGTTGCAAAAAAGATCCGAATGAAGTTCACAATGGCCCAAAAGAAATCAGTGATAGTTCTCAGTCGCCAAATTGATCTCTTAGATTTGACAACACCTGCCAAAGGAATTTAACAGGCTTATTTATCATATAAATCCTTCCTCGATCTAGAAAACCATACAAATTAAGCATCTAACCACCATTCCAACTTCAAAGCATCTTCCTATTCAATCAATTGAAACACTTCAACACTCTACTTTCTCCATCTCTTATAGAATAAGGATGAAATATCAGATACTTCATTAAACATTGTATAATTCCATAATGTGCACCAAAGATCATATAGGCCATTGGTATGGCAAACATATGAAGAGCACTTCACGCTCCAGTTGGATGATCCGGTTCATGCAATATTTTCAATAACAATCCTCTTTTAAACTTTAGTGGAAGCAATAATACCGTGTAATATGAAAGGACCTAAATTTGATGAAATTCTTGGCTCTTTCCGTAATGATTCAGATAAGGATACAGCATTGTTAAAGCAGTTTAATTAATGTATTTAAAGAAAAAAATAGTAGTTAAATCAAGATTAGATGGTCTCATACGTATAAACTATCCAGCTATTAATTGCACAACCTAAAAAGAATCAGTTCTCCACCATACGGCATAATATGAAGTAATCCTCAACTTTTCTTATGCAGAAACCTTTAACACGCGATTACAAAACTTGGCCATACCCCGATCCGAAACCACAAATTTTGCCCTAATACAAGATCGCCCCTAATTTAACAAAATGTCAATCACATGGCAACGCATGAAACATTAAAAATGATTGATCCGTCAAATTATTCAGAATATATGAAATAACTCAATATATCGCAGCCAAGTATTAGCAATGTATTGCACGGAAAATTACGGTCAACAAACCCAATTACTCAACGCAGATCTCGGTAAAAATTGAAATTTGGGAACCAAAAGGTCCTCAGCATACAACAATCCATCAAATGAATAGAAAATCTAGAGAAACTTCAGATAATCTTATCGAAACATTTGCGAGAGACAAATACGAGTACCTCTCTCGACGTACGCCATGGGTAGCACCGGCAAATTTCCAACGTCTTCCTCGGTTGATTCACACGACCAATAAATAAATAAACCGACGAGTAATAATTCCTTGCGACCGATACCAGCGGAGCAACCAATTAAACGATTACACGTAGTCTACAAAGTATGACGTGTTCGGGAAGAGTCCGCACAGGAAATACAGTGTTGTACTGTCCAATGACTCCTCGCCACGCAAGTACTTGTTATCATCTCATTTCGTGACCATCTTTTATTATAATTAAAAATAAATATTTAATAATACAATATACTAATATAAAAATTTTAAGCACATAGGAGCATTCGTATTTTGTATTTAAACTTGTTTAAATATTTTTTAATTTAAAATATCAACATTTATGGTTGAAACAATTTTACTCACAGCTCGATTGAATAATGGTCGATTAAGATCTTTGCAAAATGTTGCCTTTTATTTTACAATAATCAAGCAAAACACGTTTCAATAAAGGTCTTCATTTCTTTTGCATAATGTATTTCGAATTTACTCCAATATGAACCACAAGATCTTGATGTTGAATAACAAGAATACAAAGGAAGACATGATACAAATTCCAATCCTCGTGTGGATTCAAATCCATATTGTAAGAAGCTGTATGGATTTGAAACTATGAGAAGAAAGGCAGAAAGAAAAGTAAGTAATAAAATGCTATGTCGCAAGGTTATGTATGATTCAGTGTTGTCATTGAAAAATCATGTAACACTCAAGCTGAATCATCTTCATGTGAGCTTCAACAAGTCCGTCTTGCTAAAAGCTAAAAGCTAAGTATCTGCATAGACATTAATCAATATGCCATAACTCTTGCACATTCTTGAACTCCTGCCTGCAAAATATCTGAATTCACTTAATTCCAGATTCATTTGATGGCCACTTTTAACTACAGAATTTTGCAATGCAAACAGCTAAAACAAAACATGAAGTTGCAAAAGTTACCTAGAAATATGGCGCAAAACTTTCCCCGAACAACAAGCATCAGGCTCTATTCCGATCTTTAGCCTTAGATTTAGAGGGTATTTTCCCATAAGCCATAAGCCTGGAACGCGATAATTTAAGTTCAGCTTGACGCTTTCTCCTCTTACTCCGTCTGGATATGTTGCCATTATCTCCACTTGTTTCTGCAGGCTGCTGGCCCTCTCCTTTGGGTTCCCTTTCAGTTTCCATTTCATGGGTTCTCTTCTTGTTATCTTTCTTATTGGAAGCAGATGCTTCGCCATGGCTTAATTTCTTGGACGTCTCTTTTAGCTGCAAGGTTTTGATACGAGGCACCTTCCATTCCTTCTCCCTGTAGGGAGCCAACTTCTTCAGAGAAACATACTGATTCAATTCCTTGTCCTCCATCATCAGAACCTCTTCTGGGGTCAGCCCATATCTCTTAGGCTTCACTGTTTTGTACTTGAATCTTGTTTTCAAGTCTCCTACAGTGTCCTCATAGTCCAGCTTATAATACTCCTCCATTAGCTGCTCCCTAACGGCTTTCTCTACTTCACTAGCCTTCCGCTTTCTCTTCCTCTTACCTTCTTTATGTTCTTCTTCACTGTCATCTTCAGCATCACTCTCATCCCTGTCTGCAACTTTGTCCTTCAAAATCCTTTGCCTAGTTGACATGAAACCTTCACCCGGTTTCTCCAATTCATCCCATCCCTTCGCGAGTCCCAGCAGCTCATCTTCCTTGTCAAAATTGGGCTTCTCAATGTCAGCCCCATCTTCGTCATGGTCACTTGCAAAGTTTGGATCAATATCCTCTGCCTCATAGTAGCGATCACCAAAGGCTTCTTTCATCTTTCTATCATAATCGTCAGGATCAAATTCATCCTCCAAATCATCCTCGTCCAGGAAGCCAGCACCATCCTCCGCAATCCCCGCAACCTCCCTAATTTTATCAAGCTTCTCTCTTATTTCCTTTTTCTTCAAGTTCTTCAATCTCTTCAGCTCTTCTTTCTGTTCAGCTGCCGCCTGTGCAATTCTCTCTTCTTTCCTTTCCCTCTGCTGCTTCCTTGCATTATCCTTCTTTCTCACAGATCCCTCAATCTTTCTTGCATGGCCCAGAATCCGATCGCCCGCATTCTCCTCAAACCTAAAATTGTATTCTCTTTCATAATCCTCATGAACCTCCAAGTCTTCCACATCTGAAAGTTCATTCATCTCCTCCTCAAGACCACGCTTACCTTTCTCAACATCAATCCACATCCTTTTTCCAATATAATCCTTCAAAAACATACTAGCATCGTCCAATTTCCCATCTCCCCCAAAATACTCATTCAACTTGCCCCCAATCTCATCCTCCTCTTCATCCATTTTATTCACATTATCCTTCACTTTCAAAAAGTCACCTTCCTCATCGTCATTTTCTGCGTCCTTCACTGCATTCAAAAATTCGCGCTTTAGTTCTTCTTGTTCTTCAGAATAACTCTTAACCCTATTCTGCATCTCGTCGCCAGCATTATCATCTTCATCGTCAAATTCGGGGCCAGCCTCAATCAAATGCTGCGAAACGACATCTTTCAAGTACATTGGCCTTTTTTTATCCTTCCTCGCTTTCTCGCCTTCGTCTTCGTCTTCGCCTTCGCCGTCACTCTCAGCATCGTAATCGAACAACTTTGCATCCTTCTTACTCAGTACGGGGTCATTATTTTTCAACTTTAATAGCGCTTCAAGAAACTTGACATCCGATTTCTTATCCGCCTCGATCAATGGTTCGTCCTCGGAAGGCTCCCCTTCCGAGTCTGAGCTTGAAGAATCGATTCGACCTTGCTTCTTGAGCTCCTCGTATTTCTGAAGTTCCTCCCGCTTCTTGTTATGCTCGTACTTCTTCGCAAATTCAGGATTAATCTCAATTTTGGACAGCTCACCGGAGACGTCGCCATCGTCATCGAAAAGTTTCATTCCCATTGCCGCCGGCACAAATTTGTATCGGGCGACTGGAAACTGGAACGGCAGATTACGATACGATACTTGCACAACCGAATCAACTTAATAACTATTTCGAATATGAATCGATGCAACTGCCTAGACAATATACGATTTACACCGAAAATTAGCAGAACCAGTTGAGATGAAAAAGGGATTCCCGAAGTGGAGACGAGCAAAATGGTAGCAGCCTAAACCGTGAAAACGGCGATATCTTCCGGATACCTACGACGATGGACCATCTGCCGGCATTCTGTGCCACTTCCGAGAAAATCAATTGCTGTTTCTCCTCCACGTTAGGGTTAGCAGTCGATAATTCTAGAATACACCAATCAACGTGGTTTAAGGTAATGAAGGCCCATCACTTAACCCAATTATAATTATTGGGCTATTTTGTAGGACTATTTTAATAGAATTAATGGGCCAAAATTAATTTCACTTTTAACAAATTCTAGAAACCCATGGGTCTGAAGTAGACGCATTTATGCGCTCAAAAACCCATAAGACTATTCCTCTATCATTTACTACAATCTGGTAGACTATTAAGCTATGATTATAATAATCTCTAATATTATTGTAATATATTATATAATTATGAGATTAATTAATATTATATTTATTTTATTTGATTAAATATAAAATAATATAAACTTTAGTACAAGTAATAGTTGAAAAAAATTAATTTCATCGATCTAGAGGTTTTGAATTTTCGTATTGAGATTTAAATAATAAAAAATTTGAATTTGATCTGTGATATGATTTGATATAAAAATTTAAAAGTAGTAGAAACTCCAATAAATCATTCAAACAAACACACCCCTAGTAATTTTGATATAAACTTATGAAAGTGGCAAGGCTCAAACTTGAGACTTAAGACTTCCATCTTAAAATAATTATTTCGTTTAAAAGTTTAAATTATTAGAAAAATACATCATTAATATATTTATCTGCAAACAGAGTCCCGACAATTAATATATATAAAAGCTACATACACATTCATTTTAATCTAACCATAGGACTGAATCATTAATCTTGAATAATCACTTAGGTAGCCTATGATTAGATTAAATTAAGCAGTGTTGTGATGAATCCAAAGAGTAAAACAAGCCACTCAAAGCTCCAAGTGTCGTATTAGGAAATAGTTTTCATTTAAATAATTCATTAATAATAATAATAAAAAATAGTGTTGCTGGTTGTTTTATCAACAGTGCCCTGAATTTGAAGATGTCTCATTCTACTGTAACAACACCTAGTCCAATCTGGGAGGTCCCGGGAGCCCAGCACCGCAGGCCTCATAGTCATAGTCAGCCTTGCTCTTGCACTTGCACTTGCGGCAGTACAATCTACAAATGCGCACTCTCCAATCAAATGGTACTTTTGCAATCTTAAACATCATAACTTTTGTTCTTATAATTAATAGTAATACATGAAATGCTATTATATTATTTTTAATTAAAATTGAAAATATAAATTAATAAAAAAAATATCCCAAATCAATCACTCATGAATAAACACAAACGGTGGGTGGGAATGAAGGTATATAAATTCAAAATGAATGATCTAATCACACAACTGCCACAGGGAATGTTCTCAGGATATAACACAGCAAAACAATTTTCTATGTTGAGGTTTGACATTATTATTTAATTTAAATAGAAATTGGGCTTTGAGAATGACATTTCTAGAGCCTTTTTTGACTTGCGTCATTCCCAATATTTAAGTCTATATATTTATGGCCGGGGAGAGAAACAATAATCTTAATAATACAATAGTCTACAATTAATTTTTTAATATTTATTTGTTACATGAATGGACATCCCCACTTCGAACTGCCCCTGCCCCTGCCCTGATTATTAGTAAGTACATAAATAAATACCGGTTGAATTAAATTAATTAATTGATTTGTGGGCGTGCAGGATGATTGCTCCAATCCCAGGAACACATGACGACCGTTGGATTATTTTTAAATCGATGCACTGCACCCACTCTTAGGCATCACATCACAACCTCTTTATGATATTTTGGTTGTGTTATAACACCTTTCTTCTTTTCTTTTTTTTTTTTTCTTTTTTTTTTAAATACAAAAAAAGAAGAAAAAAAAAAAAAACAGACATTTTTGCTCTAGAAAATAATTAACTAGAAAGTTCTTTCAAAAGTGGTCTTCAAATTATTTCGCCTTTAACCAGAAATTTGAGATGGGATTTATTTATTTTCAGTAATACTTACAACTTGCCTATAAAATATTAAGACAAGCTCCATTTAACATGCACTTACTAAAGCAAACCTTGCAACTATCCATAAGAAAATAGAACAACAAAACAAATTTAAAAAGTCATGAAAACGACTCATATTTATGAAAAATAAATTGATGATGCAAGTTTGGTTGCTCAAATTTATAAACATATTTTTATACAATATATTTTAAAACATATCTCAATTGAAAATATATTTAGTTTTTTTTTTTTTTTTTTATAAAATGTGTCTTGTTTAAAAGTATTAATTTCTTATTATAGTAAAAATAATAAAATACTAATATCAAAATACATACAATTACATGTATATATGAAGTACAAAAATATTAAACTATCTTATACACTTATATTAATTAATAAAATATTATTATTTTTTAATCTATTGTAAAAATCCTATACTTTTGACAGAGAGTAATATGTTTAATACTATTAGATAATAGCTTTTCATTAGAAAATATGTTTGCTCATATTTTACAGTATATATATATATATATATATATTTTAATAAAAGACTTATAAATAATAAAAAGCATTTCACTCAAATGATATTACAAATTTTTAAAAATATTTTTATAATTTTTAATAACTAAAAACAACGGCAAAATATAAAACATTAAAATAACCACTACAAAAAAATATCAATTTTGTAACCAGATTTTTTCGTTGTTAAATCCACTTTTTCTGTTACTAATGATATTAGAGACGGAATTTGAGATGGAATTACGTTAGCTACGTGAACTTTAGTAACGGAATTTCGTTACGAATAAACTATTTTTTTGTAGTGAACCTAACTTAAATATAATACATATTTGAACTCATTCCATTTTCTTCTATTTTACTTGTGGTTAGTTTATTTTATTTTATTTATTTACTATTTATCAATAATTTTATTTTTTAAGAATATAGAAAATTAAATATATTTTATTTGAAATATTATATAAAAATATATTCTTTGTTTAAACATTGAACCAGTTTACTTATATGATATTAAATATTCATATTATTTTATTTTTTTATTATTTACAAAATCAAAATTTTCAAAATACGCCTAGAATATGCCTAAACGTACAGATATCGGAAGAGGACGGCTGGACCACTTTTTGTGATAGAAACATCTTTGACTAACAAGGAGGAGAAATATATACATATATATGTACTTGCAATAATTTTAATAATATTTGAAGCAATCATTTTCGTTTTTTTTTTTTTTTTTTTTGGCATGTTAATTTGATCGTATTAATAAATTTTATAAAATATTACCAATAGTGACACCATTTCTATTTCCTTGAGTTTTTTCATTGGCAGATTAATTTTAGATTTTCATTAATGTACTTTGATTGGTTTGCCAATCGTGACGTCCTGCCCTACGTGTCGTGCACACATTGATTAATTGAAATTGAAATTAGGGTGAAATTTGTGACTATCAAACCAATCACCTTCATTTGACCTAAGATATGGCCAAGATTGGCCTTTTTCCCCTCGCTCAAACCTAATGTAATAACATTAAAATTAGATTAAATTCGTGGTCCTGTTACTGGTGGGAAAGCCTGAGGATATTTAATTGTAAAATGTCGTCTTTTTTATATAGCTGTGAGTGTGACAAATTATTGAAAATGACACGCATGTACGTAATTATTTGTAGTCAAGGAGAATTAAATTAAAACACCATGGTTAGTTAATCAATGGTGAGTTATAGTAACATGCTTGTTCAATATTTTGAAATGTATATATATGTTTAAAAAACATCTGAAATATGAGATTAAATATATATAAATCCATATTTGTAAGAGTTCACACTAAGAAAGGTTTATTTCGTCCGGTTATAAATTGATGGAATATTTTATTGATATTGTGATGAGGATTTGTGGAAGCCGTAAATAACAAAATATGTTTATGTTAATGGAAGGACAAAATTTATTATTGAATATTGGGTAAATTGTATAATACTTTTCATGTGAACTGTTAAAAAAATATATTATTTTTTACAAGTAATTTAAAAATTATATGAAACATTAATTCATCTTAAATACTAGAATTACAATTCGATTGCATGTTTGATTAAATAGAAACATTCATCTTAGTTGCAATTTTTTAACAATTAAAGAAGCCCAAATAGCTCTCAATAATAATAATAATAATAATAATAATAATAACAATTTCTTGATGAAATTAAGCAGAAACTAAAAGGAGAGTAGCGGTGGTGACGAGGGACGAAGTAGCCGGCAAAGCTGATGTTAGCCCAAAATTTAATTCGAGCAGCAGTAAATAATAATATTATAAAAATATTTTATCAAGTATTATATGTGGTAATAATAAGTGATGATTCTCTACGGCAGTTAACTGAGTCACGTACTGATAAAAAAAAATAGTATTATATATATAAACTGCAATCTATGGAGTACTTAATTTAAATTAAATTATAGTATATGCTACTGAGCTATCATTTTGATGATTTCCAAGCAAACAGGAACCAAGTAATAATTACCTGTTGTTGAACTCTTCTTTGCCTTCAATTTTTTGAGCCCTTACTTGGGTTGCAGATTTTTTCTTTTAACTCTACGTTTTTGTCTGAATAATAACTAGTCGTATGTAATATAATTTTAACAAGTAGAAGACACAAAACCTATTTTAGCTGGCCACGTTGCTGAGCAAAAAAGTTAAAGAAACCATATGTAATTAAAACGGCCACATAAATTAATTATTAGTTATTTATATCCAAACACAGTACAGATTGTAACAGATGACACACTGTCCATCGAGTAACTTTTTGTACTTACAAGAATTTATGTCTGAAGAAGAGTTTAGGAACCCTAAAATTAAACTAGGGTTTTATGGCTTAGTATTATTGAAAACCCTGTGATTGTGAAGGGTTTGATATATTACCAATTTTTTTGTAAAAAATTCCCAATTGCAAAGCCCATAAACATGGGAATTATTACTGCTAAATATGAACATAACTTGAAGGCTAAGTACTAACAAAGCTTTTGATTAATCATTGATGTCATAACCTCCAACCAAGAATTTAATATTACTATATTGTATATGTTGCTAATTATATAATTGGACTGCATTATAATTAGGCTGCAGATTTTGTATTACATTAGGTCTATATTGACATAATTGAGAGCCATGATTAGGACACAATTATTATAAATTTCAGACCACAACTTGTATGCAATTGTATGTAATGAAAGTTCCAAAATTTAATCCAGCCCTTCGTTGATCTGCCCTTTATAATGATCCCTCAGTCCATTCAGTACTTTACAGCAGTCTCTAGCCTCATCTCTTTCCCCCAATTCAATATTCAAAATTAATTTTCAACTTGGTAATTAATTGCCATGGCAATGGTAATGAACGAGCTTGATTTTTCCAATTTGAGTTACAGCACGACCACGACGGCCTCCGCCACCGACGACGGCTGCAATTGGAATGACTGGTCGCCGGTGGTCGACTGGGAGGCGCTCTCCGGCGGCCAAGAGGACTTCCACAATTTGTTCGATACTATAATGGACGATCAATCGGTTGAGCCTAATGACTCCTCAACGTACAACACAGTATCCCCAGAGTACAACCTAATGCCTGATGACGAGATGGACAACGCCGGCGAGGATTTCAAGGGGCTCCGGCTGATCCACCTCCTCATGGCGGCGGCGGAGGCGCTGGCCGGGGCCAACAAGTGCCGCGAATTGGCCAGGGTGATATTGGTTCGGCTCAAGGAGTTGGTCTCCCCCGACGACGGCACCAACATGGAACGACTCGCCGCCTATTTCACCGACGCCTTACAGACCTTACTCGACGGCGGCTCCGGCGGGGGCGCCGGCCACGGCAAGCAAACCCCGAACGCCCTCCGCCACCAGCACCACCAATCGGATGTTCTCGCAGCCTTTCAATTGCTTCAGGACATGTCCCCTTACGTCAAATTCGGACATTTCACGGCGAACCAGGCGATCCTGGAGGCCGTGACGCACGACCGTCGGGTCCACATCGTCGATTACGACATCATGGAAGGGATCCAATGGGCGTCATTAATGCAGGCCCTGGTGTCCCGGAAAGACGGCCCCCCGACCCCCCACCTCAAAATCACGGCGCTGTCGCGCGGCGGTAGCGGGCGGCGGTCGTTCGGCACGGTCCAAGAAACCGGCCGGCGGCTGACCGCCTTCGCCGCCTCAATCGGGCAGCCATTCTCGTTCCACCAATGCCGATTCGACGCCGACGAAACGTTCAACCCGAGTTCACTCAAATTAGTCAAAGGAGAAGCCTTAGTAATCAACTGTATGCTCCACCTGCCCCACTTCAGCTACCGGGCCCCGGATTCGATCGCCTCGTTCCTATCCGGATCCAAAGCCCTAAACCCGCGAATCGTCACTCTAGTAGAGGAAGAAATGGGCCCCGCGAGCCAGCCCGGGTTCGTGGGCCGGTTCATGGAGTCGCTGCACCATTACTCAGCAGTGTACGATTCGCTGGAGGCGGGCTTCCCGATGCAGGGGCGGGCGCGGGCGTTGGTGGAGCGGGTTTTTCTTGGCCCGAGAATAGCCGGGTCTTTGGGTCGGATCTATGGGTCACGTGAGCAGGATGAGGAGGACGAGGAGGAGTGGTCGTGGGGACAGTGGTTGGGTACGGTTGGATTCCGTCCGGTTAGTATAAGTTTCGCCAATCGTTGTCAAGCAAAGTTGTTGTTGGGACTTTACAACGACGGCTACAGAGCCGAGGAATTGGACAATAATAAACTCGTCTTGGGATGGAAGTCTCGACGTCTACTTTCCGCTTCCATTTGGACTTTGGATTTTCTCCCATCGTCTTAACCTTACTTATTTTGTCACCCTACTTTGTAAGTTAATAAATTCTATCATATCATATGTAAATTCTTAAGTTATTGAAAAAAATAGAAAGAACATTATTATTAACCCATTGTAAAGTCATTTATGCCTTTTTTATCAGTTTAAATTACTATAGCAAATTGAGTTGTTAGGACGTACCTGTCCGACACGTATGGCAAGTTGCTGTGGCAGTGAATTAATAAATACTCTATAAAAATAATAGCAGCACCACAACACGGGAAGATTCTGGAATTATACCTACTCCTCTTGGAATTATTATGTATACACCCATTTTGTGTATGTGTGTGTGCAAGAATTATAACCAAATTTGCATCGATTATATTTACTTCAAACACATAAATGTGAAGTAAAAAACATTATTATTTTTAAACTTGTTACATGTTTGGATTACAATGAAGATTAGGTGTGGATTATAGCAATTAATGCTACATTATTATTATTATTATTATTATTATTATTATTATTATTATTATTATTCCCCACTCAACTATGTATGTATGCATGTCTAGACAGAAAAAACAAATAAAACTGTTTATATATACTCTCATAATAAACAAACAATTCAGACATTTGTCATAACATAATTATATATGCATGCTTATATATACTACTGCATTCGTGTATGTAAATAGTTGTTTAATTAAATATAATTAATTAATTATATCTGAAAGCATGTTAAATAATAGCTTCAATTCGATTGTACTGGGCATTGACATGAACAATATATTTATTTAGAAACGAAGTTTTAAATTTTGAATGGAGACAAGAAAATGATGATGATGAAATGCTTCAATCAAACTGAGCACCAACTTTTTAATAAATTGCACCTTCCTGACCCATTGATACCAACTTGTAATTTAACTTTCATTTTTTTCTTCATAATTTCCTCCCACTATTAATTCAATTATTTTGTACGGGTTTCTTATTTAGGGGCATATTACTTTGTGTTTTTTACAATTCATAAAAATAATTTTCTTTCTAAAAAATTGTATTACAAAGATGTCAAACAAATCATAGTTTCATTAATTATTTTATATATATATATATATATGTACTTGTAATGGTAGGATGCAAAGAAAAAGTTTAGTACAGATAGTTAGCCATTTCAAAAACATTTATTTTTATCATTGGAACATTGATTTGTTTATTTATTATTATTATTATTATTATTATTATTATTATTATTATTATTATTATTATTATTATTATTATGTCAAACCAAGAGAAATGCAAGTGAACAGAAAGACATTTTCCGACTAATTAAGTTCATTATTAGGCTTCATGGGTTCTCACTAGCCCTATGAATCTAGACACAGTTCTCAAATAAATTCATAATTGGATTCCTTATATATTGCAAAATTATTTAAATTAGAAGGAAAACGTCACGATGTTATTGTAATGAAATATTGTGATTAATTATACTATTGGCTGTGTTTTAAAAGTAAATGAGGCGGCGCAGCAATTAAAATACCACGATTTAGGCTTTTGGGCCCATACGGGCAATATGGGCCTTAAAATGTTAAGCCCATTAAATATTAAGGCGTGGCTGATAGAAAACGCCAAACAGGCCCTTATGAGATGACACTCCTTCCCCAACCGCCAATCCCCAATCAGCAAGGAGCTTTACCTACCGTGAATTTTGCTATGAATTCAGCGCATGATTTTCTTTATTCGAGAGATTCTGCAGCGTGATCCATGCAATTGAACCTGACTTCATCTTGCTAACGATTTCGTAATTCGTATAGTTATTTATATACTCTTTGAAATTTCATTTCTCAAAGGCCAGAAAATTTGTGGTGGTGCTGAAGATAAAGTGAGGTTTGCAGCTGAAGAATATTTGAATTTCGTACAATGGTTTCAACCCAGGATGGGTTGTCTGGGAGCAGTTCCGCGCCCCAACCTCTGCAGGTTACTCGTATTCTATTTTTTTGCCGGCGGATTGTTTCGTTATTATACTTATTTTTACTGATGAAGTAAAGGAGTTCCAGGTTTCTGTAAATAATTATGGATATCGAGAGTTAGAAAATTCATGCGTTTTTGTTCGAATTTGTCTTGGGGGAATTACGCTCTGTTATTTGTTAAACTGCTCATCTTTTGTAGAAGAAACACTCTGTACATGTAGTAACATTCCCTGCCGTTCTGGATAAAGGAATATAATATTAGATTGCATTAAGTAAACGTATGGATTCAAGTTAGTAGTAAGATCCCCCAATATCTATAATTGTGTGTATTTTTGTGGTAGTGCGCCTGTATTTCTTAGATTTGCAACTAACAAGTTGAAACTAGAGTGACAATTAAAGCTTTCATTTAGTGAGTTCTTGTATGTGCACTTTGATCTGTTATTACATCACGTATCTGTTGCTGCCAGAGCATCCTTTTAACTTCTTGCTAATGGAGCCGATATACATTTGATCTTTATTGAATCCGTATGCGCTGCCCAAATTGTTTCGACTGTTTTAATTTTATTCTTCTCTGAGCTTGGAGATAGCTGAAATCCAGCTTTTAGCAACTGGAGATATGTGTTCCGCATTCTAGATTCTCAATTGCTGGTCATATTGTTAATTGCTAAAGTTAGATCTTTGAATTGGCTACAGTTGTTATGATCTTTACAATTACGAACCTTTGAAAGTGTATGATTTATATGTTGTATGTTTTATGCTTAGATTGCAAGGCGCTTGGAGAGTTTCAAAACTACAATTTTTACCCGAATGAGCATTCTTGCTGCCGAGTATGGTGCTATTAACCTTGGCCAGGGATTTCCAAATTTCGACGGCCCTGAATTCCTTAAAGAAGCTGCTATTCAGGCCATAAGAGATGGTAAAAATCAGTATGCCCGTGGATGTGGAGTTCCTGATCTGAACTTAGCCATTGCAGAACGATTCAAGAAAGACAGTGGTCTTGTAGTTGATCCTGAGAAGGAGGTCACTGTAACCACAGGATGTACAGAAGCAATAGCTGCAACAATGCTCGGCCTAATAAACCCCGGCGAAGAAGTCATCTTGTTCTCCCCATTCTATGACGCCTACCAAGCTTCCCTTTCCATGGCTGATGCTGTCGTGAAGTGCATCCCACTGCGCCCTCCCAACTTTTCAGTCCCCATTGATGAGTTGCAATCCATTGTGTCGAAAAACACACGAGCTATCTTCATCAACACCCCACACAACCCTACTGGAAAGATGTTCACTCTGGATGAACTCAAGGCGATCGCCTCTCTATGCATCAAGCATGACGTGCTGGTTTTCTCGGATGAAGTCTACCACAAGTTGGCTTTTGAAATGGATCATATTTCAATTGCTTCACTTCCCGGCATGTATGACCGGACAGTGACCTTTAATTCTCTCGGGAAGACCTTCTCGCTGACAGGCTGGAAAATCGGGTGGGCGATTGCACCTCCACATTTGACATGGGGTATAAGACAGGCGCATTCATTCCTTACCTTTTCTTCGACAACTCCCATGCAGCATGCAGCTGCAGCTGCTCTCCGGGCACCGGATTCTTTCTATGAAGAGCTGAAAAGGGACTATTTGGCAAAGAAGGTTATCTTGGAGGAGGGCTTGAAGGCTGTTGGTTTCACTGTCTACCCGTCGAGTGGAACCTTCTTCATTGTGGTGGATCACACACCATTCGGCTTGGAAAACGACGTCGCCTTCTGTGAGTATCTGATCAAGGACGTCGGTGTCGCCGCGATCCCCGCGACGGCATTTTATTTGAATCCAGAACATGGAAAGAATCTTGTGAGGTTCACATTCTGCAAAGATGAAGACACTCTGCGGAATGCTGTGGAGAGAATGAAGGAGAAGCTTTTGAAGAAGAAGAAGACAGCTCATTGATGCAACTGTTGTTTTTGGGCTTATGTGTTGGGCCCAAATTGATTTATGGGCCGGCCCAGTTTGATTTCTATCAACCAGTTTGCCTTGGTGTCGAGAGAATTAGGAATGTATTTTAAAGCAAGCAAATGAATTTTGTGGATCAAGTACCGATCGTTGGAGGCTTTGGATAATGATGAGTGAATTTGGGATAATATATAATAATAATAAAAGATTTACCTTAAGTTATGATACAGTAAAATATAGTAAATAAATTAGTGTGGCGTTTGAATGGGGACAAGCAGATAGACCAGACATTACCTGTTACCGTGTGTTGCTGACTAAGTCTCTTTGTAAATTACCGAAATTCAACAAACAACATTATGTAATTTTATGCTAATACCCTTTCACTTGCAATAATAGAAAATGTAATTATTTTATTTGTATTTTTGTACTCCCCCGGAAAAATTTTTGTTTTAGAAAAATTATAAGAAAAGGTAAATTAATGGTGGAAGACAGAAACACATTAAAATACCTAAAGAAACGAATCTAGATCTGACGGCCGTACGTCGCTGTCAACACCTCCGAAATCTGACGGCTGAGATCCACAAGGCAAAGACTACCGTCTGATCATTCATCGACGGTCCACGCGAGGCGCAGGTGGTCCCTGGCCCCGTTGCTTTTTGCTCCGGCGTATAAATAGATGCTCATTGCCGATCTCCAGTCCCCACAAGAACTCGGTCCACTCTCGCCAATCACTACTCTTTCTCTCTCCCTCTCGCAAACTTGCTGTTCTTCTTCTTCGCCTTCTTTTAAGAACCAAAATTCAAATTTGGGCACTGGTTTGGTTTACAGAAGACGCTGCGAACCGTCGGAGATGAAACCGGCGTCAGAGTATATGATAAGGTTATCGAGGTACAGAGCGGGGAACTACTAGCGGGAAGATCAACGGCTGAGGATGAATCTGGAGAGCTTCAATCCGAAAATGGACGGTCCCAGAAGCCCCGCGAAGCTTAGCAGGACCAACTCCTCCTTCCTCCGCTCTTCCCCTACGATTCGCTCCTCAATACAGAGCTTGTCCTCCGTCAGCGAGATCTCTCCCGATCAGCAGATACAGGACCTTGAGGAGCAGAAGCCTCACAGCAAACCCGTTCCGGCGCCGGTTCGGTCGGGTTCGCCACGATTGGCGACGGTTATCGTCATTCTCCTGCTGTCAGTGTACACTCTTTTTGCTTTCTTCAATAGGGATGACATGTCCGCTTCAGAGAATCTCCTTTTAGCTCTAATTTTCGTGGCGGTTGTGCTCTTCGTCGTCTCCAAAAACATGGCCGCAGTGAACAGGAATTTGAGGCTGTTCAAGCACGTGTATGACGAGTACGCCAGAAAGTTGGGGATACTTCGGTTTCCTCCCAAAACGCATTCAAAGCCGGTACAGTGGTACATTGGAGAACCCGATTTAGACGAGCTGGAAAGAAAACAGCGTAGCAAGGAGAAGAGTGGAGTTTCGAAGGTTATAAGAGAAGGTGTGGAATTTTACAGCAATGGTGATTTCTACGAAGGTGAGTTTCATAAAGGGAGGTGCAATGGGAGTGGAGTGTACACTTATTTTGCGAATGGAAGGTACGAAGGGGACTGGATTGATGGGAGATATGATGGCTATGGGATTGAGAGCTGGGCAAGGGGCAGCAGATATAGAGGGCAGTATAGGCAGGGCTTGAGGCATGGCTATGGGGTCTACAAGTTTTACACGGGGGATACATATTCTGGAGAGTGGTGTAACGGGCAGAGTCATGGAATTGGAGTGCAGACTTGTGTGGATGGGAGCTGTTATATTGGAGAGTTCAAGTGGGGCGTTAAACATGGACTTGGCTGTTACAATTTCAGGTGATCATGAATTGATTTTCTTCAACTCTGTATGGATTAGTTTGCTTCCTTCCTTTTGAAGTTGTTTTATGTTGTGTTTGATGCTTGTTTAAATTGTTTGGGTGTTTTGGATGTTAGATAATGTTGATTTTCTTGTAATTAAATGGGATTTTAATTTGTGGGATTGAGTTTCATAACTGCTGGCTGAACTTTGAATGAAGAACCCCGAAATCTCATTGATAAGCACAGCCCTTTTTCTGGTTGGTTGTTGTGTTTTTCCATTTGTAGGTAATGTAGTGATTTTGTTTCCTGCTCAAGATAGATAGTGTTGAATTAGCTAGTCTGTTGTCTTTCGGTACCTCCGAATTTAGTAGAACACCTATCCTCAAATGTTGCTGAAGTAATTCTGCCATTACTAAGATGATTCTGTGATGTAATAGGAATGGAGACAGATATGCTGGGGAGTATTTTGAGGATAAGATCCATGGTTTTGGTGTCTATCACTTTGCCAATGGCCATTGTTATGAAGGGTCATGGCACGAAGGTCGAAAGCAAGGCTACGGCATGTATACTTTCCGTAATGGCCATACCCGATGTGGCGAATGGAACTGCGGGAATCTTCAAACCCGCCTCCCTCCTAATGCTGATGCAGTTCTCGGGGCGGTTGAGGTGAAGATTTTGATATCTCCACAGATTTCTCCTTACATTAGATTTACACAATATGGTCAATTCTTTATGTCTTACTCTTCTTAAACACTTTACCTTTTGCAGGCAGCTAGAAAAACATCAGAAAACGCCACCCACCTTCCTCGGGTCGATGAACAGGCAAACAAGGCAGTGGTGGCTGCGAATCGGGCAGCCACTGCTGCAAGAGTTGCTGCTGTCAAAGCTGTTCAAAACAGGATAGATGGGAAGTTTTGCGACACTAATCTTTGACATAAATGTGGTAAATGTAAATTTACTAAGTCGTAATAGCGAGGAACCAATCGGGCGCCCCGGTGAGGCAAAAGCAGCCGGCCGGTGGTGGTCTCAAAGAGTAGTAGTATGTAAGATTTTTGCTTAATAGACCATGTTGTAGTAACTTGTACATACTTCCAACAACCATGTGTCTTAAAAGTTTTAAGTTGGAATGAAATGAATTTCCTGCAAGAAACATCTTTCTAATCCAATCCACTCCACTTTAATTCCTGTCTTGCCATTTCCTTTTGCTTTTTTGTGGGGTTTAACTATAAAGGTAAGTTAGTTATATCATTTGCTTTCTGCTTAGCAATAATGTAACCAAAAACAGTATGATCCAGCTTGTCTCTTACAACATGATGTCTTATTATTGCATCACTCCCTCTTCCCTTATTGGTAAGATCAATTCTTGAATAGGCAGCAACCTTGCATGATGATTATTGTCTGAATCTTTGTGAAATCATCACTTATGAATTCTTTGTGCCGATTGATTTACAGAAAGGGTTTGGATTTATAGTGCTAGGGAAAAAGGAGAATCTCCAAATTCTTTGTGGGTTCAATTATTGTTGCTTTATATATTCCTGCTTGATCTTCCCATCCAGAAAATATCATTCTTTCCTTATGTTTTTTTCGAAACAAAAAATGTACCATGGATTGCTACATTTGTCATACTCGCAGAATGGACGATTCTAAACAAACAAGTTGCTTTCAGATCAGTGTTTTTCATTTCCCCCATGGCCCTGGCCCTGTCACAATTCTGTCCATACAATAATCATTGTGTAGAAGCCTCTGTAAGACAATTTATTTAGGGTTTTGTGTCTTGAAATCTTTCATGACTGCATGCAATGATTGACAGCCCGTGAGGGTTCAGAAATGAACACATGAATTGAGGTTAGGTCATGACTCATGACAATTGACAAACAAACATTCAGGCAGACAGGCAAGGGTGTCATCACATCATCATCTATATATCCCATGTTTCATCATTAGTTTTATCGAAGGTCTTTCATGTGCCATTTTAGATCTTTTGAATGTAAAAAGTAAAAAAACACAGTGGTGGGGTTTCTTTTCTTGGTGAAAATTCACCCACTTGTTTCCTCCATGTTTGGCTACATGCTTCGTTTATAATCTTTCATTTTCTTAGAGTAGGGAAAAAGGCAATAGCTTCAAGCTTTCTATGCTTCCCTCTTTCTAATTTTTTAACCAAAGCCTGTTTAGATTCTCTCTTTTTCTTTCTTTCACTTGCTTCTCTCTTTCTCTATCACACATGAGATTTAAATCTCTACTAATATCTAAATTATCAATCACACAATTACTTTATAGTTACTTATTTTTAATTATTCCTTTACTTGATAACAGGAAATGTGTGTATATTATATATGCATAAATCGTGTATACCTTTTTGAATCTTGCTGGCTTCAAAAGCCTCACCAATTGTCACATTCCATGATAAATATAAGGATGAATATATGAAAAGGTGGGACACTAATGGGAGTTTGGTAAAGATATAACTTTTTTGAAATGATATTTATCTAAAATTTTGATTAAAAAGAAGGATATATTTGAGTTATGTCGAAATCATTAAGGGAAAGAATAAAATCATCAATAACACAGTCAACATCTGAGAATTAATGAAGCCACTTGCCTTCACTTTCCATTCAAAACTACCCTTTTGTCAAAGATAAGTACAAATTAAAGGCAATATCAATTCTGAATAAAAACAGCATCGGAATTCAAGATTTAAGAAACCCTTTTTTTTTTTTGTTCGATGCTCTCCACATTTTATAATTTATAAATATGTAGCCTTCAACAACCAAAAATCATTTGCAATCCAGTTATACCTCAACATTATTAATATTATCCATTTAATTATTTTTGTTTGAGACATTTAATATTTTCCTTCAATTGATTGTCCCTACTTATCATCCCAGACCTTAGAATCTATTTTATTCATCTTATGAACATGTACTCATCAATTATGACACTTTGACAATTTTATTCATTTTAGCAGACAAAATGACCCGTTTTTAAATACATACACAGATATACACATGCACTAAAGTGAAAGCAGTATTCAATTCATGAACTTTCTTGCATCATATATAATAAATCAAACACAAGAAATAATTTTCAAGAACTCCACAGCCTGCAGGAGTCTAAATTCAATAGCCAACGGCATTGACAAAACCAACAAGGCAATTTTAATTTGTGAGGCAAGAATAAAATCATTGAAATTTGACAGATATACATATATATATATATATAATACCAAATTATTTATTGAATTAATGAAGGCAGGTAGGTATAGGTATGGCCGATCCCAGATGGGGTTAGTCACCAAACACAGTCTATCTTATTGACTTGGATACAATATTTTAATAAATGAGATAATACACATTATATATATATGATCTATCATCATATGTCAAGAAAATCACCTTCCTGAGTTCTTCCCCACCTAAATACCACAAATACAGGTACCCATTAAATCTAGAATCTGACTTTTTTGTGCCTATTTGGAAAATTAATTGAAAAGTAGAGCTGGAGATTCTCACATAATTCAAATTTTAGGGTTAGTTGTAATGTAGCAGTGTTAGCTAGTGTGGTAATAATACCACAGCTTTAATTAAATGTAATTATAGATGGGTTTTTTCCTTCTCTTTTTTTCTTACTTTAGAATGGATTGTTGAGTTGACCAAAGGTACAAAAAGATAAATAAATAATAAAACCTCAATTCAATTCCTTCGTCCATTTTTGTCACCAGACTTTAGTGTCACTGACACCCCCATGTGAATGCACTGTGCTGTACTGTTCTCACCGATTCTCTTTTCACCTAATTTTCTTCGTAGCATGGGCTGAACTGGTTATCTAATCTTGAATGGACCAGTGTTTTGGCCCGATACGTATAATGGGCCCTAAGCCCAATAAAGAATAGTTAATTGACTCAATTGATTGTGTGTGAATTTGTCTGTTTCTTTCTTTTTGGTACGTTGCCTGAGAAATAAGAAAATGAAACAGGGAGAATCACTTGTTGCAACGTCGAGAAGCCATTCTTTTCTCTGTTGGTTTGGCTTTGTTATGCATTCTCTTTATACATATATAATTCTGAAGTTGTAGTCTGTATTTGGACCAAAGTTTCTTCTCTGGCAATCCAGGAATACTAATAGGAAACCCATGTCGTCTGTGGGCCGTCCAGATGAACCATCCGACGGCGCCAGAAGCAGCTTCGATCTCTACTGGTGCTACCAGTGCCATCGGACGGTCAGGATTGCGTCCGATGGGCCAGCCGGGATCGTCTGCCCACGATGCTCCGGCGAGTTCCTCTACCAGATCGATAACACGACAAGGCAGCTCCCCGTCTTCGAGTTCACCGCCTACGATCCATCGCCGGATGCCCGAATTCTAGAAGCTCTGGCCCTCATGCTTGATCCCATGCACAATGCCGCCGGAGCTGACGCGCCGCGGGGACCACATCACCACCGCCCTCTGGAGGAGGAGGAGCAGCGGATTCGGAGATTGTTTCGGCGCAGGAGGAACAGATGGTACAACATCGACGACGATGATTGGGGCCCGGAGCCTGGGATTCTAGCCCGGCCCCGGACATTGATTATCCTCCGGCCATCGGACCCCGATCATGAAGATCAGAATTTGCCGCAGCGGGGGCTGGTCCCGCCGGGCCTGGACCCTCGGAACTACTTCACAGCTCCTGAATTACAAGAGCTGATCGAAGAATTGACCCAGAACGACCGGCCAGGCCCGCCGCCGGTACCGGAATCAGTCATCAACGCAATTCCAACGGTCAGGATCGCGCCGAACCATCTGGAAATGGACTCGGAATGTCCTGTCTGCAAGGAGGAATTCAAACTCGGAATGGAAGCCATGGAGCTTCCCTGCCATCACGTCTACCATTCCGATTGTATAGTTCCATGGCTGAGGCTGCACAATTCGTGCCCCGTCTGCCGGGAGGAACTCGAGATTCCAACTGAAATCGAGGAAATTGATCAGGTAGAGGAGACTCACAGTGATGGCAGCAGAGAGGGGCGGTGCTGGCGGCTGAGACAGCTGGCAAACCGTTGGGTGTTCAGATCAAGATACCGGTCACTGAACTCTGGCGAGATCGGAGCAGCCACTCAGCGCCACCATGGTTAGAACTGAACATAAATACAAAAATGTAGTATTCATAGAAATCTCAGAATATGTGATCTTCTGATTCTAATAATCATTTAATGTAAAAACTGTATTCTTCCTGTTTCAGAAACTGCAACAGCATCGACATCATGGAGGTGTAATGTTCTTTAAACATCCCTCCAATGGCTGCCATAGTAGTCGAAAGAACTTGCAGGGGCATCGGACTTTCATCAAATTGGAGGCTTAATAAACTGAGAAATTCTGAAACTTGTATCGGACTAAACAATGACAATGAATCCAGAGGCATATAACATGTCCAAAATTGAAAGGATGCAATTCAATTCCATTTATAGTTCCTCCACTATTCGATTTCCTCTACATTCTCTTTGGCTGATGGTGAAGGCCAGCCTTGAAGCCTTCTGTGTACGCAGTATTCTTGAATATTATCTGAAAATTTTACAATTCAACGACCATCAGGACACTATATACTTTCACAAGTTTTAAGCATTCAGCTCCTTTGAACATTTCAATTTCATGAGGTGAAGAACTATCAGTACTCACAGCAAGATTCTTCAACTCCAACCCGAGTTGTTTGCTTATGCTCTTTGAAGCCGTCGTAGCAAGCTCTTCTCGATGTTTCTCTATGTTCTCCTCTTTAAACTACATCATAAATTTTTTTTAGTAGCATGTTCCTGAAGGGACCAGTTCCGAATGATATATTTTACCAACCTCTGAAAGGATTACGGCAGCTGTCTTTTCCAAAATCTCCTCAACAAATTTGTCAGGGTCAGCAAAGGAGATCAACACGTTCTCTGCTCCAGGAGATTTCCCTTTTGCAGGAGCACTGGATGATTTTACAGGTTTTGCTGCTGATAAGAGGTCAAGTATGTCAACTACAGCACAGCCCACAATGCTACTAAAATTTAATCCATTCGTGTAATATCCAATGAAGTAAGCAGCAGCAGCAACAATACCTGGAACTACCTTCGGTTGGGTATTTGAGGAGACATGATTCTTCTCAGAGACTTGAGAAGATCCCTGTTGTGTTGGAGGATCAGCCATCGTCGGTGCATCAGACGGAACAAGAGCAGCCAAATCGGGAGGATGATCCTTCCCTACAGGAGGGTTTGCCTGTACAGTTTACTAATGAAGTTCAAATTAAGCTGTAATAATAAGAAACCGTATTTACTTATATTAATCTCCAGATTACCTCGAGATCAACATACGCAGGAAGTTTTCCAATTGAATTTAGAAACTTGTCGAGATCACGGGCATTAAGAGCTGTAGAGCAGCATAACTGTGAGTAACATTTTGACGGCACATTTCACTCTCTTAAAAAAGGTTAAAATCACATACCAATTGTCATGTCATTAGACAATGGATGGAAGAAACAGCTCTCTTTCGTTTTAAACCCTTGGTCTAACAATAACGATACATGCCTACAGGAATGTAAAGCCAACATAGGTTATGAAGAAGAGTTTAGTTATTTTTCTAAAAAAGATGTCAAGGTAAATAACAGCATAAAGGCGTCACAAATTGAGCCCAAATTACTTGAGAACACATACCTTGCTGTCTCATTAACAAGTGCAAAAGGAGTAACACAACCAAGGGGAACCTATAATGAAATTATCCAACAAATTATTTAAATGATGGATGGAATTGGTGGCTGAAATGCAATATCTCAGTGAAGCAGTAGAGTAAAACAGAGCATTATATATGCACTGAGAGACACATACCTGAAGAATTTCTCCAAGTGCTTCTTCCGGGGCCATTCTCAGACCTCCTTTTCCCAGACCAAGCCTCTGAGATAGCACTGCATATCAAAAGCATGGAATTCCAAGGAAGTTATGAGTCCTAACCCTAAATATTTAGCTGAAATAAACAACTAAAGGTAAGTACCTTTCAGATCCACTTTCGTTTCCGCCAAAGCAGAAACAACATAATATCTTTGCTTTTTATCCTATAATAGAACCGATGGTACTTACACTGAAGTTAGATTTTCATGAAAAATGCATAAGAAAAGGAAATAGCCATCCATGCACTATGCAAACCATCTAACCTTCAAGAAAAGATTCTTGCTCAATGCACCTTTCAAGTGACCAACATGCTTTGCCTGGTGCAAAAGAACTGATCTTTACAGTCTTGAAAAATAAGTAACAAGAAGATATTAAACACTTCGTTACCTGGGCTTCAACTGTCAAAACAACTGGATGCTCATATTGCTGAAACTCTATTTTAAGTTCCTGATGATCAATCAATAAATAGATTAGCATAGAACTATAGCAGAAAATAGGATTGTCAAAGTCTATAGGAGCAGGAAACACCAAATACCCTCCAACATTGAATTCACTTGCGAGTAAATTGAAGTATGTTAAATTTGCAATCGAACTAAGAAAATGAAGTAACCAAAAAATAAAGTCGATTTCCAGCACTATATCCCATCTTATCTAGATGAACATAAACTTAATCAAACGCTGCAAGTAAATGAGCTGACGGACCCTAATCTACATATCATGATTCTCAACGCAGAAAGATACAATATATCAGTCTATAAAGTAATCAAATACAGGCCGGATACCGACAATTCACTGCTCTTATGTCCTTTATCAATTATCACAACGATTTCCAAATACAATGTAAAGAAAATAAATCAAACATCAAATCAACTAACCTCTAAACGAGCCAGAAGCTGCTCTTTCATAACACCCATCACGCTGGCAGGAGATCACAAAAATTTTACGCCGGCCAGATTCACAACGCGGCGGTCGTATTGCAGTTGCAGCGGTGTCGCTCCAAAGGAAGAGACTTTGCAAATTGCAGTGATCTGAATTCCGATAATACCCTCACCAACAAACAACATTGCCAAGTCAATCCTTTACATTCTGGCCCAACAGGCCCATTATTCGCTTTAGTCTGTAAATCCAAGTTCAATGGGCCTCAAAACATTCGACAGAGGCCCAACAATGTTTTTTTTTTGGTGCTTTTTCACATTGGGAAGTGACCATTATTTTAATTTTAGTTTTAGGATAAACGATGGTTTGTTTGAACACAGAGCAAGCCTTGTAATTAACTTACAAAATCTGCATAATCTATCAATCTTTACATATATATTTTAAGCAACATAGGATTCCCAAAAAAGACAAAGATTCACAGATAACAAATTATAATTAATCACGAGGGTCGTCTGAGAGGCACAGGACAGGGACACATATTGAAATAGTTGAGAAGAATAGATGCCCTTAAGACCACATGATATGTTGCTAAATTTAAGTTCCAAGTTTGTGTACAGGTGGGCACTGCCCCACGTTTAATTACTGGATGTGACAAAATCTGTTGCAGGTCTTGCTTGCTTGCCCAAACAAACTACAAACAAACTCTACCTACATATTCAATAATAAGTAACTATCCATCCATTCATCCATTTCCATTCAATCCCTTTTTCTCCCATTCATTAATTAATTCAATTCTTGGTCGAAAGTGAACTCCTGCACCAGCAATTAATGGGGAGGGAGAAGATAGAGATGGGTAATAAAAATCCAAGAAACATGACCCACATCATTTGTCTTGAAAAGACCAAGTACAATGTAAGAGGAACAATAAGATATGGAGCCCCTGCACTTTTTATTCTTCAAAATGCCAAGAGAGAAGGACAACTCCATGTGCAGATTTGCTCTGTTCTGCTCTGAAATCAAATTCTAGATTATACTCTTAGATTATATTATATAATTGACATTGGTTTTGCAACACCTTGCTTCAATTCAATGGTCTTGTCCTATTCAAAATGATATATTTATAATATACCTTGATAAGGTCTATATATATATATATATATATATAATGTCCTGTTAGTATTTTTTTAAAGCCAAGTGACAATGAATGTTTTGGAATTGATTGCTTGGGAGAAATTGAATGGGAAATAGCAACATTTCTTTATATAAAGAATACAATTTAATTGAATACATAAGGATGATGATGATGATGATGATAATTACACAGGAATCTTTCACTTGGGAGAGCCCAAAAAACATGTTCCTCTCCTGTGGAAATCCTATAAAATTATTACACTCGAATATAGTAGAAGATAGTTTGATATAATGTCAGTAACGTCTTCAAGAAATAAACTGAAGAACATCCAATGAATAAACAAATAAATAATATATTTATAGATATAAATATATTTGTGTATGTATCGATCAGCAGAAGCTCCATAAGCGGATATCAACATCTTCGTAACAATCCTCCGCCGTCAGATTAGGATCGAAGAACGCCGCGCCGCCGTTCATCATCTCGTAGTACTTTGGGGAATCGAAGTTGTACCATGAGGATAAATTAAGGTCCTCGAATTGCACCATGTAATCGTCGCCGGAAGGCGGCGTCGCCGCCAGGCAAATGCGATCGTCCTCGATGTGGCCGTTGGAGTTCTGAGAGGCCGACGAGAGCGACGGCGACGAATCGTAGTAATTCGTCGACGAAGAAGGGGGAGGAGAAGAAGACGGATCGACCGCCGGCGCCGTCGTATCGGCGATGAAGGACGCATTGGCTGCGGCGGCGGCCGCCACCCGCTGGATGGATTTCGGCGACATAATTAGGTTATCGGGGTTGGGATTGCACTGCAGCGCCGCCGCGTTGGTGACCGGAAAATTGAGATTTGCCGATGAGCCCTTGAGGCACAGCAGCGCGGCGTCGTAAGCTCTGGCGGCGGCTTCCGGCGTGGAGTAGGAGCCGAGCCAAATCCTGGTCTTCTGATTTGGTGCCCTAATTTCAGACACCCATGAGCCCCAGCTCCTCATACGAACACCTTTAAACTTCTTCTTACATTGATCGCCGGATGGACCGTTATTTGTCGCCGCCAACTTGTTTTCCGACAGCTTCACCATTACTGCACCTGAGCTTCTCCGAAGACGACGACGACGAATCGATCAGCTGTTTGGTTAATTTCTTGATGGCTGTTAAGACGATATTTAATGAATGAGTACTGAATCTTCTTCAACTGGAGGTTCGAGTGTAAGAAAAATGCAGTGATGGTTGATGCGATGTGATCTGATGATATTTATAGACAAGAGGCATAAAGTGGGAATACTGAGAAAATCCCTGAAATGGCCGACAGATGTATTCCAGTGTTTTTTAATTATAAAATAATTTTGAAAATCAGATTTATTTTTCTGCTCACTTCACATGACAGTGACTTTTCTAACCCTCCCACACCATACATCGTAATAAATAAATAAGTAAACATATATTTATTTAAATTAATGTTTATTTTGGATGTCGCTCGTAAAAATTTTCAACTGGCCAACAGAATTTTGGTCAGAAAAATATTGGCCAAGACTTTTCTTAAAAGAGCAAGCTGGCGCAGGAAATATAACCTGGTGCAAACTAGTAAGAATCTAATGGAAGTTTAACCATTATCGGACAACATATGTAGTGATTAGGGCACATCACATGGGTTAGGGGTATATTAAATTCAGGTTTAGACATACATATCTTAGACCAAGTATTTCAATAATTAATTCTTTTTTCATATATTGCTGCAGCTTCCAGGATCTTGCAGTTGCAGGGTTAATTATGAGTGTTCTAGCGAGTAGTTAAATTAATTATTATATAAATAATTTAAATTGTTACGTAATCAACCTATATACGCGCAATATAGCTCTGGCAACTCGAAAACATAGTATTGAGACAGCATAGCTAGCAATTTCATAATTGAAGAATTCATTAACAATCATTTCGTCCCAGTTATAAATATGATTATACGGTATTAATAAAATTGTAATTTCTTACAAACTAAAAAGATATATATATATATATATATAAAGGTGTCAATAAAAAATATATATTCTATATATTATCATATATTGCACTGAGTTTTATTCAAATAACAAACATTAAAGTTAAGTGCTATACATAAATGGCACTAATACATTATCAATGCAAATTGAATCTAAATGTTAACAACACATTAGTAAAGTCCCTAGATAAGGGGTGAGACATCTTTTATTGGGATAAGGTCTTAAATTCTTTTTTAACATGTACACGCATGTTAAATATATAAATGTTTGTATTAGAGTAAAATATTTTATATTTTCGAGGCTTTCCCACTGTATCAATATATTTATATATATAAAAAGGACAAGTAAACAAACCCTAATGCTGTAGTTTTACATAAACTCGTGATTTTACGGTCATAAATTCACCTTTAGCATCACAAAACCTTATCTTATGGGATTTGTATATTTCTCCTAAAGTTTGCAAACCACTTGTAACATCTTGAACATTAGTCCAAAATGTTATATTTCTACTTCCAAATATAGGGTATACCATAATAATAAATAAAATGAAATGAAAATCACTTATAACATTTTGAATTCTTTTTGTCAAATGTGTCATATTTCTACTTCAACTAGAGATATCATGAATAAAAATAATTAATATAAATAAAAAGAAGAGGAAGATAGAGACCAAATAAACAAAATTTAAAATAGATGTGATTTTATTTTTATTTTTTTTCTACTTCAATCATCATTGTTATTTGGTTTTTTTTTTTTTTTCTCTAACTAAAGTAACACGAGTTATTATTCTTCTTATTATTATTATTATCATTATTATTATTATTATTATTTGTGTATATAATAAAAACAGCTGGTGCTTTTCTGTCATGCATGAAACTCCTGAAAACGCGTTTTGAGGGTTCTTATCGCTATATCTCTTCGCTCCATCTCCATCTCCTTCTGTGTCGTCTGTCTCTCTCAAGGATCAAGGCATGGACCAAATTTTAAATTCTATATATATATATCATGTACGACTGTGCATGAAATGGCTGCTTCATTGACATTTGATTTGACTCTTTCAAATTATTTTCAGGAATTCATTCCAACAATATAATATACTACAGTATAACCCAATACTAAATACTCTACTACTAATATTAGTAATTCTTTTGTGCTACAATTAATACAACAGTACAACTACGAAATTAATAATACTCACGTTTTGCTCTCTGGGAAATTTTGAAGCTAACTCACACCCATGTAAGAAAAATAATTTTGTTTTGCAATATATATGTAGCTCATAAACTCGACCACTCAGGCTTGCTAGCTAGCTAGCTACTTAATTGTCTTTCAGACCATCATCATCATTTTAACTTTTTTTATTTGACATATTTAGTGACCACTAAGTTTAGTGAACTAACTGACGTACAAGTACTCACAAAACGCGTTTTTTGGATAATAAAAGATTGAAACGTGCACATGAAAGGAACAACGATATTACGTTTTTTTTTTTTTTTTTCTTTTTCTTATTATTAATATTATTTTTAAGTTTGATGATAAATTAGGATTGCAGATTTCCAATCAAATTACTGGACCTTGAATTTTAATATTACTGTGCGTGTGTAGAATATTCAGTAATTTTGTTATTTAATATTGAAAAAATAAAATATGCATATAAAACAAAAATAAATAAATAAATAATAAGGTAAGATTTGGTGAATTTAATATAGATAATGTAGTGAAGTGGGGTTGTGCAGTGATGTGATGAAGCCGCGTTAACATAATTACAAGAAGTCAGACAAACTCCCCGAAATGCCTCGTCTACTATATATATATATATGACTGAATCCGACTTAATATTTACATCATCTTAATATTATTATTATTATTATTATTATTCATACAAATGCTAATTTGAGAGCTGAATATTTGTGTTGTACTAATAAAAGTTTCATATTTTTCCTATTTGAGTTTGGATTAAGAAGGTTTGATTTGAATTCTATATTTAAATACTGTTTGATTTAATATTATATGAAAAAAAAAAATAAAGTAAAAATAGATAAACTTTAAGAAACATACATTATACTGTACATACTACCTGAAAATGATCTCTTACATACTGAAGAAATCCGTTTCAATGATTGTAGAATATCATTCTATCAAATGAAGAATTATAGCCCACACCAACACCAAAAAAATATTTGTTAACATAAAAGCATTTAAATTTCTACATTTCAACGAGAATGATTCATAACCTTTTCCCCCACAACAACAACAACAACAACAACAACAATAACAACAATACTAGATAAATAAATAAATAAATAATTGTTTTATTTATAGATACTTTTAACAATGGTACTTTTTGTCTATTGTATCACCATTGTGTATGAATAATGAAAATGGTGTTTTGGTGGACGTGGACATATAGTAAGTTTAACACACATTAAAAAAAATAAAAAAAAGAACTGACAAATATTATAACAACTTACACAATATATAATGTAATTATTCAAACTATGTACAACTAAGCGATACTTCAAGTGCTAAACATCTTTAACCGTCCCCTCGATTTTAATTGTCTCCAATATTTCTAATATAATAATTGCTATGAGCAAACTATGTTTTCTCCTCAATTTATATTAGTATTTATTTATTTATTTATGATTGTTATTAAAGTATTATATTAAATATTTATATATATATATATAAACAATTCTCATTCAACAATTATTTTCCATTCCCCTTTTCAGATTAATTTCTTCAAATGTAACACATTAGAGTCTTTTAGATTTTAGGTTAAAATAATTGCTAAATATTAGTTTAAGACTCCATTTGCATACAAAATTTTGATATTTATCAACAATAACTTTTTTAACAAAGAAAAAAATATATGATATAAAATATATTTTTATTTAAAATTTTATCTTCTATTAAAAAAATTATAAATATTTATTTATATCATATCAACTATTATATTTTTTATTATTTATTAAAACTCTTCAAATTTTCTTAAATTTGTTTTCTAAATCGGTGCCCAATTATATATATGTTTTTGAAAGAAAAAAAATCTTAAATAATAAAAACTCTATTAGAATACATCGAATTGTGCGTAGCTTTCTCATTTTGAATGAATGGAATAATAATAATATATATATGTATATGTTTATATGTAACAATAAATTAACCCTTGAATTTCAACATCTTTTTCCATCTAGTATTTAAAATTTCGTCAGAGTCCACATCGTTCATATCATACTCTTTCATATATTTAATATAATATATATATGTATATATATAGAGAGAGAGATAAGTTTTGCATTGTACTATGTAGTAAGCTTAAGTAGGTGTCGTGTCGGTCCCTACAACTCTCCATCCTCGTAGCTTCCTTTGGGAACGCAAGCTATATATGCTTCCATCGATTTAAATTTATTCATGTCAAATACTTATTAATTTCTAATTAATTAAATTCATTTCTTGAAACAATTGGGTGGCGCCCGCGTGGCATCATATATTTTCTTGGAATTTCTAACATCACATGTCATTACATTTTTATTCCAGTTTAAATTAATTAGTCAGTCAGCATATGCACATATATACATACGTTCGTACGTGTGAAACCCCATCGCGGAAGCAGTCACAGATGGTGCTTCACAGCCAGGCACATAATCCACCTAGTGGATGTGTGTGTGTGTCTACATATGTTTTACTCCAATGCTATTAAATGTACCACGTTTTTTTTGTTAATAACTAAAAATAATGTCTTCAAATAAATGCTTCAAATTTAAAAAATAAAAAAAAGAGTCAAACCCAATTTAATTAATCAGACTTGTTAAAAAACGACACAGCTGCTGTACGTACACTATCATAAAACTAGTGGTAATTAAACTCAAACGAAAAATATACCTTTCCACGTACCCATATCTTAAAATTACACACGTATAATAATGCTATAAAATTTATACTATAAATATAAATACATATTATCTATCCTCTGTATGTAAGACTGATCATCTCAACAAACACACACACATATGCGTATATAAGTATTTTCCTTAGCTGTCACAAGCAGAGTCAAAAGAAAGTGCTCAGAAATGACCATAAATAAATTTTGGAATAATAATAATAAAGATATGCATGATGGTAGCACGTACAGTGTGTATGAAATCGAAAAGGACATTCCGTACGTACGTTACGTATATGTATGAAAGGACATCCTAACAATAATGCAATAATATTACTGCATTTATTGATGGGAGCTTCGCCAGCTATGTATGTCGTCTTAATAGTAACAAGTACTGAAGCAAGCCCCTTCAAATTTTATTTTATTTGATTTTTCTCAACTAGCAGCTGTAAGCTGGCTAGTCCTATTTTTCTTTGTAAAAAAAAAAAAAGAAAAGAAAAGGTGGAGCATTGAATCTTGGACTATGAACAGGCAATGTAAGGGAATGGGAATATATATGATATCCGTACAGTATCCACCCAGGATCTATTATATCCATGGGAATGTGGCCACGAAACACCCCAGAACCTTCCCGCTTAATTAATTAAATCCTCTGTCTAGCTACTTATAAGTCTTCGATTGATTAATTATATACTTCATAGAAATATTTACTGATAATGTAATAATTAATGATAATCTTGTTGGGGAACTTTTGGTTAATTAATTAATTGGGTTAAGGGCAGGTGCCGGCGTTGTCTTGTTTCACCACACGACTTTAAAGTTTTAATAGACACTTTTGAGTTTTGAACCTTATAAATAGACGATGTAGAATTCGTGTTCATACTCGACTAGTTTCATAAATGTAATTGAGCTTATAATCTTTTTACCTGATAATTAAAATTATTTTTAACTTTCGGACAAATAAGGCCCAACAGGGTGAAGTTTTGATAAATCTTTGCTATGTCTTTTGGGCTACTTTTTTAGCCCAAATTACCTGCAGCCCAAATCAGTAAGCCACAGAAATTATAATCTTCCGTACTTCAGTTGACGTCAACGCTCGTGACATCGGCACGTGACAAAATCCATGTCCTAGGTGGACTCCCGGGTCTACAAAACGACGAAATCTTATTGGTTCACAGAACCCGAGACTGCGTGGCGCCGACCTAATTCTTTTTAGTATAAGTTGCCATCGCACACACTCCGCCCCTCCGCTATATCTACGATCTCCTGTCCGGCGCTACTCCAAAATCCAAATATCCGAAACTTTTCCGGCGGCGGTCGATTTTCGGCATGGCGATGATTGCACGGCGGTTTTGTCCGGCGTTGTTGATATTGGTTGCGACGGCGGCGGCGTGGTTTCCGGCGGCCCGTGGGGTGTGGTTCGACATGCCGAAGTCGGGGTGGAAGTGCGTGTCGGAAGAGTTGCAGTCCAACGTTGTCGTTATCGGCGAGTACTACGGCTTCTTCGGCAATTATTACGACGAGAACAGTACCGCCGTTCCATCTCTATCCGTTAAGGTTAATTGTTTCGGTTCCTTAAATTTCGTGCGTAGAATGTTGTTTCGTGTTTCGTTGATTTCGTAATTGTTTAATTTTTATTTTTTTTTTTTAAAAAAAGGAAAATTAAGTCCTAATTAGATGCTTGATCAACGTGTTGAGACTTGAGAAGGATTACACTGCAGAAATTTGGTGTTTTTTTCGATTCTGTGAGATGAATTACGGTAATTAGGGTTTTCTGTTAAAATCCGAATTCTAATTTTGATTTGATAAAAATAAGAAGAAGTATTCTGGTGCAATCGGACAGGGCAGTGTTTGTTCGAATAAGCTGACCCCATTTGTATTGTCCTTTTTAAGGTATCATCGCCATTTGGGAACACATTACACCAGCAACATAAAGTCTACCATGGTCAATTCTCATTCACCACATCAGAGTATGGTGTATACATGGCATGCTTCACCATAGACAGCGACACCGGAGGCAGAACAACAACCGTTGGCGTCGACTGGAAAACTGGAATTGCTACAAAAGATTGGGATTCCATTGCAAAGAAGGAAAAAATTCAGGTAACTGAAAGATCGACTCTGACTCTTTTTTGTTCGACAATGACATATTGATGTGTATATCTATCCAATCTCCTATCTTTATAGGGGCTCGACCTCGAGTTGAAGAAGCTAGAAGCTTCCGTGGAAGCGATCCATAACAATCTATTCCGTCTGATTGAAAAGTAAGCTTGAATTAAGTTTCATCCCCTTGGGCTAATTAAGGTTGGATGCATGTAATGAATTATATTGTTGTATGTAATGTGTTGGTTTGGTTTCTTGCAGGGAGTGGAAGTTGAGAGATATGAGTGATAAAACCAATGTTAGAGTGGCTCGGTATAGCCAAATGTCTCTCTCCCTTTGCATCGTGGTGTCGATAGTTCAAGTGTTGTATTTAAGGCGATACTTTAGGATGAAGAAGCTCATCTAATAAAAGGTTGTCTGTAATATCTGTTGTTTTCGCTGCATCTCATATTTTGGAACACTATTTTTTTTTGGATATGAAACTGGATGGGATCATATATCTTAATTTTCTTGCAGACATTAGTTAGGCAGTGAGATTGGATTTTGTGGGGGGAAATGTATAAATAATAATGCACAAGGAACAATCATTTGAAGCGGAGGGAGCCATTTTGTTCAGGGATTGATTTCTTTAGAATGCTCCAAGTGCTAAACTGGACGAGACAATGTAATGAGCTAAACCCGTTTTAATTGGGCTCTAAGGTTCAACTGAAAGGCCCAAATTCAATTTTACTGTGCCACTAAAAGTTTCTATATTGTTTATTTTTATTGTATATCTTTTATGTAGTACATAGTAAGGTTTGTTTGCATAGAGTTCTTCACCATCATCTTCTTCTTTAATAATAAAAGCATAAATTTGGGGCATGGAATAGAATGGAATGATTCGTGCCATGGGTGGTGAATCTATTCTGATTCAGTGGCCGAGGAAGAGAGAGGAATCTCCCTCGAGAACACACAAATATGAACATGGCAGACGTGGCTGCCACTGGTCAGCGGTCACATACACATAGGCAGTGGACAGCTCATCAGCGACTTCAGTTCTTTCGATCCATTTTACGTTTTTAATTTTAGTAAAAATGAAAAACCATGGAAATAACAAAAATCGGAAAATTGAAATACAAAAAGGCTCATCCACAAAACCCAGAAGAGACGAAGAGGGTTCAATCAACAGAATCCACCCCGCGAGAGAGAGAGAGAGAGAGAAAGAGAGAACAAATAACTAATTTTCTCTCAGCAGTGTGTGGCGTAGACAGCGGCACCGCCTGCCAAACCCAGAACCTCTGCGAAAATTCCGTTCGGGAATAAGACAAGAATCCATTAGAGTCGAAGAGCTATTTGTTACATACATGCAATCAATCACAGCTATATATTTAAATCCTCTACAGTCTTCACCTCCGAACTACCCCTCATTGTTCTCTCCGCCCAACATAAAGACCCAGCGACGTCTCTCAAGAGATTTCTCGCCCTGTTTTTTAACTCATCTGTCTCCCAATTAATGATAATCACACCTACCTGGGTAGCTTGCCACATTTCTTTCTCTTGATCTGGGCAATCTCAATCATTCACTCTGCACCTCACGCGGAGTTCAGTTCTTCTTAACTATTCAAGTATGGGTTTTTTTTTTTTTTTTTTGCCTTATGTTTTGCGTATTCCTACGGTGTGTTAGCAGTTTTTTAAGTTTGCAGATTTCTTGATGCTTATAGAATCTGCAGATATGCTTGTTCAGAGTTTGTGAAGTGAAGAATGTCGATTACTATATCCTGAGAAAGTTATTGTGCAGTTTAGTCATGGGATCATTGTTTCTTGCATACTTAATTTATTGCTTTTGGCGTCCAAGAATGCTTACCCCGTTTGACCTATTCGTGTAGTTGAATTTCTTGATGCTTAGTCTTTGATGGTTTCCCATTGTTATCCTGAAAAAATTACAGGGCAGTTTAGTCTTGAGAATAATTTACTTCTTCAATCCTTGGAAGAATTGCATATTGTTTGGCATACAAAGATGCATGTTTTCGGTACTTCCACTTGGATATGCATATTGTTTGCTCACTTGACCTTTAATTTGCATTTGGTCTTTCATCTAGGTATTCAAGTAATCATATAATTGCAGCAAGGTGAATCATTCTAACTTAAAATGCAGAAATATTCTAGTTATAATTTATAAGATTTAGATAAATTACTGAGTACAACCTTCTAATAAGGGTCAGATTGATTTCCCTCTCTTAATGTTTGTTCTTTCAACATTTCTATCCTGATTCTAATACATTTGGATTTTTCATTGAGATAAGTTTGTAGTTGGCAGTGCGTAACAAGCTCGAATCTTTTTTCCCAGGACTCAGTTATTTAATCAATCTTGCTCTCATTTGTGTTTCTTTATCATAATAATGATTGTTTTCCATCACACGCATTTTATGCTTATGGCAGATTTCTTCTGGGCAGCCTTTTTAGGATATGGGTCCTTATTATGTCGGTCTGATCGTGCCACTAGTGTTAACACTTCTGATTCGTAACACCAAGAAAGAGAAGAAAAGAGGGTTGCCAGTGGATGTTGGTGGAGAGCCTGGTTATGCTATCCGAAACCACCGGTTTACCAAACCTGTGGAATCTGCTTGGGAAGGAGTCACAACTCTTGCTGAGCTTTTTGAGCAGGCCTGCCGGAAGTATTCTGACCTGAAATTATTGGGGACTCGGAAGGTGGTTTCTAAAGAAGTGGAGATATCTGGTGGAAAGTCTTTTGAGAAGCTACATTTGGGTGATTACGAGTGGTTGAGTTATGGACAGGCGTTTGAATCAGTATGCAACTTTTCTTCTGGTATTATGCAACTCGGACATCAAAAGGGAGAACGTGCTGCAATCTTTGCTGATACATGTGAAGAATGGTTCATTGCTTTACAGGTATATCATCTGATCCTATGTTCAAAGTGCCTTTCATTTTTCGAAAGGACTTAGTTATTGATGGTAACTTATAAGAAGTGGTATTGTTCTGTGATTAGTGTAACTTCCTAGTGAGATAAGTCTCTGATTTATTAACTTCAAGTTTCTTTTTTCAGGCTTGTTTCCGGCGCAATGTGACTGTTGTGACCATTTATGCCTCTCTTGGTGAAGAAGCTCTGTGCCATTCGTTCAATGAGGTTTCTCTCTCTCTCTCTCTCTCTTATGTGTGATGCACACGCACACTACACACACACCAGGCAGAAAGGCTCAAACTTCGTGTAAATATTCAGTATGCCGCTGCTACAACTGCGGTTAAAATTTAATCTGTAACATTGAGAGACTGTAACTATTTTTCCCATAAAATATGCATATATGAACTTGAAATGGGATATTTAATTATGTTATTAAAGTTCAATAGCTTAAAACCCCGAATGGATTCTAAGTTATGAATTGGCAACATTAATCTGTGTTATGCTTTTGTGCGTTGTTGGCTCTTTTATGATATTACTCTGCATCCAAAAAATGATTACCTCATTATTTGGGATGATATGTTCTCAGAAATTTCTGTTCTGTTCTTCAGACAGAAGTTACAACAGTAATTTGCGGATACAAGGAACTCAAGAAAATAGTGAATATAAGTGGGCAGCTCGATACCGTCAAGAATGTAATATGCATGGACAATGAATTTCAGACAGATTTTTCATTGGTTTCTGGAAACACTAGCTGGACCATCACATCCTTCTCAGAGGTGATAAAGATGGGCGGAGAAAATCCAGTTGAACCAGACCTACCTGTTTCAGCTGATATTGCTGTAATAATGTACACAAGCGGTAGCACTGGCATGCCTAAGGTCCGTATGTACATAACAGTTCGGTCCACATTTTTAACACTAGATCTGCCTCGTTCGACTTTGGTACTAATTGATTCGCGTATTTTCTTGTTGCAGGGTGTCATGATGACGCATGGCAATGTCTTGGCTACGCTGTCTGCTGTGATGACAATTGTTCCAGGGCTTGGAGTTGGAACCGAGGATGTTTATCTAGCATACTTGCCGTTAGCCCACATTCTTGAACTTGCAGCCGAGGTATGAAATATGCTGGACTATTGAAATTAGTAACTAGTTCTTGGGTTTTGTAAATTGCATATTATGTTTAGGAAAGGGATTTGATTCTTGTCATAAAAACTTTGAAAGAAATCTCTTTTAATGCAGAATCTTATGGCTGGTATCGGAAGCTGTATTGGGTATGGATCTCCTTTAACTCTCACTGACACTTCGAATAAGATCAAGAAGGGAACCAAAGGGGATGCTACAGTATTGATGCCGACACTGATGGCAGCTGTGCCAGCTATTCTTGATCGTGTTCGTGATGGTGTGAGGAAAAAGGTTTGAAGGGTTTCCCTGCCGTCAACCATAATTAATTCTTTATGTTTTTTGGATGAGCTTCTGAATTCCAGTAAAATTCAGGTGGATACTAAGGGAGGACTCTCAAAGACACTATTTGATTTGGCATATGGCCGTCGATTATCTGCTGTAAATGGTAGCTGGTTTGGGGCATGGGGCTTGGAAAGGCTTCTATGGGATCTTTTGGTGTTTAAAAAGGTCCAAGCAGTTTTGGGTGGTCGTATACGGTTCATACTCTCTGGGGGCGCCCCTCTTTCCGGGGATACTCAAAGATTTATCAATATATGTCTCGGGTAAGTATTATACTAACTCAGTTGGGCCATTAGGAATTTGATATTCGTATGTTTGGGTATGAATCTAATTATGAACTGCGATGGTTGCTTAATGCAGTGCTCCGATTGGTCAGGGTTATGGTCTGACCGAGACATGCGCTGGTGGGACATTTAGTGAGTATGATGATACATCTGTTGGCCGTGTGGGTCCTCCGCTACCTTGCTCAGTTGTGAAGGTAAATGAATTCCATTTTAGACTTTTAATTCACTTCTTCCTTTGTTTCCTTATTATTCTTTATTGTTTTCTCGATGATTAAAATCTGTTTGGTACGACCAGTTGGTTGATTGGCCGGAGGGCGGGTACTTAGTTAGTGATTCGCCAAAGCCACGTGGAGAAATTGTTATCGGCGGGCCAAATGTTACTCTCGGATACTTCAAAAATGATGAGAAAACGAAGGAAGTTTACAAGGTATTGATATTTAAGTCATAACCTTGCATTTTTATCGATTGTTGTATTATGGTGAAGCTTATGTGCATTTATTCATTTAATGCTCTAAGGATGATGAGAGGGGAATGAGGTGGTTCTACACAGGCGACATAGGACAGTTCCACGCTGATGGTTGCCTTGAGATTATTGATCGGAAAAAGGACATTGTGAAACTTCAACATGGAGAATATGTCTCCCTTGGAAAGGTACTCATCTAGAATATTTGAAAATGATTCGATCCGAGCTTTTGTATACTTCTCCCAGCTCAAATGATGGTTTTCTGTTCAGGTAGAGTCAGCGCTCATTGTGAGCCACTATGTCGACAATATCATGGTGCACGCTGATTCTTTCCATGGCTACTGCATAGCCTTGGTAGTGGCTTCGCAGCCGGCTTTAGAAGTCTGGGCCGCAAAGCAAGGAATCGAGTACTCAGATTTCGCGGACTTGTGTAATAAAGAAGACAGTCTTAAGGAAGTCATGAGTTCATTACTCAAGGTAAAAGTATCATCCTCGCGCATATGCTTCAAATTCTTTGAAGATGCATTTACTAACTGTTTTTTTTTTTTTTTTTGTCTCCATGGATCGAGCAGGCGGCGAAGGATTCGAAGCTGGAGAAGTTTGAGATTCCAGGGAAAATCAAGCTGCTCCCGGAACCTTGGACGCCGGAATCCGGGCTCGTAACAGCAGCCCTCAAACTCAAGAGAGAGGTCATAAGGAAGACATTTTCTGAGGATCTTGCCAAGCTATACTCATCATCATAATTGATGACGTCAGAACATACATCCCTGTGTTCTTTTTTGCCAGAGATCTTGACTCAATTTCTGTTCTGTTCATCCAACATCATGAATCTAACTTTGATGTACTTCCAAGAAAATTTGAATTGAATCTTGAAGTGATATTTCAATATAGTTAATGTCATGTGCTTTTGGTCAAAGACAGAGATTGGTTTGGCAATTAAAACCCAAACCTAAATAGTATAGATGAAATGAAATGGTAGGGCCAGTGATTTCCAACCAATTGCTCCTCTTTGAAGCAAGGTGGGATGCACACACAGAGTTGGGAACACTATATATACACCAAGTAGTAAGTATGTATTGTCTTGTTCTCATATATAAATTTCCTCTTTAAACTTAGAGAGAGAGAGAGAGAAAGTGTTCCAGACACCCCCTGACAAAAACACCCCTGTCAAATCCTTCAATTCCATGACCAAAATTTTTGCCATGTATACATACATGAAGCACCAGACACACACTACACAACACTGTATATAACCCACTTCCGGGTGTCCTTTCCAGTGCAGTTTCTTGAAAGCTAAAAGCCTCCTTTTTTTTCCATTTCCATCATCCAAACACAGAATTTAGAGGTCTAGAGATTGAAGAAGCAGTTCTGAGAGAGAAGCAAAAATAAAAATAAAAAATTAAGGTGGATATGAATAATTGTTATTATGAATGCAGAGATGACAGGAAAGGGTGCCATTTTCATCCGAGAGAAGTGGTGGTGGGAGTATGTGCTCTGTGCTTGAATGAAAGGCTCCTAGTTTTGGCTTCGAAACAAGACCAACTCCATACAACCAACACCAACTACAGTGTGCCACCAAAAAGGGTCCTACGGAAGATTTTTGCTCTCACAAGTTTGCTCATCAAACAGCAGAAATCTGAGGTCTATCACAGTGGATCAACCAGTCAAGAAGGTTAGATTATTTATTTATTTATTTTTTGGCTTCCTTTTTCATCGTCTTTCTTTCTGTTTGCTTCTTTTTGAAGAGAAGAAAGGGGGTTTGTTTGGTGAAACAGTGATCTTCCCACTCATACTAGCTTTTGACTTAAGAGTGTTCCTTTTATTTTTTTGCATCAGCACATAGTAATAACTATAAGCACATTGTTTTTAGTGAAGATTTTTGGATTAAGAGCTGTTTGATCTCATCAAATCACATCTCTTTCACTGTAATCTGCACCCAATATTGCCATGATCCACTAATGAAATCTACTGTGCTGTTAAACAGCAATCAGGACTGTGTTTTCAATTAAAAAAATAAAAATCTTCTATCTATGTGGTTATGGTTTTCTCCTAGACATGTATAATAAATTTAAGAATTTCTTAGTCAATAGTATACACAGCATACAAAATGTACCAAACAAGTTTCCATAATTACTAATGAATATGAATGATCATTAGTTGATACCTATACATCAATCACATGGCTTACAAATTAAGGCATATTATATGTATATATGAAATGGTAGCTCTAATCAATTACTGTTGGTCACTGCAGATTCCTTTATATCAATTAAGTTTGAGGACAATGGTGCTGCCTCATGGGACAAAGGGAAGATCAACAAAATGCTAGATGAGAATCAGAAGATGCCGGCGGTGGGGAAGAAGATCAAATGCGTCGTAGAGCACATGAAACCGTGCACTGCGCAGAGGTGGCGAAGGCGGATCGGACACCTCTTGCAGCTGATGAGATGGAACAACAAGTCCTCCAGCAGCAAGTGCCAGATGGGCACAAAGCTTGAAGGAGGTAAGGTTAAAAAGTATGGATGGATGAGGACCCTCACAAGGAAGAAGAGGGCCAAAGCATAAAGGGGCTTACAATGTGTACAATATAATAGAAATATCCGATAACACACCATATGGCATAGTTAGAAACTTTTTCGATCATCTTTATCATCACCATCATCATCAACAACTCCATCAAGATTATATATAGATGCAAGAAAGGATAGCTATATTTTATAAGAACATGTTCTAGCCTCTTACAAATAAAATCATGGGTGTTTTATTTTTATTTTTTTTCTTTTCTTTTGTGTCAAAAGAAAATTGCCCATATCCCCATCTTCTACTACTGCTACTACTACCACATGTGCAAAAATGGGATGCATGTGCAAAGAACTAATAGTTGCCTTTGTGTAGTTAAATCTGTCAATAGAAAACAAAAGTGTTTTTGTTTGGCTATCTGCCCCTTCCATTGGCTTTAGCTACATGGGACAATCTCTACAGGACCACCTAGCTTCTTTTGGGATTTAATTTAAAGGCCCTTTATTTTTCTTTCTTTTTCTTTCCATGTGACATAATTTTAGCTTCAAACAGCTCTGTCTTCTTGTGCATATCTACAACTGTTTTATAGTCAAAAAAATTGCCCAACTTGAACCAACAATGGTAACTTCATCAGATATGCTCTGCTAATTATTGTACATTTTTCTTCTTATTGTTGAACAAAGAGGACAGGTGTGCAATTAATATACACTGAATATGACAGCAGTTGAACAAATAAAAAGTAAAGGGTCAAATCAAACCATGTGGACAATCAAAACCAAACCATTGTAATGGATTTTCAGTATGATCCATCCTCCACAAATCTGTCTAGGTTTTCATGGATTTGGATTGAAGGCTGAAGCCCCCCTTTAATGCAATTGGGGTTTATCTTTTTCAAATTCAAAAGCCACAAAAAGATGTGTAAAAAGTAAGCCTCAACCTCTTTTCCCTACAATGGGTTAATGAGAGTGTACTTTCATGTTTCTTTAGAAGAATATGAAGTGTGTAGTAACTAACACTTGCAAAAAAATGAAAAAAAGAAAGGATGAAGAGGAAAAGCAAAGCATTGTACAGTGAAGAGGGACCCTTTTTTTCTTTCTCCTCTTCTCTTCTCTTCTCTTCTCATCTCATCAATCAAAGAATCTTGAAAACGTGGCCAGCAAATAAATTTAAATAAAGAGCAGCAACTTTGTTTGTTTGGCTTTCAATTAATCTTATGAAGAGACCCTTTATGCAAATCTAAGTCAAAATAACTTTAATAAGTCATATTGATTAGTCACTGTAATGGCTATCATCCAAAAGCCAATAGAAAAGTTATTTCCCTCTCAACAAGATTAGGGTTTATCATTTTCCTCTTTCACTTATTTAAACAGAGCACATGCTTTTATAATAGTTTATTTATTTGATTTATTTATCTTTCTTCCCATTCATCTCTATCTTTGGGTGTCTGTGGTGTGGTGGGCTAAGCTAAATTCAAGAAGACAATCATTCCCATTTTATTACAAGAAGATTTTCAAAAGTGGAGTAAACTGTAAGCAATCATCACATTTGGAGTTTCTGAATGAGATTTCAGTCTTGTGGTGGCATAATTAGGTGTGGGCATTCCACGGTCGGTCTCAATAAATCGGGACAATTTCTATATCGGATAATAAATTCGATAATTTTAAAAATTACAACAATATTTCACGTTCTAGCTAAAATTTGTAGGATTGGGACATCGCCGGATGTCGGGTTCTCATTTATTTTCAAAAAGTATTTAATATAATTATTATATATGTATCTAAGCATATTCCATCTTTTTATGATTCTAATGAGTAATGAAAGCCAATATTCTTCTTTCAAGTATATTTAGCATAATTAAATTACAAATTTCTTTCATATCTATTGATCTATAAAAATTTTATTTAGTAATTTATAGTATTTAATTTGAATAAAAGTTTTATATTTTGTCAATCTGTGTAATTTAATTGAGTTAATACTTTAAATATTGTGAATATATATTTTTCTTTTAAAAAATAAAAATGTATTGGTAGTCTAAGACTACATTTGGAAAGTAATTTCTAGAAAAAAGGAAAATAAATAATTTAAGATATATTTTATCTCGATTTATTTTTCAATTTAATCTCATGTAGCCTCACCAACTAATTAACACAATGTAGGTATGGTTGAAAAAAATGATGGAAACTTGGACTACTTTTTGAAGTTTGCACCCAAATAAGTTAAAAGAGGAATATACATATATATATATATATATAATTTTATTCTTGACCAGTGTAAAATGCTTCATTCAATTATTCAGAGTCAGCAAAAATGAGGCCCCCCATTTTTTAAGAATTCTTAATCGAAGCCTAAATAAGGGTCTTTTTTTTTTTTTAACAAAAAAAAAAAAGGGAAAAAAGAATATGAACACTCACACAGAAAAGTCACTGTTATTAAAGCTGTGATTAGATTTTATTCTCGTCTTTCAACAATGATGATTAATATTTTCATATTTCATTTTCCTTTCACAGTTTCACAAATTTACAAGAACGAAAGGGCATTCCTAACTATCACTTAAACATGACTTACTGAAATAAGTTTTCTTTGCCACTGAGTAACCTACCTACCTTCACATGTTGGAAGCAATGGTGCAGGAATTCATCATATTTCAATCAACAAAATTATTGCTAGGTTCCAACATAAATCAATGATCATTAGTTAAAAAAATAAGCACTTCAAAATAATAGCTTTTCATCAGATTGATACTGCAATTCATAGGTTAAGTAGTAGCAGCAAGATATTTGTATCAGATTTGGTACAGATTAGCACACAATTGCCAAAGAATCACAATCCAACCACCAACATGATTCTCACATCTGCCCATGTGATGCAGGTTTGGGTGTGTTGTGAACCATGTTGACTGGTCATAGATTCAACTCCTTTTTCAACACAACACTTCATTCATTCATTAACATTTATACTATACAGAACAGAAGCAATATCTAATCAATGCAAGAGACTTACCAATAAAAAAAAATGAAAAAAAGAGAGCAATTTACATCAGTCAAATCTGTTGCCCACTGCTTCATTTTAAGGAAAAACAACTTAGCATTGCAGTGACTTCTGGTATGACCTTTTCACCATATGAAGCACTAGTTTAATCATCAATTTGCAGTATGTAAACATATATCTAGTGAACCCTTGCATTGATCATAAAACATGAAGATAAAAAAAATCAACTTTAGACAATTATCATAGCACAAGAGGGGTACCGAAACCGGCTGAAGAAGGTTGCACCGAGCGAATTTTGATATCATATTTTCTCTTACTGGAGGTTTCGACAGAAGTGGGTGAGCCTGTCCCAGTTGTTATAGGATGGTAAGATGCAGCGTTTTTGTCAACACAACTATTTCCAATATAATTTCCACATTTCCGGCACAGAAGTTTTGTCTTATGACGAAATAAACCCCAACAATGCTTGGAGATGAAGTATGGAATACATCTGAACTCATCAACCTGATTAAACCTGCTCTCGTCAATGGAGAAAAAGGAAATGATCCCTTTCTTCATGGATTTACCATATTTGGAACCAATTGTTTCTGTATTCCGACTGGATGAGTTCAGGTTTAGATCATATCCACAAGCACCACAACTGCATGAAATAAAATGGTAATGTAACTTAAATGTAATTAAGAACTATCCGCTCATTAATGGATACCTTGTTAAAGTATGCAGATTACCATATACAAGGATGGTTAATTCATTTATATCATAAAAAATAAGGTAAGTGTAACATTTGATAGAATAAGATGGTCACTGGACTTGTATCATTATGGCTAGTAAAAGGGATATACATGTCTGTATGAAATATAGCACAAATGGGCTTCATCCATGAATGCATCCAACTGTATTTAGATGATAGACCAATAAGAACCTTCAAAGATGTATGTTTCAAATTATAAATACATTTATTAGAAATAAAACAAAGCTTACACATCTCAGTGGAATCTACATTATGATTGTCAACCTCGGAATTTCATTAATGAATTCCATCAGTGTAAAAAAGATTTATTAAAGGAAGAGGCACCTTACATTCATGAAGATTTAGAGTAATGGAGAGCATATAAACTGTTGGCGAAAAAGTAGAATTCCAGTTACATAAGAGTATTGAAGAACTTTGAGACTCTGTTTCCATTAAAAAACTTAGCCTGATATAGTAACTTTATCCAAATGAATTGCCTAAAATGGCACCAAACTGATATTTCCGATTCAAGTACTAACCACAATTGCTCAGCTGCTCAGATCTCTAACACAGTAACCAGCAGTCTCACCCCAACCCTTAACATAGAAATCATAGCCTCATAGTGTACATGCACAAATTATAACCTAAATGGCTCCAAAAAACTATCAAGAAGACTTGACGGATAAATTATCAGGGCAGAACCAACTGCACTCTCCTTCCTAGTATTCCATAATTGTAATGATATGTAATATGTTTAATCTTGAAGTTCATAATTTACCAAAGGTTAGTAAAGGCCACATTTTCATGGGCATAAAGTAGGCTTCATTTATTATTCCCGAAAACCAAGCAAATGATTTGATCAATTGGAATAGTCAATGCACCCGAAGCCGCATACGACAAAGTTCGTAATTTAAAAAATTCCAGTTGGTTATACTACAACTATAGTATGAATTTTCCACGACGATCAACTAATTCACTTAAAGCTCTCTCTCAACCATTATTATTTGGAAACATCTCAAAAGCATGAATTAACTGCACGATATCAAATTCAAATGCCATTAATGTCTGGGTATATGTGCGCCAACGCAGATAAGAGGGATCTGAAGGGTAGAATGATCACTACAAATGCTAGTTTAAGGTAAATTAAGCTTTTACTAAGCACACTACACAATTTCAGCCAGAAAGCACTTCTTGCGACATCATCCTGCCCACTGTTTCGCTGAGCAATTGGGCAAAAGAACAATTCTACTGCTAGTTAATCTGATTCAAAACTTTAATTAGCACGCCATCAACCTTAGCTAACCCTTAATGCGAATAAAACTGCTCGACACACTTCCATGGCACATACAGCTTCGTTCCACCAGCATAATCGCGACAACTATCCCCATTGCAAATAATCGTCACACAGAGATGTAACAACCGAATTTCAAGCAGAAGTTTTCGACAAACACTCGGTAAAGAAACTAAATTACACCAAACCCCTGGATCAAACAATCCGTACAGTAACAATCCGAAACTCAAATTAAGCGTAGCCGCATTCACCTGTAAGTGACATCTCGGTGTGAAGCAGCAAAGGAGGCCGAATAGTGATGGTAATTCGCGGAATACCCATTTGAAGTATCCATTAAATGGAACACCCTGCAGCAGAAAATCGGAACGGCGGTAGAATTAGAAAGAAGGCAGGCAGCTTAGGGTGAGGAAAGAATAAAAACAAAAAGAGGATCCAATGAAAGTTACCGCCTTTCGACGGAGGAGAAATCGTACGATATTGCAAATTGCAATCTTTCTTTCTGCAGTTGCTGAGGAACAGTTCCAACTAAAATCGTGCGGAATCAAAAGGCTTGTGGCCCTTGTAATGGGCGGTTATTTGGTGAAAAAACAAGTAACCGCAGGGAAGAGAACCAGAGACACTGTTTTGATAGAAACCATGATTGAGAGAGATTGACCAGTAATATACTAATGTCTCCCTCAGGACTCAGGAGAGGTTCCCATGCCACTTTATTTTTTTTACCACACAAGTGAGTTTAGGGATTTTATTGAGCTTTTTATCAACGAGAGATAATAAGTTTTATTTACCCTTAAGGGTGTGTTTGTTTGGGGGATTAGATTGAATTTACACTATTCATTCAATTTTTTTTCTTCAAAAATATCAAATTAAACGTATATTTTTTATTTTTTATATTATACTAAAAATCAATTTTACATTCAAAACATCATATCAACACCTATTTTATATCACATCATACAATTATTCAAATTAAAAATTTTTACTATTAAAATCCCAATTCAAAATCCAAGCTTCCAACAAACACACAATTAGTATTTTAATTGATTTTTCCTTTAAAAATATGAGTAGAATATACTACATTATATATTGGAAATAATATATTTTTTTATATTAAATAATATTTTATTGTAATTTATGTAAAAATTTAAAATATATTTTAATATTAGTATATTTATTATTAATACAATGTAATATTTTGAATTACAGCCAAACAAATGAAAATAATAAAATAATAAAAAGAAAATGAAAAAGTTATGGGTGATGCATAGTCATATTCCCTCTTCATTAAATTTGAAGTGAGGTTCTGTAATGATTAGTATATGAAAAAATTTCCAATATAAATATTTCTAAACATAATAGGAGTAGCATTTAATTTTAGTAGAAAATAACAAATCACAATAAACACACTGGTACATTTGCTGAATTGATATGATTCTTATTGAACAATCGACAGGTCTTCATAATCTGGACTTGACGCCTTCCTGGAACAAAATGGAATTCCAATTTGGGTTCTGAGGAAGATATGTACCCTGCAAGGCAAACATTCGATGAATGCCGGCAATTTATTGTCGGAAAGGCTCCGATTCTGAAAAAAAAAAAAAAAAAAAGAATCTTTTTTAAAATCATTAAAAGGAAGAGGAGGAGGCGGTTACAGAGGCATAAGAGCAGGTGGGGATGACGGACATGGAGCGGTTTAGGGCATGGGAGAAGGCGGCGGCGCAGAGGCGACCGGCGACGCCGGAGCCTCTCTTACTCGGAGGAACATAGGTGTGAGTTATGTCCATTACTTTGCCACCATCTCCCCTCACCTTGTACTCCAGATAAGCTTCCCTGTCCGCCGTCTCGAATTTCCTTTCCTTCTCATTCCAGACTATCGCCGACGCCGTCGCCGTCGTCTTCTCCTCCGCCATTTTCTTCGTCTGAAACTGAGCGTCGGCAAATCCGAAATTAGGGATTAGAAAAATATGTCTGCGTGAAATGACCGAAACACCCACAGGGTTTCTTAGCCTTTAAGTCAAAAGGTTTGAGAGGAATTAGGAAGGTAATTGAACTATTCCAGTTTTCCCCACTCTGTCGAAAAACCCTTGGGAGATTGCTCGAAGATGGCGGATTTGAAGGTGGAGACGATTGCGAGACTGGCTCAATGGAAGATCGAAAATTTTGGGCCGGCCACGCCTTACAAGAGATCTGATCCTTTCAAAATCGGCATATGGAACTGGTATATACGTATGTATGCCTGTCGACTATTTCGTTTGTGTATCTGTCCGTGCTTGATATATATTCTGGCTGTATCATCAATTTCTTCAGGTACTTATCGGTTGAAAAGAACCGATCAATGTACATCCGGCTATTCCCGGAGCCGTCGCGGATTTCGAAGGATCAGCCGCCGCTTGCTCGGTTCGTCCTCCGCGTGACCACGTCTAGCTCCAATCGCAGGCCCTTCGTTTCCCCCAGTACGCACTTGTTGAATTTGACTTTGATTCCTCTTTTGATTTGTCTTTTTTTTTTCTGCTCGATCGAACCTTTCACATCTGCGACTATCGAATTAATAAACTAAAATCAAAATACTATTGAGGTTATCCTTTTGGTGGAGTATCTTATATGTGAATTCTCTATGAACTATACAAATCTAAACTAAAAAGGCATCAAGTTCCACTGTTTGACTAAGAAATTTTCGTAGTGAATGAAGTAAGCTCATGAAGGAATCATCCTCCATGTACAAAACATGTGCTTTCATTTTTTCGTAGTGGAACAATGGTGTTCATGACAAAATAGCTGCTGCATATCTCTCTCTCCATCTGTACATGTTTTCATTTCAAATGGTGTTTGTTGGTATATGCCACAGTTCATGAGAGAGTGCTTCGAACAAGCGATGACTTCTCCTGCCCTATCGATTTCAGCATTCAGGGTCGTTTCATCATAGATGTTGAGTTTCTGGATCTTAAGATCTGCCCGTTAAATGTGAGATTCAATACTTCATTTTTCATTCATGTAGTTTACATACATCCAGGCTGCCGCTACATGTTTCTTTAACTATCTACTTCAGGGTGGAGATGGAAGTTCCATATGGCCGGGAGACGAAACTATGCAATACCTAGCAACTCAAAGTACTCTCAAATGTCTTTCCCGAATGCTCGAGGAGGCCATTCACGCAGATGTGACTATCTACACAGCAGATGGAACACTAAAAGCCCACAAAGCAATCCTGTCTGCAAGTTCCCCTGTTTTCCAAAGCATGTTCCAGCACGACCTCAAGGAGAAAGAATCTTCGACAGTCAACATTGAAGACATGACGTCTGATTCCTGCACAGCCCTTCTCAGCTACTTGTATGGAACGATAAGCCAAGAAGCTTTCTGGAGGCACCGGCTGGCATTGTTGGGGGCGGCGAACAAGTATGACATAGTGGACTTGAAGGATGCCTGCGAAGAAAGCCTTCTGGAAGACATCAACTCTGGAAATGTACTTGAAAGACTGCAAGAGGCTTGGCTTTATCAACTGGATAAGTTGAAGAAAGGATGCTTGATGTATCTACTTGATTTCGGCAAGATTTATGATGTCCGAGAAGAAATGAACACTTTCTTCAGACAGGCTGACAGGGAATTGGTGGTAGAAATGTTCCAGGAGTTGCTTGCAGTTTGGAAACCAGCATAATTCACCGTTGCCAGAGGTCAGTACTTTACGCTTTGTTATGTAGTAAGAAATTCTATCTGCAATTTAGTCGTCGAATGTATAGATAAGTATGTAATATGTATATGTGTTGACAGACGATCTGATCCGTTTATCTTTTAAATGAGAAAAATATGACATGTTCTAATGACAGAGACAGAAGCTGATTGTCAATCAAACAGGATTTAATCAGCAGCAAGAGATAGTAGATGGTACTAAACTACTCTCGACGATGATTATCAAATTCTAAGACAGCCTTACTATGTGAGAAAAAATTTCCCGAATCCATTCCTGTTCTTAGCAGCAGATTCCTCGGCCCTCCCATTTTCATCGGGAACACATATGGTGTCCCTTGATGTTTCTCTTGATGGTTCCGTGTCATTAATAGTGCCACTGCTAGGTAATTTGGAGAAGCCCGGAATGTTTGAAGTGTCTATCAGGAAATCTTCCAACGTCGCGAGAGATTTCAGCTGCTTTCCCAGCGACGCAATCGTTCTCTGGCATTCTGCAAGCTTATCTGCAGCAACTGCTAGACCCTCCTGCAAGAACATCGAAGAAAGGATACAGTAATGATAATAGAATAGACACGGCGAGTAAGAAACTAAAAGCCAGCAGGCGAGTCTACCTCTTTTAATTTTGCTCCATCATCTGAATTAGTGTTGCATTCCTGAACTGTTCTTGATAGATCATTCTCCAGTTCGCGGCATCTGACAGTCAGTTCAGATGATAAACATCGCTCCTTTTCAATATCCTTCTTCAATGAACAGATGTTTGCAGACATCGTTCTTGTCTCCGCTTCCGCACCAATGAGTTGCGCTTCGAGCAACTCCTTAGCCTCAGTTGCTGCATTCAAATCCTTCTGCATGTCTTCCAACTTCGTCTCAAGTTCAGCCATTCGATGCTGTGCAGCTTCAAGAGAGGTTTGCTTTTCATCCAGCGTTCTCTCGAGCTCAGCCTTTTCGACTTCCATTTTCTCTAACTTCTTCTCCAATTCAGTGAGCCGTTGAGTTGTTGAGTCTAGCTCGCCTCGCAGCGGATGATTGTCTGTGCAACTTGATGACTCCCCGGAAACCGATTCTGAAGCTGTAAATGGAGTATTGTTCTTGGTGTCCGGCATCGCAGCCAGGCGTTCCATTTCCAGAAAATCATCCATCATATCAATTTCGAAGGAGCAGGTTGTAATAGCTTTCTGCAGAGGCTTGCTTTTGAACTGATCGAGCTCGGTGATCAGCGCAGAGGCCCACGAGTCCGAGCAGCTTTGATCGTTATCTAGCGCCTGCGACCTCTCCCCGCTGTCTGAATGACTATCCGTCAGCGACTCCGCGTAAAAACAGGTTTTTGAATTGCTGACTGGAGCCAATTTCCGAGCCGCAGATTGGAGGCGTCTGCACTCAGCCTCAAGCTTAGCAATCTTCTTTACGCTCTCCAACTGCATCTTGCTCGCGGCTTCTGCTGTCTGTGTGCTTAAATCCCTCTCGATTCTTATTGCTTCGATCTCTTTGCACTTGGACATCACCTCTTGCTTGAGCAACGAGTTCTCTTTCTCCAATGTCTCGACGATGAGGAGAAACTTAGGATCAATACATGCTGCGTTTTCGATTCTGGCAGCTTCTGCCTCAGCCTGGAGCTCTAGAATTCGCTCCTCCAGTTTAGCCTTTGTCAATTCCCATTCCCGGCCTCTCTCCTCTACAGCATCAGATATCAGTTTTGCCTGCTCGTCTCTCGCCTGTCTCAGCTGCCTAACACATTCCTTAAGGGCGCCGTCAAGATGAGTGATTCGAACTTCCATGCTTGAATTCTGCACCTCTGCAGCCTCGAGTTGCTGCTTTAACACCACCACTTCATTCTCCGCCTGTTCCCAGCCTGATTAGACATGGAAGATGATAATAAAAAAATCCATTATAACCGTATGTATTGTGGAAAAGTAGCGAGAAAGTCGGTTACCAGCTACAGCTTCTTCGGCCACTTTGGCATGTTGCTTAACCAAGTCTTCTTTAGCGCTGACATTCACAAGAGCAGCAGATAGCTTCTCGGTCAGATTCTTGATAGTTTCTTGAAGTTCATCATCGGCAGCTTTGGTGATGATGTCTGGCGATGCACAATCGTCTTTTGAAGATTCTTTCGATGATGAGCCCTGCTCAAACAAAGAACAAAGATCATAAATAGGGGGATAAGATTTATATGGCATAATGGATTGGAGACTAATAAAATGCTGCATTGAAGATTCATCCACCTGTTCATCAGAGTATCTCTCTGACTGGGAAGACGATGAGCCTGATACGGGGCTTTCACTGTCACCAGGGCTCCTCTCTGAAGATCTTCTCTTCCATGGCCACTTCTTCTTTTCCATATTATTCCTCAAACTGAATTCACAGAATCAAGAAGCTTCTCAGTTTAAATGTAAAAAGTAAATAAACACAGTACATATGGAAATTGGCAATCGAAACTAATAGATATACAAGTGAGTGGTGTGATCTTCCTCAACCAATTTTTACCAGAAAACTTGCTGTAAGAAATAAGCAATTCCTTCTATGCATATGAAACACCATAAAATACAATACAATATATATATATATATTATAAATATAAACAGTGACATGCTGTAGGCCAACCAATTGAAAGGGGGTAGGGAACGACACAAGAGCAGAGAGCTAGAAAAGAAGACAGAAAGAAAAAAAAAAAAAAAAAAAAAAAGCTCTTTTCGATCATTATTTTTTCCCCCATTGAAGACCCACCATTTTTGGCAGCCATACTAGCTCCACATAAATTGAAATAAACCACAGTACATACGAAGTAAACCTTCTAATAACAACAATAATACTTCACCATAAAATGAAAACGGATGGATGAATCAAACAGAAAGTATAGCATGAAGTTGAAAATCATGGATTTAGAACCCTCCCTCCCTTCCATCGGCAATAATACCTGGAATCGTAGTTTTGTCTGCGTCTTCAGATTTGCAAATAAAAAAATGAAGCCTGGCAGTAGAGATGTGAGGATGTTGGAAACGATCCCTCCCAGACAGAATGAACACCTACCTGCAGCAGCAGCATACAGTTGTGAGCTACAAAAACAATGGCTGCCGATGACTATTAGCCCCAAAATCAATCAATTAGGGCCGGAGCACGTGACGCTTCTTGAATCAATGTATGAATGAATCAGAAAGAGAGAGACAGAGAGGACTCTATTTATTTGAATATTTTAAACATCTATTGATTTATTATGTTATGTTTTTGAAATTAAGGCTGCTTTCATTCCCGCCCGCTATTTAATGCGGAGGAGCGTCCGCTCGCACTTTAGCTGCATCTCTGCAGCAGCAGCAGTATCTATTGACCAACCTGGATTCTAGTGTCCTCACATGATTTCAAATTTTAAATTATTATACCCTAATTAGTTCATTAATTAAATAAATAAATAAACAGCTGTTACTGATGAAGATGATTATTTCAAATATTTGTCACTTGGAATATAGCTCTAATGGGCTTTGGCCAAAGCCCAACAGGGCCCAATATAGTTGGCATTGTACTCAGACAAGATCCTGCAAGATAATTTAATCCCATTACAGTAGCTCATGTTTTTTTGAACACATAGGAAAGAAAAAACCACAAGAAACAACATACATATTTTCTAATAAAAAGGGGAAAAATAAGTATAGAAAGAAACCTGGGTGAAGTATAGTGTAGTGTCCCATGTTTGGGAAGTATGAAACAAAGAGTGGCGAGGGAATGGAAGAAGGTAAGCGTCGTGGATGCATTCTCCACCATTCCCCTAAACCCTATCCACATCATTTCCATTTGTGTGATCACAATCTGTTTGCCAGATTCTGTATGTGGCAATGCTGCAACACATGTACATCATTAAATATACTTTCATTAAACAAAAAAATAATTTCCATCCCCAAACGAGGAGAATGGCTCAGACAATGCTGCTTACCGCAAACAATGTATCAGTCCATGTGAAGGGAGAGTCTTTGCTTCAGAGGATCAAACCAAAGCCCTTTTCCCATTTGTTGCTCCCACCTCCTTCCAGGGGTACCCTCACTTCTTCGACTCCATTTATTGTTGCCCTGTTCAAGTCCAAAGCCAAGGCTGCCCCCAAGAAGGTCAGATTTTGTTTGCTTTTTCCCATGATTTCATGCACATGTTTGGTGGGTTTTGATGGTGGTGGGTGCAGGGTGCTGCTGTAGTGGGGAAGGAGAAAACAAAGGTGGAAGATGGCATCTTTGGGACATCTGGAGGGATTGGTTTCACCAAGGAGAATGAACTGTTTGTTGGTCGTGTTGCCATGATTGGTTTTGCTGTAAGTTTCTTGACTTCTCTTTTTGCTTCTTTTAGTGTTGATCTGCAAGTCACAATTGAATAGAGCATTAGTTACAGACAGTTAATCTGAATGAGTGAGTAGAAGGATCACAATCTGAAGACTTGAATGAATTTTACATAGTAGACCAACAGCTTTAGCCTTTACTACTATTGGAATGATTCTGTAATGTGTGATCGATGAAATGAACCACCTACCTAATGCAGGCATCCTTACTTGGAGAAGCTGTAACAGGAAAGGGAATTCTTGCACAGCTCAACCTAGAAACCGGAATCCCAATTTACGAAGCCGAGCCACTCCTCCTGTTCTTCATCCTTTTCAACTTACTTGGAGCCATTGGAGCTTTAGGAGACCGCGGCAGGTTTGTTGATGAACCAGCTGCACCTGTTATAGCACCAGGAAAGGGGTTCAGGTCGGCTCTTGGCCTCGGCGAAAGAGGTATAATATATGTTTCAATGAAGTGGTGCTACCATAATATACTCGAGAGAACTTGACAAATATAAATAATTTCGTGAATATTGTACTTACAGGTCCATTGTTCGGATTCACTAAAGCAAATGAGCTGTTTGTGGGAAGACTGGCTCAGCTGGGGATTGCATTCTCCATCATCGGAGAAATCATAACTGGCAAAGGTGCATTGGCACAGTTGAATATTGAAACAGGGGTTCCGATCAATGAGCTCGAACCCCTTTTGTTGTTCAACATAGTCTTCTTCTTTGTGGCTGCCATTAATCCTGGAACAGGAAAGTTTCTCACTGATGAGGAAGAAGATTGAAGAACTAGCCTTGTTCTCAGAAATAAAACCTGAATTTTGTCTGTTAGTGTGCATTGTATCATGAATGTAAGTCTGTATGTATGCATAATATTTGTGCTAGCTAGCTAGGCATGCTTATTACTTAAGTCAAATTTCAACCTGCTGAAAATTTAATTCGTGCAAGAGCTTGTGGCCGGGCTGGAAATTACTGGAACATTTTCTGGAATGATGAATTGCAACTGGGTGTTCTTGTTGCCGACAATGATGTCTTCGTTACTCCTGTATGAAAGAACATATTTAGAACATAGGGAAGAGAAGAGTTATAATTGCAGAAAAAAACTGAAAGATAATAGTTTAGCTACCTGTACCTGTACGTACTGTTTTTCCAGAATAAAAAAGAACCATATCCTGCAAATCACATTCTTCACCAGAAATCCATTATTAATTGGTACGACTGTGGATGATGGACATTGATTCCTTATAATCAAGTCACGTCAGAAAGTTCCAACAGTAGAATGAACAAAAACACTATTCACAGCTAGGAATCGGATGGGGACAGCAGGCAACATGCATCATCTGTTATGATAAAATATTTTAAATATACACATGGATGATGGATCAAACCAACAAATCAAACTAAACCTGAAAAACATTGATAAAAAATTCTGATACACCAGCTAGGAAAGATACCACTGTTACCACTTAATCAACAAATAAATGAATTAATTCTATACAACACTTGTTCTTCTACCTTTTGTGCATCTTCCAGCTTCAGTCAGCCTTTGCTCTTACTACCTAAAGCCTTCTTCTAAGGAATCAGGTTGCCAGAAGCTTTAGCTAAAAAAACAAAACTTTCATCCCCGAATGCCACAGTTGGATGATCTACAAAGTGACTTGTACAGGGTCAGCTCTTGTCGTTGGAGGGCTGTAGTCGAACATGCTCATGTGCTTTCAGAGCTTCGGAAGTGAAGTTCTCCAAAGCCTTGAAAATGGGTATCAGGCCACCTTGTAAGCTACTAGTAGCAGCATCATGGACTACCTTCATGGCATCCTTGTGCTTCACTCGCTCCTCTGCCAGTTTCTGTTTCATAGAATCTAAGTCCACCTTCAGATCATCCAATGCCGAAACTCCACTATCCGATGATGGAACCATAGACAATCCAGTTTTGTCTGATCTCCCATCTTGGTCGAGCTTCATTTTCCCCTTCTCCATTCGGTGTGCTTTCAGCTGCTTGTCGAAGTCCTTGGAAAGATACTCTGCTTTGAGCCGTTGATGCCTCTCCTCGTCCTGTTTTTCCCACAACTGCTGCAAGCTTGTTGCAAAGGTATTCATGGTGTTTGCCACCCTCGCCTCAGATATGGCTTCCATAGCTTGCTGCCAATCATTGCAGATTACAAAGATTGGAGGAGCTCCTAGCCTGCCGGGGGAGTATGGAACAGGGCCATCGGGTGTCTGTTCTGGCTCATACTGCAGACACTGCAAAAGCCAACCATTCAAGGATTCGACATATGACTTTTGAAATGCCACCCAATCATTGAACCGTGCGCACCATGCACGAAGCTCCCTTTCAAGGTGTGTGGTGGCCCGCAAGCTGGAGTCCCCTTGGAGACCAGTGTTAGCTCTGAGCTTACGCATTTTACTCTCCATAATAGCTTGAAACTGCTTCCTATGGCACTTCAGCATTGCCTTCCACATTCTAATAAGCCTATGCATATAAACAGAGCGACCAATATTTCAGAATTTTTTTTTTTAAATAAAATAGAAAAAAATAAAATTTATACTGCAGAAATTTGGGTATTTCTCCATAGGAAATGCAGAGCGTGTTAAAATGCACTGATCAAAGTAGGCACTTTGTTTCCCAAACAAAAACTATAGCACTCATCATAATAAGGAAAATCTTCGGTGATTCAATGAATAGAGACAGCTGTATTTGTGTCACATGCTCAGCACACAAGCAGAAGAACAGTCGGACTAAGCTCTTGAAACCAGACATTGGAAACAATAGAGCAGCCAACCAAAGAATATCAGAAAATAGCAGCATTGAATAAGTTCATACCCATAAATCAATGTGGCAACCTGAGGTTGCAATTCCTCATCCCGCAACTTGTGTATCCTGCTTGAAATACCATCAATTGCTTTGATACTAACATTTAGCTTAGTCAGTAATTTACGGATGGAAGCCCGAGTCGCATCTATCTTGCTAGATTCGGCTCCTTCTTCATCTAAAACCCTTAGCCTCCTGCACTGTTTCTCATATATAACTCGAAGTCTTTCTTCATCCTAACAAAAGTTACCAGCCACCATTAGTAAGCAAGACTGATTTGCAAGAAAATGATTATGAGAACTAATAAACAGGGATGGGAAATGAAATTAAAAATGCCATAGATAGATAGGCTCGAGTATCGTCCCTCAGTATAATTTTACAACTAAGGTTAAATTGCAGATTATTCATGTGTATTCACAGCTAAGAGCCAATGCACACCAATATTCCAGTAACTTCAAATGGTTAATTCTAACATTTTAATATGAAATACTGCCACCGTCCAGATATAAGAATAGTTACAATAATTTTTCTTTCAAAACAGGGAGTTTAACCTTCATTTGTGCGTATACAATTCTCAGCTGCCTAAGTGTGCAGTTAATGATATAAAGCTCCAACCAAGAATTATAGTAAATAGACAACTTCTAAAAATTATTCAAAATCTAAACCAACCTTTACTTCCTTGTATAACTTCTTTTCCCAAGCATACAGTTTATCCAGTGTGGCTGAAAGGTTGAAAGCTTTAGAGTTGACATCCTTCTCAACATTGTCAAAGTAAGATCTCGCCATTTTCATTGTGTTCGAAGCTAATTTAGCTGATTTTACAGATGGAGATTCATCCAGCAATGATAGCGATGGAGATATCAGGTATAATATTCGTGAGATAATAACTGCAAGAACACGAGATCTGACTATCGTAACTATAACACTGAAGATGAAAAACGTAACAACAACAATACATAAACACACACACACAAAAAAAATTCAAGGGATCTAAACGAAGCTTAGAATGCCTATTAACACACAAGACATAGAATTACATGCCACAGAATCAACCACTGCAAATAATTATGTTTTGGTGAAAATTTCTCTGCATGCACAAATTAGATCATAGAATCAACCACTGCAAACATTTATGATTATTAAGCAAGTGCTTACAGATTGATCACTGCCAAGATTTCAAAATGCTGCACAAATTTCCACACAACAGAAACAGTTCTACAATTAAATACTTGAACAAAGGATCAGCAAAACCCAATCACAATATGTGCCAACACCACAATAAACAGCTACAAAGTCAAATCACCAAGTAAAAAACGTTGTGAAAATAACAATTTTGGAATACCAAACATCTAAGTACTAGTTATTGCAAATAAATAACATGCACTGCTTCTAAGCCAATATATCAGATTACTTAAGTAATATGCATCTGGAGAATACATAAAGCAAAAAAACACACCTTTAAGAAAGCTAGGTTGATAAGGCAGCTTCCCAACTTCAAGCAGCATGGCTACCTCTTTCCCATAACTAGAAGCAGTTTCAAATTCATCTCTTATTTCAGCAACAACCTCCTGAAGATCCCTTGTGCCATTAGGAGACAATATGGTTACACTACTCAAGTTGGAAGAATCAGCATCCTGTTTTGATGTTCCCTCCATTTCAAAAGTCACCCCTTTCTTTTTCACAGAACCCTCATCCACATTCTTCAATACTATATTTTCTGGACTGCTTTCATCTGCTAAGCTAATCGATTTGCTAGACCTTTCCTCATTTGGGGAATGATCTACATATGATTCCCGCATGCTATCTGGTGGAAAGTTTGATGTTTTAGTGTTCTCCTCACCATATTGAGGTGACATTGATGTCTTTGCACTCTCCCTACTGTAATGTGGCGGCATAGATGGTTTTTCAATCTCCTCACTGCTCCATGAAGGCACCGATCTGGAACTACTCTCACTTTTAGGCACTGCCATGGATCTTGAACTTCCCTCCCCTTTGTATAACGGCACTGATCTTGAACTATTCTCACTTCGATGATGCTGCGGCACTGATCTCGTGCTGCCATTTTTATTTTTTCGAACAGGTGCTCCTCTTGCATGTGGAGCACTCTCCACTGAACTCTTTTTTGAATCACCTTTCATTCTGCTTCCGTTAAGGACCTCTTTGTACACCTCACTTTCAGTTTCTTCCTCCAAATCAGGAATCCCCTCCCTCTCCCTTACCTCATTCGAATCTGGGCTACTCGCATTCGACGGATAGCCATACCCTCCTGTCGAGTAATAACCAGGGTACCCGTTCTCAACCACATCAAATGGATTAAAAAAATCCCATGCTGATGCCTTTGGTGTCGGAGGTGGCGGTGGCTCCTTTTGTGATTCTTCTTTAGCGCTCTCCTTATTTCCAGTGCCAATATGCGAACCAGCTGAAAAAAACCCCAGACTACCACCATAGCCAACATTCCCATAGCTCGGAGGAGAAGTCCAATATGAATCAGTGTACCCATACACTGGAGGCTCTCGGACCACCGTTTTGGTCGAGGGAGCTGATTTCTTCATGTAATACATATTCGAATTACTTGAAGGGAACCAAGGTTGTACCTGCGGCGGTGGAACCCACTGATCCATATAAGGCTCGCCGTATGGTGGTGGCGCCGGATACGAGTAGGGGTAGGGATATGGGTTTGCATATGGGTAATTGACAAACTCATCATTCCCAAATGCACTTCCATAACCTTCAAAACCACCCCGAGGATAGGGAAACGAAGATTCCTCCTCATCATGATTTGAACGCCTTATTTCATCATCAAATACTTTCCCTTTGTCGACATGCGCGTGAGGCTTATGATGGTGGTGCGCATCATCTTCTGATTCATGTCCATGGTGGTCGTGGTGGTCATGATGCAGATGCTTGTAATCCTCCGAATCCTCATCTTCTGTAGATGAATCCGACAAGTGTAAATGCGACTCCTCGTCGTCCTCGTCGTCGTGTAAATGCAGCGAAGATTCCTCCGCCGCATTGTCGTGCTTTTTCTTCGAGTTCGGCGGCAAAGTCAAAGACGGAGACGAAAAGGAGGAAGAGGAAGAAGGAGACGCCATGACGAGCTCTTCATCCACGAATTTCCGCAGCGCATCGCCGACGTCCTTCAACGAGCGGAAGTAGGCCACATGGGCAGCGGCGAGCGCGTAGCGGTGATTCGCGGCGGCCCGTATGAGCTCCCGCCTCTCACGGCACCGAACCACCAAAGGTAAGTCATCCGCCTTCGACCCGCTACACCCCATATCACAGTGCCGCAGTATTAAAGCGCTTCCCCCGCCAAAATCTGGAACAAAATCCGCTTAATCGCATTGCGATACGAAGAGACCCGCTAAAGAATAGATTCACGAAACTCCAGGAAGAAGGGATTTTCCGCAACAGGGAAAATTTCTTTCGGAGCCAAGATGTGGTAAATATGAGAATTTGGAGTGGGAGATCGATGGCGGTGTGGAGCTGCCTAGCTCCAAGGTAATGTACAAGTCGCACAGCAAGGTGTGCAACCCCAGGATGCAGCAGGCCAATTCACATTGGATTCCGATCTGGCACCTAAGTGTGAAACGCGGTTAGAGTGACTAAGTAATTTGGTAAGAGAATAGGAATTTTGTGAAGAAAGTTTGGGAAAGTTCTATCCCTCTGTTCTGGACGTACGGTTTAAGGGAGAATTGAATCTCGGTCGTCCAAATCACTGATTTTGGGTGCGGGTTTTCTCTCTTGATCCGGAAAATTATTATTTTATTCACCAAAGAAATCAAAGATTTAAATAAATCCCATCCAATAATACTCACTAATAGTTCTCCCAACAAGTTATTAAAAAAATAAAGAGATAGGGAGATAGATGGTTAAGGGATAATAGTTTTCCAGCAAGATTACAAGTGAAAATAATATGCATAGAGATGTGCGAGGGGGCAAGGATGGGGATTGGCGAAGTAGGAGAAGGTAAGAGAAAGAGAGAGACAATAATGTATTAATTGTCATTGGGAATTGGGATCTTGTTTGGTTATGAAATCTGGGTATTGTTTATATTGATGGTGAGCATGACAATGCATGTGTATTAATTTTATCTGAATCTGTATGTTTGTGTATGTGATGGTGGTGGAGATGTGTCAGAAATGACAGAAGAAACTCGTGGAACCCGCCATTAGTACTCCTATTGGAATCATTACATTTCGTTTCCCTCCCTCCCTCCCTCCCTCTCTTTTTCCATTTCCCTTTTTGCTAGAAGACAACTTTTCCTGAAACTACTGTCAGAATTGAGAAGGGTTAAGAAGGTTGATATCAAATTTGCTGGATTTGTCTGTTTGGTTCTCTCTAAGTAATTGCAGCAATAGAAATTACCAAGTAACTGACGCTTTAGCTATTAGGTTTTACCCCCAAGTCAACTCTTGATGCATATTCACAGTTTCTAATTGGTCATTAGTGTGGTGGTGATCTTTGACCCAAGTAGGGTTCTTGTAATGGGGACAGAATTTATTGATTAGAGGGTTTCAAGTCAATTTTCAAGCCAACAAATTATACTAATAATGTTGGGCTCTCTTTCTATCTATCTATCTATCACCCTAATAGTTGGGTTACATCAGTGGGCCATCTCAACTCAATTACAGTGGCCCACTTCTTTTCTGCCCAAGGAAGTCCTTTTGACCATTCCTTTTCACCACTTCTCACTCTTGCCACCTTTCACCATCACCACCAATCTATACATGTAACATAAAAGTGGGTCTCCTTTTTATGTTAAAATCAGTATTCGACAGGATATATATGTATATGTGTATGATTCATGGATCTGTCATCAATTAGACTAATTCCTTTTCCATGATTTCCTTCATAATCCACAATGGGAAGAAGTTTGTTGGAGCCATGTGTATTATTAATTATGTTCCTGACTGGGAGACCTAAATCAGGCATGTCAAATTGCAGTAAAAAAACACTAAAGCAGTGAGACATGATATGTGGTGGGTGAGCTTTCAATTCATTTTGTCTTTTGCTCAAACTAACAAGCAAACGCTTTTAACGGCTTCAGATCTAAAGTATTATTCAGCTGTTAACCTAATCTCACCCGAAAGTGGATTCCATGAATAATTACTAGAGCTTCTTACCTAACTTATTTAACCAAATGGCAACTTGCCTTCTAAACTCATGGTTCAGGTGTATGTACTCCTAATATAACTATAATGGAGAATATCATATTGTATTTGGAACAAACAACGCTTTCATTGAATCACATAGGCAGATGGTCGGTAGGCAACCATATCTGGAAAGTAAGCAAAGCATATTTTCTTCATGGAGAAGTTTCTAGCTTTTCGGTTCGCAGGAAAAAAAGAACATTTCAGTATTACTTCAGTAGGGAGGTGGTTAATGCACAGAGGAATTAGTCGAAAACTTGATAAGATAAAGAATCAATTCACAAGGTTAAATGACAAATAGTCTCCCCTGTGTGCTAATAAACTAATCTAGTGCATGATTATAATGACCAAAATAATCTTACAAGTACCATAGCATTATATAAATTATCAAGTATATTATAAAGGGTTGATTTCCATCTTTCGAGTTATTCATTGGTGACATAAAGAGGTACGCGAAAGTTATAAATGCAACAGTGTCTCCCGTGCAGATATTGACAATGAACTACTTCAGAAACAAAGTGCATGATGTGGGAAAAAATGAGATAGAACTAGAGAACCAACCAGCATTTGGCATTAAATATATCCAAAAGATGGATCAGACCAGATTCAACGGGATGAAAAAACACACAAGTACGAGAACACATATGTATGAGAACATCTATACTTTTAGTTAGAAATATATATAGTTATGTTACTTAGCAAATTTAGTTCATAATCAAAGATGTCACAAATGCCAAGACAGCAATCACAATCATGATATTAAGGAAGTAATTTGATGGTAAAGGCTTATCTGGACTGCCTCCAAATGCTTCATACTCTGCTCTCATCTTTTGCTTCATGGAAGCTGAGAGTTCACTCTGCAATTCAAATATGTGCATACTCATTGAATATATACACCTTTGTTAAAACTACCTAGTTTTAACTTTTGTTGTTCGTATAAGCAGTCAATTTTGTTTTATTTAAGTAAGACACACAGAGTAGATAGTTGTGTTCAATTTTAGTATTGCAGCAACCATAAACAGTGAGAGATTTCAGTACTAGTTATTATTATTTTTCTCAAAGTATTCAAGCATCAAAAGGATCATAAGAGGGTTAGCTAATACTAACCTTTCCTGATGAATATGTTGCTGCCACAAATTTTTCTGGTTGGACTTGTGCAGGACTGTCTTCTAATGAGAAACCCTGTTAAAAGTAGTAATATGTGAATTGGAGATAAGCTATGATAAATATAGCTAGCAAGCAAATTATAAATCTATATGCAAATAAATCATAGGATATATGGGTTAGAAAATTGGTTATCAAAATCCACGGTATAGATACACTGTTATCTTTCATCAGATTTTTACATTGGTTAACACAAAATAGAGTGGCTAATAAATGATAGAAACACATATGGTGAGCAAAAGCAGCCTTCTTGCAAACCTTGCTTAAGATGCATGTCTAAGCAATAGGATTAATGCAACTTTTTTCAATTATTACAAGAAAAAGAGACAAAAAAAAAAAAAAAAAAACAAGACGAAGAAATTGAATGAATGCAATGAGGTCAATTGGATTAATGTCAACAAATAAACTTTTAGTTCATATGATACATGCTGGGGGGATTAACTTTTAGGCCAATACCTCAGGTGGATCAAATTTAGCTCCAAGATTACTAAGCTTAGCATGGGCTTCAGCATAGTCTTTGAAAAATGCATCTTGATCTTCAGCATATTTCTCTGCATATTCCTAGAATATGAATAGCTCTACATCAAATGCAAAGCCATACCATTTAAAGTTTTCTAGATAGCATTCTGTTAGCTCACCTTGAATGAAGAATCTTCAAACAGAACTGCATCAGTAGGTAAAATTAGCAGATTTTCATCCTTCGCTTCTTTAATATCCTGCAGGTGAACGACACGTGAAAATAAAAATAAGTTTTGGTCATAACTAGAAGAACCAAAAAACAGAGTATCATACTCGCCTTAAAGTAGGAGTTATCAAACTTCAACCACTGAACCGTCCATGATTGTCCTCCAGGGGCCCCTGGTCCATCTTTCTGCCAAGAAACAAAGCTTAAAAATGTAAATTGACATGAAAGGAAAAGATGAATGCAATTGTTTTGAAATGTTTAGGCTGCCAGGAAAGAACTCATGTAGCTGAAATACAAAACTTTTGATACCATTGGTATACTTCTATAGGACATTCACCAAATTATTCCAGAAGAAAGTGAAGAATGTTAATTGCATCTTGTGTATTCTCAGATACTATTAAGTATGAAAGTGGATATAAAAGACACCAAAATTGTGAGTAGAATGCGATCTAACATACAAATGTCAAAAAAAAAAAAGTAGCCATTTCTGTTACCGTGTATTTGGTCTCCGGTTTGCCCCATCCACTACGGTCTGGCCTTGCCCTTCCAAGTGTGTGTGCACCAGAAAGAACAACTATTTCCTGGATATCACGAAGCACATCAATGACACAGTTATTGGCGAAACATATCAGGAGAAAGTGTATGGAACACACACCTTATCATTCAAGCCCATCCGGTAGAATACATTACGAAGATGGTCAGCAGGGGAAGGAGGACCAGCATCTAACAAATGAATGGTAATATTAAATCTGCGGTTCCCATCATAATCAACAAGAAACCTCAGTAATATGGACATCTCTTATTCCAACCAACATACCACACCCATTTTGATGTTCATTTGTGGGTACTAAATACCCAATAAATAAAGCAATCACTCAGGTATACTTTGTCACATTAGAGTCTAACTCCTAATAAGGCATTACAATGCCTGTGACTCGTCCATGAAATCAAATTCTAGATTTATGGAATGTTTTTAAACATGCATGCTGTGGCTAACAGATACCCCAAGTGTCAGCAGCTACTTTACCAGGAAGTCTCCCTTCTTCTGGGCAATCCTCAGGTCCAGATACATCTACTCTTCCATACTTCATGGGGATTTTGGGTCCTCCGGCTTCCTGTAAACGGATATATGGCATTAGTGAAATCTGTGTAATCTATGTTTTGTCAATTTCATTGGATCAAATAAGGGAACTACCTCTATAGCAGTAGCACTAGCCAATTGAAATAAGTCTGCATAAGTTACATCGGAATACTTGTCCTTGATGGGCTGAAGAAGATTAAGAGCATTGACAAGCCCTGCCCTGAGCCAATTTTGTCAAATAACATAGCAGTCAAACAATATAACCAATGAACATTGAACGCTAACCAGCATTTGCTGCATGCTTCAGTTCAATTTCAAATCTTAAACTTCCATTAGTACCACCACTTTTTGGCCACTCCTCAATATCCTTGTCAAATGTACCAGCATCATGCCAACCCAACCGAATCTGCATAATGTTTATAAGTGATAGTTTTGTATCAATATTAATAGTGGTTGCAATAAATGTTAGGAACATGAACGTGTGAATACTCATCTTCTGGAAAGGCAAAAAATACAAAATTAGATTACTTAAGATCATTTAAACCAGCGTCTGTGAGTCTATGCAGAATTAGTTTTGTCTGTTCTCTTTCTTCCTCAAACAGAAATAAAAACAGAACTAAATTTGAGCTTGGAGAGCAATCGAAGACAATTCAATCATACGTAGCTCAACGAAATCGACAATGCTCGTGGGAATGAAATATCTGCCGCGTAATCACCAAATATACACTTCTTAATAACGAAATCCCTCATATTCTCGGACAAAATAAATGAAAGAACGAAAAATAGACAAGTCAGTGGAAAAGATTTACCATAATAGGGTGACAGAACTTAGTCTTGAAAAGCTCTTTTATTTCTTCTCGGGCACGCTTCAGCTGCTCGGGTTTCGACGCTGCACATATCGGTGACGAGACTGTCGAGTAATCGATTCTCCCACCGGAAAACGCTCGAGAAACATTCTTCTAAGAAACAGCGATGTGTTTATAATCAATCAAACACTAACCATAATTCAAATTTAGGAGCAAATAATTACCCGACGCAGGACGATGCGGGAGAACAGGGGAGAGAATCGGAGGGAGCTGAAGGAGAGTGAGGGGCGGTAGGCGAGTCGATCGCCGGTGGCGGGAGGGATTAGACGAACGGGAGGAGCGGCTGAGAGAGAAGCCATAGTACCGTGCCATTGGTTGTTACTCGCAGCTTTAATTTTGGATATGTGGGGTTACGTTCATTACGTGTCTCTCTGGCCAAATAAAATAATACAAATAAATATTTTATTAATAAAAATAATAAAAATTTAAGAAATAGCTGATGTATTAATAATTTTTTTTAAAAAAAAATGTCCTTAGTGAATAAATATTAAACAGAAAAAAAGAAGTTAAATACAGTATTTTAATTTTTGTTTTAATAAACTTATTATAAATTTAACTTATGAAAAAAAAATAAAAATTGAAAATAAATTTAAAGTCACAAAAATACAAATTGGCACCATATGATATACAAATAGATTAGCAAGTAACTTCATGCATTTCTTAGATTGATAAAAAAAACCAGACTGAAACTCCATACTCTGTTTCCAACAGCTCCTAGCAAATCAATGGAAGTATGGCAATTTCAAAAGGCACGAAAACCTGGATAAAAATAGATAAAAATTTCTTTTGAGGTTGTAATATCAAAAGTTCAACAGCAACACTTCCTTGGTGGAGTTCCTAACCACTCATTATTATCAGTGTAATAGTCTATATAAGCCAATTAAGACTAATGTTACCCAGCCATATCAGCAGGGGAAGCTGCGCCGAGGCGATGAAGAGAAGGAGATAATGGTGCCGGCTCGAATCAAAGCTCCTCACTTCTGCAAAAAGAACCCTCTTCATGGTCTTTACCAGGAAAATTCCCATGCATACGCACGTCCACGGCAAGAGAAAGTAGTATGCATAGCCCCACAACAATTTTCCCAGCACAGCTACAGACAGTCCAGTGAAAGCATATCCTGCATATGCCACCATGTCAAGTAGAGGAGCCTCGCCATTACCCAAGGAGAACAATGTCATCTTCAGTAGGGAAACTTGCAGGCTCCAGCCAACGACACCCTTAATGAAAAGCCAGCTAAGAGCTTCAGGGCTAAACCTGGAGCAGTAATGTAGCATGAGCAAAGGAAATGGAACAGGAGTTTGTTCTGTAATATGAAGTGAGTAAAATAGACGAAAGAACAATTGCAAACTTACTTCCCATTAAGACCTAAAGATAAGCCTGCGAGAACCACATAGGTACCAAATGCCATAAATGGAATGTACAAGTCCGGGGCATTGATGTCGTAAATTGGAGGTTTGTAGGAGAGCCTCCCACCAACGGGCTCCGTGATTCTTGTCCAATGGCCCTAAAACATATTAAAATAATTGAATTTGTTGCCAAATAATGGGAGTGATAAAATGCCATACAGGATCAGAATCTTACTCTGTGCAGGAACGGGAAAAGAACAACCTTCAATTTGTTCCTCACATATTGATCATTGACTTGGAAATAGTATTGTGGATCAGAGAAATACCTGCTAATCTGTCACAATAATTTCAAAGAAAAATGAATTTTTAAAACAGAATTACATAGCATTGATTGTCATTGAGTCAGTGCAGAATAAGGCTAAAGTGCCTTGAAAAACAGAGAAAATTATCATAGGCCCCATTAGTCACCTACATTGCTTTGTACATATTCAGAACTGGACCCTAAAATTTTCTCTCCATAAGCACCCAATCCACCTCTAATGAATTCTGGACTTGCACCATAGAACGAATTGCCGAAAGGATCTGGCAGTGTGTTAGGCGGTCTAGGCACAGCAGGCTGCGCCCCAAGATTATTGTACATTTCTTAATGAATCAAGGCATATCTGTCGGAGTAATAAAAAGAACCATGAGGGAATGAGTATCCATCAGAGAATAGAAGGACACTGGAAAGATTTCGATAAATGTAATTCAACAAAAAATGACATAATTAAAGCAACCTTTTGTCTCATACTAAGCCATGCTACAGGATGCTTCAAGTATGATCAATTAACCATGAAACGATCAAAGCACTCTGGAAGAATAAGAACCGGATCTAAGAGCATTTTTAACCGGAAGAATAAGCACTGTAGTACGTAACCGTAAGTATGTTCTTGCACATTGACATTACACAGAAATCATGTCCGTATCCCCTCTCATCTCCGTAAAAACAATAATATATACGCTCATTTGAAGACGAAACTCCATTAATTGCTCTATATATATATATATATATATATATTTAAAAATAATTCGCAAAAGCAATAAGATGATAACATGTTAAGAACAGTCCTTGTTCTAATGGACAAAAACCAAATAGAGTATGCGCCCGCGATGAGCACGTACATCCCATATAGATGAAAACTTTCAGTAATCGCCGGAAGACGAAAAAAAAGCGACAACTAAATGCATGTACTAGCAGATCGGTCCTGATCTAGTACCGCACAGTCGATCGGATCCAAACTCGACGCATCTCATTCGAATAATACCGGGAGCAAAAGGAAGAAGAAAGCAACAACATACCTTTTTGTGATCAATCCAGATCAAATCTCCAACAATTTCTCGCCGTTGCCGGCCGATGTTCGAAACCGTAGCGCGATTTGATCCGCTCAAACCGTGACGTAGCTGACGATGGTTTGCGCAATTTTTCCGAAATTTAATTTTTCGATAATAAATATAAACGGGCCTAATGGGCCGAATCAACTCAAGCCTATTTATGTACTGTATTAAAGGGCCAATTTAGCCTATCCAAAACTTCCCCTCCAAAATGTATTGTATGATTACGCACTCCGGGGAGCTGAACTCCTGTACTGTTTCAGTCACCATCATGTATGTATCTTCCTAAAGATTGCCTAACGCCATAGAAGAAATCCCATGAAAAGAGCCAAAGATGAACCAACAGTCTTTCGAACACAGCCTCTCAGAGAGAGAAGGAGAGAGAGAGCGAAGCGCGGTATAAAGGAAGACCAAAGGCGTTGAGTAGTTCTCCACAGCAGTGCAGGGAATAACAGTTAATACTATATATCAATGGCTACGGCCGGCCAGCTGGCAAGGGCGGCGGCAGATCTGCGCGCAATATTCGCCACCGGCAAGACCAGGTCTTTCGAGTGGCGAGAGTCTCAGTTGAAAGCTCTTCAAGAGATGATCGCTTGTCGTGAGAAGGAAATCCTCGAAGCTCTGCGCTCTGACCTCAATAAACCTGAATACGAAGCTTATCTTCACGAGGTAATTAATTTAACAACACTACGGTCGTGGTGGTGGTGCGATCTTCCTGTTCATTAATGGTGTTTTCGTGCAGATTGTTGCAGTATCTTCCTCGTGCAATTTCGCATTGAAAAACCTACGCCAGTGGATGACGCCGGAAAAGGTCCTGTCGAGGCTAGTTTCGATTCAATCTTCTGTCGTATGTTTTTCATTAGATGCATCGATTGCTGTTTTTGTAAGTTTCAGGTGAAGACCTCAATGGCCTCATTTCCATCATCGGCGACGATAGTGCCGGAGCCACTTGGAGTGGTGCTTATTATATCCACTTGGAACTATCCTTTCTGTATGTTTAGTCTTTACTTCGTTTCATTACTTTTAATCAGCTATTGTATGTTCTTCTTTAGGCTCATTTTGTAGAATCCCACAGTATTATTGCTGGATCCGCTCATCGGTGCAATTGCAGCCGGAAATGCTGTAGTTTTGAAGCCATCGGAAGTTGCCCCTGCCACATCCTTTGTGCTGTCGACGCTTCTCAGGGAGTACATGGACACATCGGCTGTGAAAGTCATCGAAGGCGCAACACCACAAGTAACTGCATTGCTTGAACTGAAATGGGACAAAATATTCTTCACAGGTTGGAGATAGTTGTCTTGTTCGTTAGTTAATTACCTTACGAAGAGACAGAGAGATTCGATCTTTACACAATCGAAATTGTAACTTTCTCATAGGGAGCAGTAAGGTAGGAAGAGTTGTGATGGCTGCAGCTGCAAAGCATCTTACACCTGTAGTGTTAGAACTCGGAGGAAAATCTCCAGTGGTTGTGGATTCAGACATCGACTTAGAAGTAGGCGCTGCGTGTTACTTGTTCATCCGTAAAGATGATCGTTATTGGCAATTTGGCATCATAGATGCAAACTTGTTATGTCCTTTTGAAAGGTTACAGCACGGCGAATCATCTCCGGGAAGTGGGGCTGCAACGCCGGACAGACATGCATTTCGCCGGATTATATACTCACTACAAAAGCATGCGCGTCGCAGTTAGTAAGGATACATGAGCCCTCTGTTCATGAACAAAACTCAGCATGTGTTTATAGCAAAGATTGTAACATGTGTCTTCTTAGGTTGAAGCTCTTTCGTCGCAACTAGAGAAGTTCTTCGGGGAGGAGCCTCTGCGATCCAACGACTTGGCGAGCATCATAAACTCTAACCATTTTGAGCGCTTGGCTAAGCTGTTGGATGACGATAAAATTGCTGGCAAAGTTGTTTATGGAGGCCAGCTTGATGGAGCCAATCTGTGAGTTTGGCCTTTCCGATTCTTTTGTTTTTTGTAATTTACGCCATTCGAGCGCCTATCCTTTCTACATTTTGCAGCAGGATCGCCCCCACAGTTATATTAGATGCGCCACAAGACTCCTTGATCATGAATGAAGAGATATTCGGTCCTCTGCTTCCAATTGTCACGGTAAAACTCAACGATCATCTGCTATATATCTGCGACGCGCCTTATATTGTAACGATCTGCTCTGTCGATTCGAAGGTGAACAAATTGGAGGACTGCATTAGCTTGATCAACGCGAGGGAAAAGCCTCTCGCGGCGTATTTATTCACAAACAACGAAAGATTCAAGGAGGAATTCGTGAGAGGAGTCGCAGCCGGAGGCATGGCCATCAACGAGACAGCTCTGCAAGTGAGTCTCTTCTCCCCAACTCGCCATAGTTACCGATCTAAGCATTTAGAGACCTGATCGATCTGCATTGCCAAAACTACGGTGCAGTTCGCCGAGCACGCATTGCCATTTGGAGGCGTGGGAGAAAGTGGAATGGGATCGTACCACGGGAAGTACTCGTTCGATGCTTTCAGCCACAAAAAACCAGTCTTGCAACGAGGTTTCAAAGGCGATTCGGCTGCAAGATATCCGCCATACACACCTGAAAAGCTCAAATTTCTGAAAGCCCTGATGAGTAGAAACATGTTTCGAATCCTTCGAGCCATGCTCGGGTTGTAAGACTCGATCGAATCACAGCCATTTGTAACCAGCTGCTAAGAACTTATACACATAGACTCGTCTGCATACAACAACTCTGTACCGATCATACGTGTCTCTGCACACTAAATTACCATAGAAAAGAAATACGAATACGAAGATAAACATCGACAAGATCAACGAGCCTGTTGCAAAATATCCGCAGCATCGATTCGCTGCTGTTCCGTCAATTCCTCAGGAAACTTCACTCTAAAACTTATCACCAAGTCGCCTCTCGACTCGGGGTCATTATGCTTCGGCATTCCTTGCCCCGCAACGATCTTTTCATACCCCGGATACACTATTTCATCCATTTGTAGGCTTATCGTTTCGCCGCCTAACAATGGCACCGACAATGTGCATCCGGTGAGTGCATCAATCAATGGAAGCTCGATTTCCAGCAATAGATTATCGTCCCGCCTGGAAAACAACGGGTGCTTTGTCTCGACTACGACAAACACAACATCTGCAGTCGCGACGCCGACGCCCCCTGCGTCTCTCCCGTTGAAGGTAATCCTCGTGTCTTTCCTCCACCCGGGCTTCACTTTTATTGTCAGCTCTTCCTCTTCTTCCACATTTCGCCTGTCGCCATAACCGTGCAAGAAGCTACTTAGTCTAGTGCATTTGGGGATGGATTGATTGATTTTTTTATTACCCGTTGTCGGAAACAGCGTCTCTTGTGGTCTGAATTTTCTTGACGCAGCCGAAGCAGAGGTCGTCGAGCGTGCAATGGAGGTAATGCTCGATGGCGGGGGGCTTTATGAGGCCGTGTGAGTTTGAATACAGGATGCAAGACGACGTCGTTTTGGTTCTGGACAAGTACTGTTTCATCGTGGCTGCGTCCACGCTGCGCCTTCCCGTTTTGCTCCTCGTCAGCCCCGACGTCGCCGGACTCCATTGCGACGATCTCAGCGTGTAGTCGTCGCAGCTCCGGCGGCGGAGCGCCGCCGTCGGAGAAGCCGGAGGTGGATCATCCTTCTTTCTGTCTCTGGAACTATTATCGTTTTTCTTCTTCTTTTTAACCTGCACGGTTTAACGTGACAAATTCAAGGACCATTGATGTAAGAAATTGAAACAGGCAGGTTAATCTGTTCTTACCTTATCATCCGATGTTGATTTGGGGTTGACATTGATGGCGGTTTTCTTGGACTTCTTGTTTGGATAGCATTTGAAGAGGAATGACTTGCAGGCCCTGGTAATGCTACCGAATCCTAGAATATGCAACAGGTCTTGGGAATGTGAATGTGAATGTGAATGTGATCTTGATTGGTGGTCGGCCATGGCAATGGTAATGGATGCATTCAACTGCCTCTTCGTCTTCCCAGAATTCTGAAGAAACCTAACATAAGATACAGACAGCCATTTTTAGCAGTTTCCTTTCTTATGTTGTTTCGTAATTAAAATTACATTATTGTCCTTATGCTCAATCTGAAAACATGCATACAATATTACTGTAATTTAATTCTTTTACTGTTTTTTTTGTTTGTTTATCAGTATTATTGCCATAATAATTGAGGTACAGTTAAATGAGAGAGCTGCAGTGTTAGGGGAAAGATTGGGGATTTTTTGTGGAACAGACCAGTACCGTTAATTGCGTGGACCCCAGAGATTTAACGGTGTGGATGCATTCGGTGCTGAGGTCCATGGACCTGGCGATAGTCACCGAAAAAAAATGAAACAAACGTGAGAGGGAGAAGAAAGAAGAGGAAAAGAACCAAACCGGAATGGGCGAAGAAGGCTCTGTCCCCTCTCCGTCGCTTCTCGCGCCCGCGCCCTGCTTCCATTGATGATTTTTCTTCGGCGCAGTCAACATCTCGAGGTGATGAGTCCCCTCCCTGTTTTGTTTATTATTTTGCTTGTGTCTGTACCTGTAACTGATTAAATTATGTTGATTGTGCAGTTTATTTGACGATTGCGAGTAAAATATGTATATAATGCTGACCTGATTCGATCTCCCTGTCGTTGGCTTGGTCGATGCTTTTATCGTAGATCTCATAATTAATTCCTAACTTTGCATTATTGTAATGGTAATGTGGATTAATTATGAACACATATATTGCATGTGTATGCTCTTCTTCGTATAGCTTCTGCTTGTGCGCCTGGCGACGGTGGTTTGGGGCTGAGGAAGAAGTTGTTTGTTCTTCTGTGTGTAGCGGCGCTTTGGCTGCAATATTGGCCTCAATCGCTGTACAAATTTGTGCACAATGATGATTGTATGCTAATACAATGTTTTGTAGGGAATCGAGATAGCAAAATTTTGGAGAGTGAGAGACGCTGAATCTGGAGATCTAAAGGAGGCGTTAAGTGTGGCTGCCTTTGCCAACTTTGGGGCTCAGGTAATATTGATAAACTATGTTCTATGTTTTTGCTTAAGGGAAAGTGATTGAAATGTGTCTGCCAGATTTAGAAGGGGAAGAGAATGTGGGTGCAGTGGAGTGCTTAATTTTATAGTATTTTGGTGTACTAATCTAGTGGAGATATTTAATTAGTTGTGAACTGCAGGGGAATAAGAGTTTCATTGTAGAGGTGGGGTGGTCTTGCAAATGTCGAAGTTATTCCAAAAGGCTGCGAATCTAACTCTGAAACGCAAGTAAGTTGTCAAACTTTAGTATTTCTCTCTTGAAATACAATGATGTGTTGTTTTCCCTGTATGAACACAGTGGGGCTGCTGTGATATATGTTATGTAGTGATTTTGAGGTTCAAAACTATTGGTTGTGCAGTAGTCTTGACTTATATTGCTGATTCTCAATTGCTTGATTTCATTTTCTTGTTTTGTAAGAATAATTAAGTACTTTACCTTAGCAGTCTGGAACGACTACTGCAGGCATGACCGAAGATTTGTTAAGTGGATGGTCATATACTAGGCTGTATTGAACTTGAAGCAAGACTTATGTGTTTTTCTTGCAGTGATTTCCCTAGTTGTAGTTGTTATTCTCTAGATCTTGTGTATTTATTTGTATCAATTGCTAAATGTACTTTTGAGATTGGTTTATATTATGTATCTTCAGGGAATCAAATGGAAATGCTGCAACAGAGGATCTTGAGAAGGCATTATCACGAGTTGCTAAGCTGTTCGAGCAACTACATTCCAGTGCTTCTTCACCCCAAGAAAGAGAACTCACCACGGCTTGTTTGCTTGGTGTAGCTAAATCAAGAAAAGAAGCAAGGGACTTCATTGTTTCCCATGGTCAAGCAATGCCATTATTAGTATCCATTCTAAGAAATGGTACCCAACTGGCCAAAATAAATGTTGCTGAAATCTTAAGAGTCCTATGTAAAGACAAGGATTTGAGGGTAAAAGTGCTTCTGGGTGGATGCATTCCACCATTACTCTCACTTTTGAAATATGATTCAATTGAAGCTAGGAAGGCAGCTGCAGAGGCAATATATGAACTATCATCCAATGGACTTTCAGAAGATCTCACAGGCATGAAGATATTTGTTACTGAGGGGGTGGTGCCATCCTTGTGGGAGCAATTATATATGAAGAAGGAGCGGGACAAAGTGGTAGAAGGGTTTATCACAGGGGCATTAAAAAATCTTTGTGGTGATAAAGATGGATATTGGAAAACAACACTTGATGCTGATGGGGTGAACACTATTGTTAGCCTTCTATCTTGTAAAAATCCTACCACTCAAGCCAATGCTGCTTCTCTCCTAGCACGCCTGACTTTGAGTTTTACAGAGAGCATACAAAAGATTATTGATGCTGGGGCAATCAAAATTTTGCTTGGGCTCTTAGGTCCGAAGACAAATATCTTTGTGAGGGCCAGTTCTGCTGAAGCATTAGAAGCCCTTACTAAAAAATCGTCGATAGCCAAGCAAGTTATTGTTGATTCCCAGGGCACAACAGTGCTTATTGGGGCCATAATTGCGCCTTCTAAGGAAGGGATGCAAGGAGAGGGTGGGCAGGCTCTTCAGCAGCATTCTACACAATCTTTAGCAAATATATGTGGTGGAATGTCTGAACTCATGCTTTATCTTGGAGAACTTGCCCAGTCACCTAGGTTAGCGGCTCCAGTTGCTGATATAATTGGAGCACTAGCTTATACCTTAATGGTCTATAAACAGAGTGGAAATGGAGAGAGGTTTGACTCAACAAAAGTCGAAAGCATTTTAGTCATGCTCTTAAAGCCAAGAGATAATAAGTTGGTACAGGAGCGCATCCTTGAGGCCATGGCTAGCCTATATGGAAATCCTTATCTTTCAGTCACAATCAATCAATCTGCAGCTAAAAGAGTTCTTGTTGGGCTTGTGACAATGGCTGCTGGTGATTCTCAAGAATATTTGATCCTGTCTCTGATTGAGTTATGCGCTAACAAAGTAAGTGTTTGGGAGGCCCTGGGAAAGAGGGACGGAATTCAGATACTAATATCATCTCTGGGGTTATCCAGCGAACAGCACCAGGAGTATGCAGCTGAGATGCTTGCTATCCTGACTGAACAAGTAGATGACAGTAGATGGGCGATCACTGCAGCTGGTGGAATTCCTCCACTAGTTCAATTAATTGAAGTTGGATCCTTGAAGGCGAAGGAAAGTGCAGCTTATATCTTGTTGAATTTGGGTTCTCACAATGAAGATATCCGTGATTGTATTGAAAGGTCTGGAGCCATCCCAGCACTTCTATGGCTCCTAAGAAATGGTGGACCAAAAGGGCAGGAAGCTTCTGCAAATGCTCTTATAGAACTTATCAGGCTTGGTGATTCTGCTACCATTAACCAATTGTTAGATATCCTTGTTGGTGACACTTCAAGTTCCAAGGCGTCTGTCATCAAAGTTTTGGGTCATGTGCTTTCCACAGCCTCTCATGCTGACCTTGTGAATAAGAATGCTACTGCTAATATGGGCTTGAGGTCGCTTGTCCAGGTTCTCAATTCATCAGATGAGGAGGCTCAAGGGCATGCAGCTTCAATTTTGGCTGACTTATTCAGCAAGAGGAAAGATATTTGTGATAGTCTAGCCACAGATGAAGTCATCAATCCCTGTATGAAACTTTTGACTAGCAAATCTCACGGCATTGCAACTCAGTCAGCTCGGGCTTTGGGGGCTTTGTCTCCTTATATTGCTGATAGAGATGTCCAACCTTTGATCAAATTAGCAAGAACATCATCCATTCAATCTGCAGAAACAGCAATGGCTGCAGTAGCTAATTTGTTGTTAAATCCTCATGTAGCTGGCGAAGCACTTGCAGAGGATGTTGTTTCTGCTATAACAAGACTTTTGGGAGAAGGATCGCCAGAAGGTAAGAGGAGTGCTTCCCGAGCACTATGCCAATTATTGAAGCATTTTCAAGTAGGTGATGTCCTCGGTGGGTACACCCAATGTCGATCTGTTGTTCTTGCACTTGTTGAATCCTTAAAGGAAATGGATTTGGATACCAGCGATGCTGCTGATGCTTTAGAAGTTGTCGCACTATTATCATGCGCAAAGCAGGACAGGAAATCTACTTACGCACCATGGTCTGCCCTTTCCAACGTTTTCTCAAGTTTACAAACACTTGTAAATTGCCTCTGTAGAGGTTCTATATCTGTACAGGACAAAGTGATAGGGATTCTCTCTAGACTTACTGGGGATCAACCAGCTGTACTAGGTGATTTATTGGTCTCAAATACTAGATCAATAAGTGTCCTGGCTAGTAGGATTATTAGATCTAGTAGCCTGGAAGTGAGGGTTGGAGGAGCAGCATTGCTAATTTGTGCTACCAAGGAAAACAAAGTTCAATCCATGGATGCACTTGAGGCATCTGGATATATGAATCCTCTTATCCGAGGATTAGCTAATATGACTAAGCAAAGTTCCTCTCTTGAAATCAAAATTAGGTCCCCTAGCAGTTTGAGAGAGAGAAAAGCTTTTCAGGATGGAGGTTGTTTTGATGTACCTGATCCTGCTACTGTATTTGGAAGCACTGTTTCGTTATGGTTGCTATGTATACTTTCTTCATTTCATCCCACAAGCAAAATCACCATGATGGAAGTTGGAGTGCTGGAAGCCCTATCAGATAAGCTCTCAAGTCATGCTAACAGTAATCTGGTAATGTCTCTGTGTACTTCTTCTGCGTTGTGTTGTAAGAGCTATTTAAATCATATTTCTAGAAGGTTACCTGCCTATGGAATATTGCTCTATATGATTCATTAGTCATGGACCATTAATTGCATTTCATGTAGTTTTTTTAATTTAATGTGTGGAGACAGCCGCACAAGCCATCTAGAAGTTAGTTGTAAATCATGAATACATGTCACAATTGGGTTCTTGACCCCAAGCACTTCTAAGATTCAATTTGCTTGCTAAAAGTGGGCTGCTGTTTTCAGGCTGCATTTGAGGACACAGAAGGAGTCTGGATCAGCACAGCTTTGGCAGCTTCACTTTTCCAGGATCCTAATGTTGCATCTTCTCATATGACCATGGAGATTATACCCTCACTTTCTGTCTTGTTGAAATCAGATGAATTGATTGTCAGATATTTTGCGGCTCAGGCGATGGCTAGCCTTGTCTGCCATGACATTAAGGGAATAAACCTTGCCATGGTAAACTCAGGTGCTGTACCTGGGTTAACTGCCCTGATTGGATTCCTAGAATCTGATAGGGAAAATTTGATAGCCTTATCTCAAGACTTCTCCTTGGCGAGGAATCCCGAAGTGGTAGTTTTGGAAAAATTATTCCAAGTCGATGACATCAAATTTGGTTCTATTGCTTGGAAGGCAATTCCTTTGCTTGTTGATTTGCTAAAGCCCATTCCAGAACGACCTGAAGCTCCCCCAATAGCTGTTCGCCTCTTGACTCAGATTGCTGATGGAAATGACATAAATAAACAAATCATGGCTGAAGCTGGAGCTCTGGATGCTCTGACTAAATATTTATCATTGAGTCCAGCAGACTTGACGGAGGCCACGATATCTGAGTTACTTAGAATATTGTTTAGCAATCCAGATCTAGTTCATTATGATGCAGCAATTAGTTGCATGAGTCAACTGATTGCTATTCTTCGTTTGGGATCTAGAAGTGCAAGGCTAAGTGCTGCAAGAGCCCTAAGTGAACTATTTGATGCTGATCATATCAGGAATGTTGAATCATCTTCACAGGCAATTCAACCCTTGGCTGATATGCTTGATTCTACCACAGAATGTGAACAAAAGGTTGCTTTGGGTGCACTGCTTAAACTGACTTCAGATAATAAATCAAAGGCTGCAATGCTAGCTGAAGTAGAAGGAAATCTTCTTCACAATCTTTCTAAGATTCTGACATCTTCTATGAACTTGCAACTAAAGGGAGATGCTGCAGAGTTGTGCTATGTTCTTTTTGATGACCCAAAAGCCCGAGAAACGCAAGTTGCCTCTGAATGCACTGAACCCCTGATCTTGTTGATGCAGTCTGGTGAAGAAACTGCTGTGGAATCTGCTGTCTGTGCTTTTGAGAGACTATTAGACAATGAACAAATGGATGTCACATCGGCTCATGATGTGGTTGGCATTCTTGTAGGTCTGGTTTCTGGATCAAATCATCGGCTTATTGAAGCAAGCATATGTGCACTCATCAAATTGGGGAAGGACAGAACTCCTCGCAAGTTGGATATGGTCAATGCTGGAATTATTGATAATTGTCTAGAGTTACTCCCTATGGCTCCCAATTCATTGTGTGCCATGATTGCCGAACTCTTCCGCATCTTGACAAATAGCAGTGTGATTTCAAAAGGCCCAGCTGCTGTGAAAATAGTAGAGCCATTGTTTTCAGTACTCCTCAGGACAGATTTTGGACTGTGGGGGCAGCACAGTTCCCTGCAAGCACTTGTTAACATTCTGGAGAAGCCTCAAAGTCTCTCAGCTATGAAACTCACTCCTAGTGAAGTCATTGAACCTCTAATCTCATTTTTGGAGTCCCCATCGCAAGCTATCCAACAGCTAGGTACGGAGTTGTTGTCTCACCTGCTTGCTTTGGAACATTATAAGCAAGATATAACCACAAAAGGTGCGGTTGTTCCTCTCGTTCAGCTTGCAGGAATTGGCATATTGAATTTGCAGCAAACTGCAATAAAGGCCCTGGAAAACGTCTCCTTAAGTTGGCCTAAGGCGGTTTCTGATGCTGGTGGTATTTTTGAGCTCTCCAAGGTTATTATCCAAGAAGATCCTCTACCGCCCGAGGCTTTATGGGAATCTGCAGCCTTAGTTCTCACAAATATCCTGCAATCTGATGCTGACTACTATCTAAACATTCCAGCTGTGGCTCTTGTTAAAATGTTGCATTCGTCCCATGAGGGCACCGTTAAGGTTGCTCTTAATGCTCTCTTGGTTCAAGAAAACACTGAGGGTTCGAGTGCTGAATTGATGGTTGAGGCTGGTGCTGTGGATGCTTTGTTAGATTTAATGAGGTCTCACCACTGTGAAGAGGGATCAGGTAGACTACTGGAAGCTTTATTCAACAATAGACGAGTACGGGAAATGAAAGCTTCTAAATATGCTATTGCACCTCTTGCTCAGTATTTGCTAGACCCGCAAACAAAATCCGAAACCGGGAGGTTTCTTGCTGCACTTGCACTGGGTGATCTCTCTCAACACGAGGGCCTCGCCAGAGCTACTGATGCTATTTTTGCCTGCCAGGCACTGATAAACCTGCTGGAGGATCAGCCTACGGAGGAAATGCAAATGGTGGCAGTCTGCGCGTTACAGAACTTTGTCACACGCAGCAGAACCAATCGAAGAGCTGTTGCTGAAGCAGGTGGAATATTGGTGATTCAAGAACTGCTGCTGTCCCCAAGTCCAGATATCGTTACACAGGCTGCACTGCTCATCAAACTTCTATTTTCAAGTCACACCCTTCAAGAATATGTTTCAAATGAGCTGATCAGATCATTGACAGGTAACTCCTTGTTGATATGGTCTTAATCTTTCTATATCTAAATTTATTGTGAAATATGCTTAGTAACCTTTCTGCGTCGACATGTTGTCTTGCCCAGTTGCCCTTTACTGCCCTTTATAGCTATTCTTGAGGGGTTTCTTACTGAACTGTCACTGTGCAGCTGCTCTAGAGAGAGAATTGCTGTCCATGTCCAGCGTCAACGAAGAGGTTTTGAGGACATTACATGTCATTTTTACCAATTTTCACAAGCTTCATATTTCCGAAGCAACGACACTGTGTATTCCCCATTTGGTTGCAGCACTGAAGTCTGGGAGCGAAGCCGCTCAGGATTCAGTGCTGACCACCTTGGGTTTGCTGAGAAATTCATGGTCAATGATGCCACTTGATGTGTCGAAATCCCAATCCATGGTCGCAGCTGAAGCCATCCCTCCTCTGCAAATGCTTTTGAAATGTTGCCCTCCAACTTTCCCGGAAAGGATAAAAGGCCTGTTGTATTCTTTACCAGGCTGTCTAACGGTCACCGTAGTGCGAGCATGTAACCTGAGGCAGCTCATGGGCGGAACCAATGCTTTTTGTCGATTGACGATTGGAAATGGCCCTCCTAGGCGAACTAAGGTATCGAAGCTGTAGCTGGTTATACCTTTGCATATCTTCTTAAATCCCTGACTGGCTTCGACACACTTGTGCAGGTCATTAACCATAGCACCTCACCGGAATGGAAAGAATCGTTTACATGGGCTTTCGACGTACCACCCAAGGGCCAAAAGCTACACATTGTGTGCAGAGGCAGAAGTACTTTCGGAAAGGTAGCAACCCTTCAACTCTCCTCCATTCAATAAATAAATAATCTGCAACTTCTTGTAGCTGTTGCCGAATGTCCCTTTTGGTAATGACCGTCACTTATGGCGCAATATCCCTCGTGTTCTCAGACTACCCTTGGAAGAGTCACAGTTCAGATCGGCAGAGTCGTGACTGAAGGGACACACGCTGGTGTTTTCAACATCAGTCATCGCACAAGCAAGGATGGCAATCCGCGAACTCTTGAAATCGAGATAGCTTGGTCCAATATGTCATCTGAGTGAAACTTTTCGCAGATACCATAATACATAGATCTCTTACACAAAGAACAAGACTTGCAGCCAGGGACTGAACAAAAGGATCAGCAACCCCACATGAGTTGGCGTCAAAGCTCGTCGTCTCCAGAGATGTGAATGCTGATAGAAGGATCCAGTTATGTAAATAGTGCAAATATGCCATCCAAACTGCAAAATGTACCAAGCATTTTGTGATGTGTAGAATGAGACCTCCCTTGCTACATACAGTCTGTCTTCATTTTATGTACAGAAATTTTGTGCAGTTCTTCTGTATTTATGGCAAAAACAGAGCTACTCTGTACCTGGTTTGGTTGCACACAGTATCTGTCAAGTGTAAATTATTTGCAAAGTTAGTCAGCTACCAAATGTTTTGCATTGTATCTATCTTTAAGGTATGAAGAAGATCATCTTGCAAAACTCCTATTCCTATTCCCATGGCAGTTTGGCTGGCTGTAGAGAATCACCAAAGGTCAGTCTGTTAAAGTAGAATAGATGAATGAATCCATATTAATTCATAATAATGTGTAGAGAATACGATAAGGCAGCCGAGCAGTATGTTTGCATTTCATGATATAGCATAAGCTCTCTATACAAGGATATTGCAAACTTCGAAAATAGCTGGGTGTAGCAGCAACGGTAATACATGAGGGTCGTCGACTTCAACTTCATTACTTTGCAGCAGCAACAAGGGAAGCTCTAGCCCGTGTGAATGCAGAAATTAGCGAGCCGAGCTGTAGCTTGTCATTGCAGGCTAAACTCAGCCTGTATCTGCATGCAAAAGAATGTGATGGATGAATGAGGCAAATTTGGGAATAGCTTGAATATGAGGCAAAATTGGGAAATGCAAAATTTGGATGAAATGCAAATTTGAATATGAGGCAAAATTGGGAATAGCTTGAATAAGGTACATACTCTATATCAGCCATTTCATTGATAAGCTGAATGCGGACCTCAGCTGGCATTTTGATCCTAAAAACAAACCTGTTCATCAAGCAGTAAGAATGAGTCAAAGGAAATCTTTTCCAGTGGATCCAACAGAAAAAAAACATGAAAACATACATGGTGACTTCTCTCAAAATATCAACTAGAGCTAGTCCTTTTCTGCTCTTGATTTCAGAAATTCCTGCAGGTTATTGATTCCAGCAAAATGAATAAAAGAATGGCAGAAAAGCACGGCAGAATTAATTTAAATATTCAGAATCGATACTTTTGTGGCTAGTGAGAAATGATTCGTTCAAAAGCCAGTGAGCAATCTGTTCGATGTCCTTCGGCATAGGATTCCCAGTGCACAAGTATACAGCCTCTTCAGTTATCTGCTGAGATGCCATATGTGTTGACTGCAACAAAAACAAAGGATCAAAATCTTTTAGAAAGTGATCAAAGGGAAAGAGAAGAAAACTCCAGTGTTGCTGAAGCAATTAATACCAAACACAGGTCGGACACCAAACAAGGTTCCGATTCCGTGTCATCAGTAATTTGTGCAAGTAGGAATTAGTATGTAGGCCACTGATTTATTATAGACTTGAAATTCCATTTTGACTTTTTCCGACAGATGAAGTAATAACCCTCTACTTAAGAGAAGGCTCAAACTAGAAAGATACAGACCTGTAAAATGTTCAATGCCTTTCTCATGTCACCATTGCTAAGCCGAACAAGGGCTTTCAAACCATTTTCGTGAACATCAAGCCTGAACAATAAAAGATGAAACAAACTACTATTAACACTAACTTGCCACTGAAGCTATAAATGTCTATCAATATTTCATGATTCTTAAGGATTATGGTTGAAGAAGAGAACACGAATCACCCTTCACTGCTAATAACGTGTTTAAGCCTCCCCGTGACATGAACAGAATCAAGAGGAGCAAAACGGAACCGTGTACATCTTGACTGCAATGCCGGAATAATTTTGTTGACATTGTTGCAGATCAAGGCAAATCTTGTACTTCTTGTATATTTCTCAATCACTGTCAAGCAAATAACACCGGGAACTTCTGTAACCTTGATTCAAAATTGAATAAAACATATTATACATGGCTATAAAAAAAAGACAAAAAACTTGCCTCTACGGAGAGCAAATTGTGCATCCTTAGTCATGGCATCAGCCTCATCCAACAGAACCAATTTCACAGCAGGCTTAGCACTGCAAATAGAAGCAATATAATTTAACCTAAAGAAAGTCAAACAAGTCTTTGGGAAAGATCCACAAAGTTTATGGTAACATAACAAGCCAACAGCTGTTCGGTTACATGTAAAATACTAAAGAAATGCTCAATATGCAATCTGGAAATATTCATAAATCCCTTCCCAACTAATGATAAATGTTGGTGTAGTGGCAACCTTTAATACATGATATCAGTCTTGTGGTTACTCAGCATATTTTACAACTAATAATCAAGTATAATCTTTCATCCATGTGACACCTTATACACAAGACCTTGAAAAAAAAAAAAAAAAAGCACTTGTCAGAAAATACCCAAAACTGATGCTCTGGGTGCTTGCGAAGTCCTGAATCTGTTGCCTCACCACATCAATACCACGGTCATCGGATGCATTCAACTCAAGAACCATGTTTTGCAGCTGGTTCCCATATAGCTTCCGAGCCATGGCCAGAACAGTGGAAGTCTTCCCTGTTCCAGGGGGGCCATAGAGTAGCAAATGGGGCAATCTGTTCCCACTTGCTAATCTATCAACTGCGTAACAGGAACTCCAATTCATGTGTGAACACATACACAAATCTAATCATATGAATAACACACGCTTAACCACAATGAAGCATATCAGAGAAACCAAGAGATATAGGGCACACACAAAATTTAGGAACTGCGTAAATATTTTAGATAATATGTATACACCAAGTACAAATAATATGAAGCGGATGAGTTCAGTGGATAAATAACACATAAGAGCATATATAACTGAGCATGGCATTTGCTTGACGAAACGTTAGACACTTGGAATTACTTAAAAACAGACAAACAGGTATGCTTCTTGCACATGAATCATTAAAAAAACACACAGAGTGAAGCAGGAAAACATCAAATCCGACAATTAAGGACACAAACAGTCGAGATTACAAAGCATCAAATTTCGATTTCTCTCAACAAACAAAAATGAAATTCTGTAAAATTATTTCATCTGCAACATTCACTATTACGCCCAGCAGCTGTTTGGAGAAATGCGAAAGACATTAAGTAGGAGTAAGATTATTTTACTGGTCTCAACAATATCTCGGTGCGCAGCAACGTCATCCAGAGACTGAGGACGGTACTTCTCAACCCAAGGGATTGCTTTAGAGTCCGGCGGAGCAGCCGAAACAGCGACGTTTTTACCCTTGTCTGTTTTCAGAGAACCACTGGTACCTTCCTCGTCATCAATTTCCATGAGCGAAATCTCCTCCGCCATTTCCTCGCCAAACAAAAACGCCGCGCTGTGGCTCTACTTTTCCGGCGTCTCCAATTTGCTCTCGGCGCACTTTTACGCAAGTGTAGGGTTTCAAAATTTTGTTTGGCAATTGCCTCCGGTTCACAAATGTCTTATACTTAAAACTCGCTGCCAATATAGGAGTGTTATCCTAAATTAAAATTGCGACTTCGGTTTGTAGCTTAAAATTGGACGAAACTTGACATAATGGAACCGTAGAAACGCCTGTCACCATATAGGGTGCACATTTGGCGCCATTTTCACTTCTAAACTCTTGTGAGTTTTTTTTTAAAAAAAAAATAAATAATAAAAAGTAAATTTTTTTGTTGGTATTTTTATCAATATATATGATGAAGTAATCCAAGCAATGCAAATGGACAAACTAAAACTCTACAGTCTACACTACAGAGAATATTATTATAGATTTATGACTTTGCACACAAGTTCAGCGAAATATGAACAACCAAGATTTACAGCACAGATTTATATATAAATATAGATATAGATAGATATATATATATATATCATCAGCTACAAATGCTATCCTACAAGATCAGATGAGGGCCTTTTAGTAGTTGCTCTGTGTTCTCCAGAAATCAAATTTTGCAGGGCAAAGTTGATCGAATACACCACCGACGCCAGGCAGAAAATAACCGTTTCCGCTACCGCCATCGGTGCTGTTAATATAAACAAAAAAATTCCGGTAAGATAGATAGATAGATTGCTTCCTTGCATTGCGTTGCATTGCCCCCAGCTTAGTCACTCAGTCACTATGTCAAGCTGAAAGCAAGCACACAAAAATGATACAATAGTAGTAGTAATTTTGGTCAGGACTTGAGAAGCCTGTTGCAGTTCGCCGCAGCCCATCCGATCTGCTGCCTCTCGTTGTCGTAAATCACCACTTTGTCGAGGAGAGAAATGTCTGCATAATGTCATCTTCCTCGCTTAGATTATTTCCGTACATATATACAAATATACATATATAATGTATGTAAAGAATTCCAACCTCCAATCACATTCATGTTTCCTAATCCGACCTCGTCGCCATTCAAGATGCCTAAGCACACATTCCCGTGTTCCTGGACAGATTTATATATGTTCAACTTTTTCAAGAATTAAAACTCTTAACTGACTTTTGGGAACTGAATAGATCGAACATAAGTAGAGAGTTACCGTGACAATGAGATAAGACTCCGGGCGAAGAGGAAACTGAGCAGTTTTCGCTTTCGTGAAGGTCAGCGCCAAAGGTTTGAAGTACTTTGCAGCATCTTGGACAGATTTGAAGGGTTTGGCGCCTTTCCAACAGACGGGAAGGCTTTTATCCTCCGCTGCATCTTTGAGTTGATTATTTAAGTTCCCTTTTACCTGAAAGAGTTCGGAAATTAAGTATATGTGTGAATGTCATCTTCCAAGGAATCATCATTTCGAAACTTACCAGGGAAACAACCGTCTTATATGCTTGAGAGCTAAAGTAAGTGTAAGTACTTCCACTGTCGAATATAATCGAGAGGCCTTTGGCGTTTGTAGTTTGGCCACCAAATTGGAGATCTGCCGTCCCCAAAGTGTAGTATTTTCTGAACAAGAAGTGTGGTAAGAATTGGATGTATTGAAAGGTACACACAAGGATGATCGGGCTTACGATTGGGTTGATACGGGTAACCAAACTATGCCTGATTTTGGGAGAAAATCATCTCCAAAAAACAGAAACCCTCCTTGTCCACTTAAACAGTGACCAATGACGTTTCGGGTCAAACCCAAGCTGCGAAGCTGAGATAAAATGCTCGATTTACCATTTCCAAGGCCAAGAACTCCATCAGTGTACGGTAGATGAGCTGAGTCCACAACTTCTTGGTTGTATCCACATCTAAATATATCAAGATACAATTATTTCTATTGCTTAACGTAAAGAACAGAAAAATAATATATACCCCTAAAGTCCCTTACCCAAATGCCAATTGAGGGGCTGCGTTGCTACCATTGGTAAATTTAAGAGGAAAAGAGTCCTTGACCAACACTCCCAAAGACGAACCGCTGTCAGCATAGCCAACCTCATAATCACATTGATCGTTAGGTGATTGACAATGCTGGCTGTCTGCGTGAAGGGATGTGCAAATCGGATCTTGACACATGATGAGGTTTCTATTGGGTTTGTACAGACTATGAGGTGCCTGAAACAACATTGCAATTCAAGAATCGTCTCAATCAGGATCATCTTACCAGTCGAATTTTCAGGGAGAAAAGGCCTTACCGGTGTGCATTTTGTACAGGGTGCATCGCACTGAAGCCAAGTAAGGTCACTGCCTGTATCTATGTCAAGAAAGTAAGGTTTAGGAGGCCTGCCGATATTGATCGTCGCATAATAGTACCTACACGAGGAATGAATGGAAACAATCCATTTTTAAGCAACAATGCAGTGGAATGAAGAATAAATGGAGCAACAAAATGTCGGCCAGTTGTTGTAGTCAAGATTTACACTAAAATGCAGAGTATGATATCAATCGATGTAATCGTGATCGGGGTTCAAAATCAACTGTAAAAGGGCTCAAACCACACCATTGAAGCCTGAAAGTTGCAAACCAGACTGGTAATCATAAAAATAGAAGAAGAAAATCTAAGAACTCAACAAATAACAGAAAGATTATATGACGGGTATAAAATAACCACTACACAAACTGTTAAACCGCTCAGCAAATTCTTAAGCCAGAGACGAAAGCAACTCGACAATTCCACGAGAACACAACCAAAACTTCAAGCCAATAGGTCACGAACACAAATACACAATCAAAAAACTATATCCACAAAAATAATAAAACCCCCAATCCCCGATCAAACCAATAAATTCAATAAACTCCGAAAAGAAAGGTCGCCATACCCTTTGGGATAAACATTGCCGGAGACAGGGAAAACCACGGAGGACCCAAAGCCTTTCGTGGATTTCGTCGATTGGTCCGGCTGATACGCAGCTGTCGCAATCCACGACAGAAGGAACAACACCAATGCTTTCAGGGCCATCTCCGGATGCAAAATAAAATCGATTATCGCCATCGCCGACAACAAATCCTCGGGGCTCAAAAGGACTAGTCTCGGAAAAGAAATCGAAAAGCAAAGAAGAAAGAAGGATAGACCCAAAACTCAAAAGAGCACACTATCCACCTCCCAGAGTCTTCACGGGGTGCAGTGCAGTGTTCGACGAAATGCTGAAGCTCATTGAAAATTCCACGGTTTTTATATCTACTGTTGGTGGGCCCCAAATTTTCACCGCGTTTGAGTTTGACTGACTTTACGCGGTGGGACTGGGCGGGCCGGATCCTTCCGATTCATACATGTGAGACGGTTCTTGCGTAACCCGGTTTCTTATTCGGATTCACTAATAGCCAGAGGCCCAGAGAAGTACGGGCCGAGTAAGATACCGTTTGGACCATATAGACCCATTTATGTTTAATTATTAGTGGGCCAGTTATTTTATTATTATTATTTTCTTCTTGGAAAACAGTCCCACAATTAAAAACTACTAATTAAATAATTTAAAAGGCAAATGTGGCAGTTTGTTTACTTGTAACAGTAAGATTGGAGATGAGTGAAAGAAATTAGTTCCGAGGGCTGGAACAGGACAAACGAACTCACTCTCGACGTGTCCAAATATCATCGAATTACGTTCCAAGTGTCCCTCTCTTAATAATAATGAAAAATACTATAATAATAATAATAATAATAATAATAATAATAATACTAATAATTCAAATAAAATAATTAGAAGAGAAGATAGGAACAGGACCTGCCTAGTGTCTGCCTCGGACGACAGCACAGTCCGCGTGACAGTGACGTTCCGACGGTTTTGAACCGTCACTACTAAATATAACTAATCCAATTTTAGTTAATTATATTACTTCTGCTTGCACAATGTATCATTCTAAACTCTTACGTATGAATAAATAAAACATTATGGACTCAACAAAAAATTAAATATATATATATATATATACAGCGCATCAGAGATGATCCATCCATCCCTTCTTACATATATATTTTTCAGAGCTTGGGGGGATAAACAATAAATACTAGTAGAGTATTTATTTACTAAGAATTTCAATTTTCAACCAGACCAAATTCCAAATTACTGACAGTAATTAGTAAATACTAGTAGCAGCTCTCTTGTTGCGGTGTCACGTGCACGGTCATAGAGCTAGGTCTCCTGTGTCACGTGCGCACAGCCACCCGGTCCGGTCCGGTCCGGTTCAGAAGGGCTTGGAGAGATACTCCATCACGTCCTCCATCGGATAGTTCGCCGGAAACTGCGAGCCGCCGATGAGCGAGCAGCTGTCCAAGTAGCTGCTGAACGGAAATTCCAGGGCGGACTTCTCCCAGTCCGCCAGCTTCGGCGCGCTCTCCACCTCCGGCGACAGCACGTGCTCAGAGCAGCTCGAATCTGTGTGCAGCCGCGGCATCGAATCCGAGGGATCCAGGTACATAAAGTCGTCGTACACCATCGGAGATGCCTCCGGGACCGCTTTCAGGATCGCCGGCTTCATATCCTCCTCTGACGTCACTGCACTCGTCATCTTCGGCGGCGCCGGCTGCCGCTCGATTGCACCTTTCTTGTTGTATATGCGGCACAGTACCCAATCATCCAGCTGTAGAAATCAAATCTCAGCGTCAGATCGACCATTACCAATTACCATCATTGAATAAACACATAACGATTTTTTAGGCACCAATCATTGTCTCCCCACCATCACCGATTTCTCTTCACTTTAGAGACGAGTAAAACCTAATTTAACATCAAAATTTTAGCTAAATTCCTACGAATTTAGCATTGATTTCAAAATCAAATGACCCATTTCCAGTTCATTTAAGCTATAATTCTAATTGTATATAAAATTTCAGGAAAAGAATTAAAAATTAAAGAGTAACTGAATCGGATATAGAAGTTACCCGAAGGCTGTGGTTCTTCTTCCTGGCAGAGCGGTCGACGTCGGCAAGACGATATTCGTGCATAATCCAGTTCGTCTTTTCGCCTCTAGGAGCCTTGCCGGAGTAAAACACCAACGCCTTCTTTATACCAACAGGCTTCGGTTGGCCAATCGGCTTATCGGCTCCGGTCGCCTTCCAGTAACCGCTCCCCGCCGCTCGATTTGGTCTCGAACCATTTGGATACTTCCGGTCCCTAGGCGAAAAGAAGTACCACTCTTTCTCACCATACAGAGCCATACCTGCAGAATCAATTAGTCAAGCAATTCATTAATCGATTACGAACTAATCAGCCGATTCCAGCGAACATAGATCGGAATTAGAACTCGCGTAACCATTCCACACCTGGCAGATCCCACGGATCGTACTTGTAGAGGTCAATCTCTGCGATAATCGGAACGGAAATGGATTGTGAAGCGCATTTCCGGCACAAATAATGCATGACGAGCTCTTCATCGGTCGGATGGAAGCGGAATCCAGGAGGCAGTTGCAGATCCATGGCGGCCATGGCAGTCAAATTAATCGGTTACCACTGTTTTTTACCTCGAGAGGCGGGGAAAAGGGTAGAGGGAACAGAGAAGGGGTAGGAAAGAAGGGGGTTTTCTGAAACTTCGGCCGCAAGGGAAGAGAGGGAATTTATAGGAAGAGGAAAGGGGACACGTGTGCGGGGAGTGAGGGAGAGAGGGCGGCGGAGTTCTAGAATACACGTGGACGGACACGTGGCGACACAAAAAGTGGTTCCACTTACGTCACTGCTTGCGTCATCCGTTTTGGACTTACCCGTTATGAATGACACGTCGGACGGTCATGCAATCGGCGGGATCGGTCACCGCTGCTGACCTGTCCAACAACGACAATTATTGATAAACCTTTATTTATTATTTATGCATATAGACTATAGTCAATAAAATTTAATTTCAAATAATATTATTATTATTTTATAATTAATAAAGGCAAGAAATTACTACAACCAGTGAACTTGGGAATTAGGTTAACGTAACGTTGGCGGTCCCAAATAATATTAATTGATGTTTTAAAAAATGAATAAAACGACAAGTAAAACCAAGAAAGGGGGGAAAGAAAAAGGACAGCGTAGGCTTCGGGGATAATAATGGCAAAAGTGAGGAAGGATCCCGGGAGTTTCTTGGCAGAAAATTGGGCCACAAATTATATATAAATAAAATAATATCTTAATGGAAGCAGCTGGAATTAGAATATAGAAATATTTAAAAAGTGAATTTAACTTTTTACTAAAGTTACAAATAAAGTTGAAATCGACCTACACTCCACAAGTCTATTGGGACCGTACAGTTTGTCCCAATCTATCTAAAGGTAAAGTTTACCGCACGTAGAATAGAATATGTAATATGTATATGTCCATATTCATATTTTTGCAATTATTATTTTCAGGTAATTATTTTTGCTTTGCTAGCTTTTTAAAGAATAATAAATAAGAGTATAAGCATTAATATGTAATGCATGGAAATGAATAGTAAAAATAATGAGTATATTAATTAATTAATTAATTAAGGAGTGCATGTATTCTTTGTCTTATTATTATGTGTAGAAAAGCAAGATCGGACAAAGCACAAATGACATTGATATTGAGAGAGAAGTCACGCGCGCCGACCGTATCACCTACGCAGATCTCTTCTTACATATTTAGTCACATGTTTCCATATCCATTAATTTTAATATTTTTTTTTTAAAAAACATTGTTATTTATCTTATATTCATCAAATTCTTGCCGACTTAAAAAATGTGGATAGACACAAACTCCATTTAAAAGTTAGAAAAGTCTATAATTAAAATTATATTATTTATAATGTGTATATATATATATATATAGAGAGAGAGAGAGAGAGAGAGAGAGAGAGAGAGAGAGAGATTACGTATTATATATTGGAAATATTCGACAATAAATGTACAATGTAATCTTACAACTTGCTGACAGAAATGAAATAATCCCTCGCCACTTATTTTCATTCATAGCATATTTCCCCTATGTTATCTGAATCCAGTTTCAATCATAAAAAAATAATATTATTTGCAATATTTATCATTTCAATTAGTAAAACTTAATATTCATATATATAGTGTAATATGTCATTATCGTTGGTCGTTCTTATCCTTTAACCTACTTCGAGAAACAACACCACCACATTCACAACTATTAAATCAATCATCTTTGCATTCACACTTCAACATACATTTACATAAATAAAAACATCATCACTAAAAAAATGATATCAGACATGCGTACTCCATTAATTAATTATGTTTTATAATATAATATAGTTACTAAAGAAAATTAATTGGTGAAGAAGATTGACTTATTTATCCTTGAAAAAAGAAAACCCAGCAGCAGCAGCAGCCAATTGACATTCTGCACATGTTCAATTAATTTAGACTACAAATCAAGCCTTAATTAAGAGTCACACCATTTCACTGACCTTAAAATTTAGCACACTCAAGTCTGAATTAAATAACATTAGAATATGGATAAGCTTGGAATTAGTTCTAACCACTGCCTATAGGCTATAAAGTCATCCAGATTAGCTGTATTTTTTAGGTTACTTTAGTTTTACTTCAAACACTTTCTTAATAGTTAAATTTTAAGGCTTTAATAATCATGTTAAAATAGCTACCAGCCGCCAGGTTTCAACCATAATAAGCTAAAACAGTAAGAATAAAGTCCATCCCAAGTATTATAGAGAACAAGTGGACATAGGTTTCTAATACTTGACGCAATCAAGTTTGACTGCACCAAAATTCAACCAATGATGTGAATGCAGGCATTATCATGTGTGTGTGTGTATGTATGTGCAGTAAGTAAGACAATAACTATCCAAAACCTAGCAAGTAAAGTTGGGAATCAAAGAATGCATTTTTGAGTGCACTCAAAGAACACAAAAGCAAGAAGGTCAAATGCACAAATCCCCACTACCTCAGACTAAACAAAATTCAGCCAATTAACTCATTGGGTGCTGTGAAACAGACATGCATATATTATTGTCAACCACTTAGCTCTCCTACCCACCTCCCTCCCTCTCTCTCTCTCTCTCTCTCTCTCTCTCTCTCTCTCTATCCATTGGTTGTAGATGATATTTGTGAGGTACGTTCACACTAGACTAGTATCAAGACAAAGGATATATATTGTGGGCTGTAATAACCAGACAGATTCCTTAATTTTTCCAAGAATATTCTCAGATGTAAAATTTTATCCAATTTCTCTAGCCATATATTGCTTGTGGTTCAGATTTTCTAGCTGTGACAGTTTTGACCCGCATGAGAATAATAGATGCAAAGCAACAGCTATCTAGACAGGAATATCTTGGAGCATGTAAACATATATATACACAACACACACACACATATAAACGTTGGGTAGAACTAGGGACTTTATTTACAGTGTTGTGCCAACACTCAGTGAGATTCCAACTGGACCAAGCATTTAGATGAAAATTAAACCGATAATTAACCACAGAAAAATGCATACTGAATCTATCTACGTCACAAAAGTATTGTAAGAAACTTAGCCAAAAAGTAATGTAGTAATTCCTCACTGAGGCAGAAACCGTGCATAAAAACTGATCCAGGAAAAGAGACGAGGGAAACCAAAAATAAACCAAACCTGCAACCAATTTAGGGACAATGGTATTTATTTTATCTGGAATTGAAGGAGACCACCTCTTGAAATGTCATAATCTCCCTCATGGCTGGTATCATGGTCTAACCTTCCTCAAGCAACCTAACAAACTGGAGAGCACAATGAAATTGAATGGATTACCTTGGGAGCTGCGGCTAACCTCAGCCCTATAGCCAGGCCATCCGCTTTCAGAGCCAAACTCTGAATCTCAGAGAAGGGAGTACAGTCTCGACCCTGGTTGGAGATGATACCAACCGCTGCCTCTACTAATCATGGAGAGAAACATAAACAGAGAAAAACAACTAAACAAGATTCAAAATATCCTGGATGGGTGCATGTACCAATTATGGAAGAGCAGGAATAGCAAAAGATCTTGAGATTCCTCCAAAACTCAATTTGAAAGTCACTTCATTTGGGTTGAAAGAGGGAAAAATGTGAATTTATAAAACTCAAAGGCTCAAGAATGAACTGTGTTTATCTGGTTTTAGCCTCCTACTCAGCTGTAAGTATCTATTTTACACTACATAGCAAGTCTTAAAATCAGATGTGTTTGTGAACAGTGAACATGTTATAACTCAGCTGCAGGTTTAGGGTTCTATTAATCTGGAAAGCAAGTATATGCATCCTAGAAAGCAAGTGCATCCCAAGAACACAAATGACATTAAATCCAGCATCAGTTCAAGAAAATTAGAATCTAAATATTGACGATGTCAAACAGCACAACTTCCCTAAGCATTCTGTAACCAAAATAGGTTCAAGCAACACATCATTGTAATTTGAGATGAGTAATGGAAATACAGAAAGTTGTCTTCTGGTTGTGGCGGCGCAGTAGATTAATCCATCCTTCCCTTGAGGATTCTCTCTGTGACTTCAGTTGGTGTGCTGTAACATAACAAAGGATTTAAAGCAAACAATGCAAAAACTAAATTTCACTCACATGATTGGTTTTTTTTTTTTTTTTTTTAAAAAAAAGAAAGTTCAGGCCAAGGGACAGGTGCACCACTTACACAAGATAAACATGTCCTCCCCAGCCACTCAAACAATCACGATCTACTGATGATAGAAGTGCTTGCGAGATGGTTTCAAACAGTTCCTCAGGTTCCTGTACAAGAAAACTATTTAATCCAGCGGTACTAGAATGGTTTTCATTTAATAACAAACTAATTCAGCTGGAGGCAAAAAGAAAGAGATTAAAACTCTATGACCATGCTGACAGTCATTATGTAGCAACTGTGACAGTAACTACTAAAAAAATAGAACATATGAAAACAGAAAAACATGTTCACAGATTAACAGGGTTAAATGCAGGGTTGGGGAAGAGAAGAATATTAATACTTTTCATTTATATAATAGCCTTAATTTGGTAAACCCTCAATCTCAAATGAATTTATATCCAATTCAAGTTTTCAAGTGATCTGTGATCTTTAAATTGTTTCATTATTTTTCATAAAATAAGGGAAAAAAAGTACACAAACATGCAGATATACAGAAAAACTGCTGTAAACGTATGCACATTTGAATAAAGGAATAATAAACAGTGGTAAGAAATTCCACAGGTTTCACTTGAAGTAAAATGCTGAGTAAATAAACAAACCATATCAGGCTTGAACATTGATTCACAGGCACCATAAAGGGACTCAGAGGCTGTGCCAGCAACAACAAAATCTTTGGCAAGTTCCCTGCAGTTATTAAATCCAAAAGTGAAATGCTGAAGATGCTTCCTTGGAAACATATTACCAAAACAACCGCTTGCAGTAAAATCCTATACGTAGATATGGAGTACATGTGGTTCCATCAGAAGGAAATTTGTTCAGAAACTTTTAGAAGGGAAAGGGCAACATCATATAATTCATAGTGAAAACCATACGCAGTAAAGTTGAAACTAAATAAAAACAGACAACATCATTTCTGATTTAAGGTAAGACAACAAAAATTTCAGTCACTTCATATTTTAGTTTATGGTTTGAATATCAGCTGTCATACAAAGAAAAGATGCATTGAAGCAATTAAAAACTGAACAATATAGAGAGTTTGACATACTTCGCCCCAATAGAATCCATGGTGCAGATGAACGGTTTGTCATCATCTCCCAAACCAGCAATAACAGGTTGGCAAAAGTATGGACCAAACCTGAATCACAAACAGAACAAACTAAGTAATTCACTATCAAATGTAACTTCTAATATACAGTTAAGGCATGACAAACTTGCTCTCTCTACAAGCATACATACAGAATAGAGAGGTAAAAACAAGGTACTACACAAAATGGTTAGGCAGGGCAAAGATAATTAAACCACTGCTTCGGCTTTCTTCTTACAAGTTTTCCCTTAACGCAAGTTTTAGGCCCTTAACATAACTGAACAATATGAACAATAAAAGTTTTAATCAAAATGGTCTCACCAACCTTTTCTCATAAAGAACAGCAGATACAAGACTAGCAAAAGTTTCAGGCTTCATATCCCTCTCTTCACGCAGGTGATATAACTTGTGCCGGAAAACAAGCCTCTGATACCTTTAGATTGATTAAATAGTAAACATAAAATAAATGATCAGGAAAACTAGTGAAGTTCAGGGGGGAAAAAACGCATCAAGCAGACAAGAACGAAGTAGCCATTATAGTAGATGATTCAGTAAGTGGCTGACGGATTTGTACTCAAATCCCGTCTACTACTTCAAGCACAATACGAAACAGCATAAACTGATACTCAAATTTCTAACTCTTCGCCTTTCCGCAAAAAGTAATTCACCACTAAAAAATGATTTCAAACTATCGCAGAATATTTACAGGGTTTGCGCATCGGTAGCGAGGCCAGCGAGACCGATGAAGAGCTTATCGTGGATTCGGTAAATCTTCTGAAAGTCCGTGGCGATAGTCTGCAGCTGCACCCCGAGACGCCGATCGCTGGCAATCGCAAAGCAATTCTTGCCCACCATTGCCACAAGGGCACTTCCATTGTACTCAAAGATCTACAAAATTACTCCCACAATCAATTCATCTCTAAAAAATAAAAAACAAATAAACGATTAACTAGGTCACACAGATTCAAATATCCAAACGGAACGCGAACCCCCCTCCACTTACCGACATTTAGATTTGATGCTGAAAACAATAAGAAACAGAGAACCTTTCGTCGAGAAATGGAGACGGAGAGCAGCAAAGGATACTATCCCTGCTCGATGACTTGGGGAAGGGACAATTCCAACTAAAATAAGAGTGGGCCTGAATTGGGCCAACCCCTTAACTATTTAGTTTTTTCGGTGGGCCTATTATGCCCATTTTTAAAGTAATAAATAAGCCCATTTTAATATGGGTAGAGTTACGGGCCGGAACGCCTCGATCCGGATACAAACCCGGATAAAAATAAATTATTATTAAATCTACCAACAGGGTGTTTCTTTCTGCTCTCAAATTTGTTTTCGGTATTTATAAAAAAATTCACAAAATATTTTATAAAGAATCATTTACGAAAAAATAAAAATTAAAGTCTTTTAGATATATAAAAAAAAAAGACAAAAAAAAACAACTCAGACCTTCCGTAGTTTTTATGGTCATATATGGCTTTGTATGTTATAAACTATATAGAAAAAAAAGGTGTCAAGCAATTTGAAATACTAAACCTATTAAAATTGAAGATTTTCAGATTTGGATTTTAAAAATATAAGGTGGATTAGAATCCAAAATGAAAAAAAAAAAAAAAAAAAAAATTGAATTGGATCAGGTCAAGTCGGATATCAAGTGACCTGAAAATAAATTGGAGTGACTCTAAAAATGTCATGTTCAGGTTTTTGGGTTGAAAATTGGTTCGTATTCATTTATCTAGAAAAGAATAAATATCAACCTTTTTCATGAATAAAAGCACTCTTTTAAGTTACTTATGCAAGAAATTAATTTGAGCATACTGTACTATTTAACTGTAACTGATCCAATTACATTAACTTAACTAAACGTAACCTGAAGAATGTCTATAGGAGCAGCAAAGTGCTTACAACCATCAATTAGTAATTAAGAATACGATAGTGAAATTAATACTAACAGTAAATATGAATCATCTGCTTGCTGTAATAACATGCAAATCCTTCTCTATATATTGCTTCTATTCACTCTGCAGAATCACAATAAAAAAAGAAAAGATGTCATCAGTATCAACAGCAAAATAGTATTTTACCTAGTGATCTAAGTATACTCTAATCCAACATTATATATATATATATATATGCATATTGTTGAGTTCTTTAATTTTACAGCACATATATACGTACATACATACATACCCATGGGGGCCGATTGTAGAGTAGAGTCTTGGAGGTTAGGATGGGTAGGCTGGAGGCGGTATGGTTGTGTCTGTGTCTGAAGAGGTATTTGAGTTCCAAGCTGAAGATCCTCTCCATAGAATGGGAACTGGTTCAACAATGGTTGTTGTTCTACTAACTTAAGTTCTGTCATCACTTGCTGCTGCTGCTGATTTTCCATTTCTGCTTGCTTCTGAATCTGATTGTTCATCAGCTGCACATATAATCACAATCTTTAGACATCACATTATACCTATGATTTTTTTATAATTTAATTTGTATACCCAGTGGTACATTTCTTGATTTTCTTTCTCCAGCAGTATCTCCTACATTTTGCAAAGATGCAAAACCACAGGGAATCACTACTCTAAACTCTAAACCAACAAATAGATAGATGCATATAATTGATGGTTTTGTGTCGATTTACCGTTCTTTTTAGATTCTCCAGCTGCTCATGGATAAGCTGAAACTGGAAAGCAGATGACAAACACAGATTGAATTAATTTATACATGTGTATGTATCTATGTATGATCATTTTGAGCAACAATGAAAAAATGCACAGTTATCAGATGAATTGGGAATTTGTTACACCCTCAATAAATCGAAGAATTAGCGCGAACCTTTCTGCTTCGAACCTTAAGCACCGCTTGCTCAAGCTGGTGTTCGAGTTGGCTTAGGTCCTCAAAGCATACACTGCTCAGATCATCTCCCTTATACCTCTGAAGGCTCAATTGAAGATTTAGGGTTTCATTCTTCATTCTCATCAGCTCCCTCTGAACTTGCTCCTGCAGGCATACAAACAACCAATTGACCCTGAAGATTCAATGGAATTATGGAGATTAAGTATAGATTGTTCTTACATTAATGTATGGAGCTGGTCCTATGTGATCGCGATGTTCGGGTATCAAAACATTCGGCCTGGCCTTAACATACCTCTCTATAATCTGATTCATGCTGTGAGTATATCACATAATTCAAGCATTAATTAGGGCAATTGTTTAACAACCACAAAACAAGTGAGAGTAAATTAAGCCATAATATTCAAACTAATCAAATTATATTGGAAACCTTTACAGAAAGTTCAAGAACAAAATTCAAATTTTGGGAGAAAAAGTTATCGGGTTTTGGTCAAATGAGAAAATGATGGTTGTGTGGTCATTACTTTGATCAGATCTTGTCTGAATCAAAACTTGATTACTAAATAACCAAGCTTTTGGAACAAACAACAAATCAAGACAAATAGAAAACCAAATTCAACAAATAATAAACAACTTGTGTGGTATAACAAATATCAAAGATATATAATCATATTAATAATAGTAGTAATTAAACTTGCTTTACTTTGATGGAGGGGTGCAGTATTCAGTGAGTCTGCCTTTGCTGGAGAAGACAATGAGTCCAATTTGGGCATCACAAAGGACAGAAAGCTCATGGGTTTTCTTCATTAAACCAGCTCTTCGTTTCGAAAATGTCACCTGTCTACTTGTTTTGTTCTCAATCCTTTTGATCTCTACTTTCCCTCTTCCCATTTCGATAATGATCTTTAAGCACTAATCCTGATCAATAAAATATAGAGACAAAAACAAGACCTTTATCAAGAGATTTAAGAGGCCAACAGAAGAATTTTTAAGACATAGTAATATGAAAAACAAAAAATATATCAGTCAACACCACAAAGTAATAACGATGTTATCATGTTTTTGGTTTGTAAGGAAACTATGAAATATTATGTACAGATACAAACTCATATGATCAAAAAAATAATGAAAAAAGGTAATAATAAAAGTTGAAGAGAGATTGTGAGTGGTGTTTGTAAAAATAAATCAAAAGTGGGAATAACTTAGAAAGAATTGAATTGAATTAGCAGTGGTGATCGAGCCTGCTGGGAGAGAAAGGGAAAGAAAATCACCAGGTTGATGAGTTTACCTTAGCTAGCTTGTTCTTCTTTAATCTTCAGTAGACTTGTATATTGTCTTGTGTTTGGAATATATATTAGGGTTTCCAAAAACAGAATTGCTTGTATTAGTGTTGGGTTGTTATATGTTAAGTAAATTCTAACACAATCGTACAATATTAATACATAAAGACAAAAACTGTTATTCCTATTCATGGTTAAACCTCTCTTTTATTCTTCGGTTTGTACTACTCCCTCCGTCCCACATCATTTGTCCCTATTTTCTATTTTCGTCCGTTCTAACTTGTCCTTTTCATTTTTGAAATATAATTATGCACTTTAATCGCATTTTAAATTTTATAATTTTCTTAATTTTAATTAAACTATTTACTTATCTCAATCTTAATTTATAATTATTTCAATATACATATATAATCTCCCTCCCTCTCTCTTTTTTATACACATATATATCATATTACCATAACTGAGTAAAGATGGTGATTGATAGTTAAATAAAACAATTAGATCGAATGCACAAATACATACATACAATTGCGAACAAGATTAATGTGAATGACACGTTAAAGAATGATGTGAAGCTAAGGTGTTTGTGTTAAATTTGAATTTTGGGAGAAATTTTAGGTTTTGTTTACACGATACATTTCACTCATTTGCTAAAAAAAAATATCACATCAAATACATTTTTTCTTTCATAAAACATCAAATCAAATACTAATTTTTTATTTTTTTTTTAATTTCCAAAATTTCAAAAACCTCTATCTAAACAAATCGCTTAATTTGTGTTCATTTTGGTTTAATAGATTTGGAAAGATTTTGGTAGAATGAGAGAAGATTGATGTGATAAGTTGGAAGTGTGTTGGTTTTATATTATTTTTATTTTTATACAAAAATATTATATAATAATTTTAGTTAAAAATATATTATGTTTATAAGATTATAAAATTTTAAGGGTGTGTTTGATGGTCAGCTTGGATTTTTTAATAGTAAAAATTTGGATTTGAATAGTTGTTTGATTTGATATAAATACCTTGATTTGATATTTTGAATCTAAAATAAATTTATAGCATAATATTTTTTTAAAAAATTATTTGATTTGATATTTTTGAAAAATAAATAAAAAAAAATTAGATAGTGAAAACATATGTGTTTGTTGGGGGGTTTGGATTTTGAGTGGGGATTTGAATAGTAAAAATTTTGAATTTGAATAGTTGTATGACATTGATATAAATATGTGTTGATATGATGTTTTGAATGTAAAATTGATTTTTAGTATCATATAAAAAATAAAAAAAAAAAGGTTTTTGATTTGATATTTTTGAGGAAAAAATGGGATGAATAGTGAATTTAAAATCCAATCCCCAAACAAACACACCCTAATAATTTATTCTCATTAAGATTTTTTTTATGTTTGGTTGATTTTTGTTCCTTCTAATCAAATCAAACAGACTCGAAATATTTTGAATGCAAAACATATTATGAACCGATCATAATTAAGCACTAAATGCAAAACAAATTAAAAGCTTTGCAAAGTGTGTAAAAAAAAAAAAGAAAAACTAAATAAATAAAATGAAAATATATTTATAATAAAAGTTGAGAAAAGGATAACACTTGTTGGCCTTAAACATTTGTTAGCAGCTCTATCCATTATCGGAAGCTTCTAGAAACCTTTCGAAACGGTCTGATCTTCCATGCACCAAATGCGAAGAATGAGAAGAGAGAAAATGAGAGGCAAGAATATAGCGTGATTGTGAACATAGGAAAAATAACCTAAATAATAATAATAATAATAATAATAATAAATTAAAAGGCAAACCCTAGCTAGTACCAAATATTATCAAATAAAAAAATAAAAAATAAAAAAATCAGAGAAAGTGTATTTATTTATAGATACTTTCCTAATTAAGAATATTACTATGTATATGTGTATTACAATAAGAGAAATTAATAATCAACAATAGAAAATTAAATATGACATTATTTGAAATAATTAAGAATATTACTATGGTATGATATCTATACTGAACTTGCAGTGAAAAATTATTACTGTTACTATTAATAGTATGTCATCAGTAGATTAATTGATCGTGTGTATGTATGCTTAAAGAGGGGTCGGAACGTTGTACTAATACTTTATTTTATTTATTTTAAATAAAAATAAAATGTGATATAAATATATATATATTAATCTATTTTTTTAAATATAAAATTAAATTTAGGATAATTAATAAATAAAGTTTATGCTTTTATATATATTTTTTTAAAAATAAATAGAATAATAAATCTTAACCAAACCCCAAGCAAACAAACACGCTTGTTTGTGAAATCTAGATTAGGGTTTGAAAATAGATAGTTTGTTTATATTAGAGAATAAGAATAACAAATTAGTCCTCACAAATATGAATAATAATAACTCAACGAACCTTTTGAAGAAGAAAGCAAAGCAGGAACGTTGGTGCCTTTGGGGACGAAGCTGTTCTGGTTTGATTATTTATTTTTCATGAATACTGACTGGAACTGTAATTTCACTGTGCAGAAATTAGGGTTTGGTTTTGCGAACAGGAAAAAGATAATTGATAACAGAGATTGATTCGTTATATAGCGGGTGGGGTGGGGTGGGGTAGGGTAGGGGTAGGGTGGTCCCTCTGAACCATTGACTCAATTAAAATATCTAAATGGGCCCACTTATAATACGAGGTAAAATTACCCAAATGACCCTATTTTAAAAAATATATATTAAATATTTTTTTTTCACATAAAATATTTAATTATATTTTGTTTAACTTTAGTAAATAATTTATTTAACTTTTTAAAAATAGTTTATAATAAACTTTTATTTTTGATATAATATTTTGAATATAAAATAAAATTAAAAATAAAACAATCCGAGACCCAAAACAATAAATCTATAAAGTTTCAATAGGAAACCGATTTTTGACATAATAATTTTAATAAATGGTTATTTTAATTTAATATTTTAAACTAAAAATATGTATAACATACAATCAGAAGAAACAAAGAAGTAATTATAATTTTCCAAAATTGTATACTACAGTAATTTAGTAGGTGATGTGACACGAAACAAATTCACTCCTACATAAATCATAATCATGTGAACGTTAGGGGAATGTTTGTTGGTTTTTATTTTTGGATTTGTTTATTCAACAGTATAATTTTCAATTTAAATAATTATTTTGATATATATAAATTTAATTTTAACATAATATAAAAATTAAAAAAATACTATACTTCATTTTATTTATTATTTATTTGAAATATCTATCTGTAGTAGGGACTTAACCCCAATTCCTTCAATTTCTCAGGTAATAAAAATGCCCAATTGAAAGAATGGTTCGAATTCATCAAGGTACAAGAAAGAAGAACCTGTTAGCTTGGCTGTATGCATAACTAACTAAATCAAACAACAAAGATCACACAGATAGGAGCAATCAAAATTGCTGTATGGAATTCGTTCTTATCTGCAAAGCTTTTTCTTTTGTGGCTTCAAATTTGCTTTTGCTTCCATAACTGTCTCAGCTTCGGCCTGAACCGTAGCTCGGTTTGACGATTCAGTGCTCGGCAGCAAGATTGCTTTTTGCGCAGGCAGTTCAGAAATGAAAAGCAGCGTCTGCGCCCAACCGGCATACTTCCCATACTTGCTCACAAATGCATCGGCCACAAGATGGCAAATTTTAGGTGTCAGGCGAGCACCCGCCAATTCAGGGACAACATACTTTGTCGCAATCTTTAACAAGGAGGAAGCATTAATCAGATTAGTATAGTAACAATAGGGCGAAGAAACTCTTCTAAAGCCAGATATTGAAATAAGAAAACTGGGGTAGCGCGCACCTGCCAAACATGAGTATCGACTGGAATGGCATGGTGTTGATCTAAGGAGAAGAGTGCGATGCAGGCAGCAACCTTGGGACCAACTCCAGGTAGACTAGAGAGGCCATTGATTGCTGTTTGAAGATCCATTTTACGAAAACTAGCAAGCCACTCCACACCTCCTCCGGGTTTCGATTGCAAAGCTGCCACAGTTCCAACAATGTATTTAGCCCTGCTTGTAATTCAAGAAAAAGTGAAATATGCTGTGAACTGAGTGTATTCTTTTCAATTTAAACACTCAAATAGCACATATATTGACACAGAAACTAGCTAACCTAAACTTTCTTTAACGAACAATATGTTTTCCACGAATGCAGTGTAGAAAGGGGTTCGTAATAGTTCTGTAAGAAACAAAATACCTATCATATATGTGTTGCAAATTTCTTAGGGTATAAAACCATCCCGAGTGACAATGCAAGCTGAAAGGATTGCGATCGGTGTATATATAAGTAAACAGTGCAAATTGTTCGATTCAAAATTCGCCGCCAAGGCGTTTACAAATCCAATTTTCAGGAAACATGAGTCCCCCCAACCTTCAGGAACCTTCATCAATCATATTACTACAAATCTTTGTCATCTTTGAGCACAGAACAGAGCAAGACATAATCACTACAGAATTTTCTATACCATTACTTATACAATTGCTAACTCACTATCAAGAATCCATAAGAGAACCAATCAATACATAAGGCTAAAGTCGATTCCAACAGAATTGTATCGAAAATGGCTCGTCTAAAAAAGTTCCAACACAAATTCAGATGCCTAGAAAGAGCTATCTGCTGTTTGCCTTAAAGTTCACACAACACCAGCAATGGATTATGTACCAGAGCATGGAAGAAATGAATTTCATACCTGTATCCAAATCCAGCCTCTCTAAGCTCTCCCTCCGTTACCAGTGCCAACCTTTCCAGAGTTGGGAACTCGAAGAAATCAAACCCTCCCACGTTCCCCAAAAGCCTCCCCTTGGACGAAATGAAATCCACCATCTTGGTAATCCTCTGTATGTGGTTATTCGACGAGCAGATGAACTGAATCAAGCACTCCAACGGATCCTGGCGCAAAACCCTAGCCCCCTCCAGGTAGAGTGCCAGCTGCGCAAATCTCTCGTCCGAAGCCCTAAATTCGTCCCACATCTCCTTCAACGAAATCCCCAAATTTAGAAAATCAGAAAGATCGATCCTCGCAATGTCCTCGTTCTCCGTGAAATGACAATGGTATCCCACGCCATCGTCGTCCAGTTGTTTGAGCGAGACCAGGTGTGACCCGATCGGGCCAGTGTATTGCGAAGGCCCGGTCTTCTTCCACCGGAACGTCTGCCCGGTCGGAAAAGTGAGCGGCAAGTAGAGCTCGGTCTTGTCAATGTTGAGCGGCTTCCAATTGATGGCGAGTTCTGGAAATAGTTGAGGATTTTTAAGAATATTGCATCGTTTGCTGGAAATAGGATTGGGAGTTTTGGTCAAGGATCGCCGATGTCGAGGGGACGGAGGAGTTGTCGGTGGCGTCGGCATAGACCCCTTCAGCCTCTTCATCCTTCGACGGCGACGGACAAGGCGGAGGATTATTTGAGGAGTATTCTTTTTATTCCGGGTAGGGTCATGAGCATGCCGCCTAGATCCGAACACAGACCCGACCCGTAAAACCAATTCAGAAGTCACAACCCGGATAACAAACCCAATTTATATAACTTATAGTTTAATTAAAAAAAATGCAATTAGAACATACTTTAATCTAATCTAATCTATTCATCCATCCATAAATTTATTTAACCCAATTCCAAATTAATACTACAATTCAACGATATTTGCTTCTACGAGTACTTTGCAGCCAGTTCAATACAGGCATAAATATATATATATATAGATAGATAGATAGATACAGAGGTGGAGTTACTGGGGCAATGGAATGTCGGAAAGATCAGGACGGTGGTGCAGCTCAACCCCGCCGCCGGCGGTAGCAGTGTCGCCGTTGCCGGAGGACTTGGTGGGGTCGACGTAAGTGACAGCGGAGTCCTTTCGGAACATAAGATAGAGCACGGACAGTACGTAGACAGCCATGAGGGGGAATACGATGATCCCCACGAACACTTTCCCAACCTTGGGCAGTCTGCCGTGTATCAACCAATCAACGAAGCCCGTGCTCAGGTAGTATATGTTAACTCCGATGATTCCCAGTCCAAGAACCCAACAGAACACGATTGTCTGAAAACAACGACTATCTCTCAGATTCATGTCTGAGAATATATATATATATATATATATGATCAACTGTATTCGAATTATGAGTTATACTACTAATTATTAGTACTTACGTATATGGAGTTCTTGTGGGGGCCCATCTTGGTGGAGCTGCTGCTGAACTTGAGAAGAGGGATTAGGGCAAATGGGAGCTCAAAAGAGAGTATCATCTGCAGATTCAGTTTATCTTAATTATCCATTAATTGTCTGAACAATTCAAAATGGGGACAGCAAATGCATATGGATAGAGATCAGACTAACCGAGGCTATGACAATGAGCCGACCGGCTCCGGCAGATCCTCCGATGATTGAGACAACTAAACTAGGAGTGATCGCAATGCACCTTGTCAACAGATTCCTCACCCACTTTCTCATCCTCAGTTCCAGAAAACCCTAAAATAAAAACATATACTTAAATGGGCAATATAATTAATTGTATATATACAGTGTCGATATTTAATTATGAGTGCCCAACCTGCATTATATACTGTCCGGCGTAAGTGCCTGTAATGGTTGAGCTTTGTCCTGATGCCAACAGAGCTATTGCATACACAATTGAACTCGATTTCCCCAACACATTCTGCCATCACAACAACAGTATGACGAATTTCCAACAATTCATGTTTCAGCTAGCTGATCTAATTAACTTATTCGTAGATATTAATAATCAGACCTTGAGGAGGAATGAAGCTGAATTGAGGGTTAAGTCATCGCAACGGCTTTTGTTCTCTTCGGACAGATTGGTGGCCAAGCAGACCGTTCCCGATACGGCTATAACCGCCACGTTTATTAGAAAGGCTACGAACAACGCAAATCCACTTTCGATCAAGAAAAATTTACATGCATCCTGAAATTTATTTTTATTTTTAAATAAATTAAAACATTAATTTCAAAGATCGAATAAGAATTTATTTATATTATATAAAATTCATCTTACATACATTGATGCCTCGAACAGAACTCGGCACCTTCCTCGACAGCACGAGCGCGGAATGAAGGAAAAGATTGTGCCTGACCAAAATAAATATATGAATAAATATCTAGAATTAATAAATAAATAATCTTGAAAAAAAAAATAGATATATATACATTATTACTTACGGCATAACGAGGGCGCCAAACAATGCAATGGCGTCGCCGGTGGCGCCATTTCCCTTAAGCTTCGGAATAAACATTCCTTTCAAAACTTCTGTCGCCGGAGGCTTCACATAACTCAATTCGCCGAAAAAACAAGCCGCCATTATGAACACCAATATTGCTATCAACAGCTCCAATTTTCTCACCTGCAAATTAATTTAGGTCGTGATTATATATATATTGGAATGGTAGAAAATTTTGGAAATAATGGAAAACTGATAAAAATATATATATATATATATTTTAGATAATTAAAAAATATGTGGGATGCCCAAGAGTGATTCGAACATATTTGAAAGCAAATATTAATCGGGATTCGACTAGGAAAAAAATAATAAAAAATAAATTGGACGATTCGAGGTAAATTTCAGGGGATATTTAAATAAATTGAAAAGCTAGTTGTTAATTATCTAGCTTATAATAAAATTATTACAGTAACTAGTCAACTAATTCAACTGCCGCTGCTATGACTAGGGAGTTTATGTTTTGTCCCACAACGATTATATGCATCATTAATGCAGAACAAACTTATAATTTCGACACGTTGAAAATGGAGTGGAGTTACCTGACGTACACGACTAGGGCATACACATCTTAAATTTTTATTATAATGTGGTGTACGAGTAAATAATATTGCGTGAATAAATATAATAAAAGTGATGTGAAATGTATTTATATGTCAGACACACAAAATAAATAAATAAAAGCATGTGAATTTATTTAGAGAATATGTCATAATTATGAAAAATGATGTCTATATATAGACAATTGCAGATCTCAGTTTTATGTAGGGATTCTCGAAGGCCCATACTGTCTTAGGGAAGAAAATCACACATCGGACAAAGAAATGCAGAAAGGAGTGTAGCAATTTTGTAACTTTTGAGTATTCATTTTGAGATTTTCGGGCTTTTTCAGAATTAGTAAAAGGCATGTGACGCAAAAAAATAAAATTAAATAATACAAATCTTGATCCAACCCAAATCTAATTAAAATATTGTACAGTAACTATACATGAAAACAAACTCATCAATTCATACCAACAATGCAAGTTTGTCCTTATACATAGATTTTTATAAGTTTTAATATTATTTTTACAAATAAATCAAATTAAATATCTAATATTTTATTATTTAAAATTTTTTAAAACTATTATCTAAACAAAACTTGTCGAAATGGTATTAGGATCCGGGAGCTCCCATTAAAGGTAAAACTCAAAATTTACTACACGGTAATTCTAACCTACCCTCTAATATTAAATGCGAGGAAAGTCCAAACAAACCTTCCAAACTTAACCGTTATTTACATAAAATACAAATACAACTGGGAAGTAGAACAGACAAATAATAATATTAACTTTATTTCAATTCTAAATTATTTAAACTGTAGTATTCAATTTTATTTTTTTTTAAATTAAATTTGACACTAACAAATGAATTTAAACATACGCGGAGGATATAAAACCCAACATATTAGCCTTCAAAAATAAAAAATAAAATAAAAATCAATAACAGTAAAATAAATAAATAAATAAAATCGACAAATAACTTACACCGTATCTTTGAAGTCCAAGGAGCAGCAGTGTACTGAACCCGGTGCAGAGAACCCCCACCCAAACCGGGACACGGAACAATATGTTCAGTGCAAAGGCTGTCCCTATCACTGCACCACACACATTTATTATTTAACTAATTAATTGATCACTTATATGTAAGAATATTATAAAAAATAAAATAAAAAATAATAATAATAATTTAAAAAAGAAAAAACATTAACAAAAAACCTTCTGGGATGTCCGCCGCGATGACGGCGGCCTCCGCCAGGAGCCAGAGGCAGTACTTGACGAACACAGGGTACTCAGCCTTGCAAACCTCCGCCAAATGCTTGCCTGAACATAGACACGAAGAACCTTAAACACCAATTGTTGGAATTCGACGACCAATTGTGGTCGTTTTTCATGTAATAATGGAAGCAGGAGGAATATATTAAAACTAATCAATTAATTTTGGTCAGATTTCGCAGACAGCATTGAATGAGCGGCGCAGTCTGGCACCTCTATCCTTTTCCTTACCGGTGGTAACCCCGAGGTTCGCCGCCAGAGACTGGATTATCAGCGCGAACACCAAACCGATCAGAATCACCCACAGCAGCTGCGCGCACAATTTCAGACAAAATATAAACATATATATTGCAATATTCAAAATCCTCTGTCCGAAACCATGATCTGTTCATTACCTCGTATCCATGGTTCGCTCCGGCTTGCAGATCAGTTTCCACTGTAAATGAATCATTAGTAAACGAAACAAAATCGATCGGTACAAATCCTTTAATTAATTTAAATTAAACTAAATTAAAGACATACGGTTTCCAGGATCTAAGTAAGCCAAGGAGACGAGAAAACCCGGTCCGACATAGGACAGGAAATTTCTCCATCCTGAAATCGTTTCCTGTTCGAAAAGCCGCCGATTCAAATTCTAAAGTAGTAAGTAACAAGTAATAATTACAGATACATTCGGAGCAATAAACAGGCAGACCTGATGGATGTTTTTCGGATCGGTCTGCGGCGGCGCCTCCGCCAGAACTGTAAGGCCGGCGTCGCCGCCGCCGTTGGCCGGGTGGTGCAAACTCCCCATATATGTATGTATTATGGTGTATTTGATTGAACAGCTACCTCAACAGCTTTGAGGCAATATGCAGGATTATTTGTATCGCTCCGCTTCAGAATTCAGCCTATTTATGTCATTTACCGACTTCACTCCTGCTGTGTTTGGTTGAGAAGCTTGTTTTCTAATAGTAACTTTTTAAAATTTTAATATTATATAATATAATATAAATAAATATTAATAAAATATTATTAATATAATATAAATTAAAATAATAATAATTTGATTTAATATTTTTTAAAATAAAAAATGTATTTGAATAAGAATTAGTTTTATCTCAAAACTCCCAACCAAATTATTCTTATTTTCGCTGTCTTTAACTTTTTTTTTTTTTTTTTTTTTTTTTCTTTTGATGTCTAGAGTTTTGTATCATATCTAGATTTTAGTTCTTTTATAAAAAAAAATTCAATCTATACCATTATTTAAAATTGTATTTTCATATTCAAATTTATATCAAAATTAAAGTTTTAATATAAAATATTTATTTATATTACATTATAAAGAAGGTTACCGTCCAAACATACATATATATATATATCACTATAAATGTATTTGCTCTTTATTTTAAATAAAAAAATTTATGATTCATTTGATACGATTTTCAATAAAATATATTACTATTATTTTTCTATAAAATATTATTTAAATCAAAATTAAAATAACCATTCTAATTTCAAATCAAAACCAAACAAATCCAAATCTCCACCCATTAATTAGTAGATTTTGTTTACCTGTATTTTCAAATTTATTTTGACACAATTAATAAAGAAACTATTTTTTTAAATATCATAATAAGTTAAAAATTTTACTTAAACTATATTATATTGATAAAATCATATATATATATATATATATGCATTCTGTAATATTTTTTTATTTACTTTGCATTAAATCAATCGCTATCAAAGTCAATTAAACTTGATCAAATATTTGTCCCATAGTGTATAAGCAGTATCTTGAAATTAAGAAAATGATATAAGTTTTTATTCAAACCAAGTAATAAATAAGTATATATATTTTTATTTGAGATAAGTGAATAGGATACTTTTAACCTATTGTTAAGCTTAGGGATGTAAAATGGGGCGGGTTAGCTCCGGATCCGCCCCAGACCCGCTCTTAATGGGGCGGGTTCGGGTCTAAATAATATATTTCAGGACGGATTGTGGATTTAAAATTTTAAATCCGATCGGATTCGGGGTGGATTCGGGTCTAAATAATATATTTTGGGACAGGTTGTGGATTTAAAATTTTAAACCCGATCGGATTCAGGGCAGGTTACAGATTTTACTAAAAATCCGCCTCAACCCGGACCCAGACCCGGACCTGAACCTGGATATTTTTTAAAATTATTATAACTAATATATATATATATATATATGTACATTTATATAATAAAAATATATTATTTATTTACTTAAATAATTTTAAATATAAAATTCAATTAGGTGCATACTCCAAATAATTTTTTAAAATTATTATACCTAATATATGTATATTTATACAATAAAAATATATTATTTATTTATTTATCTTATTTTTATGGATCAATATTTCATTGTTTTTAGATTTTTTTTGTGCTTTTAATGCTATTTGTTTTACTATTCGATTGTTAAAAAAGTATTTATTATTATATATTTAAAAAAAAAAATGGGTTTGCCGGGTTGGCCCTGAATCCGAAGTGTTCGGAGCGGAGTGGATCCTGGGGCTGGGTGGAAGCGGGGCGGGGCGGGTCTCGGAGCCTAATATTTTTTAACAAGGCGGGTCTCGAGGCTTGCAAAACCCGTTTCGAACCTGCCCCGTTGACATCCCTGATCAAGCTTCCAAATTTTAGGAGATTTCAATTTGTTTAAATTTATTCAACTTGTTTTGGTCAACATTTTGACGGTCAATTTATAGAGATGTTATTGAATAAAATAAAGAATCTTAGATGGGAAACGAATTAAAAATATCAACAGCTTGGGACAGTGTAGAAAACGATCTTTATTTTTGATTTTTGCAAGTTTCCCATTTAAATTCAATATTTTACATAATAAACTTCCAATTATTTTAATTATTAATTCCATAATTGTAACGTAGAATTATTGCGAATATTACTATATATTTACACTCCTTTTATTGTAAAAATCTTACCCTTACTATAATTGCATTTATATTATATCTAGTGTTAATCATAGTCAATTAACGGCTGGGATATTCTCACGTCTACACTATTTAATCGTAGGGTCATTATTCATTATAATCCTGAAAAAAATAAACAAAGTGCCAAATTCATTATTATTATTTTTATTTATTTATTTTATTATTATTATTATTATGGGTCAAACTAGGCGAAAAATCCAATCATGCAAGTTGTTTAATTTATTCATCTTCCACAGTAATATATTTTTTTTAAAAAAAACAAAAAAAAAACAGTAGGGTTTATTATAAAAATATACTTTTTTATAAAAAAAATATATATGTTTATAAACCCTTCAAAAGATGATTTGAATGTAGAGTTTCACAAACAAGTATTCATTTTGGGTGTCAACTCCCTAAACTAAACCACAAATTTGGTCAACTTTGACGTCTCTTTCCTAGTGAATAGTAGTGATATTTTTATATATATAACTTTTTCAATATTTATTTATTTTCCTTGTCCCAATTATTGTAGAGTATTTTTATTGATATGAGAAGAACAAATATTTAATTTGACTTAAATGTGTTCGTGGGATTAAATTGGTTACACTCTATGAAGTTGACTAAAGGTCGTCCTTAATAAGCCTAATTTATGTCATCTCTAAATAACCACATCCTGTCCGTACATAAATATAAAAATCAAAGGCCTGCAGCCGTCATTATCGATAATTACAGCAATGGAATCTTCCACTTAGATGTTATCACAATTAAATAATTCATACAAGCAGTTGCATTTTTTCACTATAAATATTTAACTAAAGTAATAAATAAAATCGAATAAATATGTTATTTAAATTATGTGAGGCCAATGAAACAGATATTTCAACATATTGCTAAGTTCCGAGATTGTAGGACATTGCAATTAATTTTGATTGAAGTATTATTGGAAAGTAGAAATTGTTCGACTTCTTTTGGTCAACATTTCGACAGTCAACGGATTGAGAATTCTTTGAATAAAACAAAACAGCTAAAATAGAAAAATAAATGAAAGCAACTAAACACGAATACTTTTAATTTATAAAATTTTAATTCCAAATTAATATTTTTAGACTTACTACACAATGCCAAATGTCGAAATTTTATAGAGGTGTGTTTGTTTGTTTGCATTTGGATCTTGTGTTTGATTTTTTAATAATAAGATTTTGAATTTTAATGATGGTTTGATTTGATTTTTTTTTTTATATATAAAACTAGTTTTTAGATTAATATAATATATTCAAAATAATTATTTGATTTGATATTTTAAAAAATAAAATAAAAATCATGTGAAAAATCAAAATTGAAAAAACACAATTAATCAATTTCTCTTGAAATTCAAAACTATTGCAAATGCTATTATTGTTGATTAGGAAAATTGGACTTTTAGACTGTCGGTGCATTTAGGAAAATATATATATATATATATATAATGTAAAAGAAAGCAAGTAAAACAAATAAAATTTAATAAATTGCATGAACATAAAATAAAAAAATAAAAAAGGCAATCCAAAAGAAAAAGAAAAGAACAATAAAATCAAAAGGAAAAAAGAAAATATAATTTATCCTCGCTTTGTGTTTTTTTTTTTTGGGTGAGTTTAAAGAAAATTGATTTAATTTTATATTAAAATAATATTTAATATGATATTTTATAATAAAAAAATATATAATTCAAATAGTAGAATTTGACAAAATAAAATAAACAAAATAAAAATGATTTAGTTGTCAAACTTTTCTAAAATTTAAAAATTCATTATGTTACGTTGTAATTCCCTTATTATTAAAATTTTATTAATCACTCTTGTAGCTTCATTAAGCTTTAATTCATGGGCTTCGTATTAGTTTTCAATTAAACTTTGAAACCTCCTCCCAAAGTTAAATTCCTGGATGTGTTTGTTTGAAGATAAGAATTTTGGGTATTGATTTTTTAATAATAAAATTATGAATTTAAATAATTATTTGATATGATATGTATATTCATCCAAAAAAATATTTTGAATACCATCTTCCATTCATATTATAAAAATACAATATATAATATATAAACTAAGTACTTATTTAAAATCAACAACTAAACTAAATATATTATTTTTTATATTAGTCACACGCTTATTCCTACCTAATATGAGATTACTTTAAATTAAATTAGTATTCTAAACTTACATTTGAATGTGAAATTTATTCTTTAGTACAACATAAATATATATATATTTAATTTAATTTTTTGGAAAAAATAATTAAATAATAAAAGAATTTGATATTTCAAAAAACAAAATATGGCCTAATGATTTTTCATGATGGTCTTTTCTTCTTCTACTTTTTTTGTTTTTTTAATTTTTTTTATGCTTAGGTATTTCTATTATTTTCTACCCTTTGGAGGGCTAATTTTAATTTTTACACTTTTTAGATTTCTCAGACTTTTTAGATTTCTAGCTTTGGGCTTCATTTACTGGACCTTAATTTTTTTTTTGTGTTCTTTATATTTTTTAGCAGATCGGATCAAGTTCTATTCATCATTATCTGTCAACGGCTGGCATGGTGCCACGTCATCAGTAGGTTTTTAATCGTAAGGCTATTATGTATCCTTCCAAAAAAGGAAGTCTTGACAATATGCCAATTTTGGAAGTTGTTTTTACTAATTCTTTTTTTTTTTTTTTTCATCTTGGACATATATATACTATTTCTAAAAAATTACTTTTAAGTATTTATAATGGTTTTTAAAACTATTGTGAATAATAAAACTATTTTTATTTCATAACATATATTAATTACATTAAATAATTCAAAGTATATATGGGTAATAGCACATTTTCATTATAACAAAAAATGATGTCTTCCAGTATTTTAATTTCAATTTCAATTTCGAATTTCACAAATCTTTTACGATTTAATTTATAATATATATATATATATTGTAATGTGCATGTGTGTTGGCAATTTAAA